GGAGACCAAGAAGATCAAGGATGAGACGGAGCAAGCAATCAAGACCGAGTACGAGGCCAGGATCGTGAGTGCTAGGGAACAGGCCACGATGATGGAATCGAAGAAATCTGCGCTGCGCATCAACATGACGGAGAACAAGCACAGACTGGCAAGTGCGAAGCTGTTCGTCGTCGAGACGGCTGCCAAGGCGACGCCACAGCGCCCCGTCGGTGAGGTTTGGGAGGAGGCCAAGACCGCGAAGCCTGCACCACCAGCAGCTGCAGCTGCAGCCTCCAGCGGCCCCGCAGCTGCACAAGAGAAGGCAGCCCTCGCTGCAACGACTGGTATGTTGCGAACACTATAACCGTGATTGTTCGGAAGGAAATCATACTGACCATGTTTTTCAAGGCACCACTGTTCCGTCCGCGAACGGCACTCCTGCGCAGGCCACACAGCCTGCAGCAACAGTACCAGCATCAGCACCAGCACCAGCAGTGGCACCGGCTCCTGTCGACACACTACCAGCAAACCCGTTTGCGACAGCCTCGCCAACCCATCCGCCTGCAGCGGCTACCAACCCCTTTGCCTCAGCCCAGCAGGCTGCCCAGCCTGCAGCACAGCAACCCGCTGCACAGGGCCAACAGCAGCAAGCGAACCAACCATTACGGACGGGCATTCCAGTCCCAACGAGGGGCGGTGCGCCCGGGCGTGGCCGCGGTGGTGTCTACCAGCGAGGGAGGGGAGGGGCGCAGGGACAGAACCGGAAAGAGAGCGGCAATTTCAACCCGAACGCCGAGAGCTTCCAGCCCGGGAACAAACGACCAAGTGAATCGGATGCGGGTGGTCAGAAAGCCAAGCGCGCACGCGGGGGCGGCGGTGGTCCCAACTCTCGTGGTGGCTAGAAACTTATTTGCCGTGGGTGGTGATTAGCAAGTTGCGGGATGGGATGGTGGGGAGAATACTATACGGGGCCATCGGGGGGACGATGGTCTGGTTGCTTTCTTGATTTGCATTGCATGGCACAGGTATAGGCAGGGCACAAATGTAGAATAATGGGGAAAATACAAATTTTCTTTTGTGGGTTATGTTATGTCTGCTTGGTCTGTCTGTTTGTGTTTGTGTCTCTCTCTGTGCGTGTACATACCTGCTGTCATTTGGGCCCTATTCTGAGTCTGTCAGTTATATTGGAGTTTCTAATATTATAATCCAATGATTTTCCCTTGGGTATAATTTGACTTTAGGTATCAATAGCTGGTATGGCCTCCCCCCCCCCCCCCAACACATCTGAGAGGGTGAGGGGTTGAACTACTTTGATTTCAAGACAGCCTTCCGTCTCCATGTCTTCTTTTCTTTGGGAGAGAGGGCATAAGAAGCAGCCAACAAACTACCGAACAACTCACTGCGACTATATTTTGTTTCCCCTGGCATGAAAGGCAATTGGTAAGTCCGAAAGGTGCACCTGCATATGACGTATTAATTACTTCCAACTCCCCATCTGATCCTCTTCCACACCTGATAAACTCATCGCTACCTTGACTCTTCATCAGGGGTTACTTTCCAGGCTTCCAGCTCTCAAGTGGTTCGTGCGATCTTCCACCCAGATTGCGGGTCGAACCTCCTGTGACGCATATTCCAATCATGTCCGACAATACGGTTTTTTTTTTTTTGGGGGGGGGGGGGTTTGGGGTATATACGTTCCTAGTCACTTTGAAAAATGAAATTAAGATGGCTAATAGCTGTATGTAGCATGGCAAGAAACTCAGCCAAGACGCTGCTTTCTTTGAACCGAGAAAGGCTATCGACTGGATCAAGCCTGCAGATCATGAAAGGAAGTTCTATTTTCTCGACTGCGAGCAAGTCGTATTTCAAAAAGATGGCAAGATCCTGCTGATTGTAACAGGCAGTGAAGAAGGCAATCTTCCGAAGGATATCGGTGTTGTGGTAATTTATGGCCAAGCAATAGCAGTATAATAAGAATGGGGTAGAGTTGCTTGGTGTGTTTCTGTTAAAGTTAAAGAGTATATAAGTGAGGTGAGAGAATGTGAGGTGCTCTTGAACACAGCTGTCTGTTTAATTGCAAAAGAAATACTTGCCTAGTTGATCTCCTCTTTTCTTTTCCTCCGTGTCAATAGCGATGCGATTTTGTATGCTTTTAAGATGTGTAATTACTGAGCAGAAGCAGGCCAGCTTCCGGATGTGAAAGATATGACTTGTCCATTTTGCAGGTCGTAGAACAAGTCACAAGCAACAAGAACTGTGCAAGAGCCAGTAAGTCACTGGCTGAGGGCTGTGCACGGGCTGTGCACGGCCTGCCAGACAACCAACAGCCAGACTTGTAGATAGCCTCAGAGAGTTCGCCTTGTGGCTTTCTTATGTTTCGAAATCGTTCAAGTCGACAATAAACAAGGATGTTGACAAAATAGATAGCTGTAATTTGAGACGCAGCAAAAGCAGGATAGTTTGTGTAGAAATGGGCGTGGAGTTGGGTTAGAATGTTGCTTTTAGTGCTGCATCATATGCTGGGAGAGTCTGCCCTGTAGCCTGTCTGAAAGTCTGGTAGGTTTTGGGGAACCCCTAACCATGGCCACTTACACGTACAAAAGACACTCTTTTGAGCGTCTTCTTTTCCTCATCTTTTAAGATAGCAGTCCAATCCATTCTTTCAATGCTCACAGAGGTTTTTATTTCTCCCGCAAGAAGAAGAAGAAGAAGAAGAAAGAAGAAAAAGATCAGATGAAAACCAAAATAAGAGAAAAATTCGAGACTGGCCCTGAGCCCGAGGTTTGGCTGGATTGTTAATGCTCGTGTTTCTACGCTCAAACACCATGTCACTAATACAAGTGTGCAACGACGGACACGAAAGAAAAAGATGGTCGCATGAGTACAATCTACTTTGAAGATCACCTAGAGGAGAAGAACAAAAAAAGAAAAGAAATGCGGAGCCCCAGCTGGTATAGTCTCTGTACCATGGATCGAATTCGGGGGGCCTTTTCAGCCCTGGCCAGCGGGGAGGACCGAGGTTGAAATAACCCCAACCCCCAGAGTCCGCGTACCGAGATACAACCCTACCAAACTATGCCAACCACCCACAGTACCGATTACATCAGAGGTTAGTTGACCGGGATTTTCGAATCAGTCTGGCCCCCTCGTCCGCCCTTTCTCTTCCTCGAGGATGGCAAAATAATGCTTCAAAAAATGGTCCCATTAATTTCTTGACTTCTGTAATGAGGCCTTTTCCTCTGTCTTTCATAGAAACTAAAAACATGCAGCTCCAGTGAAGAATTCGGAAAGTGATCACCGACGTCCGGAACCACACAGCTTCAATGAGAGGGAAAGAAAGAAAGAAAGAAAGGAAAGGAAAATAAAAAGGAACAAGTATGGCAGCTACAAAGCATAGCAAAAATACATACACACCCTATACAAAGCCCTCAAGGACAAAAAACGTGTCTGCCCCATGAATCGAACATGGATCTTTTCGGAGCTGGTTTTGAGGAAGCAAGATAGTACGTGATGCTATTCTCAAGGCCACAACGAAATATACTGACCGTTATACTAGGCAGACTCTTCCACAGAAATTGTGATGGTGGGGTTCTTGCACAATGTATTCATAAAGTCACGGAATATGGGTCCCCAAGTACCCGCTACAGGACTCTCGCCACGAGGCGACTATCGGGTCTGTTAAAACTCCACCATCACAATTCCTATGGAAAAGTCTTCCCAGTATAATGGTTCATGCTGACCGTTATACTAGGCAGATGAGAACAAGGGGGTGTGGAAAAGCTTGATTCATAATGCTTGTGAAAATCCTGCACCCTGCTTGTCTCACAGCGCTCAGGGATCGAGTTCCACACTTGGCCATGATAGCAGCTAAAGAATGCCACACTAAATCATATGAGTCTTAGCGCTGCTATGTCTGGGCCTTGTACCAACCATGAAATATACATAGTACTAGGCACACAGGGCATAATACTTAGCAGCAGCTTCATATGGCCGTCTGATTGTCCCAATTGCTAACTACTTATGTATGGTAACTACCGTAGAAGCTCGGATGGCTGCATCATTTTGTATTTCCCAATGGGCATGCATGTGATGCGTGCATCCAATTTCCATCCTCCACGCCAGACAATCGTCATAGGAAACACACGGGCGCCGATGTCGTATTCTTGTCCACTGCGTGTGACTACCTGACCGGAAAACGATTCCCAGCTGGCCGGTAGAAGAAAGGGAACTTACTCGAAAGTTTGGTACGGAGGTAATAGTAAACAGTTGAATAACCTGGTTTTGGGCAATTCGGAATAGGGTCTGCGAGCAAAAGACGTGGCGGCTAAATTCCACGTTGGGCCCACGGCTGAATGCATGGACATGTGTTTGTGAGCGTATAGGTCTACTATAGTACAGGGTTTCTCGCCTTTCGAAGTATATCCATCCTCCTTCCAGAATAAGTAACAGCCACAGCGGGGCTCAGCTGGGGAAAGTATGTTACATTCTGCGGCCCGAGCAGCTGTGACAAAACCGGGGACTTAGCTCAGCCTTGGTCCGCGGAAATTGTCGACGGCCATGGCCTGCCAGTCCTTGGGCAGCTAGACTGACTGCTTAAGTACTTGTCACATGGAATGGAAAGCATCTGTGCGTGCCCGCGGCCTCATGTTGCTTGGATACCCTCGGCCGAAAGGATGAAATAGGTAATACTTTACGAGTAGGAGGATATAGGCTCGTGTCAAGCTATAGCAGGCTCTCCTCTTTCAAGCCATATTTTGTAGTAGCGGAACGATACTCCCGACCATTGGAGATATGTGAAGCCTTAACCAAGAGCCCAGGGAAGAGGATTTTCGGAGAAAAGGCGACTTGGACAGCATTTATATGGTACCAGTGCGAACCTAGGTGGATATATCTTGGCAGATGGTTTCAACCCTTCATCACACAAGATTCTTGACGATTATTGGGGCTCAGACTTTATCCTCTCAACACGATCAACCAATCTTTTGGAATCTCTAAACTCAACCTTGTTTTTTCTGCACACCATGACGCCAAAACAGACAGCTCTCCTGCTTCTCTCCACCTACTACAGCCTGCTCAGCAATGCCTCTCCCATAGATCCCGAGAAGCGCGTGACTTGTTCCAGCATCCACATCTTTGGTGCCCGTGAGACGACCGCCAGTGCTGGGTACGGCTCCTCGATCACTGTAGTGGACGAGATCCTCAATGCTTATCCCGGGTCCACTGCTGAGGCCATCGTCTACCCGGCCTGTGGTGGACAGGCGTCCTGCGGCGATGTCAGTTACTCTGAGTCGCTCATCGAGGGCACCGCCGCGGCTGCGGCTGCTGTCAATGCCTACAACGAGGCATGCCCCAGTGCAGAGCTCGTTCTCGTAGGGTACTCACAGGTGCGCAACTTATGAAGAAAATGAAATGCAGAGAGTGATGTATGATTGTTGTATTGACAAAGCCCGTGGGCTGTTAAATATAGGGTGCTGAGATCTTCGACAATGCCTTCTGTGGTGGCGGCGATCCTAACCAAGGGCTGACGTCCACCGCCATCCCCATCTCTACCGCCGCTCTTGCCCAGATCAAGGCTGTCATCCTCCAGGGGGATCCTGAATACGTCTACGGGCTCTCTTATGATGTGGGAAGCTGTACAGCCGGTGGCGTGCGTTCCCTCCTTCCCTCCTCCTTCTTTTCTCTTTCTCATTTGTCTTTGATGCCGTATAAGTGATTATACTAACCCTGGTTCCCAGTTTGATGCTCGCTCCTCAAGCTTCGTGTGCGCAGGAGCTGCCAAGATCCAGAGCTACTGCGACGCAACTGACCCCTACTGCTGCAATGGAGACGATCTTTCCACCCATGAAGGCTACGGCGCTGAGTACGGCGCCGCGGCCCTCGCCTTCGTGGAGAGCAAGCTCGGGTCAGGTACCGTGACTACCACTGCCCCTGCCACTGCCTCGACAACGCCAGTTACTGGCTGTTCTGCGCTGTATGGTCAGTGCGGTGGCATAGGCTGGACGGGCGCGACCTGCTGTTCTTCTGGGGCCTGCGAGGTCTCGAACTCTTATTATTCTCAATGCTTGTAATAACTCAGGCCGGACTGTTAAGCTGCTTGTCCAAGGCTGTGTGAAAGGAGCAGATTGCATTTCATGTATATACAAAATCACTTAGGCAGACTGTACACACAAAACTTTCAATTATTTTTTTTTTCCCCCTTCACGTTTTAGTCCCCAGTCACTTGCCCATGGAGGCCACGTATTCTCTCACAAGGCTCTCGGCGCTCTCATCACGCTGCAGACCCAGATTCATAGCCGTCGTGTCGTCGACCCTAAGCGGCCAGCTCCTGAGGATCCTCTCCATGACCGGATCCGTCTCCTCGCGCACAAACTGCAGCTTGTCCTCCCCGCCCACCCTGGCCAGCGCGTCCAGCAGCTCCTGCACCGTGACCGAGATGCCAGGGAAATTGATCCACCGCACATGCTGCGGCAGCGCCTCGCTCGGGAGCTTCAGGACCGCCAGCAGGTTCGCGACCAGCGTGCCGGGCCCGGACAGGACCGCGCGGTAACGCCTGTCCTGGATCGGCACGACGCACTCCTGGCCGTTCATGGGCTCTCGGACGATGCCGGACAGGAACGAGCTGGCGGCCTGCGTTGGTTTCCCCGCCCGGACCGACACCGTGGGGAAGCGCATCGAGAAGGCGTCGATCTGCCCGCGGCGGTGCAGGTCGTTGATGAGGAGCTCGGTCATGAGCTTGTGCGTCCCGTACACGCCCGCCGGCGTGGGCGTCACCGCGTCTGTGATGACGTCTGGGAAGGGGGCGCCGTACACGGCCTGGCTCGAGGCGTAGAGCACGCGCACGCCCTTGTTGGTCTCGACCAGCTTCAGGAGCAGGGCGCGCGTCGCGTCCAGGTTGACGCGCAGGCTGAGGTCCGGGTCGGCCTCGGAGCCGGAGGACATGATGCCGTGGAACACGAAGACGGCCGCCAGCGGCTGGGCCTGGGCGAGGAGGCCCGCTAGGGAGGCTGGGTCGCTGAGGTCGGCTTGGATGGTGACGATGTTGTCTGTGTGTGCCAGGCCTGCGGGGACGGAGGGGGTTATGACATCGGTGATGACGAGACGGTACTCTGGGTGCTTCTGTACAAGGGCGGCCGTCAGCCGTTGACCGAGGAAGCCGGCGGCGCCTGTGATGAGGATTGTCTGTTTTTGTGAAGCCATGATTTGGAAGAAAGGTTATATGCTTTTCTTCCAATGAACGTTCACTTTTGGTAATAAGCACGTATACATAAACTGGACGTTGGGAAGATCCAGCAGTCAAGTGAATAAGCACAATAGCTCCAGGACTCGCTAGAAAGCATCCCGAAGTGGAAAAATAACGTGCTGTTATGTATAAGCGTACATGCGGGGTTTGATACTGTCAGTTGTGGGCCCGGTTATTCATTCAGGTCCGCGACATGATGCTTTTGAAGACCGATGAACGTTTTACAGTGATCAATATCTTCTGTAGAAAAGAGAAATATCAAATGTTGCACATGCCAACATTTGAACGGGCTGCATCTCAAGACTTGGTATGCTCAAAAGCGAGAAATTATCCTCCTCTTTCTTAAGTAGATTGGTGTAAGGTCAAGTTCCATTTTCAAGTATAGGGTGTGCCGTAATTAAGTGCAAGTGCAGATGAGCGTGAGATTAGCGAGTGAATGCCCAATAAATGTATCATAAGATCTGCTGCAGTGATTTCTCAATATTGTTAGGAATTGTGAGACTCATGGTTTGTATGAAACCTTGATCAAGCACCTGGCCTAGCATAATTGTTGCTAGTGGTAACTAGGCAAACTCAGAGGTATGAGACAAGTAGTAACATTGTATTTAACTTTTCTATTGAGGAAACAAATATTACAGTGATCAAGTGAGGCCAAATTCCCCACAGCTGCCCTGGTCCTCAATGAACCACCTCGAGACCGTGCACTTTTCGTCCCGTTCTCTTTCCCCTTTCTTTTTGTTGGAAATTGTTTCGAAACTTTTACCTTCACTTATGGGGCTTTTACTGCAATACATGTAGCTGACAAAACACTCAACAAGTTTATATTATTATCCTAGTATAAAACAAAAGAAGAAGAAAATGTTCGTGTCATAAAGCCTCTTGCCAATAAGCTAGGCTCTCATACTCATCATGCTATACCACTAGATTCCATCATCATCGTCATCCTCCAATTCGCCTGATACCTTGTCCCAGGCATCCCAAGCGGCGCAGGCTTCGCGAACATCGGTCTCATCATACAGAGCCTTGATCTCGTCCCTCCGCTCGATCCACTGCAGGGCAAAGCCTTGGTCTGTGTGCCACGCAATGTGACCTAGTAGTGGACGGTCAGTTTTTCTTCTTCTTCTTTTGAATCGAAGCTCATACAGAGAACATGAGTGAAGGTAGGGTAGAGGATTGCAAAAAAAAAATAAAAAAAACCGTACAGTGTGTGAGCCAGATACCTGGGTTGTCGGCGGGAAACGCAATGGCGAGCCAGCCGTCGGCAGGAAGCATGGCGACATCACGACGAGGAGGATTGGAGTGGTTCATGGTGACGTTGTCGGTGTAGGCACTGTCACCGGAGCCGAGGATATAAAAGTCATGGCCGTGAAGGTGGAGAGGGTGCGTCACGGCGTTGGTGTTTTCGACGAGCAGGTAGGTCCACTGGTCTGGGGTCGGGATGTCGATGGCCACGGAGGTGTTGGAGAAGTCCGTCACGTTGTCAAAGATCTGCAGGATCGTGGGATCGTCCCAGTAGACCTGGAATGAGTCAGCCCCGATCGCCCACCTGATCCAGCCGGCTGTGGTGGTTGTGACGGAAGTGTTGAGTTGCTCGGAGACTTCGTAGCTCGTCGCGGCGTCGAGGGAGAGGTAGGGCACGAGGCTCTCCAGTGGCTCGTCCTCGCAGTCGTTGGAATCGATCGCGTAACCCGTCGTCGTGGGTGTGCTGGCACTGCCTGTTTGGTCGTCAGTTGACAATGGGTCCCACTTGTGAATATGGAATCAGTAGAAGTGAAGGTTTGTCAGGACATACTGCCGTAGTGGATTATACCCTTGATGTTGTCAGGGTTCGCGTTGTCACTGCAGAATGCATCTGGGTACGCCCGCAGCCAAAAATCACTCGCGACGTCGGCTTGGTCGGCCTTAACAATCACATCGTAGCGTTGAGCCATGCCGATGGCCAAGCTTGTAGTCGTGTAGGGGACAATGGGGACAAAGTCTATGGCAATCACCTCGAGAGTGTGGTTGTCGATGGAGAAGTCAAACATGGTGTCAACCGCAACATTGACAAGGCGAAGGAGGTATGAGGAGCCCGCTTCAAAAGTCGTCTCCCAGCGGGATCCGACCGTGGTGTTGTCACTCGTGTAGGTATTGGTGCCGTTGATGAGACCGTTGTCCATGGTCGGCGGGCCTACGGTATTACCATAGTTGGCAAGCTGGTCAATCGTCTGGTGCGACCAGTCGAGCATGAACAGGTTGCCGAGGTCGTAGTCGTAGTTGGCAGTGGCCGGGCCATGGATGAGAATGCCGCCAAAGACGCCTTCGTAGGCCTGAAGGGCAAAGTGCGAGTGGTACCAGCTGCTGCCATATTGTGTCGCCCGCCACTTGTACGTGACGGTGTCGCCTGGAGCAGTGGGGCACTGGGTAATGGAGGAGACGCCATCAGAAGGGTTGGTGTAGTTCTGTCGAATGCCGTGGAAGTGGATGGTCGTCCCGTTCGTACTGAGGCTGTTGGTGACGTGAACGATCACCTCATCGCCCCAGTCAGCCTCGATCGTCGGGCCAGGGAGAGAGCCATTCACTGTCAGAATATCGCGGGCGACGCCGTCTGGGGATGCGGTGATATTCTGTAGCTCGAACCAGTATTCGCGAGTCACACCAGTGTCCGGCACGACATCGTAGTACTAGAAAGCAAGGTCGATGTCAATAAGCAGGTAATTATTAAACAGCAATTTGTAAAGCTTTTGTGACAGAAAATTATCCTTCTTACGTTTGTGTCAATGCTATAGTCACACCAAACAGAGCGGTCGTCTGCAGTATTTCCAGCACAAGGAGATGCGCTGGATGCCCTTGGGGAGGGAGCCAAGTTCTGGCGAGGGAACGAGATAGGTTGGGGGCTCGCAGTAACCATGGAAGCGCAAACCGCCACGGCTGTCAAGAGTCTGAAAGCCATGCTCCCGTTTATGCGTGAGGCGGAATAAGGAGCGACAAGTGGAGTATAAAAGGAAAGAACACAATCAGTAAGTAATGAGTGAAGATGTTACAAATGAACGACTACGAAAGACCCAAAGGGGAAATGAGCGTCTGAGATGTGATAATGATGATGATGTCGAGTCAAGACATTGTGTTGGATGAGAACTCTTCTTTATAGACATTGTAGACATTGAACACTCCCTTGGGGGCGCAGGATGATGACCAATAGACTCAAACAGCACAGGCTCGTATTCAACTCCTGTCGTCGTCAACATCGTCGTCAATATTGTTTCTGCCCCCTTTGGATCCATCTGACCGGTTGGTGTATAGCCACGCAACTACGCGCACACAGGCACCCACACACTGAAGACTCAGTGACGATGCTGTGTTGGTTGAGAAAGACCATTCTGTGAGCTTACGCAATGGGGAGGATAGACGACCGTGCGTCGTATCTCCAGCCGCATCGATGGAATCCACAAGCAGATCAGGCACTACACTCCCACAAAAGAAGATCGCTGGGATCTAAGCGTGCAAAGAGGGGCCCCCTGAAGGATCAATAGTGTCAGGACACGATCAATAGAATATTTTCCTTGACAGAGGGCAAAGGCCATGCATATATTGTGGGCACACATTACTAAACCAGGACCTCTGTTGAGACCCCGGAATATTAGTAAGTGGAATCGCTCAGACTAGTGAAAACGCGCATCCGGGGTTCGCCTCGGAGTAAGACAGTTTCGTACGAATCAAGTCCCCTTTCAACATCATTGGAACTCTTGCATGTGCACGGAGGGTTTCGAATCCCCGCATTATTGTACAGTTCAGGGGAAGCCATATTGGAGGCTTATGATCCGGGGCGCTTTCCTCTTTTGGACAACTTATCGTACGTTTTGGCAGACTTTGCACAATCCCTCAACTTCGGCATATCTATTCGGATCTTGAAGCTGTATCTTGAGTCATGGCAGTGCTCTCTGTCTCTCTCTCTCTCTCTCTCTCTCTCTCTCTCTCTCTCTCTCTCTCTCTCTCTCTCTCTCTCTCTCTCTCTCTCTCTCTCTCTCTCTCTCTCTCTCTCTCTCTCTCTCTCTCTCTCTCTCTCTCTCTCTCTCTTCCCTGTATGCCTACGCTCTGTATACTGATTATTTTGTGTGTTAACTGAGCCATCAACAAACTTTAGCGCTCCATCAATACGGAGAGGAGGGAAAAAGTAACAAAAGTGGAACGATCCAGGTTTATTTGTGGGAACTGAGAGGATCGAGATGGCTGAGTTCACCGGTAGCTTAACAAAAACTGGTAAACCACCCCCCTCGAATCAAATCTCTGCAGAAGCGTGCCCACAAAAGAGTTCTTTTATAGATACATATTAGTAATTTTCAGAATAAGCATGATTCGCTACTGGTTTCCTTGTTTGTTTGCTTATGCTGTGACGTAGTGCTACTGCTCAAGAGATAGGGCATGACCCCCCCCCCCCTTTCAAAGTGAACTGGTTGCCTCCTGTTGAGCTGGATCGTTAACAATCACATAGCTCATGAAAGATGAACTCGATAATGAGTTCTAGTATAAGCATTGCGGTAAGCATGTCCTTTCTAAGTTGCATATTAGGGACGTATTATTGACGGAGGAGTTATAGCCTAAAGCAGAGTCCAGTGTACGCCAAGGTCCTTGTCTCCCCGGACCTTGGCCTGTTGAGGTATGCCGTGAGGCTGAGTGGCCGTTGCCCATTCGGAGAATTAAATCAGAGAAGCCCTGGCATGAACGGCCCGTGTGTGGGGCCGCTTGTTCGCTACTGTTCTTGGAGCGTCCGTGAGTCGGATATCGGCCCACAACGCGTAGCAATCCGGGCATCACAATTTCAAATGTTTCGTGTGTCGTCGACTTACGCGTCAAGTTGACCGGCCGGTAAGCGGCACCGAAGGCAACCGTTTACCTGCAGCATTGAGTGCCTTGGACCTCGCTTACGGCCCTGGTCAAGTCACGTTTTGTCCCTGTCCAGTTGCCGAGTCTGCCGTCCCCAATACCGATTTCTGCTAAGGGCTTACCGTGCACACAAAGCGATGGATGGTGGTGGGTCGCGACACGAGGCTGAGTGTACGAATTGTTCTTTTCCTTGATCCATGACAACATCACAGTGACTATTGATAGTTTGCTTGCATCACGTTCAGCGGTCTGTGATTCTATAGTTCAATACTCCTTAGGTTGAATAAGCATGCAAATTTTCCGAATGCCGAACTATTGGACAATTCCCCTGAGTAGTACGCAAGCTTCTTCAAGGATTAGGTCTCCTACGTCGTGTATAGGCCATTTTACGCAGCCTGTTTATTGAGCTGGAACGGCAGATGCGTGGAACTGGAAGAGTCATATGCACATATGGTCAGCATCTCTCCCGTGTTTTCTTCTGAACCTCAGCATCGATTCTCAAGTCGCCCAAGCCAAACAAACACCTTTCCCAGCTCTCCTTTTACTTTCTTTGTCTTCCATTCCACTCCTTTGCAGACTGTCATTTCAACAATCATGATCTCCTTCAAGTATCTGACGATGCTGGTGCTCGGCGCCGCACTCACCACTGCGAGCCCCGCCATCAATACTGCCCGCGCCTCATCCGATGCGGCTGCGCCCTACTTCGCGTACGGCACCGGCGTCAATGGCCTACCCTTGTGGTATGGCGATGGCGTGGCATATCTCGGCAAATTTCATCCGTCCAATGTCACCAACTCTGCCAATGTGACCCGTGAGTCTATCCCATGTAGTCTTGTCGCTTGCCTTCTGCGGCTACAAATCCATATCACTGACTCTCTCAATCCTCTCATAGTCACTTTATCGGACAAGAGCATCAAGACGGTCGTAAACAAGACCAACAGTGCCGATCCCGATGTCGGCTCGTCGTTGCTTTACATCAACACCGTCAGCGGCGCCTTCTCCGAGGTTGGCTTTACCAACGACAGCAGCACTGACGAGCACACCACGACCGGCTTCGGTCTCTTGGGCACCATGCTCGTCTGGGAGAACTCTAAGGGTGATCTGGACTCCAGCTGGTATGCCGAGCCGGTCACTGAAGACCAGACTGTTTATAAGCTTCTGTGGAACACGGACCTCGTCAGCTCTGATACTGCTGTTGCTGTTGTGCTGAAGAAGACGCCACCACCTTCTTAAGAGGGGCATTATCTGAATTTGAGATGTTGAATTTGGAAAGAGTGATTCGTTGGTTTTGTCTTGGTGTCATCTTTACTTTCTGTCGTCAGCTGAAGCACTTTGGAATGTGATCTTCAGCTTCTTTGTGACTAGTATTTTGTTTTTGTCAGATTGAATAATTGAAAACTCAGTTACAAACTCCTTCCCGGGGCGGAATGTCTTTCTTGTCTTATTTCTTGTTCTTCTTTGCTGCTAATAGAAGAGAGGAAGAGCAGAAAATATAGCAACTGGGCAATGTGAGGCTGCGTCGTTAGCGGAATAACCTGCGGTTCGTTTGTTTTTGCCACGGACTGGGTACGCAGGCGTCTCTCAAGAGGGGCCAAGACACCAGTTTGGAATAACCAACATCTAGTCTCCCATACCCTCCTCCTCTGTTCCTTCTGCTGTTCTTGGCGTTTGTGCTGGATTTATGTGATGTGATCTCCTAGACACTCTCGCTGTTGACTATCGAGCACTATCCAAAGGTGCATGATCTCATAGGGCTATCTGCTGTTCGGCATATCCAACCTGGTTATCACTGCCACGTTTTGCTACAGCATCAAATCACAGAAAAACGTGGCGAGACTTGGAAGTGTACTTTCACAAACGGCTCTTCCGGGTATCGACATCGCACTGGCAGCTCTGGACAATGCAACAACAGCAAATACTTCTTAAAGATCTCAGGACATGCAAAAGGTAACACGTTAAGAGTACTACATTGAATATAGCTACAATCTTCAAAATTCACATGCCTCTTAGGCTTTTCGTTCATATGCTTGACGGTCTGCATTTAAATGCTGCCGTCATCTCGACGCCCTTGCTGACAAGTTGTTCTCGTTTCCTAGGGCTGCGAGGCTATCAACTGTGCTAGTGTAAGTCTATAGGTCACATAGTGAATGTGTTGCACAGATGCATGATGCAAATGTGACCACGATCAATGGGAGTCAATGTGCACATTGTCTGTCAGCCTTGCGAATAGCCCTGTCTAAGTTGACGACAGCCAAGCATTGACATCCCGTTCCCGAGGTTTCTCCCTCGGCATTTCCCTCGCGGCATACTTGCCCTCGCACACGACGCTGTATTAATACAAAGACGGCACTTGCTGATCAAGAAGCTCTCTGTTACCCCGTTTTGCTGCAAGGCATGATGGTCGGCCATATTATAAACTCCACACTGAGCTCTGGCTAAGCGTTCATCCGGGAGGCGATGACGGAGTTCCTGCGCACTAAAACTACGTCAGCCCAACCAACGCTGTTCCACCACAGGCAAGGGCGTATGCTCGACGGTGGATAAAGAAATCTCGGATCAGCAAGCGAAGACAGGGTGCCTGCCTACCTTGATGTTGTTGTTCTCGGGCTCTTTCATAGCCTCCGTCATTTCCACCCAGGCCAACATTAGTAAGTACTTAGGTAGTAATGCAGTGCAGTTTGCGCAGCGGCACTGACTGCAACACTGACTGCCACGGGTATCGGCTAGTTATCTTTAAAAGTATACATATATATATATAAATATACACTTATTCACCTACTTACCGGATAAACACATGGTAATGGGGCCCCTCGACCCTTTCAACAGAACCTGTGACATGACCGCATGATGATGCACTCTGTGATGGCTCCAGCATGAATTGTGGGCATTTTGCCGGCCGTTGCGGAGGCCGAAACTGAAAAGATGAGCATCGTCTTCGCAAGTAATGATTTGAAAAAGGCAGCGCGTGACAAATATACCGCCATCCATTCGCTGGTCCCGGCTGAACGCTCCTCCGGGGAAAACACTACCCCGGAGAGAATTTCCGCCCCGTGAGATCGACATCAACAACTCCATTTCATCAGTTCTCGTGTCTCGCAGAGTTGCAACCTCATCTGTGATCCCCGGATTGGCCCCGGATCCAGAATATGGGGTTTTGCGGCGAGGGCGACGTGGGATCGTGGGGAGGACCCAACAAGCAGGAATTGACGCAAGTCAAGACCCACCAGGGAGCAAGATATGACTATGGGGAATCCGTCCTTGGGGGGTTTAAAACCACTTCTCCTTATTGTCTATCACTGTCGACAGCTGTGTCTTTTTGAACCTCGACAAATTTCACCGAACAAAAAAAGAAAAGGAGAGAAGGGAAAAAACCCTCGCGATCAGAACCACACCCATTCTCCTCTGGCTGTCCTGAACCACAGCAATGGGTCTCCTTACCCTCGTCGAGGACCGGCCAACGCCCCCTTCGGTCTATAACTGGCGGGTATATGTCCTCGCCATCATCGCATCATGCGGCTCCAACATGATCGGTTACACGAGCGCCTTCATCGGGACGACCCTCACGCTCACCTCTTTCATGGACGAGTTTGGTCTTGACACCATGAGCGAGTCGAACAAGGATTTAATCGCCGAGAACGTCGTCTCCCTCTTCATTGCAGGAGCCTTCTTCGGCGCCATTCTCACGTACGGCCTCAGCCACTGGTTCGGACGCAAGGTCTGTCTATCGATTGCATCGGCCACCTTTGCACTGGGAGCTGGTCTTCAGTGTGGTGCCAACCACGACCGCGGGCTGGGCATCCTCTACGCCGGCCGTGTCCTGTCTGGGCTGGGCACTGGCGTCGCCTCGAACATTATCCCTATCTATCTCTCTGAGTTGGCGCCGCCAGCAATTCGAGGCCGTCTTGTAGGCCTGTACGAGTTGGGATGGCAGATTGGTGGTGTGTTGGGCTTCTGGATTAATGTGAGTCATGTTGAACGATTTTAGCGAGGCGATTTTTTTTATATTTTTTTTTGCAACCAAAAGACCGTGCCCTGTGTGCGGATTTTGTGGGACCTCAGGAGAGGGTTCGTAACCATCATCAGTCGCTGATATGATTCTTCCCCAGTATGGCGTCGAAGCACACATGAAGCCAAGCCATGAGCAATGGGTGATCCCATTCGCAATCCAACTTATCCCCTCGGGCCTGCTCTTCGCCGGCTCGCTGTGGATTCGGGAATCGCCACGCTGGCTCTTCTTCAAGGACCAGCGCAGGAAGGCCATGGAGAGTCTCTGCTGGATCCGACAGCTTGAGGCTTCGGACATATACATCACAGAAGAGGTTGCTGCCATCGACAATGCTCTCGAGTCTCAAAAGGCAAGCGTTGGTATGGGCTTCTGGCAGCCCTTCAAGGCGCTGGCCGCGCGACCGACTATGCAATGGCGTCTGTTCTTGGGCTGCATGCTGTTCTTCTGGCAGAATGGGTCTGGAATTAATGCTATCAATTACTACTCACCCACAATCTTCTCTGTGAGTCCATAATCAGTCTTGCTTCATTCCCCTTGGCACTGTCGGGTTCGACAAGATCACGTCATGATCAGCAATGCAATGTCTAACGAAAAGTAATGAATTATAGAGTCTCGGCGTCCAAGACAACACGGTCAGCTTGTTGACTGGTATTTTTGGTGTGGTCAAGGCCATCATGACCATCTTGTGGCTGCTCTTCCTCGTCGATCAGCTTGGAAGACGGAAGCTGCTGCTCATCGGTGCCATCACAGGCTCCATCTGCATGTGGATTATCGGTGCATACATTTGCGTTGTCGAGCCAGCAGAGCACCCAAGTGACCACTTGAACGGAGGCGGCATTGCTGCCATCTTTTTCTTCTATCTTTGGACGGCTATCTACACACCCACGTGGAACGGCACCCCTTGGGTCCTCAACTCTGTGAGTCCTCAAAGCTTTTCTCATCTCCCCCTCCGGTGGCTCCCACAACAACATTAGACTTTGTGGCTAATCACACCACAACAACTAGGAATTTTTCGATCCCAATTTCCGCTCCCTGGCCCAGGCGGCTACCACAGCCAGCAACTGGCTCTTCAACTTTCTCGTGTCTCGATTTACCGAACAAATGTTTGCAGCAATGGGCTACGGTGTTTACATGTTCTTCGCGGCGTTATCCTTCTTCGCCTTCTTCTATGCCTTCTTCCTTATCCCTGAGACCAGTGGCATCCCACTGGAGAAGATGGACCGCTTGTTCAGCATCAAGCCGATTTGGAGGGCCAACGAGACGCTCAAGGCCGAGCTGAAAGATGAAGAAGTGCAGTTCAGAACGGACATCAAAGGCAGGGCTGTCCACAAGGAAGTTGGAGGGGACTCTGGTGGAGAGTCAGAGGGCGGAATTTTTTAAGAGATGAAATTTTCGCAAGCATAGACATAGAGCTTAGACATAGAACTAGAGATGCATTGAATTTCTGTGCGAGGCCAGGTGAGTCACTGGCCCCACTATCGCCAGCCTACCTCTATAGCCTCAGATAGCCAGCTGTTTTTCCTTTCTTTTCCTTCCTTTTCCTTCCCTAAGCGCAGTCCAATACAGTTCATTTCCCATAGGTTATGACCCCTCACACTCTTCTTTCATCAATTTGACGATATTCCTCGTCAATTGACCCTGAATTACGAGCTCACCTTTGATTTCTGACCTCGTACGCGCTCGCGACGGTCAAAATCACCAAAAACCACGAGAAAGAGGCCTGAAAACCTCCACTCGACCACACTGCGAGGACGTCGAGAACGGCGAAGAACCCTTGCAACAACAACAAACAGCTGCAACAGAGGCGCCAGAAGCTCCTCAACTGCAGCAATAACAACAACAAAACCTCCTCCTTCAGCAAGACAGTTCGTTGAAGATGGAGGAATCTACGAGTCGGCCATAGCAGCCGATCACCCACGCCATCCCTGTCCTCCTCAGCGAGAAGAACCTCGAGGATTGGTCAGTGATGGTAGCATCGACCCTTAGGCAGATGTGCCTAAGCAAATACATCAAATCCTCTGTCCCTGAACCTGACGAAGAGAAGGACCCTAAGGGATGGAACAAGTAGAACCAAGAGCAGGGAACAGTGGTTACCCTCCTTCAAAGCACACTGCACAAGATGAGGAGCACGCTAACGAACGCTGGCCTCTCTGTGGGAGAGGAGAACCCGTATGTGATATACAACGCCGTCCTCAAGACGATCCCTAAGCACTCAGAAGACTACATCGACCAGATAGCCATACGACTGGCAAACTGCAAGGTGGCAGACTACTCAACTCTCCAAGCCTTCAGAGACGACCTACAGTATATGAAGAGACGCCTGAAGGAGCTCAAACTGGAGCCCCCAGAGGGCTTCCTCCTTGCTATCATCCTGAAAAAGATTGAGGATGTGCTACCAGAAATGCACGCGTTTGCCAGAAGGGACTACAAGCTCGGTACGCTTACCTGGGACAACCTTATGGCAGAGATCAATTCGGCTATCGTCACAGGTACAGGTAACAAGGCCTTTTCATTCTTCAAGAAGACAGCTCAAACGTCGACCTCGTCGAATGCTTCAGGAGGAGCTCAAGGGGGTGCGAGGCAGTGGCCTCGCGAGGACTCCCTGCCCTCCACAGGCATCGTCAACAGCGTCAAGCTGCCTAAGTCGATCATCGAGAAGATTTCCTACTGTTGCCAATGCAAGAGATATCTTCTTACTGGCTGGAAATACTGTAAGGAATGTGGCAAGTGCCATGGCACGTCTGTACGAGGCTGCAGGAACAACACTCAAGGCCAAGCAACCCAGCTAATATCGACGAACTCGTCGACCACGGCGGGACCAACAGTTTTTGGTGGATCGAGCGTGGCCGGCAAACCAGCTACGGTCGCCATCTCTGCCCTCGTCGAGAACGGAAAACTCTCGAGGGATAGCATTATTGCTGATACAGGCGCTTCAGAGACGCTCTTCAACGACCCCAAGTGGTTCCTGGATCTGGTCCAACTATGCGAATAGGAAGCTATGGAGTTAGCAGCAGGACCCTTCAAGATAGAAATAGCTGGAACGGTACAGTTCGACGTGGTACGCGACGATGGATCGGTCGCTACTATCACGCTCGAGGATGCCAGATTCTCCCCAAGCACGCCTTGCAACCTCATCAGCGTGAGTAAGCTGATGGCGCATGGATATGGCTTTGATGGCCGTATGAACCACATCGTTAACACCACGAACAAAAAGGAGGTATGCCAGGTCAACTGGAAAGAGGGGGTGCCAGTCCTGAAGGCTGTCGACCGCTCTGAACCCTCAGGGGGTGGATTTCTAGCCAAACCGGCGATGCTTACGTCGGTTACGTACAAACGCCTTCACGATCGCTTTATGCACGCTGGCCCAGCGGCCATACGAGGTGCAGCGAAGAGGGCTGGCATCACGATCGTCAAGGACAAGGATTTCCACTGTGAACCGTGCCTTGAAAACCGCCTGACGGACATGTATGGAAAACACCAGAAGTCCAAGTACAATGCCCCTGGCCAGCTTATCCGCTTTGATCTTGTCGAGTTCAAGGAGGGATACAATGGCTGTTGCTATTGCCTTCACTTCGTCGATATGGATACGAACTTCCACTGGGTTTACTTTGCGAACAGGAAGCACGAGGCATTCGACCAGATCAAGGAGTTTGTTGCTTTCTTCGAGCGTCAATCGGGCAGGAAGATCCAGGCTCTTGGATGTGACAATGGACCAGAGTTTGGCCTTGCTACAGCCCTATTCAAGGACTCAAAGCTCATCAGATGGGCAAATGAGAACGGCATCGCTATCCTCCGCACTATTCCTCATTCACCGTAGATGAACAGCAAGGCAGAAAAGGCTGGCCGAGACATAGTCGAGAAGGCACGAACAGCCCACAACGCAGCTAATCTTCCTTTACAGCTGTAGCTGTTCACGATGGAAGCGGCCTGCTGTGTAATCAACCTTCTCCCGTGCACAGCAAACGAGGACAACAAAGCACCCATTCAGTTGTTGGGAGAACGCCTAAATCTTGATAAGGAGGCGATTCCTGATGCTGGCTTCCTCAGAGTCATTGGCAGCGAAGTCTGGATCCACGTGAAGAAGGCATATCGCCAGTCGAGCGACAAATACGCCAAAACGGGCATCAAGACTAAGCTCCTCTCCTGGGATACACCTTCAGGGAAGATCGTATGGGTATACGATGCTAAAGCTGACAAGGTCTATCGAGCAGTAGCTATCAAGATACGAGAATGCGAAGACCCCCCTCTGAACAACCCAGAGATGGAGGAGATCGAGCATGTGGCTGAATTTGGCGATACCTCTATCGAAGACGAGTTCACGACGATCACAACGATCCTCGAGGAAGCCAACACCCTACCTATCCTCCAAGAGCCTATTATCCGACTAGACACGCCTATCGAGAACCGAGAGACCTCAGACCCTCAAGATCAAGCTCCTGACGCACGTTTGAACGAGACTCCAACCGAGGTTCCAGAGCCTTTCCAATTGCCAAGCCCAGGTTGCACCCCTGAGCCAGAAATACATACAAAGGTGCAGAGCAGGGAAGGGTCTGGGGAAAGCCAGAAGAACAACCCTCGGTGCAGCCCTACAAACAAGACAAAGGGCCAGAGAGGGGTTCTTGGAAACACAACAGTAGAGGAACGAGATACAATAAACCAAGAGGAGGAATCGGTGGGAGGACCATCTAGGGTCCTGCCATCCGTTGAAGATCTTCCTCATGATGATATTCCCCAGGGCGTACGAGATGAAGATGTCCTGGTCGAGGAGGAACCCATCCCGAGGTCCCGTCGACCTCGTTCAAGCACTCCTCAGGTCCCCACGAGGGAACAGCCAAAACGAGCGGCCAAAGGCAAGAACCGCGTGGGCCTTCCAGACTCCTTGAAGGGCCTGGGTGTCCTCGCCATCAACGCTACCGTTCCTCACGATAGTCATGAACCAATCCTCGAGTCTATCTGCCTGTTGGCACTCAAGGTTCAGCATCTTATCGATACCAAGACCTCTGATATACCCAAGAACTACAAACAGGCGATACAATCGCCTGACTTTGATAAAGCTTGGAAGCCTGCGTGCGACGAGGGCATTGCCAAACTTGAGGAAAACCACACCTACGACTGGTCGGACCCTGATCCAGGTGCAAACATCCTCCCTGCTAAGTGGGTGTTCGACCTCAAGGACGATCCTGAGGACCCCTTGGGAGACAAGAAGGTTCCTCGTGCAAGGCCTGTTATATGTGGCAATTACGAGACGGAGAGCTGGGCTATGGAGGATATCTACTCAGCTGTCGCATCCTCAACAAGCATCAAGCTCTTCATGGCTTTTGTTGCTATCAAAGGCCTGGCCTGGAAGAAGTTCGACTTCGTCGTTGCCTTCCTGAACTCCCCTATCCCTGAGGGCAATAGGATCTTTGTTAGACCTCCTCCTGGCTACGGACGCCGTGATGGCAAGGTCTGGCTGATGGTCAAGGGGATGTACGGCATGCGACGATCCCCCCTGTGGTGGTTTGAGACTATCACACCCTTCCTCAAGGACCTTGGCTTCGAGCCTTTCGACAACGAGCTGTGTATCTTCAGGAACGAGAAGACTGGAGTCCTTTTGATCCTCTACGTCGATGACATGCTGATAGCTGGCCCCGTATCCTCGGACATCGACGAGGTCGCTGCCGCCATCAGCAAGCGATTTAACCTCAAGCATTTGGGAGACCCAGAGAAGTTCCTGGGCTTCAATATCAAGAGGGACGAGGAGAATGCGACCATCTTCCTCTCGCAGGAGGAATACACCAAAAAGATCGTAAAGCTGTACGGCTTCGAGTCCACCAAACTGGCAAAGACCCCTTGGCCTGCTGGCCTCGAACTTCCCAAGGACTGGGAGCCTATGGATGAGGAAACGAAGATGTATCAGAAGAGGACTGGTGCCCTCAACTGGCTGTCAACAGGCACGAGGCCTGACATCACATACACGGTCAACAAGGTGGCGAAGAGCAATGTAGGCCTCTCGGCCATGCATCTACGCCTCCAGAAGCACCTCTTCAGGTACCTTGAACGCTTCCCAGACCTGGGCATCGTTATCAACGGCAAGATGCCATTGAACAATATCATCAAGGCGTACGCGGACGCTTCCTTTGGTGACGACCTCTCAACGCGTCGATCAACAGCGGGATACGTTGTCTTCGTAGCTGGGGCGCCCGTGCTGTGGAAATCGAAGGTACAGAACCTCGTCACCCTATCCACCACAGAGGCCGAGTTCGTGAACCTCACCCCGGCCGGCCAGGCCTTGCTTTGGGTCTGGTCGTTCCTCAAGGAGTTTGGTATACACCCTGAGAAGCCACTGTTGTTGTTTACGGATAGCCTGAACGCCAAATACAACGTCTTAAACAGGAACAACGCCGCCAGGACTCGTCACATCGATATCCGGTACAAATGGATTGTTGAGAAGACAAAGGAGGGCAACTTCAGCATTCAGCACATCGGCACAGAGGAAATGGCCGCTGACGGCCTGACGAAGCCGTTGGAGGCCATCAAACACAGCCAGTTCGTCCAGGCCTTAGGCCTCAAACGGTGCTCTATCTATTAGGGTACAACGAATGGATTTGAAATGGGATCTGGCACACGAGATAGAGTGAGGAGGACCTAGAGGATGGAAAACACCATGAGGAGGATCGCCAACGAGGCTCGCGAGGTTGGCTGAGGGGGTGTGTGCGAGGCCAGGTGAGTCACTGGCCCCACTATCGCCAGCCTACCTCTATAGCCTCAGATAGCCAGCTGTTTTTCCTTTCTTTTCCTTCCTTTTCCTTCCCTAAGCGCAGTCCAATACAGTTCATTTCCCATAATTTCTCCAGATTAATTGTGCCCTTTATCTCGTACACAGCATCCTATCTCTAGCGACGAGGCATTAAACGTACATCTTCCAACAACGCCAACGCTTATCACCCTCAGCCCTATTGCCCTCGTTTGTGAGACCTGAATTGATCTCTGTCCTTTACATGCAGCGGAGATAACATCTTCTTCTCCCGATGCTTGACAAGCGGTACTTGCCCGAAGCCCCGAGCCCGAAGAGACCATGTGCGAGCGTTACCAAAAGCGCGGACCAGAGCCTCCTCGCGGAGCGAAATATGCGTGAACTGTGCCGTATACGGTTGCCGACGTGGCAGTGGAGTATTGCTCTAGCACATCGGAAGGGGGTCTTTGTGGTCATCAAAGGCATAATGGAGAAACAATCATCCAGGTGAATGCGCACTAGAAGTCCCTTTACACCATCTCCAGTGGCCCACCAGTTCCGGGTACCGGAATAGCTACTTTTCAATAGTAAAGCATTTGAATAATAATGTCCGGATCTCGGCTTCTTCGGAATGAAGATGCTTCGGCTGGACTCATAGTTGCGCTCATATATAATGTACGGTAAATCACTTTACAAATTGTCTCTGAGACGTGGTCATCTCCAAGTGTGCCGTGGACTAGATCCTCAACGACCCCTCAATTCCACTGTCCTTGAAGGTCAGCCATTCTCAGTACTGGTTCGAAATCTAGATTTCGTAGAAATCTAGGTCAAGACTCATTGTGACGGGGTGTTGCGGAAGCGGATGATTATCGGCCACTTATGATCCACACACATTCCCTCAGGGTGACTTGCCGACGCTCTTGGTGTTGTAAGCAAGAATTTGTCTTTTCACACTTCAAAGGCCAACATCTCCATCAGCTGAGATTGTAGCCAACTACTGGGAGTCTGAGGAGAAGATGAGCTGGGGACTGCTTGACTGTATGACTGCAAGTCACCCAATGGGAGGTATTCCAGGCATATCGAGATGGACGATTCGCTTTCATACCACCCATAAGACTTGAAGAAAACGCCTCGAGTACTATCGTAGCTCTGGTTATTACCGGCTTCTAGGCACTGCGCAGAGCAAAATTGCAACAAACGCCTCCTACCTTTCTCTGGGAGAATTTGGCAAACGTATTCAATTCGTGGCCACACTGGGCAATCGCCCTTGGGCTGGGGGCGCCCGAGGGCAGCTGTAGCACCTTGACAGCCCTTTGTGTGTCAGTCTTATTCTCCTGGCCCTCGATACAGGATTCGAGCCAGACAGTGAGAAAGCCCCCAGCGCCAATCCGCTTTCTCCTCTTCCATTTCTCTGTGCGCGTCACTGTGGGGGTGTCGGCGAAGAAGTAGCTGCAGCTAAATGGTGAAGATGATACCGTAGCAGTCGCGAGGTCTTTCAATCGCACACGCGCTATGTAATTGGACACAAGGTCATTATCCGGGGAAGGGCCAAGGGAGGAGGTTTCCCGAATAATCGTTGTTTTGCTGATGCTGCTGTTGATGGTATCAAAGAAGGTGCAAAGGTAGCCCTGGAAAATTCCCCTCCAAGGACAGTAAGCACCTGCTGTCACTTCGATCCCGTGGACTGCTCCTACCTGCTCACTTTATCACCACGACCCCCGGAATAATTTCCATTCTTAGACTGTGTTGCTGCAACCACGGCACAATGTCTGTTGAGTTGGCTCTCGCCATCATCGGCGCTGTCGACTTGGGTTTCAAGTAAGACTGAACATCCACACAAAATCCAGCTCTACACCCTCGCTGAGGCAAAGTCTGACATGATCATCAAACTCAAGATGGGGCGAACAGATCCGTGACTTATGTTCTGCGATGCCTCCGTCGCCGTGCGCAAAGAAGAGCTGCTCATCCTCGACCGCATCGAGTGTACCGAGCCGGTGGCGCGTACTATCACCAGGGATGTGCGCCGTCTGGCGCTGAGTTTGCGCGATACCGCCCAGGGGGGCAGATCTGTTTGGGTTGGCTGAAATGCAAGGGCGTCGTGAGGGAGGTGGACATGCCCAAGGAGGCACCGCCTACTATAACATTGATAATGGTATTCAAGGCGCCGAGCGGCTGTACGGCGCCCAGGAGCCTGCGCGCTCCGCTGCTTCTGAGAGAGGAGTATCTTGCCTCGCTGTCGGGCAGGGTGAGGCTGGCCAAGGATCTTGCTCATGCTGTGAGCTATGTGCACATCTTGGGTTTGTGCATAAGAACATCCGCCCCGAGACCGTTCTACTCCCGCGCAACAACAATGCAACCTATCCGTCTTCTGCGGTGCCAACCACACCAGTCCCTGTTCCTGGTTGGCTTTGAGAAGCTCCGCAGCGAGGACGGCATCACGTACCGTGCCGGCGATAAGGAATGGGCAAGGAGTTTATATCGTCATCCGACGGCAAGGGCCAAGCCCCTTGGATGTTTACGTGATGCAGCACGATATCTATAGTCTTGGAGCATGGCTTCTGGAAACTTGATTGTGGGAGTCGCTTGTCCAGTACGATGAGATGGAGAAGCAAGTCGCTGATGGTACTGCCCTCCTGAACGGCACTGATGCCGACGGCTTTGCTCTCTAGTCAGATGCACACGTGCCCCTTCTGGCCCTAGCAGAGAACAAACTCTCTAGACGCATGGGGTCCAAGTACACCGAGGTTGTCAAGACTTGTCTGACGTGTCTGGACGAAGACAACAAGGACTTCAGCAATGGAGCGGCTTTGCGGATGAGGATGCGATTGTCGTCGGCGTGAGATATGTGGAAAAGGTACGTGAAGTTGCTCCATAAAGAACCCACAGCACCGGGACAACCTTATCGCATTGGTTCCCTGTTCGTGTGCTAACTTGTGTCTGCAGGTCGTTATGCAGTTACACACCATCTCGATATGATACAACGGCCCTCATAGTGTCCGAACCTATTCGCGGATCACTCGATGCCAAATATATGTAATGCTATAATTTATGACACCTTTTTCTATGTTATCCTTGTCTGGGTTGATATAATTTCTTCGTCACCAAGAGTTTGACTAAATCTTATCCAGAAGAAACTTCATCCTTATGTGTTCGTGTCTAGCAGCATCCTCAGCCTCGATACGGAACAACGCCACTAATCATCTCGCACTATTGACCTACCACATACAATTACAAAGCGCCTTGCTCCGAACACATGCATTTCAGCGCTGCATGGCTCGGAACCCCGCCCAAACGGCCCGGAGCGCGGAGGTTCAAGTACGCAGACCGAAGAAGACCCCGGCACCTATGCCCCATACGGAATGCGACCCCGTTAAGAATGGCGACATCAGTCGCCTAAATTTTCGTTCTGACCAAGCATTTCATTACCATCTCGGCCTTTCCATAGCGGCCGCTTACAAAAGTTTACTTTATGCTGAATCATCACGGTGAATTCGCTGGACAACAGTGTTATATGTCTTGGATATCAGAACCTGCACATCTTGTGTTTTTGTCTTGATACATTGCTCAGCTGTTGTATGCAAATTTGATACAGACTCAGGGCCCACACAGCAGCAGTCTATCATGGAGGTCAAAAGAGATGATGAAGCCCTCTCAGTGGCTGTTGCGAGACAGGTCGGCCAAAGTCACCGCCAGGGCTTTGGAACACCATCAACCTACTCTAGCGGCGACAACGCTGGTCTAGATGACAACGTCTTTGTTAGCAACGCGAAAGCAACGCTGGACAGTCGCATCGTCCGCAAAATTGATTTGCGCCTCTGTACTATCGCGGGGTTACTTTGCGCCCTTGATCTGATCGACTCTGGTATCATGTCCTCGGCATCGGCGACGTCTATGCCGGCAGACCTTGGTCTGACCGGGGATCGCTACTCGACGGCTATCTGGATTGTGATCTTGGCCCAGGTGCTTTTCAAGTTGCCGGCTACTATCATTATGCGATTCGTCGGCCCTCCCATCTTCTTCACGGTTACTACCGTTTTGTTCGGACTCATAACATTGTGTATGGGATATGTGACGGACTGGAGACAGATGATCGCTCTGAGATTCCTCATGGGCTTGGCCATGTCTGGTATCTACCCTGGCCTGGCATACCTCATATCAGCCTGGTACGTTTATCTTCCAAACCGTTGATAGTAACGAAGTTGCCCACTAATAAAATTCTCAGGTATACCCGCAAGGAACAACAGCTACGATTCGCCTATCTACAGTCAGGACAGGTCATCGTAGTCGCAACCGGCAGCATTGTTAACTATGGCCTGGATCTGCTGGACATGTCGCACGGCCTGCGAGGATGGCAATGGATGTTCATCGTCCAAGGGGCCATCACCATGTTCCTCGGGCTGTTGACCTTCCTATGGATACCTGGCTTTCCGGAGAAGGCCACCGAGACTCTCTGGTTTCTGACAAAAGACGAAGCAGACCAGGTGCTCACTGCCATCGACGAAGACCGCCAAGACGCCGGACCACCTGAGCCATTCAACTGGGCGGCTATACTGAGGCCTTTTCAGGACATCAAGCTCTATGCATTCAGTGTCCTCTTCTTCCTCCAGAACGTCGTCTCTACCGCCCTCTCGTACTTCATCCCCACCATCCTCAAGGGAATGGGCTTCACCTCCGCCGACTCGATCTTGCTCTACGCCCCGCCCTACTACTACTCTGTCGTCCCCGTGATCATCACCTCCGTGATTGCAGACCGCTTTGCGATCCGCGGGCCGATGATCGTCTTCAACGCCCTGTGCCTCATCGCAGGCATGTCGATGCTCGGGTTTCCCAGCAACGTGGCGGTGCGCTATGTCGGCGTGATGTTGGCGACAGGCGCTTATGTTTCCAACTGGGCTGCGATGAACGCCTGGCAGATGAACAACGTGACGGGCCAGTGGAAGCGGGCCACTGTCGCTGCGGCCGTGAGCGGGTGCAATGCGCTGGGCGGGATCGCGGGGTCGTATATTTTCAAGTCTTCTGAAGCGCCCTGGTATCCGACGGCGATATGGATCAGTATTGGAAGCCATATACTGATCATCGCTGTCGTGGCGGCGTGTGGGTGGTTGTTCTGGAAGGCGAATAGACGGGCGCGGAATGGAAAGGAAGTCATTGAGGGTGTCGAAGGCTTCAATTACATATATTGAGATCTCAGCGTTTCATTCTTCGGTTGGTTAGTAGAATTTAGACATCTAGAATTTCCCTAAGATACCTTTTCGATAGATCTTTAGAGCGAGCTTCAAAAATCAGTATTTGATACTTTGCACGAAACCAGAATTGGATCTTCCTGTTGCAATTTGTCTACGTAGAAGCGCCGGCTCTTCCTGAGTCACAATGATGGGACCCTGGTGCTCATCACAGCACTCCGATAGGACAAGTTATTGTTGAGCACGTCCATCAAGTACTTGATAACAATAGTGAACCAAAAGACATGCTATGATAATGTTCAATTTCTTGTTCCAAAAAAGAAGGAAAAAGCAAATAAAATACAAGTTCAAACCTTTTATTTCACGGAGTACATTGGGAAAATTGACCGATGATAGGTATAATCAGCTAACAGTCCGAAGAAGAAAAGAAAAGACTATTTGGCATAGTATCTTCTTCATGCATGCCGAAGTCGGATCAAGATATTTTTTACATCTTCGTGACGAATGAGGACAATTGGAAGACTTCAAGTTCAATAGAGATAAAATAACACCCAGTGCAAGTCCTTCACATTTTATCATCGAGCTGCTGGGCTGCCATTTTGGGGCAGGTGTCTGTAGGAGAGCAGCTCGCTGGACAGCGGCTTTCCTTTTCCTCGGGGGGCGTACCAGTCCAGCCGCTCCAGGTGGATGTTGATGGTCTTGGCATCCCTAGACATCCATGTCCAGATCACCAAAGCTCACAGTCGAAACCTGTCGTGAATTTGCGCACGACAAAGCTGCTTCTCATGAAGCTGCTGCCAGAGTTGGGAAGACTGTATGACGTATACTTGGAAGTTCTTGAACAGATAATACGTGGAATCCTTTAGACTTTATAGGGGTATCTCAAAATCACACGGCCATTCTTATCAAAGTAAACGTTCAGGTCGTGATATCGTCCGTGACCTGCCACCTCATCGTTCCTGGGGAGGGGGCCTTCAACATGCCTCCTCAGTCTGGGCCCAAGCCCGCAGCAAACTTCTTCGCCACCCACGCGGCGCCATTTTCCTCATACTCCTGTTTCGTGACCGCAAGCCTCTCCACATGCTCGTGCCTTGCAAAATTGGCCGCACCACGCCACGTGGCACAGATGGAGTTGGCGGGTCTGGCGACTCTGACGGTGCACTCGTCTGGCACGCGGGCGACAATCTCCCGCTGAAGGCGCTGGATGAAGCCGTCGAACTGGGTATTCCCGCCGACCACGAGGATGTTGGCCAGGAGGCCCGGCCAGAGCCCCACCGGCAGGGCCTGCAGGACCTGGTAAACCAGGTCGGCGAGGCCAGGGGTTGGCATGCCGATGTCGGTGGGGTTGAAAAGGATCTCGGGAATGGCGAAGCGCTCGTTGCGGAGGGTCAGGATATCCTCGTTGGAGGCGGCTGCGGCGAGCTTGCGCTGCTTGGCGGTGGATGTGGCGTCGAAGTCGCGAACGATGCCGGAGGAGCGGGCGTGAAAGTCTGGAAGGACGTAGTCTTTTGCTATGCCCGCTCCTGTCAGGTATGGCTCCCTCCTCTCGCCGCGCGTGCCCTTCCAGGTCTTATCCAGGTCGCCCTTGAAGTCGAGCGACACGTAGCATGTCTTCTCCTTGATCTCGTTGACTATGTATGTGTCGTTCCGCATGTCGTAGTGTCGCAGGGAGAGAAGTCGCGTGAGGTAGTTGGTGAGCAGCTTGCCGCCGACCTCGAGCCTGCGGATGGCCGACTGCAGCGGTCGGCCCTGGAAAATGGGTGTGATGGTGGTGAAGGAGTAACCCGAGTCGATCAGGAGCATCAACTCGACAGGCAGCTGGGCAGAGGAGGTATCATGCCCAGGGGTGCGAAATGTGGTCTGAATATCCTCGTACGCGTTGAATGTGGGTGCTAAGCAGGCAGTCAGCAACATAGTCTCAAGGCCATGTCCTCCCTTCGTTTTGGGGTGTCAAAGGTGGTCCAGAAAGGCTCGTCCCTCACTACTTACCTATCCCCCTGTAGTAGCTCGCGAAGCCAAACTCCTCAAACACTATCTGGTCACAGTTCGCCTGCAGTGCCGGCAGGGCATTGGGCTGCTCTGTCAGAACCAGCCTCGAGTCGGCGGGGTCACAAGCCTGCGGCGCATCCTTGGCAAAGAACTCATGGTCCCAAATTTCCTTCTGCGCCTCCCAATTGACGATGTAGCCCTTCTCAACGGGCCGCCTGAAGGAGATCTCGCCAAAATCCTTGCACTTGTCTAGCCCTGAGGCGACGTAGGTCTTCCTAGCACGGTCTCGCGCGATGCAGTTGGGTATCACGCGGGGTTCGTCGACGGTGTCGTCTGTCACGAAGCCAGCCTTGATGGTATGTGCGCCGTTGTCGAGGACAAGGGTGCGGGAGGGCCGTGGCGGGGGCACGGGCTTGGAGCGCCTGGGTGCCATGTTGTGGGTGGGTAGGAGAGAGCTTTGCGTGGGTGGCCAGAGGATGCGATTGATGTGAAGGCTCAGGGCGCAGTCGAGATCGTCGCCAAGGTCGTCGCCATGGTGTTGGAGCAGTTGTTGGTCGCGGGAGAATTTTCAAAGGTGCTAGTCCTTCCCCACGGTACGTCACTACGGCACGATGGCACCCACTACTCAAAGCATGCTCCAGGGACTAGGGTGTCTTCTAGTAGCCTATAGCCCCTGTCGTTCAGGGTCGTTACCGCTACAGATCCTGGTTGGTAGTTACAGAGGATACCCCGCAATGACCTGTGCATCCCCAAAACACATTCCCATCTCATCTCCCCATTTTCGACCGCATTCAGCATCTTCATAGTACTGACCTAGCTATACTACCACAGTCTTTGGATGATATTCATCGAGATTGCTTTTGAATTTTCAACCTTTGGCTCCATAAAGGCTCTTCTCGAACGCGTTGGCCCCAAGAGGCAGCCACTGGGCCAAGGAAAACCTCCCGCCCAAATCCTAAAAGCACTGCAAGCATCACTCAATTGCTTCGCCTCCTATGTAACCTAGATCTAGGAAACAAGGCGCGCCGGCCCCCCTCGTCTCTAAAGTAGCCCATAAATTCAGAGATAGCAGCCAAGATCACCTAATTAACGCTGGATGACGCTGGTGAAGGCAAATCAAGCGGTCCCAGCGCAATCTCACATGGGATCTATCCCGGTGTCTCGATGAGCCCATCCATTCAGCTACGTTTGTTAGAACCTTTAGGACGGGGTTTCACGCATCGTCCGTTATGTATACATCGTCGTGCCATGACGCTTAGATCCCGCCAAATAGGGTCAGAATCTCTGAGCCGTTTCCGGAACGTTTCATAGTAGGATGAATGGCGGCACCCGACATAGATAGCAGCCTCTGCTTCGTCCCATTCTCCTCTCGAATGGCTTTTCTAGGTTTGCTCTGCTAAACATACAAGACCATACACTGGAAACGAAAAATAAACTATCACCACAAGACGCCTTACGACCGATACAGAAAGAAAGGACCAGTATGCCTCCAGCCGGCTGTGGATGTACAAACTGCACTTGCCAGAATTGCGGCACGAATTGCTCCTGCTGCGTACGTTTAAACTAGGCCTTGCCATGTCGTTCCTCTTTCCTATTTCTAGACCCGAGGAAAGCTAACTGATGATGTGGCCAACAGAAGGACAAGCACTAAAGCAAGGCTGAAGTACAAGCGATATCTCTGTACAGAATGACGATGTTGACGAGGGAGGATGCGTGTGTGTAAATGAGTGGGTGGGGTTGTGGTCTTTGCGGACTTTTCGTGAAATGAAAGTGCAAAATACTTTCGAGCTGAGGTAGTCATTCCTTCGCTCGAATGCAGATGAAAGCCATGATGGTTACAATATAGATTGTCATCAATCCCAAATTCTCTGACTACTACTTCTTGAGTTTCGTCTTTGTCTATATCTCTATCAACTACGGCCCTGGGTATCACCTTGATCTATTTCCAACTTCGATGCTAGTAGATTCCTTACATTAGCATACCCTTTATAGGGGCCCAGTTCTTCAACCATTCCCGCGCCTTGTCGAGATTCGGCCCTTCAGACTCAGCAGCAGCAACGCACCACTCTAGCTCCCAGAGGCCCTCAGAGGCGAGCACGTCCGCCACCATCCGCCGCTTCTGCCCTCCCTCGTCCACGCAAAAGAACATGGGTTTACTCTTATCGTCCACCTCCGCCACAAGTGGTTTCACCTCGGCCATCAGCCCTGCCGTGCCGCCCGTCACGGCCCTGGCCCCGAGACCGACATTCTTCCGTCCCGTCTTGCACCACTCGTTGGCACACCAGCTCTTCCCACATCCTGACATCAGCTGCGTGAGGTAGCGCCGCTCGATCCTCCGCCGCATAGCCATGCCCTCGGGGTCGTGCATGGAAGCGTACAGAGGCGAGAAGCAGATGGAGCAGAGACCGAGGTCGTTCCCGGGGCCCTGACCCATGCGCAGTCCTGCGCCTATCTGGCCTCGCGGCCCAACACCATACAGGGTTCGTCCGCAGAGCTTGTCGCGGCAGATCTGTGGTGCCTCGCGGTATTTCTTGTCGAGCTCGTGATTCGCCATGTGCGCTGGCATGTCCCGGAGCCTGATGATCTTGCCGCAGAGGTGGCAGTCTGTTGTACGGGTACCGTCCACCCGCTCGTGGGGCGTAAGACCTGTGATAGCTGTCTCGGCCTCCGACGCAGGGTCGGCAGGGTCGCCTTCCTGCGGCACTTCCAGGTGACAGAACTGGCAGAGGATGAGTTTTGATGGGCACACGGTTGTGCGATGCCGTGCCAGGAGAGGGAGAGAGGGAAATGTCTGCTCTGGCCCGCAGCTAGGACAAGCGTGTGGTGTGTGGAATATCGCGTCATGCTTGGCTTTGCTCACAGCACTGCTACCGAATCCATCACCAAAGTCGCAGTGCCAGTGATTCTGCCATTCCAAAGAGCGTTTCTGGAACACGTTCTTGCAGTGTGGGCATACCACATTATTGCGCAAACAAAAGTTCTCGTGCAGCATCATGGTGCGCTTTGGTATCCACTGGAGGCAGTTCTTGCACCGCTCTTCATCTGCTGGATGTTCCACCGCATCGTCTGGACTACCTGCTACATCATGATCCGAAGCAGCTCTCGCGCGTAATATAAAAGGCCGTGGTCGTGCCGTAGGCGGAGTACCCTCCGCTGGGGAGTACCCGTGGACCGATATCCACAGACCATCTGCACCGTCCAACTCCGCATTCCGCGCAGAGAGCACAATCTCCTTGCTCCCCTGCAACGGGGTGGACAGCTCGCCAAAGACATGTTCGGAGTCCCGGGGTGGAACACGAGAACGGGCAGAATGAGGACTGACAAAGAGATCGATCTCGTCACCGTCCTGGATACCGCTCAGTTCGATCACTAGGTCCCGGCTCTTGTCCCACGAGTCGAGCTCGTAGTCAACGTATTCTCCATCCAGCACCTGACCCTGCAATGGCTTCCATATATCGATTGGGCCACCGGCCGAGCTTCCATCGGCAGTTCCTGGCGCCCTCTGCGCCTTGGCCATGATCTGCCGCACTGTCTCGCGTGCCTGCTCCTCATTCAGGGCTTCGATGTCGACCTGTAAGTCTGTGTCCACGACACAGATACCATCGCCCTCGGGTTCGAACTTGTCTACCAGGAACTGGAAGGTCTCGCCCTTGACACCGCGAACCGACAGCACCGCATCCTTGGTCAAAGTGGTAAATGCGCCGCGCATGTGCCGTTCCAAGAGCGCCTTCCAGTCGTCTGGGTTGTACCCAGCCTCCAGCGGCCGTAGTCTGACATATGTTCCTTTCGGTAATGTCTTTGCCTCTACTCGTATTTGTGGCTGATCTGCAGACCCGTTGAATCCAGTCGACTCCAGGGTCTGCTGCTGCTCAGTATGGCCATCACCTGAGCGGACGACGCCCTCTTTGATGTCCAGAGCCTCGATGAGATACGGACTCAGTGCAACATCCCCCTCCTCGGCAGAAAATTCACGTATGCCTGCGTAGACCATGTTCCCATTGATAGGATTGACTAGTCGGAACATGAGAGGATTCGGCAGCTGGCCGACAAATCCGGCCAAGGAATCGGAGTATTCAGGTCTAGCAGAGCGTATATATGGGTTCGAAGGATCGTAGGCAGAACCAAGGTTGGTCGTCTGCTTGGCAGACTCCGAAAGGAGGTTCTCGAGGGCTGTCTGTGGCAGGCGGATCTTGTCGCCCTCGAGACCTCTGGCAGCCCGGTCGGAAGAAGGAACAACGCTGTAAGAGGCCGACCACCTCAGAGATATTGGTTGATCCGCCATGATATATGTTATGCGGAGGAATGAGGCGGGGCAAATGCCCAACTGTTGTTAATCGGTTGCGGTGGGCGTGTGGGTGGGCGATGAGGAGGTCGAGGAGGCAGCAGGTCTGCGCTGTACCCTGTAATATCAAAGCAGTGTCATGATAAATTCAACATGTTCAGAAACCTCTGGAGTGCTCATCCATTCATGAGTGGTGACCAGTTGTTTACAATCTCAGGTGTTGGTGGCAAGGCTTGAATTGCTCAGTCAGCTTTCGTCGATGGGATGGAAACTACCCTAATTCTGTGAAGTTCCATGTGAAGCAGTGGAACAGCGCAGCAGCGCAGGCGGCCAAGAGCAGTCGTCATCGCTCTTTTCTTGGCTCTTGCAGGCGCTGTGTCAGTGGCCGGCAGGCATTACGCGGGGAGATGGAACGCTACTCCCGCAGGCCCGTGGTCGGCTTGTAAGGCTTGGCGAGAGCCCTAAGTTTCAGCAGCCGTTGAAACCCTTCAGGCCTATCTATCCTCGCGTTTGTAAAACCGGGCCACCCGCCAATCCACTTGGCACTTCAGAAATCAGAAGAAAAAAACAAGCACATGCCTCACGCCGTGTTGCACTGCATCAACCCTTTTGTCATTTTAACCACTCACTTGCTGCATTACTATCGCTGATGGGCGATGATACGGTGTACGGCCCGCCAATCCCACATTTCTTCTGCCTTTTGCCGTGCTTCTTACTATTCTTGGCGAGAACACTTCACTCTGCATGGAGTCAAATTTGATCAATAATCCAAGCGCGGTCCAATAACATCGACAGCATTCACGTTCACCTGTTGGTCATGCGAGCTGTGGCTGGCCTCACACAAGGATTACTCCGCAGTATTAATCAATCCGAGAGGCCCGGGCCACCCCACGCCATGTCTATTGCAGAAGCAGTCTTCTCAGCAGATGCAACGCCAGAGGAGGCACAACATTATCAAAAAGGTGTCCGAGATCTGCGGTTGATGAGGCGGTCAAAAAACATCTCATGGTGCACTCTTTTGACAGAAGGAAACAGAGCCCTCACTGCTCAGAAGGTGATGGACAAGACTGACAAAAATAAATGGCACCAAGTCAAAGTGATACGACCAACAAGAGGCAAACTGTTGATCTAGGCGCGCAAGGCTACTGCTACTGTAAACTGTGTATGGAGTTTCGTGGGTCTCACCGAGGTGACATCCCGCCTGTGTCAATACCCTAGCGTCCGTGTCCTCAACTTTATCGAGCCTTTCTAGTGGAGGGGTTCGGAACGCGAGGGTCCTCCTAGAGCTCTGAATATGGCAACAAAACGACTACTATGATAGATACGACACAGCATATCCACCCCTGTCCATAACAGCGGCAGCCTACTTGATCACTGGTGGTCACACTGCACCTTCCCGTCCTTGGCTTTCCACTATAAAGTTCCAATGGCCCTCAGCCTCTTTCTTTCTTCCATGAGATATCCTTCAGGCTCCTCACCACTTCTCTGTTTTTCCCTTGCTTGAGCCAAAACTTACTAATCTGACGGAAACTTCTTGAACCCTGTTGAAAAAAACCCTCCGAAGCTGGGGCTTCCGAGGCTGGCGATCATGATCCTGAGCCTTGAGCAACATGGTGGCGACGGACATGTTCTGCCAGGCGAGGTGAGGATCGAGACAGCTGCTGTTCTCTCTATACTCTCAAACGCCCTCGTACTGTCCCACGTTGTTGACTACTTGCCCATCGCCGACACGCTGAATCTCGCGGCGACTTCCAAGACCCTCCAAGGCCTGGTGTGCCAGACACCACACGTGGTGCGCCGTCTCGACCTCGGCCCGATCAAGTCCCTCCACGTCGAGTCTCAAGAGCGTCAGCACGTCGACGTGAGAGAGATATCAGAGAGAAATGTTGACTTACAAGTTTACGAGGCCGTTCCGAAGCCCGAGTATGTCATGCGCAGGTCTGCCCTTTTCCTCTTCTCCAGCGATGCATGCTGATCCTACTTATATAGAAACAGCCCCTGTGCGCCGTTGAGGGATGCTTTCAATGCACTGCGCGGCCGTGACTTATTGCGCCATGTCTCCACGCTTGTTCTTGACGGCCTGCCCGTGACGGTGGGCCTGGTACACGACATCGTGTTTAACTCTTCTATTCCTATGCGCATCTTATCCTTGCGCCGGGTCAAAAATCTTGATGAGAAAAAGCTCTGCACGATGCTCCGGGCGCTGATTAGTTCTAGCAGACCTGCAAATACGCTACAGCTGCAGGGACTGTACATCTTGGGTGGGAAGAAAACAAAGCTATTGCCAGTCAACATGAGAACACATGAGAACACCGAGAGTGATGTCCTGTCCACTTGGCGACAGCCAGACCAGGAAGTCCCTGCGGCTCTGCGCCGCGGCACTGAAGTTGATACTGAGATTGATGATACTCACGCGTGGTACGCCAGGGAAGGAGTCACCACTCTATCACGCCCAATCGAAGGTGAATGGGCTTCGACCATGCTGGCCTGTGCAGGAGTCATCTCTTTTGACGCGGTCCTATGTCGAGGCCCAGCGCACCCCAACTCGCCTGCGTACGGGACGATCAACATGGCCGCCAACGTTCCCGCTTGGCCAACGCTCACACCTGAGCAGTCGCGGGAGCCTACCGTCGCAGTGCATTCTATGAGTGGCTGTGCAAACTGTGGCTCTGCACCCGAAGGCTGGACCGTCTGGGGCGACTTCGCTGGCGCTGGCGCTGATGACGAGACATGTCGTTTCCCCTTGCTCGCGCCGCTGCCAGTACATTCCTCCAGCATCAGAGCGGCTAAGTGTCCAGATGGTGCGCAGACAGCATCCTCACAGGAGGGCTTTGGGGGTGACACGCAGCCAAAACGCTTTATCGCCCGGTGCGCCCGGTGCGCCCAAAATCGATGCTGCCAGACCTGCGGCAGGTGGTGGTGCGAGAAGTGCTACACTCTGGCGCCTAAGAGTCCTGCCACAACTAAGAACCTCAATAAAAACGAGGTACGAGACGGTCCCTGTATCGTGTGCAACTCTGTTACACGGAAACCTGCTGACACAAGCCTTTTCCTTTCTCAGGTCCACCTAAATCGCGATTGTTGGGAATGTGGCATTCAGGTACGACCTCACTGTTAACAACTTCTTGCTCACGTTGGAGTCTGACGCTTCCCTGACAGTGCCATTCCTGCATCAGAGCGAGAGAGCGGACCTGCGCGGTCTGTAATCTTGGCTATTGTGGTCTTCACATTGCTGGAGATGTGCAGGGTAGGTGTGACTGTAAGTGGTCCGATGCCCTCCGTCCTCATCCCGTCCGCTAATTGTCTCCAGGGTGCTCTTCAAATAGTCGTCGGCGGACTAGCTTCGTGATGTATGGCTGGCGCCATGGATGACTGAACGACAAGCGGAATGACCCTAATGATTCGGAGTATGGTACCTACGAAGTGACGAATGGCGCTGGAAAATTTGATCGCAGATACGCACAACGCCCGTACCTTGCTCAAGGGTGAGAGATCAATCGGGCGGTAATCAACGTGAATCTTTGCTCTCTTATCTCACCTTGTCCCTTGGACAACACTGGGATTTACGGTCTTGAATGTCCCCTGAATGCAGCTCCTCATTTGTGCACGCTCATCACTGACTATATGTTCCTCATGGCTCTTCAGCCGACAGCTCGGGGGGGCCATCCTTGATCACCCGCCCATCAGCCATCACAAGAACTCGATCAAAACCCGCCACAGACTCAAGGCTATGCGTCACGGCCACCAGTGTGTAGCCCTTGAAGATGGTCTCGATCACCCTCATGATAGCCTTCTCCGTCTTCTTGTCTACGTTGGCTGTGATCTCATCGAGCAGTACTACGCCACCGAGGCTACCATTCTTGTTGCGGAGTCGTGCACGCAGGACAGCAACAGCCAGACTGAACAGCTGCCTCTGGCCCTGACTCAGCATCTCCCTGCCAATCTTTGCGTGAATTCCTCCAGCAGCCTCAACGGTTTCGAGCAGGCCGACATCTGCCAAAGCTGCCAGGCAGTCCTCCTCTGTACCTTGTGAGTACGGGTCCAGAGCATGTTTGAATGTCTCACCGGCCGCTAACGTCGAAACCATGTCCTGCGGTACGGCTATGATTCTCTGGCGGAGGGTGTCTCTGTGGATACGGCGGAGTGGCAGGCCGTCGATACTGATGTTGTTCTCTGTCTCAGGAGTCGGGTCGAGCAGGCGCAGCAGCAAGAGGATCAGCGAGGACTTTCCGCTGCCTGTCCTCCCCACAATTGCGACCTTCTCGCCAGCAGAGAACCTTAGCGACACCTCCCTCAGCGCCAGACTAACATCCTCCGCATCATCTCTGTAGCCTTTCGCCGCATACGAGGCATCCACTCGCTCAATCACGATCTGGCCTCTGGCCGGCCACGCTTGGTCGGGTCTCAGGTCCTCCCCAGCACGCTCCTCTTCCTCCTTCCCTGCCTTCTCGCCAAAGTCCTTCAACCGCTTCACGGCGCCCAGGCTCATTTCCAGCTGCACCCAGCACTGCACGACAGTGTTGAGCCAGTCGCCAAACGACATGAGCGCCACCAGCCCCGCGCCCACGAGCCCCCCGCTGCGCCCTTGTGTTGCCGCCAGCACTGTAAAGGCCACCGCGACAGCCGCGACCACCAGCTTCATCACAAGGCCGAGCCATATGCCCATAGCCTGCCGGAGGTACAACGGCCTCAGCGCGTCGTCTAGGCGCTGGCGGTTCTGCGCCGCACACGCCGCGACCCAGCCCATCGCGCGGATCGAAACAATACCACGCACAGCGTCCGCGAACTGGGCGTACAGGGGTGACTTGTTCTCGAGCTCCAGAAGGCGCAGTTGGCGCGAGGTGTGCAGGTAGAACCTGGTGACAGCACCAAGTGCAACGGCAGCGAAAGGATAGGCGAGCAGGATCGGCGGCGTACCGATGGTGATGACGACGGCCTGGCCGAGGAGCAGGCATGCGACTACGAAGGTGTTCATAACCAGGGTCGGAAGGGCGGTGTCTACGAGGTTCATGTCCTGTGAGAAGTAGTTCACAATCACTCCGGCGTCGGTGTTTGTGAGGTAACGTAGCGGGGCGTGCATCAGCGCGGTGACGGCGCGGCGGTGGAGCACAGAGCCTGAGGTCCTAACCATGCCGACGAGAGTGATGGCGACATATGCACATAGGCTTGTCAATGCCAGGCTGTTGATGGCGGCGTAGATGCCGAGATAGAAGGCGTTGATGCGGCTGAGCGGGCTGGGGATGGCGAAGGTGTTCTCGGCCCATGTCTTGAGCCATACTGCGCCTGCGTTTGCAAAGAAGCCGAACAACAGACCTGTGATGATGGCGGCGATGATCAGGGGCGTTCCGAAGGCCGAGAAGTAGTGGATGTAGATGTCTGCTCCGTTCAGCGCTCGAGAGGAGTCCTTGCCGCGATCGTCCTTGACCTCGTGGCTCTCAGCGGCGGGGGCCTTGTCCTCGTCCTCCTGTTTTTCTTCGTCCTCTCCTAATTTCATCGTCACCTGTCGGTCATGGAGCACCTCCTCGGGGCCACCTTGATGGAGTACCTTGCCATCTGTGCTCAGGGCGATCACACGCTGGGCCAGGGACAGATACCGGATGGAGTGCGTGGCCCAGACGATGGTAGCTCGTCTGCGTGTGAGGAAGCCGCCCGGCCGCAACAGGCGTCTCACGATCTCATCCGCAGTCTGCCTGTCTAGACCTACGGTGAAATCATCCAAGATATAGCTGTCCGTGTTCAAATAAAGAGCGCGCGCGAGGGCTACCCTTTGCTTCTGACCGCCGCTCAGAGTGGCGCCTCCGCTGCCGATCTCAGTCGCGTCTCCCTTTGGTAAGTTTCGAAAGTCAGCCTTGAGAAGGACAGCGTCTACTACTTGGTCGTATAGGAGGCCATCAAAGGCGTCGAACCCAATGATATTGGACCTGATGGTTCCGTTTACGAGGAAGGCTGTCTGGTCACAGTATCCAACCCGCCGGCGCTGCTGGTGGAACATGACGGTGCCTTGTGTAAACGTCGCTTCGCCTAGGAGCGTTTTGCACAAGGTCGACTTTCCAGACGCCACTGGCCCCGTGATGATGGTGATTTGGGATTTAGGAATGGTCAGGTTCAAGTCACGAAGCTGCCACTTATCCTGCATCCAGCCCACCCTCAGCTTGTCGAGCGTGATCGCAGCACCATCTGACCCGCCGTCAAGAACCGACGACGGCGACGACGTTCCCTCAAACAACCGGTAGTCTGTGCGCTGCTCTCTGTCCAGGAACTCCTGAATACGGTTCAGGCTTGTGAACGCAGTCATCATAAACGGTACCCTCTGGAACAGCTGGCTCAGGGGCGCAGTGATCAGCCGCAGATACGACAAGCTCGCAAAAATCTGCGCCATGTCCAGGCGCCGCCCAGCAGCCAGCACAAACGTAGCCACAGGGACCAGAAACTCCGGCGAAAAGGCGTTGACGATGGAAAATACCGTGATCATGCGGTAGGAGGTGCCAGCATCAATCTCCTGCTCCCTCGCGCCCTGCAGTGAAGTCGCCGCGGCCTCGGTCAAACCTGCGATCTTGAGGGGCTTCATGCTCGACACCACCGCGCTCGTCAGCGTCACCCTGCCCTCGGTGTGCGATGTCCACGTGGCGATCCTCCGCCCGGCGAGACTGCTGATCCAGGTCATCAGGAGCGCACAGATCACGACACCGCCGATGGGGGCCAGGAAGGCAGGGCCGAGCTGCTGCTGGAGCAGCCAAGCTGCAATGGTCACCTCGATCGTGTTGGCCCAGATCTCGTGGAACGACCGCAGGCCCTCGTCGATGCGCTCTATGTCTGTGCTCATGAGGGTCAAGACTGCCGCGTCCAGGTGGGCGGACTGGAGGCTGGTGGACTTTTGGAAGACGGCGGTTGCGAGCGCGCTGCGGATCTTGGTGAAGGCGCGGTTGTTGAGGTAGTTGAAGGATGTGACCGACAGAGCGATGCCGCCGTATATGCAGATGCTAGCCAGGATCAGGACGGGCTTGGTGGTGGTGTTGTCGTCGTCGGCGCCGGCGCCAAGGGCGACTGAAGAGGGACCGTTCTGCAGGTAGCGGACAAGTCTCTGGATGAAGAAGGGTTGACAAATGGAGAAGACGAGCAAAGCAGCACGGCTCGGCACAGGAACGAGGAGAGAATACCAGAAGGACCTGACTAGTTTGGTCAGCAGCCATCGCCGCGATGCAGAGCCCTTGTCGCCCTGCCATCTTTTGCTGAAGTTTCTAGACACATCAGCCGCCGAGAGCTGGGTGTGGAGAGGATACAGGTCCTCCGTATCGAGGATCTTTCGGTTGCCTAGGCGGATCAGAGGATTGAGCCACGATACCAGCGCCAGTGAGTAGAGGCCGCTTGTCTCTTCGGGGCTGATCTCTTGCGGCTCTTCCGTGTGCGAGTATTTCTTTGGCACAACCTCCAAACTCGCAATAACTATTGTGAAGACGAGGCTGATGGTGAATAAGAGGGTGTAAGCATCGCTACCAAACACCAGCCAGGCTGTTCGCGCCCGAATGATTCCTAGGCATAGCGACAGGGCGAGGTATGCGTTGAGCAAGAGTGACGTTCTCGGCTGCCTTGTGTGCTCATAATATGACAGAATACTCATGGGGCCAATAGTCAGGATGGACAGTGCGGCAGATGCGACCTTCCAGTGGTAGAAAGGACCGTGGAGCCTCAGACTTGTGAAAAGAATAACCACATGGACAATGCCCAGTGCAAAGATTATAGCCTGCGTTCTAATTAGATACAGGCTCGTCACTTTACTGCAGAGAAGGCAAAAAGAAAGGAAAGAAAGAAAAGAAGAAGGAAGAAGGAAAGGTTATCTTACTTGCTTGCTGGCGTTGAGGGCGGATCTCTTGACGGTATCCTCCGATTGCTTCTTTCTCATGGACATTATTCGAAAGAACGCAAAGACAACAGATAGAGACGACGGAACAATAGCTAGAATGCTCTCTTCAAATAACAATGTAAAGTCGAGTCCCCTTGAGCAATCATGAACCCATGGGCCGAAGCTCCAATCGTCGAAGCATGTCGCTGCGTCGGATTCGTTGTGCAGCGTGATGCCCAGAGCGGCAAGAGGGTGCTGGGATGACTTGACCAAGTTACCGTCTGGCAATGCCCAGTTATCCATGGTGAATTGATGCTGTAATTATCTTGTTGTGATTTTAGGCAATTGGCATCTGGGAAGAGCGTCCAAGTGGAAGGGGGGTATGATATCGTCCAGCCCATGATATACTAATTTACGGAGGAGACGCGTGTGTTTGTGGTGCCTATCATTGTTGTATCTAGTCAATTGCGTGAAGGATTGGTAAGATTGGCCTCTGATCTAGAGTAGATTGCACGATGATGTGAGCGTCAGAGTGAATTGCTATGCGCAACGTGGTGATTACCAGGCACCACGATGGCGCGTCTTGCCGGCGAGCTGGATTGGGCAGTCCAAAAGCGGTTCGTCGGCATAACTACTTACTACTCCTTACTGCCCGGGTTCAAGGTTCCGGTGGATTTCAGGGGGAGCTGCTTTGAATCAGTACGCCAGCAGAAAATACAGCTTGGCAATTATTAAACTTTACTATAAGCCTCGCTCGTCTCATGAAAGGTGTTGCCTTTGAGGAACATGCGGCTCCGCCAAGGCCAAATCCTTCGGGGGGAATACCGTAATTATTCTAAGCAGCTAAACAGCAGGCACTTACATTAGGACTGGTTGGCTAGTTTTGCTCTTTTTCTTGCCTCATCCCAGCTTTTCCTCTGAGATATTTCTCTCCTTGACTTGCCGATCCGATCAATCAATTTGAATTTACACTTGTAAAAGTTTGAGTACACTGGCCATAAGCTCAGTAAAAGCAATAGGTGGTTAACGAACTCATATGTTATTTGATGCATGGTTTTTTTCTTCTTTCATCCCTCCTTTTCTCCCTACTTCTTGTTGCAGCCTTGCCAAATCAAGGGATGTCGCAATAGACCAAAATGACAATGTAATAAGTAGTGGCCTTCCTTGAAAGTATCTTCAACTCATCCTCAATATGGAAACACAGTAGTTTATGAGAAGCCCATTTTCACCACACGAGCATCTGTAACTTCAGATTGACAGCCTCCTTGCATAGGACCTTCGTGGCCAGGCACCTGATTACCAGTGACTTCGTAACAAAGACCATCATGTCTCCAGCACCATTGTGGTCTCCTCATATTGAAGGTAAAGTTCGGTGTTATAAAAGCCATCAGCCGGGTCTACAATTTTCACACTAAATTGTGTCATAATTGTACATAGTGGGGACAAGTTCTTCTCGATCGAGAATCATGTTATCTGAGTACTTAGTTTACATTGAAAGATTCCGAAGTTTTGCCTGGCCCCCGTCTCCTCCTGCACTGTTTGAATTAAGGCTAAATCCTCCGACAGGGACTGCTCTTCCAGAAAGTCCTATAATCGGCCTTTACACCACCGAAAAATAAAGTCTCGTCTGGCTTACACGGGAAGATCTGCCGTTAGTCCCTGCGCATGTGCAACAGACCTATAGGTATTACTGCTTTGTAAATTTATATATTCCAGACTGGAAAGTGTCGACTGCTTCCAGAATTCTTCATACTCCTTTCCTTTTCTATCATGGATCTTCAAGACCAAACACTCATTCACGTCACGCAAAACCCCTGTTCATGATCACACACCACCGGTTCCGCCAGGATAATGCCCTCACCAGACGAACCTGCCACCCATCGTCTCCTTGGTCCGACCGAGAATGGAGACCGCTATGAGCTCACCAGCCCAACCGCCCTCCCCAAGGCCGGCGGCTTTCTTTGGAATAAGACGATGATGATCCACCTCACCTGCCGCGGCCACGCCACCGCGCAGTTCATGCAGCCCGAGCCGGCCAAGTACTCGCACGCGCCCAACATCGAGGCCAGGACATTCATGCAGCCGGAGCAGAACTATTATGCCCATCACCCAGGCCGCTTCGTGTACGTCAAGGACGAGGAGACGGGGTTGGTGTTTTCTGCGCCCCATGAGCCTGTGCGGGCCACGTCGGAGCGGTTTGTGTTTTCTGTGGGGAAGAGCGATGTCTCCTGGACGGTCGAGGGGCTGGAGGGGGTGAGGGTGGAGATGGTCTTGACACTGCCGACGCATGATGTGGTTGAATTGTGGACTGTGAGGGTTACAAATACTTCGTCGGCGTCATCGTCGTCGCCCTCTCGTAAGAGGAAGATCAGTGTCTACCCTTACTTCACGGTCGGGTATATGTCGTGGATGAACCAGGGCGCAGAGTATAGAGAGGACTTGGTTGGGATCGTTGCGAGCAGCGTGACGCCGTATCAAAAGGCAGAGGACTACCCCAAAAACAAGACCCTCAAGGACAAGACCTATTTTCTCTGCAGCGTCCCACCGACCTCGTGGGAAGCCCGGCAGGAGGCTTTCGAAGGAGAAGGCGGCCTCCATGCGCCATCGGCAATCACCGAAGCCTCAGAGTTGCAGAGAAGCGACGCACGGTACGAGACACCTGCAGCGGCTGTCCAGTACCGTCTCGACCTTGCGCCCGGTCAGATCCAGACATACCATTTCCTATTCGGCCCCGCCCTAGACGACGCCGAGATCCAGGCCGTGAGGAACAAGTACCTTTCCGAGGAGGGCTTCTCGGCAGCCTCCAGTGCGTTCCAGGCCTACATCCGCGAGGGCGCAGGCTGTCTCAGCATCCACACGCCGGACCCCCACCTCGACGACTTTGTCAACAACTGGCTCCCTCGACAGGTGTTTTACCACGGCGACGTGAACCGCCTGACGACGGACCCGCAGACGCGCAACTATCTCCAGGACAATATGGGCATGGCGTACATCAACCCGCCCGTAGCCCGCAGGGCCATCGTGACAGCCCTATCGCAGCAGGAGAAAACAGGCGCCATGCCGGACGGCATCCTGCTCCTCCCTGGCGCGGAGCTCAAATACATCAACCAGGTCCCGCATACGGACCACTGTGTCTGGCTGCCGGTCGCCCTCGAGGTGTACCTAAATGAGACGGCCGACTTCGACCTGCTTGGAGAGAGCATCACAGATGTACATGGCAACACCCTGACCGTGCTGGAGCGCATGTGCCGCGCCATGGACTGGCTGCTCTCGGACAATGCTCGAGACCACCGCGGCCTAAGTTACATTGCCCAGGGTGACTGGTGCGACCCGATGAACATGGTCGGGCTCAAGGGGAAAGGCGTGTCTGGCTGGCTGACTGTGGCAACGGGGTACGCTGTAAAGCTCTGGGCGGATCTCTGCTCACAAGTTGGCAGATCAGACCTGGCTGAGAGATACAGAGAAGGGGTCAAAGAGGTGAATCAGGCTGCCAACAAGTACCTCTGGGACGGAGAGTGGTTCGCACGTGGCATCACGGACGACGGCGTGTCATTTGGTGTCAAGGACGACGCAGAAGGGAGGATCTGGCTGAACCCACAGGCCTGGTCAATCCTGGGAGGTGCTGCTGCTGCGCATGAAACGCAGATCGACAAGATGCTGTCGCGCGTGGACGAGATGCTGGGAACGCCATACGGCGTGCTGATGTTCTGGCCTCCGTTCAGCGGGATGCGGGACGACATTGGACGGGTGACACAGAAGTTCCCCGGCCAGGGCGAGAATGGCGCCGTGTATAATCATGCTACGGCGTTTTATATCCACGCTCTGTACAGCATCGGCCAAGCGGATCGCGCGTATCAGCTGCTTAGGCAGATGCTGCCTGGGCCGGGCCAGGAGGACTATATGCGTAGGGGACAGCTCCCTGTGTATATTCCGAATTACTATCGAGGTGGTTGGAAAGAGATTCCAGACAGGGCTGGACGTTCCAGTCAGCTGTTCAATACCGGGACCGTGTCGTGGGTGTATAGGAGCTTCATCGAGGGTCTCTGCGGCCTTCGTGGTGATGCCAAAGGGTTACGTGTGGAGCCACAGCTGCCGACAGGTTGGGAAAGTATGAGGGCGGTACGGACGTTCCGTGAGGCTTACTTCCACGTGAACATCCGCCGCGGTAATGTGAAGACTGTCGAGGTTGTGTTGGATGGTGAAAGGTTGCCCGAAGCCTATATTAGCAACGTCCAAGCTGGAAAGGAGTACCAGGTGTTGGTCACAGTACCACACAAGTAGAGCGCCTGCTGTGGACAAGATGACGGGATCATGCCAGAAGCATTGACAATTTTATTTCTTCCTTTCTACCTCTTCTCTGTACCAAGATGCAAACAAAAGATTTAAGGTTCGGAAACATAGATGGGGCTTAGTCCCACTTGAGAATCGGTTTGATTACCTGGGCAATTTCGTCAGTCATGCTTCCGAGACAGATGGTATTGGTTGAGAGTTGTTTGTTTTTGTACCTTTCCCTCGTGCATATCCTGCAAGGCCTCTTTAAAATCTTTGATCGAGTAGACTTTGCAGATCTTATCTATTGGAAACCTGCCGTTCTGATGAAGCTTGATAAGTTCTGGAAGAAACTGTAATCAGAAGGAAGGATGTCAGCATGCAAAAGTAGCCGGGCTTTGTAAGAAATTGGTCTGTGTAGAAGGGATCTCAAACCTCAGTTGGCGTCGACTGCCCTTCTATGACGGACCGAAACGTCTTGTTATCCATAAAGAATGGGAGGGCATCAATAGTGAGTTTGCAACCAGGTGGAGGCACGCCCACAGAGACAGCCGTCCCACCGTAGCCAATGCAGTCCAGAACAGCCTGGAGAGCACGAGGGTTCCCGCTGCAGTCGATAGCCACATCTGGGCCACCGCCCGTAATCTCCTTGAGCCGCGAGACAAGACCGTCCCCCTCCTTGGCGGCGTTGACGGTATGGGTAGCGCCGAACTCGGTCGCCAGTGCCAGCTTGCTGTCGACGACATCCACAGCGACCAGCTGCCTCACTTCCAGGTGCGCAGCAGCCATCAGGGCTGCGAGGCCCACGCTCCCCAGGCCGAAGATGACCACGCACGCGCTCTTGCTTGGCTTCACGGCACTCAGGATGGTGCCAGCGCCAGTCTGGAAGGCACATCCTAGTGGTGCATAACAAGGCAACATGTCTGGCACGGGACACTTGACGACGCTGAAGCCTTCGACGACCGACAGGCGCGCAAAGGAGGAGTGGCCAAAGAATTGACCGCGGACCGCCGTACCGTCATCTCGGAGCCTAGCAGGCGTGCTCCCGTCTTGAAGCCTCACGGCCTTGAAGTTAAGGCTGGCGTGCAGTATGCAGAACGTGGGGCGTCCCTCAAGGCATGCCGTGCACTTCTGGCAGGTGGTCCAAGACAGGAGGACCTGGTCGCCCACCTGGAGGGACTTATCCTTGAAATCCGCCCCGATGGCCCTGACGATGCCCGCTCCTTCGTGGCCAAGGACAACAGGATACTCTGGGATGGGCAGCTGGCCACTCTGTACAACAAGATCCTAGTTTTCACTACAATCAGTTTTCTTCTCAGTGTGAGAGCAAGAGAGAGAGGGGGGTTGGTATACTGATACGCCAACTACTCACTGTGTGGCAAATCCCTGAATACTTCATCTCGACCAATACCTCATTTCCCCTGACCTCGTCCAGGATGATGGGCACAAGCTTGAAGTCATCTCCAGGAGCAGCCACAACCAAGGCCTCAGTCTCAATATTTGTAGGGGACATCTTTGTGTGATGTATGCAGTCTCTTTGGTGGTAATCTGCTGAGACGGAAAGAAGGTAACATTAAATACTCGAGTCTTGTTCTCTTGGCAATCTCCCAGACACCTTGGGCTTGGGGAAAGATGAGGAGGGGGAGGAAGGTAAGGCCTAGGCCGGGCCAGTGTGAAGTTCAAAGTGCCAAATATGTATGTTGGGATGGATATTGGCACATGACCTCGTAAGGATCCCTCCCCGCATATTGACTTGCGTACTTTACCCATTAAGGGTCCATATGCGGGGTCATAGATGAACTGTGATAGCCATCTTGGAATCTCAAAAGTTTGTTCCTGAGCCAAGGACTGGGAGCAGCACCAACAGGTCACGAGGACACACTGATATACCAGTACTTTTAGGTTCACTTAGTCGCTCGGTAAGGCATTCGGCTTTCCCCATCCACTGTCTTTTGACAAGGTAGTTTCGTGGGGTTGACTTGGGGCCGAAAATGGACCCTCTAGTGTGTGTCGAATGTTGTTCATAATGCTAGCCATCATAGGATGAAAAGAAGACAGAAAGCCTTGTTGTCAGGCTTGGGGATGAATAGGCTGTGGTGGTAGGAAAAGCTTAGGGAGAATGGATGAATCATCAGGGTTGCATAGTGTGTTCTCAGTACTGAATACAATCATGGCAGCCAACGGATCATGCTGACTAAATGCCTCGGAGTGTCACTGCTTCCCTTTACTGTGTAACCCCATTTTTTTCTCGACAAACCCGGAGCCAACACGGTTCTCACCCCTCCTTCCTAACAAATTAGCTTGGACTTTTTGTCTTTTCTTGCGACAAAGTGCAGCTTGAGTATTGACACATTTTCTCTTCCCTTCCACACATATGAATACCCCTACACATATATATCAGATTTAAACCTCTCCACGCGATTTTCTTATCTTGATCAAGAAACACACTTTGCAGTCCATCCATTCCATTATTCATTCAGTCTCTGACCCCTCTTCACAAGCAAAAGCAACGGCAACAGCAACCATGGATGACCAGTTCGGTGGACGCACTGATGATGACCTCTTCGCTGATGAGTTCGAGCCGGTCGAGGATCAATATGGAGGAGCACCACCACCAGCTGAACCAGCATCTGCTCCTGCTCCAGTTCCGGCAGCAGCAGCACCAGCTGCAGTCCCAGCTCCATCCACCACCACCACCACCACCTCCTCCTCCTCCCCTCAACCTCCTGCGCCCGAGATGCAACAGCCCCCAAACATCCAAACTGCCAATGCTCCTCCTCCTACCAGCTCAGTGACCTCTCCAAAGGGTGCCCCCAAGGGTCTCCTACAGTCCCGACATGCCACCCAGGCGCCACCTCCCTCCACACCTCGTGCTCCTCGGAACCACAAGCCCAATCACACACACAACAACAATGCCAACAACAATAACAGCAGCAGCAACAACAACAGTAACGATGTGGATTCGACCAGCACCCCCAAGCCATCGAGCCCCGCGTCTCATCCCGCCAAAGCAGACCACAATCCCAATAACAACACTGAGCGCCGCCGCCACGGATCCAAGCCAGGCTCCGACGCGCGCATGTCCTCGGGCTCCAACCCCAGGACCAAACCCACCGAAGACGAGCTTGCCGAGAAGATGAGGAAGATGACGGTCCTGAATGCCGAGCGTGCCGCCAAGTTCAAGCAGCAGGAGCAGGACAGGCAGTCTCACGAGATCGCCGTCGAGAAGGCTACCGAGGACGCCAAGAAGCGCCGCGCCGAGGAGGCCGAGCGCAGGAAGCGTGAAGCTGTGGATCGCAGGCAGATGGACGACGAGCGCGAGCGGAATCGGGAGCGCAAGCTCAAGGCCATGGAGGCCAAGGCTGGTGGCTCGTGGGACGAGGGCAAGGAGGAGCGAGCCGTCGAGGAGGAGAAGAGGAGGGGCGGATACAACTTCCGCGGCGCAAACGGAGGCGTCCGCAGCTCAGCGCCAAATCGGGGCGGTGGTCTGTCTGGCAGTAGATTTGCTGCGACTGATGATACAGACTTCATGACCAGCGGTCGGGGAGGACGTGGCAGGGAGAGGGGCGGAAGGGGGCGTGGTGGTCGTGGAGGAGGAGGAGGAGGGCGTGGAGGCTTCAGCGCCAGAGAGGACGACTTCGACGCGTCGCCACAGCAAGCTGGACCTCCTCCGGCCGGACGATCAAAGGAACCCGTCTTGAAGACTGAGGACTTCCCAGCACTGCCCGGCTCGTCGGCCCCGAAGGAAAAGAAGACTGAGAACACTATCAAGGCAGATCTCGCATCTCCGCTCTCCCCTCTGGGCAAGTGGGACGAGGAGATGGAATCTCAGGACGAAAAGAACGCCGCGGCTCAGTCCTAGATTGACCACAGGCAACGCGATTTCTCATGATAGCGGCGCTTAACATCATTTCAAAGGAACCAGCATGGTCATGCGAGGCTTGAAAAAGCGAGCAAAGAAGAAAGAGAGAGCGAAAGAAAGATAAGGATGAAGAAAGAAAGAAGGGGGGGGGAAATTAAGGGCGGAGGGCAATAATCACTTGGCAAAGTTAGGCGGTATGGTTGTTAGGCATCTGTGGGCTTGGATTCTTTTGTCTACTTTCACGATTGGATGAACCAGGATACCAGAGATACACACACATATATACGGCGTCATCATCGCATATCAGTAATTGTTGGTAGCGGTCTAGTAAGATTTGCGTATCTACCAACAGACACACTATATACCAAGAGTGAAACGTGGACAACGTTAATTGACTCAAATGGTGAGGATGTAAAATTCCATAGGCTGTGCCACTTACTCTACTTTCCAATCGTGACGCTAAGAAACCTAGCATTGTGTCACACAAGTAACTTCATGATTTATAGCAGCCTTTCGACGCGCCTTTCTGTGGTATCAATAAAAGATAGATGGGACGGTCGTGTCTACGCTTCCCCCAAAATCAGAACGCCTAGTACGCCTCAAATGCCCCATTGCCGACCCAATTTTCAACCGTCCTTGCGATATACCATCGCCTTTTGTTTTTGCAATCTCCTCTTGTCCTTGCGTCAAAGCTTGCTCAGGGCAGACAGGGCAGACGGCTGGCTATTTTCAGGTCATTCCAGCCTCTCGGCAAACTGCCATATCCCGCGTCTGACCGTCGGTGGACTCTTGTCTGTATCATGGTCCATGGTCGGGCAGGGTGGCAAATTAGGCGTCAGCCAGACTGCGACTTATTTTGACGCCATCGTGAGGTTTGAGGTGGGTGACGAGGTTTGCAGGTGTCGGGAAGAAGTGTTCAGTATGTGTGCAACCTCCAGAGCTCAAAAGGAGACCGATAGCAAGTGGTCGTACACCCCGAGCTCAACCAGAAACCACAGTCAAGTGACTGAGATCTACCAGCCGCCACGGAACCGGCCACGACCTCCTCTGTACCCTCCACCGCCACGGGGGCCCCTTGGTCCACGACCCCAATCACCGCCTCCAGGACCGGTAGGTACACCACCCATTTCCACATCGTCACCACCAGAACCACCACCACCCATAGGACCACCGCCGCCCATCATCGATCCTCTTGATCGGCCCCTCATTTCCTTGGGGAAGGACTCATAGGTCTTGCGCATCTGTGCATAGCCGAGGTGCATCTTCCCGTAGAAGTGATCCGCCAGCCTTCTGTCGTTATCAAGCCGCGACAGGTACGCGCCGCACACGTCGCAGACCTGCAGCTTCTGGTGGCCGCTGGGCCCGCTGGTGTCGCTCAGCGCCTTGAGCTCCTTCTCCCGCTCGACCTTCTGCTGCATGGCCTGGCGCACGCGGAAGAACTCGTCGTAGGCGCGGCCGACCTCGCCCAGCTCGCCCAGGACCTCGACCTCGAGCAGGCCGTTGCTGATGCTGGCCGCCAGGTCGCCGATGGCCTTGAGCAGCACGTTGGTCTGGCGGATCTCGTCGGGCGTCTTCTCCAGCCGGCGCTGGGCGACGTCGATGCGTCGGTTGCACTCCTCAATATACTTTTGCAGGTCGCGCATGTAGTCGTACTCGAAGCCGTGGCGCCGCCGCTCCGCCTCGGGGAGGGCCTCGTACTCGGCCTTGAGCGCCTCGGAGTGGATCTTGGCGCAGGGGCCCAGGTCCTGCTTGGTGTTGGTGAAGAGGTCGTGCGGGCACGTGCCTGCGATGTAGGACCGGCAGGCTTTTGGGTCGGTGAGGGAGATCTGAGAGGACCGCGCTGCTATACCACCGCCCATGAGCTGCTCTGGAGAAGGAGATCAATGTCAGTGTCCTGCTGCGCATGTAACTCTCAGAGGTTATTTTTTTGGGTGGGAAGGGGGGGGGGGCTACCAAGCAGTTTTCTTTGCTCTGCCGCCATCTTTTCAAGAGTCGCGCGCGCGCTCTTCCGACAGTCGCAACAAGCAAATGCCTTTTCTGAGATATACAACGAGACGAATGTCAAGGAGTCGTCTTGATAGAAAAGGACGAAAGCGTTATTTGAAGTGGCCTACAACGGGTTGGCAGTGGGTGGCGACCAGTAAGAGAACTTGTCGCGGTTGGTTCAGTGTTGCGACTCAATGTTAAACCTCGAGGCTTTCCTCTAGTGCATGCTCCTTACTTCAGCAGCCTTAACACCTACCGTACCGCCTAACCCACACAAGGTTGAGGCTCAAACTTAGCGCACCCACACCCCTGTCCCCCTGTGCTGTTCACTAAACATAGTTCCCCTGTAACCCCTGCTCCTGCGTCCCTTGTCTTCCCCAGGTTTGTGGTGGTGGTGGTTTAAGCTCCACGTTACACTCCAGAGATCCAAGCAATATCTAACAATCATCATCCTCACAGCGACGCGGCTCCCAAGCGCAGATGGACGGTCCATAGCCCACGATGCGGCATCAATTGACCCTCCTGCTTTCTGTGCTCTGTTCCCTTGTGATACCCATATCCTCCGCGTCCGACTACCATGAACAGCTGGTCCTGAAGCCGCTGCCCCTGTCCGCCCTGCTCGCCAGCTTCAACTTCCGGTCCAACACCACTGTTTCCGAGTTCGAGGCGCATAACTTTCGGTTCTTCCCGCGGTCTCTTGGACAGATCTTGGAATATTCAGGCACGAAGGAACTGCATCTGCGGTTCAGTCTCGGAAGATGGGACGCTGAGAGCTGGGGCGTGCGGCCATGGGGCGGTACGAGGGAAGGGGGCACTGGGGTCGAGCTGTGGGCGTGGCTGGAAGCAGATACTGAAGAGGAGTATGTCCCAGCTCGCCTTCTCATGAGATAGGTGAAGACGTATTGGGCTGACATTTCACTGTTCAAAACAGGGCCGATCGCAAGTGGCTGACACTCACGAACGCGCTGTCTGGCCTCTTCTGCGCCTCCTTGAATTTTATAGACGGAACGCGAACGACACGGCCAGTCATGTCCTTCCAGCCTGAGGGCGACCACGCAGATGTGACAACCCCGAACCTACATCTACTACATGGAACACTGCCGAGAGAGGTGGTCTGCACCGAGAACCTGACTCCTTTCCTCAAGCTGTTGCCGTGCAAGGGAAAGGCCGGCATCGCAAGTCTGCTTGACGGACATAAGCTGTTTGACTCATCATGGCAGAGCATGGCTATCGATGTCAAGCCAGTGTGCCCCGAGGAAGGCGATTGTGTGCTAGAGATTGAGCAGTCCATTGATATGGTGCTTGACATTGAACGTTCGAGACGGCCAAGGGGTATGTGCAGTAACCTAGTGTTTGTTGGACACTTGAAAAGTCCAGTTTGCTGACACTCAACATAGACAACCCGATCCCCCGCCCGCCTCCAGGTCATGAACTGAAATGCAACACGTCCAAATCATATCACTCCGACGACACGTGCTTTCCCGTAGAGTATAGCGTAGGTCAAGAGTGGTCTATATCCAACATCTTTGGGAAGAGTATTCAGGGGAGCTGTCCCCTGGCTGATGCAGAGGTGCCGCCGGTCTGTCTTGAGCTCCCAGACAGCCGCCCTGTGTGGGTGTCGGAAGGTGTTCAAGAGATCAGAGTTGGCGATGGTCGGTCACGGTGCTACAAGGGCAGTCCTGAGACCATGATCGAGCTATATCTCCCACAGGTGGAGGGGGAAGGAGAGGCAGCCCGCACTGGCGCAGATCAGTTCCTGCAGCCTGATGTTCCGCCGCTGTATGCCGAGCGTAGCTTGACAGGCCACGGCCAAGAGCGCGGCGGTGTCCAGACCATCCTCACGAACCCTAGCGACACAGAGAGCGTCGAGTTCGTCTACATGGAGTCGCTGCCCTGGTTCATGCGCATTTACCTGCACACTCTCGAGGCCCGTGTGACCGACACACCCAGTGGCAAGCACGAGAACGTCATTCAGGATATCTACTACCGCCCCGCCCTAGACCGGACGCGAGGCACGCAGCTTGAGGTCAAGCTCCGCATCCCGCCCAAGTCCACCGTCTTCCTCACCTACGACTTCGAGAAGTCCATCCTGCGGTACACCGAGTATCCGCCAGATGCCAATAGGGGCTTCGACGTCCCTGGCGCAGTCATCACGATCCTCAGCGGCGCGTCGACGACGTCCAACCTTCGCACTACGGCGCTGCTCCTCAACCTGCCCACTCCGGACTTCAGCATGCCGTACAACGTCATCATATTTACGTCCACGGCCATTGCGCTGGCGTTTGGTGGCATGTTCAACTTGCTAGTCAGGCGCTTCGTGGCTGCTGATGAGGGCCCAGAGATGACCCTTACCAGGCTAAGAAATAGACTCAAGGAGAGGTTTGCAAAAGGCAAAGGGAAACAAGTAATTAGGAAGGGTGGTTCTCTTTAATTATGGAGACACAGGGCGGGTGCAATGGAGTTATTTCTCATCTGGACCTTGATATTCAAATTCGCGTGGTCTCATCCCATCCAGCCATATGTTCATCTCTCCAATGCTCAAGATCGACTTTGCTATAAACTCTATTCGATGTTTGCGGTCTCAGTATGCATTCCTGCAACAATCAAAAGCCGCTTCTCACCTGCGCAACCGTCTTCTCGCACCTCAAGTAGTGCCTATATCATGGCACTGCTCATTTGAAATACTCCTTACAAGGTTGAATCACTTTGGTGAAAATGCTCGCTGCACATCATTCTAAAAGACCAACACAGCTTTTGCGGCACCAAAATTGAATGTGACTGTTGAGACTATATATCCAGACTATATCAGGTACCATCTACTCCATCTATTGCGTGTCGATATAATTCCTGCGCCATCTTTATAGAGGGTATTTCTACTATCCTCCAAACCAGATCCGCTATGCAGATCACAAGCGCCGTCACCGTGGTAGATGCCACGAACAGAGCCGGGACTGCAGCGGTCGAGGTGGTCTGCTCGCCATTCAAGAGCCAGCCGGTAAGATACCATCCCCACGACTGCAGCACAGGCTCATGGATCAGATACAGAGCCAGCGAGATGTGGCCCAGATACTGGACAGGGTCAGCGCGGAGCAGGCTCCTGACCAGCCTCAGTCTTCCCAAGGACCAGACCAGCAGTACCGCGCCGATGCTGTGCCACAATTCTTTGGAGATGCCCGTCGCAGCGAGGAGCTGGAACCCGGGTATGTCTTGTGCCTCATCATAGGAGGGAAAGGAGAGGAGCCAAAGACTCCCCAGCCACGCCACATACACCGGCAAAGAGCGCGGCCGGTCAACATCACAGGCTGCCGCGTGCGCCAGCAACCCATCCACACCCTCGCCCCTCTTCCCATCCCCATCATCCTCAAAGTCATGCAGCCTCCCGGCCTCCTGATGAAGCGCAAGCATGTGCCCGGCCAGGAACAGCACAATGTCTCCCCTCTCCCACACGGCGCAGTACACAATGACGCCGACGACCAGCGCGGCGCGCTTGAGGGCCGACTCCATGCGCAGGGTGACAGCCATGATAGCCGCCAGCACCAGCGAGCACCGGAACTCGTACGCGACCACCCACAGGTGCTGCCCGTACAGGCTCACGGGCTTCATCCACATGGGCCGCCAGTCGAAGGGGCTGAGGACCTCGCGCGAGACGAAGCCGACCCAGTGGCGGAGGGCAGTCCACAGGCCGCCTGGGTGGTCGGGCGGGAGGAGGGGCTGCGCAAAGGCAGGGAACACGGCGCTGGGGTCGAGGGCGCGGTCTGGGCCGTACCAGTGCAGACAGACGAGGGCGAGGGTGGCGAGGGAGGTGAGGACGGTGGGGAGGAGGAGGTGGAGGGTGCGCTTGACTAAGGTGGCGGTGAAGTAGCGGAGGAGGTCGTCGTGGGCCCGCCTGCGCGCGAGGCGGACGGCCGGCGCGGTGAGGAGGTAGCCGGAGGTGACGAAGAGGATGGAGATCATGGCTGGTCCGCTGTGGAAGAGACGGAGGAGGGGGAGGGAGAGGGGTGGGTAGGAAAGGACTTGGTTCCTGGCCACGGCTTCGCTGCCCTCACCGTCATCGTCGCTGTCGATGGGCCTGATGATGGAGGCGGAGGGTGCGAAGGGGTGCAGAGGAAGGCAGAAGGCGGATGTATAGATCAGAAAGATAGCCAGTCCTCGCAGGCCATGCAGATAGGCTAAAGGGTCCCGAGAGTCATCGTGATGTTGCGCGGCAGCTGCTACAGCAGCAGTGCCTGGCGACGAGCGGGCTCGGTAGAAACTGGGCGTGAGTACGTGGATGAGGTTGAAGATGAGCGAGTGTGCAGTGCGCATGGTAAAGGATGTGGTGAATCAGCGTCGCATTACTATCGTTCACCGAGGGCTTGAAGTCCCTCATAATGTTGCAAATGGCATCTCAAAAAAAGTTAATGAAAAGAGAAAATGGAACAATTAATATGAGGATGATGGTGATGGTGATGATGATGATGATAATAATAATACTCTAGGAAATAAGCTTATTCTGTCATCCGAATCCATCAAAAAGGACACAAGGTTCCTTGACGGCTGATGCAACAGCAGCAATCCAAGTAAATGGTAAGTACTCTAAGTACATCTCCATAAAGAGGGTGACGGGAGAGGGGGTAGAAGAGAAGTGATAGCCAGTGTCCTTTCTTACCTTCTTATCTTGGTTTGCTCCTCGCTTGCGGATAATTTAAGTAGGTAAGCCTTACCTGCTTATGGATAAGTTGCCCATGAGTGAGTGGCCTCTTCCGAAGGATACAGATAGTGCTGACTTGCAACAAGCGAGACGTGCTAATTTTACTGTGCAAAGGCGGGAATGTGGCGCGCTAGACAAGCAACTTGGGTAGCATCGTCGTCGCTTGTCTGCTCCCATCCGAGCCACTTGGCCGAGAGGCTAGAGTGCATCTGTAAGGCGGATGGGGGGGGGGAGGAGAATGGGAAACCCCTGCCGACCCTTTGCAGCACGGCAAGTCTAGATCCAAGCCGGGCAGTATAGTACATTGATCAGTTGCTCGATTTGGGGGCCTCTTGTCTGCGTCTCGGGTCATGTTTCTTGGTTGGATAATTATCGTCGAATTCATCATAGTCTCAACCTTGTGTAAGCAGAATACTCCAGTTGGACAGTTAAGACACAAGTATGCCGGCCAATGGTGGGCGTGGATTTAACGCATTGTTTCTACAGGAATTTTTGGTTTGACAATATCTATGCCTACGGATTGGTTAGAATTTGATGCTTCTCTTCCGTCAATTATACGAGCACTAAGAGGATGGCCACTCCCAGTGCAAGCTGCAAATGATGTAGTCTATATAGACAGATAGACAGGACTCGCACAACAATTCACCGTATTGGAATGTTTATAAGTACAAAAGTAGTATCTATTATTCATTGTAAGTTTTCGCTTCGAAAGAATAATAGCCATGAATAAAGTAAAGACAAAGACCTGATAAGTACCCCGGCCGGTGGGTCTTAATTGACTTAATTACAAGAGTCGGTCGTGTTGTAGGATTGAGCAAAGGACAATTCGTCTCAAGATCCCTTTCAAAAACAAAAAAAAATAAAATATTTCTCTCCTATGGTAGTGCATACCTTAACTAGAAATTATCTTAATTTCCACCTGATAGACTCTCAGGTGTGATCTCGAATCCCTGTCATAGAGCGCAATGCATAAGATAGTTAAACAACGAGGAGTATTCACGTTGGCTCCTTTCCCTTACCTCCAAGGATATAGAATCATATGAGCCCGTCGAGGTCCAGACAGTCTTAAAAGCCCAAACAATGCAAGTGGTCATTTACAATAAGAGAGCGTGAGTCTGATTGGATAGGAACAAACAATTCGCTTCGCTTGTGGAGTCAATGCGTTGAACCAAACGACGGCCTGAGCGCGTAGCTAATTACTTAATTCTTACTACAAGACTTAACTAAGTTATTTCTGAGGGCACGTCCTTCAAGTCTATAGTGACTTTGTAAGAGGGACATATGCACCGTGGACCGAACTACCACGAGTCCCTCCCCCCCCCCCCCCCGAAAACAAAGTCAAATCAAAATCTGATTACCAAACCATTCACCAGGATACAATCAACGGATATTCGGCTCTGCAGAGTTCCCAGTCGATAGATTAAAATCGATACATAGCATGAAACTTTGGGAATTGATAACAAAACATGTGGAGAATTTTCAATTGATCAACAACTCCTATTTGCTGGCGTACCTCCGAATGCTACCATCAAATTTCGCTTATCCATGGAAAGAAAAACAGCCCAATGTGTGTAAATATATATGTCGAACTTGCTATTTCAATTGCTCTTTACAATGAAGTAGACTCTTGATACTTATACGGTCCTCAATTGTAAGTGCCTGTGAACCCAGCCCGCGTGTATCTCTCGTCATGCACACACTCTCTTGCACTTATGTTTTGGTGGCGTTGGGGGCCAGTAGACTTGTCTATGCTGCGCCACCCAACCTGCAGAAGCGCAATGCTCACGAGACAAGGTCAGCGTGTCGTACGACCGAGGTAATCGTGCTCGGCGCTGGTGTTGCTGGTATCACAGCAGCCCAGGCTCTGTCCAATGCCTCCATCTCGGACTTCATCATCGTGGATCGGAACGACTACATCGGCGGACGAATGTACCACACGACCTTTGGTGACAAGGGAGACGGCACACCCTATGTCGTCGAGCTCGGGGCCAACTGGATCCAGGGCCTGGGCGCTGAGGACCCCGGCGCCCCCGAGAATCCGGTCTGGACCTTCTCCAAGAAGTGGAACGTGACCAATACTTACTCGGACTACGACTCGATCCTGACGTACGACGAAACGGGCGCAAACGATTATACGCATGTCCTGGACGAGTACGACGACGCTTCAGATGTCGCCGTAGCGGACGCCGGTTACCTGTTGACGGAGAACCTGCAGGACCCCTCTGCTCGCACTGGCTTCAGCCTGGTGGGATGGAAGCCGAAGCAGGATATGAAGAAGGTGGCCGTGGAGTGGTGGAACTGGGACTGGGACGCCGGCTACTCGCTCGACCAGAGCAGCTTTGTGTTTGGCGTCACAGGCGACAACCTGACTTTTAACCAATTCGGCGACAACGACAACTTTGTGTACGACCAGCAGGGGTTCAACAAGTGGCTCGTGGGCGAGGCCTCGACCTTCTTGAACCTCCAGGCCAACGACTCCCGCCTGCTCCTGCACACGAATGTGTCCAGCATCGAGTACTCCGACGAGGGCGTGACGGCCTACTTCTCCAGCGGCGAGTGTGTCTCGGCCTCGTATGCAGTCTGCACATTCTCCCTTGGCGTCTTGCAGAACGATGTCGTCGAGTTTGAGCCGCAGCTGCCACGGTGGAAGCAAGAGGCCATCGAGCAGTTCCAGATGGGCACGTACACCAAGGTCTTTTACCAGTTCAACGAGACGTTCTGGCCCGAGGACACGCAGTATTTCCTGTACGCCGACCCGACACGAAGAGGGTACTACCCCATGTGGCAGTCTCTGTCGACACCTGGCTTCCTGCCCGGGAGCAATATCATCTTCGGGACCGTTGTCGACGAGGAGTCCCACAGGATCGAGAAGCAGAGCGACGAGCAGACCAAGGCGGAAGGGCTCGAGGTCCTGCGCGCCATGTTCCCCGACGCTGACATTCCGGAGCCCATCGCCTTCATGTATCCGCGCTGGACGACCGAGTCGTGGACGCACGGGAGCTACAGCAACTGGCCCATCGGCATGACGCTCGAGAAGCACCAGAACCTGAGGGCGAATGTCGGGGCCTTGTGGTTTGCTGGCGAGCACACGTCAGCTGAGTACTACGGGTTTCTGCACGGGTCTTGGTTCGAGGGCCGAGAAGCTGGTGAGCGCATCGCGGCGCTGGTCAAGGGCAACGGCACGTCGATGGCGTCGTATGAAGTCTTGCATGGAACGACGCCGCTGTCTGAATACGATGCTGTGAATGGGTGGCCTGTGAGTAGTTTTGTGGATTATGATGAGTAGAGCAAGGGGGGATGACTTACCTTATGTCTTCATTCGTTGAAATGAAGACTGCTAAGATTATAAAGCGCGATGGGACTCGATGTATATAGGTATAGATATAGTAAAGGGGTTCTGGGGCAACGGCTCTTCCCCTCCAACTAGACACCCACCGAGGAAAATCGAAAGACCTTCCTAATAAGTAATGATTATAATCAAGTTGGAACGATAACCAGATCTTGAGATTTCATTTCTCTCTTCCCCTCTCTACCCGTCGTTCTGTTCCTCCCACACCTTTGTATATACCTAAAGTAACCACCATTCTTACGAATCGCATTCAACGATAAATGAAGGGTGACGTAGAAATGTCTCGCATTCGCATCCATTTCGAGGCATCATCGGCTATTTTATATATTAAACAGGGGAACTTGGCCCCTTATGTGTGGGTGGGTGGCTTTATACAATGGAGGAATGGATAATGTACAAATGAATAAGTACCTTCGCTCCCTTCATACAATAAGGGCTGGCGACAACTCTTTAAGATGTGTACGGGGTGATCCATTGACGGAAAAACTCATGTGGATCTTTGCTACGCGCGAAGTGGCGGTCGCTACGTCTGGGATACTGCAGTTTTGTTTATGCAAGGCGCCGGTGCCATCCGAGGTTTCTATGTGCAAGCGAGAAAACAACCGCCCGTTTTAATAAAACATGAAACTTTTAAGGAATCGGCCGTCCATCAGGCGTGGTAATGAGGCTCTTGATGCCTGCAGGATGTTTTGCTCTAGACTCAATCGGGTTTTTGAAGGTCCCTTGGCTTGGACTATCCAATCTAGACGCTGAAGCCCGAGAAAATGTGGATCGCTGCCCCTCCTCGAAGGGGGCCAACCCCGAGATGTTTTTGTTCCTGGGTGAGGCTATCGTCACTAACCAACATGCACACCCTTGAACATGTTCGTTTCAAATCCACCTTCGCTCCACCTCTTGGCCCTGCAGTGCCATCCGAAATTTGAATGTTCGGCACGCGCGCCGAGGATGGATGGCCATCGAAGATTGTTCTCAGGGGACGACTGTCCCTACAAAAGTCATCGCCAAGCTCGTCAAAAAGATCAGGAGAGGACTCTCTTCTTCTTCTTCTCTTCTTCTTTAACCTTCACAGGCACTTTCGTTCTCTACCATTGCTTTCTAGGCATTTGTGTCGCTTGCGCCACGTCCTTCTCTTCGCATCAACTGTGTTGATACGTCGTTCATTCTTTTTTGCCCTGGTGGACCGACACTTTTGTCACTCTTTTACACACAGATCTTCTCATCCTTGAACAGTAACATCTGAACAACTTTAACTCAGATTTACCTCCTCTTTCTCTCTCTACCAAGGAAACAGTCTTGTCATCATCAACATCATGCATTCTTCTACCAGCTTCCTGGCCGCCGCGGCCTTCCTCCCTGCGGCCTTTGCCCACTACAACTTCGAGGCCCTGATCGTCAATGGTAACATTACGAGCCCGTACGAGTATGTTCGTCAGACGAACAACTCAAACAGCCCCATCACCGATATCACTTCCACCAACATGATTTGCAACTCTGGTGGTCTGTGTAAGTAACAAGTCTCGGCTGTTCTGTGATTGGGTGGGCCAGGCATGACTAGCTTGAACTTTCTCGTTACTAACAAGGTAAATAAAAAGTGGCTTCGACGATGGCTCAGACCTCGACTTACACGGTGGCCCCTGGTGACAACGTTGGCTTCACTGTCGATGTGTCCATCTCTCACCCTGGCCCTCTGTCCGTGTGGATGAGCAAGGCTCCTTCTGGCACCACTGCCGACCAGTACGACGGCTCTGGCGACTGGTTCAAGGTGAGTTCTCCCTACTCTTGCCCGGTTCTCTCCCTAGGGCTACAATGAATCGCAATACAGTATCTCTAACATTGGCATGTGCGCGTGCTCCAGATCTATGAGCTCACGACCTATGAGATCACCTCTGCCGGTCTCCAGTGGGCCACCTACATCCCCGGCACCAGCGGTATCCAGAACTTCACTGTTGACCTGCCCACGGAGCTCGCGGCTGGCGACTACCTCCTCCGCGCCGAGCACATTGCCCTGCACGCCGCCGAGGAGTTTGAGGGTGCCCAGTACTACATTGGCTGCGCGCAGCTGACCGTCACCGGCTCTGGTTCCGGCACCCCCAGCCCTCTGACCACGATCCCGGGTCAGTACACTGGCTACGAGCCTGGTATCGAGATTGACATCTACTACCCCATCCCCACCAACTACACCGCCCCTGGTATCTCGACCTGGCCCGAGGCTTGCGTTTCCCACTGGCCCAACCTGGTTGACCAGACCTACTATGGAATGTGCTTTAACAGTGAGTTTTTTTCTTTACCTTCTCTCTCTCTCCCTCTCTCTTTCATTTGAAGACCTGTCTCGTTACACAAACACTGCCCCAATAACCACCCCATGCTAACATATTGTTCTTTTCTTTTTCAAGGCACTTCCGCTGAGAACGTGACCGTCTCGTCTGATGGCTCTGGATCTGTGGCTTCTTCCTCGTCCGACACCACCACTACTGCTGCTGCCGCTTCCAGCGCTGCTGCTACCACTGCCGCCGCCGCCGCCGCCGCTTCTTCTTCTTCGTCCAGCGCTGCTGCTGTTGTTGCCTCCTCGTCCTCCGCCGCTGCTGCCGTCACCAGCTCTTCTTCGGCTGCTGTGGCCACCAGCTCCAGCGCCGCTGCTACCTCGACTGCCGCCGCCGTGGCTGCCGAGAGCTCTGCCACCTCTGCTGCTGCCCCGGCCGCGACGTCCTCTTCGGCCAAGACCTGCTCCAAGAGGAAGAAGAGAAGCAGCCAGAACAAGGCTTAGATTGCTTGATTGCTCCAGCAAAGAGGGGCCTTGGGTTGGGAATTGGGTTGATGTGGTAGTTGTTTGGATGTTGCTACTTTGTTGAATGTCTGTGGAGAGAAAGGTTTGGTTACTTTAGACTTTTGATGTACATAGTTGGAAGTTGTTGTTGTCAAAATGATCATGATCTGTCAAGAGAGGTTTCCTGTGTAGCATTTGCCGTGCCTGCCTATTGATTCTTTGTAAAGTAAGTGAGAAAAGAGATGTGCTGCTCAAGAAGTTAAAGCAGTCTATGCTGCGACTATGGACAACGAGATTGTCTCGACTTATCGTAAGTACCATTTCAATTCGCCTGCCAACGCAACCTCATCACAACACTCATTTCACAAGATCTCAGGTTTGGCTCTTCACTCAATCATACACTGTCTTCTACCAACATGAATCTCCATCATGTTACATCTGGCACCCAACAACCATAACCCCATCGCAGCCATAATTCATTTGATTCCATACATTATATACACACTCATTCCCCTCCTCTCAAAAGAACGCCGGCTGTGCTGTCGCAACCATAGGCGACTGTCCATCCACCTTCTTCTGCCCCAACTCATAATGATGGTTACCCACCAACACCTCCTTCGCGTCCACCGGCCGTCGCGCCGTCAACACGCCCCCAGCAGACAACGCCTCATCCACATACTGCGTAGCCCAGTCCATATCCCCCTCATCACTGTCCCCATGCCCATACGGTGAGAGCGCCACGGGAGCCACGGCCCCAGGCACCGGCGTCAGGAACGCCGAGAGCTTCTCCGCATAGGTCGGGCACTGGCAGGGCTCAGCGCCGCAGTCGTCACACTGCAGGGCGAGCCCAGAGTCGCGCTGGCCTGCTGGCGTGGCGGAGGAGGAGGAGGAGGAGGAGGAGGAGGAGGAGCAGGGGGAGACGGAGTTGGGGTTGAGCTTGACGCCCTGGACCCAGTCGCGGAAGGGGAGGCGGGGGCTCTCGACGCTGAGGGAGCTGGAGCGGGTGACGGAGCGGGTGCGGAGGTGCTGGTTGTGCTGCTGCTGCTGCTGCTGCTGCTGCTGCTGCTGCTGCTGCGAGGAGGACGAGGAAGAGAAGGAGGAGGAGCGGGAGTAGACGGAAGAAGAAGTAGGGCTGATGCTGGTGGTCCTCCTTGACAAGGTTGGGCGGTGCTGTGACCCACGAGGCCTCGTTGTGGATTGGTGAGAAGAAGGGTGGTAGGGGTACGATGACCGCTGGCTGGTGGTGTTGTTGGTGGCCATGTTGGGTTGGTTTCCTATGCTGACCGAGAAGCGAGACAGTCTGAACTTGCTCCTGTCCTGGGGAGGTCGTCTGTCTCCTCCCACAGCGACACTGTTGCGGCATCTCCGATTGACCTTGGCCCTGTGCTGCTCAAAGACGAGCTGGATCTGGCCGGCGAGGACACTGTAGACAAGGGAATCTCCGGCCTGGTCGGGGAGGACTCGCCTCAGGCACTCGCACAGATCATCTTTGAGCTCAGCTGCACTGTCGTCGAATTCCTCCTCTGCCTCGAAGATCTCCACGACGGGTAGGATTTCTGGTACATGATTGCGGTTAGCTTATCATTACTGCACGAACTGAAAGCCAGAAAGGCATGGAAAAAAAAAAGGGGGGGGGGGGGGAAGAACGAGAGAAATGAATCAAAGAAGAATAACGAACCTGGATCAAGAACAGCAGCATCCTGTGGGAAAAGAAGACGCCACATCTCTACCCAGGTGTGAATTCTGCTGCCCGAAAGAGCCCTGTCCATATCGTCGGTGATCCCAACCTCGGCGAAGTTGTCTGGTCCCATCGGCCGTGGTTCACACATGTCCTCGAGAGGCACCATGAGGTGGTCGCTCAGCCCATTCTGGCTAGGAAAGGCCTGCTGGCAGCGTGGACACCGATATGTTGCCCTCTGGTTACGGTGTTCAGTTCTCAGGTGGCGCCTAGGTTTTCATGTTAGTCCCTATCAAATACACCACTTATTTGTATACCATCTTCATGGTTGGAAGCGAGAGCACATACCTGAGTTCCGCGATATCGGGAAACGAGCGTCGAGCACAGCTCTCGTGATCACGAACATTAAAGACAACAGGATTCCTCCTCCTGAATGGACATGGGTAGCCTTGTGCGGTGTTGAAATTGCCACCACCACCACCACCACCACCAACTTTGGTCTTCCTCTCAGAACGGTTCTCGACTGGTCCTCGGCTCCTGCTCCTGCGCTCATCGACTTCATCCTGCCTGTCGTACAGGAAAGGGTCGTCCTCATCCTCCATCGTCGTCGGGCCGCCGCTGCTCTCCGGGATACTGGGAATGATCGACCGAAACCTCGGTCCAGAGCTTCTAGACGAGGCTCTTGAAGATGACGACGACGACGAGGTCGTTGTTGCCTTGGACGTTGACCTCGAGTGATTAATCCACGATCGCGGGTTGCTGGGCAGACCCCAGCGTGGTGGTGGTGGCTGTTGCTGGTCGCCCATGGTTGTGTTATTAGTATTATTATCATTATCATTATCATTATTATTCGACGACAACATGTCCTGGATACGTCGTGGAGGAGCAGCAGCAGCAGCAGCAGCAGAAGAAGTATCTGAAATTCTTTCAGCTGCCGTCTCGTCTGTCCGCCTGTTCCCGTACCGCTCGTGCAGGACCGAGGAGGCAATCTGCTTGGTCAAGGCCGCACTGGGATTGGCGTCGACGCTTTTGCTGGATACATGCTCTATCAAGGCCTTTTGGCTTCTCTTCCTGCCTGGCGGTGGAGACATGAGGCTAATCATGGCGTCAGTGAATGTAAATAATAAATTAAAAATAGAGAAAGAGAAAGTAATCAAGAACGATAGAGAAAGTGATGCAAAGGATAAGGGATAAGGACAGGGGTTTCATGTGGCTTACTCGACAGTTTTGTTTCGAATATGACCCAAGTTGAAAGGGGCAATGGAAGGTTTGCTGTTGGACTCCTGACCAGGCAATTGGTGGTCTCTGAGAGGCAGATCAAAGCTCTGGCGCCGCGGGCTCGGCGAATACACAAACCTAGACCGGTTCGACCTTGCGTTGCCGACAATGATCCCAGAATCATCCAGGTCTTTTGGTGGTGGTGCAGGTGGTGGTGGCCCCTGGGAATTTTTGGTGGGGACCTGGGGACGACGGCGGCTATGCGGTAGTATATGAACAGAGTCCGAACTTGGGTCGTAGAGGGCTGTGTCGAAACCGGCAGAGCGTGATGAGGAGATGTTTGTTGTTGTTGTTGTTGTTGTTTCTGTGTCTGGGACGCCGAGTGGATAGGAAGACAGAGTCGCGGCGGATAAAGACATGAGCTCTGAATTATTCAGCGGGACGACGACGGACATTTGCTGCTTGAGCTTGTTTGGTCTCCTCCTGCCGCTGGGCTGCGACCCACCGCCTGGGCGCGTCGCTGCCATCGGTGTTGCACCATCACCTGTGCCTGGCGCTGGTGGTGGTGGTCTTGCATAGGGTGATGGGTGATGATTGTATGGCTGGCTGGGTGGGGGATCCATCATTTCCCAGCGGTTCGTAGCCGCCCAATACAACGACGGGAACGTGCAGTAGTAGTGGTGGTAATAAGAATAATAATAGTCGCAAAATGATAAGGCTAATTAGGGTTTCTGGGGTACAGAAGTAGTATGCAGTGAAATGAATGCAGTAGATGATGGTTGGTTTTACACTGTAAGTATAACTCTGCCTGCTTAGAGCCTATGCAAGAAGACAAAAAGAGAAGACAAGAACTAAAAAAAGAAGGGAAGCAAAAGAGACCACCAGTTCAGAAAAGAAAAGAGATGGGAGTGGGAGTAGACAAGGGTAGTGAAAACAAACTCAAGAAACATTCTCTTAATGATCGTCATCATAGAAAACCAAACATCTTCCACAGCCTTTCAAAAACAGAATATAAGCCTCCTCTGGTGGCCAAGAAACAAAACAATTGCCCCTCCCCTGGGCCCTGACCTTGTCATCATCATCAATCACTGGGGGGGAAGGGGGGCGCGGTACAGCTGGCGTTTAAAAAAAAAAAAAAAAAAAAAAGCACAAAAGTAAAACCAGCCGTCCAATAGGACTGCGCCGAGACGCCCTCCCAGATCGGCCCAGGTCGACCGAGGGCGGGTCCCACGGGGTCTCACGAGATTGGGCCCTGCGTCTGGCCGTGTCATTGGCCTCCCGGGCAGGTTGCCTCTAAGCAAATCAGAGTCCTGCAGCTTGCCTTTCAGCTGCCAGGTCAATGCCCACACTGGGACCGACTTTCAAGGCTTGAGGCGAGTTTCTTTGATTTCAGTGGCTGGCAGACGTCATGGTCCTGATATTATCGTATTGCCCCGTGACAGTGGAAATTTTATTCTACGAGGTTCGTGCAGGCTACTGCATATGGCGTGAGAGGGGAGATCCGGTTTGTGGCTAAAGTTTAAAGGAGAAGATGGATGGATTGTAATTACCCTCGGTCAGCAGAAGGTCTCGTGGACGTGCACGATCTTGAGACTGGGCACAACCTGTCTTTCTACGATAAAAGAAGGAAGAAAGAAGAAGATGAATGAATGAAAGAAAAGAAGAGAGAAAAAGGGTGCTGGTGGTTTTGCTGCTGGCTGGGTCGTATAAGCATACCAAAAGGTTGCGACATACTGTAAGCAATAATTGAGTTGGTGCTGAGACGGGCCGCGGTCTCCTGGCCTGGCCCATCCCACCACGCTGAAACTTGAAATAGCCTGGTGTACTGTATTCAAAAGAGCAAGATGATGGGTTTTCTCGAGTCTTAAGGGTCCTATGGAATTCATGGATATAATCCTGAGCAACGCCACGGCCTCAACCTTTGTACAGCCAGCCTTCCTTTCCCTTTCCTCCTTTCCCGCCCTCTTTCCAGGACTACGGTCATAATCATCACCTTCTACACCACGAATTTAAGAGGGAAAACACTACATTTCAATGATTTGTCTTCTCTTTCTTTTTCTTCAAATTAGACATAGGTAATAAAATCCAAGTTCTTCATTCCGCAGAATCGTCTCCCAACCACTTGTCCTCTCCCCAAGGCCCAACACCTGGCCCCTTGTAAATCTTGCCCCCCTTCCATACCCACTTGATTTTGGCCTTGTCCTGCAGGATCCTCACATCTTCGACCGGGTTCGCCGTGAGCCCCAGCACATCAGCCTCGTAGCCAGCCTTGAGCTGACCAGTCCTGGGCGCCTGCTCACCGACCGTCAGCGCGCCGTTGACCGTCGCGGCCTTGATGGCCTCGAGATTGCTCAGCCCGGCCTTGACGGCATATTCGAGCTCGATGGCGACGTTGAACCCAGGCGGCGTGTCTGTGCCCATGGCGATGGTGCACCCGGTCTTGACGGCCAGCTGGTACGCCTCCAGGTGGTGCGACGCCGACAGCTTGGCCTTTTCCCAGCTCGCAGGGTCCAGGCCCTCGCCGCCCGTCGAGAGCAGGTACTCGATGATGTAGCGAGTCGGCACACAGATGGCGCCCTTGGCCTTGATCAGATCAAAGCACTCCTGGTCCGCAAACGAGAGGTGCTCCACGGTGCGCACCCCGGCCTCGACCGCAGCCACGATGCCGGCCTTGGCGTGCGCATGCGCCGCCACAGACCTGCCCTGCCTCGCCGCCTCCTCCACAATCACCGCCAGCTCCTCCTTGCTGAACTGCGCCCGCTGCACGTCGTCGTCGCGCGACATGACCCCTCCCGAGGCGCAGACCTTGATGCACCGCGCCCCCCTCCGCAGCTGCAGCCGCACCGCCCTGCGACACTCGTCCACCCCGTCCACGATGCAGCAGACGCCCGTGCCGAACCGGTGCCCGCCCGTGCCGGCCTGGGCGCTGACTCCTAGGTTCTGGTACACCACGCTGGCCGGCATGTTGAACATGTCGCCGTGCCCTGCCGTCTGCGAGAGAACCGCTCCGCTGGAGTAGATGTTGGGCCCCACAATCTCGCCCTCGCGGATCGCCTTGGCCACCTCGCAGCCCATGCCTCCCACGTCGCGCAGGCTCGTGTACCCGCGCTGGATGGCCTCCCAGCACCCGCGGGCCAGGCGGGCGCCGGCTGCGGTGGGGTGGTTGGTGATGAAGCCCGTGTAATTGAATCCGTCCTCGCCCGTCATGCTGTCGCCTGAGCAGTGAACGTGGACGTCCCAGAGGCCTGGCATGAGGTAGGGAACCTGGTAGGCGCGGTGGGGGGTGGAGCTGTACTTGGCTGGGAGGTCGGGCTGCGGACCTGTCCAGGCGATGAGATTGTTCTCTATGACGAGGGCCGCGTTGCTGAGGGGCTCGCCGTCGCCCGGGATGAGGAGGTCTGTCTTGATGATGATGTAGGTCTTTTTCTTGGTGGCCTTCATCCCGTCGGCGCCGTTGGGTCTCCTGATGGTCATGCCGTAGGCCGTCGAATAGAGCTGTCTGGGAAATCTCTCGGTCTGTGATCGGACGGGCAGATCCATCGAGGGCGGCGACCTGTTGTCACCTTGGGCAGTCTCGCCCTCCAATCCAGCCTCAAGCTGTGCGGCAGTCCGTCTTGTCATCTTGGAGTTGTCTAATCATCCGCAGCTGGAATGGATTGATGATGATTGATGATGATTGATGTCTTCTCTAGATGGCACGATAGTACTTTGGCTTGCCAACTCAATGTGTTGCACATGAATGAAGAAGACAATGTTACGGGTTTGAGGCCACGATAAGAAAAGGTGCGTATGGATCAATTAGCCGGAGGATCTCAACCCCATGTCAACGCACCCTTGCACACGGCAATAGACTCGATAAGTCATGACTGTGTTGATACTAGCACCACTCTTCTGATTTCCTATCACATACAATAGGCGACGTGGTCTAAAGCACAGCCGGAGAAGATCTACCATCAAGGTAGGCAAGTGTAGTTCTGAGTGCCTGTCTATTCTAGGAAGGTGAGCAAGTCCTAGACTGCCAATTGTGGTCAGGGAGTTACATTCATTGATCACATGCTTTCGCATAATAACAATCACTTTGGTAATTGATCAATATGCCTATGAGAGTTGCTGGCCGCAAGTTCATGCTCCATGCCCACAACAGAAACCTCGCAGCGTCCGTGTCTCAGTCCTTCGTGTTCAAAGCCCCAGAGAGACGCTGGTTTGTGGCTCTGACTGAGGACTTTTCCATCGCTCATCCGGCAATAGATGCTCTCCACTCAGACTGGCTGCTGCAAGTCGAATCATGTTGAGACCAGTGACCAGTATTACTACTCTTGTTCATGTTGCGACTTTTCAGTTGAGCCTAGGGAAGAGAACCAATCAGTAAGCCAGTGATTACGGTAGCATGACAACGTGACTGTCCACAAGTGGCCTCAGAAGACCATCACACCTTGTCACATGCTGGCAAACATCCAAGCAAACAAAACTTATGCAGGTGTGGAGTGCTTATGGGTGACTCCGACATGGTGACGAAAAAGCACAGAGAGAAGTAATATAAATACAAATACCATAATCGATACCATGCAGCACAATGCGCCCGTTGTTGCATAGCAAGAGCAAAATTACTGAATGGATCTGTGGCAAATAAGAAACAAGCACACCTTCTCTACCACCTGAGCAACAGGAAAGAACGCAAAACGAAGGCAGAATTGATCGACCTGACCTGACGTTCAGGGGCGAAAAATACATAATTATCGTCAAAGACCCCATGATTATCAGTGATAATACCTCCCATCCACCATGCTCTCCGCCATCGTGTTCTGCCCCTGCCTCAACGACCCGCGCTGGACCAGCCACGAGGTGAGTTGCACGGCAGCCAGTCACAACTGTATCACGTGTAACTACTGCAGGGCCGACATCAACTACTGGGGACGACTGAATAGGGTGCTGGAGACAACAGAGTCTCAGACAACAGGTTCCCAGACAACAGGTTCCCAGGCAACGAGTTCTCTGGTAACAGCGTTTCGGATACCAGAGTCTCGGGCATCATGGTCTGAGACAGCAGAGTCTCAGGCAACAGAATCTCGGGTGGCAGAGACTCAGGCGGCAGAGTCCCAGGTGGCAGCGTCTCAGGTAGCTGGTTCTCAGGCAGTAGAGTCTGAAGCAACAAAGTCTCAGGCAACGACAACCGAACCGCAAGAACAGGCACGGGACAAGAGCAGCCAGAATTCTCCTGAGGAAGAAGACGGAGCACAAAAGGGAGGAACATCCCCAAAGGAGGGTGAGGATAGCCGAGAAGAAGAAGAAGAAGAAGAAGAAGAAGAAGAAGCAGGTCCAGCCCAGGGTGCCTGATACATGTGCAAGGGGTTCACGGTGGTTGGTAATGAGTGAATATCCGGTCCGCAGTTTGGTCACGCATAATTTGCTCCTGGGCTGTGAGTTAAGCGGAAGAGTAAAAAATGGAATGACTTTGCCTTCCCGCATTGTTCCTAGGCTCTATCCAGATTGACGTTCTGTGTAGTCCGAGATCACAACTTTCGCGATACGGTTTCCAACCATTCCTCCACGTCAAATGGAACACTCTTGCTCTTTTCTGAACGATGGTTTCCCCAAGGCAACTTTGCATCGACCGCCCTCTCTGCATGTCTGGAACGCTGCCGGTCCGGCCCAGAACCGTGACGACTTGCTTGTTCCTCTTGACGATCCTCCTTTTCCATACCTCTTCCCGAATCCTCTGCCCCGTCTGAAGTCGGAAGTGTAGTGAGCCACGGAGCCTGTGTCCAAACAGTATCTTCAGGACCGCCGGGCAAAGCTTGGGATCCGCTGGACAGGCTGACGCGCCGCGTGACCACGCGGTACGCGTCGCTTAGGTACTCCTTCCTCGACTCAGTGTCAAATTGCTCCAGGCCAGCGCCGGTAGACTGGTCCGAGACGCGGTGACGGAGGTGCAAGCTCGTCACCAGGGGCGCGCCAGGGCGGCCGCCCGGGACCACGATGTTGCCGGACTTTGCCGCGCGGTGCGTCGCGATGGCGGCGACGTGGTTGAAGAACTCGACGTACATGACGCCGGGCAGCGCGGCCCTCACGTCCAGCACGCGGCTGTGCGGGATGTGATGCTTCCCGTCGGCCGCTCTGGCGATCATGCCGAGCACGGCTCCCTTGGTAATGTCCTTGGGTAGGGAGTGGAAGCAGACGATGCGGGGCCGGGTGTCTTGTGCGGGCCCGCCTTCTGATCCCTTGGCTGTGACATACTTTTTGATCAAAGGCTTGGTCTCCTCCTGTGGTGGGGTTTTGATCGCCTCCGACTTGACTGTTCGGAACAGCTTCTTCTTGGTTCCCGTATGTTTGATAAAGCCGTCCATCCTGACCTTATGCAATGGATTATGGTCTAGCTGCGTGGCTGCTGGCAGGCTCTGCACTGGATCATCAAACTGTTCCTTTCTATCCACCTTGTCGATGGCATCTAGATCACCATCATCATCCACGAGGGGCTCTCGGTCTTGTGACGCCGTTGCCTGTAATTGCGTACAATGCGGCAGGAGCCATTTCTGGGCAGCCTTGGAGGAGCTGAGCTTGGCTGTGCCGCTGTCCGCTTCCTGTTGTTGACGGACCTGCGACTCGAGCGCTTGGTCGATGAATTGGTCTGCTGACCAGGAGCTTGTGCTTGATTTCCGGGTTGCCAGAGCCGCCGGCCTCAGTTCTGAGAAGGTCGTCGATGGCCACCAGCGCATGACAACGGCCGCGCCTCGTGCCGCCCGCGCCACGGAACTCATGGCCTCTTGGTGTGACTCAGCAACATGTGCAGCGCAAGTGAGGACCTGGGAATCGGTGTTGGGAATGAAGGAAGCGCTATTTTGTGGTGACAAGGAAGCGTGCGCGCGTGAGTGCATGCGAGGTTTGTTGATGAGTGACGATCCTGCCACGGCAAAACTCAACCCTCAACCAGCCCACTAGCCTGTCTCGGGTCGTCCCGAGACCCTAACCCGCACTGTGCTCTTCTGAGGGATGTGGGCAGGGAAGGAGCGACTCACACGCTATGCATGAATCTCATCTACAAGTCCCTGAGATAGTCACCAACATATACCCTCTTTCATTTACCAATTCTTCCTCAACACCGCTAATGGCACGAGAACGCTCAAAAAGGCTGTTCGTTCCAGCTCACAAAATTACGTCTTGAGATGCAATGGCTCATAGTGACGCGTAAGTGTCTGCTCCAAGGCGAGGCGCAAAAGCGCATCGACGCTTCCGGTTTGCTTAAGTGACAAGTGAACATCGAGGGTAAGGGCTGGCAGCGTCGTCCAACAGCACAAAGACGAGCACGGCGAACCCCGGTCTCAGCATTCCAGCGTCAAACTGATCAGTCCCAGAGCACGACAGTACTAAATCTATGTACTATGGTATGTATCATACGATGCTTTCAAGTGGAGGCACCGAACTGCGTGGTCCAGTGGCTGGTTTTCAAAGCAGCTCCATTCATAAGGGCACTCCTCGCGCTCGCCACTCCCATATAGTAAGCACGTACTGGAGCACATATCCAGCTTTGATTGTGTACTGTACTGCGTACTGCGGTATGCACCATGTCAGTCAAAGAGGTGCAGGCGGGCCAAACGGCTCAGTTGTAAGCGCTCCAATGAGACGAGCTCGTCAGGCCTGGAATGACGTCTAGGGTGGACCTACAGAGCCCAACTGGTTCTGTCTTATGTCTCCACCCACGGCATTGTTGGGTGTGGAGACCCCAGAAGAGTCCTCCGAGAGGAGGATGATCCCCAGGATGAAATAAAGAGCGCACTCTGTATATTCTGGAGGAAGTGCCGATCCTAGGCTCCATCCAGTCAAGTGGTCATGATGGAATTTAATGTCCGAGGCCGAAAGAAATAGAGGGAGAAACAGAGGGAAAGAGTGAGGGGGGGAGAGAAATAAGGAATATGTGATATACAGACAAGGAGACGGGCCACAACCAGAGTCAACTTCAAGAAAGGCGGACGTTGAAAGAGTTGACTTATCTGCTGGTACTGTACCATGCATATATTTTACCACCATCTTTCTACCCCCTCTCTCTGTGTGTGTTTTCTTCTTTTCTCTTTTCTCTTTTTGTGACCTATCATTTGGGACGTCGTGGAGTCAGTGGGCTGCTTCTGCAAATATCGCCCCATCAACTCCATCCCCGGCCTCCAGATCACCCCCTCCGCTTCCCCTTGGGGTAGCGGGCCCCCCTGGTCCTCTGCGACGGATGCGCACAGCTCCACGCCAAGAGTCGTCATCCTAGTACATACCATATATGCAGCGTTCTTCAGGCGGCTCAAAGGAGAAGAAACCTTGGGAGCACTACTCCTGTACTAAACTTCAGGACCCACCAAGGGGGTCAGCCTTGGTGCGGACCGTCGATGCAACGCCCGGCCGGCGCGTGAGAAAGGATGCCTGGTAATGAGTAACGAGGGGGGTGAGAGATACTTCGCGACATGCCAAGGGTGCCGAGACCCGAGGTGAGGGTGGACGATGATGATATATAGCCCTTGACCCGTGGGTCATCATAAAAATAGTTGCCTCTCTCTGCCTCGACTGTTCTCACCCAGCAAGGAGTGGTCCTTTATCGGTGCTCTACCTCATCTTGAAGCATCACAGCCATGTATAGAATCTGGAACATTTATGTGCGTTCCTTCTCCTGTTCCCTCATTCTCATCCTGCCCAAAACATGCCGTTGTCAGAGCTGGGCAGTATATCACAACGAGTGATCCGCTTCCAGTAGCTAACATGCTTTCTTCGTCCAGGTACTCGCCGCCTTCGGCACCATAGGAGGAGCACTCTTCGGCTTCGATGTCTCCTCCATGTCGGCCTGGGTCGGTAAGTGACTATCTACGCTCCTCCCCTCTCCCACTCTCTCCCTCGTGACGGCCCCGGGACGCGCAGTTTCACTCACATTTCTTTCTCTTCTGCCATGCAGGTAGCGACCAGTACCTCGATTACTTCAACAACCCAGGCTCTCTCCAGCAGGGCGGCATCACGGCATCCATGTCCGCGGGCAGCTTCGTCGGTTCCATCTGCGCCGGCTGGCTCTGCGATCGCCTCGGTCGTCGGGGCATCCTCAAGCTTGCCTCAGTCATCTGGGTGATCGGGGCCGTCCTCCAGTGCAGCTCTCAGAATATCGCCCATCTGTGCGTCGGAAGAGCCGTCAGCGGTCTTGCAAGTAAGGAACAACAGCAAAACCATACCGGACATCCGTCCACCCCCCCCCCCCCCAAAAAAAAACCTTCTTTTTTCTCCCCCTCTGGTCTGTTGTTGTTGCAGTTGTTGCTGACACCTGCTCCTTCCTCCAACAGTCGGTATTACATCTTCCCAGGTCCTTGTCTACCTCGCCGAGCTGGCACCCGCAAAAACCCGTGGCCAGATCGTCGGCATCCAGCAGTGTGAGTAGTCTCTGAATCGCATAGGCACTCGGCGCAAGGAATATTCATGCTGAAAGGATCTCATAGGGTCAATTGAATGGGGGATCTTGATTAGTAAGCTAACTCTCGCCCTTTCCTCTCTATTTTGGCTTTCAAAGTAGAATCTTGCCCGTGAGTTTTGGTGGTTGACATTTTGCCTCTTTTCTGTGCAGTGTACCTCATCAGCTACGGCTGCTCCGTCTCCGTCTCCGGACCAGCAGCATTCCGTATTGCCTGGGGTGTCCAAGGCGTCCCGGGCGTTGTGCTTGGAATCGCCATGTTCTTTTTCCCCGAGTCTCCTCGTTGGCTCGCTAGCCGTATGTAAAAACCTTCCTTCACCCATCTTTGGGGAAGACAGAAAAGAAAACTTTCTGTGCTTTTGTGTAGCCTGGATGATGATCTGACACGCGGCATGATACTGAGTTTAGATGATCGCTGGGACGAGTGCCTCGACGTTCTCGCAAACCTTCACGCTGGTGGAGACCGCGAGGCTCCCGTCGTCCTGGTCGAGCTCGAAGAAGTCAGGGAGGCCGTCCGGATCGCGGCAGAGTCGGCAGATCTCGGGTATCTTGGGCTTTTCACGGGGAAGACGTGGTATCGAACCATGTGCGGAGTCAGCGTTCAGGTTTGGTGAGTGTGCTTCCCGTGGGATTATTTTATGTTGGCCCTTGGAGAGAGGAAAGAGGACTGACCTTTATCTATAGGCAGCAGCTTCTGGGCGGGAACGTAATGCTGTACTATATTGTGTACATCTTCGAGGTACGTTGTCCTTGAAAACATTCTGGTCTGTGATGGAAACATTTGCTAACTATAAACTTTTCTGGACAGATGGCGGGAGAGGCAAGTGACCTACTTGCTCGATGCAGTGATGAATTGTTCATGGCTAACTCATACACAGGGTGGGAATGCCGGACTCACGAGCGCCATCATCCAATATGTTGTAAGTAATTGTAACCAGTGCGCATCACCCAGCATGACCTGACCTGATCTGACCATACTCTAGATCTTCCTTGTTACCACAGGCGGGATCCTGCCATTCATCGATAGGATGGGACGAAGGCCACTCCTGATCTATGGTGCCATCGTCTGCTGCATTCTGCACTTTATCAGCGGAGCACTCATGGCCTCGTATGGCCACCACGTAACTTCGGTCGACGGCAACTCGATCCTCAAGTGGGAGCTCACCAACCCGCAAGCAGCCAAGGCCATCATCGCCAGTAAGTTCACTCCCATCTCTGATTCTGTCCAAGAAAAGAGGAGCATCCTCAGTCCCCGTGCCAAGGCTGACTACAGAAACCCAACCTCCAGTGTGCTACATCTTCGTCGGCGTCTACGGCCTTACCTGGGCGCCCGTTGCCTGGATCTACGCCTCCGAAGTGTTCCCCCTCCGGTACCGTGCCAAGGGCGTAGGTATTTCGGCCTCAGGCAACTGGATCTTCAACCTGGCCCTCGCCCTCTTTGTGCCAAGCGCCTTCACCAACATCCAGTGGAAGACGTACATGATCTTTGGCACCTTTTGCGCCTTCATGGCCGTCTTCGCCTTCCTCCTGTACCCTGAGACATCTGGAAAATCGCTTGAGGAGATCGACTATGTCTTCGAGGCCAAGGTGCCTGCGTGGAAGAGCGCTGAAATGGGCGGCACGTTTGAGGATCGGGTGCGGGGAGTGGAGAGCAAGCGGGAGCAGCAGCCGGGACAGGGGGAGGTGGCGCATGAGGAGGCTGTACCGGTTGAAAAGCAGGTCTAGTGTGGGAGAGAAGCTGATGGCATTTGTTGTCTGATAGGGAATGAGAGAGGGGAAACCTTGTCATTTTCTTTTTTTAACAAAAGAAGAAGAAAAAAAAAGAAGATAGCTAGGGGAGGGGGAGCAAGAGAGATGTCAATATCTAGCGAGTTTATCGAGAATATTCTTTAAGGTTTTCATAGTTATTTAATTGATGAGAATGATACTATGATTAGTTTTCACTTATAACAGCTAATCTGACTCCCTTTTTAAATATTTTTTTAAGATGTTTTTTCAAATGTTTTTTTCTTTCAATGTTTTAATTTTTTTTCTGTTAAATCTTTTTCTCAAACTCTGTAGAAAAACATTTGTAGTTGTAGAGAGCGTTCGGAGGAATGTGAGGGTCGGGCTAAAAAAATCACATGTCGTTCCGTGCCACGTCTTGATTTTGTCCGGTCTTCATGCTTATGTGCTTCTTTCGTTTCTACGGCAGACAAGTGTGACTTTGGTGAGACCGATTCCCTATTGAAGCGCTTGCCATGTCGACCTTCTACCTGCCCTCATTTTACGTAGTAAAGAATCCATGAATCTGCATACAAGGATGGGGAACGCGCGCAGGAGGTCGGTATTGGTTAGGGCTAATTATTCGGACAACTGGGAAGCAAAAGAGCAAGAATCTGCAGCTTGGTATCTGTCATTTACCATTCATCTCAATTTCTGTGATGTTAGAACACGACCAACACATGCTCTGGTACTTCAGATGGGCACCAGTATGGCTGGTGGGTGAGTCGGTCCTGGATGTGGTGCGTCCTCAAGGGTGTAGCTAGGGTTGGGTGAATCATGAAGCACCAGAGCACCTTCACTGACTGTAGCGCTAGCATTTGCAGGATTACATAATACACAGGACTCGGGCAAAACTGTGGCGCGTTCGATGCTGTCCTCGGTTAGTCAGCCCGATTTTTATCGACCAACCCTGCAAGCTCAAAAACGCAATACAGCGCAACTTTCCATTTCGATCTACTTTGACCTTCTGTTGTTCTGCCACGTTCCACACCCATCGCGCCACAACTCCATTGCGAGCGTCGTCTTCGAGCTGAATTTTCAGCTGTTGCACAACCATACAGGCCTCGACTCTTCTCGAAGAAAAGAAAATGTCGCATTACCCTCCTCCGCCAGGCACAAGGCCAGGCGGGGCGCATTATGGCCTCCCGCCGCCGCCGCCGCCACCTGCCCAAGCGTCCAACACCTACCGACCACCTCCCCCTCCATCCTCTTCCCTTCCCCCGCGCCCGCCCTCGAATCATCACGATGCCTATTCTAGCGACAGATACGGTGATCGTAGCCGTGATCGCGGCCGTGAGGACCGCTTCAGTCGCCAGGATCGCGATGACCGCTACCAATCCTCGCGCCGTGATGACGGCTACAATTCACACTCGTCAGCGAGATTCCAAGGCTCCAATGGAGATCGAGATTCCCGCGGTGGTGATGCATTCCGCCCTCCCCAGAGCGATTTCACCTTTCGCAGTGACAAACCTTCAGGCGTTGGTGATTCCTACCGCCCTGCAGGCCCAGATGGTCCTCGTGGGGCTCCTCGCGGTCCTGCTCGAGGTCCCTACAACAACGATCGTCGACCAGGAGCTAGAAGCTTCAGGGGCCGTGGCGGTGGCTACCAAGAGCCACGACGTCCCTGGAAGCCTTTCAGGCCTGCTGAGCGCGCAATCTTGCAAGACAATAACAATGCCCAGCCCGCTGAGGACTTTGCTGATGCAGAGAACGGTGTCCAATACAGGTCCATCGACCAGCTCTCGGACAGTGATGAGACTGATATGGACATCTCGGACTCTGATAATGAGACTGGTGGCCCGAGTGCCAAACGGACCCGCACCACCATAGGTCGGTCGGGTGATGGCGACGACGTTCCAAAGTGGAGCAACCCTGATCCATATACTGCACTGCCTCCTGTCGACGAGTCAGAAAAGAAGCGAAAGGATATGGTGCAGTTGATCCGCAAGGCTCGTGTCGACGCAACTGCGAATGCTCGGACCTCGCTTCCTGCTCCTGCTGACGATGAGGACTTCATACGGTGCGAGTCCGACAGTGGCGACGAGGACAAGAATGAGGCGGACGATGTGTTTATTGATCCCCTGACCTACAATCGTGGCAGTGCCAGCGCCCAAGGGGCTACCGTCGCGCCCAGCTCCAAGTCTTCTCTGCCTCCCCGGCCCGAGTTTGCTGCCGCGTCCCACGCAAGCCAAGTGGCACCCCAGGCAACCCAGCCTCCGCTTAATGCCAATGGCAGGCAACGGGCGGTCAATGCTGGGGATCTACAAAGCTCGTCGGGCTTGGCCTCGCGCAAGCGCTTTCATGACGACGTTCTCAAGCTTCCGGATCATGCTAGGCTGAAGCCTGCGCCGAGACAACCTAGTGGCGGTACCATGGTCAAGGAATGGCGACCGAAGTCGGGCGAGCATTCTTGTCCTTGGGTACAACCCCCAAGCTCCAAGGTCCCTGTCAATGTCAGGTAGGCAGCGCCTCTACTTGATACGTTACACACCACGTCGGGCAGCACTGACGTGTCTTTAGATTCCACATGGAGGTTCGAGATTTCTATGAGCATGTCAAGCCATGCAGTTTCGAGGAGCGCCTTCGCAGTAGGCTTGTGGATGACCTGAACCGATATCTGAGTGCCTTCAACGAGTGGAAAGGCTGGCAGATGTATCCTTTCGGGTCCTTCATGTCTGGCCTCTATCTACCCACTGGAGATATGGACCTTGCCTTCTGCTCGCGTGTTTTCGTCAATGGAGGTCCTCCAAGGGTGCCAACCGAGACCCAATTGAGAGCCTTGACCAGGGTTTTCCGGAAGAGTCCCTTGGCGGTCAACAAGCATATCGAACCGGTTCTCAAGGCGAGGGTTCCTCTGATCAAATACGTCGACAACACGACCGGTCTCAAGATCGACATCTCTTTTGAGAACAACAGTGGTCTCATCGCCATCGACACGTTCAAAGCGTGGAGAGAGCAGTGGCCGGCTATGCCGATCCTTGTCACGGTGATCAAGCAATACCTCCTCATGCGTGGCCTCAATGAGCCAGTGAATGGTGGTGTCGGTGGCTTCTCGGTCATATGCATGGTTGTCAGCATGCTTCAAATGATGCCTGTGGTACAGAGTGGCGACATGATACCGCAGCACGATCTGGGCGCTCTGCTCATGCATTTCTTTGATCTGTACGGCCATAGATTCAACTACGAAACCACAGCGCTGCGCTTGAACCCACCAGGTTACGTCAACAAGGTACGCTTTTACTATTCCTCGTGTCGCCGTAGAGGACTAACATGTCACGCTCTTTCGCGTAGAATCGAGTCCAAGAACTCACATACAGGAATCCCAAGCGCCTTTCAATCATCGATCCCAACAACCCAGCGAACGACATCGCAGGCGGTTCAGCCAACTATGCGCAGATTGTACAGTGCTTCCGCGAGGCTCACCGACTTCTACAAGAGCGAATGGTGCGCGTTGCGGCAGGCGAACACCACGATAGCATTCTGAGCGTCATTCTGGGAGGCAACTATTCCACATTCCGAGAGCAGAGACAGCACCTGCGCAAACTTCATATGAAGGTCTTTGGCTTCGCCGACGAGTGATAACTTTTTTCCAACACAGCGCATAGCTCCAACCAATTGTTTTCACGGTCATGAAGGTTCTTTCGAGGGGGTGGTCGGGGGCGTTATGAGCATGGGGCTGGCCCAAATATCCCTTGGGACAGCCTCATATGGAACAATCTTAACCATATGGGCGATTCGATCTCGGCGTTCAATATCTCGGCGGTGGTCTCCTGCTTCGAGATACCCGGCAACAGCTCATCTGTTCTGCCAAGTTTATGCGTTTTTGTTTGGTCCCCTGCAATGTTTTACCCCAAAAGCATTTTCTGCGAATTTGAGCTTAACTCTGGCAGATTACTGTACGATAGCAGTCATGGCTGATCATGCCGACGACGTACCTCGTTACGTCAGGGCTTGGTTCCATGCCTTTCCCGTGGCTCTTGACCGGGTTTCTACAAAATCCCACGGGCTGTGTTTAGGGCAACACCACTTGTGTTTTTCCTTTCACTCTCTTCAATCCCAGTGGGCGTCATCGCGCCTCAATGCAGACAGACATCGCATCCAACGTTTCACAGCGCTTTTCCCCGCAAACGCACGAGTTCACGCGCAGGATGACAACTACTTTGGAACCCAGTACTACTGATTCTTCACAGATGGATGATATTTGTCTCGGTGCGACCGACCTTGCAGAGACGCTCAAAAGATGTGTGCGCCTTGCACCTGGGGGACGATGTTGTCGCCACAGCGAGATCGAACCGCAAAGGATGTTCTACAACTTTTCACCACCTCAATCGGGACAGAAAATTAGCCAACAAACCACACACTGACTTCAACCTTTAGGCGGCGAACCACTCCTCGTACGTGGTCCGCCGCCACCTTTTCTCACTGCAGACGGGGCTTTATGTCTGGCTGTGGAGAGGAAACCGCACTCGTGAGAGCTTTGGATCTTTATTATGTGGTCTTACATTGGGACCGTATTCGAGCCTCCGTAGGCTGGCTGGGTTATGACTACTGAATAACACCCATCATCCAATTTCTAGGATACACATATCATTGTTCCAGGCGTTTCTCAACACCAAGCTGGTCCTTTAAAGGTTGACCACTTTTCTACACAAGCACACACTGGGATAGTTACAACTGTGAAGTAATCTAATATATTTGGTTGGCTGTCGCGCCCATCCCCTGTCCCCCCAGATTTCTACCTAGACTGAATCATTATCCAAGACATCTCCCATCCTCCGTCTGTCTCAGAGCACTCTATGGTCAGGTCTAGAAGCCGCGCAAGTCTGACAGGGCAACGTCCGCCCGTAAGCACATTGGTTACAGTTTTCACAGTGCCACTGCCGCTGGTCCCTGCACTCGCCACAGGCACGACAGTGCCAGGTGAAGTCCCGGCTCGCCCAGCGCACGCGCGTGCAGAACGAGTAGAACAGGCTGGTGCCCGGCGTGCGCTGGGCGGCGAACGCCAGACGGTTCAGCTCCTGCTGCAGCGCCACGCCGCAGGGCGCATCCTGCTCGTCCTCGGGGAGCGCGTCCCATCTCGCCCTCCATGCCAGGTAGGGCTCGGCGTCCCAGTCGTCGTGGAACTCTTCTATGGAGCCCGCGTCCTGGAGGGCCAGGTCGAACAGGGACCTTCTCGTCGTGGTGGTGGCGAGCTGCTCTGCGGGCGACCGCTCTTGCTTGAGCGCCCAGGACATGAAGCACGCGTGCGGGAGGACCAGGGGCTCCGGGCCGAAGATGGCGGCCGTGTCGATCTTGTTGAAGGGGTTGTGGCATGTTGTTGAGGTGCCGTGGCAGCCGCAGGTGGCGGGCTGGCATATATGGTCCTGTTTGCTGCAGGTGCAATTTGTGCAGTCTTTCCTTTCTGGGTGGGTAGGTCCGCATCTGCAGTGGGTGGTGGTTGGTAGGGATGGAGGCTGAGTGTCGCGGTTTATCTGCTGAGAGTCAGCACATAGAGAGGCGGATCCTTGCTTGAGTCTTTGAAAAAAGTTACCCTGAAGGCTTGTTCGTTCCTGTGACGCCTTGCTTCATGGGTGATGTGCTCCCAGGGGTCAACATCGTCGTCGTCGTCATCTTCACTACTATCGAAGGGCGTGGACAGTCTGCGTGGCTGTATTGCGAATCTCTCAATACATAGGTCCTCGTCTTCACAGTCCAGACTCATATCAGATGACGAGTCCAGATCATTGTAGTCCCATTCCTCCTCTTCCTCTTCCTGTGAGGACCCAGCATCATCTTCGTCGTCGTAGTAGTCGTATTGAAGCCGTGACCGTTTCGCTGTGGCGGCAGCTTTCGATGGCGAAGCAATTGGCGTCTCGGCTAGACGCTTTGAGCCAGCAAGACTTGGCATGATCCCATCCGTGAGGTCAGTGGGTGGACGTGTTGGTGGTGTTGGTGGATGGTGGCATTTAGCAAGACGCGTAAATAAGTCATGGAGTTTTAGTGAGACGCGTTGTACCAGCACGTATGGTACCAGGGTACTTGGCCCCCTCTGTACAGGAGGGTTAGGGCTTTCCCGCACCAGCTGTGTCCAACCTTTCAGTGTGTCCTTCCTGTCGTCAGCCTCAACAGACTTCCAAGCTGTTTCTTCCTTCTTCAACCACTTCATCAAACACGACCACGTGAAGTCTTTTCCAACATTAATTGCATCAACTCTGTCTCTTGACTGGGTCACATGGGGATTTAGTCTTCACATCACTATATTTGCGATCCAGACTTGTATCAAAAAGCGAAATCTCTCTTCATTAACGGACACGGTCCATTCTATGCTATCTCCATATAAAAAGAAAAAAAAGTGTTCCCAGAAAGGTATATATATGTTCAGAACAAGACTCCGATCCCTACAAATTCATGCCAAGACATATTTGCATGTCTGAAAGGTAATTGAAACCCACCACCTTTAAAGCTGAGCCAGTTCAGTCCCAAAAACGCCTCGAGATCCATGAAACCATTAAATATGATCATGCATCAATGACAATAATCCCCAAGGCAGGACTCAATCCCATCTTGCTGGAACCCCCTTCTTCTGTCTACTAAACTTGTCATTCTCATCCCGATCCGCAAGGCTTTCCTTACAGAGCGGCGACACCACCGATGAAGGCAGCCACGATGGAGCCGACGACGGCCATGGCGCGGTAGTCGACGGAGACAGCGTTGGCGGCGCTCTTGGAGGAGCTGCTGCTGTTGGAGGAGGCGGTGCCGGCAGAGTCGGCGTTGAGGGCAAGACCGGTGACAGTGGCGCCGGTGTAGTTGTAGACGGTGGCGGGCATGGAGGTGGCGGTCACGCTGGTGATGGCACCGGTGGAGGCGCTGGTGATTCCGCTGGTGACGAGAGAGTCACCGCCCGAGGGGCGAGTGGGCAGGTCCCAGTCAGCCAGGAAGGTGGACTCGGTGATGAGGGAGGAGGCGCAAGTGGTGACGGCGGCGTCCTCGGCGGTCTTGTTGGCGGCGGTGATGAGGCTGGTGTCGATCTTGGCGAACTCCTCCTTGAGGAAGTTGTAGTCCTCCAGCAGGGTCACCTCGGTGGACGAGTTGATGGCGACCAGGCCGTAGTCGTCGCTCTCCTGGGAGTACTCGTAGACCAGGCCGCCCGAGAGCTCAGTCATGTCGGAGCCGTACAGGACGGGCACGTTGGTGAAGGTGCGGGGGGTGACCAGGTTGCAGCCGTACTCGCTGAAGAAGACGGGGATGTCGGTGCCCGAGAAGTCGGTGACGAGGGTGTCGTAGCCGGACTCGGTGTAGGAGCTGTCGCCGCACCACTCGTAGTCGTTGAGGCCGAAGAAGTCCATCTTGCTGTAGGTCGAGTTCTCCAGGGTGCAGCCCAGGTACGACCAGGTGTCCTGCAGCATCGTCGACACATCAGCGGCAGAGTAGCCGACGCCGATGGTGCGGGGCGCGTGCAGGTCGATGTACTCCTTCATGTCGCGCACCACGGCGCGGATGTACGCAGGCGCGTCCGAGGAGCTGTCCTGGTTCAGGATCTCGTTGCCCGCGAAGAAGCCCAGCAGGTTGGGGTAGCTCCAAAACGCCTCGACCATGGCGAAGATGTGCTTCATGTAGTCCAGCGTGTAGGTGCTGCCAGGGTCGGACCGGTCAATGTACTGACCGGTCAGGCCCGAGTTGACATCGATGATCATGTAGATGCCCGCCTGAAAAGAAGAGACAACCAGTCAGCTCTCACCCTAACCTTGCTTAATCACACCAGACTTGTCGGATGACGTAGAACATACCGCGTTGAAGATAGAAGCACACTGGTCGTGGTTCAGGTCAGGCGAAAGGTTGTAGACACGGATCGTGTTGGCACCAAGCTGCTGCAGGAGGATGGCATCTCGGAGACAGGCTGTGGCATCGCTGAGGGGATCAGACGTGCCATCGAATCCTGCTGAGCCACCAGGCTGATATCTATATTGCTATCCCGTCAGTCTCGTGAAAAGAAAAGGGGGGGAAGGAAGCGTGCTGCGTATGGGATGGGTACGTACGTGACTCCAATGATATCGAACCGGTCGCCTGTGGAGTTGTTGATGAAGTTTGAGCCGGCGATGCTAAGGTAGTCGAGGGCCGAAGCAAAGGATGTGAACAGCGCGGCAGCTGTGGCCAAGGAAGTCTGTGTCTTCATTTTGATACGAGTTTCTTGGGAGGTGGGAAGAAAACTGGAGAGAGTGTGTGAAAAAGTACCAAGGTTCAAAAAGATGTCAAGAGTTGAAGTTGAATATGTCAAATGAGCGACGTGAAAAAGGCTTTAGCAAGAATGCAGACGAACTGTTGTCGTTCTAGCAAGGCGAGATGCTTTTTCTTTTGGAAAAATGAAGATGATGAAGAACAAGAATTCAAAAAGAACGGGTGCCAGATAGCAGTGGGATCCAAACAAATTTGTTTGTCCGTGACAAGGAGAGAGTGCCCATGCCACCCAACCCTCCCATGATTAAGGGGGTGGGTCCATGGCAGATTACGAGTCCCGCAACCCCTTTGCCTTGTTTGAGGATTTAGTCTCACGAATGGTCGATTGGTCGGCGTTGTTACCTGATCCACTCTTCGCGGCTTTCACGGCTCCGCAAGGCCAGCAACAATGCCCACAACTATAAATAAGGATGCAGCACAGGCGATGATCAGCCGCTGGATTGACATCATTGTAGTGTCCACAGGGGACGGGGGGGAATCAAGCCTTCCAAGGTTTTCTTGGAGGTAGCCCAGACCCTTCTGTTTGCCTCTCTTTTACGATGCTTGTCCATTGGCCATTGGCCCACACGGCTTAAACGGCCAACAATTAAGTGCATCACCAAAGCCCCAAGTGTGTTTGTGCCACTACCAATCACTTGTCTAGGTGAACTGACCCATGAGCCCTCACCATCGGTTTAATCGGCACGCAAAACACGTCTTGTCTGGAGAGAGGTTGGTGGCGGTATTCCAGAATCCGCTCGTCTGAGATTTTGGAGGGTTTGCGTGGCTGAGGCCAAATTCAGACCACGGAAAATCCATTTCTCTTTAGGCCTAATTATATACGGGCGCCCGCCGGCCCCGTAAGAACTCTACTCTAGTAGTACAAATCCCACACCTAGCCAATACGCGCACAAAGGTTCTTTTGCAGAATCCTCACCAACTCTTGGTCAGAGAGAGCAGCACATGAGACTTGAGGGATCCCAATGCAGGAACAGGAAGACCTATAAAAACAGTTCCCACAATTCAGGCCTTGCGGCAGGCCTACAGGAATTCCTAGCTCCAAGGCTGTGTCATGTGTTACACACGCGTCAAATGTTTATTATCCTTCTCATCAATCTGAGCTCGCAATGGTCCCGGAAGGTTTCGCACAGAACAAGTAAATTACATCCGCTCGTTCTGACCAGCACTCTTGATTCTGATCAGCCATACTTTATGCTTGAACCTTAATCATTCTCATCACGAATACACCCAGTGCCTGCTGCGCACGTTCTTCAACCACTGTGCATGGTGGTATAATTACGAAGAGATCGACATGGAGAAGCGGTCCACAGTCTTGATTTGCAATACAACAAGTCTCCCTGAGGCTGAAAAACAGACTGGTCCTATCTCCCCTTTTTCTTCTTGGAATTTGGGCCACAGGAGTCCGACATTTGATCCCTTGTCGACAGATGGTTAGCCAGGTTCCAAAACTTTGCACTTTGTCCCATCGCGTCGTTGGTCATCCACGGATTCATTTCTGCCCCCTGGACCGATGTTCTGTCTGCATGCAGTTATAACAGACTGCTCGTTGCCTTCAAGTTCCCTGACTGTTCTCATCTATCAGCTCCAAGAGATACTAACTGTGATACCTGTGTCTATTCATGGATATGATGTAATTATGTGTCCCGGACAAGTTGCCTTCTATGATAAATATATAAGATGCGCCAGTGCAGACCAGCATCATGCCCGAAGCCTAAGAGACAGTATTGTAATCATTGTAATCTGAAACTTTCACTAATCTTTGTTCCAAGGCCAAGGCACAAATCAAATAATTACTCGGTACACCAAGCACAAAAGTGACCACTCATTTCTATGCTCCAGGCGTCATACAAGACTTGCGATATCATGATCACCATCTTCCTCCACAGAAGCTCCGACTGTGATTGACTCAAAAGCTAATTACACCTCAAGACAGCGGAATCTCATAAGAATTCCTGTCGCATAGGGTGTGTATAAGAAGTGAGCCCATAATTTGACCACACGCTGCTGTCGATGAATCCAACCTCAAGTTGTAATCAAGTAATTACTCCATGCTTCAACAGGAAAGGGCATCATCAACGAATCCAGTCCTTGAAGGCATTACCCATACCAGCTTCGAAAGGGAGGGACAGAACAGTCAGTATGCTCGGTGGCCAGATTTCGCAGCAATCTAAGGTTGTGCATTGTGCCACCTGAGGAGGCTTCGACCAAGATCCGTGACCGCTGCTTCAATCAGCCCTATCGACTGGCTTCACCCGCAGAGAAGCCGTCATCAAGAGTATTAAGAGTATTAATTACCGTCTCGTATCAGGCGCCGTTTCGAACAGCCAGCAGGCCCAATTACTTCGCTCATGGCAAATCTGTTGGAAGTGAGGCCATTCCGACCTTGCGCCAAGACCAGCAATATTGACATCAACCCCCTCTCCGGTTTCACGGTCCGTGGTGTCCCGAGAACCTTTATGCCCAACGGCATCCAGAATAAAACAATCTTGAGTCGGCGAAGGTCGGTCGAGTCAAGTTACATGACGCGGAAAACCAGGCTCGATCTCCCCCGTTCGACGGGTCCGGCGTTGGGGGGGATGAACGGACCAACCTTGGCAGCCAAGGTCCGCCAAGATAGCATCGACACTATCAAAGCGCGGAAGGCCGTTGCGGAAGTAGGGGATGGATGGGGAAATAAGCAATATATTGGCAAGAGATCTAGAATTAAGCTTTTCCATGCCCATCGCTTCCCGATCTCTTAACACAATGCTTCTTTTCTTTTTCCCTTTGCGTTCTGGCACGTGCGGTGAACTTTGTTTTCGTAGATTGTCACATGGCCCGTTTCTTCCCAAACCCCCCCCCCCCCCACAACCGAGCCTAAGTAATATGGCGATCGGGAAAGTGAAGGGGAAAACAGTACTTAGGCAATCAGATGTGCTCCCGAGTGGGCATGAGTCTTATCTCACAAAATGGTAGAGTCAGTTTTCCCCGTTGAAAAGAGGATGCTGAATCCTGGTCATTTACGTTCCTGGTGATAACTTTGCGTGATAAGTACTTTAGTTTACCGCGGGCCAGTATAGTAGTCTGAAGAAAAGAAGAAGAAAAGAACACCAATGATGTTATCATTTGCTTCACGATCGCTGACTCGTCCCGCACTATCACCAAATGCGGCCATGTGCCAGTGCCCACTGACGAAGATGGCGCGCAGACTAGGCTGCATGCATATGAGACGGACGGGACAGACGGAGATCCGTAGCCTAGAGTGGAGGGCCTTTTCCTTCCAAACCGGCTGGGTCTACACTCACTCGCCCATCAAGAACTGTGTGTAGAGAGGGGGAGGGGGGGGGGGAGAGAGAGAGATGTCATCGTCGCCATGGGATGAATTTGGGTGATTTAAGTATACGTCCCGCACATATCCCACGCCAAGACCACCGTTTTTGTTTCAAAGGAAGTGATCTTTTTTTCTTTTGAAAAATTGAAATAAGAAAAAGAGAGAAGTGGGGAGAAACTAGACATCCTCTCTGAAAGTCGTGAGAATATCCCTCTTTTCCAACTTTTCTACACGAGAATTATCCATGTGGCCCTCGTATAGTACTCCAATGCTATACGTGGGAAATAGCACGACAGGATACGAACTATGTCGGCATTGTACGATCTGGTCGGTTTGGCCGAGAATCTCCATGAACCGGAGCCCCCCCTAAACCATAGGCCTGTTGCATTCGGCCTGATCATTTCGTTGATGGTGAGTCCTGCTTCCCCTCTTGCCCGTTCCTGTCGTCGTCCCCAATCCCCCTTTCGTTCCCTGTTTTTGCTTGTTGCTTTGCAGGTGACTCTGACTGACCGGGGGAAACTGTACATACAGGTCGTTTCTGTCTTATGTGCTTGTGCGAGGTTATACGTTCGGTTCAAGATCACAAGGTGTCCGGGTTGGGATGATGTGTTTGTCATCTTGTCTGTGGTGAGTATGCACAAGTTCGCCTCAGAACCCCAACGCAGGACGAGAGGACTTGCATAGCTGAGTTGAATGTGTGCGTATAGATCACAGGGACGAGCTTGGCCATCTCCGTGCTGGTCGGCTTCGATTATCACATGGGAGAACACTTGGTTAGCTTCCTAACCCCAGATCCCACGTCAATCGAGGACTTTATCAAGGTAAGCCAGCAGCCCTCGTTGAAGGAATGACAGAGACATTGTTTTTCCTTCCTTTTTTTGGAGAGGGAGGGGGGGGGGGGGGAAACTTGGAGATGGAGCAAATATTGACGCCACGTCTTCGTCTTCGTCTTCTTCTCACAGACCATCTACGTCTCGAGCGCCCTCTACACCACCTCTACAACCCTCATCAAGATCGCCATCCTTCTACAGTACCTGCGGGTCTTCGCCGAGAAGTCCAGATATCGCATGGCTGCCAAGATCCTGCTGATAATCGTTGCGCTGTGGGGATCAGCCTTCTCCTTCGTCTCGTGGTTTCCTGCTTTCCCCATCTCGGCCATATGGGACTTCGCCAATACGTCGGCAATCAGATTTGGATTTTCCAGCCTGAATCCCAACGAGACCCTCGGCGCATACCTCGCTCTCAGTGCGACGAATATGTTGCTTGATCTTGCGATGCTGGCCATTATCTTGCCATACCTCGTGACAGGAGTTGTGGCTTCCAACTCTAGGCTGTATATGACGTGCCTGGTTCTTGTTGGGGTTATGTACGTGAAAAAAAGAAAAAGAAAACACCATCCCGAGCATGTCGTGCGTTTTTGGGGGGAGGGGCGGGAGGCGAGGAGACCATTCTCGCTTCTCGGGTACCTCGCAAACCAGCAGACCGTCTGCTTCAATAGATGACGAGCTGACACTACTACCCTCGGACAGTATCAATTTGGTCTCGCTCATCCGTCTCGTCCAGATCATCCAGTCGAGGGGTGGCACCTACCCGAACCTCGACCCGACCTGGTATCTCTGTAGCCCCATCGTCCTGTCCTCCCTCGAGGTCAGCCTCGCCATTGTCGCCGCCTCGCTGCCCGTGTTCTGGCCCGTCCTAAAGCACAACTGCGGTCACATTTTCGTGACGACCGAGATCACGGTCACGCAGGAGGATAGCCAGGCCAGGGATCACAAGACGGCTTGGGAGGAAATGCACCCGTGGAGCGCTGGTCCGGATCCTGAGAGCCAGACTGGCACGGGATCGATATCACCGCAGAGAAAGAGGAGCACGGAGACGGATCGAGAGACGCTTATCGGGTCCAGAGGGTCGTGAGGGTCAGGGAAGTTGATGTTTCATTAGCCTTATCATGAGTATGGAATGTATTTGCAATGATGGTAACAAGCCTTTGGATACTGGCCATGTGGCCAAGGGTTTGTTGCGCAGGTCGATACACCCCGAAGATGACGGTCTCAAGAAGCCCTTTCGATCTCTGCGCTGTGCTCCTTCAAGGACAATCAAGTCTTTACATGCGCTCACTCGACCGACTGCAACACTTGGTGTACAAACATGCCAACAACAAGGAATAAATGACTCTGAGTCCTCAGAGCAACTCCAAGAACTTTCAGACGTTGGAGGAAATGCCTGGACTGTGCGACTGATTCTCAGGCAAAAGCAGGACACCGACACAAACGCGGCCACTCGACGCGCACCGACGCGAATGTCTCAAGTACCCCTTCCCGTCAACGAGATTCCATCTACGCGAGATGGGCCGACTCCACGTGGGGCTCCTTTGAGAACCGGCACGCGAGATTGAGGAATCACAATGGGGTCAGGAATAATTTCTGTACGTCAGCCGCGCGAGACATGCACATGCCTGTGCAGTCTGAGTCGGTGTCACAAAAGAGTTGTGCGGGATTGACAGAAAACAGATCTGTGCGACTCAAGGGAACCACAGCATAATCTTTGCCTGACGGGTTGGGGGTTGTACAAAGTGGTAAGTTTGAAAAAGGGCACGGCGTAGGTTACCAATAGGAGGAGGAGGGAAAGGATTGTGGTACTGGATACCAGTCAAAGCACTGCAACCCAAAGCGACCGGCAATCTCATGCATCCCACCTGCCGGATACTGATGGGTGCCCGTTGCGCGCTTCCACGAGAGCGCTTTGCCTACTCTGGGTTATCATTCAGTCGCGCGCTCTAAACGCGTCCTATAGTGTGTGTGTATCAGTTTAACGGGAGTGGCGTCGACCGCCGCATTTGCATGTCTGACAGCGTCGTAAAAAAAAAAAAAAAAAAACCGGCTTGCAGACTTGACGTGGTTGCGCGCGCGGTCATAACCCAAGCGCGCAAAATATACTCTGTCGACCAGTCGCATTCGAGGAAACAGGGGACGATTGGTGTTGTCGCAACAGCCGATGTACGTCTTATCTGCCCGCCGTTGTGGACACTATGGCTAGCCTCGAGGCTCGGTACCTGAGTTGTAGGCATCGCTTTGCCTTCTGACAAAAACGCCCTCGGCAAAGGCAAATTGCTTCATGAGCACGTCGCCCACACGCCGTTCCTTGCAAGCTGAAAAGCAGCCGAGGAAATGTGGCATGAAGATCGAAACCACGTCGCAGCCCAAGAAGACAGGACAGAAAGCGTCATCGTGTGTAGATGGAGGTAGATTGATTTTTTGCTCGTCTCCAAAAGCCGAGGCGGAAATTACTCAATTTGGCCGTGGGGCGGAATTTCATTGGGATTTTTTTTTCCATCTGGAATGATTTCGATCCGGCCTCGTTCTTGGGAGACGTTGTGGTTCTCCCGCCTTACACAGCGGGTCTCCGATGCCTGCGGGGCGAACAGGTTCCACTCCAGACTCGATCTGCCCCAGAGAACATCATTCCGGAGCTTGGTGGGAATCAACATGACACGGAGTATTGTAATAGTCGTGTGCTTGTGCGTCTGGCTTGGGTGGTTCTTGGACAGGCCTCCCTGTGGTGGTTGACGCCGAAGACGACGACAGATTGATGTCTGGCTGGCCAGGCTTGTAACTGTCCTCCCGCCAGATTTTGTCCTGAAGGTAAACTGTATTGCGAGAGAAATCTGATCAGCGTCTTTGGCTTTCTTTTCTTTTATTCCCTTCTTCTTTCTTGCGTAGACGGACGGGCGTGGGCCTGGGGCGAGGGTGGCGGACATTTCCGAATCCTGTTCCGGAAAGAAATTCACGTGTGCTAAGGCCACAAGAAAGACTCCACCGGCCCGCCAGTGTGGGTGCGCATGACAATCACACAGAGATTCATCAAACCCATGCAGTGGCTGACCAGGTGAGCGATCCTGGCACCTCCCCGTCACCAGCTGATGGAAATCACCCCACAGGGCCTCCTCTCTTTTGTCGAACAAGCTAGACTGTTGAAACGACCGAAAGTCACCACCGGCAAGTACTTGATTCTCGTTCGTCTGATCGTCAGCACCTGAAATACACATGCACTTTGTGCAGGCTTCCCGGTTCGGACGTGTGTGCGGCTGCTAGGTGCCAAGAAGACTGAGTGCTGGGGTCTACACGTGCGGGCGAGTGAAGCAAGATGGTTGGACGGCATTGGATGATGACTGATGATGGATCATCTGGTTTTTGGTGACACAAACAATCCTGCTGCACGCCGGTCGCCGTCCGCCGTCCGCCGTCCTCCAGCATGTATGACATAGATATAGCATTGGCTGGCTCCTGAATTTCCGGAGCTCATTACGGCTGATGGGGGGTTTTTTTTTTCGAGCCCAGAAGGTGGGACCCTGGATGGCCATGCTTCGAGCGCATGAACACTTGTCAACTAGATTTTAACACTGTTGTTAAGGTTTGCAGGCATGAGATGATAAAGACATGCCAGTCAAAACCAGACTGGCCCACCCCATGACACGGTTCGCACTAGGGGCCGAATGCAGCAGGATACAAGAGTTATCGTGAGATGGCTTAAGTGAGTGAAGATGTGATCGATGGGTGACAGGTCGATGGGCTGCTGCAACGCGACCATTCCTGGTTTGCTGGTCCCTGGTTAAGTGCGTGCGCACTCGATACCATTGCACAAGCGAGAAAGGGGGATCTACGCCCATCAGCAAATTCGCAACCAAAAATCTGGACATACTATGGTACAACCCAACGCGCCGGTGGTACCCAAGGAGGGGGTAGTGGTAGTAGTGGGGTCACAACGGCCCTGCTGCAGCATCCAGAGGTCCTTGTTCCGTACCTGACGCTTGCGCAGGCACAGCATCCCAATTGGCTGCGCGGAACCATGCGTCTGCAAGCCGGCTAGCTGGCCATCTAACGCTGCACAAACACGACGCAGGTTCCAGGGGCGCGGCACACTCTGAGAATTTAGGAGGGGCGGGCGGCAGCCAAGCCAGAAGGGGGCGGCGTTAAAGGGTTAAAGATGGGTTCTGCCTTGTGTCACCCCCGGCTGGGTCAAACGAATGAATGCGCAGACGAACATCTTGTGCCTCACGCACACAAGAAAGAAGAAGAAGAAAACTCGCAGCTAGCATACATGTCGGATCCAGTAGATCCTCCACATGGAGTGCCAAGTGCGAGCTGTTCCGTCATGGCTGTCGCAAGAAAGGCAAGCTCCCCCCTTTGAGACAAGGCAATTTATCCTCAAGCAAGGGACGACTTGTGTAGATGGGACACGGGTCCCAAGTTGACTCAGACTAGGATTCAAGACGGGTGAGATGTCGTACAGGATCGGATAGGCTGGAACAGGATGGCTGGCGACGAGTCGGAATCCTCAGGCTGGATGCTCAATGAGAGAACGGGGGGCTCGACTGTTCAGCCTCGGATCCAGCTGAGCCCTGTTGTCCCCTGCCATGAGGATATACGATCATGACCCAAAATCCAATGGGAGTCTCTCGACGAGTCCGTATTGTAGCCACCATCTGTCGCGCCACCGACGGGCTGCATGATCTTGCCTTGCTGTGGCGGTTTTGGCGGCGCCATCTTGGTTCAAGGTGTTGTATTGGCCCAAGGCCTACAGGCTGTTCTTGCAGGGCAAAGGCAAGTCAAAAAAAAAAAAAAAAAAAAAGAGCGCGCCTGTTGGCGCCTTTCAAGAAATTATCCTGCGCATCTGCCCTGTCGGACGTCGTGCCCCCTTCTTCAGCCTAAGGCGTGTTCGCAAAACAGAGTGGGATAAGGTGAGATGGTCGGAGCGTTTACCGATCCAACGTCATCAGATCCCGATCCCGCATCTGCAATCCGCAGTTTCAGGCGGTAGTATTCCTGACGGCTTGTGGGGGGGGGGGGCAAAAAGACGAAACTCACGCCGGGTAACCGTATCGGTATGGTCAGTGACCATATTGCAAAAGCACCGCAATCGCTGTAGCGAAGAAATGGGGTATCGCTAGGTTGGAAGAGGATATTAACACACCCTTCTGTTCAAACGGAGGGGGCGAGGCTGAGCCTTTGAGAGGTGGACGGCGAAGTGTTTGAGAAAAAGGGGAAGAAGGATTACGATCGTACATGAGGGCGTTTTCATGTTGAGTTACTCGAAATTAGTAGATGGTGCTCGAATGGTTGGGTACTTCCTGCAGTGCTACATCAAGTACGCACGTACAAGTACATTGAACCATCAACATTTACTGCTCTGTGAATCATAGCTGCCATAGCACTTGGTATAGGAAATACCGTAGCAGTGAAGCGGGAGAGTGGCAGCGGCCAGGAGGACGGGGACCCGGGATACACGGGTGGTGGCCAGTCCTGGTCCCTGCCACGCTACTGAACCCAATCCCTGTCCCCCCTCGTGGGGCGCTCAGGTTCTTTGCTTGGTCTCTTGATTTTCTGGTTCTGTTCCGGCCCCAGGACAGCGGAATCCCCCTTTGACCCCTACCCTGCATCCGTCCGTCTTCTAGGCCCCCCTGTCCCCTCTTTTCCTTCCTCTTCGGGGGAGTGTGTGTGCCCTACAGAGCACTGCTGTGGAAAGATCCTCCCACGCTGCCTGTTGGAACGTGGCGGGCACAACCCTCTGTAGAGTAGCGCTACCGCAGGACTATAGGGCGTACCTGGCGCTAAATTGACACTGACAGGGTCCCGCACTTCCTACCCCTGTTTAGCCCCATCTCCACCGGCAGGGTGCCTGTATGTCCAATGATTGTGCACTTTTACCGTGCGCAATGTCCGGAGGAGTTCTTCTGTCCAACAGTCAAAGTCCTTTTCACGAGGCGATCTGAGCTCACTTTCGACCCTGCCTTGGGGGTCTCCAGCTCCTTCTCCTTCACCACCTCGTCGCGTCCACCCCATCTGCAACAACATTCCTCCCCCTCCTCTCCTCCACCACCACGTCCACGTGAGATCATCAGGCGCCACCCCCCCCCCATCATTCTTTTTTTTCTTTCTCATCCCACTCGTTTCTGCTTGACGTTCCTGGTCGGTTATCGGGTTTCTTGTCTTTCTTTTCTCGCCTTCGTTTGACGCTGAAGTGCCCTTCGGCTTCGGGTCTCGCTTCGCCCGTTTATTTTTCGACTCTCACCGCAGTATTCTTACTTAGACGCTGTCCGGGCTCGTCTATTCGACCTGGAAGCAGATACACTTCACCAGGCCTTGAGTCATCTGATCTTGGTATTTACTCGAAACCAAGACGAAAAGTCAATCCACTCGCTCCACTCGATCCGATCCAACTCGAATCGTTCAATCACCATCCAACATAGCCACTCAATCACGCACCGACCAGCAGAGACCCCAGACAGCGAGACACAGACACCCTCGGTTCAGCTCTGGCATGTGAGGATCTGACCATCAGTCCTTCGTTCTATTATCTTCCATTCCTCAACAGTCGCGGCCCATTGAACGCACCAGAGTCCTGTTGTCGGGGATTGCTCCTCAAACTGCAGCGGACTGCTCTACCTTTGCGCAACTCAACCCACCGACTCGTCGCACCATACCACAGCAGACCAGCACCGTACCTGACCCTCGTCTGGCCCGCTCTCTTGAGTTGTACCACCCCTCCCCTGCGGCTGTCCGCCAGTCGACATCTCTTGAGCAGCGTGGGCGACATTCCCAGAGAACACACAGGGTTGAGATCCCTTCGAAAGTTCAGCTTCGCCAACATACCTGGTTCCGTCCTGATTCTCTGAAACGCTTCCGACACCTGCAACGATCAAGAGGTGAGCAAACATCTTCTAGCCGCAACATCCCTACGCCTTCAACAACGGTGGAGCCACCATCCCGGCGAACGCATCAATGTTTCTTTCCCATGCGGTGTTCTTGAGTACCGTCACCCTTCACCAAGCAGATTCCACTCTATTCCTCCCCAAGAAGTCATCGTCATATTTCAGGCACCAAACCCCACGAGGGTGCGGCACTCCAGCAGCTGCGTTTGGTTCCTGCCGCTAACGCAAATGTGCCACAGATTTCCCCAGCTCCTCTGATCTCGAGAAGTCGAAACACACACGTTTGTCCGTTGGCTGGCTCACTGTGAAGCCACGGGTGCTCTGATGGACGCAAACTCGTAAAGAAAATTCTCCTCTTACAGTCGGCTACGTGGCTCGTATCGTCTGAAGGCACCGTCGCCATTTAATCTAATCAGCAACTACTACGACCATGAATCGCTTTAAGAACAAGAAGAAGGGTGCGAAGGACCTGGACTCGGCCGACCCACGCCCTTCCCTCGAGTCCGAGTCCTCCTTCTCCCTCTTTCGCCGCGGAAAGAAGAATCTTGAGCAGGAAGCGAAACAAGAAATTGACCTGTCCCTGGCGCTGCCTTCTAATGATGACTTCCGTACAAGTCTCCTGATGAACGGCCTCTCGGCGCGCTTCTCGATGCTCCGTGAGCAAGACGACCCGAACAGCAAGATTGGCAAAGCTAGTGACGACAGCGTCTTGTTTCCGAAGCGTCAGTCACGACTCGCAGACTTCGGTTTCAGCGGTGGGAATGCCCTCGGCGATATAGCCGAGGTCGAGTCGATCAGGGCCCCTCCATTCATGCGGACAGACTCCATAGCCTCCAATGAGTCCGGCGGGGTGATGACGAGGTCAAGACCCTTGGAGAGCAACGTCCTGTTTGGCGGCAGACAGAAGATCTACAAGATTGCAGCTGGCACTGCCTCGACGAAGAATGTTGCTGACGGTATGAGTGGGCGCGCCCTATACGACGACGACGTCTCCTTGTCCGCATTTCAGAAATGGAGACAGGCGGAGAAGGATAAGGAGGCAGGGATGATGATGTGCGGCGATGATGAAGAAGATGGCGAGAAGACGATAAGCAACGAGGCTAGAGGGACGGAGGATGCATCCTTCATCACGAGATCCGAGTCTCCATTGCCCCCTGGCTACAACAAGAAGAGGGAGACTTCTTCAACGACCTCATCCACCCCATCTGGCGGCCGAAACTCGACCGCTGCCACTTCGATTGTCTCACAGTCAAACACAGCTTCCAAGGACATCCACTCACAGCAGACAGCAACATCCTCGGCGGCTTCAACACCCTCACTGGACCGACATGTCACCCGGACTCGCAGATTGTATGAGCAGGGCTTGACCCAGGACCTCCAAGAACAGCAGCACTCGGTCCTCTCACGGGTGGACACGCTGGCGCGCCGCCCTGGAGGCGCTCGCACGCCCGAGCTGGGGCCCAATTCTCCTTCTCCGACCATGCAGACTTTTACGGATCGGTGGGCGGCCTATGGAGGTGAGCGTCGGACCGTCGTCACCAAGGGTAGCGCCCCGAATCTGCGGTCCATCAGCCCACCAGCCACTGGTCCTCTCAACGGATCCATGACATTGAATACGCGTGTCTCGAATGTTACAGATGGAAAGCCTGGAGTCTTCACACCCCCGCCCCTGAGTCCTCCGATCAGCGATGCCGGCACGGGTGAGCAAGTCCCACTCAATATTCAACCACAGGACCTCGGTAAAGCTACCGCCATGAACATGTTTCAGAAGCCGAACGCAACCTACGACGATTCCAAGTACGCCGAGAGGCAACGTCAGCTTCAGATTGGCCGAGAAACGCCCACGCGGAGATTCCATGACGACCCTGATCTCTCATTCTCTGAGTCTCGTTCTCAGTCAGATGCTTCCAACCGGAGGCAGGAGGTGGACACCAGACCAGCCATCGTATCAGTACCATCAGACCAGGACAAGGCGGCGTCTGCACAACAGGATGCTGAAGTTCCTTCATCTGGCGAGACTATCGAGTCGCCCATCCTGAATGAGCATGTCTTCTCAAACCAGACTTCCCCCGAAGTTAGATTGGAGCGACCGTCCGATCAAGATCATCCCGCCTTTCGGAATCCAGCACCAGCCTCGACGCCAATGTTTCCCTCCAAAGCGAAGGAGCAGCAGTGGCCTGCGAAGGCCGGCCTGCTTTCTGTTGGGCTCCAGGCGCCGACTCTGGCGGATTCCCCAACGCTGGGACCTAATGTGGGCCTGAGTGGCATGGTACGGCAACACTTGCGCTCAGAAAGCGATGTCTCGTCAATCTATGCCCCACACAACGATGCACAGTCTCCGCCCAGTAGACGCGACGATCCTCTCAAGCCCAAGAAGCCCTGGGAGGAGTCAGCATGGACTGCATCTCCGGAAGCTGCTGTTGAGCAGAGCCCTCCCGACGCAAGAAAGCCCGCGTTGTCCAAAAGAGAGGAGTCGACAATGGCGCAACCCGAACCAAGAACGTTCCTCGACTCGCCACGTTCCCCAGATGAGGAGGATGAATTTGCCAGTCAACTAGCCAATGCACGCCGACGTGTAAGAGAGAAGCTCACCTCGTTTGTGGAGACCGACGCCCAGTCATTCTCGCCGCCAACAGTGGCAGCGCCCACAAGTGACCTGCCGACCCCGCCGCCACGGTCAAATCCTCTGGGTATTTTGAAAGTCAAGAGTAGCCGCGGGTCCCTGATCGACCGAGGCCGGGAGGCTGTACCGCATTCTATCAAGGAGCACGATGAGACCAATGATACCGAGGCGCGGTTGAACGAAGAGGAGGATGCGCACCCCAGCCTGAGAGCCTTCCGACAGGCAAGGCGGGAAGTTCAGAGGCGCAAGGATCTCGAGGCGGGGGCCAGATCTTTGCCGCAAATGGGACAACCAATGATGCCTGCACCGCTGGAACAAATGTCTGGGGCTCCTGGGCCACGACGAGGAACATCACGCACTCCCAGCAGCGAGCGTCAGACCGTCAATCCCCGCCAATATCGACAGATGAGAGAGAACTCTCCGCAAGATGCACCTCTACCGCCTCGATCGCGATCCAAAGTCGCTCGAGACCGTAGCGAGTCTGAGAACAGCGAAGGTTCAGGTCGGTCACGAAGCGGGCCTCCGCCACCCAGATCGAGGGATCGTCCGGAGTACAGAGACGGCCAGCCTATGCCTGCGGAGATGCTCAGTGCTCCGGGCCAGCACAGCCCCATGATTCGGTCTCCAGGATTGCCTGGTACCGATATTCGACGTTCACCTCATATGCCGCCCGTTGCTGCCTTTCCAAATGGTCCCCGCGGCAATACTCCAGCGGCGTACCATGATAGCAATGGCCCTTCACCAACTATGAGAAGCCATCCAGGAAGGTCAATGACCGGGCCCATGCCTTCTGGGCAATTCCCTCTCTCTCCTCAAGGCGGAAAATTCGACCAACCCCGCGGCCCCTACCAACCTAATCACGCGTCTGGATCAGCCCCTGCGACACCTACTGGCCCGCTCCCGAGACGCCCCTCTGTCGCCACCAACTCCCATGCGACTGCAACCGGCTCGACGCTTACGGACTCGATGAAGAGGGTCGTGAATAAGAAGGACATCTCAGAGCCAACATTTGTGATGTCGACGTCCCGAGTTCCGACGACAAACTTACCGTCTTCTGCTGCAGGGGGCAACAGGTCGAGAAGTGGAAGCGTCGCTGACCCCGGCTCACCACCACCTCTGCCACCAGTCAACCCGAGGCGGAGGCGTGATAGCTCTCGAACAAGGACGATCATGGGCGGCCTGATGGGCAGCCGCAGGGGCGAAGAGGCAGACAACGCTGCTTTTAGTGCGAGCTCGCCACAACTGCCTCTCGTGCCCCCTCCGGCAGCTCCTTTCGCCCAGACCGCTGAAGGAGACTGGAACAGCGCCTTTTCGGCAAACGACGAAAGTCGACGCAGGCTGCGAAAGGCCAGTTCTGAGATGAAAATGGACGCGCGAGCCACTATAGGTCCTGGCAAGCGGATCAGCCCCCCACAGGTTGCTGTCGGTCCGCCGGCCGGCAGAGCCGTGGTGATGGGCTTGCGCGGAGGGCCTGCGCCCAATCTGCCTGGTGGCATGTTTTAGCCGACTGGCTCTGCAATAACGACAACTATAACAACAACATACTTAACAACTTATTCGATTCAGATACCGATCCGACCTACGAAGTCGCTTCAGGTGGCTGCTTTCAGTCAGCATTTCCCCTGCAAATGTCATCAAAATTGGCATGGTCGGCGTAATTTTGGTTCCTATATGAGATGGTGTGTGTGTGAAGGGGCAACCAAAGGGAAAAAAGAGAGGGAGCGAGATACCTTTTTGTATAATACATGTGTTCATGTTGAGGGTCTTCGGTCTTTGCTTCCATCCTTGCGTTGTTCTTAATTTTCTTTATTTTTTATTTTTTTATTTTTTATTTACCACTGGACGTTCCGTGGTGAGAAGTCTTGAGGCGAACTCAACGACATCAGGAGTTTCATTGTTTATGAATTTTCCAAGGGGGAGGAGACCACATACGGTGCCAGATGGAAGGCAGGGAGGGGGGTCGCGAAGGCGAAGAGAAGGGTCCCAGGAGCAGGCGACCAGATCCCGCATCTTCACAACGATCCCTCATGCTGGACACAGAAAATACGAAGGAGGCGTGCCGACTCTAGGCCTGCAGAAAGAGAGGGGGTGCTTCGCGAGACAGACCAAAGTGGGATACGGTAGCGAAAGTAATCTCTAGTCGGTAGTGCTCGCCAACGTGCGTATCAATTAAAGTGATAAATCAATTTCAAGAACCATCATCGTCTTCTAGCTTTTTATTGTCTTGATATTGTCGGGGGCAAAGCGCGTCTACGAATCATATTCACTAGACAGAAGAGGCCCATTGGTCGGACATAAAGAGAGAGAGAGAGAGAGAGAGAGAGAGAGGAAGATATCAGTCATGAGGAAGAAGTATAGATGCATACATACATATATATATATGTCAACCCCCCGCCCCCAAAAAATAAGAAACCAAAGAAGAAAAAAACCTGGGCCTCTTGGGTAATGGCTTTCCTATAGCCGCTCGCCTACCCCAAACTCCGCCCTTCCGTCAAGCCGCCACCCCGACTCCTCACCTTGACAAACACAGGCAGGCCACCGTCCATCGGCAGCGTCAGGCTGCTCTTGCTCCTCCTCTCAGTCCCCTCGTAGGCGGGCACAAAGTCAAACGACCACACCACGGCGGCGATGACCTGCACGGCGACCAGCTCGGCCATGCGCTTGCCCAGGCACGTCCTGGGCCCACCGTTGAAGACAGGGAACTCGGGAGCGGGTCTGGTTGTTGTTGTTGTTGTTGTTGTTGTTGTTGTTGTCGTCAGTGGGAACCCGCCACCGGCGGCGGCTGAGTGGTTCTGCTGTTGAAGCCAGCGCTCGGGTCGGAAGGCGGTGGCGTCGTCGCCCCATGTGAGGCGGGAGCGGTTCATGGCCCAGGGACACCAGACGACGACGGAGCCGGCAGGGAGAAAGGTGCCGTCTGGGAGGGTGGTGGCGGACTGGGCTTGTTTGATCTCGAAGGGGATTGGGGGCCGGAGGCGGAGGGACTCGAGGAGAACGGCGTGGGTGTAGGGGAGGGCGGATGGGGTGAAGAGGTTTGGGTTGAAGGGGAGGCCGGCGTCGCTATGAGGAGGGGAGGGGGAGGAAGAGGAAGAGGAGTCGTCGTCCAGGAGGGACTGGACTTCACTACGAATCTTGGCGTAGGCGTAGCGGTGGTGCATGAGGAGATGAAAAGTCCATGTCAGAGCCTGTGCGGTGGTGTCGCGGCCTGGTTTCGGGTGTTGTTAGTGCAAGGCCATCATTATCGGTGCAACTCACATTCTCAGGTAGATGGCAGTCTCACCGGCGGAAAGATAATTCAGCGCTGCGTCTGCGACCATACGCTGGTCTCCAATCGAGTCCAGCAACGACTGGATCAGGCTCCCGGAGATCTCATCAAGCTTTTCATTCCCAGATGCTGCTGCTCCCGGCGCTTCTGCTGGAACCCCACCCACCAGTCCTCTCTTTCGGTCCTCGATGGCACTGTCGACAATTCTTTTGCCAAATGCCCCAACGATGGCGACAGACTTCTTCATCCTCGAGCCAAAGAAGACCTCAGTGACCTGCCACAGTGGGTTCTGCACCCGCTCGGCACAGACTCCAGAGGCGTAGTCGAAAGCGACGCTGAATTCGTCATCGGCGTGCATTTCCATCTGCAGGGTGGGGAAAATATGAGTTTTACATGAATATACAGGGGGCAGTAAGGACAGCAGCAGAGGGGGAGGGCGTACGTTGTATGCCATCTTGCCCATCAGCTGGCTCGTGATCTCATGGAACACGGCTTGCAGGTCTGCCTCGCGACGGCCGCCGCCGCTACAACTGGCCTTGAGATGGCTGATACTCTGGGCCAGGTATCGCGGCAGGGCAACGTCTGTGAGGACCTGGAGGTTCTTGTTGTTTAGAAAGCTCAGGCCGGCTTTGCGCTGGACCCGCCACAGCTCGCCGTCCGAGTTGATGATACCATGTCCTACAAGACACCAGCCATTGATTATCAGCCTGAGGAAGACCTTTGCCGCACGATAATCATCATATCACATCTGGGTGACAGTCCTCGCAGAACTCACCAAACAAGTCCCACAGGGGCTTCTTCATGAATTCTCCCTTGGCAAAGACGCCCTCGTTCTTAAATACAAACTCTAGGTTCTTGGGGTCGTTGATGACAACGCCAGGCGGCAGGCTGGGCACGTAGAGCTCAAAGGTCTCGCGGCCAAAGAGACGCTCACACCTGACGAACCAGCCAAAGAGCTTCTCTCGGGCCTGGAGGAAGAGCAGGCCGTTGCCCACCAGGGGCAGCGTGTTGGGTGGTTTTCTTTTTTTTGTGAGCAAGGTCTTGGTCAGTTACAAGTGTGGCTCTGAGTGACTCTGCGTAGTATGATGCGATGTGATGTGGACCGCGGTTGCGGCAGCAGGGAGAAAAAGAGAGAGAAGCCAAACTCACTTGAGATACTGTCCATCTCTTTGGATGCCGCTTTTTCTCAAAATGGAGGAGAGAACGAGGCCGACGAGGAGGATAAGAACTGCTGATGCTGAGGGGAGCCAGCCTGTAGAGATAGTACTGAGGCTGGCCATGGCTTGAGGTGATGATTGTGGCTCTCAACGGCTGGAATACCATCAATACCCAGGTAGTGTTGTATAGCTGCTTACAGCGCATGGGGGATGGTGGGTTTCAGGCCCCCCCCCCCCAGGCTAAAGTATCTATACTCTAGCGCAGTGTACAGCGCTATGCAGCAGTGATCTGAGAGCTAGCCCTTGCTCCCTCAGCCCCTGAACCCGAGCTCCCGAAACACAGCACGGTGACCCGTCATCGTCATGGATGGGTAAACCTTGTCTCAACCGTCGTCTCGACGTCTCAAGAGCTCATGATAAACCATCGGAGTTGCACACGCAGGAAAGGTTCAATTGCTCTTCTCTTCTTTAAGAATGCTCTTTTGCTTCCTGTCCTCCATTTCGTCCTCATCGCAAGCTCAAAAGCCATTCCCCAATCCCACTTAACTTGTGGACTATTCCTGTCAGCCTTACTGACCTTCTCTTATACGGCGGCGTTTACCCATCAACCCAGCCAGCTTGATTGAGAGACATACTTCATCTCTCTCTCTCTCACACACACAGAGAGACCTTCACTAAATACCCCCTCTCTAAGGGATCCCCAAGATAGACTACTACAATTCCAAGATGGCGCCCTGGCTCCCACGCATGCACGTCTTTGAGATCCACGACCAGCCCTGGTAAGCTCTCACCCATTTCATATTCAAACCATCTTCCTTTCCAACACAGCAAGCCCCTCTCTCACAAGCAACAAGAACAAGCCGGCTAACACAATCATCACCTCCCCCAGGTTCCATCCTTGGTTCCGAGCCAAGGTTCAGGCTGCTCTCACGGAGACCTGGCTCATGAGCCTCCGCCCCCTCCAGCCCGAATCCCCCGCCTCCATCGTCGCCAGGGTCCTCGCAGACGACCTGGGTGACAAGGTGGGGGAGTTCGTCTTCGTGGACTACTGCGCAGGCGGAGGGGGCCCGACGCCCTGGATTGAGAAGTACATCAACAACGAGCGGGCGACGACGAAACCCCTCCTCGCCGGCGCGGCTGCTGCTGGTTCTGGTGGTGATGATGCGAACGATAGTACGACCAAGGCCACCAACGGCGTTGTGAAGACTGAAGACGACAACGGCCAACAAAACAAACAAGCAAAACAACAACCAGTCCAGTTCGTCCTCACAGACCTCCACCCCCACATCCACAACTGGGCCCTCTCCGCCGCCGCCTCGCCCAACATCCACTACGCCCCCAACCCAGTCGACGCCTCCGCCTCGCCCCCAAACCTCCTCACCACCATCGAGCCCCCGCTCCCCTCCCCCTCGTCCCCGCTGCAGCCGAGACAAAAGACCAAGTCCTTCCGCACCTTCCACCTGGCCTTCCACCACTTCCCCGACCCCCTGGCCCGCGCCATCCTGCGCGACACCCTCCAGACCTCCTCGGGCCTCGCCATCTTCGAGCTCCAGGACCGCACCCTCCGCTCCTTCTTGTCCGTCCTCCTCCTGGGCCTCGGCGTCCTGGCCTTTGCCCCCGTCTTCGCCTGGCGCTGGCGGAGCCCCGGCACCCTGTTCTGGAGCTGGGTCGTGCCTGTGCTCCCGTTCGTCCTGGTCTGGGACGGCTGGATGTCGTCGGTGCGGACGCGCACCCTGGAGGAGGTGGAGGAGCTGATGCGGTCCTGTGGGGCAGACGGGGATGGGGAGCTGGGCGCCTGGCGTGTGAGGAGCGGGAGGATCACGCATTTGCCGCCGTGGGCGGATCTGAACTGGATCATTGCCACCAAGGAGGGGGAGGGGGAGGTAGTGTAAAAGGTTTGATCATGGGTCAAAACACTTGCATCAGGCGAGATCGTTTCTTGGTCTCTTCTACAAAAATAAAAAAAAAAGGATCCCGGGGGGGGGGGGGGGGGTTGGTACAAGTGAATAGATAGATGAATACCAGGCACGTAATGGAGGAGATGGCACGCATACGTGTCTGATTGTTGAAAGCTTTCTCATTCTCAGTCTGCTTTGCACGGTTCTGGATACATAAAGTGATCCCGTCCGATATTCCATTGCTATCCTCCTATCCCCCTCCTACTGAACACAATCAGGTTCCATCCCATGGCGCATCTTTTTTGAGAAACAATTGATGGCGGTTCATTTGCCTCGGAGCGCGGAGCGCGTGTGCTCGTTGCCAGGCTCGCGAGTGTGGTGGTAAGTACAACACACACTCTCCAATTTTGAAATCCCCCGGCGGCGGGGTTTGTGGTATCATCATATGACCTATCGCGCGGAGCGCGTATGCTCGTTGCGGGCCTGTTGATAGGATTGTCCTTTTGCCTTCTAGCCAGAAGCCAGCCAAATGCCCAATGTGGTTTGTTGTTGTGATGCTCATGCTCGTCATGTCATTTCCTTGCTTAACAAAAAGAAAGAAAGGCAGAAAACCAAAAAAAAAAAAAAAAAAAAAGTCCAAAAAGTATTAAAATAGACAGGTTGTTGAGAAGGATGCAACAAGTTTCGCTCTTAAAAGAGGAGGACTTGTCTAGACTACGGGGCCAGCCTTGATGACCTCCTCAGTCGCCTCGGCCTCGAACTTCTTGAAGTTCTCGACAAACAGCTTGCCCAGCTTGGTAACCTCCTCCTTGAAGCTGTCGGCGCCGGCTGTCCAGGCCTTGGCCGGGTTGAGCAGCTCAGAGGGAACGCCAGGGCAGCTCTTGGGGACCTGCAGGTTGAAGACGTCGTAGTTCTCGTACTCGACCTTGGCGAGCTCGCCCGAGTGCACAGCGTCCAGGATGGCACGCGTGTACTTGAGCGGGCAGCGCTTACCGCCCTGGGAGGCACCGGCACCAACCCAGCCGGTGTTGAGCAGCCAGGCATTGGTCTGGTGGTGCTCGATCTTGTCCGCCAGCATCTTGGCGTAGCGCATGGGGTGCAGGGCCAGGAAGGGCTGGGCGAAGCAGGACGAGAAGGTAGCCTGGGGCTCAAGGACTCCGTCCTCAGTGCCAGCCATTTTGGAGGTGTAGCCAGAGATGAAGTGGAACATGATCTGGGCGCGGCTCAGCTTGGAGATGGGCGGCAGGACACCGCGAGCGTCGCAGGTGAGCAGGATGATGTTGCTCGGGTGGCTGGGCGACAAGCACGGGATCTTGGCGTTCTCAATGTACTCGATGGGGTAGGCGCATCGCGTGTTCTCGGTCAGGGTCGCGTCGTCGTAGTCGACAACACGAGTGTCAGGGTCGAAGACGACGTTCTCCAGGACGGAGCCGTACTTGATGGCGTTGTAGATATCTGGCTCCTTCTCGCCCGACAGGCCAATGCACTTGGCGTAGCAACCTCCCTCAATGTTGAAGACACCATCGTCGCTCCAGCAGTGCTCATCGTCGCCGATCAGCTTCCGGCGGGGGTCGGCAGACAGGGTGGTCTTGCCAGTGCCCGACAGGCCGAAGAAGAGGGTGACGTCGCCCTTCTCGCCCTCGTTGGCGGAGGAGTGCAGGGTGAGCACGTTGTGCTTGACAGGCATCTCGTAGAAGAGGACGGTGAATACGCCCTTCTTCATCTCACCAGCGTACTCAGTGCCGAGGATGACCATCTCCTTGTCGGCAAAGTTGACAGCAACGGACGTGCCAGAAGTCATACCCTCGGTGAATTTGTTGGCGGGGAAAGAACCAGCATTGTAGATGGTGTAGTCGGGCTGGAAGCCCTCCAGCTCCTCGCGAGGAGGGCGGATGAGCATGTTGCGCATAAAGAGAGCATGGTAGGCGCGGGCGCAGACGACACGCACACGAATGCGATACTTCTCGTCCCAGCCGGCATAACCGTCAATAACGTAGATGCGGCTCCTCGTGTTGAGGTAGTCGACAGCACGCTCGCGGTTGATCTTCCAGACCTGTACAATGAAGAAGCATCACATGTCAGCCAACCACCAATCCCGGATTGTCGGTTCAAGTTGCGGTTTCAGACAGACCCCTCCAACCGGGTGGGAACGGAAAATGCAGGATAAGACGTGCAGCGGCAGTGGGGCAGATTCAAGGCTGTGGAAGCGGAATTGGCAACCACAGCGGGGTGCATAGGCTGGGGCTAGGGAGGGGCTAAGGGCGGGCCTGGGCTTGGTGGGGTACAATATGACCTCAGCGACAGGGGGGACGGTGCTTCCAGATGCATCTTGCACTAAGGTGCACCCGTAGCAGCAAACCAGCCAGACCAGCAGACCAGTCGAAGACTGACTCTTGACAAACCGCGAGACGCATTTGGTGCGATGACTCGGGCGCAGAGTGATGAACGTTCTCCAATGCTATGACGTCGAAAGTGGGCTTGACGATGTGTTTTGGGGGAAATCAATCAAATCTGATCGGCAATTGGAGGCGGGAACACGCGCGCACACTCGCCAAGCATGCTGCGGCTGATGACGACTGGGCAGAGAGGGGTTACACCAGAGGCACTACCACGGGCAGCATGTACCTTGTAGGATCGCAGGAATGACAAGAAATGAGAGGGTAACTTCTCAAAAGCGAAAGCAGGTCGACCTGCGAGGGGAAATTATTGCTCACCTCAGGGCTCATGGGCTTGTTGACGGGTCCCCACCTGTATGATGTTAGTTGTTGGAAAAAAGGGTCATCCTGCTGGCAGGAGGTCAAGTTTGGGCCACGCTACAAACGTACCAAATATCCTCTTCTGACGAAGGCTCCTTGACAATCCGCTTATCCTGTGGCGAACGACCGGTCTTCTTGCCAGAGTAGGCGCTCAGGGCACCACTGGAGGTGATGGCGGAACCTTGTTCGTAGACGAGGGCATCTTCGTAGAGAGTGGCCACTGATGGGTTGGGAATCTGTGTTGATCGTGGTTACACTGTTAGCGTTTCCTGCCATTTTTATTTCCCTCCTCCTTCTCCTCGTTGCTCTCGCTACACCTGATTGTATACGTACAATGGCCACGCGGTTGTAGTCGATATGAGCCTCGGTGTACAGGAGCTCCTCTGTTCCACGGTTGTCAGTGGTCTATGTCCAAATGATTTTCTCTCACTGCGCACACGGGCAACAATGACAGAGGGAGCCTCGTGTATGTGGCGTACCGAGTTCAGTGTGTTCCGGAGGGTGAGGACTGTGTTCCAAAAAAAAAAATCAAAGTCAGCTTCTCTGCTTCTTGTCTGGTATCCAGCAGGAATCGTCATTTGACGGGGAGGTGACAATGACGAGCAAAAGGGAAGAAGGAGCATAGAGATGGTACATACATGACACCTCCCGGGTGAAGAGCGGTCTTGTTGACGGTATTTTGCTGCATCATGATCTTTCTCAGGTCTTGTACTTTGCCGGAAGCGAGTCTCTGGGCTTGAGGGCCTTGGACCTTGGGATCGTTGTAGGGAGTAGATGGGCGATGCATCGTGGGGCAGGAGAGACTTGAATGGGAAAGAAGGGGGCAGCGTGTGTTATTCTTGTAGTAGATCGAGGGGCCGCGAAGAATCGGATCAGAGACGACCGGAAAGGTAAGACTAAGAGCCGTAGTTGTGCACAGGGGAGAATGAGAACAAGGCTTGATGCTTGATGCTTGTGAAAGCGAGGTAAAGAGAACCCACTTTGTGGATGCCTATAGCTTTAAGGGTTGGATTGGGACGGGAGGGGGGCACACACATATAAAATAGCGTCTGAACCGAGGGTATAAATGAACGGGCTGGGTGGGGCGTTGACGGCTGAAGAGGGACGGAGGAGGGCAGCTCACTGGTCGAGAGGCGTCAAAGAAGGAGAGAGGCACGAAAACCAGCCGGGACGGTCACGATGTTGACCCCTGCAAGTTTCGGGAAGAGGGCTGATGACGGCGTACATCGTCATGTCACATAGGTTTGATCCGCGCTGTAAATTATGTCCTATGGTGTGTGTGTGGTAGGTACTCTTGACTAGCTAGTTGGTTGGGCAGGAGATGGGGGGTGGAGGGGAGGGCGGGGTCGAGAATGGGGAAAAGATGTCGGCAAGGGTGAACATCAAGTGACAGACAGTATACGGAGGGGAATACAGAAATAATGGTACCAGCGTGTGTGTATATGTTGCAGACGAAGTTGTGCTATTGTTAAAAAAGAGATGACGAAGACTAGGAATAGCTGCAAAAATTGTACGCTTGTCTATAGATGGTTTGTTCTGACAGCCACACTCGAGGTGTCTTCTTCTCATGAAGGCTGTCGCAATGATCGTCACACCACACAAGCAAGAGACTTCTTGGTGAGGGAGGCTGCAGCGGACGTGCCTGCGGGGGGCGCTGCAAGGCTGAGCACAGTACATGGTGAATAAGTCGGGCCCAGTCGGAGCGTAGAAGAACTTGCTGACCATTCATATCCCCTGCATGTGCTAACAACGCCCAACTGAAACTATGCTGTTGGTATTCAACTTCCCGACCCCTTGATCTGAGATCAAAACCCCTCTTCCGGTTGTGGCCGGCAGCCGCTCAGCCGTTCTTTCCCCAGAGTTCGTGTTATCCAATAGTAAGTTTTTTTGTACCATAGTACTTTCCCTTTCGCTCGCCCCTCGTCCGGCTAAGCTTTTCTCCTCCTGGGTCCTTTCTTCTCCCCGCTGTTGCCCACTCAGTTCACCAGCAAATAGCTCTGTTGGGTTTTCAGATCCGGGTTCCAAATCCAGATGGCAGACCCCAGATTTCGACGGGATCTTGTTAACAGCCCCTCTCCTCCTTCCTCCCCCCCTTCTCCTCTCCGCACCCTCCTCCTCTTCTCTGTACCTGCTCCCTCGACCGCACTTCCACCACTTTTCGTCATTCCTTTTTGCTTCTTCTTCGACAGGTCACACAATCATGTTGCAGTACATCGTATCCCAATTTTAGCTAACACTTACGTACCCCCTCGGAAGAACCAGAGCACCCGGCACGATAATGAACCGGAAGGAGGATATGTGCCGCCCTCCTCTCAACCACGGATGCCCCGCCCCTCATCAGGCCCCCTGTCGTCACTAACCATAGTACGCCACACAGCAGGTCTGCCCCTCCAACCAACCCCGCAATGACTGGGGGTTCATGACAATCGGGCCCCACCACCGTTTCTCCCCACAACCGGTTTCCACAAGTAACCCTACCCTTGAACGTGTTCCGATAAATTCTCGTTCAGCCCTCTGATTCCTCTTTTTCGCATACTCATTTTGTGGATGTGTAGGTATCTGTTCCTCTCATCGGTGCAATACGAAACGAGAGAGTACAAGGAAAGTTTGCCTAGTTCATCTGCCTGGCGTCGCAGCCCTGACACAAAGGACGAGGCGAGTGAGAATTACCCGCTGTGGCAGGGCCAAAGTGAGACAAGGAAGAACAGAGAGCACGCGACCAATTCCTCCTTCTGCTGAGCGCGTTGTGACTGGGCAGGTCCTGTGTATCTCCTCTTCACGTGCTTCTTCGCCAAGCATTGAACCAGAGAATCGGGACGCATGCGCCAAGGGTACACTGCAGACGACAAACTGAGAATTGAGGGGCCGGGCCTCCTTGACAGACGCCATAAATCATGGCACAGGAGAGACCAGACGACAAGACGTCAACAGTCCCAAGCCCAAGATTGTTTGTCTCACAGATACAACGTTGTGCAAAAGACTATGCACACGTACATGTACTAATTGTATAGCCAACCCGGAACTTCCCCTATCTCTCAACATCAACCTCAGCGATCCCCCACACCGGCTCCATTGCCGTGTGTTATGCAGGGGAGGGTGGGAGGGGTTTAGGATTGTACTATAGTACACATACTTCCACTAGACCACGATATTCTTTCCTCCCCTGGACATGGCCAATACGCTTCCAGCCAAATACGAAATTAGAACCCAGGCTCCGGTTCTCGACCTGCATCCTACGGGCCCCGTCGACTCTCCCCTCCCTCTCCCCCCCCGCCCGGCCACGGCGACTTGTACACCGGCGGTGGCCCCCCCCCCCCCCATCTGAAACAAACCTCGACTACTGTATGTTGCCACTTTGCTTCGCCTCTGCGTCCCGTATGTCACCGATGGACAACAAGGTTTCCTCAGGGATCGGCATAAATAGGAATCCAGACAGGTTATAGGGGAAAAGGAACGAAAACAGGTTCTGTTGCCCATGGGAAGCCACACTGAGCCGAGCGGACCTAAACTCGCTGGCTCGGTGCGTCGGTGCGTCGTGAGGATTGTCCACCGAAGCAAAGAGAACATACAGTAGCAGCAGCAGCAGCAGCAGCAGCAGCATCCATCCTATTCTGAACATTGGCACAACTCGTCACAGCAGGAAAATTAAACCATCCCGTTTCATCCATTATACATTGGAGAGAATCTTGACTTGAAGTTCTGGACCAGACTAATGCATACAATCAAATAGTCAGACACCAAATTGCTTGAAGACGATGTAGATACAAGACACTTACACTTGGAGAAAGACAAAGCCTTGGTGTTCCGCCGGCAATTCTCATCCGGAGGGCCGAGACTACGCACTTCCTGCTCCGTTCCCCCATTCACCGCCGCCCGGGTCCGCGCCTCCGGCCTCAAGACGGGACCAGATGCCCTACCTAAATATGCATAGAATAGAATTCAACCATTAGCGTTGCTCCCAGCGAGAATTTCCTTTTGGGGCTGAATAGGATAGTGCCGATAATGATGATCAGGGGCAAAGGAAGTAGGATGAAGAACAGTCTTTTTTTCCTTTTTCCTTTTTCCTCCACCGCTACCTAATGGTGATTGTTCTGTTATAACCTTTATCACCATCTATTGTATTTATATTGTCACAGTACGTCGTCTCTCATATACTCAATAAACCCATTCGCACACACACCTACTTACTCACAAGACGAAGCAGAAACCTTTCCAGGTCTCGAAAGGGAAGGGGGAAAACATCAATCACCCTTCTCTTCTACCACGAGAGGCACTGGTCCAGCACAGGGACGGAGACGTTAAACTGGTACTCATCATCCCACTTGCCCGTGACATACGCATCCAGCCCAAAGTCAAACACACTCACGACCTCGACGCCATCCGTGCAGGCCGCATCGCCCTTGTCCGTGACAGTGGGCACCCCCGAAGATCCGATGCTCTCCTCGGCATCGAGCGAGATCTCGGTCGGGAAGCTGGACCTGGGCGCGATGCCGCCGCTGACCTGGCGCGTGCCGTTGAGCAGCGAGAAGGCCAGGTCAAAGTTGGACTCGACAAAGGGCGTGGCGCTGACGCCCGCCGCCTCGGAGACGCTCACGCCCACGCTGAACGTCGGCTCCCACGAGCCGGAGTAGCTCAGGTTGCCCGTGTAGTCGAGCGTGAAGGTGCCGTTCTCGATCTCGGAGCCCAGCGTCAGGGTCACGTCCACGGCGGCGTCGGCCTCCACCACGGCCCCGATCTCGAAGCCGATGGTGGGGCCGAACGAGAGCAGACCGGGGATCTCCACCGTGCTCGAGCCTGCGTTGAACGAGTAGGCGAACGTCTGGTTGTAGGGGATGGCAAAGTCCAGGCCCAGCACGAGCTCCGAGGTGGTGTTGGTCTCGAGGTACGCCTCCAGGGACTCTGTTGTTGAGGAGGAAATATCCAATCTCATCAGCTCACTGTGAACAACGGGGGACAAAGAGGGGGGGAAAAAAAGAGAAGTAATGTTCAGAAAAGGAGGGATTGTACGTACCCAGCTCAGACTTGAGAACGTTGTACACGAGCGTGCCGCCCACGGTGATGGAGAGGTTCAGGCTCCCAGAGACGTCAGCGGTGAAGAAGTCGTCCGAGTACAGGGTTGTATCGTTCACCACCAGGCTTGTGTTGAAGTTCAACGGTGCTGGGCTGAAAGTGACGCTGCCGAGCGACCTCTTGGTCTCGCTGGTGTCGAGCAGGAACGGCAGGCCGTTGAAGTCGGTCCTGATATAAGCTATTATCTCCCCAACACTTTCGTCAGTATTCCCCATTCTGTTGTTTCCTCTTGATGAGTTTGTGAGGAGGAGGATCAATTTCTCACAGGCAACAGAGCTGACGTCAGTCTTTTGCGCGCCCGCCACGAGCGTCAGGGCCGAGGCGTCCGTCGTGAAGCTGTCGGCGACGAAGAAGCCGCGCTCGAGCTCGGAGTCGCAGTCGCCCATGTGGTTGGTGGTGAACAGCAGGTAAGGGAACGGGGACCAAGCGCTGTACGCCGCGTCGAGGTTGTCGGCGCTGTCGAACACGATGCTCACCGCGTCCGCCGCGCACGTCACCGACACCACGCTCGTCAGCCCCTCCAGCAGCACGTTGCCGTGCGTCGTCGTCAGGCCCACACTGACAAAGGACTCGTCCGTCCCGTAGGGCAGCGACGTGTTGTACTGCGGGGCGAAGCTGTCGGCGTCGTCCGAGGTCACCGTCACCGGCGCCAGGGTCACGTTGCCCGTGGTCGCGGGGTCAGAGTCCTGCCGGGCCACCAGCCGAGGGCTTGGGGCGGCGAGGGCTGAGCCCGTCAGGGCCAGCATAGCGAGAGCAGCAGCCATTATAGGAGGAGGACGAAAGAACAGAGACAGGGAGAGAATGTGTGTATGAGAGAGAGAGAGAGAGCGAAACACGCCAAAAGGAGGGAATATATCAATAAAAGGACTGAGAAAAGACGACGCGGGCTGCTAAACGAGGAGGACAACAACAACAACGAAGACGACGACGACGACAACAATCAGATCTAAGCTGGCGACATGGGGTTATGGCATGAGCATTATTATATTGTTGTGGCTCACCCACACACAGAAGCATACCACGGCTTCAACATCGTGAACGAGGCCGCGGATAGCGCAAGATAGGGTCATGATCACCGGAGTATGGGATTGACAGCTCCTGCACCTTCGAGACCCGCCCCGGTGCCGCGAGTCTATTAGGAAGGTAAACCATACGTGCTCAGCGTCGATGGCTCCATGATGTGGATGCGAGGATGGTCCAAGTCGCCGCCACTCCATGGGCCTATGTTTCCCAGCTTCCCCAATCAGTGTTGCCCTCTGGATGGGCTCATATGCACTACCCTCTCACTTGCCCCTCCGGATTCCGAGGAAGACCTGGGCAGGTTTGGTTTCCTTCCCCCTCACGATCGAGAGTGATCCGTTCGTATCCCCGTCACGCGTTCTGCGGAGGATCTAGATTCTCCTCCATCTCACACACGCATCTTCATATCCTGACATTTTAGGGAGACAGGGGGGCCTTCGTATTAACTGCTTGGTTGGGTGACACTGCTACCTACCATATATGAACCCTTTAATCAGGCACAAGCCGGAATTGCTTTTCCCACATTCCGTAAGCCTTCTTTTTCATCATGAACTAGCTATCAATCAATCCGTGATGATCCTCATCATCAACGACGACAACAACAACGACAACGACAACAGTCCAGACCCTCTTGCGCCTGTATACCCCCGCGTTCCTATAAAAAACTCTGAAGTCCAAGAGAAGCTTGGCCCGGGAAATGACGAGGCAGGATTCGGACCCCGAGCGACATGTCACGCGTGCCTTGCATTCAATAATTCAAAGAATCTAACAACAAAACGGAAAATGAAGAATGCATGCATTTACTAAAAGAGAAATCAGAGTGAACTACGAAAGTCGAGAGTTGGTGGGAAAGGAGAGAGAAGAGGTCCCACATTCTGCACAGCCCGAAGACCTGGCCAGATGCGTCCAGAGCTTTTAGTGAAAACAGAATTGATAATCTCTCTGTTGGACTGGACGGGCTCGGTTACAGCCGGGCGGGGAATGGATAGTTGCTGCAGAGTTGTGGAAACTGGGTGTTTGCTCGTCATTCATGATCGTATTCGCGTGGTTCCCGGATTGTTGGGTCTGCAATGTTTTAATCGTTAAGCGAGCATGCAGATTTATTTATGTCTGGGCCATTGCAAACCTCGCAGGTTCATATTCACAATAAGTGACAATTGATTATTCTGCACAGAGATAGGTCTATTATGCTGGCCTTCTTATCCCACATCTAAATGCATCACTTTGTCTTTTCATCACAAGTAGCAGTAAAGTCAAGTGAGCACCACTAATATCCACAACAGCACTCACACATACACACAACTCACCCATACAAACTCACTATTAACAACAGCGTCAGACTATCCGCAGTTATTACCATCCCAAACTTATGGACTTGGCCCCTTGCCTACTCATTATAATTCCACTCGATAGGCTAATCGTCTTCTCTGTTCCCGTCCTCTTCCTTCTTCTTCTTCTTCTCCTCCACCACCCACCCACGTTCAAGTCTCACCACAAAATCCACTCCCCCTTCCTCCTCTTTTCCTCCCAAGACCATAATACCGAGCACCAAAACCCTCCTCGGCCCTCCACCACCGAGCCCCACAGCGCTCCTGGTCCAGCTCGAACAGCCCACAAGGCCACTCGTGGTCGCCGTGGTGGATGAGCCCGCAGTGAGGACAGATCTGGACCGTCCCATCGGGCTTCATTTTGAGACCAAATAATATAACACACACAGGATCTCCCTAGTTGGGAGTAAAGAAGAAGAAAACAGTTGCTGTGAAAACGTGTTTTGGTGATTTATTGGTTTTAATCTGTTCGTCATTTAATATTGTGCCATTCTCGCCCTCCAGGAGATATCCCTTTTTTTTTTTTTTTTTTTCCTCCTTTTCCTTTTTCTTTTCCTATTATTTCTCATGCGTCTCCTCCTTTATCATAAAAGTCCGATTTAGCCGACAGTGACTCACAGTGTTGCTGATTGCAATTTGTCACCGTGACTCGACGAAACCGACTGCTCGGTGCGCCCGGTCAGACTAGGCATATCAAGCATCCTATATCGACCAGCTCGGTGTTGCATCATTCGAGTCAAGTGATCTACCTAGTCACTGGCCATAAATCACACTGATCATTCAAGACCACCACACAGCGTAAGGACGCGTTGCCGACAACCCCACCGGTATCGACTCCCAAAGCTCATCAAGACGCAAGTGTGCTCAGTTGAGACGAGACTCATCTCAGACATCCATCTGAGGCTCCTTCAGAGTCACCACATCTCAGTATAACCGAAAGTACAGTTCTGCCCCTTCGCCAATCACCGTCCCATCACTCGCCACCACTCGCGTGCACTCATACCCAACAAACTGGTCCTCCAGCAGCTCATTCTTGTAGATATCGCTCCACTCGTGCAGCACCGTCCGCGAGAGGTCGTTGGGGATGAGTTCGTACACCTCCTGGGCCAGGAAGGGTTCGTCAATGTATGTGACAAGCAGTTGCTTCAGTGTTGTGTAGTGGGTCTCGTCGTTCCTGAGCACGATGCCAGAGGGATGGACGGGATTCGCGAGCTCGGCCTGCTTCGGGGTCATGTTATGTTCGCCCTTGGTGTACTTCTCTGGGATGGGCCAGCGGTCCCAGGAGGGTTTCTGAGGGTCTTTCTCGACAGTAGATGTGGAGCTGGAGGCTTCGCTCGACTTGCCCTTGGGCATTTTCAAGCGGAGGGTAGGCATCATCGTCGGCGCAGGAGAAATCTCGCGTTTCTTCTTGAGGAGAAGAACAAAGCTCAGTGGGACCATGTCCACATTCTCAGGCTGTGAGAGCGCATAAACTAGAATCTCAGCCAGACGAACCATCCTCTCCCGGTACAAGGGAGGGTGCAAAAAAGGTTGGGGGAATCCGTCGCCCGGAAGCATCAGTTTGAAGACCATATAGCTGATCCATACCATGAGCACACTGGCCTGCCTGGAGACCTGAGACGAGAGCCCCTTGTGCGGGCTGGACCGCAAGGTGACGGAGCCCAGTATGTCAGCTCTTTCGTTCATCAGCCCGAGCAGGTCTGCCTCGAGTCCATTGTGCCCACCCGTTCCGAAGAAGGCGGACAGCAGCATGTTGAGCTCTTTGCTCTTGGCACCACCGATGGCATCCTTGAACTTTTCTCGGTCCTCGAGACATGCAAAGACATATGGAACCTGTCCCTGGTACATTGCCAGATGGAGGAATGACGGTGGAGTGTTGGCGTCCCCGGGTAACAATTGCTGCGAGTGGATATTCGCAAACCAACTTCGAATGTAGCCAGAGCCAGACTCCTCGGAGCGCGTCGTCTCGAGGTCTTTTCGCAGCCCTTCCATAAATGAATCCGGCAGCAAGAGCACATATGGAGATCCGTCGATCTTTCTGCCTTCGACCTGCATCACGCCTTGGACCATAGACGCGTACTGCCTGTGCCGGTGGGCATCAGCTTTTGGATCCTCCTGGGTCTTGGCAGCCAGGACCATCTCTGCCATCCTCAGGCGCGAGAGCATATGAAGTGTGGTAAACTTCCTCACCCCAATATCGGGGGCCTCCGTCGTGCCGCCACTCTCGAGCAAGAAATCGCTTCCCCGTGGCGAGTTGAGAAACTTCAGCACAGTGCTGTGGAAGAAATGGATCCTGCGGCCAAAGAACTGGTCGCTTTTTCGAGGCTCCCGGTGGTCCCAGTGCAACTTCAGCAGGCCCATCGTCATGAACATCACTGCTTCTTCGACATACTCCTGCTTCTCGCGAATCTCGTCCGCTGTAAAGGGCGCGACCGGTGTTTCGGGGAAGTCCAGATCTCGCAGGAGTGGCTGGAGCCATGAGAACCACAGGGCATTGGGCCGCTGGAGAAAAGGATTGTGGACGGCGAGAGAGAACATGACAGAGGCGACGAATTGCCAAGTACTGTTGAGACGCTTGAGGAGATGCTCGTACAGGCCATATAAGTCTGAAGGACAGGCATGGACAATCTTGATCAGTTGTCCTGAGGCCAGGGCATCTCGTATCATGGTGGAAGTCATACTGCGTATCTTTCCCTCGGCGGTGAACTCCGGAGCCACGAAGCTCTGCAGGACTACGCGCACCCAGAGGAAGTTGATCCGTGACTTGCGCACAAGCAGCGAGATGAGCTTATCCCCATTGGGACAGAGTTTCTCTGCCTCCGTCATGGAGAGAATCTCGGCGGTCGCCCACCACTTGATGTCCTCCCTGAGCAGCGCAGTCAGGTGAATGCTGGAGTAAGGCAGGGGGTTTCCGAGGAGCTCATCAAGAGTCCTCGTCGCACTTATGCAAATCTTGATACACTCGCTCGTGTTGGCCATGATCTGGAGCGCATTGGCGAGGTCTGACATCCGGGCGCCGGCCGACTCGACATACTCGTCCAGGCCGTCGACAAAGATGCACACACGAAATCCGTGCAGTTCCCCTCTGGTCAGATGATTCCACGCCACGGCCAGATGTTCATCGCTCACGGGCCAGGGCTCTCCAGTCGACGTCGTGCAGCGCTCCATGTTTTTGCCCTCCTTGGTTTTGGACGCCTCAGCCGATGGTGGGAAGTACACGTGCGTCAAAGTTGGACACTGCCTTAACAATTCGGCGAACACAGTACGACAGAAACCAATCTGGGTCTTCTGGTGGATATTACCAGTGTTGGAAAAGTAGTAAGGGACAATGATGAGCTGCTCGGCTCCAGCCCACTTCTGCAGCTCGGCCACCGTCTTTGGGTGGTGGGCAAGCAACTTGACGAGCGTCGTTTTACCCGTGCCTGGCGCGCCAGAAATACCAAGCAGACCGCCTTTCTCTTCAGAGAGCCAAGCCTGCAGATTCCTTCGAGCCCTGAACCGGGCAGATCCCTGGTCTGTGATGAGGCCGTCTGCGTCGACGGGTGCTTCAAAGAGCCACTGGTACGTGTTTTCGGCGGCGTCGTCAAGCCAGTCCTCGGGGTCGTCCTGGAGGGGGTGCGTCACGGCAAGCAGAATCTCGAGCTCCCAGGGCGCTTCCCGCATCAAAGTCTCCAGTATGTCCAGGAATTCGAGTATATCCTGCGACTTGAGAAAGGAGTCCGACCTGAGAGGGTTCTTGACGGCGGAGTTGGTCGAGGAAGAAGAGCCCGCGGCAGGCTTGGAACCTCGGCCTTGACGTTTCTGCCGTTTCTTTTTGTTGCTATTAGGCCGCCCTTTCTGGTGACCCTTCTGCTGGGTCGAGACGCCTGCAGAAGCAGATTGTGCGTGGTCGGTAGTGGCGGACGAGAACGAGACGGCGGTGGAGGATACGATGTGCTCTGTCAACTTGTCGTATGGCAAGCCTAGGCGTATGCAAATGCCGTTGATTGCCAGGCAGATATCGTCGGCTATGCGTGAACGTGCATCCTCGGCGTCGTCTCTGATTTGGTTGATTGTCTTGATAGTCGGCCAGTCATCGGACCTGCGACAAGAAAAGGAAGACCTGGCGTCAGCAAGAGAGAGAAAGAGAGAAAGAAATGAGAACGAAAAGGAAGTGACAATGCTTGCTAGGGAATACGTGATTCGTATTTCTGCCACACAAGGAAGGCGCTACACTTACTGCCAAGCTGTGGTCAACCAGGAGTTGAAGTCATCAGCAAACTTGATGACATCCTCTGCAAGGGATTGACTCTCCGCCTTTTCTAGAAGGGCAGCTCTGTCCCAACCTGGCATTCCAGGCTTCACCTCGTCGAACGGTCGCTTCAGGGCAGAGGCCAGCTCCACCGCCCTCGTCTCCATCTCGCCCAGCCTCTTGCTCACGTCGTGCGCAGGCCTCGGCCGCGCGCCCTTGCTCTTGACATCCTCGAGGAAATGGCCCAACTCATTGCTGGCCTCCTGTCGGGTGTAGCGCAGGTCCTTGGGTACCTCGCCGCCGACGAGCTTCTGGGAAAGAGCAGCTGCGAGCTCGAGGAACTCGATGATGTCCATGGCCGTCAACAAGTCGGCGCGGCCGTCCTCGGTGGCCATCTTGAACGATGATGATATAGGATGAAACTACAAGAGGGTGGTGGTGTTGTTGGAGGGAAGGGATATTAAGAAGGTTTACAAATGGGAAAGAATAGGAAAAACTGTTTTGAAGAAGGAGATAGAGAAAACTTGCTTGGGAAGGAAAGAACAGGTTGTTTATTTGTATGTTTGTTTCCAGAAATGGAGGAGAGATACAAAGGGGCCAGGTTGAGAGGGTATGGAATCAATAGCAAGAATTTGGCCTGCGGGTGGGAGAAGCAAGCTGTTCGTGCTGGGCCCCGCTACCATCTTCCATTGTCACGATAGAAACCTCAACAGGAGGGTCACATCTCGAGGGTGCATGTCACGGGCCAGGGGACTCTCACCATCACCATCTTGCTTTGTCACGACGGATCTTTTTCATGGGGCTCTGCACCTAGGCTTCGTGCTGTTCTCCGCGAAGGATCTATGTACCCAAGACTGAAGGCGATTCAAAAGCATGTCTAGGCTTGTCATTATGAATGAGGATTACTATAGTAATACTATGTATGCAGTAGTAATAAGTACTTAGTGTACATCAGCAAGGAGCAAGCATATGTCCAAATGTGTACAGAAGAAGATGAAAATACTTGTTGATGCCAATGACAACAAAGTAGAACCAACACAGACAGGAATTGAGTCTGAGGACCTGGAAATTAATTCTGATGTCTAATGTTCTGGGCGGCAAGCGAGCTATAGCTTGGTTCAGATACATGCCATGTTTGTATTGGTTGTGATCTGAATGATATTAGTCGTGCTCTTTATCTACCATGCTCTTAGACAAAGTCATGATATAGCCCACACTCTTTTGAGCACTGAATCATTGTTTGCGTACGTAGATATTAAAGTAAGCTAGGCTGTTTGTTTATGGGGGGAAAAGAGGACCCAACAGATAATTAGAGAGCACTTCAACAGAGGTTCAGAAGATGATCAATCTATCAATGAAATTCATGCTGTGGTCAAACTCCTCCATCTTTGGCTATGCTGCTAGTCTATACAAGGTACACAGTCTATGAGGGTATTATTTACCAGCTATCAAGTTTCAAATTCACCATGCAATCGTATGCTCTACTTGAGAGCTCCCCTTCCCTCCCCTCTTTCTTCTTCATCCCTAATATGAATGACATTAAATACCATTTACAAGAATACGAGAGAGAATCTCGATGGTTCAGCATCACATGGTCAAGGCGGCTTGGTCTCCAACTGAAAAATAGGATCACCAAAGAAGCGTTGACGACTCGTTGACCCCTCGAGGAACGACCGTTTACCGCTTGTTGTAGTTGAGGAAACGGCTCTGCATCACATCAAAAGTCAGCAAGAAAGACAAGAAGAAAACCCATCTGACTGGATAGAGAACAACAAGCGACTTACCGCCACAATCAGAATACACAGATTACTCGCCACGAAAGCAATAAAGATGCCCAGATCCCGCCACCTGGTCTCGAAGCTCATCCCCAGCGCCTCGTAATACTGGTCCCCGTCTTTGTACGCACAGTACCCACAGTTACTGGTCGAGTTGTCCACGATATACCCGGTGCCGCCAGCTTGGAAATAAGGCTGCATGTACTCGCCACACGTCTGCCCCGCCGGGCTCGTAAAGGTGTTGAGCTCGCTCTCCTTGCAGCGCACAGGCAGGCCGTGGAGGGCGGTGGTGACCATGCCGCTGATGAGACGGGTAAAAGGATCGAGTTGGTACATCCAGGCGTGCCAGAAGCGGGGCATCTGGGGGGCGGGGATGGTGACGCCGCAGAAGATGCTGAAGACGATGGTGAGGAACGGGTCGAACTGGGACGAGACGAACAAGGAAGGGGTCAGCGCCGCGAGGCACTGGCCCAGGGTGACAGAGAACAGCTCAGTGATGAGGATGATGAAGAACTGGTAGCCCGCGCGGCTTGACTCGGTCTGGAACCCGGGCATGTAGTACAAGGGCAAGAAGAAGCAGACGGCGCACAAGATACTGTACGGCATCTCGGCCACCACCATGGAGCTGACAAAGGTGAAGGGCGAGTACATCTTGGACGACTGCTCGCGGAAGAAGATGGAGCGCCTGAAGTGGTACATGACCTCCACTTGCGAAAGGATGAGGGCCGGGAGCACGGTGACCTGGAACGTCACGAAGATCTTGTACTGTAGCGATGCGCGGCTGTCGTCGAGGTTGAGAAAGGTTAGACCCGTGATGAGGGCGATCACCAGGTGATTGAACAGACGTGTGAACAGGTAGTTGGGCGAGCGCCAGTAGGACAGATTGGTCCGCTTGATGACGACCTTGAGCTGGTGCTTGAGGGGAGAGGCGTACTCGCGCTCCAGCGAGCTGTCGGCCTTGCTACCGTCCGACTTGTGCGCCTCCTTGAGCTGTGAAATGGTGTCCTTGACGTTGGCCAGCTCCGCGCTGTCCTCCCAGATGTCGGCCCAGTCACGGTTGCCGATGCGAGGGCTGGAGCCTGCACCGATCGCCTCGAGCATGAACTCGGCAACGTTGTCGGTCTCGCCAGCCACAGCGCCGTGGCGTGCCAGGTAGTCTCGAAGAACACAGGCATCCTTGCCAATATCGCCAAAGTAGACGCAGCGGCCACCGGATTTCAGGAGCAGGAGACGGTCGAAGTTTTCGAAAAGTGCGGCGTTCTGCGTGGGACGTATGTTAGCATTACTTTGCACATCTTGCCCTATAGGGAAGAGGGAAGAGAAGGACAGAACGCACCGGCTGGTGAATCGTGCACAGAATAGCCTGTCCAGCCCTGGCAAGCTTCTGCAAGAATCGAACAATGTTGTACGCGCTCTGGCTGTCCAGACCACTCGTGGGCTCGTCCAGGAATAGCAACAGCTGTGGCTTTGCAGCAAGCTCCACGCCAATGGTGACCTGTGGAGGTTACAATATTAGTATAGAATAGGAGAGGAAGGATAGAGGAACGAAAAAGAATAGACAAGTAATTGACATACTCTCTTGCGCTGCTCGACAGTGAGGCCAGCCTCAGGCGATCCAATAATGGCGTCCGCAATGCTCTCCATCTCAAGCAGTGCAATGACCTCCTCCACATAGGCATACTTCTCTGCCTGAGGCGTCTCAATAGGCTGGCGCAGGTCTGCAGAAAACCTAAGGGCCTCTCGGACGGTCTGCGACGGGTCGTGCATGTCAAGCTGCTCCGCATACGACGTGGACCGCTGAAACTCCTTACCGGGCTTGACACCGTCGACCAGAATATCGCCATGAATCACGCCAATATTCTTGCGGCCGGCGAGCACATCGAGCAGTGTCGTTTTTCCGGCACCACTGGAACCCATGAGAGCTGTCAATTCGCCAGGCTTGACGTATCCATAGACGCTGTTCAGGAGACGTCGCGTACCACCGGGCACGGGCACGTCGTATCGTAGGTCTTCCCAGGTGAGCACGGATTTCGATTCGATCTTCATCTCGTCGCCATCAACGTCACCTGCAGTTTTGCTCTTGTGGCGCTCGTCGCGCTTCTTGATGAGGGCCTCGTTGAGGGCCTTGCGCTCTGAGTCGGGTTTTGAGTAGATGCGGGCCGAGTTGCCGTCCATGCCAAACTTGACGAGCTCGCCCAGGGCGACGTTGAGGCAGAGGAACGCCACGATAAGGGCCATGATGATACCCCAGTTTCTCCACAGGTCCTTTGGGTTGTAGGAAAAGCCATCCACAAGGTAGTCTGCGCCCGAGATCTGGTTCGTGCCCGTCTTGGAGCCGGAGAGTGTGCACACCTGGTTTTCAATGTTGTCGTAGCCTGCACCAGATGGGACGAGTTGGCTGTCCGTGCAGGTCATTTCGACGCGACCGAACTCGTTCTCCATCATGGCGCTGAACGCGAGGGCCAGAGCGTTGATCCAGTAGATCCAGCGCAACCACACCTTCTCGGATTGGTACTGGATGAGATAACCTGACGTGGTCACGAAGAACGTGATGATGACGACGGCAAACTTGATGGCGTAATCGAAATCGGGACTGATACATCCGAGGATACGGAAGAATAGTGTCATGGCGATGTTGCCGGACAGGATCATGAGGTAAAAGGTGAAGAAGGCCCCAGCGCTCCTGTAGAGATTTGCCATAAAGTACACGATAATCGAGAAAATCATGATCTGGGACGCTGCAAAGGCCTGGTCGACGATGATCTGAGCGATCCATAATGCCGATGGACGGTGAAAGGCGTATGCCTTGTGCTTGTTCACGACTGCTCGACCTGTCATGACGCCTGCGAGTTCCGAGAAGGCTTGAAAAGCATTAAACAGGAGGGCGATAAACATGACACCGCCCTTGCTGAAGGCACTCGCGGAGGTGTCGCCGAGGTTGAGATATAGTGTGCCGAGGATAATAGCAATGACGATGCTCCGAATCCACCCAATGATGAGGGCCAGCCTGTCTTGCATCTTGAGCACAAACTGCCGTTTCATCAGGGCCCAGACTTGCTGGTGGAATCCAACAGCGTAAACAGAGCGCTTGGCGCCCGTCCGCTTGCTCTCCTTGACGGCCAGACGAAAGTTCTCGTACTGCTCCGTCTCCTCCTTGAGGTGCGTCTTGTAGGACTTCATCTCTTCGTCGAGATCCTTCGCGATGGCAGAAGCCTCGAAGGCGGCGGCCAGAGTCTCCGGGTCGTGGGGCGCATTCTCAGGGGAGTAGCCCTGGGCATATTCACGCTCGAACTCATCCGTACATCCCGTGACATAATCAGGTGTGGTCTGGCGCGGGCGAGGTGCAAAGCCGAGCCCCTCAAAGTAGGCCCTTGCCTTGTCTGTGGGCCCAAAGTAGACCTGCCTTCCGCCATCGATGACCATGACCTTGTTGAACTCGCGATAGATGTTTTCGGAGGCCTGGTAGAGAGAGACAAAGGTGGTCGTCCGGTACAGATCAGTCTGGATGCGGAGCGACTTGACAAAGTCCAGCGCGGTGGACGCATCTAGGCCACGGGTGGAGTTATCCCAGGACAGGATGCAGGCGTTGGTGGTCAGCATCTCGGCTATAGAAACTCGCTTGCGCTCTCCGCCCGAGACACCTCGAACAAAGTGTCCACCGACCACGGTGTTGCGGGTGTGCTCGATGTTGAACATCTTGAGCAGCATTGTAATGACCTGCTTCTTGAATTCGGACTTGGTCAGGCCTGCAGGCAGCTTCTTGGGCGTCTTGGTATCCAGCGCGAACTCCAGGGTCTGCTCGACAGTGAGTGTCGCATGATGGAGATCGTCTTCGGCGTTGTAGACCGCCTCGCCTCGGTACTGATCAAACTCCTTGGCCGTATATGGGCCGTACAGCACGTCGCCCGTGACACTGGTGTAGCCGTAGCGCTGGTTTGCAATTGTCTTGAGGAACGTCGTGCAGCCAGAACCAGGACGACCCAGGACCAGGACCATCTCGCCTGGCTGGCACACGCCGCGAAAGCCATTCAGCAGCGTGGCCTCGGTGCCCTTCTTGCCCATGCCCAGCATCTTCATCATGGGCGTGATGACGTCGAAAAAGTCGATGAAGGCGTTGGGGAATGTCTTGACGTAGTTCTCGAATCCGCCAGTGCCCTTGACAGTCAGGTCCTCCCAGATGACTCCAATATGCTTGGGGCGGATCCCAGCCTGCTGCTCGGCGTCCAGTCCCGTCCGCAACGCACCCTCGAGGTCGAACTGGTCCTCCTGCTCTCCCTCATTCGAGAGGCTTGTGCCAGACTCTGCGAGGGCCACATCTTCCTTCTGGTGGATATCCTTGTGGCTCCCCCTGCGCTGGGCATCGTGACTCGTTCTCGAGGCCTTGGAGACGCTCGAGAATTTCCTGCTCAGCTGTTGGAAGTCATCTCGAGCTTGCTCCACCGAAACGCCTGACTTGGTGCGCGTCAGGCCCAGGGGATTATTCCGCCGGGTCTCTTCCAGTTCCTCCTCGGGATTGCGCGCAGTGCTGTCGCCGCTGGAGCTGGAGGTGGTCGTCACTGGGCGCAGCTGCTCAATCTCCCTGTCGTCGTGGCCAAACTGGTGCTCCTGGCCTTGGTTTTCCAGCGCGGCCTTTTCAAGATCCTTATCCATTGCTGCTTCCTTTCTCGTAGAATTCCCTACGTTAGAGACTCAGTGGGTTGGTGTCGTCGTCGTGGATCGGGACTTGAGTGTGTGAAACGGTGCCGAGAATTCAATGTGGGTGCGGCAGGGTGCGAATCGGCCCGAGTCAGTCTGATGAATACGAGAAACACCAAAGATACTCGTGGAAAAAGAAGGTAAAAACCTGCTGCTCGATTCCTATGAGTGGATAGATATGTAGGGGCCAGTATGACAACAGAAGATAAAGAATGAATTACGATGTGTGTAGAAAGAAGAAAAGAGAAGGGATAAAGGGCGATGCACGGGCTGGTAGAGCAGAGGCTGAAGGGTGATGCAACCACCAAGAAGGACGATGAGGTAGGCCACGATCACGCACCCAAGGTCAAAGGGTGGTGAGATGGTCTTGAGGCTCCACTAAAGGCAGATCCAAAGCCTTGATCAGGAGCCAAACAAATAAATGAGGGTAGGTTATCTGACTTTATATGTTGAGGCAAGAAGAGGTGGACCAATTCCTCTTATAAGGTATGTCTTGAAGAGGGGAAAGGAGGAGGAGGAGGAGGAGGAGGAGGAGGAGGAGGAAAGCTGACAAAATTGATAAAAGAGTGAGAGAAAAAGGCGAACAAGGGAAGTATAGCCAAACATGCAATGCAAGGATGTATAGTTCATGAAGTGTAGGTAGAAACTGGTGGACCAAAAAGCCCAACCAACGGTGAACGTGCCGAATATCAACCGCCGGGTACAGTCTAGCATCCGCTGCGGACCGGGACCCGGCATTACTTACAAATCGCCTTTCTTCCCCTTCTCCTCTCGTCCGCACAACAAGCCGCAGCCGTTTTTCCTTCCTTTTCTTTTTTTTTTCTTTTCTTTTTTCCCCGCCTTTCCTACTATAGTCCAATGTACAAGTTACAAAGAAACGGAGCCATAGAACTCTTTACTGCTTTACCACAAACATTGAATCCCAAGCATCAAACCGACACAACTATTCACTACAACAACCCCCCCCCCCCCCGAGGCGGACTCCACAACATGTCTTTTCGCGATTTGATGTGGGTCTGACCAGAGAGTGGGGTCCACATGAAAAATAAGAAAGAAAAAAGGAATGAGATGGAAAGAAAGACCCCCCCCCCCCTGAATCAACCCCCTGCGCCTGGTATGGGAAACTCCTCAACTTACACTATCAGTAAGAGCCTGAGCCGTGCTGCACTGGTAGAGACCCACTGCTAAGGGAAAACCGTAATCTGCGGCTTTCTGCTGTGGAACACACACAGATAGGTCAATTCCGAAAGGCACACGAGGCCTTTCAGCGCCAGCGTTGTAGGCTGGACGGACAGGCCGACCAAAAGAGCAACACGTTCTACACACGGTGAGGTAGGGGGCGTGGGGGGTTGCAAAGCCTATGCTGTGGGCATGATGACTCTTCCGGCGTGTCTTCTTCTGGTCAATGCAGCAAGACATCCTCACCTGGTATCCAACGAGATCAGAGTTGTGTGCGAATGGTGACTCTTCCGACGTGCATTCTTCTGGTCAACGCAGCAGCAAGACACCATCACCTGGTTTCCAACGAGATCAAAGTTGTGCGCGAATGATGGGCTGCTTGACCAGGTTAGATCAGAGTGATTCTCTGCAGTCTGGCTGTCTGCCAATCAACAATGCTTGCTTCATGCTGTTGCATATCACCCACCCTCTCTCTCTCTCTCTTTGCTTCTCGGCACGGACTACAACAGACTACAACACCCCGTCGGTCTATAGTAAGTATGCGATCCAACTCTTTTGTGTGCAGGTGGGATCGCAGCGTGTTTAATCAGCACGGGGAGAATGTTTCCTTCTAGAACCCGAGATTTGCTCCACCAGGTCTTTTGAGCCCGTATTGTTGTGATATCACAGGACTGCACTTTGTACTGTGATACAATAGTTTTAGATCCGTTGGTGCGTGTTCGGATGCTTTGCAGGGGCGCGTTCCATCCCCCTACCGTTCCCGTTTTAGTCTACACTACATTGGTGGTGGTGGCGGTCGGGAGGGTAGCAAGATCGGCAGTCAACTTTCGGTGAGGACTCATCAGTCTCCGTGGCAGGCATGTTGACCCGAGATGTTTATTCGTCTACTTATCGTTTCTGTTTTCCCTTTTAGATCAAGGATAGAAACCCGTTCATGGGATCACGACTTTCTAGCCAATGCTACTAGCCCATGCTACTATGCAACCTTTTAACACATGTCAACACGCGATAAGACATTCCTCGCGAAATATCCTACCCTCCTGCTGTGATCGAAGCGAGCCAGCATGTACGGGACACATAGCGACCACGTAGAGGAGGAGGTTCGTGCCCCCTTCTCCACGGTGATGCAAGGGAAACTTTGAATCTCGGGGTCCCATAACAACGGAGATAGGCATCTACCGAGTACCCTATCTCCTGTGCCCTGCATCTGACAGAACTTCCGGAAATAAAAGGCAACTTTGAAAAGAAAGAAAGAAGGTTCGCACTGCCCCCAAAGAGGGGGGGGCGGGTGGAGGAACTGATAACCAGCACTGACGACGGGGGCGCGAACATTCATTCTGTGGCAGCCAAGCAAAAACCCGAAGTTTCCCCAGCGTTGCACCACGCCTGCTTTGATGCAATGTTGTAGTACGCTGTTACTATATCCTCCTTGGCGTTATGGCGAGGAATTATCTATGACGGGAACCACTCACAGCTGCAGCCAGCCATTCCTACATGGCAATTATTGATCTACTGCAGCTGCAAGGCAAGTGAAAAATTGTATTGTCTTGTTCTCGTATACAAAGGAATCTACATGTTCACCCACTTCCCGCTCGGATGTCTCAACAACGCCGTGGCCGCCCCGGCCCCACCTTGTGTGTGTCTCTCTCTACACATCAGGTCGGGATGTGACTCGTCCTGTCTGTCTGTCCCCCCTAATACCAACTATGTACAATGTCCCACAGAGATACTACATAGTGACAATGTGGCCTCCCACCATAGTACAGATTACCAGGGCTTCCAAGGGCATGGAAAAAGACCATTAAACCGGCATGCATCGGATCCGGGAGCTAGACTAGAAATAGGCAGGCAGTGGTCTCCCGGATGGACGAGCAATGCATGGCTAAAGAACTAGGCCGTGACATCTGGCAACGTCCAGGGCTCAGTCTCTCTCCTTCGAAGCCGGGGCCGGAGCGGACGTGCTCGGCTCCGGAAGTACCCCATCAGGAAGAGTCCACGACAGCGCTGGCAATAACCATAACACGATTGTAGACGTTGACCTTTTGAAGAATCATGTATAGAGGAAAAGGCTGCCAATTCGTTATGAACTTGCATCCGTAAAGTTAGGGCCGAGAAGGCATCTTCAGGTGTCGAGGCGGTCTTGCAGAAAGTCCCGGGAGGCCATCTGCATGAGGAGGTCATTCTCCCAGAACCATATCAATCATAGGGCAAATTGAGACTGTACCATAGCCACCGTGCTCTGTATATCAACATGTACGAGCGCCAAGTTTGTGATACCATCTGTATACTCTCCACTTTGCGAGCAAGTGAACCAATTCCCTCGTCCACAGCATCAGGATAAATACTCCAAGAAACGAGGCACAGCCAGTACGAACACGCAGAACAGCGTCGCTACCCGTGCCGTGCTCAACAGGTCCAACTCCGTAGCTTCTCTTCACCGCAGAGCAGCACCAACAAATAATGCAAGACGGCATGGACTGCCATTAGGTCGATGTCGTGCTCATCGGACGGATGCAGCGCTCAGAGTAGCGATCTGGGCGGTGGCTGTGCATGGCGAAGAACATGACGCGGGAGGCGAGGCCCACACACGGTCAGGTGCAGCGACGGTGCAAGAGCGTGGACAATAAATGTTTTACAGTATGACAAGACTGCAAGAAGAAACGTGGTCGTGTCTGGGAACGAGTTTCATTCCCATAGCTATGAGGTGTGAATGACATGACAGGTATGGAGGGCACTTTAGGCGGGGCAGGTTTAGATGTGGCTACCAAATGTACTGTAGACCACGACCATATAATACAGATCATAATCTACCGAGATGAGCTTGGATATCCCAAGTTCTTGGTATCATGTCTGACGATGTGGCTCAAAACTTCCAACGGATTGATGAAGCACAAAACGCCTGATTTGTATACGCAGGCACAAGGCTCTTTGGCATCCTGATTTGAACAAGACGACAGGGCCGTAGCCAAGGACCACATGCCCCACCCGAGAAGAGTACGGCAGTAGGCCTTCCCTAGACCTGAAAACATCTCTGGAGCTATAGTTTCCAGACTTCTAGAGTCCAGGATACTGAGCTTCTCACGATTCGAGAATGTTCTTAAATTTCGACCCAACGATTTTTACCGAGGGAGATGGCTCTCAGATAAGCGGCCACAGACGATGGTGCGCACCAAATAATCTTTCTGAGGAGGGATCATGGGCATATGTCCTTAGTGAACTTCTGTGGTCGCTTTGTGATTCGAAGAGGCCAGCCGTGCATACGCTTGATGATATCATGGATACGGACACTACACGCTTCACAATCAAGCGACACTCACCGGAACCACCAGTTCACGGAGCCGTTCAACCGTCCATCCGTCAGCGTGCTCTTGACGCTATGCCACCAGCCTTGAGGGATGAACAGAGCATCGCCGGGTGCCAGGTCTGCCTGCAACATCACCCTCTTCTGGATCTCGCCGGCCCTTCTCACCTCCCATACGTCATCATATAGCAGGGCTCTCTCCTCGCCGGCCATCATCTCCACGCCACGTATTCTGGAGTTCCCGCTACTTCGACCCAGCCGAGCTTGCACGGTAGCGTAAACCTGCTCACCATCATCCGGCGGGAGAAGTCTCACGATCTTGCTTCCACACAGCTGGACGAATAGGTTCGGGTTCGGGTCCCGGTGGAGAGGTGTGTAGGTCGGCTCCAGGCCCAACCAGATGCTCGAGCCGTAGAGATCACCTCTGCCAACCTCCTGCACGAGGCGTGGCGTAGGGACGTCTTCTTGTAAAGCCTTGGGAAGAGAATCTAGAGGTGCTTGTGCAATGTACAGCTTTCGAAGCGGATGCCTGTCCACGCCGGACTGGCCTGGAACGGAAGCTGGTAGATCCAAGTTGTACCGCACAGCAGTATCGAGTAAAGCCAGCGGTGAGTGAAATTGAAGAACTTGCTCCGGATGCGACAGACTGCCTCGATCATCTCCAGGCGTTGTCGGAAGATGACTCTCAAGGATCTTAGCAAGAACTGTCTCTAGCGTTGGTCTGCTGGAGTCACCGGTGGACTTTAGGCTGGTGATGAAATCGTGGACCGCTTCCCCGCGCGTCTTGTGGCACTGAGGATAACTCAGCTCATAAGGAAATGGTACCGCAAGAAATGATCTCAGGTATTCTGTCATGGTCTTTCTTGGCGTTGATGTCGTGTCGCCAGGCGCAACCTCGAACCATCTGGTGGCAGCCGCCATCAGGACAGACGCAGGGCCTGCTCTCATCACCAGAGGTTTCTCTCGATCGAAGCCCCATTCTCGGAACCCATTTTTGCCACGGGCCATAACATCTTCGTAATCAGCAGGAACGGATGCACACTCCTTCACGGCAGTGCCATGACCAACATTCCTCTGCCTTTGTTGTCGATTTGCAGGTTTCTTCCATGATGGTCGACACCCCAGCCTCGGTGTCCTGCCTTTGCACCCTCTGCTAAGGGAGTTCATTGCGACATCTCTTATGATAAACTTGGTCTTAGTGGACGATGGTCATTTTGAAGAGTGATGCGTCATGGGTTCCGGCACAGAAAAATAAAATTCAAAAAAGACACTCATATAGGGAAGTAGTTATTCGATAACGTCTGAATCCTGTGATCACTCCATTTCCGTACGCAACAAATACATATGAGAAGGTACAGAGCGCGCGAGTTGAGTTATGTAAGCACGTGTCCAGCCCACCACGCTAACTGCCTAGCCAACCTGACTAGGCAAGGCGTCAAAGGTGAGCAAGTCTGCCCCTCGACATCCCAACGCCTCCCGCTCGACTTGTCCACGCATCCACGGTCCAGGCATCTGGCGAACTGCGCTGATAGGCAACCTCACTGTCATTCTCTAGTCCGTACCCGTCGTGCGCTTTGGCGTTGATTTAAGTCACTTCTCAAGGCATCTGCCTGCTTATTTGCGCGCGCTTCCCAGACCAATCAACAACCATGCGAACCATCTCCTGGGCTCTTCTGTAGACTTTTTGGCGCCAGGAAGAGTCCAACCACACACCATCTCTCTCTCTCTCTCTCTGACTCTGCACAGCACAGCGACAAGACCGAGACCGTGTGATACCTCCAGTCTCACGCGCTCTGTCCTTGCGACGGATCGACGCCCCCATTCACGACTGCCCCCTCCCATCGCCACGCAGCCTGCCCGTCTGCCTCTTTATCTCCCAGCTGGCAACGGCGTCTCCCAGCCATCCCGCTAACGCAAAAATGTCGACCTCTTCAGGTCCGCCCGAGTCCTGGGTTGCCTCGTTCTGCTCATTACTGGGCCATGAGTACTTTGCAGAGGTCTCCGAGGAGTTCATCGAGGATGACTTCAATCTGACTGGGCTGCAGTCACAGGTTCCTATGTACAAGGAAGCCCTCGAGGTACGAGACACATGACCCCGTCATTCTAGACGGGGGCCTCGGCCTTGGCAGCATAGGGCTCATCTGAAACTGACATGATCTCGCGTAGATGATCCTGGATGTCGAGCCAGAGGACGACGAAGACGAAGAAGAAGACGAGGACGAGGACGATGAGGACATAAGTGGCGATGCCCTGGACCGCAGGCTCCCCGGCGAGCGGCGGCAACACAACCGGATGAACAGCGACCTCTCGGTGATCGAGTCGTCGGCCGAGATGCTCTACGGGCTCATACACCAGCGGTACATCTGCTCCCGCGCAGGCATACAGCAGATGAGCGAGAAGTACGAGATGGGCCACTTCGGCTGTTGTCCGCGGACCAACTGCAACCAGGCCCGCACCCTCCCTGTAGGGCTGTCCGATATACCCGGCGAGGACACGGTCAAGCTGTTCTGCCCGTCGTGCCTCGACGTCTATGTGCCCCCCAATAGCCGCTTCCAGACCGTCGACGGGGCCTTCTTTGGCCGCACCTTTGGCGCCTTGTTCCTGCTCACCTTCCCGGACTACGACTACTCCAAACACGGCGCCGACCTGCTGTCGTCGAATGCGCTGCACATCTCGCGCCGCTCTGGCGAGGTGGATGTCATGATCAATGGCATGCACGCGCGGAACATCGCACCAGGCCTCGGCCCCACCAAGATCTACGAGCCTAGGATCTACGGCTTCAGGGTCTCGGAGCTGGCCAGGTCGGGCCCGCGCATGCAATGGCTACGCGACAAGCCTGCCGACATCAACGAGCTGGACGAGGTGCGCAGGTATGCACTAGAGAATCCCGATTCAGACGACGACGAGAGCATGAACGGCACGAGCAGTAGACCACCACGTCGGCGTGTTCGGCGCCGGCCGCAGCGGCAAGACGAGAATGGCAGCCCAACAGCGGTCGAGGCTAATGGCGCCGAGTCTGAGCTATAGCGAGGCAAGAGAAAAGCGCAGGACTCACCTTCCGACTCCAAACGAGGAGTCACGAAATTCCTTGCTTTACGCCAGACATCTCACGGGCCCGTTGGTCGTCTTCGCAGCAGCCCGTCCAAACCTTTCATCCTTCTCGACGTCTCCCTCACAAGAGACACGAGGGCATGAAGGTGCGAAGTCAGGCTATTGCAGACTTTCTTCCCAAGCCATCACATCGGTGTTTGGCTGTCATGCCATGGCCCCTCTCTACTCACAGTTCTCCTGACCTCCTGCCCCAAATCTCAACATCCAAACACTATTGAGGATAGGCGCTTGTGGGCACCCAAGAGTGGGTTTCTGGAGTACGATTGCCGAAACCTAGGTGGCTGGCGTCTGGAGCCGTATCAAGTCAGCCCCCGGGGACATTCTAGTTACACAGAAGTAGGGAGACATATTGGAAAGGAGATGCATAGGACACGAAGCATCAGAGATGCAGGCACACGCAGAAAGAGAAGAGGGGGGGGGGGGGGCAGAGAGCGATGCTGGAGGTGGGAGAGCGAGGTGTTCAGAGGGCAAAGAAAGACTGAAGTAAATCCAAACTCATCATCACCGTTCCATCCTTGTTTTCTTTTCTTTTCTTTTTGCATTGTGACTGGCGTTTCCCGTGCTCATCCCCCCTCCCCCCCCCCTTTACTACTTTCCTTGGTTCTTCGTATACGTTCCACCGGGCTTGGTGGGTGGGCGATAATAAGGTATCGTTGGATGGTTGCTTGTACCGTAGATTTTGGAGGTGGATTGGGTAATTGGCATCGGGTTTAAGCCCATCTGACTTCATTAATGACCATCACAGCACCGCGCGTGTTCTTGCCTCTACTCATGTCGCGAAACATCATACATACACAGTACAAGCAAGAACTCTTCATACCATCTCTCAAAAGTCACGAATCGAGCCATGGATAGATTATCACTGCGAAAGCATTCACGCGTTACACTTCAATTTGTTTCGCACTAAGCTACTCATAAATCAAGAATGGGACACACTTTCAAGATCACCGACAAGTAAAGACGATAGGGTCGCGGGGTATTCATTGTTTTTCAACGCTCGCACGATGGAAATGTCCAAATCAAGACACAGTCATAACAGCATGCCCATGCGTTCCTTCATGTAAGGGCTCCTCCAAACTAACCACCCAATCATTGAGCCTTGTGTAATGGTGTTGTCCTCCAGCGGTAGACCCTCCTCTAGCCAGACTTCTCGGTCTGGATGGGAGTGGACTCCTGGAGGCTGACGCCACCCTCGGCAGGCTTCACGGGCTGCGAAGTCTCGGTGGTGGTGCTGGCGCCCGGTGCGGCAGGGGCGCCAGGGCCCGAGGATGGCGCCTCGCTTGTGGACTTCTCAGCGCCGAAGACGCGCTCGAGACCGGAGGCCTTATAGGCGGAGCCGCCATGTTCTTCCTTCTTGAGCTCTGCAAGGCGGCGGGCCTCATTGTGAACATCTTGGAGCTGCTTCTGGCCCTGGTTGTCTGGTGTGAGGGAGGTCAAGGTTAGCATGCACAGTTCGACACGAGAGGTAGGTATTGGTATGTTCCCCGCGACTTACAGAAATCTACCAGCTTCTTGCCGGTGGGAGTGTTAGTCGCCTTCTCAAAGTACGATCCCAGCCCTGTCATGATGGTATTGGCGCGAGCAGTGATACCGTAGCTCTGGTCGGCAGTCTTGGCCCGGTCGGTGGCATGGTACTTGGTGTCCAGCTCGGTCAGCTTGCTCATAAAGCGGGTCGACACGCCGTGCTGGTGGTCAAGAGCGATGGCGCGCTGGATGGCGGCGTCGCCAACCACGTAGCCGTGCGCGAGGTACTCGGCGATGATGCGAGAGCGTGGCTTCTCCTCTTGTGTGATCTCGTCGGAGTCGCGCTCCTTGTTCGTAGTGGCGGGGCTCTCGTCATCCGGGGAGATGCCCGACGCTGAGGTGACGGAGATGTGCGAGGTACCAAGCTGGGTGCTGTTGAGGAGGAGGGCAGTCTTGGCAGCGGTGTCCTTCTCTGTGGGAGGATTAGTATGTTCGTCTTTACAAGCAGGTTGGGTATGGCGTGGCAACGGAAGCTTACCAAAGGTTACGCTGGCCGACTTGGTCTCTCCCTCAGTCTGAACGTCAAGGCTGGTAATCTTGCCGCTGGAGGGGAAGGAAGGTTAGCATAGCTCGAGATGCTTGATACAACAGAGCAATGTTTACCAGAAGCTGAAGAAATCACGAATCTCCTTGTCATCGGTCTGAGCCGAGATGTTCTTGACGTGAACGGTAGTAGCAGACATCTTGATGTTGGGCAAGGGAAATCTGTTGTTGTTGATGTTGTAATCGAGTGATGGATGTTCTTGGAGTGAAAGTTACTTGAGGTTGAGAGAAGAGAAGAATGAATCACAGGGACAAAATTGTAGGCGATGGTTGCTTTATGAAGATCTTGCAGGGAGGGAGGCTGAGCACATGTGAAGGTTTGAGGTCTCCAGGTATGTTGGGAAACCGTCCAAGTGGCTGGTTCCGGGTCTTCCTCTCTCCTGACAAGCTTGCTTTGGCCGTATGGGGTACCACTGTCCCAAAGTGAGGGGCAATGGGGCGACGTCATCTAATTGCTAGAAGCTACAGTGGGGTGTACCCATGTCCCATGTCATATGTTGACAGCTTCCCTGTGGCTGAGCCCGCTATGAGGTACTTTGGGTCAGACCAGAGCTATGCCTGGACATCAAGTACCTCTGCATCAATCAGGGCTGCCTCCAGTCGTGTCGCCCCAAAGCTCTGGCACTCCAAACCGCCACCCTCAAGAATGTGATCCTGACTACTAGGACATTCTAAAGGAAGGATACTCCGATTGTTAGTGGCCATGTGAAAACGATCAGGGGGCCAGCCCCTCTTGACGTTATGTAACAGGCCTTTGCAGTCATTTGGATTACAGGCTGTAGTCTATTGAGGTAACAGTCTCACGATACGCCCCAAGACAACTGCAAGGTGAGGTATAAAGGAGATTCGTGTCTTGTTCATTATGCTAAGTCTGCATAAAGCCTCTGTAACCTCTACGCTCATGATGATAGAGGGTCTATCTGCTCAGGAGTCTCCATGCCATCATTCCAACTCCACCCTAAGCTTCATTATTTCTCTGATTTCCCAAACTTCTCCTTTACTGCATCATCAAGGGGTCCCTTAGGGTTTGATGTCAGTTTCTGGGAACACATTTGTTAGCTATCATTATCATTGAGGCAAATCAACCTGGAGGTTGTACACTCTTACATCTAGGTCAGACTGATTGTTCTCTGCCTTGTTATCAGTGTTGGTAACACCCTGGCCGTCGGCAGGTGCGTCGTGGAGCTGAGCCCCGGTCTGGGTCTCGGGATCAGGGGACTCGCGACCTTCACCGGAAGACATCTTGACTTTTTATGTTTATTGTGAAGGGGTATGAGAAGTAGGGTTGGTCTTCTTGACAAGCTTGAGGTTAGTAATTACATTGACCTGTAGCTGCTGTGCTCCAGTAGGCTGAGGCAGCCTGGTGGACTAAGGTGTACTTACTTGAGGTGACCTGGTGGCTGAGAGTTATGATGCGTTTCTTGGTCGTTGAGGAATGTTGTTTGAGAAAGTTGGAATTTTGCCTGTCAATCAGAGCAGTTGAGATTTTAAGTAAACTGGCAGTCTGTGTTCAGGAGCGAGCGTTCCGGGGCGTGTGCCTTCTCTTCTTTGCGCTATGTCATACATGGGACCGCCTCCACAGGTGCTGCCATTTCGTCATTCGGACAAGATGACGTTCCCTCTGCACATCGCCCTCCGCTCAAGGGCCACTATCTTTAACAGCGAGCTATTGAGCACAACATAACGCGCCATCTCGTTCTTCTAGAAGCTTGCCTTACTAGGCTTGTCTTTGTAGATCATACTGGAATGAGTTCGCCCGCCCACAACGTACGAGCGATCATGAGCGGACCTCCCCAAAAACACCTAGACGTTTGCGGCCCCCCCCCCCCGTCTTCTTCCCCCAGACCCCAATTTTCGAGGGTATACGACTCATAAGAAAGTAGAAGGAGAAAAAGAAGAGAGAAAAAGGGATCGCTGTGTTTGATATCTGTTATTGGGTCTGCTCACAGCAGCAACTGTGTCGAAGGATGAGCTCCGCAACGTCTGATTGGAAGTCATCCTGCATACCAGGGCTATCCAGATCAGCGGTTGCATATGGGAGACCACCATTCGAGAAAAACAGAATCATCTAACCAAGTCCACTTCTATGCCAAAATTGTTCGTGCTACGGCTCAAGTGAATTCCGAGTGCGTACTAAAATGCGTCACCGTCTCACAGAGGCTACCGAGCCCATTCCAAGGGGAGGAAAAGTCTCGGGATACCTATCATTCAGTCATTTCCCGGGCATGCCAAATTGGGTTGGAACTTGAGAAGATTTTCTGTCGACAGAATTGCTGCTGGGATGAATCCAGACAAGATCGAATCACGCCTCTTCCACATTTGCGACAGCTTTTACGCGAAGACACAGTCACAGCAAAGGTTATGAATATGGTGACAGCAGAGATAGTCAGGCTCAGGAGGGAAAGACGTCCTGTATACGACCAGAAAATCCTGAGCAGATCTCAAGACGGACGAAATGGTCCTTGTAGTACCCAACACTTTCGTGCTGACTCCGTACTTGCTTAGTTGCGAAGAGCTCTGCCCGTCAGTAGCGAATCCTACCTCTGTGGAAGTCTGCTGATCAGCTGCTGCAAGGGGCGAGAGGAGGTACTTTTGATAGCCTCTCTTCATCCCCCCACAGTGATCACTTGCATATTGTTTCTGTTTGCCCTTGCCGATGTTTGTCTTGGATCCTACAAAGGTATTGGCAATATAGACTGTGTGCGTTGTTAAGGCCATGCACTCTGCTTCAAGTATGGGAAAGCCAAGGCCTGAGGGGCCTACTCCTAATGTTAGTCGTGTATTCCCAGGTGCCAGGGTCCCCAGGCGGATCGCGGTGAGACGGTCGAGCCCCGCTACCCCCCGCTACCAATGCCGTGCCGAACCTATTCTGGTACTATATGATGGGAACTTACGGTTAAGGGTGGTCAGTATATTGTCTAGGCTTCCAACCACTTCCTACCCATCTTGAGACTTCCAAACCGTAGTCTCTCGCCCAGGGGTTGCGCATAACACTTCATTCAGCCCACCAGTGCTTCCTTATCACCTCCTTAATTTTCAAGCGAGTGGAATTCAATACCCCCTCCTCTGCCACAATTTCCATGATCTGACAGCGACTTGCGGGGTTGACGTTTCGTCACGCCGTGCAGCACAAGAGTGAAGTCCCCCGGCCCCCGCAGACCACTCCTACGAACACAAACACACCACATCGCGATCGCCAGCTGATCCACAAACAGCACACATCCTCACCAAATCTCTCTCAGTGTCAGCTTGCAGAATTGGAACTGTTTTCTGTCATCATGCCCGACCTCAACTCAGTTCCTGAGTCTCCTCGCGTCCTCGCCCTCTCCCGACGAACCTCCTCGGCCCAGATGCCTCCCCCGCCACCAGGTCCCGTCTCGAGCTCGGCGCCTTCAGAAAACACCCTCAATATCCTCCCTTCGAACCTAAATGCTGTGGCGACAGGTGCCCCGATCGCGCCGTCTCTTCCCTCTCCCCACCTGGCTGCGGCTACCGCATCAGCGCAGCCATCTGCAGATGCGTCTTCTGTGACTTCGGGTCCCGGACCTCTACGGCACCCACGACCACTGACAGCTGCCGAACTCCACCAAGAGCTCGAGAAAGAGCAAGAGGCCGTGGTATGTTGCACGTGGATTAGCAGCCCCCACTCCCACCCCCCCTTGTTTTTTCCCCCTACATGACAAAGGCTGATGCTTTTGCTCCCAGGTCAACCGTCTCACCCGAGAGCTCGACATCCTCCGTCAGGCCCAGAACGCCTCCGTCGTGTCCAACGGTTCTTCAACCTCTGCGAGCGCCTCTGCTTCGGGTGCGGAGATTCCTGCCATCCCTGACGGCAGACAGCATCTTCTTTCTGGCTCCGGCTTCTCCATCCCCTCCTCCAGCGGCCGACGGCATACCAGAAGCGGCTCGAGCGCCAGCGCGCGCAGCATCGCGGCGACCGCGGGCTCAGTTTCGGCCGTGGGCGGTCCTGCCGCAAGCACATCCGTTGTCAATATCACCGCTCCTGCACCCATCAGGCCAGGTGCTACGGCTCTCAGCCGCCAGAACAGCACGCAGTCGCACTCGCGCCAGAGTCTCAGCAGCTCTCCCGCTCATGCCTCGTCATGGGCTTCACATATGGCCGACGCCGCACATGCAGGCTACTTTCCCCTCCGGTCCCCACACACCTCCACCACAGCAGGGCCTACGTCCATTCCCTCGGCCACGCCCACCCCCGGGCCCGATCATATATCGCCCTTTATGATGCCGGCGACAACGCGATACGAGGAGACGGCTTTCTACAGACAGGAGCTGGACAGTGTGAAGCGCGAGAACGAGTCCCTGAAGCGGCGCATCCGCGATCTGGAACGCATGGTGCGTGAGAGGAGGGCGAGTGATGCTAGCACGCGACCACGGAGCGAGAGTGTGAGCACGACAGCCAGTGTAACGGTTGCGTCTACCGGGGGCGCCAACATCACACGCCCGAGGAACGAGAGGGTCACCAGTATGCTGAGCACTACCGGCAGCGTGACGAGTGTGGCTATCGGTGTTCCTGAGGATGAGGTCAAGGTTGGCGAGAGCGCAGCGAGTGCGGGACTGCGTGGTGCGCCCACGTCTGCGCCTGCGCCTGCGACTGGCGGGCAAGCTGGCTAGGAGGGCGCACACGGTGGGCAGGCATCTTGATTCGTCTTTCTCATCGACCGGTGCTGTTGTTTGGGTCCACTAGACGAAGTGGGATCAAAAGGGGAGACAGGGGAATGTCATGAACACGACGACAACTCTGCTCTCTGAACTGCTTGGATGGTTGCGTTCTACCAAAGAAAATCAAAATTTGGAGATGGCCTGGCGTTCCGGAAGATACTGTTTTGCAATGAGCACTTGAGGTATTTGGCCAGGAGGTGACCAGATCGGACTGGATAGGAGGGCGAGGGGAACATGGCATGTGGGCAAGCAAGTGAGCCCCTCAGAACCAGATTCTCAAATTCCAATGTCTTTCAGCTACATCGTGTGCAATCCCCCCTCACAGCTCATCAACAATCTCAATTTTGGTCTCCACATTACCCCTCGTCGCCCTGCTGTACGGACACACCTCCTCCGCCTTGGCCACAACCTTCTCGACCTCGGCCCTGTCCAAGCCCTTCACGCGAACCTTCATGTCGACCCGGATCCCCATATCCAGCGTCTTCATGTCCCCCACGAGGTGCACCGTCGCGTCCACCACGCTGTCCTCCTTCTTCCCGGGCATCTTGATCCCCATGCTCGCCGCGCTGGCGTTCATGGCGCTCTGGAAACACGCCCCGTACCCGGCCGCGAACAGCTCCTCCGGGTTCGTCTTGCCCTTGTCGCCCGTGCCGCCGAGCGTCTTGGCCATGGTGAGGTCTACGTTCAGGTCGTCGCCCTCGATGTGGCCCGTGCGTGCGCCGACGACGCGGGCGTGGGCTGAGTAGAGAATCGGGGCGGTGGCGGTGTTGAGGGCGCGGCAGTGGGCTGGAGGGGTTGTCCTCCTCAGCATTGGTGTCGTTGCCTGGATGGGTGTGAATGACTTGAGGAGGGACGATGGGCGGGCGACGTGATGCCGGGTGAGGGATGTGCGAAGGGAGGCCATATTTGATCTTGGATGAATGTTGTGACTTTTTAGAAATTAGTGATTGAAGAAATATAAGATCAGTTTATGAATAGTTTGGAACGTTGGTAGTCAGAGGAAATTAATAATATTGAAAGAGGTTTCTCTGAACTTTTTGTAGCTCGTTCTGGTGCTGAGCTGTAGCTCTGAGCTATGAGTGACGTCTTATACATTGGACGTAGCGCCTCTTGGCCCGCTGCGACGGCCAGCCAGCCCTAACCACTAGCAGCAGCTGACGTCCTCGACAATGAAGAGGCTTGTTGTACAGATGCAGATACTTTACGTATTAGCTCAAACTATAGAAACCTTGAATTGTCAAGCAGGAAGACTTGTTGCAATGCCCAAAATTACGGTGTGAAGTCTCCCGAGTCATGATCATGTTCTGATGAGCAGGAAACAAACCCCCCCCCCCCCCAACTTTCTTTGCTTTCCTTCCTCTCCCATCTCAAAACCTATATTCGAAAAGGAAACCAGGGATGTTTATGTCAAATAAATGAATGACTGCTCCAAGTTTGGATCGATGTTGCTTTGTGTACAAAATGAGCGGCACAATTACACAACAGAATCGAACTGGTGCTTAATTAATACGAGGTCATTGAACTTTGCTCTATGTCAGCATGGCCATCTTCAAGAGAAAAAGGCTTTACTCGTCGTAATTGATTGACATGTACATACTGTGTTCATTTGGAAGAAACATGGTAATTCTAATGAAGAAAGAGGTTTATAGAGATGCAGAGAGATCTGCAGAAAGACTCGAAAAAGTGTTTCCATGTTTACCATAGTACTTACATGAATACAACCCCAGCTGTAAAGTCGACCATCAAGTTGGGTATCCAAGCTTTCAATATGAACGTCTAGACTGTATTCTAAGCTGAACATCTTGTTCAAGACATCAAGATTGACGCATTCATTGCAAGCCAGCAGATAATGCGACTGGCTCGCTCACTCAGGCCGTGGTCAAACTCACTCCTTCATAAACTGCACAATTCCCCAAAAAAACAACAGTTATGCAGTTTTCATTTCCGATTAGTCCTGCATTCTCGCGATACTGACCTCGGTACCTGAACCTCTCGGTCAAGTATTAGGTAGGTACCTGGATACTCACAGCCATGTCCAGTCAGACCTCCATAAGTGATCATATGCATTCGGAAGAGACACAAATCTGAACCAGGCCACGCTGGCTCGGGACAAGATCTCGTTCCTCTATACATCTCTGGCTAACAATTACCTTGCCCCAAATGAAGTGGAACGCAAAACCTATCATTAAAGTGTGGTGTGTGCGTCAAAGGAAAATGGAACCGTGGGGGGAGTTGACCGGTGCGGGTCGATCTCAACATTGAACCCAAGCACATTTTCCCCAACCCTGCCCTTGCGCGCCATCTACATCGAAAGGGACGACCCCCCCCCCCCGAAGAAAATAAGATGCAAACAAAACTTAGAATAATCATGGGGTCCCAGCCACCCGTTTACCAGCAAGAAAATAACCTCAAGGTTTGAGAACGTTCATACTGATGTTACTTCAAAACGTGCACGTGGTTGTTGCGGTGGCACCCTTCCCCCCCGTGACGATCCATGTCGTTGATCAGGTAATACTGTATGTGCTTACTGTGCCGCAGGGTGCCAAGCGGAGGGAGGGAGTGCGGCAAAAACCACAGAAAATCACAAAACCCCCTCCCTGTAAACCCCCCCCCCCCAGCAGCAAGCGGCTCAGTGGTTCGATTACTTGCATAAGGCTGAATTGAGTAAGAAACAAGAAACAAGAGACAGCTGACAGGATTTTTCTCTTGTGTACATGACTAATGCGCCCTAACCCTTTTGACCTCATGTCTTTGAGTTATAGGGATTGATGTGAGGCCATTGCTTGGATTCTGTTGGCCCATTGAATAGCCGATGGTTGATGAACCCGTCTGGTTAAAGAAGGGTGTTGTGTTTGGTGAGGATTTGGAGTTGGGAACTGCTGAGCCAAGGGTTACCAAAGTAGGATACACTATCAGCGGCCAGCGTTTACCTGGATTCGGAAGGATACTGAAAGTCTTCTTTCCTCAACAAGAGAATACAAGAATCACACAATGTCCTGGGGCTTTTGAGACGCCATATGGAGAAACCTGTGTGTGGAGATTATAACGGTTTTTTCTTTTAAAATTTCAAATCCTCAATAAAGACATACATATATACAAACGGATTGTCATTACTGTACTTGTAGCAGAAGAATCTTGCGAACACTCTGTTCTCATGCCCTGAATTCGTGGGTCATGAACACATACCATCCTCCCACCTCCACCCCATTCACCTCCTCACCTTTTCTCTACTACCCCCCCTTTCGAAAGTCCACCCTCTCACAACTCTACAGGGCCATCAGCATCGCGCCAATCACAACACCAGCCAGCATCGACAGGCTACCCTGCACACCAGCCGCAGCACTATCCTTGGCCGCGGTAGCCGCGTCCTCGGTGGTGTTGCACAGACCGGTAGCATTCAGGTGGCTCTGCAGGACGTAGGCCTTGGGCTGGCCCTTGTCCATGTACATGGTGACGTTACCGTGGTCGTCGGCGGTGCTGGTGGTGCAGCTGAGCAGCTCGACGACGTCGTCACCGGCCTGGAAGCCGCCGATGGACAGGGTGTAGCTGGTGCCCGAGCTGCTCAGGTTGATGATGCACGAGACAATCTGGTACCCGCTGGGGCCCTTGGTCTGGCAGAGGTGGTTGGTGTCGACGTGAAGCGACTGCGCCTGCGAGCTGACGTACGTGGAATCGGCCGACGCGGTCTGGTTGATCAAGTAGTTGCGCATAGTGTTGAGCGTCTTGGCAGTCTGGTACAGCTCCGCCGACGTGTTGTACCCTGACAGCCACACGGCCTCGCGGTTAGCGGGGGTATCGCCGCCGTTGTAGTGCTGCTCCTGGCCTTGGTAGACTGTACAGTGGCGAGTGAAAAAAACAAACAAATTGTTAGCAATCTTGCGTGCAATAAGAGGGAAAAAAAAAAAGGATTACTTCTTTTCTTTTGGGAGACAAGGTTGCGTACCTAGAGGGATACCGTCGTTGAGAATGACATAAGCCATGGCGTTCTTGGCGAGGGCCATGTCGTCGTTGTAGTAGGCGAAACGAGGCATGTCGTGGTTCTCAGCAAACGAGCCCAGGGCGGCGGTGTCATTGCAGGCATCACGCGCCTGGTCGCGGATCGAGTCGATCAGGGTCATCTCGCCGCCGTTGAAGGCAGAGATGATCTGGTAGTACTCGAGGTAGTTGGGCATGCCAGGGAGCAGCCCGTCGGTCTGGTAGGGGCAGAAATCCGTGACCTCGCCAGTCAGTACCTCACCGAGAGCGAAGACGCCGGCATTGGAGACAAAAGTCGGCAGGAAATCGTCGTCGACGTGCTTGGCCGCGTCGATACGGATGCCATCGATGGAGTAGTTGGCGACAAGCTCCTGGATCCAGGTGCCAAACGTGTCCACGACAGTGTCGGACTCGGTGTCGAGATCAGCCAGCGCGACGCCCAGCGGGTACAGCCAGCAGTCCTGGTAGTTGGTCTGGTTGGTCCACTCGGTCACGTTGCAGTACGGGTGGTAGTACTCCTCCTTGTTGAAGGGCTCGATGAGGGCGTAGTCCAGAGGCGGGGGGTACGTGTTGTTGAAGGCCTGGGCCATGTTGTTGACTACAACGTCGACTAGGAAGTACATGCCGCGGCTGTGAAGCTCATCCGAGAGCTTCTGGAGCTCATCAGCCGTGCCGAAGTGCTGGTTGAGGGCGTACAGGTCATCTTGCCAGTAGCCGTGGTACGCATCACCGACAATGGTGTCGTTCTCAATGTTGTGCACAACTGGGCTGATCTGGAGAGCGGTGAAGCCCATGTCTGAACGTGGGGAAGAGAAGTCTCATTAGCAAAAAAACAACCCCCATTGCTCATACAATGTCTCCTTCCACACCATAATAGAAGGCCAGGAGTTTCTTTTCTCTCTCTTACCCTGAATGTAGTCCAGGTGGTTGATCAAACCGGTCCAGGTTCCGTTACAGAAAAGGTACAGCTCGTCGCACTCGGCTGTAGTCGATCCATCTGTCTTTGCGAAGCGGTCGACGACGACCTGGTAGATAGATCTCGACTTCCATTCCTCCGTGTTGGCAGCGTTGGAAACACCCAACAGGGCCGTGGCCGCTGCGAGAGCGAGTGATGCAGAGTACATGGTGCCTTCTTTGAAGAAAAGAGAGAGCGTTGGGTTTTAACAAAAGATAACGAGAAACTATGTTGAGTCAATGCTTAAAGCGTAATGAGGGCATACGCAGCACCTCCACTTCTCCACGGAAAGTAGTATTCGGAAAGAGAGTCTGAAAAGAGCGTGTAGAAACGAAGGAAGATGAGAAACAAGTCCCTGATTCTCTTACTTTCTTCTTCTGCTTCTTCTTTCCCCAGGTGGTAGGACCAAAAGGGCAAATGAACGAGTGACGTGAGGTAGGAGAAGTGTCAATTGAAGACGAGCAAATCCATACAACCTTGTGGAAGGAAAAGGCGAAGCGGATTGTCAGGTGGTTCATCCCACGGGGGAAATTGGCTCTTCTTTTCCCTCGGAACCCCCAGACTGCCAGGGGTCCGCCCATTTGTGTTGGCCGTCGTATCCGAACGGAGTCCATTTCAAATTCAGCAGATCGACACCCTTGGCGGACGGTAGCGACCGCTTTTTTTTTTCTTCTTTGCTCTCTTCTCTTTCTTCTCTTTGCGACTCTCGACGCCGCCATCACCGTCGTTGGTGGTCTTGGCTAAGTCTAAGGAACACGGCCCTTTCAGCCAGCCCCAATTTTAGATTCTCCGTATAGCATTCAGTGTGTCCATCGTGGGGATCCATATGGGTGGGTGGATCTGGACAAGACTTTGGTTGATTGAGGCTTGTTTCGTGGGCTTTCCGACCAAGCCGTCAGGTCGAAGAGATTTCGAGAGGCTTATCTCGGATGGGCAAGGGCAAGAAGCACCAGACTGGACCGCCTGGACTAGTACATAGTAGTAATACTGTAGTAGATTGAGGTACATGGAGCATCCAGGCAGACTCGTGCCCATGTTGAAGGGTACCTCTGTACAATAGTAGCGACGGTCGTATTGAGAAATTACAACAACCAGTACGTCCATATTCAGCCAGTCATGGTGTGAGATGGGTCAGGACGGGAAATTTAGTTTTGGATTGGGGGCATGAAAGCCAAGTCGTGCCCCTGTTACCAACATGTCAATGACCCAATTTTTTTTCTTTTCTTTTTAGGTTTCTTTGAACTGGGGTGGGGGAAAGGGGGGGGGGTTGGCTCTCTTGTTGGTTGGTCTTCTTCACCCTTTTCTCGTGCAGAAGCGTGTGCGCGTTTAGCAGGCCACCTCTTATCGGCCTGGTATTATGGTCCGATATCCTAGCAACCACAACATATTCACACACTCTTACTTAGACATATACATCCCCAACCCCCCTTCTTCAGGGCGAGATAAGGGCGTGTGATTAAGATCGACACACACACACACCGCGGCAGACTGATACCAGATAAACCTCTGGCGCCATCGTCGGTGGTTGGTTGGCCGTTACAATGCCCATTGTCGACGGGCGGACGGGTCAAGACACGGGGAGAGCTGAGGTCTCTTTCCCCGGCCTTCATTCATCCGACTCGCGAGTCCTAGCTCAGGGGGAAGAAGTGCCGACTTTACTATGGTAGACGATAGTCCTGAGCTATTACTAAAATGAGTACTATTCTCTCTCTTTTCAATTGCATTGTGTTACTACAAAGGATGAAGCAGGACGGGAGCACCGTTTTCCTGACTCGTTGTCACGCTGGCCAAGGGTGGAGGACGCGAGGGGCGAGGAGGCAAAGAGGAGAAGAGAGTTTGCGACTCGTGGGAAAAGATGGAGTCGGATATCAAAAACTAGTACTCTTAGCACTTGGCAGTACCATACAATAGTAAAAGTAGGCCCGGGGGGGGGGGAGCTTACGGCGTGCCGCAAGAACGAACGTGGGGCTGAGGCTTGGGCGTGGGCGTGTGCGGTGGGCAGTCAAAGTCTCTTGCGGCCTCGGTTTTCCCTTTCCCGTTCCCTTTTCTTTCTTTTCATTATGTTCTTATGGGCCACGTACCACAGTACAAAATCAGATCTTGTTTGTACATGGTAGTATCCTGAGTGGAAATGAGTGGGTGTTCGGGCAGGGGAGTTGATAACCTTATTGCGCCACCACGGCGATAGGCGCATCCCTTTTTGGTAGCTGTGATGATGCTCCAGCAAGCTCAGTGGTCAGCGGCCCCTGCAGCGGCTCCTCTCTATCTGCTGGGATGTACCTGGCTCTCCCGGTACCTCGTATCCTCTGGCGTGCTGTTTTCTGCAAGGAGATGCCCGTTTTCCAGATGCTTCTGGCCCTGACGCTTTGCCCAAAGAGGACTGAGGGTCCATGCTCTCCCACGTTGCAGAAGGCATGATCATCATTTCCTGCCGATTCGACTTGCGCGCCCACACAAAATCTTTTTGGTCTTATTTTTCTCGTTAGGCTCGCTTCGACCGCCCATCTATTTTCAGGATCACGGGCCCTAGAGCCGTCCTCGCTCGGCCTTGGATCTTGTGTATTGCTGTTGTGTGCCTGTCTGTGCCTGATTCTGGCCTTTTTTTTTTTTCGTTTTTTTTTCTTTCTCTTTCGATCCTTTCAGTTATGGCGGTCTCCCAAGCTGTTCCCTCCCCTGCACAGACCAATCCGCGTTGGCAGCGTCAGCCCTGTGGGTACGTCTTGCGCGTCCAGCCACGACGACCTTGACAAAGCATTCATGGCTGGAGGAGGGGGAAGGGTATAGGGGGTTTAAGGAGGGATACAGTCGGTGACGAGGGGGGAGAGGCTTCGCCTTTACACAGTCTCTCCCCCGAGCTAAAGCCGGGCCATGGAAAATGACTACCACCACAACACACCACTTTGCAGTACGGGTGGTGTGTGCTCATCACCCTGCGAGGCCCAATGGTGACCGCATAAAGGGCCCCGGACGCAGCTTGGACCTAGTACTACTATGGTGCTGTGCCCCCAGGCGGCACCCGGGTTTGTGGGGCATATCACTGGCCAGACGCCAAGGTTTTCTTCCTGTTTCTCTCTCTTCCCCTACACGCCCACTGTGTTGGTTCTGAAAAGAGTATCTCTAATGAGTGTCCACTCATGGTCCAGCGCAACGGACTGGTTCTTTAGACCGGTGGAGATTTGGGTCCTGCAAGGATCGATATTACAGGCCTCCGTTGCAGCTAACACCGGACAGAAGCTGAAGCAGGAGGGGCGGAAGGGGAAAAGATGTAGAAGAAGAAGAAGAAGAAGAAGAAGAAGGCAAAATAACAGACCCAACCTTGGTCAAAGAGGAGCCAGCCTGGTCGAAAGAAGAGAGAGAGAGAGAGAGACAGAAGATGAGGGATCACGGTGGGCAAGGTGCCTGTTGGGATGGATGCATCGTTGTTTTGGCCCTCCTGAACCCGAACGGGTATGGACGAGCCACAGGTTCATGGTAAGTAAGCAGGTACTGTCCTTCACTTTCAATTCTCCATGGCCAGGGGCTCGTCTCTTGACACCACCTCCACCGTCCGCCTCGAAAGCTACTCATGATGGGGTATGCGCGCGCCTCTCTTACACCAAACCCAGTACCTGCCTCCCACCCCCACCAGCTTTGTCGCGGACAGAATCCGCAGCAACCCCCGTCCCCCCCTTTTCCATACCACCCCCTCCCACCCAAGAAATAATGTCCTTGGTGTGGCTGAGAGCAAATCTGTCATCCCATGTCGTGGACGCCGGGACAGGAGTCTAAGCTAAGTTTAGCTCAGCTCGATGTGGACAGTGAAGATACTGTACAACCTTGGGAGTGTGCGCGAAGGATGCCAAAATATCCTCCCTCTCTCTACACTCTCTCCACCATGGCGAAAACCCCCTGTTAAGCATCGTAGCATCGAGAACGGCCCCTCTTAGCGAGGGGTGGTGGGAAAAGACTCCCGGTCGTAGGGCTAGCCGTGAACTTGGACACTTCTGTGTCTATCCGGCGCCATCTAGACATCTTGCCGTCCTTCCCTTTCTATTGTCTTGTCACTCACTTATCGATCCTGTGGCTGCTCATCGTCACACACACACACACACACACACACACACTCTCTCTCTCTCTCTCTCTCTCTCTCTCTCTCTCAGTCTCTCTCTTGGTAGTAGTAGTCGCTTGTCTATCGTTATTGGAAGACAGCAATCGGGTTATGTCTCTATAGAGCATCCGGTCATTCTTTTTTTTTTTTTCTTTTTTTGCTGCTGTTTTCACTCTACACCATTTTCTCACCATTGGGTGAGTTGCGGTGGTGGTGGTGACGATGTTTTCCCTTCCGTGGCTACCGGCCATCACTCTTTTATGCTCGACTACTACACTCGTTCACGGACTCAAGTACGACGCCTCCGAGGCAGAATATAATCTTAATGCGAACACGACGGCAACGAATCCCCTCGACTACTGGATAGAACCACGAACCGACCATGACTACCACAAATCCCCCGACAATTGGAGGTTTCCCTTCTATACCGTGTTTATGGATCGTTTTGTCAACGGCGATCCAACCAACGACAATGCCAACGACACGCTTTTCGAGACGGATATGATGGCCACGCAGATTCGCAATGGTGGTGACCTGCAGGGCTTGGTGGACTCGCTGGACTATATCGCCGGCATGGGCATCAAGGTGCGCACCACACACATACCATCTCGTCCTCTGACAAGCTGTCTTGGATCCCTGCTGTCTATGATACCTCGCAACCAGTTCTTTGCTGACCAGAAGCTCAAAACTCAAAATCAATAGGGAATCTATCTTGCTGGATCTCCTTTCATCAACCAGCCATGGGGCGCAGACGCATATTCGGTAGGTCTACATGAGGATACCGTCCCATTCACGTGCCTCTCATACTGACAAGACTGCGCCAGCCGCTCGATCTGACTATGCTCGATAAACACTTTGGCAATGTGACAATGTGGCAGAATACTGTGGACGAGATCCATGATCGGGGCATGTATGTCATTCTCGACAACACGATGGCCACGTAAGTAGAATTCCCCCACCTCCTTTCCTCCTCCCATCGTTTCCCGTCTTCACAGCTTCTCACAAGTCATGTGATTCTTTAGCCTCGGCGACTTGATTGGCTTCGAGGGTTACCTGAATACCAGTGCGCCCTTCTCTGTCAAGGAACACAAGGTCGAGTGGAAGACGTCCAGACAGTACCTCGATTTCGATTTCGGCAACACGTACAACGAGTCGTGCGATTATCCTACATTCTGGTATGAGACTGGCGAGCTGGTTGACTTCAACAGCTCGGACGAGCTCGTGGGTTGCTACAACAGCGACTTCGACCAGTATGGCGACATTGAGGCCTTTGGTGTGTACCCCGACTGGGAGCGCCAGCTCTCCAAGTTCGCCTCCGTCCAGGACCGTCTGCGTGAGTGGTATGCGCCCGTACGCGAGCGCCTCGAGCGCTTCTCCTGCATGACGATCGCTGCGCTCGATATCGATGGTTTCCGGGTCGACAAGGCTATGCAGGTGACAGTCGATGCGCAGGCCGCCTTCACCTCCTCGGTTCGCGATTGTGCGATCAAGTATAACAAGACCAACTTCATGGTGGTGGGCGAGATCACATCTGGCAACACCCTCGGATCCATCTGGGTCGGCCGCGGCCGCTCCCTCGATATGTGGGTGGACGATGTGACCTCGGCCCAGACTCTGGACTGGAACGAGACGGACAGCGACAACTTCCTCCGTGATCCGGGCAACAGCGCCCTGGATGCTGGAGCGTTCCACTACTCTGTGTATCGTTTCTTGACGCGCTTTCTCGGCCTGAGCGGAAACCTCGAGGCTGCCTACGATCTGCCCACCGACTGGGTCGAGATGTGGAACCAGATGATGCTGTCCAATGATTTTTACAACGCCAACACGGGCGAGTTTGATCCTCGTCACCTGTACGGCGTGGCAAACCAGGATGTCTTCCGCTGGCCTGGTATTGAGCAAGGAACAAGGCGCATGATGCTGGGCTACATGGTCACCACCTTACTGATGCCCGGCATTCCTCTCGTCTACTACGGAGAGGAGCAGGACCTGTACGTTGTCGACAGCACAGCTGACAACTACGTCTACGGCCGACAAGCCTTCTCGCCCTCCCAGGCCTGGATGAGGCACGGTTGTTACACGCTGGGAAGCACCATCTTTGTCGATTGGCCAGCCGACAAGGCAATGACAGGCTGTACAGACGCTTCGCAGGCGCTGGACCACCGGGATCCTTCAGCCGCCATCCGAAACACCATGAAGTACATGTTCTCCCTGCGAGACTCGTTTCCTGTTCTCGAGGGTGGCTGGCTCCTGGCCAAGCTATCCAACCAGACCAGCTACACCCTGCTCAGCGGCAGCACAACAGCCACCGAGTTCGGCATCTGGAGCGTTGTCCGCGCATACAACACGCAGACCCAGACAGTATCGTCCAACAGCACGACGCCCGTCTGGCTGGTCTTCCACAATAACAACGTGACGACCGACTACACATTTGACTGCAGCACAGAGGAGAAGGCCTTCCTCTCGCCCTTTGATGCGGGCAAGTCTGTCAGGAACCTCATGAACTCGAGCGAGTCCGTCTACACGCTTGAGGACTCTTCTGTCTCCAACACCAACTGGACAGGCACGGACGCCAACATGGGCTGTTTCTCCAGCATCACCATGCAGCCGTACGAGTTCAAGGTATTTGTTGTCAGCGACGATTATGTCGCCCCTGCGCCCATGATCACCAAGTTCTCGCCAGGCCACGACTTCCAGATCGATTCGTCCGTGAACTCGACAGGCGAGTTGGAGATTGTGCTGGGCTTCTCGGTTGAGATGGACTGCACCGCAGTCAGCTCTGCTATCTATGTCGAGTCGTACCTGGATGGCTATGGGGCCCAGAACCTGACCAGCTTGAGTTCAGCTACGTGTGGCGCCGTGAACGAGACAGAGGTCGGAGACTTTGTCGGCTACATTCCTACGGCCTGGACCTGGACTGCGACCCTTTCTGGACTGCAGGACGGTGTGCACAGGCTCACTGTCGCCAACGCGTCTACGGCGGACGGTGTCGTAACCGACAGCATCGACCACTTCCTCATCCGACAGGGTCTGCCTACCAACCCCGTAGTCTGGCCGCAGAAGGGCAACTACTCGTCTGCGCTCTTGACCGTGAACGATGACGAGATTATGACCGTCCACCACAGGGCTCCCGGCGCCCAGAAGTGGCGGTACAGCACCAACTGGGGCTCGAGCTGGAGCAGCTGGAACAACTACACGGGCGACACCCAGACCGTCACGACTCTCACCTGGTCCGGAACCTCGAAACAGGCTTGGGACGGCTACCACCTCATGGTTCAGTACTGGAGCCGGCCCCTCGGGTCCTCGGCCTTCATCCAGCATGGCGACTACGGCGTCACCCACCAGCGCCACCAGCCCCATATCTTTATGCATGGCGACTTCAACGACTGGGGTTTCGACTCGGGCGTGCCCAACTCCATGGCGCTCACGGACAACAACACATGGGAAATGCATTTCATGTACGAATGGCCGGCCCAGGTGCAGGCCAACATTTGGGGCATGAACCCCGATGGCCAGTCGGACCAGACCTTCCTGTATGGCGATATCGACGGCGATGGCATCCTCGACAGGCTGGCGCCGAGCAGTCTGTCAACCAACGTGTTCAACATGACAACGGCCCCGGCATGGCCATTCCTCTCGTACAAGATCGTCATCGACGATGCGACCTGGTCCATCAAGGCTGTGCCGACGGGCAGCGCGCCCCTGCAGGTCTGGCTCTTCTGGTTCCTGGCCATCATCCCCATCATCACCGCCGGCCTGGCAGGATGGGTGTACATCCGCGGCTTCTACCAGGTCAAGGTCAACAAGAAGGGCTTCAAGAGAAAGTCCAAGCTGTTCATCTCGCTCGACGGCCTCCTGAAGCCCTCGGACGCAGACGAGAAGCGGGGGAAGCACAGCATCGCCCTCCGAGCCCTCTCGCCGTCTTCGGCGTCCACGTCGCTGCCTGTGGTCAAGTCTGCAGGCGAGAGGAAGACCGTCCTGATCGCCACCATGGAATACAATATCGATGATTGGAACATCAGCATCAAGATCGGTGGTCTGGGTGTCATGGCCAAGCTGATGAGCACGGCCCTGGAACACGTCAACCTCATCTGGGTGGTCCCCTGCGTGGGCGGCATTGAGTACCCGATGGACGAGCCCGCCGAGTCTATGTTTGTCGAGATCATGGGCGAGTCCTACGAGGTCAACGTGCAGTACCACAAGGTCAAGAACATCACCTACGTCCTCCTCGATGCGCCCATCTTCCGCCAGCAGACCAAGGCCGAGCCCTACATTGCCAGGATGGACGACATTGAGAGTGGTATCCTGTATGCCGCCTGGAACAGCTGTATCGCCGAGGCTATGCGCCGGTTCCCCGTCGACATCTACCACATTAACGATTACCACGGTGCCATTGCCCCTCTGTACCTTTTGCCACAGGTCATTCCCGTCTGTCTCTCACTCCATAACGCCGAATTCCAGGGTCTTTGGCCGATGCGCACGCCTGAGGAGAGCAAGGAGGTCTGCGAGGTCTTCAACCTGCCGAACGAGGTCGTCAAGAAGTATGTCCAGTACGGCTCCGTCTTCAACCTGCTCCATGCCGGCGCCAGCTATCTGCGCTATCACCAGAGGGGCTTCGGCGCTGTAGGCGTGTCCAAGAAGTACGGTGACCGCTCGCTGGCCCGCTACCCCATCTTCTGGAGTCTGAAGAACATCGGCCAGCTTCCCAACCCCGACCCTTCGGACACAGCCGCATGGGAGCCCGAGAAAGATGCCACGAGCAGCAGCAAGGACGGCATTGAAATTGACGAGGCATTTGAGGCCAGTCGTGCCGATCTCCGTGTCAAGGCCCAGGAGTGGGCTGGTCTTGAGGTCGACCCGACGGCTGAGCTGTTTGTCTTTGTCGGCCGTTGGTCTCTCCAAAAGGGTGTCGACCTGATTGCCGATATCTTCCCCAGCATCCTGGAGAAATACCCAAAGACACAACTTATCTGCGTCGGTCCCGTCATCGATTTATACGGCAAGTTTGCTGCCCTTAAGCTCGCTAAGCTGATGGAAAAGTACCCCAGGAGGGTGTTCTCGAAGCCCGAGTTCACACAGCTTCCGCCCTATATCTTCAGCGGCGCCGAGTTCGCTCTGATCCCGTCCCGTGATGAGCCTTTTGGTCTCGTCGCCGTCGAGTTCGGAAGGAAAGGTGCGCTGGGTGTCGGCGCCAGGGTGGGCGGCCTTGGACAGATGCCAGGCTGGTGGTATACCGTAGAGTCGATGACGCCTGCTCACTTGCTGGACCAGTTCAGGCATTCGCTGAAGGAGGCGCTCGAGTCCAAGAAACAGGTGCGGGCGCTCATGCGCGCGTGGTCCGCCAAGCAGCGGTTCCCCGTGAAGCAGTGGGTGCACCAGATCGACAACCTCTACGACGAGTCGATCCGCATCTCGCACAAGGAGGCGACCAAGAAGAAGAATCTGTTTGTGAGCAGGTCCATGCTCTCGCTCAACACATATGCAAACGACTCCGGCACTGGGCCCGACACACCCGGTACTTCCAGGCCGTCCACACCCGGCTTCAAGGTCGAGATCTCGTCACCGACCATGGTGAGCAGCTCCCTGATGCATCATTCCTCGCCCTCGCCGGACCTCCAGGCCACCTCCCCCAACGGGCTGCCCTCGCCTGTGTTCGGAACAAGCCACAGCCGCCTCTCGTCGGCCAGCAACCTGAGCAACCTCGGCTCGCCTGGCCTGATGACGCCCAAGTTTCCCTGGTCGAGCCTGGAGCCCGGATCACACGCGAGCGTGGCGTCCTTTGACAGCTTTGCCATGCGCGCGCAGCAGGACGGCCACACCTCGATGCGGCCCGGCTCTGTAGCCCCCGACTTCACCGACCCGATGACAGGCCTGCCGCTGCCCAAGCCCAGCTTCTACCAGCAGGGCAACCGCGGCAGCCAGCTGTCGCTCAGCGACGTGGTGGGCGAGCGGCACGACATGAAGCTGCAGAAGGTGGACCTGTCCTTCACAGACGCAAACGGCGAATTCTTTGCCGAGTACCAGGAGATGCTCGACGGCATCACGGCCAAGAACTCGCACACCGACCTGTGCATCGAGGAGTTCCTCAAGAAGAGCGAGAAGGAGTGGTTCAAGCGGTACCGCAACGCCAAGCTGGGCATCGACAGCCGTGACGCGAGCCGCACGCGCAGCCCCATGGGCAGGCGGCCCGAGAGCAGGGACGGCAAGCACAGGAACTCGTCCATCGTCAGCAGGGGCCGGCCAAGGCATCGCAGTATTACTCCCCACAGTATCAATACGTATATGAGCACGGAAGCCGACTCACCGCGCGAATTAGACGTTGACGATGAATTCTTGTTGGGTTCCGGTTACAAGGCGCCGACCGGGTTGAGGAAGTGAGTTATCATTCCAGTCCTCCTGTTGTTTTCTTCCTTTTGATGATTGATGAAGCCATTCTTTTTTACTGACAAATCTATCTTTGCGTCTCAACCAGGTTCCTATCGATCCGCATCGGAGATTGGCCCATCTACGCCTTCCTGATGGCGCTCGGCCAGATCCTGTCTGTCAACTCCTACCAAATCACTCTGCTGACCGGCGAGGCCTCGCAGACCACCAACAAGCTGTACATTATCGGCTCCGTCTATCTGGTCACCTCCATCATGTGGTGGCTTATGGTCCGCAACTTCAAGTCTCTGTACAGCATCGCCTTGCCCTGGGCCTTCTTCGGCCTGGCCTTTGCCTGCATGGGAATCACGGGTTTCATCAGCGACTCTACCACACAGGAGACCGTGGAGCTGATCGCTACTGTTCTGTATGCGGCTGGTGCTAGTAGCGGCGGTGTCATGTTTGCTCTGAACTTTGGTGACGAGGGTGAGTTTCTTCCTTTCTTTTGTTTCTTGCTTCCTCTCTCCAGAGAGTGATACTGATGACCCAAAATTTAGGTGGCTCTCCGACCAAGTCATGGGTCCTCCGGGCCATCTCCGTCGCCGGCATCTCCCAGGTCTACACACTCATGCTCTGGTACTGGGGATCTCTCGTCGCATTGTCTGAGGCTACTATTACTGGCACCATTGGCAACTCTGACGTGCCACTGGGCCTCGTGGTCTGCGTGCCCCTTGCTGTTGTCTTCTGGGTCATCGGCGTTGTTCTCTTCCTCGGCCTTCCCGACTACTACCGCCAGTCGCCCGAGTCCATCCCCGGCCTGTACATCTCCCTGCTCCACAGAAAGCTCGTCCCTTGGTTCTTCGTCGCCATCATCATCCAGAACTACTGGCTGTCCGCCCCCTACGGCCGCAACTGGGAGTTCCTCTTTGACAGCCAGTACCTCCCTGCCTGGGCCGCCGCCGTGTTGGCCCTGGGCTTCTTCGTCGGCCTGTGGAGCATCGTCCTCTACGTCTTCAGCCTCTTCTCGGACGAGCACACCTGGCTCCTCCCCATCTTCGCCATCGGCCTCGGCGCCCCCCGCTGGGCCCAGATGCTCTGGGGCTGCTCCGGCATTGGCTGGTACGTCCCATGGGTTGGCTCGGGTCTGGCCTCGGCCATCCTCTCGCGCTGCCTGTGGCTGTGGCTCGGCCTGCTCGACGCCATCCAGGGCGTGGGCTTGGGCATGATGCTGCTCGCCACGCTGACAAGACAGCACGTGCTTGCCGTGCTCATCGGCACCCAGGCTGTTGGTGCCGCAGTGACTATGCTGGCCAGGGCGACAAGCCCTAACCGCCTCGACGCCAACACCACCTTCCCCGACTTTAGCCAGGGCGCCCTCCCCGGCGCCGCCCAGAAGTGGTTCTGGATCTGCCTTGCCTTCCAGCTTGTCATTCCCTTTGGCTACTTCAAGTTCTTCCGCAAGGAGCAGGTCGCCAAGCCCTAAGGGCAGACTTGAGAACTTTCTACTACTCACTCCTGTTCTTTTACTCTCTTTCTTTTTCTCTTTGGGTTTTATATATTGCTCACAGAAGAAATATTTTTTTTTGTGTTACCCACCTTATAGGCATCAGCGAAAGGTCACCTGGGCGTTCTCTTTCCTTTCAAACCTGGCATGAATGCGTCTTATCTCTTGCGTCTTTGTTTATTGTCTCTTTATTGGATTCTTGGATATGGATTATAGATAAAAAAGATCTTTCTATTCATGTCATTTTGGCATACATCCAGTGGTAACTTACAAAGGCGGATCAATTAGGGGAGGAAGAGGCGCTTCGTGCTCTCCGGATTACTTTGGGAGGCTATACGAATTATTATCTTATATACTGCACACGAGATACCAAATATACCGCGCTTTACGCAACACTCGAGCTTTTCCTCTCTTTTTCTTTCTTTGCAGTTGTTCAAATATAGGTAAGGATCTGTTGATTTATCATGCCGATTTATATTCTGATTGGCTGATTCCATCTCTTTTGGCTCAGGACAGTCAGTGGCTGAAAGCCCGAATGCACCGGTCTATTTTCACATGCCGGTTCAAACTTGTAATGACCACTCAAGTTTAGACTACTGGATCGGTAGCCCAGACATTGCAACAGGAAGAGAAATCAGATTCGAGTGTTTCTAACTCTAGACTTCTATGACTACTTTACTTACATAGTAATACTATAAGAACCTTTTTGGTTGGTAGTCCAGGATGGGTACACGCTACATACCGGCAGGAGTGCTGACCAAATCAGGTTAGGGAGGGGAAAGAGAGAATCACGACGAAATGGGAATAGAGAAATAGAAGGGTCCGATGGTACGCCGAAGAGGCCCATGCGCTGCCTGCCCTGCCATGTCTTCCCTGCTATGGGTGCCAAGGTGCTACGTTTGACTTTGGAAAAGTGACTTGACGGAGCTGTACTATGGTACTTGGTACGTACTTGATGTACGTACCTGGTATTTATCTGCTTTCATCTGCCTTGTCGCTTGATAGGGAAATTGCTATCCTGCGCGGCATGACGAAAGCGCAGAAACCGTCAACGGCCGAAAAGAGGATCGACCTCCCGTAGCAGCTTGCCATTGTCACTGTCCGTCTTCGCGAGCCGACTACACCTACAGACGAGGCCAGTTGGACCTTTCCCCCCTTCTCTTCCCTTTTTCTTCTTTGACGTGGCACATCGCCGTCCATTCAACTCATTGTGTGCATGCAGCCAAAGTCAGCCCTCCAACTCAGTCCGAAGTGCTGTCCAGACCAATCCCAGTCGAGACCCAATCTTAATCAATCCCTCTATCTGCTCCATTCAATCCTCCTTCCCAGCACGGAGAATCTTCTCCCTCTCTTGGTCTCTCCGCCCCTAGCAAAGCTGGACGAGTTGAGTCAGAGGTTCACTCAGGTCGTACAAGGCCCAAGTCAAACAGGCTCAGCTCGATCGCAAGCAAAACGATAGCCGAACCGAGAGACAGGCTTTCCGATTCTAAAATAGAGAAAGACAAGATTCCGACTCGGACCCCTGGCCCAACCCTCAGGCCGCATTGATATCCAATCCGTGGCTTGCCCACTGCATCTTTTCTTCTTCCACCCGACTCTGTCTCACAACCCCAAAACCCCCGACCCGGACCAAAGCTTGAGACCCCATCCCAGGACCAGGTCTGACCAGACCCCCACGCTACGAGCTCGGTGGAAGGGAGGAAAAGAGGGAACAAACGTCGACAAGGTAGTACGCCGTTTGTCACTGTGTGAGGCGGACTATCCCCTGAAGGGCGAGGGGGCGGGTAATAAAAAGTAAAAAAAAGGCAGAACGGAAGGGAAAAAGCAGTCATGGCGAGGGATAGGGAACAAGCAGACAACATGTCACCTTCCAGGGGCCAATCAAAACGGACTCTCTCCGGCCGCGACACCGACTCCTCGACCAGCGACCAGGCGCAGCGTCCTCATAATCAGCAGCAAACACAGCAGCAGCAGCACAGGAAACACCAGCAGAGACATCATGTGGGGGGCGGTACAGGTGGTCGAATGCATGCAAGAGTTCCCTCCTCCAAAGGCCTGTCCAAGCAGAACGCCACCACCTCCTCGACCAAGCTCCACCGCCGTCTCACGTCGCCCTCTCCCGAACGTGGTACCACCACCGCCGCCACAAACACAAACGCTGCCGCCGCCGCCGCTGCTGCCGCCCCCGGGTTGACTTTCTCCTCTTCCTCCGCCTCGAACATCCACCACCACCACCAGCGCAAGCATTCGGCTCACTCCTCCGACCTGAGGCTGTCGCGCAACCCCTCCGCCACGAATCTCAAGAAGAACGCTTCCCAGACCACGCTCAAACGCAACAAATCCCACGTCGAGGTCGGCAGGCGAAGCAAGTCCTCCGCCCAGCTCAAGCGATCCTCCTCCGAGAAGACAGTCAGCAAGCTCAAGCCGTCCAAGTCAGCCGTCCACTTCGACATCGGCACCGACGGCCAATTCGACCAGGACGACGACGAAGACGACGTGGAAGAGTGGGTAGACGCTAGCAGCTCCGCCTCCCCGTACTTGTCGCGCCGTGGCTCCGTCATCACCAGCGGCCAGTCCTCCGCACACGCCCAGGGCAGCCCCGTACCGCACGCGAGTGGCGTCAGCGGCAGCAGGAATAGCAGCAGCAGCTCCGCGGCGGCGGAGGATGACGGAGACAACAACAACGGGGACGAGGAGCCGACACCGCTAGCGGAGCCCCAGAGGCTTCTGTTCGACCCCATCACCCAGCACAGCAGGAATCTCACCTCGAGGCTACTCCAACGCACCCCATCGCACAGCGCCACCACCAGCATGTCTAACATGACTGCGCTGGCCAAGGCGGCCTCGCCCGACAGCAGACGTTCGGCGAGCACTCTGTCAGTGCTCTCGGCCCAGCCTCAGGGCGTGGCGAGTAGCAACGGCGTGGACGAGGTCACGTCACGGTTCATCACATCACAGGGCTCTGTGGGGTCCTTCTACACAACTGCCGAGGCGGCCGCCAGGGCGGGCAAGAGGCCGCAGTCGATGGGCGGTCTGCCCGGCCCAGCGGACACAGGACTGTCTGCCGCAACTACACAGGTACAGGAAGAGGAGGAAGAGGAGGAAGAGGAGGAAGAGGAGGAGGAGGAGGAGGAGGAGGAGGATGATGATGATGATGCCAACGATGGCCCACATCGCCACCAACACCACCGTCGTCAGCGCCACGAAGACGACAACGAGGAGGAGCTGACGGACCAGGAAGACACGGGAATCACAAGCGCCATAGTGAACACGGCCCGGTCCAGGAAGGAAGGGCGCGTGGCCGCCCCATCGGAGAAGAGCCGGACCCAACAGAAGATCAACCTCCAGCGGGCCAGCTCGTCCATGGAGCCTGTGCGCCACCGCCACTCGGGCATAGGCGGCTTCGCGGCTGAGGTCGCCGAGGTCGCGGGCCCGCTTCTCGGCGGCGCCGGCTACGAGAGTCAGGACCCGCGTGTGTACAAGCTTCTCGAGCGCACCGGCGTCGAGTACAACATTGTCCGTCGGTATCAGAACCCCGTCGCCCGGTCGCTGGCCCGCATAGCCCAGCTGCCTGGCAACGACAAGGCCAGGCGGATCCCGCGCGGCGCGCCACCACCGTCATCGTCGTCGAGCCGGCGCTCCCTGCAGAACTTTGGGCTGAGCCAGAGCTTCCGAGAGCCGGGGACTGTGGGCGCAGGAGCGACGACGAACGGCCGGCGGCCCGAGACACCCAGGCGATCGCACTCGACTACTAGGCACAGCGGGGCAGCCTCGAGCCTGGACACGGATGACGACGGCGGTGCGGCGGCCAGTATGCACGAGGGGCCCGGGTCTCGGCTCAGCGGAGCGAGTTTGGTCAACGGCGAGGAGGACGAGGGGATCCAGGCCATCCTGAGGGGCATGTGGGATAAGAACCTGGTGGATTTGGCCACGAGTGCGGACTAAGGGTACAGGGACTACATTCTCCCTCGTCCTCGGCCCAGATGGACAGGAAATCGATGCCGTGCATCATTCATATCATATCACAAGGGTGCAATATCACACCTCGTGGGAGTCTTGTCTTCTACGTTGATCTTTAACATTCAAGCAATCTCAGGGATACCAAAGACTGAAAGGCACGATGGATGGAGACGGCGTTTGGGTACGGTATAGGTACAGGTACAGGTACAGCTACAGCTACAGCATTGCGAACGGAAGGGAAAACCACAACGCCAAGACTGCAATTCTTTTGAAGAGTCAAATTTCAAGGGCCAATTCTGGCTCTTCTTGTCCTTCTACACTGGTGCATTTTATGCCTGGTGTTTTCACATGAATTTGTCTAGAGCTGAAATTAATGACATCGTCCTCCTCCGTTGATTTGCAAGTGATCAGTATTGTTATGTTCCTTCTCCAAGTGATGTGAGTCTGTCTTCTAGGAGAGAGAAATGGAGAAGGAAAGACATAAGAAGAAAGAAGGAAAAGGGCAAAACAAAATGGTTGTACCAAAAGGACATAGAGGAACGTAAAGCCTGCCTTGTGATGGGGAAGGGGGGTAGGCTTATTAAGCCACTCAAGTCCGTTCGCAGGGGTTCAGTCCCAGGCCGAGGCGGCAACTTGGACGGCTTCCTCTTTATCGACTCTTTCCTAAAGCAACAACAACCACCCTCATCGGCACCGAAACTACTTATCGGCCACACCATCTGTACCCAAAGCGTATTTTCGAGTACACATATTTTCTTCCCTCTTGCTCTCTTTCTCTTCTACCACAGCACCAGGACTTGATTCAACACAAAATGAGTGCGCAGCTGTCACAACTCGAGGAGGAGAAGAAACAGTACCAAGAGCAGGTACGTTGTGCGCGCCTGGATTTGCCTGCTTCTCCTTTGCATCACTCCTGCTGACTCCTTTTACCATGATTAGCTCGACATCGTCTCCCAGTCCCTCCACGATGAGCCAGAGAACGCCGAGCTCCTCGGGCTCAAGGCCGAGCTCGAGGAGATGGTCAAGATGATCAACGAGTCCATCGCCGACATCGCCCCCTCCCACCAGCGCCCCGCGCAGGCCCAGGCCGCAGCCCCCCCTCCACCGCCATCACCACCGGCCGCCAAGCCCGAGAAGTGGTCTCGTGAGAACCACCCGGCATTCAAGAAGCAGATTCAGGAAGAGAAGGACCGCACGGAGGCCGCCAACGCCGCTTCCGCCGCCGCCGCAGCAGCCGCGGCCGCGGAGCCGGTCCAGATGAACTATGCGGTCAACGACACCGTCCTGGCAAAGTGGGTGTCAGGCGACAAGGGCTTCTACCCGGCGCGGATCACGGCGGTCACGGGCAGCAGCACGCAGCCCATCTATACAGTCAAGTTCAAGAGCTACGATATGGTCGAGACGCTGCGGGGCCGGGATATCAAGCCCGCCACCAACAAGCGCAAGGCTGCCGATGGGACGTCTGCGGGCGGTACCATTGCCAGCCCGGTTACGCCAGGGACGCCGTCGTCGTCGTCGGCAGCAATAGCAGCAGCTGCTGGTGGTGGGTTTCCAAGCACCAGCGGTTCGGCGACGAGCAACAACGGCATCGTCCTGACGAGCGCGCCGAGTGTGTACCCGCAGGCCGAGGACAAGGGTGCAGATGGTGAAGAGAAGCCGGTCAAGAAGTTCAAGAAGATCAAGGCGACCAAGGAGCTCGAGAAGGGGAAGAACAAGTGGCAGGAGTTCAACAACAAGAGCAAGTTCGGCAAGGCGCAGAAGAAGGACAGCATGTTCCGGACGCCAGAGGGTGTGCACGGGCGAGGTATGTACCGCTGTCGCGGCCCTAGAATCCTTATTGTCCTGTAGGGATGAAAAATCATATGCTAACGTGTGGGATGTGTGTCTTGTGTCTGCTTCAACAGTTGGATTCACAGGCTCGGGCCAGGCCATGCGCAAGGATCCTACCAGGAGTCGTCATATCTACCAACCTAATGAGGACGTTGACTAAGATGCTTTTTTCTTGCTGCAGAAATCCTTTTTCTCTTTCGTCATCCGGGGCTGTCTCGGAGCGCGGCAACAAAAACGACTGCTAGATCATCTCCTTCGAAACCTGAAAAGCCGGGACAGGCCCCTCTCGATCACTGTGCTGGTGGCTCCCTCGGCCCTTGCAACACGCACACCTCGCTCTCGCTCTCTCTCTCTCTCTCTCTCTCTCCAGTCTCTTTCCTTACTGGTGTATGATTTGGGGCGTTGGAACTGGGTCTACTACATCTTCCTCTTTCACACGGTAAACGCACCTTTGATTTCTCAAATGGAGGCTAACTCGGTTCTTTCTCATGGCTCCCCGCGAAGACTGTGTCTGTCCGTCACTACAGTCGTCAAATAAGGAAAAATCAGCAGCGCAACAACTTCATAAGACGTGCTCAGCACCGTTGAGCGAGTCTCTTGTTACATGAGACCTGGGTCTGCATGGGACAATGCCTGTATATGTATATATCCATATATCTCTGTGTATAATTACAATGAGATTTCATACCCTTTGACATTAGGTCTTGATTAAATCTCTTGCTGAACCAAAGTCATTGCAGGAGCTGGTCCAATCCCCTCTACAGTATGTCTATACCAAGAGCTAGCCATGGGCTTATCCTCGACACAACAATGGCAGACTTTGGTGGCCCGGTAGCCTTCCAGTATTCCATTACTGAAAACTTGGTCTATCTGTGAACCCTGAACACTTGGCTCATTTTGAAGGCACCGGCTCTCTTTGTAGTTTATCTGTTCCTTTTGCTCCAGATCAATGTATATCCGACAAATAGCCCTTATTGATGGCCGATATCTGTTCCATGTACAGTGAGGTCTCATCTCCTGCATAAATTGTTTGTGGCTACAGGTTCTGGTATTCCATATCAGATCACTCCCAGGCGCTGCCCTTCATACTATAATCACTGCACAGAAAGCCTCGGACCACAGATCTCGCAATCCGTTTTACTTGATTGGCCCTGACAGAAAGCTTGTGCATACTTGCCATTCACACCTGGGATGGAATGTATTGCAAAATATGGGGAGCTCGATCATCCAGCCAAGGTGGGCAAATTAAGAAAATGGGGGGCCTGGGTCCTCCGTACTCGCTCACCTACGCTGCCCCCAGGTAAAGATGCGACCAGGTTTCATCTCACAGGATTCGCTTCACTTTTGGAGACGCCCGCGGTGATTTCAATGGCGACAAGGCCCCCTGTCAGCAGAGGGGTTCCTTAAGGGGCGAAGGGGCGCAGCAATCTCACTGGATGCCATAGGCAGTAAGGAATCGACCTAGTGAGCCTCTGGCTCCGCTTATGCTCCTATCTTGTCGACCTCTCTCTCGACCTACAATCATTCTTTCTCCGTTATCTTATTTTTTTTTTTTTTTTTACCGTATTTCTTCTTCTTTCTTCCTGGTTACTTAATGGCGGACTCTACGATCACGGAGGAGAAGAGTGGCATGCTGCACGCGGATGGTAACGACGGGGAAAAGGAGTCGTCGTCTGTCGACCTGGAGGAGGCCCGTCATGATGATCCAATACCGTCCGCCGAGGATGTCGAGGAGGAAGATGAAAAGCCACAGCAGCATGTGGCTGACCGTCGAGAGGGATTCCGGTTCATGTGGACTCTTCGCCTGATCCTCTGCTTCTGCATCGGCCTGGTCGGCTGCCGCATCGTCCTGGCTGCAGTCAGTCTTTACCCGGGAAGACACCGTGCCGGCACAACGTATGCTCCTGGCCCGACCAGTCCCACAACGGTGCATCACACAATATGGCGACACAGGATCCCAGCAGACAAGGCCTTCATCTTCGAGATGGAGGCAGAGTTGGAACGTCTCGAATCCGACCAAGAAGACACCGCCTCCATTCCGCCGCGGACCCTTAACGCCAGCAAGGCGTGTCTCGCCGGCATAATCCAGTGGGAGTCCTCGACCAGATGCAACCTGCGCTTCACAGAAGATGAGCTGGAGCAGATGCTGCACGACCCCGATCCCGGCCTGCGCACGAGCTTCTGCGACGAGACGTGCCGAGGGGGCTCGTGGCTGAGCGGGTGTCGGCCGCGCGCAGACCTCACCCAGAAGGTGACCGACTTTATTGCCCAGAGCGTCTCGCACCGAGAGAGGCGGTCGACCTACTGCAAGGCTATAGCGCCCGCCGCGGAGCACGATGACTGCGGCAAGGCCCTCGTCGGTATGAACAGGACGGACTGGGCTTTTACGCTCCGTGATTTCAACCAGGACTTCATGAGCCAGGTGGACCAGGCGCTGGAGGAGCTGCTGGAAACCCAGTGGGCGGTGGATGCTGCTGCTGCTTCTGCTGCTGCTGCTACTGCTGCTACTGCTGATCCTGCGCCGACCTTAGAGCAGCGACAGGAGTATCCCGACCTCCGGGCCAAAGCCCAAAAGCCCCTCCTCGGCGAGACGCCCTCGCAGCAACAGCAACAGAGGCAGCGGCAGCAACAGCAGCAGCAGCAGAAGCAGAAGCAGCTAGGCGCCACCATCTGTGCTGGCTGTTTCTGGCGGCAGGTGGCCGGCGCCCGCATGCGAGAGGCGAGGACCTTTATAGCCATAGCGCCCTCCGCCGCCGAGTACGTCGAGTTTGTAAAGCGGTACCACGCCGCGTGCACGTCTCTGGGGGCGGACTGGCTCGGCGACGTGCCCTACGGAGACGACCCGTTGCTCTGGCGCGTGCAGACGCCGAGCGGGGACGTCATGCGGTACGTCGACTCGGACGAGTGGGACGAGGCGTGGATGCCGGCTGGGCGCATCTATGCCCTGAACGAGGCGACGCGGCAGGTCACCTGGCGCGAGAAGTCGGCGAACAGGGCGAGTTCGCTGTGGGAGGTGCTGCTTGCTGAGAGGACGCTCAGGTACGTACGGGAGGACAGATGGGATGAATGGAGGCGCGAGATTGAGTGTAGGAGGTTGGCGGATGCGGAGTTTTGGGAGCAAGTGGGTGGTAAGCATCTCGTCAAACACAGGGGTCAAGATGCCGTCATAATGCTTATGGCAAACGGAAGACAAGTGAGAGAATGAAGTAAGTCGGAAGACGAAGAAAAGACTAGCGTAGTATGGCGGGATTTGTCCTCGATATATTCTTTTTTTGAGATTTTCTTCGTAACAAGATGGAGGATGAGCATCTGGAAGGGGCTGGTAGGCATGTCAGCATCCTGTACTTTCCAGGACATGATTGCGAATCTTGGTCGTGTTCCAGCTTGGTCTCACCTCTTGAGTGTACATATATATCACTGGGCTCATTCCAAGTCCTTGATCTCAAATCGCCCTGAACACACTTGTGGATACTCTGGCACCTTTCAGGACCCTCCATAAGCGTTTAGTACAGATCATACTGCACTTTGGCAAGCCCAAACATGACTCTCGACGGGTCATCCACGAGAATGGGTTGATCGGAGTGAGGCCGCGGCGGCCCCTTTCGCATCTTTGTCCCCCGTCCTGAGCGTATTCTCCTTGCCTCCTGTTTTGCTCATTACCATCGTCAGCATCATGACCATCATCATCGCTGTTGTTGGGGGCTGTCTCTTTTCACGGCAGCAAATTCGGTACGTTTCGACGGGCTCCTATAAGACTCGTTGGTATTGGACCTCACAAACATCATCATTCGACCACATAAGAGCCTCTTCCGCCACTCAAAGCCCCCAGCAGCCTGTTTTCAAAAGGAGTCACTGTAAACGACTGAATGAGGATGATTTCCTGTAACTTTTCCAATTCCGGATATCGTACGAATAGCTCGCGCGTGCTATGTTCTCTTGACTGTATTGCTCTTTGTTGGGGGGCGGGTGGTGCAGAACTATGTGAAAGAATCGGACCGATGCTCAGCATGTGACGCAGTTTCAGCATGTCTACCACAGTCTATTATGCCTTGCCCTCGTTCAGCTTTCGGAAGAAATCCATGACGCCGGTGAAGACCACGAGAAGAATGCCACCGCCCTATCATTACGTCGTTAGCCAACAACAACAAGAACAGCAGAACCTCATAAGAACAGGAGGATGTATGGAACTCACCGGACCCAGACGCAACACCTTGGGCAAGAAACCCTTGTACAGCGCAGCGAAGCCCTCCTCCTTCATGACCGTGCCGACAGCAGGCCAGGCCCAGTTGTACTTGGGGACGGTACCGGGGACCTTGGGGCTGTTCTGGATGCGCGACTTGACCACGTCCATGGGTGTGTTCAGGATCGTGCCCACCGTACCACCGACCGTACCCGCCATGATGTCGTTGAACATCTGGCCCCGCTTGTCGCTCGCCTTGGGCAATAGCTGGCGCACCTGGAAGATGCAGCCAAAGTAGCCCGCATTCCACAGGATGTGACGCCACAGCGTGCTCTCCAGGCCGTTGTACATGGCCAGCACACCCTCCTGCTTGATCGTCTTGGCGACCACATCCAGCATGCCGTTGTACTTGCCAGCCGAGGCCTTGTCCTGCAGCCGGATCTTGACGAGCTCGAAGGGGACGACGACGAAGGACTCGGTGGCGCCCGCGGTGGCACCTGTCAGGACGGACAGCGACTGGTTCATCTTTTCGGCGCCAAAGGCCTTGCGGTAGAACTTGCCCCACTCGTCGTTGGCCGCGAACTTGGTGGCACGCTTGGGGGCTTCCATCAGAATCGGGGCAGTGATGCCTCGGTAGAGACGCGAGAAGCTGGAGAAAGACGCGTTACATTGTCAGTTCTGCAGGGCGCTCCCCTCTCTGAGCTGCTCCTCGGCTGCGTGGGTTATGTACATACCCCTCATTGCGAACAATCTTGGAAAAGCAGTCAAACATGCCATTGTAGGAGTCTGCGCCAGCTCCCTTTCCAGTCTGGAGTTGCCTGCGGTGCTCGTCAGCTCAGGGACATCCTCGTTCCCCTCCCTGAATGAAGCTTACACTCTTGTCTTGACGACGTCCAGTGGGTACCTAAAGCCAGCTATCAGCATCACCAGTGTCTTTGCGCCAGTTCCTTGAACACATACATAACCAGAATCTAAGAACAGAAGGGGATGTCAGCAGGCCCAATTGAAAGAGAGGGGATTCCTCATACCTCAGACACACCGGCAACAGCGCCTGCAAGTAGAACTCGAGTCAGCTTTTCATAAATCCCCAAACAAAGGCTGTGGTGACCATCAACAAAGTGTGGCTTGTGACTTACCGGCGGCGAACTGGTATATGAAGGGGAGAGGCTTGTCAGAGGACATCTTGAAGGCTGCTAAGTTGCAACAGTCGTCGTTGTCAGCATCAAACTAGAGGTGGAAATTGCTGCTAGGGATGTCGATGCGAAAAACTCACAGGGACCACGAGACTGGGGCAGAGACTGGGCAACAAGAGGTTGTGGGGGAGTTGAAGGAAGTTGATTCGAAATATCCCGGCTACAAAAGGCTATAGATAAAAAGCAGCCTACTTATCGGCATGCGAAAATCGGTTTGCCAGTGGTGCAATCCCCCACAATCCCCAACATCCCGCTCGCCCTGGGCCTGTGCTAGCGCCATGTGTCCGGTACCTTGGGGCCTCTTGCAAGGGCGGCATCGGATCTATGCGCCCAGAGGACCCCTGCCTCTTTCCCCACATCGAATGGACAATTCCGATGTCAAGCTCCATTCCCTTGCCCCGAGCAACAACAAAGCATCTTCTCAGAACTGGCCCGGCTATGAATCTAAATGTCATGGACAGCTCGAGAGCATAGCATTTTGTCGGAAAAGAGATTGTCATACAGTGTTGCTGAATGAGATATAAACCGAATAGGCTGGCAGCAAGCTAGCGTTGGATGCTGTCTTATCTTGGTCATGGCCAAGCCTATATTGAGGCTGTAGACTTGGGATACCATCGCCTGTGATGATAGCGGTGGAGGCAGAATTTGCCCCAACACGAATGGGCCCATCATATACTACAATAAAGAGTCTCTGGTGGTCTATATACTGACGCAGCATTTCATTATCATGATGGCCCAGAAAGACAGAAAGGGGTTTAGACAATATGATAACTTTTATCTTCTTTTGGCTGCGATTATGCCAGGGTGTTATTGGCAAATGCATCTGGTCCAGGCTCAGCAATACAGGAGTTCTCCACGAATGCCTCCCTCTCTTTTCGTGTCTCGACTCTGAAAGTCTATCTGGCCTGCTGAACAGTTCAGATTTCTTTCTCCCATACCATCAATGATCTTTCGCATCTATAGCTCTTCTCGCCCGTTTCTAAAGGCATTTAAGCTGCGTCATCAGTAATCAACTTGATAACCTTGCCGATGGCGATCGTCTGTCCTTGGTCACGCTACACACCCAGAATTAGCTTTTGAAAGAGAAAAGGACCTGAGGGTTAGGGATCGGAAGCCAGCTTTTACTTACCAAGGTGAAACGTCCCATCTGCGGGTAGTCCTCGAATCTCTCGATACATACGGCGCCTGAAGCACCCGTCACCTCCATGCGGGCGATGATGCTTTCGCCCCTCTTGGCGTGCGTGGGTGGCCTCTTGCTCTTGCGGTTGGTACCCTTCTGCAAAGAGTGCAGCAGTGCAGCAAACGTAACCTCTTCAATGGCAGCATGCACGTGCAGCACGCAGTTAAAGCCGGCCGACAAGATAGACTTCAGATCGAGAATGCGGATCTGTGCCTCGAACTGCTTGACGCAATGCACTAGACGCTTGGGCGAGCAGAGCACGAAACCTGGAAGGATGTCTTCTTCCTCTATGCCGCGCAACCGCATTCGTACTTGGTCACCACACTGCGCAATCGCGATCTCGTCTTCCTGCTCTCCATATACGGCAGCGGCGTCCACCTTGGCCTTGTTGGGCATCATGACGAGGCTCATTCCCTTCTTCACGACACCAGCTTCGATACGCCCCTCTACCATGGTGCCCATATCACGGTATTTTCCAGCAATGGCCATCATGAACGGCGCGTTGAGCTTGCGCTCCAGGGCCTGCATGCTGTCCAGGTATTCGAGCAGGGAGGGACCGCTGTACCAAGGGCAAACTCCATCGGGTATCCTGTCCTTGATGCCCATCAGGGACTGAGCAGCGATGGGCATGAAGAAGACGTCGGTCTTGAGGTTGTATCCCGTGCCCTTCAGGAACGTAGAAAGCTTGGTCGTGCATTCCTTGAAACGATCCTCGGACCACTCCACGGTCGGGTCGTCCATCTTGTTGATTACGACTACCAGCTTGTTGACACCTTGAGTCTTGGCCAACATGGCATGCTCACGCGTTTGGCCGCCCTTTTCGAAACCTGTCTCATACTCGCCCTTTCGTGCGCTGTACACACACACTAGTCAGCAGAGATGCTCGCTTTCCCAAAGACCACCTGATGGCTCCGTTAGGATATTGCTTACCTGATGACGAGAATGCCAACATCTGCCTGCGAGGCACCACCGATCATGTTTGGCACATATGTCTTGTGGCCAGGCGCGTCCAGGATACTGTACTTGCGCTTATCGGTCTCGAAGAATCCACGACCAACCTCGACAGTCTTGCCCTTGGATCGCTCTTCATTTGTAAGATCCAGCGCCCATGACAGGTACCATGTCTCCCGGCCCATCTCCTTGGCTTCCCTCTTGTATTTGTCGAGCGTTCTTTGGTCCACCATACCTGTCTGGACAAGAATGGCACCACCAAGAGTCGACTTGCCGGCGTCGACGTGACCGATGAAGATAATGTTGACGTGCTCTTTGCCGTACATCTCCTTCAGGGTCTCATCGTCAACATCGGCGCTTTGCTCCTGTTCGACGGCGGCAGCATCGCGAGCTGCCTTTGCACCAGCAGCAGTGGCTCGTGAAGGGCTGCTGCGCCCGGAAGAGGGTGTGGGCGATGTCTTTCCAGAGCTAGCCTTATCCGAGCCAGCTTTCTCACCGGTCTTCTCGATAGCCTTCGCGGCGGTGACCTTAGCACCCTCCTCAGGTTTGGCCGCCTCCTCCTTGGTCTCAGCAGCGTCCCCCTTCTTCGGCTCTTCCTTAGCAGGCGCCGTACCACCAATCGTCAGGACCTTAGCCTTCGGCTTGGGGGCGTCACCGCCAATGCTCAGTACCTTGGTCCCGCCCTCCTTCACAACCGTCATATTGGCGTTGGGGTCGGAGGAAGATGCGGCGGCGTCGGTCGGTCGCTTAGCAATGGTGGGGGTCTGCTTCGGGGCTTGTTGTTGCTGTTGCTGCTGCTGAAGCTTCTGCTGCTGCTGCCCCTGTTGATAGTTCTGGTACTGGCCTGTGTGCAGGTCAGCGGGTTGCCTGATTGCAGAGTTGAGTCGCGTCTTGTCGGGTTCCCTACCGTAGCCCTGATTGTACTGGGCCTGCTGCCCGTAGACGTTGCCGTAGCCACCCTGCCCTCCATATTGGTTGAAGCCTTGTTGACCGCCGTACTGAGGGTAGTAGGCCTGTTGATTTCCGCCGTAGAAGCCCTGCTGGTATTGCGGCACGCCATAGCCACCTCCATAGGGCTGGCCTGGCTGGAAGGTAGCTGCTCCAGGCGTAAAGGTCGAGGCACCAGGGCGGAAGGACTGTTGACCTTGATTGTTGCCCAGGTTCATCTGTTGGGCCTGCTGCGCCAGATTCTCGTCCTGGGCAGCAGGGTCGTCCTCCCACGAGTTGAGGTTGGACATTTTGGATCTTCTTGGGGGGTGTGGGTGTAACGGACGGTGTGGTGGTTTGAAGAGGTAAGGCGAAGGAGGGGTGCAAGTCAGACAGGAGGTTCTTCCGTGGCGGGGCTGCGAGGCTTGATACGGTGGGGTGGTTTAGGCGGGTCTTTTAAAAGAAACTGCTTCAACTCGACACAGGGATTCAGGTTGGCGGTTGGGTAGTGAAGAATACAGAGCCCTGTCTGGGTTGCTTCGGTAGTGGAACAGCACGTAGGCAGTGCAGGACAGTAAGTGACTCAAGCCGGCTGGATGCCCTAATTGCTGCCTAAGTTTTTCTGCTCTTCAAGCTTTGAGAAATTGGCAAAATTTCGACAATAGGTTGGGCAGTTGATTGTGGTAGACTTTGCTGTGGCGGCGGGGTCTTAGTTGTAGAATGGCAGGAGGGGCCTGACCCCGCCACAGCATCATTGTGGTGGGCTTAGGCCTGCAAGCTGCCCCAAGCACCTAGGCAAGCTGGCAGGCTGGATACTTGAGAGCAGCATAGTAGTACCTGTAAAAAGATCACTAACACCTTTCCATACACTTCTCAGGGGGGCCTGATAGTGTACAGCCGTAGCTCTATCTGTTACTGCAGACCAACCAACTCCAAAGAAATCTAGGCAAGCACAGACAGATTTTGCCTTGAGGTTGGCTCCAGCTTCCAGGTGAAGCATCTTCTTCACTCATCTTCTTCCTCAAAAAGCAATGAGGTAAGATTAAATGATCACCTATTAGACGCATACATACGGGGAGTCCTGAAGTCTGCAAGGCCAGCCATCCAGGACAACCCAAGGCAACGAAAGAGGCCGACCAGTCCCAGACCAGTCCCGGAATGGACGCCCTTCTGGCTCGGTTCGGCGCGCAGGCCGTCAACTATGCCATTCGAAGCGGCATAGCCCTCACCTCGACTTATGCCATCGGGCAGTGCTCTAGGCTGCTCAAGAGCATCGACGACCGCGCATTGCGCACTGAACTCAAGTCTTTGCAGGACCAGCTGAACAGCAAGATCAAGATCCTGTCACCGGTCATAGACTTGATAGAATTCAAGTGAGTCATTCAGAGCATCCAAGTCGGGCATGAGATCAGGACGCTAACCAGTGTGACAGGTCTGGCCGTGGTAATGTGTTCTTAGAGTCAGCCGTTCCGCTGGCAAAAGCTCTCCATCGCGACATTGTCGCTCTCGGCAAGCGGCTCGAGAGTGCTGCGCTCGCGGAGGAGGCCTCTCGTCAGCTTAGAACGACGGCCGCGACGGCCGAAGCCCACCATGCTGAACTCCTCGCCATCATCCGTGCGATCAAAGAGCTCCTGGCGAGGATCGAGAAGGACATACCCACGCTGCAGTTGGCCATCACTGCTTCGGGTGAGACGTTCGCCTCGTCGCTGCCGTCCGGCATATCTCCTTCGCGTTTCCTTCAGGCAAGCTTCTTTCTTAACCTTGGAGACACCCAGTTCGCACGAGACCCCACAAGACCTGTGCAAATCGGCCCTTCTTTTTGCCTGTCGCTCTACATGCTATTCGTCGGCCATACCAGCTGTGCACCGCAGCGAGGCAAGTCAGAGCCTCCCAGGCCGGTCACTCCCGACGCATCTCGTTCGGGGACCCCCTTGAAGGACGAGCCATACGGCTTCGAGCCTGGCGAAAGACGGCCGATATGGCAGGAAGTACTACACAAGGCTCGGGTGACGCTCTGCAGGACACCCATGGCCTGGCACTTTGACCCTGCGCTAGGCTATGTTCCACGCCCTGCACACTCCGTCGTCTCCAGCCAGGATAATTCATCTCCGGGACAGCAGATGTCTGGCAGACCAGATGAGTATTCGTACCATCTAGAAATCATTGAAGACCTAGATGATGGTAGGGTGCATGAAGAGGACGCAAGGGCTCGCCCCTATGATGATATGCCGCAGGCAGGGATTCGAGAGTCGATTCCCATTCATCAGGTGGCCAAGATTTTCTACACTGATAGTGGGAGGATCCTCAACATTGGGAATGCTGATGAGGCTGGCAATAATCCCATCCTCCTGCTGAAGCGGGACACGAGGGCTCCGACCGCCGCTGACATTACTGAACAAATCATGACACCCGGAAGCCATATCTCAATGAAAACTATCGGCGACTCGGACAGCATCACGTCAGATGAACAAGACGAAATTGACCGTCAGCTGCGGGAGGAGAGCGAGCCTCGCGAGACCAGAGCCTCAGCAGGGCAGCAGCAGCACCCCCTTGCGATGCACCTCCCACCGCATCTCGACCCTGAGTGGCTGGCCCTCGAGGTTTTCACGGAGGACAATGACTATGAATCGTCATCCAACCCAGAAGATGAAGATGAGGACAACATGGGGGGCGAAGACTCTGTGCCCATGATCAAGCAAGCACGACCCTCTCCATCGCAACGCTCGTCAGTCGACGCGAACCTCCTCGCACAGATGAAGAATCTTTCTACGACGGATGTCACCGGCCGTTCCAGCACCCCAACAACATCTCGAGACGTTGAAAAGCCACACGCCCAGCGCGATGCTAATTTCATGGCGCGGTCGCCTTTTGGCTCGATTACGTCGTCGCTGTCGCTTATGGAGATGCTAGTCCGGCTCACCAGTCTGCAGGAGTTTCAGCAGGCAGCACACCTCTCCATTCCGGACTACATCTTATCATTCTTTCTAGAAGAGACATCCACTACGGGCATGAATGGGGAGGAGCGGTGGAAGGTCCGGAGCGAGGCGAAGAGGCGCGTTGGCTTTGATCCTTACACTGATACCCCTACAAAGTGAATAGCATAGCGTTTAGATTTCATGGGCATTTACAGCGTGTTGTGGCTTGCAGCAGAGGGTTTGTTTTCTTCCTTCTCTTTCATTATGTCATAGATTCATGATGCGACCTCTCTCAGCATGTACTTGAATTTATTCATCTCTACTTAGTAAATTGTGTAGGAGGATGTTGGCGTACTCGTGTTTGGTCCAGCAGGCCATTTCATCATGTTAAAGAAGGAAAGAAAGAAGAGAGAAATAGACCACAAAGAACAAAAGTAATTAAAGAGTCACAAACTGAAAAGGCTGATACATTAGCGGGTGTTGAAGAAATTGGTCTGTTGATATCGAAAGCATTGCTCTGGAATCGGTAATGATTTTGAGGGTTTCGCTCCGGTTAAATCAGACTTGTACAGTGAGCCAGTGGAATAAATCAGCCGCCCTGTGGCGGGCACTCCAGGTGCTAAAGTGTGGCGTGGCTGCTGGGCAACGGGCTTTCAATTATGTCATCGTTTACTTCTGACGGGGCTCTGAGCACCACTCATTCACTATAGAACCTTGCCCCTCCAACACTTTGCGCAACGCCAACTCAGTCTTGCAGCCTTGAGACGCGACACGCGTTATCACATTACTGGCGAAGACGGTCTGCAGTAAACGACACATACCTCTACTTTGTTGTCACTGAAATTGATCCAGCATGCGCTGAGCTGTTCAGACAACCTGGCCTTCGTCCATCAAATGCGCAGTAGTCTTGTTGGCCGTCTAAACGGGCTACAAGCAGATATCGCAGGATATTTAACGCACCTCGCGGAGTCTACCCAATTTTCTTCTTCAACATACTTCGCAGAATCTACCTTTAAGGCAACCTCACACCTTGCCGATTGTCAAGATGGCGCGAGGCACGCGCACCAGTTCCTTCAGCGACGACGATCTCGAGTTTATAAGCTCACAGGCCGCCAACATGTCCCTCCACAACCCAGGCACGCCCTCGTCCCACAGATCGCCCTCCAAACCCACACCCAACCCGTCCGGTGAGGTGATCGATCTCACGAATAGCCCCGCCCAGCCACTTGCGTACAAGTCCCTGCACTCTGCGGGCACCGGCCAACCTGAACCTCACCTCTTTGGCAAGCCGGGGAAGTTGATGTCCAGTCTTAAGCAGAAGGCAGCCAACGCCTCCGAACATCTCTTCTACCAGCCCAGGAACCGACCTGAGCACCACCGCGACCAGAAACAACCGGCGCAGAAGCCCAACGAGATACAGTCACCGGCGAAACCCCAGCTCTTCAGCTCCCTGGGCCCCGACGTCCTGCAGCCAGAACAACCCAAATATGTCCAGTCATCATACTACAGGGCTCCTCAGGGGCACGCTGCCTTGGCCGACCAGGCTTTCTATACAGACCCTGCCAAGGCGAATGAGGACCTCAAGGCGCTGCTAGAGGGTGGCATGGAAGATGACGAGGACCAAGAAGGGGCCGAAACAAATCTGGATGATGGGACACTAGAGGGGATCAAGGTGAAGCTGCTGCCCCACCAGGTGGAGGGTGTCAAGTGGATGAAGGGTCGTGAGCTTGGTCCCGTGAAGAGCGGAAAGGTGCCCAAGGGTGGCATTCTGGCAGATGACATGGGCCTCGGCAAGACATTACAGTCTATCTCTCTCATCATCAGCAATCCGAGACCCCAAAAAGACGGCCCGGGATGGAAGAAGAGCCTCAACGGCGTGGAGAAGGGTACGCTCGTGGTGGCACCGTTGGCACTGATCAGGCAGTGGGAGCAGGAGATCAAGGACAAGGTGACCAAGTCTCACCAGCTCAGTATCTGCGTCCATCACGGTCCGAACCGCACCAAGAGGTTCCAAGACCTCGCTCAGTACGACGTCGTCATCACCACCTACCAGATCCTGGTCTCTGAGCATGGTCATTCCACGGACAACCTCAAGGCAGGCTGCTTCGGAGTCCATTGGTACCGCGTCATTCTTGATGAGGCGCACACTATCAAGAACCGAAACGCAAAGTCTACGAAGGCATGTTATGCACTGGATTCGGAGTTCAGATGGTGTCTGACGGGTACTCCCATGCAAAACAATCTCGATGAGCTGCAGAGCTTGGTCAAATACCTGCGGATCTCTCCCTACGACAGTATAGCACACTGGCGGGACAATATCGACAAGCCCATGAAGAACGGAAACGGTCACGTCGCGCTCCGGCGACTTCACGCCTTGCTGCGTTCTTTCATGAAGCGCAGAACCAAGGAGGTCTTGAAAGAAGAGGGAGCATTGCTACCAGGTGGCAAGAAGGCCCTTGCGGCGGCTGCCAAAAATGGACAGGCTGCAGCTCCGACATCAGCCTTCAAGATCACGGAGCGTAAGGTCGTCCCAGTCGCAACGGACTTCTCGCCTGCTGAGCGCAGGTTCTACGACAAGCTGGCCGAACGAGCCGACAAGAGTCTGGAGGCCATGATGAAAAACAAGGTCAATTACGCCAATGCTTTGGTACTGCTTCTCCGGCTGCGACAAGCTTGCAATCACCCGAGCCTGGTGTCGAGCCAGCTCTCACAAGATGAGGACGCGTTGGCTACCGACACTGCTCATCAGAAGAGTGCGGACACCAGCGTTGATGACCTTGCAGATGCTTTTGGAGGTATGGGCATCCAGGCTAAGAAATGCGACATGTGTCTTCGGGATCTGCCCCGAGATGCCTCGGCACGTGGCGATATCCACTGTGCAGAGTGCTCCGAGAATATGGATGAAATGTACGCTGAAGTAACGGGGCCCAAGAAACCCAAGCAAAAGAGTTCAACAAAATCCAAAAGGAAGGCAGTCAAGAAGGAAGAAAACCAGCGCAAGTCACGCAAGCGGAACATCATTATCGATAGTGACGATGAGGAAGAGGAAGGTAGCTGGCTCGTTGGCGAGGACCAGCAAGGGGCCTTGCGCCTCGGAAAAGCTGGTGGCACGGACGACGAAAATGCCGAGGGCGAGGGCGAGTCTATTGGGGACGAAGATTCCGTCCATGAATCTGAAGATGAGGATGGTAGTCAACTGGACAGTTTCGTGGTCACCGATGAGAACATCAGTCAACCCTCCCGTGACTACTCTGGTGACTATTCTGACGACGACGACGACGACGACGACGATAGCTTTGTGTCCGTCGATAAGTTCGGGTCACAATCTGTCACGTCGAAGAAACAGCCCAAGTCATCGAGACGGGTGGTTGACTCGGAGGACGAGACTGAAGAGGACTCAGAAGAGGATTCGGAGACTGATTCTGGTGTCTCCGAGTCTGCGTTCGATGCGTCTGACATCCTCTCGGGCTCACAAGGACGGCTTCAGGGTAAACACCTCATGAGCTCGTCCAAGATCCGGGAGACTGTCAAAATCCTACACAAGGAGGCCCCCGAGCACAAATTCATTGTGTTCTCCCAATTCACGTCCATGCTGGACCTAATCCAGCCGTATCTGCGGAAAGAGGGCTTCAAATTCGTGCGCTACGATGGCGGCATGAGGAACGATGCTCGCGAGGAGAGCTTGCACCGCCTCCGAAACGACAAGAACACGCGCATCCTGCTGTGCAGTCTCAAGTGCGGCTCCCTGGGACTGAACCTGACCGCTGCGACACGAGTGATCATAATCGAACCATTTGTGAGTTGAAAACCATCTGGTCCCTGCATCGTTCTTCTTTTCCTTCCGGGGGGGGGGGAAGAGGGGGGTGGAGGTTCCCTTCGCTTTTTCTAGTCATGGACACGCTAACATGGTGAGCAGTGGAATCCATTCGTAGAAGAACAGGCCATAGACCGCGTGCACCGCCTGACCCAGACCGTCGACGTCGTCGTGTACAAACTTACCGTCAAGGACACGGTCGAGGAGCGCATCCTCGAGCTCCAGGAGAAGAAGCGCCTGCTCGCGCTGCACGCCATCGAGAGCGGCATGAAGAAGGACAAGGAGTCGCTCAAGCTCAGCCTCCAGGACCTGCTGAACCTGTTCAAGCCACGGCACGGCGGCGACGACGGCGGTCGGCTCGAGGACGGTAGCCAGTCGGACCAGCCAGATGTTGACAATGTGATGCGCGGCCTGGCGGAGGGCAGGCGGATGAGGCCGGAAAGGAAGAAGAGGGAGGATGATGTTTATGGGAGGCGGTGGTAAGAGGGGGGGGGGGGGGGAATAGATGCGAGTGAGTGGGATTGACCGTCGTCATTTGGACCATTTGGACGTTTGCTTTCCTGGATTCTGGAACTGCATACATGTTAAATGATGATGGCTGGTTGGGCATGGTCGAGACTATGCATAGAGTTAAGACTCTACAACTGTGTTACGAGACGGCGTTCGTGTGCGATTTTTAGACTTTGTAGTTTAGGGATTGAAATCACACAAAGTATCAGAATTACACACACACACACACACACACACACACATGGACGCGGATCATCCAATCTGGGGTATCGCAATCTGTTATCCATCCATATGCTATGTTCATTATTCATCATGCACACCCTCCCATATATTGGCATGAAGGTCCCACAAAGTACCCACTACCCTGACACGCTGGTTCGATATGTTCGAGTGATCAGCTGAACCCTGATATGTCTCCTCCTCTCCTGTCCATCTCACTTTCCCTCTCCCCATCTCTTTCTGTTTTTCTCTCTCTTCTCTCATACACAATCCCACCTCATATATGCATCCAACCTACTCCATGCCGCCACCACACATCACCAGCCTAGTAAGCCGGATTGGGCGGCACGTAGGGTTTATACCCACCCGCAGCACCACCCCCACCACCACCTTGACTCGGCAGCCCCTGCCTTGCATCATAAGCCGGCCCGGTGGGGTGCAAAGGCGCCGGCGCACCAGCCCCCCCGGGGATCATGCTCTCGGGCGCAGTCGGCGCAGGGTAGCTCGGGGCACTCGGAGCATGCTCGTCGGGCGAGTATGCTGAGCTCGAGTACGTCGCTGCGGACTGCGGGTAGTGTGGGGCTATGGGTGAGTCGTAGACGGACGTTGCCAGCTCCTGAGGGTTTTGGGGTGGTGCGGCGTTCGGAGGAGGGCCTTGGCTGGTGTTGAGCCCTGGTGCGTAGGATTGTGGCCGCCTATTATAAGGGTGGTGATTGGGCTGTTGTGATTGTGGTCCTGGACGGAGGGCCTCGTAGGTGGATTGGCGGTGTGGGGGTTGGTTGTCTGGGGCTGAAGGAGTGGCTGCTCCTGCTTGAGAGCCGGGGACCGGAGGACGCGAATAGGCAATGTATTGGTTTGCTGGAGGCGGAGAGCTGGTGTTTCTGTGATTTGAGGTCAATAAGGGAAAGGAAACGGAAAGAAAAAGAAAAGAAAAGCAGTCCAACTAGTTTTAGACCCAAGCAAGAAAGTTCTCACAAGGAGCGTCATCCCATGTTATGTCACATTGAAAACATACAAGAGCCCGGCTCGAACTTGCAAATGGTGCTCTTAACAAGGCGGACCCCCTCCCCCCCCCCCCCATAAAAAAAACCAAAAAAAAAAAACCGACACTTACTGGACAGGTTCAGCCTGCGCATTCCCATCCGAGGGAACACGACCGTCCTGGTCTCTCGGTGGATAACTCTGCTGTGAAGGAGGAACTTCGGCACCCGCCATATAAAATGGTGCAGGCGTTCCGCTAGGTCTACGGAAGGCAGGGGACGGAGTGGGCTGTGGTTGTTGAGATGGAGCATACGGGGTGTACTGGTGTTGTTGTTGCTGTTGTGGTGGTGGTTGTTCTGTACCATCTCAACTCGGTCAGGACTTCTTCATTCTTCTGGTGTACAGGTCTAAAACATTCTAATGAAATCTTGGTCTAACCTTGAGCGGGCGCCGGGGTGTAAAATCTCTGAGGGTCTTGCGGCGCTTGCTGAGGTGGAGGATAATTCGGCCCTGGAGTCGGAGCTCCATATACCTGCGCATCTTGAGGCCCTGGTGTAGGATAGCCTGGACCCGATGGACCGCCATACCCTTGAGGTATCGCCGGTCGCATTGCGTACTGCTGGTATGTGGGCTGTGGTGGGTGTGACATGGAGGACTCGAGCAAAGCCTCATAATCTCTCCGTGCTTTGATAAACTTCTCGTTGAGTTGAGTGAAGTCCTCTGTGATGCGTGTCAGCACTTTGGAAGTCCTTTACCGGCAGTGAGCTATATTTGCAAAACTCACCCTTCTTCTGCGAGTACTTCTCAATCAACTTGATCAGCTTTGGCCGGATGGCCAGCGTCTGGTGGTACAGCTTGGAGATCTCCTCATTGTCCTCCTCGCGCGGGGCGCTGTTGGTGCTCAGCAGCGTCAACAGCTTCTCGACGTTCTTGATCTCAGCAAACACCTCAGCCTCCATCTGCGCCTCCCGTTGCAGCTCCTCGGGCGTCGGGTCCGTGAGTTTCTCAACGTAGTTGAGGGGGAAAATGCCCGTCTTTCCCTTGAGGCTGCCCCGCCACCAGTCCTTGTACACGCTCTCCAGCACGGCAATCACATCCCCGCGCTTGAACTCCAGCTCGCCAGGCTCGCTCGGCACGAAATCGTAGAGCGCCCGCACGCGGCTCACCGTGGCGGCGGTAGTTCCCGAAGGCATGGGATGCTGCACGGGTGCAGCAGTCTCTTGGGGTGCCGATGACGAGCCGCTGGGCCCTGCGGCGGCGGTGGCGGTGGCAGGTTTCTGCTTCTTGCGCTCCTCCTCTTGTAAGGACAGCTTCAAGGCGATCTGTAGCTCCTCCTCCTCCTTCTGGCGGTCGAGGTCCGTCAGACCAGTCTTCTGGGGCGCCGAGGGCGGCTGCAGCTGCGGGTTCGACTGTTTCAGGCGGTAGTATGCGTCGTACATGATGCCCAGGTCGGCATCCTTGCTGAACATATCGCTCCACTCTTTCATGCGCTCCATGATCTTAGCCTTGACCTGGTTGTGCGTGTTGCGGTCGTTGGCGAGCTTGAGGAGGGCGTCAGTGAAGGCGCGGCTGGCGAGCTCGCGGTGCATCGGCTTGCCGCAGTTCTGGCTGAGAGCGTTGGCGAGCTAGAAATTTTGTTGCGTAGTGATGGTTACGTCGTCATCAGCTTATGCCCATATTCCCAGATAGCAGCAGGGCAGCACGCGGAGTAGAGCCCCCCGCAGCTCGTGTGTCTGCTCACCTCAAGTGTGTACAACTGAACGTTGGCATTCCTGTGCGCAAGACGCTTGATCAAGGCCTGGACGGCCTGCTGTGAACCATTGGAGTCGCTCGACACGCGGTCGCACACCTCCATGATGGCGGCCCAGTCCTCTGAGGTGAGATTCTCGTCTGTCGCCTTGGCTATTGTTTTCGATCCCCCAACAGTCAGCACTCGTTGATGGGCCATCGCTCTTCTTACTGATCGACTGGTGGCAACACATACCGACGGCCTCATCGTAGGGCCCAGGAGCCGCTGCTCGGAACATGATGACAGACCCTAAGACTCTGGCGGATGCTGATACTGATACTGATAAGTTGTGGCAACCCTTTTGACGGCGGTGTGTACAGCTGATACGAGGTCGTGCCGCTTTGCGTTGCGGAACTCGTGTTATTGTTGGAGAAGAGGTTGGTAAAAGTCGTCTAAGGCAAGGTGGGTGGTAAGTATAGGTTAGAGGACCCAAGACGGAGGAATTACGCTGCGGCAGCCTGCGCTGATGAGGAGGAGTGGGAGGTTCATACAAATGGACTGTGGCGCTGGGCTGGGCTGCGGATGGCTAAGTAGTACCTACAAGGGTGCACGATGACGACGGACGGCTGTGCACGCGTGCAAGCAGTGTTAGCGATTAGGTACCTTCAGCTCTACAAAGTGCTGCGAAACCCTGTTTCCCATGCGCGATGGCCCTGGCCCTTGGCCCAAAACTACCTAGCCGCACAGCATTGTCAGCGGCCCCTTGAGTGCCAGCTACGTAGAACTTGGAGAAGGTCCGGGCAACTGGAGGGATGCCTCAATCACTCGGCAAAATAAGCATTGCGTACCAGCTTGCGCCACACCTCGAGAGGAGTCAACGACCTAACAAGTCCCGTACGATGGATCATACCTACTATGGTACATGCCACTCCTCTCTTCCCCAACATAATAATCATGGCCTTGCAAGTTTGTGGGAGTTGGTCTGCATCAATCATACCAGACTGAACAAATAACAGGTTTCGCATGCTAAATGGTGGAATTTATTGAGAGACGTGAAGCACAGTGAAGCCCTTGGTCCCCTCTCAGGAGAGAGGAGGCGAGTGAGTGTGGATGCACACGAGACTCGCTTGCGGACATGAGCACCGCCACCCCACACTTTGAAGGCTTCATCACCGGCAATACACAGCCGGGTCAATCCACAAATGAAGAACAATATCTTCTATTTCTATGTCCTTGTATAATACTCTGCATCCCAGGGCGCCGAGCTGTCCAACATTCTCAATGCTCGCTCTCTTGTTTGCTCCCTGGCTCCAGCAGGACCGAGAAAGTCTACACACATTCCCGACTTCTTTGTCCTAAGGACCCTTTGCCTTTGGGGACCGTCAGCAGCGCCCGTGGTCGCAATACCCAGATACAGTACCAAAGTCAAGTTACCAAACCGTCGCACTGATTGATGTAACTCCAATTACAGCGCAAAACCATGAGAACGCCTCTTGACAGCGTCCTTGCCAGCATTGTTGCGGCTCTGCCTCAGATACCCACGAAGAATTTGTCCATGGGAGCCCTCCAGAAGAACTGTTCATATAATGTGTAAAGGGAAGGGGGGGGGGGGATATGTCCAGTCTGAACCCTCATCCAAAGGGAAGAAAGCAAGAGGCCACAAAAACGCCATAATGAAAATGCTGCCATGCCTAGCTGGTTGGCCAGGATCTTTTGCAAAACTCAATTTGTCCGCCGGCCGCCGCACGGGCGGTAAGCCCTGTGGAGATAGCCTCACCCGATGTTTGTATGATGAAAATGATGTTGATGATGTTGATGATGTGAGCCTCACCAACCTCTCCTCGAAGTGCCTCGCTGCTCATACCCGCGCTCGTTCGTGCCGCTCCCGGCGCTGCCACCACCGCGTCCCTCCTCGAGGCTCCGGCGACCTATGTCGCTCACCTGCATATCAAAGACAAGTGGTTCATCGTCGGCCTCATTATCACCACGACTCATACCATGTCGACCACTCGAGCCGCCCACAAAACTGCCACGAGATGATTGTGGCGGGGTCGGTCGCCCACGGGTGCTTCTGTACCGTAGACGAGGGGTGCCATCGGTTGGTGTGCCGCGGAGCAGACTTCCCGGTGTTTCCTTTTCGTGTTCTGCAGAGCTTGGCGAGCCCGTCGCACCACATGCCCGGATGTGAGCAGCAGGTTGTAGAGCAGCTGTGTCCTCGACCGACGACTCGCCGCGTTCCATACCGAACAGTGCGCTAAGTGTCGGAGGATCACGTTCTGCGCCGAGACTGATACTGCGACGGCTACCAAACGCCGCCTCACCATCGTCGTCTTCAACCAGGTTGCGCTGCTGTTGCGCCACGGAGCTCGACCGACGGTTCGTCTGTATCAGCCTGGGCGACAACGGCAGCGGGATGTCGATCGCCGTGGTACCCTCGGGGCTAAGTGCCGCTTCCGCGCCCTGCTCCTCCTCCTCTGTGGATGAGATCTCCGGGGCGAGACGCGTGGCTCTCCGCGCAGCTTGTGTCTGGGCGTCGTAATCGATGATCGAGTTCTCACTGAGCCGTGATGGTATGGCTGGGGTGTGAGGTGTATGTGGAGAGAGCGGTTTGCCGGGAGAGGTAGATACCGACATGGACGCTGGCGCCACCATCCCAGGCACGCTTGTCAGCTGCCTGCTAGATGAGCTCGAGGATCGCTGCATCTGCATTGACGAGGCCATTGATTCTGTTAGGGCGTTATTCGAGTCGCGCATGACCTGGAACTTAGAAAGCTGTGCCACTGTTCTCTTGGTAGCCGACTCGCCCTTCTTGGTGGATTCGAAGCTCGAGAGCGTCTTCCGGCTGTCCAGGTGCTTCAGGAAATCGGAGATGTTATCGTCGTCTGCATTCAGGGAGCCGGAACTGGCCTGGCCTCCGGCTTCTGCCAGCAGGTCAGATCCAGGCTGCGCTATTGAAGATGACAAGCTCTGTCTCCCGCTGCTGGCCTGATCGTCGTCGCCGCCTCTGCTCTGGCCACCAAACGACAGTCGGTTCCGCCGGTGGCTGAAGCTACTACTTATCCGGCTGCTACTGGGTCTAGGAGACGAGCCCGCAGGTATGTCTACCGCTGGCGGTCCACCTCTTAGAGAAGCCGGCATACCAGAGGTAAGTGAGGTACGGTTTCGCGCCTGGGTCAGAGCACTCAGCCCTGACTGCCGCTGCCCCGTCACAGGCGATGCAGGGATTTCTCCCTCGGAGATTCTTGGCGAACCTGACAGTGACCCTGCTTTAAAGGGTTGGAAAGAGACCGAAGGACGCCTTGCGACTGAGTCCTTACCGCGGAGCGACGGACGGATAGGAAGGGAGTTGGGCGGGTCTTCCATACTCGCTGGTACCGACCCAGCGGGTGAGCTGGCCTCTGATCCGACAGGCCTCACGGCCTTCAGGGCGGACATGGGACTGGTCCCCAGAGGGCCTGCGCCGTGGAACGTGGACAGACTGCCATATGTCTGGAGCGCATCCTGAAGCTCAACCTCTTTACCACGTCGCCGAGAGGGAAAGGACCCTATCTCCGTTGAGGATTCGGCGCGACGGTGTCCCCTGCTCTGGGGTAGAGATGGCTTGAAGAAGTTCTCATCGATGGCCGTAAACCGCGAACTGAGCAAGGACTCGGCATCGACCAGCTTGAAATTGCATTCCATCCGATAGGTAGCCGAGGCAGTGAGGCGACCTGCAGGTACATCCAATTCTCCAAACATGTAGTCTGTCACGACATCGCGAGCATCGCTCAAGGGCTGACGGAGAAGATCAAGACCCGTTGTCTCTCTCTCGGCCGTCAGAAAGCGGCACTTCACCTCCAACGCAGATGGTCGACCCTCCTTCCTGGACTGCAGTGCAAATTTGAATGCTGGCCACAGCCTCGCCGTGCTCCATAGCGACCGAAAATAAACGACGGCCTTCTTGTAAATGGTGGGAAGAAGGTGTTTGAACTCCTGGACCCCTTCGATTCCGATAGGATGAAGCTCGAATCGCCAGCGCTCGAGTATGACTTCTGTATTCTTCCTCTTGCCTGTGGGGCTGTCACCACTCACTTCGGGCAGGTTCAATGCCTCAAGTACATCCCATCTTTTCCCGTCGTCGTCCAAAAACACCAGACATTGGCTCGGAGATAGCTGCGAGGCATCGAGGTAGGTCTCAATAATCATAGGCGGGAAAGGATTCTCGAAGCTCGTGGCAGACTTCCAGATCTGGAGCTCATCTCGACATTGCTCGACCTCGTCCGTGATGAGGGAGAACTAGACCCCCATGTCAGCCCCTACGGGATGCGGCGCGTCAAAAGTCAGGTCAGACAAAGAACATACCCATTTGTTCGGTTTTGAGTCCGCTATGCGTTTGGTATTGACACGGGAGGTCGCAACAATCGAGCCAGCTTTCAGGAAGAAGTTCTGCTCCCTGTTAGTCCGAGTCAAAAAGCACCAGGATTGCGCCACAGGTTACCTGTATGATCTGATCCAGCTTCTTGACACTTTCACGACTGGGGCCGGAAGATGCAAGCTCGCCGCTCCCCGGAGAGCTCGAGTCTTCTGGCCGTGGGCTCCCCAAAGGCGTCCTCGTCTGCTCTCCGACCGCGTCCCTGGGATTGTTGGATCTCATGGGGTTGGTCTGAGGAGAGGAGGCGGGAGACGACACCTTCGGAGGGTGTCTTGGATGTTGATGCATGTTGGGCCAATGCTCACGGCGTAAGCTTGTGTAGCATTCGGGCTGAGAGCAGTAGGGCCAATTTTAAACGTATGCAGGTCAGAAGCCAGCGCTCTTCGAGGGATGCGAAGGCAGAGGAGCAGGTGGTGGCAGTGGTAATGGCGGCGATGGTGCTGGCAAGGATTGGCGAGTGTTTACTCTCGATTCCACCGGACATCTGCATCCATTGTTACACTTCTGAGGGGGAATAAAATATTTAAGATATGGCAAGGCGGTTTTGGATGGGTTTCTGTGCCTGCACAAAGAGGGCAATCGGGCTGTAGGTGGATATCCCAAGCACACCTAGCTGGTGGTTGGTCCTGCAGGTCAGGCAGGCAGCGATGCGATTGTCCAGTCACCAAGGTCCTTGGTGATGACTCTTGTTGACCAGACTCCGCTGTAATGCAGGTCTAATAAAGTGCAAACATCCTGAGAGGGGTGCACCTGGGTTGTTCGTGTGGTTGGTTTGGACGACAACTCTCTCTCTCTCAGTCTTTCTCGATGACACAAGGCCTGGGGATTTGAGGCGGGCGGCGCAACTCTCAGGAGAGGCGTCGGGATGGATGAAAGTGAGGTCACAAGACAGCGTCGATAAAGAGCAGGAGAGTTAGTCGATAAGACGGTCGGCAGGAGAGGTCCACTGCAGGTCCTGACAGGGTCTGGCGTTACTGGGGGTGGGACCTATGACCATGAGCGATCCCGTGTTAACAGATGGGTATTGTTTTCCGTCAGGGGTTCGTAGGGGCGCAAGGTGTGGTGGTGGTGTTGGTGGTGAATGGGAGGTCCCCTGGTCCTGATCAAAGTCTAGAAGTCATGGGTGAAGAGAGCCTCGTGATGAACCGTGGCGGTTCTTTCGTCATCCGGTTGCAAGGTGAGAAATGGAAGCTCTGTCAAGCCAAAGCCGCCAATGTTCACACGGTACCGTACGATGGTACCATAGGCGATACGCATTAGCGCTCGGCCCAATCCGTTGAGGTTCTAGTCTGCCGAGACAGAGGGACAATTCAGAGACGGTCGAGAGAATGGCCACCCCGTCAGAAGATTGGATCTGTCCAGGCCGAGACACGTAAAAAGAATGTTTGGTCGGAGGAGCGAAAAAGCAATGTTGAGGTGACGACTGCTGCATTATAGTGTGCATCTGGGGGAGAGTCAGGGTACCTGGTTTCCAGCCGACAGTCGACCTGTGCAGGGGGGAGTTCCTGAGCAGAGGGTAGCATTGACGCCAGGTCCCAAAGCCACGTCTATCCGCATACTTTAGGCCGATCCCTCCCGGTTCCTCTCGAGAACGAATTGGGTGCCTCGGAGCCGCGGTGAGCATATCTAGACAGCCTCTGTTGCAATACATAGTACTGAAGGCACATTCGCCCCACAGATTCCCCCTCTTCATCTCTGCAAGTGATCGAGTAATCGACGGCCTCTGGTTGGGGACCCAACCCGGTGTCCTCCGAAACGGTGGTTTGGTGTGGTAGCTCAGATACGTTGTACATGCTAGAGTTACAGGGTATGTACTTCTTAGCATCTACATTGGCACAGTATGTACTCTGGTTACATCCGTACACTTGTAGACAGACTGTACATAACAACTTGTTCTTCGGCCAGATTTGTTATACTATAGGGTATCATTTCCCAGTGCTCTTCGATGTCCCCCATCTCGTCATTATTTGTGCTCGGTATGAACTTGACATTCCGATCAAAAATGTAGCGGTCAACGACGATGGTTGTTCTAGGAACCTAGCATCGAGTCAAGCCCATGCCTGCCTGGATAGGCTTGCTTGGCTTTGGTACGCCGTGGGTGCTGTACCATAGTAGCGTCTAGGTTTGGGATGGATGGGATAGCGAGCTTGCCATGTCAACGTCCTGCAGCTAGTCTTGTTCGCCGCGATCGGATGCGTATAACTTCCGCTAAACAGTGATCAACCATAGATAAAGAGATAAGGTACGGTGCATGCACCCTATCAAAGAACGAGCGTCATGTTCATGGTGCGAAGGACGGCCGCCACCATTACCGCCACCACCACCACCTGCATGCATACAACCCAGCAGCCTACCCGACGCCAGCGCTAAGTCGATTAATGCAGGGCACAGCCTATCAATAAACTGCCACTCACTTCCCCTTGATGAGATCTGACGGACGATGAGGGTTCACCAATCCTACAGTAGACTGAATTGTTATGTTGACCACAAGTCGCCATTTGGATTTGAGCACGAAAGCGTATCGCACTACATTTGGTGCTGCCCTCCCCATATAGTCAAGACAAACTTTGTGCTTCTCTGAAGAGGGAGACACAGCTTGTGATGACAATCATGCTGGACACGGTGGCAACGGACCTCGTACCACCTGTCCGATGTTGTGGCTTCGAGCTGCTGTGCCACCTTCATGAATGGAGGGCGTTTAGTATCACTTGGAATGGGAAGACCACCCATCTGGCAGTTGCATAACAACAGAGTAGGCATGATCTACTTATTGCTCATGATGAGATCCCCTCGGCAAAGTTGAATGAACGACTTTACCTGCATGTATTCTCTTGCGTTTCAACGATTCAATCACAGCAGTATCGTCGTATGTGATCAATCAAGAGTGATACATTCAGCTCCTTTGTATGGTAGGGGTGCAGAGGCAGCATACTCCAAGGTCCCCACCATGCCTGGCACCCCTCCCGACATTGGCATGCATATGCCGTAAATAAATTACACAGGGAGTTGCCTATCAGCCCTGCTGCTGCTTCTGCTTCATGCTTTCCTCACTACGGCCCCAAACATTTCACGTGGTGGAAGAAGAAAGAGTGAGTTGAGATTAAGACTCTTGCTTTTATAATTTCGAGTCATTTTGAATGCCAGGCGTCATATGTGCCCAGGTGGGAGCTAACCGAGGACCTCCCGCTGAAGCACACTGTAAACCCTGGCCTCTTGATTGGTCGGCACAATGACCTTAGCTGGTTGACCCCTCTATAGTCCGGACGCGCGAACAATGAGCTTCCCGGTGGCGTCTCATAGTATCGTCAATGACCAGACACTTCTCCGAAGCCAACAATCCTTACCTCATCATCTTTTGTCTCTTGCTTTCTCTTTATTTCTACAAAAAAAACACGAGTGGTCCCCTCTACCTCTATTCGAGATCATCATTACGACTTGCTCCTCACTCTCCACCACAGATCATATCCTTCTTCGAAACTCGATCGCAGAACTGATCAGTTCGCGACATCGACCGGTGTGACTCTTATCGCCGTCCTTGACATCCAGGTGGCAATACTCGCAAAGAGCGCACGCCCCCATCTGACATCTCACAGCGCACACCTGCAGTTTATCCTTCCAACCGCCCACCGAGGCTCTCTTTTCGCACTTCCACGCGCACCTTTAAACAAGCCGTGATCCAACTCGAGGTCATAGCGAGGTGCCATCCGCGAAGTGTTGGGAGAGTCTAGGTACCAAGACGCCAATCCGGTCTGATCTCATGAGCAGCCTTTGGAAGGCCTGGGTCGATCACGATGTCGATCGCTTTCGTCGCCTGCTGGCTCCTGCCGGCTACGGCGCTCAGGGCGCTTCCAAGAGCCCCCATATAGGGACAGGAGGCCCTGGCGGCAGTCCCGGCGCTTTCGGGACTTCGCCTAGGATCGCAACAAAGATGCGCAAGGGGTCTGGCCTTGGGCCAGGAGGAGGAGGAGGGCCTGGTGGCCGGTCTGGGAACACCAACTTTGGCCGCGCCGAAGTCAACAGCCGAGATCACGCTGGTCTGACCATCCTATTGCGCGCCTCGTCCTCCACCTCCGAAGATGCCATCGCTTTTGTCGAGACCCTGCTCAACCACCCCGCCATCGATCTCCATGTGCAAGACCCCGAGAGCGGATGGAACGCCTTACATCGCGCATTGTATGCTGGAAACATCTCGATCGCAAGACTGCTATTGGAGAAAGAGCGTAGGGACTTGACCGGGCAGACTGTGGGCGCATCTCTCTCCAGAGCTGGACGCCTGATCAGGACAAAGGACCACGAGGGCTTATCGCCGTTCGATTTGTACAACTCAACAATCGCCCAGCGTGACGTAGCAGGCGTGAAAGTTGGAAGAGACTCGGATGACGAGTCAGAGGATGAGGAAACTGGGGACCCTCGCGCGTCGGAATCCACAGGCTCTCTCTTTGGCTCGGAGCTCTTCGCTTTTGGGAGCAATAAGAACCTGACCTTGGGCTTGGGTGATGAGGATGACCGTCAGTTCCCGGAGCGGGTATATTTACAGCGATCAGACTACCTCTTGCAGAGGTTCCACAACGAGTACCTCAGGGACGCAAATTCCGACCTGTCTGTGTCGGCTAACTGCAGCCTGGACGAAATGCCGACACTCACCAGATTTAGAGACTTGGAAGTCCAGGACGTGCAGCTTTCCAAGTATCACAGTGCCATTCTGACGACGGATCCGGTCTCCAACCTTTATGTGTGTGGTGTTGGGCGCGGCGGCCGACTTGGTCTGGGAGACGAAAACACGCGTTTCAACTATACCCCAGTCCAAGGCGGGCTCGTCAATAAAAAGGTAGTCCAAGTAGCCCTGGGCCAAAATCACACCATGGCCATCACAGATACTGGGGAGTTGTGGAATTGGGGCACAAATGCGAACTCGGTTCTTGGCTATTCCTTGCCTGATCCAGTCAACAAAGGCGAGGAGCCCTTCATTGCTACACCACGGCAAGTCTTTGGGCCTCTCAAGAAGGAGGTCATCACTGGCATTGCTGCTTCGACCATCCATTCCGTGGCGTACAATGGGTCGGCGCTGTTTTGTTGGGGCAAGAATGTCGGCCAGCTTGCCCTCATGGACGCAGACTCGAGGTCCCTTGAGGTGCAGACAACTCCGCGGAGAGTAGCAGCGTCTCTGATATCGGCGCCGATCGTGATGGCCTCGGCGATAGACAAGGCGACTACGTGTCTTCTGGCAAACCAGGTTGTCATTGTCTTCACGGCTTACGGATACAACATCGTCAAATTCCCCTACGCTGATGCGTTGGCCAACTACAACTTGGGTGGATTCACAGTGTCATTCTCAGGCCATGATTCTCAGAGAACTCGGATCAAACACATCGCATCCGGTGGTGAGACCATTGTTGCTCTGACTGGCAGAGGAGATCTATTCCACATGAACTTATTAGCTCCAAAAGCGGATGCTCATTCCTCTTCATCCACAACAAATCCCACAAAGATCAAGAACGCTGTCAGCCAGCCAGTCTGTATCTGGACGGCGCACAAGGACGGCGTTAGGTCCGTCGACGTCGGCGAGCATGGATCAGTCATCATCAGCACCGAGTCAGGAGCAGTATGGCGACGTATCAAGAGAGCGAAAGCCAAGGACTCTATTGTCGCTGGCGTCGGGGATGCCAAGCACAAAGATTTCAAATTTCAGCGTGTTCCGGGCATCACAGATATTGTCGCTGTCAGGAGCTCCGTCTTTGGCGCTTTCGCTGCTGTTCGGAAGGATTCTGAGGTAATCCGGGAGCAGATCAAGACCAGCCCGCCGACACTTTGGGACGATCTCGCTCCGCTCGATTATCTCAAAAACTTCCGGTCTTCTGATGCAAGCACCCAAAAGAAGGACAACTTGAAGTTTTGGAATCATGATCAACTTGTCTCTCAGCTTGCAAGCACCGCCCTCGAGGTATTGAAATCTCCAGATCTCGATGCGGATTTGCACAACTACTTATCGACCTGGCCCTTCTCAAACGAGGAGTTGGATACCGCTGTTTGCACATCGTCTTCACCGGAGATTCGCTTGCCGGTTCATAGTTGGATCTTGGGAGCACGCAGCCCGGTTTTGCGAAGAGGTCTCCCAACGGCTCGGCTGCAAGGTTCGTATGAACTGCCGGAGCACCTCACGATTGAAAGTGTTGCCGGCAAGACTACCGTGACGTTCACCGGCATCGACATTATCTCTCTTCTGAACCTTGTCCTGTTTATGTATGAGGACCGAGTCATTCCAGTCTGGAACTACACCCGTCAAGATCCTGCTCTGGCTTACAGGTATCGCCAGATACGTACAGAAGTAATGAAATTGGCTGCAAGACTCGAAATGAGCAAGTTAGAAGCTGCGGCCCAGAAGCAGACTGATCCGCTCAGGTCCATGCATATCGACTTTCGGTCCGCCTTGGACGACCCAACGTTCTTCGATGATGCGGACGCCATCCTGCTGCTTGATGGCGACGAAGTTCCCGCCCACAGCGCACTGCTCCGGCAGAGATGCCCCTTCTTCGAGGCACTGTTCCATGGTCGCTCACAAGGTGCATGGCTTGCAAACCGCCGGGCTGTCGTGGGACCGGCTGGCATGATACCTATTGATCTGGAACACATCGAACCAGAGACTTTCAAATATGTGCTGCGGTACCTCTATGCCGACGTTGGCACTGAGCTCTTTAACGACGTCATTTGTGACAGCATTGATGATTTCTCGGATCTCGTCATGGACGTCATGGGGGTGGCCAACGAGTTGATGCTTGACCGAGTAAGTCAGATGTGAAACCCCTCGCTACTTTGAGGAGTAGCATTATGGAAGACGCCTCTCTCCTTCAACGTAGTTCTCCATGGGATTGTCCCTAGTGAAATTGTCTCCTGTCTTGACAGTTGAGATTGCTAATGGGCTCCGCAGCTGTCACAAATTTGCCAGCAAGTGATTTCTCGATTCGTCAACACTCGCAACGTGGCTCATTACCTCAACGCCATCAGTCCATGTTCCGTGACCGCATTCAAAGACGCTGGTCTAGAGTACATCACTTTGCAGGCTGAAAACCTTCTCGAGAATAATCTTCTGGAGAACTTGGACGATGAAGTCATCGAGGAGCTTGATGCCGTGGTCAGGGCCAATCAACTTGCCCGCTACCCGTTTGCCCGAAGCGACCGGGCAGAGCTGCTTCTTCACGAGAACCACCCAGAGCTCGCTCAGGATATTGAAGAGGAGAGGCAGCGAAGAGTCAGGGAGATGGCGTTCAAGGCTAGTCAGAAGGAAGAGGAAAGAAAACTATCCTCGTCACTCAGGGGCAAATTTGGCAGCCTCGAGGACCTCACTCCCGTGTCACCCGGCCCGGAGAAACAGGCACGGAAGGCTAAGGCACGGAGGAATGAACCGTTCAGCCCTGAACTACGTCCCAAATCTACACAGAACGACTTCATGTTCGATATGGACGACGAAGAAGGGACGGCTGACAGTCCGTCAATCCGGCCACAGAAAATTGCTGGTGGCAAGAGGCAGCAGCAGCCTGAGCTGGATCAGATACCTCCTCTGGCGGGATCATCATCGTACCTTGATGAGAGGCGGAAATCCATTGCTCAATCGCCTTTGATGCCATCACCAGCTGGTTCAGAAGATCCAGCGTCACCTCATCTTACCGGTCGACGAGCGGTTGCCACCGCTCCTGAAAAGTTCGGCACGCCGTGGGCTTCGGCTACGATGCCCACCACCAAGCTTGATTTGCGCGAGATCATGAATGAAGGATCCTCTGGGCCCTCGGCCCTGTCGGCGGGCTTGGCTGCTCAGAGGGCCAAGGAGGCTTCGGCCAAGCCACAGCAGACCAAGATATCGCAGAAGGAGCGTAAGAGACAGCAGCAGCTGCAGGCAGAGCAAGCCGCGAGGGAAGCCCTGACGCCACCTGCCAAGACACCTTGGGAAAAGTCGTCTGCTGATACCAAGGCATCGCCGTGGAAGACGGTGTCGAGAGATGCTCAGCCCTCGCCAAAGGGTACCATGCCTGATGCTCTCCTCCAGGTCCCGCCCAATACGAAGCCTCTTGTTGCTGCCGAAGCCTCGGCAAAGTCCATACCCCGGCGGACACAGTCTCCTGACACGCGCCACTCAGGCCAATCTCGAACGCCAACCACAGCTACACCTCCTCTACGGCCGCCTTCGAAGCCAACAGCCCCTTCATCCATGTCCACATTCTCGGCGGACGACCCATCCAAGCCTATCGTTCCGCACTCCAAGAGTTACATGAAACCGGCCTCCAAATCGGAACCCACGCTCGGGCTCAGCATGGCCGATATCATGGACCAAGAAACGCGGAATCGCGATAAAGTAAAGGAGGCCGTGGCAAAGCGCAGCCTGATGGAGATCCAGCAGGAGCAAGCGTTCCAGGAATGGTGGGACGAGGAATCGCGGCGCACGCAGGAGGAGGAAGCCAGGCGGCTGGCTAGAGAGAAAGACAGGGAAGAGGGCAAGTCGCGTGGCCGGAGGGGCCGGGGTGGAAAGGCAAGGGCCTCCGCCAGAGGGGGAGGGGGAGGGGGTCCCAGTGGCCATGATGTTGGTGCCAAGAACACTGGGCCTGCTGGAGGCGAGACGGCAAGGCAAGCGGCCCAAGAGGCTGGAAGAAGCCGCGGTAATCGACGGGGCCGAGGCCGTGGTGGTGTTGCAAAAGCCTCGTCATGAGGTACGAATACTGTCGAAACCTGCGTGCTTGAGTACAATTGTTTCTCATCCTTTTTTAAAGGGCTACATCCAGTTTCATGGACAAGTTATGCCGCATGCTTAATAAGGGCGAGTGCCCTGTCTTGGCTTGAATAGTATATATTGCATCTAGTCGAAGATCGTTGACTTCTCGTATATACCTCTGAATTTTCCCCGTCTTTTCTCTTTCTATACACAGGTCTATACGTGTATATATATATATAACCATACCTATTTGTCTCAAGACTCTATCAAGACCGACGCATATGTTTCTCATACCCCGCGTCTATAAAATGAGTTACCTGGTTCAGTAGGTGGTCGGAAAGCACCCCAGCCGTCCGCCGTCAATGACCACGACGTTGCCATTGCAATAAGCACCCGCGCGCGAGACCATGTACAGAACAGTGCCTATCATGTCATCCTCATCGCCGGTTCGTCCGACGGGAATCAGAGATTTGACCACAGAAATGTCGCCCGTGCTGCCCTTTTCGGCGCCTATTTTGTGGAGGATGGGCGCCGACATCTCAGAGGGGAAGAGTCCCGGCGCGACAGCGTTCACCCTATGATGGTTGTTGTCGTCAGCCATGCTGTATCATGACGAAGAAGAAGACGAAGAACACTCACCGGATGCCCCAAGTCGGCAACACAATAGCCAGCTGCTTCACCGCATGCGTCGTGCCCGCCTTGCTCTGCCCATACGCATACCCACCAGGGGCCTTTCTGTTGAACCCAGCGATGCTGCTGGTCACGACGACCTGGCTGCTCCAGCCCAGATTGCCCTTCTTGTTGCCCTTGTCGAGCAGGTCCAGGCACGCCATCGCCGTGTACCACACGCTGCTCACGTTGACCGCGAACGTCTGTGAATACTCGGTCATCGGCACGGCCAGGTTCTGGGCGGCCCAGTCCGCGGCGCTGAGCTGCTGCTGCTGCTGCTCCTCCTCCCCCTGGGAAGCCGGCGCTGGCGGTGCGGGGACCTGCGGGCCCGCGATGCCGGAGTTACAGAACAGGAGGTTGAGGTAGCCGACCTCGCTTGCGATCTGCGAGGCGACGGCGGTGAGGTCGTCCTGGGAGGTCACGTCGCAGGTGACAGGGATGATTACCCCGGGGCTGGCGTCGATGCTGGCGGCGGCCTTTTGGAGGACCTCTAGGCGGCGGCCTACTATGTAGACCTTGGCGGCTCCTGCTTGGGCGAGGGCGCGCGTGATCATGAGGCCAATGCCTGGAGGAGGGACGGGAGGGTTAGAATCTTGGGGGTCTGTGTGACTTGAGTAGGGAGGGGTTGGGGGATTGGGACTGACCTGTGCCACCTCCGGTGACCTGGAGTTGTGGAAGGTCATGTCAGTAATTGTGACTCAAAGGATGGAAGATGAAAGAAGAAGAAGTCGAGGAGGAAAGGCAGATAAAAAAGGAGATAGATCAGCTGTGGCATCTATAGATCGTATACATTGGTCTCAGACAGTAGTGCTCAGTAAGATTGAGTGACACCATCATTCAGCTGTGACATGTGAAGAAATGCAACTACATACCAAAGCCACCATCCCCTTCACGGAGAACAGGTCGGTGGGATTGCCGGATGTCGATGAAGCCATGGTTGAAGTGTAATAGCAATAACTGAGGTTCTTGATTGAATCTAGTAATGGATGACGCAGAAAAGAACAAATCGATATAGGAATAGAGTTTATGTGTATATGCTACGGCAGCTCGAGAGTCGGTCAAACCTGGGATGACACATGAAGGTAAATGATGTCTCTAATATATGCATAGGAGTTTTTGAGTTCTTTCCTGGAGGGGCTTCAATAAATATTTAGTCTACTGCTGGGCTCGGTTTGGTCATCAGTCATCGACCAACAGGTTACCTTACAAATGGCCCCCCGCCCCAGGAGGGCGATTGACGCCTTAGCCGCACTCACAGGCGAGGCGGGGACTTAAGATATTCCACTCGCATACATACACTCGGGCAGGGTCCGACGCCCACCTGTCATGATACCACTCGATCTGCTGAGTCACAACACACAGCTTATCTTGAAGGTCACTTGTAGAGTGCATGCATTGTCATTGCCCTGGCGTACATTCGTCCATTGCGTGTGGCTCTGCTTGAACAATGGTCCGAAACGAAAATGGCACTTGGGTATCACTTTAGTCAAAAACAACCCGCTTGCCCTGGAACGCAGCCGTCTGTTGCTGCTCCTTGGCCTTTCTCCTTGCCTCCCAGGAAGGATGTAGAGGTCCCTCGTTGTCCTTCTTGGGCGCTGCCCGTGGCCGTCTCGGCTCCAGGGGGGTCAAGTTCGCGTTGTCTTCCGCCTCGTTCGCCGACCTCCTCCCAAACGGATTCTTGATGCCCTGCTTCCATGGCGTTCTCGCGTTCCCATCCACAGCTCCACGCTTGAGATCCCAACCGGCGTCCCGGCCGGACTTCTCCTTGCCCAGGTGCTTGGCCTTCTCCTTGAACTTCTTCTCCCAGATGGCCTGTCTTGCCCGCTGGCCTCTCCTGTTCTTGCGTGCGGCCGGTGCCACGTCGATGTCTGATGCCTCTGATTCTGAGCCGGAGATGTAACCACCCATAAGACTAGGTAACGTCGTTGTGTCTTTGGTTCTGGCCAGGTTGACTTTCTGAGTCACTTTTCGTGCCTTGGGCGGTGGTGATATTGCAGACGAATCGGAGGCGTCGTCCTCATCAGAGTCCTCAGTTACCCCCTCTTCCTCTTCTTCCTCGTCCTCAGAAGCAGACTGGCCCACTTCTTCACCGTCGTCCTCTGATGCCGAGACATCTGTAATCTCCATCGGATCAAGTTCCTCATTGGCAGTGTCATGTCCTTCCTCGTCCGAGCTGCCGAGTCTGTCATCAAATCGTAATATGGCTTTCTCCTCTTTCTCGTCCACCTGGTCATCGTCCGACAGGCCATTCCACTCAGTCTCGTCCTCTTCCAAAACATCCACATCCTCGGAGGAGGAGCTTTCGTCCTCGGATTGTACCTCCTCCTGCTTGGGCTTCTTCTGAGACTTGGACTCTGTCTTGTCCGCTGGTTGCTTTTCTGTGCCATCGGTATCGCTCTTCTTGTCCCCCTTCTTGGCCTTGCCCTTCTTGTCGGGCATTGGTACGCGCAGTGCCACGCAGATTTCGATAATGGCTCTATCCAGGGCCTCTCGGACCTTGTTCTGGTTATACAACCCACTCGTTACATTGTGCAGTGCAGCCCGCTCCTCTTCCGATATATCAGGCTTCGGTATGCCATTTTTCACGCTCTCTGGAAGTTTCGGCGACTCGGCCACGGCCTTGATCTTCAGTAACGAGGCGCAGAGGTGGGCGTTTGCGACAGATTGTAGGTCGAGAGACTGTATGCACAAGAACTTAGCGCTTTGAATAAATTAAAAGGTGACGATTTACTGCAATGAAAAGCTCACTGACCTTTAATACAGCAATTTCGTTCTCTATCCTGACCTTCTTCTCTGGGGTCGACTTTGGGTCGCGAAGGCGTTTTGCCATGCGCTGTCTCTCGAAGCCCTTGGCCACCTTGAGCATTCGGAAGAGCTCCGTGCTTTGGTGCGCCAGCTTCTCCTCCAACTCCTCTTCGGCTCGCTTACGTTTTGGCATGATATTCTCAGGGCTGATCGTACAACTGCTCTTTTGGGACACCAACTCTCGATCGAGTCGAGGCGTAACTTTTTCTTTGCGCTGCCTGCCCCAAAGTCTTTTATCAGCATATCAGACTTCCGAGTCTACTAACAATTGCCCGCATAATATGTGAGCCAAAATGTTAGAGAGTCTTCTAGAACCATAGAACCCTGCAAGCACTAAATAGGCCCTGGAACCTTTGGAGGGGCGGCCCCCTCCCAAGTATCCCCAATTAACCCGGCCGCCAAAAAGTCGCGGGTCAAAGGCGCGTCTGTATCTCTCCACTATTGTTGCATCCGCGTCTCGAGGCGTCGTTGCCCAAAACTCCCCTAGATTCCACCCTCGCTCCACGCCCAGTCGAACGCAGCCACGCACCGCAAGTCAAACCAAGGCAAGCAGGTCGGAGAGCGGAAGCAACTGCGAGCTGTCCTTCGGATCGGGCTCAACTCACTTCCTGCGCAAGGGGATTTGCTGCCGATATTCCTCTTCTTGTCTGTGGAGGGTTCGAGAAACAAAGAAAACCGAAACGAACATCCAACAAAGTACTCGGCCAGTCTCTCGACGTCCTTTTTCCTTCACGCTTTCTCTCTTTAAAGTGTGCAGCGCGCACGCGCAGGATGATCGCATTCAGGATAACTTCGAATTCATCGCGTCTTGGTCTACACTGTGCTCCCTAAGATCTGTTACTACAACGACTATTAATTCTATTCGTGCACAACTTCCGCGATAGCTCACGACTATAATTGCTCTCGGATCTTCCTCGACCTCGGATCGGTGAAGGCTACAATAATTTTGCAGAAAGTCTCACCTCGACCTTTTATCTGCTTCACTTGGCGCTTATACACTCCTCGCTACCTCCTCTTCAAAATCAGCCACTTTTCAAGATGATGTCCTCACGGAACATGAACAATCTTCCTACCCATGGAGCTCCCTCAAGAGACGACTTTGCGAAACTGGACGAGCGACAGAGGGATCAAATAAATGATGTCGTAGGTGAATCCCTTTTCCCTTCTTATTCATCTCTTGTTCCGCCCAAGGGCCGGTACTGACATGCGCCTCTGCAGTTCTCCGTCTTCGACGTCAACAAGGACGGCCGCCTCGACTACCACGAGCTACGATTCTGCCTGCGCGCCCTAGGCTTCGAGCTGCCCAAATCCGAGACATACCCGTACCTCGTCAAGTTCGGGATCCAGCCCATCGACTGGGACCCCAAGCGCGAGTGCACGCCGGTGTGGCGGGAGTTCACGCTGCCCATCTGGCAGGGGATCGCGGGCACACTCATGTACAACCGGGACCCGGTCGGGGAGTGCCACCGGGCGTTCAAGCTGTTCGACGTGGACGGCAAGGGGATCATCGCGCTGGAGGACCTGCGGCGGACGATGCGTGAGATTGGGCAGAGCATGGAGGAGCAGGAACTGCAGTCGATGATTAATGAGTTCGACTCGGAGGGGAAAGGGGGCGTTAACGTGGACGAGTTCACCAAGATCATGATGACGAGGAAGCAGAAATAGGATTCTGCTGGACTGGCTACGGAGCAGAGAAAGGGCGGCAAGGCTGCGAGAAGATGAACAATATTTGTCACCGTCAGCCGTTGTGTTGTCCCCTGCGCGCCCCGGCGATGAGGAGGATGGCTATCACTCGCTGTATTACGAGAAGATGAGATTTTATTTTGTATACACAAAGCCCACAAGAAGAACGGCAAGGTCATGATTGATTGGTTTGGCACCACTACGATGGAAAATAAATAGCAGTTTCAAGCACAACTCTATACTTCGAGTCTAAATCCACCAGCCAGCGCCAGAATGTGAGAGGGGGGGGAAAGACAAGAGAAACTAGAAGACTAACAGGGAAGAAAAAAAGAAGAGAAAAGCGAAGATACCAAAAAGTAGTAATCGATTATCATGCGATGCAACCAAGGCTAGAAACACCACCTTGCTCATGAGAAGATTTTGGGGAAGAACCTCGGCGTGTTCTTCTTCCACTCCTGGTAATCCTTCCTATTGCCATACCGCTTGTCGTACTTGTTCTCCGACAGCGGGATCCCGCTCACCTGTGTAACCAGAAACGTAGTGAAGAGCGGGCTGACGTAGGCCAGGGCCAGGGCGCCAGCGATACCAGCCGCGCCGCCGCCGAGGCCAAGGCTTGCCTGGACAGCCGGGTTGACGAGGACGCCGGCGGCGGTAGTTGCCAGGCCGGTCCAGAGGGTGGACTCGCCAAAGTAGTTGGGGAAGCGACTAGGGTAGTTAAAAATGACTCGGTCAGTATGGCGTGTGACCATTTACTCGGGCGGAGGAATAGGAAGAGTGAGAGAAAGGTGGGAGGGGAAGTGAGTGAGTGATGAATTTTGTTGGGAGTAATGAAGAAAAGGCTCACCTCCTGCCCCAGAGCCCTCTGGTCAAGAAGTCCTCCTCGTGCTTCTTCTCCTGCTTCTCCCGCAGCCATTTCGCCTTCTGCCGATCAGCCACGACCTCCGTGGTGATACCGCCCACCCACAGCGCGATCCCGAGCACGTCCGTGACCCTGACGCCTGCAGGGAGGGCGGTGGCCAGCACGCCAGCCGGCACGGCGTTGAGGGCGACCACGGGGAGGCAGATGAGGGAGCACCAGGTGGCCTGGGCCATCCAGGCCACAAAGAATTTGGGCGGTGACTTCTTGATCTCTTCGAAGCGGGAGTCCTGGCCTTGTTGAAGGACGCGCTGGAAGAGGTAGGTGCCGACTGTTTGTGGCATTGGTGTGCCTCCCGAGTTAGTGATTTGTTCTCTTGGGAGGAGGTCACTGCAGCGAAAGAGGAGGAGACCTACGCCTTGCAGCCCAGACGCACACCGCTACGGTCAGGGCGACCTGCCTCCAGTTCAGTGCGGCGGATGCCGGGTTCGTGAACGGCGCGAGCAGGCTGGGGAGGGGCTTGGCCATAGCCGCCGCACCACCGGCATACCTGGCCCGCAGGGCGGGGAGGTAGAGGCTCAGCGCGACGACGGAGATGTGTGTCAGGGCGCCGGAGAAGTCATAGAAGCGCTCTGACTGCGCGGCGATAGAGGGGACGGCGAAGGCGGCCTGGATGGCGAAGGCAGTGCCCACGGCAGGGACGGCGGTCCGGAGCAGCGGCGAGGAGAAGTTGGTAAGGTGGAGGAGCCTTTGGAGGAGCGCCATTATGAAATCCCTTGAGCCTTTCTTCCAAGCTGCACAGGGGCAACCCAAACGGTCATGCGATTGGTGAACCTTGTTGAGGTGTTGAAGGGCGAATGGAGCAGGAGGACGAGAATACTTGGGCAAGGTGGGATTCGTGATTTCTTGAATTTTATTATGAAATCTGCTTCCGCTGAGTCGTGAGCTCACAGAGGCCCTGGAGCTGCTGGGAGCTGGGAGCTAGAGCTTGTCTGTGACGTGATGGACAATTGACAATGGACCTCAAATCGTCCCGAGCCCCGACGTTTCTGGAACGTGGGAGGAAACGGTTCACAAAGATTCTAGGCATCTGCGGTCTCAGATGGTTCTGTGCCAAGATGCTCTCAAACCATCACATGCTAATACAAAAAATTGAGGTCAAAGGCATCATGAAGGATTACACTGTTCGATGCGCTCACTGATATCGATTTGTCGTCGCGAGATGGACAGTCGAGATCGAATTGGTCACTATTTGCGGCGCAGACGGCCCCACACAGGCAGCTGCTGGTTCGGAGGTGACGCGATCCACCCGGCCGGAGACCCGATGGTTCCGTGCCGGACGTCTACTCAATCCGAAGTTATCCAGAGTGGGATTCTTATTCTTTTTCTTAAAAAAAAAAAAATCTCTTGTGGGACAAATATTACTTAGTGATGAAGATTTTCAGGACCATGTGGTAGACTTGTTTTGGTCTTGGAATCGGACAAGTATCTGGGAAGGGAAAAATCCGGAGAAATTGCCTACACATTGATTAATTATTTCGCTGCGTCTGGCAGGGACCAGATATCATTCCTGTTTGAACCACGTACCACGCCAAGATGCCCAAGATCAATACTAGTGTCAATGCATTCCGTCTTGTACAATTGTATCGATCGCTTTCAACAGCAGAGCTTTAACAACCGGGGAACAGCCTTTGGAGGTAGCCAGATGTAAAATTGGTTGTGACTTGGGTTTCAGATGGTTGGTGTCGGCGTACTTCTCCAGCAGAGATCTGACCATTTCCTTGCTATCCATGCAGATTGAATCCACCAGAGGATCATCGCCGTGGTCGTCGACGCAGCTGTCATTTGCCGTCTCGTCGAGGTGTTACATCGCAGTTTCCTTGCAGCCTCGATTGCATGCCAAGTGCAATGGAAATCGTCCTGCAGTTGCCAATACAATCATCCTATTTGATGGCGTGCTTGAAGTTTTGTTGGCGCTCGTCACCTTCAACGGCGATGGTTAACCAGCCAGGGACAGCATCCGGTATGGATGGTTCAGCGACAGCCTGTGCTATTTCAATTTGTCCCTGATGAGGAGCTCGACTGGGCAATTGGGGTTGATTATGAGGTGAGTGGCATGAGGGGACATTTCCCCCGTTCTTGTCTTGACATTAACCCCTGCGATGTACCAGCCATGATACCAAAAGTCTAGAGATATGGATTTACAGTAGAAAATTGGTGACACTAACACAGTTCGAAAAAAGGCCCTGAGGAATATGTATATCGGGTTAAACAACATGCTAGGTATGCCGGAACAATAAATACATATCAAGCACATTTACCATGTGAGAACGACGATGTACGCAAAACACATATTTGATACAGTCAGGACTAGTCTGAACTGACCGTTCTTCTACGTGCACATGAGTAAGCTAATACCTGCTGTGTTGCGGGGTATCCATGGGCCCTTCATTTTCTTTGCAGATGACAGTGTGATGCGGTTGCGTTATGGCGCTATCGAGCGCATCCTACGTTCTGATGGATTGAGGATTGGGTGGGAGACCAAGAGAGGGGTCGTGGGGGAGGAAGCTTACCTGCAAAGTTGTATGTAGTCGTCGTCAGAGGGCTGTAGGCAAGAGGGAACGAGTGGGGCGCAGCTGCCCCGGATTTTCGCACGGGAAGCTGTGGGGTCGACGCATGCTAGCCAAGCAAAGGCTGCTCCTAGATAGCAGACCCACAACAGCTCCTCCCTCGTGGGCACAGTAGGAAAGAGCAACTGCCAGGGCCATTCACTGCTTTTTTTGCCCTATACGCCTATAGTCCTTCTCTTTTCCTTGACCCGCTGACACAGCTGTCATCAACGTGGTGACATCGAGAGGCACTCAGCGTCAACTTCTATATTGCTAACTATAGCAACCGTGGCCGTGCTACCTCTTTCTGGACCCAAGGACTGACGAATGTAATTTCACAACCCTTGAAGAATTATTGATCAACTAAGAGTCTTAAGCTTTTGGCTTCCCTTTTCTTCGGGATCCAGGCCCAGGAGAGGGATACATTGTGGCTTGATTAATTTTTTTTTCGGGCACACGGACTACTACTGTACAGCTCAGAGAGAGGGCCTGTAGGAAGTGAGAAAGAAAGGGGTGCGGGGTGGAATGTGCCAGCGATACGAGAGAAAAACCTGTTGTTTACCGTGTGAAGTTGTGTCTTGTCGTCAGATGTTGCTACAAGGAATGTTTGATTTGTGGGATCTATCTCGTTTGGTTGCACTGTATTCATGAGCGGGGAAGGTCCATCCGGGGTTGTAGCCGACCTGGCGACGTAATGAATGGTTGCATGTGCAACAATCCTTGCAGCAGGTAACTCGACGTGACTGGACAACAAATGATTTATGCGCCCGCACATTGGTTGATTGATACATGGCCTGAGGTTCCAACCTTTGGGGCACCGGGGGGAGCCTTGTCGCACGTATCCTCTGATCCGATGGACAGCCACACAACAAGTCGCAAAGCAAATCGATGTACTTCTCTAACGCCATTTAATTATTTCTTGTTGATTTTGTTCATTTCGGGCGATACCGGTTTGTTGACAGCCGTGAACCACTCCTTGTCTGCCTCTGGATCCGCACAGCCGGCACATACCGAGAGTTCGGTTATTATGAGCACGGCGTATCCGCTATCTATTCTGAGGTCGGTGCTTGTTGATGTTATCATCACTCAACGGCGTTACTTCTAGGTCCGTAGCTTCTGGCAAGTATCCGCATTGCAAACAGAACTCGTAAAACCGAACGAACATTGCCAGGTGAAGCAGAAAGGAGAGCGAAGCCAAATTCAATTAATCTGCGGGACAATGTGCTCCAACCAGCGAAAAGGGAGAGGTGAGGAGGGGAGGGGAAGGGGGGGGGGGAGGAGTAGAACAGCCGTGGCCCCAAGTCCCATCCATGTTGGAGCTATGTCGGTACTTGGAGTCAAGTACTCTCTCTCTCTTCCTTTGAGCTGGCTCCCGAGTCTGTTCTTAATATTATTAGCTTGACCTGCCCACCACCATTACCCCCTCTCAACCTCCTTCTCCTCATGTGTGATCGATCGACTCCTCTTCCCCTCCGTGTGTCACATTACGAGGCCCTCTTGGCCCTCTTTCTTGTCTCTTGCTTTACTACTGCACTTTCGTTGTGTTTTCGACCAACGCTTGACAGAGCTTCATATTACTGGAAGCGCCTCAATTCCCTATACAGCCAATTCGAGGTATCGAGCCACACGCTGCCGACAATACAGGCCCCACTTTGAAAGCACCCCGCCATCCATAGGGCTAGTCAGTCCGTTGCAGGGGGACGCGGACGACGACGACGACGCCGTGGCGGCTTATATCAAGAAACATTTCTGAACGGAAAAAAGAAAAGGGAGAGAGAGAAGAAGAAGAAGAAGAAAAAAAGAGAATTAAATAAGTAAAGGATTCGGGATAGATTTGCTGTTTTGCCTCTTGTAAGTCCCCGAAATCGCTGTGTAATTCAAATCGGTGACCGTGGTGGACCCCCACGGGCGATGGACAGCCACCACCAGCCCTGGGGAGAAGGACGGAGCTGTTTGTGCTTGTAAGCTGGGATGCCATATACTGCTGCTTTCTACCTTGCCTCTGATGCAGGTGCAGCTGCATCGGTGCAATCTTTGACAGCTTCAGTACCTGCATCTCTTGGTTCAAGTTGAGCCTCTTCGGCCTCCCCCCACCCGTCTTCTCCTCCAGCTGCCACTTTGTATACATGACCTTCAACAGATGGGCTACCCCCCGGCAAGTTCCGACGGACAGACAGGGCGTCCTCACCATGAGCAAGCGATTCCATCTCGGGAAATCACAGGCTTTTCTGTCGGACGAGTTTGTGGCTGCAGTCGCTCCTCGCTTCAGCTGGTCCTGCACGGCAATCGGGGAGTTTCACTCTCTCGAGGCTATCCCAAATAGCTGCGCAGTGTTGCCCGGTCGTCAGGCTGACAGCAATCCGGTCGGAGTGACTGTAGACCCTTTTCTCTGCCTACTTCCCTTGGTCTGACAGCCGCTCCGACCAGAACGCTGAACATGGTAGTACGCCACGGCTGTCTTGTCGCTTCCCGAACTATGGCCCATCATGTTGAGGAAGCAGCATCTCCCATTGCCTTGACACTAGAGTTGTGTCCGAAGCATTCTGCTGCCGGCGAGCATAAGCTTTGAGATGGCATTTTCGAAATGACTGACGATTAGCAGCTCCGACCACACCTATCGTTATCCTCTTTTTATTTTGGCTCGTCCTAACAACATCATTGTTCGACTCTTCCCCCAAGAGCAAGCGTAAACCTCGAAAAATCCTCTGCCAGCGAGTTCCCTGCACTATTACTAGTTCGGCATGTCCAACACCATCAAGCAGGCGGCAGAAAAGGCCCGAACAAAGACCTCCGAGGTCATGGGCGGGGCAAAGAATGCACAGAGCGAGGGGGCCGCGGTGGCCAACGACTTCCTGCACACGCCGTACATGAGGGCAGCACTGCCCTTCATCAATGGGGGTCTCAGCGGTATGGTGGCTACCACAGTCATCCAGCCCGTAGACATGATCAAGGTCCGCATCCAGCTGGCAGGGGAAGGGATTTCGACGGGGCCCAAGCCCACCCCCCTCTCGGTGACTCGTGAGATCCTGGCTAAGGGCAAAGTCGGTGATCTGTACACTGGTCTGTCAGCTGGCCTGCTCCGCCAGGCCGTGTACACGACTGCGCGCCTCGGGTTCTTCGACACATTCATGGGCAACCTAACGGCCAGGGCCAAGGCCAAGGGCCAGCAGATCGGATTCGCTGAGCGTGCGACAGCCGGTCTGACAGCGGGCGGCCTCGCAGCCATGATCGGAAACCCTGCCGACCTGGCCCTGATCCGGATGCAGAGTGATGGCCTGAAGCCTGTCGACCAGAGGAAGAACTACAAGTCAGTTATTGATGCCCTCTCACGCATCGCAAAGAGTGAGGGCATCGGCGCGCTGTGGGCTGGGGCCACACCAACTGTGGTGCGCGCCATGGCCCTCAACTTTGGCCAGCTTGCCTTTTTCAGCGAGGCCAAAGCACAGCTCAAGGCCAACACAGACTGGTCTACCCGAACACAGACACTCAGCGCCAGTGCCATTGCTGGCTTCTTTGCATCCTTCTTCTCGCTGCCCTTTGACTTTGTCAAGACCCGGCTGCAGAAGCAGACCAGGGGACCTGATGGGAAGCTCCCATACAAGAGCATGGCAGACTGCTTCACTAAGGTGGCCCGACAGGAGGGCCTGATGAGATTCTACCGAGGCTTTGGAACATACTGTAAGTGGTGACTCATGCCCTTCTAGCTAGCCAGACTGTCCTCTTTTTACTGACACGGAGGTTAAAAACAGATGTGCGCATCGCGCCACATGCCATGGTGACACTCATCGTGGCAGATTATCTTGGTTGGATTACCAGGTAAAGCCGAGCTAGGCTGAATGGTCCCAGATCCAGTGCACACTTCTGGGTGTTGGTCGCAATTTTCTTCTTTATCTCCTTTGTCCTCAGTGTTCGTTGTGGCCCTTTGGCACTGGTGTCTTTCTTTCCTTTTTGGTCAAGGTTGAATAATACCTGGGCGATATAGCAGTCTTTCCTGATTTGGATATCCTGAGGTGGCGCATTGCTCAGCTTCTGTAGCGTGAGCAAAAACACCATAGTACTATAGGCAACAAGAATCGAGATAAATCATTTTTCTTATAAATGTGAGCTGCTGCTGATGGCGAGAAAGGCGAAAGAACACAAGGACTCGGAAATTAGACTCCTAGTACCTTTCCTTTAGTACTATCCCTAGGCTTATCGATAGCACCAGGATCTACAGCACAGCACACCCCTGTCCACTGAGCCTCGACCCCACGGTGACGATCGAGGCTGGGCTGGTTGGGTGGTTGCATAAGAGCACCATTACTCCTTCAGTCCCCCCCCGGCAACCTCTTTCAGGACAACCTCCAGGACAGACCACACAGTGCACCAACCTGCTCGACGACTCCTTCGATTCTCTGTGCTCCAAATTGATAGCACGATGCCAACTGGCGATCCGGAGCTATGGACGCGGATTGGGACGAGGTAAGATTTCATTAAACCACCCCTCTTCATTCATGTTTCACCACAGAGAACAGACGACGCTGGGTGCGCGCAGAGAGATGAACAAGATATTTTCCAAAGGTCTTTTGTCTACATGAAGGGACTTTGCTAACCCATGTGACAACTCTTTTTTCTATAGTTGAGTCGTCAACTCCTCCCTCCACCGGGAGGACAGTCGGTGCCCTCGGTCGTCACGACGCTCGCCTTCGATACTACACAAGAATTGTTATGGGCTGGGAATGGATATGTGCGTTGCAGAGATATGATCTATTATGCTGGATGGGAGCGTGGCTCTCCTGACAGGACTCACAGGGACGCGTTACATCTTTCTACGGCAGCAATCTACAGAAGTATACTTCTTTCCGAGCGCACCCACCTGCCGAGGGCGCGGTGCAGCAGTTGCTCTTCAATGACAAGGGCATCATCGCCCTGGGCGGGCGTGGTGTCCATATGGCTATACGAAGGGGACTACCGGTGTGGCCACATATAACGTGAGGACGCCGTCCATTTCTTTGCGGCCAAGTGCTGGAGAGCTGACAACGTTGCTGTTCGCAACGCAGGGCCGATGATATGCGAGACCTCCGATGCATGAGCTTCACCTCGAAGGCAACCTCCGAGATCCTGGTCGCCGGCGTGCAAGATACCATGTTCGTGATAGACACAAATAAGGGGGAGATTGTGAAACGGGTATGCTCTCAAAATCACAATATGCTCCGTCTCTTGGCTGGATTCATGATGATCTAACTTGGTGCCGCCCCCCCTTTTCCCCCCAGATTCCAACCACAAGTCACTACATTAAGATGAAGAAGAGCCGTTATATATGCGCAGCCACTAGTGATGGCCACGTACACATCCTCGACCCAGTCAAGTTCACCGTCGTACACAGGTGGCGGGCGCACTCGGCCTTCATCAACGACATGGATGTCCAGCAAGACTTTGTCGTTACCTGCGGCACGTCGCTTAAGCAGCCGGCCGCAAGTTACATGCTGGACCCCTTTGTCATGGTCTTTGACCTCAAGAACCTGTCCACGATGCCTCCAATCCCTTTTCCCCCTCTGGCTGCCTACATCCGGATGCACCCGCGCATGCTCACGACAGGCATCGTTGCGTCCCAGGGAGGGCAGATCCACGTGGTGGATCTGTTGAATCCTAACACAAGCAACGTGCGCCAGGCAAATGTTGTAGGCTCTATACTCACAGGGATAGAAATTGCGCCGTCCGGAGAGGCTATCGTTCTTGCGGATACGGACTGCAACATGCATCTGTGGGCCTCCCCCTCCAAGTGCCACTTCGTCGATCTGCCACAGCCCACAGAGTGGCCAGATGAGGAAACACCACTACCTATTATCGACTGGAAGGAGAATACTCCTTTGCATTCAATCGGCGTGCCATATTATCGCGAGAGTCTTCTGTCGGCATTCCCAAACATTGCGATATCAGACGTTGGCTCACCGCCGCCCAAGATCACTCAGAATGACATGATCCATATGACCAAAGCGTCCTTCGGGTTCTATGGTCCCAACCACAGACAACAGCACAGGAACCAAGTCGAGAACACGCGATTGGCAGAAAAGGCCTCCTCTGCACAGCGGGCTCCCAAGTTCCTCAGCGAGAAGGCCAGAGATTCGGCCAAGTCCCACTTTGCCGAGGCCGTCATTGAGGCACAGGTGGACAAGGCGGCTCATCAGCTGGGCACGTCTGAGCTCGAAAGCCTGAAGCCGGATGTCCCAGGTCTCTACCAGAACGTGGAGATCCAATTTAGCAAGTACGGTGTGGACGACTTTGACTTTGAGTTCTACAACAAGACCAGGTATGCGGGCCTGGAGAACCACATCGCGAATTCCTATGCGAATTCACTACTTCAAGTATTTCATTTTACACCACTGATCCGCAATCTGGCGCTGCAACATACAGCGACAGACTGTCTCGCTGAGAAGTGTCTGCTCTGCGAGCTCGGCTTCCTGTCCGACATGCTGCAGAAGACAGTAGGCATGTCGTGTCATGCGTCGAACCTGCTCAAATGCCTGAGCAACCACCCCCCAGCATCGAGACTCGGTCTCCTGGAGGAAGACTACCGACAGGGCTCACTCACAAAAGCAAACCAGAGCCTTACGAGGTTCCTGCTCCAGACCATGGCCGACGACTACCGGACAAAATCACCCACTCCAACGGCTATGGAAGAGCTTCTGGCGACCTCGGCCCTGACCACGATCAGGTGCTTACAATGCCGGAACGAGACGTGCAGATCGGGGTCATCCTATGTCACGGACCTGACACATCCGCTCAAACAAGGGCGCGGACACCGAGCGCCCAAGATTACCTTCTCTCAAGTGTTGAAGAGCAGTGTGGAGGGGGAGACCGCAACGAGGGGATGGTGCGTCCGGTGCGGCCGGTACCAGTCATTACAGACCAGGAAAATCATCCAGGGGATCCCGTCCGCCCTGACGCTCAACGTGCCCATAGCAGAGAGCCGTGAGGCCGAAATGGAGCAGAGGTTGCTGTGGGCAACGCCGAACTGGCTGCCGGAGGAGATCGGGATCATAGTGGATAACGGCTCCTTCTTCTGCTACCAGGGCGAGGACCTGAAGTTGCATCTGCAGCGAGGCGTGCATAATATCCAAGTCTACTCCCTCATCGGCCTGTCTGTGAATATAGAGAACGGATCACCGCAGAAGCCACACCTTGCTGCACTGTCTCCCGTGGGGGCTGTGGATCACGGCTCGACTCAGAAACCACATCTTGTGGCCATGGTCAATGGTACATTACCCTTCTCAGAAGAAGATATGTTCTTGTTTTCCTTTGAAATATATGCTAACCTTGTTTTTTCTTCTTCTTTTTAGTGGCCCATGCTGAGCCAGAGGCACCTGGTGAGAGCCGATGGCATCTGTTCAATGACTTCTCCGTCAAACCAGTCTCGGTCGCCGAGGCACTCACCTTCAACACAAGGTGGAAGATGCCATCTGTGCTTGTGTATCAACTCAAAACAGCAAACAACAAGCTCGACACGGACTGGGTCAAGAATATTGACACCTCTGTCTTGCACATAGACTTCAAGTGAGGCAGCACATCTCCCCCCCCCCCCCGGGAACACATAACCCCCGATTCAGCGCTCCTCAATCTCTGCTTCACCAACTGACATCTCCATTTTTTTTACCAGGCCCGACGCGAAAGACCATCCATATCGCGTCCTGAACCCACATACCGAGCGGCCCGGCCCACAGAGTGTGGTGGCTCTCGATACAGAATTTGTCCTTGCCAAACAATCCGAGGTGGAGATGAAGTCAGATGGCGTTAGGGAAGTCATCCGGCCCAACTTCCACGCCCTGGGGCGCGTGTCCATCGTGCGCGGCTCGGGCGAGGACGAAGGGCTCGCCTTTATCGACGACTGGATCCAGGTCAGGGAGCCCGTCATCGACTACCTGCACAAGCACTCGGGCATTCTGGCCGGCGACCTCGACCCCCGCACGAGCAACCACTGCCTCGTCTCGCTCAAGATCGCCTACAAGCGCCTCTGGGTGCTCCTCAACCTGGGCTGCAAGTTCGTCGGCCACGGCCTCAGGGGCGACTTCCGCGTCATCAACATACAGGTTCCCAAGGCCCAGATCATCGACACCATCGACCTGTTCTACCAGAAGAACTATCGCCGCAAGCTCAGCCTCAAGTTCCTGGCGTGGTTCCTGCTCAAGGAGGGCATCCAGGTCGACACGCACGACTCCATCGAGGACGCGAGGATCGCCCTCAAGCTGTACCGCAAGTTCCTCGAGTTTGAGGATGCTGGCATTACCAAGAAGATGCTTAATGAGATCTACAGGGCCGGCGACAGTGTGGGCTGGAAGCCACCTGGGCCGGACCAGCACCCAAACAAACAAGGCACACCAGGCGGGCCCAAGAGGACGGGGACCCCGCCTCTCGGTCAGGTCGATGGACCGTCCACGCCCATCAGAAAGAGCGTCAGCAGTCTCCCCAGTTCGTTGGGTACACCCATGGGATTTACGCCGGGAGGGACAACGTCGCCGTTTAAGTAGCGGGGCCGCACTTCCCGCCAGACTCCGGACATGAAAGAAGATTCAGGATAGTCGGACGGACGGATGGGGTGGATTAGCAGGTGATTATTAGACAGTCTCACAGTCAGGAGAAATACAAACACTACCAGATCATCAAAAGAGGAAGCAAGTTGGGCTATGTTCTGTTGTCCAGGAGATTCAGCGCCTGTTGTTTTCTGTATTGTCTTGCTAAGCAGAGAAGCCTCCAAAAAGTGAGTATTGCTGCCCTCATCCGATACGAGTATGTGAAAGGCTCAAACGAGTCTCTTGTTTCCTTATGGCCAAAATACAGCCGTGGGTATCTGGTGAAAACATCGCAGTGAAAGACAACTCTCCCCGCGGCATGATATTCTTCGTTCCAGCTTGTCAGAAATCTCTCTAGATCGAATATTGTTTTGGGGTGGCGAAAATTCAACGCAGATGAATCAAGCTCCCATCCAGAGCAACAATGCTGTAATTACTCGTGAGACCTCGCGGGTCGTAATATTTCGCATTTCCGTGAACATCGAGACCAGACCTTGCTGCTGCTGTGAGCAACACTCCGCCCGTCTTGTGAAATCAATTTTTTTTGTGGTGCCCTGGGCTTCAGCAGCTCGTCGGTTGATCGAAATAGACCGTCCACTGTTCTTAGGAGATACGGAAGTTGTCTAGAAAGTAGTTATCAAGGCGCCGTGAATTCAATGCAAGAGAAAGAAAAGGGCAGATGAAAGAGGGGGGAAAGCAAGGCAGAGAGAGAAAGCAATGTCAGCGAAGGCCGACCACTAGAATCAAATCTAGATCCGAAAAGGGGAATCAGGCAACAGAGGGTCTAGAGATTAGTGATCCGCGCCGGGCCACGACCGGGCATCGCGAGGACGATCGTCAAGGTCGAAGTTGCTGAGACGTCTCTTTTGGGCGATATTGTCCTCACTAGCCACAGTATTCGGCTCACTCGTCTCACGTCCGCGCTTTACACCTCTTAGAGGAGCTGGCCGACCAAGTCGTTGGCATGCTGTGAGGTACTCGCCATCTGGACCCTGCTGATTGTCCTCGTTTGAATCAAGCGTCAGGTCAATGTAGACCATCGCCTCACGGGCCATGGACCTCGTCGCTTTGAATCCTTTTGTACCTATGTCGCCTAAGCCCTCCTCAGTAGGACCGGGCGTGACAAAAAGGCCGGACGTGGTGGAACGCCGGCGCTCTTCCAGGTTCATGTTCGGAGCCTGTGGAGGCCACTCGAATTTAGACGTCCCAACATCGTCGCCATCTTTCTCCCCGTCCTCATCAATGACGATAGGCTCACGAGATTGGTCAGGAAAGCGTTCAGAGATGGCCTTTGCCAAGGGTGACCAGATACGGGATACACTCCGTCCCTCGCTGCGGAAGCTCTGGTAGCTGGCAAGAGGGCTGAGTGGAACGAGAGACAAGCGCTCGCTTGTGGGCAGATTGCAGATAAAGTCATGAGTTCTCTGTCGGCGGATCTGTTCTTCGGTCTCCAGTGGATCATCAAAGTCAGCATCTCTATCATCGGTACCCTCGCCGTTCTCTCCATCCAGCTCTTCTTCATAATCACCAACTGTAGATTTGTCGGGGGTCTCGTATACCGCGTACGGCGCCGGCGGGGTAGAAGGCGCATCTGGAAGACCGTCAGAGTCGCCGCCAGAGTCTGAATCGTCTCCTGAATCGGACTCGTCGCTACCTAGGTGAAGACTGCCACTCGGTCCCTCCCAGTCGCTAGGCGTGCCTTGTCTCGGCGTCACGTCTATATCAAGGTCATTGCGCCGGCAATCGTATGCGATGCCGTTGGCTTCGATCTTCTGCAGAATGGCCCAGTCTTCGGGCCCGGGGTTCCATCTATCTGGTCTAGGCGGAAATAGAGGATCGAGCCGGTTCAGCGCTGCGAGGGCAGCACGCGAAGCAACGGGCTTCATACGAGCAGTTCTATTGAGATCAATGACCGCTGACTGGTCTCTCACGGCGCTCTTGTTGCGATCGTAATGCGATAAGTAGCGGTTTGTATCGTATAACCTGATCCAGCGTAGACCACGTAGCTGAAGAAGAAAATCCATTCCCTGGCATGCTCTCAGAGCTCGAGTTTCCCTGGAATTAGGCTGCCCAGCTGTAGTTTCTTTCTCGTAAGTCCGAATTTCTTTATGCTCATTTATGCGTCGGACAACAGATTTACTGGACTCGTCACTAATTGCTCCCAGTCAGTACTTTATAGAATCGCGGAAGTTCGGATTGTCCTGTCATAGACTTACATGAAGACGACAAGAGACTGAAGTCGTGGCATCTCGCAAAGCCAGGCTAGTGGCATCACTCTCCTGTTGGGTAATTTGTTGTCAGTTTCCTCGCCCCAGCGCAAATTCTTGCCCCCCATCCAATGCAGCTCGACATTGGTCAATCGCTGGACTCGAGCAGGCCCGATTCCGTTGGCAAAGCGGTCGAATTCGCCAAAGGAGCTAAAGGCGAAGGTGTTGCATGAGTAAAAGATTGAGCAACCGTAAAAGCACCACTTGCGGCTCACCACAAGAGGAGCTAGCAGATCTCTAGGCATAATAGTGTTATGCGTCAAGGAAATGAATGCTCGTTCCTTTCCAGAAATGAAGAATCGCGTTTTGAGACCGGAAGTTCTGGTCAGCCCTAAGTGATAGTCATCTGCAAAGGCGTCACTCAATGCTTGGGGTTCCTCGAAAGGGTCGAGCCTGCTGAATGCATGGACAAGGTTTTTATCAAACACGAGGAGCTCGCAGAGGATCTTCACCAACACGTTTGTCGGGAGATTGTCAAAGGTCCCCTTGAACTTGGTTCGAGGTCTGGCCGACACGACTGGCGTAGACGCGCGGGAGCTGTAGGCGGAGCCTGCGTGCACAGGCAGGCTGTCGGAGTGCTCCCGCTCAACAAGTCGCACACACGGGTGCAACAAGAGTCGAGTCGGCATATTCTCTTCTTGGTACGACGTGTTCCAGACTGTCTCCCAGCTGACATCATCTGAAGCACCAGAGAGCATCTCACGTAGCAGTTGGGGCCAGATTTTGATGTTTCCTGCCTGAGGCTTGATCCTTCCGTCGGTGTGGGCGTGATTTCTGGCCCATCCTTGGCCGCCTGAGCTGTTATCCGGAACATTCCTGCGACGGAGATCTGCTTTGAGACGTTGAACTTCAGCCTTCAATTTGGTGATTTCGATGTCCCTCTTCTTGATCATGCGTTCTCTTAGCCTGAGACGCTTCTGGTAGGTGCCGCAGTCCTGGCACTGCACGTGAGGCAGCTGTGCGATGGGCAGATGCTCCTTTCGATTGTTGTCCACGTTGTCAACCTCCTCTTCGTCATCACTGGAGGATTGGACGCTGCCCGGGGCGCCGGAGGTATTGTCCTCTAGCTGCTTGTTATCCCGCTTTTGCTCAACATTGCCACCGTTTTCCGTGGTTTGTTGAACGACTTCAGTCGTTCGCTTGCCATGATTAGTAAGGTCGTCATCCACTGGTGACGGTGAGGAGTTTGAAAGGTCTACAGACTCATAGTCTGGTTGAGTCTGCTCCACAAACATGGAAGACTCCCTGCCATCACCAGGACAGGCGTCACGAGGAGCCAAATCAGCGTCGTTATCCATTTTCCAGCTGAGGTGGAAGAGCCTGGAAGGAAAGGTCCCAGTCTAGCAGAATTGGAGCTGAAACTTCAGACACTAAAACCACGAGTCTCACCCTGGGTAGAGGAATCTTGTCAGAAAGAACTAAGGTGAGCAAGTCGAACGTCATTCAGGAACACAAGCTGGATTGAATGGAAGGGATGAGTGAGACGGCAGGAGAGGGCCGCAAGTTAGGAAAGAAGAATGCTATGCAGATGATAGACAGTCAACAGTGCTGTAGATGGGGAGGTGTAGGTACGCGATGAAGCGACAGAAGGGAAGGAAGGAAATTATGTAGCCACAAATGATGATGTAAAAGCCACTCAAGAGATATGCGAGAGGGACAGTATGAGCTTACAACCACAGACGAGTAGGGGAAACGGCCTTCTTCCACGGTCAAGTTTGTTCAAGTGCCCCTCCTGCTGCTGGGAGGCAAGAGGAACAGGCCGTTAGTAGCTCTGGCGAGTGTGAGGAATCAGGGATATTTTCTTGATGAAACCAGGTAGGTTTAAGGACGGGGCCTGCTATCAACCTTGTTGAGTCGGTCCTGCAAACACAACTTTGTGGAAGGTGCCTCTGTAAGATGGTCGCACTTGCTGAAGATCACGAGTATGAGGATCCTGTGGGGTCATGAATGCAGCTGGTCAAGCAGACGATAGAACCAATAGAGGGCTTCCAAAGGGTGAGTTTCTCTGGTTGAGATGAAGAAGAGTATCAAATAAGCAGAGGGCAATTACGAGGCGAGGTTTTGAGAGCAATCCAATAGTGAATGGTGTTGTGGAGGTTACCTATACTCTCAGGCCTGGACAAGTTTGGCAGATAGACGGGCGACATGGAGGAAGACGAGGAGGACGAGGGAGAAGCAGAGGAATAGGAGGAGGGAGGAAGTGCTGAGCTCGGTTGAAGGGCTGTTGGCTAGTACCAAGTGAAAATGAGGCAGGCACGAGGCTATACACATGGGTGTACCTGCCTTGCTCAAAAGAAAAAATCCAGTGTACCAGCTGAAACTATTAGTTTGACTCCCACTGGCGAATATGTCTTCAAAAGATGTGAGTGTGTCCCTCGACCTGTTCACCATTTATGTTCAAACCATCTTCGAGAAGAGGATTCAGAACACAGCTCTTGACATAAATTCTCTTTGGTCATGGACAAACCAATCATAACGGTGTGACGACCAGAAGAGATCACCACAGCACAGTCTTCCCAAGTTGGGTAGAACTCTGATCAGAAAATTATCCCACGACCATCCTGCCACATTATCCTCATCTACCGTGCTGTCCCGTAATACCCAGCAAAACACCTGCCCTATCTAGGAAGCCTCCTCCTATTTGCTTGCTGGAAATAACATGGCAACAGGTTGGCTTATGAATAACATGTGCCCACAAGCAGCCAGGTGTGGAGAGAGAACGTCTGCTGATCACTCCCAAGATGAGTGTCGCACTGCATGTTTGACATGAGGCTCAAATCCACATGTGTGATGCAAGTAAGTGTCCAAGTACTTGCCCCCGTTCCAAGCCTCACACAGGCCACACTGAGAGAACCGGGACACATCTGGATCCACGATGAGTCCATGAGAACAATGAACAATCAGATTAAAATAATTTTTGACATAATCTTGCTAAAACAAAGTTGGGTAGACGGGTTTTCCAGCCCTGAACAGCCCCCTGTTTGCGTAGGCCGGCATTCGTCCCTCTCTTTCCTTTCGGAAGGTGGGAGGAGCTTAGATCTACTGTCAGATCTGATCAGATGCATCCAGCTCGTCTTTCGGCCCAGACGGCTGGAATCGAGCCGCGGTCAGGACAGGAGGATCCCTCCAGAAATGAGCGGCGGCCCTGCATGGGATCTGCATGCACATGCTATTAGTACATAGTATGCCACATATATGGGAGTCCCAGCTGAGGATGCAACAACATGCAGGTTGGCCTCAGTCAGCTCCTACTGCCATACATGGTATGGTATTGTACGTACTATGATAGTAAATACTGGGTTCAGCGCCGAGATCCGGCAGGGGAATAACACCGGCCACGGTTCTGATGACCGCGGTGGATCCCTCTCGTCTCCACTCAGAGACCTTTACAGGCACGTGGGAGTGGCGATTGGGCGGTGGTGATGCGATGCTGAGGTTGTTGGCCACGCGCAAAGTTGGATTGAATATTTGAGGGCATTTACCTCAGTCGTTGTCGAGGTCCCAAGGCGCTGGGTTGCAGAGCTGCAGGCAGATCTGTACTATAGCGACTATTGTACATGGTATGTTACATGCATGCAGCAGTAGCCTCTAGTGGCACGGTGACATTTGCAACATGCCCACATGCACGAATGCATGCTGCAGAGCGCGTTGCATGGCCTCCTTGTCTTTTCTTTTTGTCCTTTTTCTCTCTTTTCTTTTTCGGTTACCTTTCTTTTCTTACCCTGGTCAAAAGATGTCATCTTAAGTACTGTTCAAGAGATAAGCAGTCCAGTGCGTGGGGCACTTGGGTGACCGGTCCAGCAGAGTGGAAAATCCTTCGGCGATACTACCGAGTACAGTTCCGGCTGCTATCAACGTCTTCTGTCTTCTACACATTGCATTATGCCGAGGCCAAGGCGCCATTGCACGGGGGCATCCGCAGGGGCCCTGCAGACCAAGCTTTTTTCTTCCTCCATTTGCCGTCCCGCCGACCGAGCCAAGATGACGCGAACGCCACCTGAGTTTACTTTGTGTTTTTGAGAAGCTGAAAAAGTTAAGTAGACACGCGAGGAAGACGCCGTCAGAAAGATGCAGCGCAATGGTAATAGGTCCAGTCCACACAGAAAAGCAGTATGGTAGGATTGGTCCCTCGTGGGACCCTCAGATCCCACGTTTCCTGGGCGACGAATGGGGTCCTGCGATTCAGGCACGCGGGCTTGGGTGCGCTGCTCTCATCTCGGCACAGCGGCAGCGCCTGAGAACGCCACTCTCCAAGGTTCCAACCTTCTAGTGTGGTATGGGGCCTTTCTCCCCCCACCTTGCCTCCCTCGCCTGTGGATGCTGTAGAGGCTGGGGGGTGAGATGATCTTGTGCGTGCCTCTTGACCACAGAGAGGCAGCGAAGGTTGTTGTTAGGAGAAGAGTGTCTCCCAAAGAGATGGTTACAACGAGTAGTAACAAGCATTTCACGATTTGTGTTATGCATCAGGTACCATCATGGTATATATGATGCCAGATTTTGAATTACCTTGTGTTGTATGTGGTATAGTGAGGATGCATATGCAATTTAGGCCCTCCCAACGGCGGCCTTATCCTCTCTTCTCGGCGCTGGCCCGCCCGGCCGGACAAGGGCGGAGTACATGCCGTCCCTCCTGCAGGCCGTGGAGAGGGTCACACTACCACCTGCATCTGGAATGGCCCGAATTGTATCCCCGCTGGATAGGATGCGAGATAGAGACATGGTGTGTGTGTGTGTGTGTGTGTGTGTGTGTGCATGTGTGTGTGGAGAGAGGGCGTAATCTTTCCTACTTCACAGAGTATCATTAGCACGTGGCATAGCAGGATTGTCTCTCTCTTTTTTTTTCCTTTCTCACTGGCTTGATTTAGAGCTCCAAAGCACCTTCTCGTCCTGATCTATTTATTTTCTTTTTCTCTTTCTTTTCCTACCTTCTCCCTCCTGCATTTCTTCTCTTCTTTGTTCAACTTGGCCCTCTCTGACCAGGCTCACTCCCCGCCTCCCTCAACCTGCCAGCCTCAACCACCCCACACCTCAACGAGGCACTCTTGAACACCACCAGCGTCATTTCAATAACCTCCCTCCTCCAACCTAAGGCCACTAACAAAAAAGAGAGAGAAAAAGAGAGAAATAGAAAGGTTCGCCATGGTCTTTGGCTTCGGGAAGAAGTCGAGCTCGTCGCAGGACGCCGCCGTCGAGCCGTACCAGTCCTCAGAGGTACCCATCGAAGATGTCCAGCCCATGAGGAAAACACTCCTGCCCGTCTTTGCATGCGGCGCCGGTCTCTTCAGTGATGGATACGTCAATAACGTCATTGGATCCGTGAGCACTCTACTGTCGCTGGTGAGTGAGCACAAACCCCAGTGTGGTGGTAGAATATGAGAGAAGAAAGGGAGGCGGAGGATTAGGATGAGGAGAGAAATGTCTTTCCCTCATTTTGGAGTTCTCATCTAAGTTTTAAGTAATAATGTTCCTGGCCACAGCAATACAAAGATGCATATGAGAACTCGAGTGCTATCAGCAATGTGAGTATATATTATAACCCCCTCTTTCCTCCTTCTCTTACCCTCCCCCCTCGTTAGGTGACGACAACACCAGGCTGACTTCTCGTTCCATCACTTTTTTCCTCCCCTTTGCAGGTCACAGCCATTGCCTTTGCGGGTACCGTGGTGGGCCAGCTCTTCTTTGGTATTCTTGCCGACAAATGGAGCCGCATCAACACGCTCCTCGTGTCGACCGTGATCCTGATCATCTTCACCGCCCTGGCCGCCGGCTCGTACTGGCACGGGCAGGCCTCGGGCTTGCTCTCGATACTCGTGGCCTGGCGCTTCTTTGTGGGCATCGGCATCGGCGGCGAGTACCCGGCGGGCTCGGTGGGCTGCTCCGAGTCGTCGGCCGAGCTCAAGTCCGGCACGCGCAACCGCTGGTTCATCCTCTTCACCAACACGGCCATCGACTGGGGCTTCGTCATCGGCGCCTTTGTCCCCTACGTCGTCGCGGCCGCCTGCCACGAGGGCCACTACGAGACCCAGTGGCGCACCAGCCTCGGCATCGGCGTCGTCTTCCCCCTGATCCTCTTCGTGCTGCGGCTGCGCATCAAGGAGCCCGAGGAGTTCTCGCGCAACAGCATGGCCCACGTGCGCATCCCCTACGGCCTCGTCTTCCGCTTCTACGGCCTCCGCCTGCTTCTCGTCTCCGCCATCTGGTTCATCTATGACTTCTCTACCTACCCCTTTAGCATCTACGGCTCCAGCATCCTGGCCAACATCTACGACACCGAGACCGCCCCGCTGACCACCATCTTCGGCTGGAATACCGTCATCAACCTGTTCTACATCCCCGGTGCCGTCCTCGGTGCCTATGTGAGCGACTGGATCGGCCCGCGCTACGCCCTCTCCCTGGGCGTCACCCTCCAGGCCATTGTCGGTTTTGCCATGGCCGGCGCCTATGAGAAGCTCGCCCAGCCTCAGAATGTGGCTGGCTTCGCCGTCATCTACGGTATCTTTCTCGCCCTCGGAGAGCTGGGCCCTGGTGACAAGTAAGCAAACGAGAATCTCCTCTCCCTCTCCCCCTTTCCCAACGCCCCCCCCCCCCCTTTTTTTTTTTTTTTTTCTTTCTTTCTCTCTCTTCCTTCTCTTTGTTGAGAAGAAAATAAAATAAAGTATAGCGTTGGCTAACCAACCTGTTTCTTTCTCTTTCTCTTCCCCTCCTTTAGCATCGGCCTGCTCGCCTCCAAGACCTCCGCCACCGGCATCAGGGGCATGTACTACGGCATCGCCGCCGCCATAGGCAAGATCGGCGCATTCATCGGCACCTACATCTTCAAGTACATCGAGGCCGACGGCCACACGGCCGCCGCCAGCGCGCAGTACCCCTTCTACGTGTCCTCGTCCCTGTGCATCCTGTCCGCCGTGCTCACCCTCGTCTTCCTCCCGCACATTGGCCAGGACACCGTCCAGAAGGAGGACGCGCGGTTCCGGGCGTACCTCGAGAGCAAAGGCTGGGACACGCGGCAGCTGGGTCTGCAGAAGGGGGCGAGCCTGGAAGCCGTTGAGGGAGCCAGGGCGGAGGATGTGGTGGGGGATAGGAAGGTGGACGAGTAGTGAGCTGGACGAGTAAGAAGGAAAGAGGGTTATGGGATAGGGGTGTTTCTTTTTCTGGTGAGGGTCGAGGTAATGGAGGAGCGAGGAACAGAGAGAGAGAGAGAGAGAGAGAGAGAGAGAGAGAGAGAGAGAGAGAGAGAGAGGAGAAGTGGAATCTTGAGCATGCATCATATGAAGGCATGAAACTGACACGAGGAAGATTATTGATACCCTATGTACCTACCCTTTGTGTGTATATCTCAGGGGACATAAGACATATTAAAACGACTGTAACTCATCCATCTTGCCGCTCTGTTTTGTCAAGATCCAAAAGGACTGTTCCAGCCGGGACAACAGGCCAAGAAGTGACAAGAAAGAAAGAAACAAAATTATAGCAATTGCCCTTCTCGAGCAGTTGCATATATGTATGGTCTATATATAGTTCTATGCCAAAATCATAGCCCAGAATCTTCCAGGTATATTGGTGTACGCGCCGCCTCGTCATCGTCCATCTCCTTCCCTCTCATCAGTCTAGCTCCACAGACGCAAGCGCCTGGCTTATGAACTCATCCCCGTAGAGGAGCTGCTGCTTCTGCTCCTGTTGTACCCCCCAAGCGTCAGCCTTGTCGTCTCCCATCTCCATCTCAACCTGCTCCTCATCCCCGGTGCTGCTACTATTATCATCCTCCTCATTCTCGCTGCGGTCACTGCTCTGTTCGCTCTCCGTCTCAGGCGGCGTAGGAATGCCGCCCTCCCCCTCTCTCCCCACCGGCCCTCTGCCACCGCCACCATGTTGGTTCCTCTTCAACATACACATCTCCACTGACACGCCGGGCCCAAACGCACAGCCCACGATATAATCTCGTGGCCCTCGGCCATCCGGCGTGCAGGCGTCCATATCCTTACTCCGCAGACGATCCAACACGCTAAACACCGTCGCGCTGCTCGAGTTGCCGTGGTTCATGTACACGTCGTAACTGGCCCGCATGTGCTCGGGCCGCAGACCCATAGTCTCTTCGGCACCCGTCAGGATGGTAGCGCCGCCTGGGTGCATGGCCCAGTCGAAATCGGCGGGAGGGGCATCCTGGTAGTTTGGGGAAAGCTGCGGCCGCAGAGAGGACATGAGATCGGAGAAGGTTGGCTTCAGGGCAGACTGGGCGATTTTGGGGACGCGCGGGGTCAGGACGACCTTCCAGCCGTGGCGGTGGACATCAAAGCCCAGGTCGTGAGCGGTGTCGGGGACGATGCGGTGGTCCCAGCCGAGGAGGTCATAGGTTGCTGGGCGGAGCGTGGAAGAGGGAACGACACCACCGCTTGTCGTGGTCGTTGTCGTCGTCAGGCCGTTGCTGAGGACCACGGCGCTGGCGCAGTCTGAGAAGAGGCACACGCCTATCCTCGTCTCGTCGCACTTGTCGATCGAGTCCAGCTCGCTTCGCACAAATGTCGTGCTCACCTCGAGGGCAACCACCAGGATACGGGCGGGTTTGCCCCGGTAGCTGTGGCCCAGGGCCAGGTTGGCGGCGGTCCGTAAGGCTGCCAACCCGCCGCTGCAGCCAATGCCATGGAGGAGGACCTTCTCGACCTGGTGGGTGATGCCTAGACCTTGGCAGACAAAGTGGTCATATCCTGGGTTGGCACTATCGGTGCAGCTCGTGGAGACGACGTGGGTCTTGTAGTGGAAGAGAGTCAGTATGTATGTGTGTGTGTGTGTGTGTGCGTATATTCACCCTCTGTAAATTGGAACATGTAGAGTGTAGGATGCGAAAAGAAAACTCACAATTTCCTCGAGATCAATCTTGGCCTCGTCGATGGCCTTTCGCGCAGCGCTCACGGCCAGAGGTACACCCTCGCTCATAAAAACCTCATGAAGCTCCTCGATTGAAGGAGGGTCTGGGTTGTTCACCACAGGGTGGTCAGGATCTCCAATTGATGAACGAGTCTGTAGTGGAGTGGAAGAGGAAGAAAAAGTCAGCCATCATCTGGTTGTTTGCCATGGGAGAGATTGGGTGGCGTTGTAGTCAGCTCGTCGAGCCAGTTCAAACTCACCCCAATGCCAGTGTATTTATTGATAGAGAGAACCTTTTTCATAGAAGGGCTCTCAGCATCATGGTAGCGCTGAACGAGAGTATCTATGGCTTCTGGTTTGAGGCCGTAAGGAGGATACTGCGTGCCCAGGCCCAGGATGCTCAGGCCAAGCTGGCCGAAGCTGTTGGGCGACGACATTCCCTCTTCGTCTCTCTCCGTCTCTCTCTTTCACTCTCCCTTTGTGCCCCTCCACAGGACCCTTGTCGATACTCGAAAGATGACGTATCAACACACAAAACTTGAGTGGTTCGAGGCTCTGTGGGTGATGTTTTTCTTTAGATACCCACGAGGTTTAGAACGATGTATAGATGAATGAAGAAACAAAGAGATAACACACGCTCCCTGCAGTGAATGGTGTTCTGGCCAGAAGGTCAAACTCAAGAATAAAAAGCTCAAGATGTGTTGTAGAGTGGCCGTGAGCAGGCCGAGAAGAGAGAGAGAGGTTTGTGGTCGGTGGGATGATTTCAGAGAAGAGACGATGAGCGAGTGAGTGAGAATCCCTGAGTACTTGGATGCACTACGCCAATAGCGGTTGATTCAATTCAATCTCGAGAACCTGATTTTGGGAAGACAATGACTGGGTACGAGGCAATTGAGGGTCGAGAGTGTCGTGATGACTTCTTTCTTGCATAAAACTTGTATGCAATCTTGGTCCCAACAAAAAGCCCAAGAAAAAAAGAAAGAATTAAAACAAAAAAAGGGAGAATTGGTAGGGAAGGAGTGATGATGATGCAGGGTACGTACCGAAATCCAGGGCACGCCTAGCAGAGCGGCAAGTTTTACAGCATGCGGCAACCTTATTGCCTACTGTAGTAAGGTTAATGATTACTATTGCTGTAGTGTATCTACCCAAGTACCTGAATGTACTATGTAGCCCTCCCACACTTTTGTCGCCCCGTCTCGCCATGAAACAGGTTCCCCTTTCCCGGCCCAGGAGATAGTCAAGCCGCCTTGACTTTCCTCTTCCAGGGAGGCCAACAAGCGCATTCAACGTTAGTGGCAAGAGATTATGAGAGGAAGAGCTTGGGACAATGGATGGAAGGGGAAGGGCCAAGGGTGAGGGTGGCGGGTAATGGTAGCCGGGGGCAGGGAAGCCACAAGGAAAGAAGACTAGCCGAGGCATGAGAACAAAAGCTGCTTGCGGTGACGACAAGAGCGAGCCAGAGAAGAGAACCAAGAGACAGCAGCACAAGCTTTCCCTTTGGGATGGATATCTGAAACTGCTACGGAGTGTGTAGCAGGAGAAGCTCGATGCTTGGTCCCAGCCACAAGGTCCCAGCTAGGCGGGTCCTTCTTCTTATCCATGTTTTGTCCCTGGTCCCTTGTCGAGCATGTGTCTCGGTGGGATGCAAGATCATCACTGCTGCTCCCCTGTTCCAAAAAGATATGGAACTGATGAAAATGAGTCGAGGTGCACTGTCTGATAACGGGAATGTCCAAAATCTGACAAGACTTGCTACTCAATTGGAAGAAATGGTGTTACGATGATCCACATCGTACTGCATGTGTGTCTATGTACATAATATCAATACTTTGGTCATGATTCATCATTGGCCTCGCCTGCTGCTGAGCAAACCAGACGCCTCCTCTTTCCCCCACCCTCACCTCCTCCAAAAAGCCCACACAATCGATCGCCGCCAAGTACATCCACTCGGAACCGAGACCACCTTGTTTAAACCCTCCGTACGCCACCCCGTATCAGCTCGGCCCGGAACACATTCCCGGGCCTTGGTGGGGACCATCACCACCGTCTTTGATCCGACCCAGGCCCCACGTCGGCCAGAAACACACCAGCAATCATGCACGCCGCCAACTTCCCTATCTTCCTCCATCTGCTCATTGAGCTACCAGGTGTGTCACTCCATGCCGCCAACCAACCAATCAAGCCCTCTTCACGCCCGCACACAAAACACACATATTGATACCTGAACCAGCCTCCTTCTCCTTCCTCCTCCAGCCCAGAGTCCAGCTGCGTGACCAAGCCCCATCCCCCGAGACCCTCGCCGTCTGCCGAAGCTACGGCGGCCTCCTCTTGGCCGTCAATGTCCTCTGCGCTCGATTTCTTCACCACAGGAATGCCGACATCTTCGACGACATGAGTGCCGTGTTGGCATCGTCTCTGGCTGTCTACCACGTGTTTCCCATCGTGAGAGCCGGCGGAAGGCTTGCACGAGGAGGGCGACGACGACAGCAGGCACGAGAAGACAGGCGGGAAAATGATGGTGATGCGTTGGGAGGACCAGTGGTGCACTTGATTCTACATAGCATTCTACTCATCTCGCTATGCTGGGCGGGCTTCTTGGCAGAAACAACCTCTCCTATAGGTGGTTGATGAGGCCCTTCTTAGCCAGTCTTGGGTATTTTTCATTTCCTGAAAAGTCTAAGTCCTTCCTCGGCGGCAGCGATGTCGTCGTCTTCGCCTTCATCCTCCGAGGCATCCTCTCTAAGCTGCATCCGCTGCCCAAACAACGTCCCAAACAACCTGTCGATTGCCTCGTCCTCCCAGGTCCGCCGGTCCTCCGACGCCATAAAGTTCTGCAGCTTCTCGTGCACCGTAAAACGCAGCTTCCGGCCCTTGCTCGCCCTGCGGTCCACCTGCTTGCGCGTCTTGGCCTCCTTCACGGCCGTCCACCGCACCGTGGGTACATTACCGTCCGCTTCGCCCCCACCCGCGTCGTTGGTCCGCTGGTCCACCAGCTCCTTGAGCAGGAGCTGGTAGAAGTCCGCATCATCGTAGATGTCTGGATCCTCCGTGACCTTTTTCGCGGCCTGCAACGGCGCGCACGACCGGGGCACGTGGGTGCGCCGGACCAGCCGCTCCGAGCTGAGCAGCTGAGTCCCGAGCGCGTCCACGAGGGACTGTGACGCTGTGGTGCCGAGGTGGCGCTCCTTGCTGACGGCCGCCGTCGTGCTCTTGACTTTGTTTGACCACTTGTCCAGGATTTTGTTGCGCTTGGCGGTGGCACGCTCCTCAGTCGCCTGCATCTCCTCCCAGACCTCCTCGATGGAGGTGCGGGTGTCTACATCGCGCTTCCGCTTCAGGCCTGCCTTTGGCTCGGGCAGGAGGCTGGCGCGGAACCCGTCGATGGCGGTCCACAGCTTGATCGCGGCCTCCTCCGCGGCCACGTATGGTTGCTTGTCTGAAGTGGCGTCGCTGTCGCCTGCCTCGCCCAGGGAATTGATGGCGACCAGGCCCTTCTGGAGGCGGATTCGTAAATTTAGGAGGGAATCGTATGTGCGCCGCTGTTGTCTGACGGCGACACCCTTTAGAGCGTCCGCTTTGGCTGCTTGAGATATGTTGGAGATGACACCCTTTTGATCACTCTGCATCAGATTGCGGAGATTGGAACGGTCGTCGCTGGTATCCGCACCACCCATCTCCTCGTCCTCGTCTTCGCTTTCGTCGGTGCCTTCTTCCGAGTCGTCGTCGACAGAGGAGCCCTCTTCATCATCATCGCTCGACTCCTCTTCCGACCCAGATCCGTCGAGCTGCGCACCCTCATCATCGTGATCATCATCTGACTCACCATCAGGCTCAGAATCTTCTTGTTCTTCCTCTTCGCTCTCCGGATCGGACATCAGATCCGCAGCGACCATTCTTTTCGGGCGCCCATTGGTGATGGCGCCCTTGGAGGATATGTTGCCAGCGCTCTTGCTATCCTTGAACGAGAATCCCTTCTTCTTGAACATCTCCTCCTCGCCCTCCGCAAACGCCTCATCGCTGTCAATCTCCTCATCATCGATGATATTATCCCGGTCCAGATCAGCCGTCTCAGGGTCGTCGAATTCTTCCGAGTCTTCCTCCTCCTCGCTATCTTGGTCGGACTCTTCCTGCTCTTCCAGCTCGCCATCGCTACTGTCATCGAGGGCTGCGCGGCTTACTCGTACCCCGCTGTACTTGGGGCCTAGGGCTGGGATTTCTTTTTGGCGAAGCTTGCTCTTGCTGGAGGGCGATTGCCTTATCAGCTACTATGATGAATGGAGAAGGGCATGTAATCGAGATGGAGACGAACCCGACAGAGACATAGTGCTCCGTCCCTGCTAAATCCTCGTCCTCGTCCTCCTCATCACTGCCGCTGGCCCCATCTTCAAGGGGTCCATCGGCCTCGGGGTCGAGATCTGCAAATCAAAGTCAGCGCCGTCCCACATTCCACCCTTTCCCTCTAAGGCCGTGAGTAGGAAGAGACGATTGTGAAGGGAAGGAGAGGATAAGTAATGAAAAGGCAATGCGTACCCCTGACAGGCTTCTCGTCAAAGTCTGTAAACTTGTTCTTCGCGCGCGTCGACTTGGCGGGCGCCATGATCTCGTCTCTCGTGTAGACTTTGTGACGAAGTATTTTTTCTTTCTTTGGATGGGTGACAGAATGTAGGATTGCAGACGCAAGAAAAAATGCAGGTCTCCCGCCGAACTTTTTAGTGGGTCCCTGGCCCGCTCTGACAGGGCTGGTAGGCTTTGCTTTTTAGGGATTGGCTAGCTGAAGGTGCCGCTGGTGGTTCAGGGCACGCGTTAGCGAGGCCTCATTGCTGGGGTGTGTTGAGGTACGTATTGACTCCAACCATCTAGTGAGTGAGCAGTGAAAGCCTCATCAACGTCCTTCACTTCACTTGAACATAACTCTTCTTAGGGATAGTGGAGGTGAACGCAATTGATACGGTTCTGCCTCCAGAAACTCTCCTGACTTTTATTTAACTGAATAGTTTTCGAGATACATCGATAAATCAGTGTCTTTTCCTTCTTTTTTCTTTCTTCATCCTTTCAAACGATGGACACGCAATAAATCTATTTATTACTCTTTCAGACCTTTTCCATCCTCGTCTCGGAAGCGCCAGGGCGTAACCTCGCCAACATGGCAACCACATCTCGCCGGCTCTTTCATAATCTCCGGTCCTTGCAACATGAAAACCCTCTTGTAAGATTCCACCTCATCATAATCCAGAAAATCAAACAAGAACAAAACTAATACTAACACATACAAACACCACTCTCAGGGCCTCCCGCGCACCGGCTCCATCCCAAGGATGCAGCGTGGCCTCCCCGAGCGCCGCAGGATCAAAGATGTGGCCAAGGTAATCGCCGTGTCCTCGGCCAAGGGCGGCGTTGGCAAGAGCACTGTGGCTGCGAACCTCGCCCTCGCCTTCGCCAGGCTAGGCCACAGGTCCGGGATCTTGGACACGGACATTTTTGGACCATCAGTCCCTACGCTGTTCAACCTGAATGAGGAACCCAGGCTATCGCAGAGTATGTCGTCCGATGTCCTCATCATGCCTCCCCTGTGAGGAGTTCTGAAGATCGGAGAGAAGGATGTATATGTGCGGGAAAGAGAGAGAGAGGGGGGGGGGGGGTGACAAAGACTGATGACCCTTCGAAATTCATGGCTGATCTTTTCGTATAATCTAGATAATCAATTACTACCGCTGTCAAATTATGGTGTCAAGACCATGTCGATGGGGTATTTGGTAGGCGAAGAGGCGCCCGTGGTGTGGCGTGGCATGATGGTCATGAAGGCGCTGCAGCAGCTCCTTCACGAGGTCGACTGGGGCGGTCTCGATATCCTTGTGCTCGATCTGCCTCCTGGTACGGGTGATACGCAGCTGAGCATCACACAGCAGATCGTCTTGGATGGTAAGAGCATATTACATCTTCTTCGATCTCTTCTTTCGCTCGCCTCACTCATCTCAATCCACCACTCTGACCACCTTTCCTCACAGGCTCGGTGATAATCACAACCCCCCACACCCTCTCCGTCAAGGATGCCATCAAGGGTATCAACATGTTCAAAAAAGTCAACGTCCCCCTCCTCGGTCTCGTCAACAATATGTCGCTCTTCACCTGCCCCGACTGCGGCGGGCGGCACCACATTTTCGGATCCGGCGAGGGCGTGCGGAAAGTCTGCGCGGAGCAGGACATTGCGTTTCTCGGAGACATTCCGTTGCACCAGAACATTGGCAGCCAGGCGCAAGAGGGAAAGCCAACGGTGGTGGCGGAGCCGGGGTCGGAGAGGGCAGAGACGTTTATGAGGATCGCGAGGGATGTGAGAGAGAAGATTGGGTTATAGAGGAGAATTTTTTGTCTAGCAGCAAGTTGCTATTGTGCAAAGCAGTAAGCTCAAGAACAAATTACTAAAAAAGACTGCACCAATATGGGCCACAGGAAGATTCGGCGATAGAGGAGCAAGAGAAATAAAATGGATAATATCACACGCGCACACTCGATGGAAGAGTCTACACGATACACGTAGATAAATGGTATCCAGAGTCCATGCCATTCTCGGACACACACGTTCCGCTTTCCTCGCAATCTTGCGATCTACAGCTACAGGTATTATGAACAAAATCGACTCCCATTAAGAAAAGCTCGTCATCCAACATACATGCCCAGAATCGTACAGATAACAAAAACCAGACCGGGAAAAAAAAAAAAGCTGCGAAGCCGCACTGGAGTGATCGTGGCCGTATCAATTAAATGAGAGAAAGAATGGAAAGGTGAAAAAGAGACTTCTCTCATCAGACGCTACAAGCAAAAAATCCTCCTAGTTTTGATCCACCGTCACTCCTCATCAACAAAGACCAAACACCTCTTCTTCTTAAAGGGGGAAGTAAGGATTTCAGGCCGTCTTCTTCCACTGGTTGTACAAGCCGATCAAACTGCTGACGGTTCCGGCAAGACCGACGATGCCATCGTCCAAAGCAACCCAACCAAGGGCGGAGTAAGGCACAGTCAGGTCGCAGAGGTCGGACAGCAGCTGCAGCTGGCTGGCGGAGCGCTCACTAAAACGAAGCATATGTTGTTAGCCGTTACATCTTTCTCTCGCTTATGTCTGTACCTTCTTGAAACCCCAGAACCAAGGCCAAAAGAAGAGAAATCAAACTCACATGGCTATCCTCTTGCTTTCCACCACGCCCTCGCCCTCCTTCCTATCCACCTTGGCATCCCGCACCCTCAGCTGGTAGAGTGTATACACTTGCGCAGCCACAGAGCACATTAAGCCCATAGCCCAGAAGCGGAAGGCCTCGCGCTGCAGGCTCTTGGCGGACTCGCTGCGGCGGATGCCGGTCGCGTCAAGCAGGGTGGCCAAGTCGAGGGTGAGGTAGCCCGCGTAGCCCAGCTGCCTCCCGACGGCGGCGTAGCGCAGAACGGGGTCCATGGTGCCGGCCTTGGCATCGGCGGCGACGGCGGCGGCCTTGAAGTGCTCGACGTTCTTGCCGGCGCGCATGATCTTGCGGGCGAGGCCGAACTGCTTCTTCATGGCATCCCAGGGGGCCACCTCGGCGGGGGAGCCGTTGGTGCGGTAGAGGTACCAGGCGTAGAAGCGGGCAAAGTACTGCAGGACGCGGAGGACCTTGTCGCGGCCGACGGTAGTGGCGACGAAGCGCAGGTAGTGCGCCACCGAGGGGTGGTAGATGAGGGCGTCGGCGACCATATTGGGCGGTTATGGTTTTTATTATCGGTCGAGAAACAGATTATTTGGCACTTTGGTCGAGAAGTTTGGGTCTCGAGGGAAGAGTGCTCGTGGAGGACGAGGATCGCGGTCTGCCGGATTTGAGAGGTTTAGCTAAGATCGTCAACAGCAAGAACAAAGCAGAATTGAGTGGTAGCAGACAGACAGGTCAATAGTGTATCGAGAATGAGTCTGACTTGAACCTCGATCAGAAGAAAATTTGACAGCGGAATATCATGTGACACACTTCAAGATAAACAGCAGAAGGAAAGGGAACTTTTTGGTGAGTGACTCTCTGCCACTTCCCCGGCGTTGCTGTGAAGGTGTGGTGGACCTCTGACATGTGCCTCGGTCAAAGTCAAAGTCTGGGGTCATACTCGGTGATTGACCACACATGTCATACAGATGAGATCCTGGCACAGATTGAATACCCTAACCCTGAGAGCTGGAGTATTTAGTGGGTTTCTCAAGGCACAGCACTTCTTTCGGATTTGTTCATTTTCACCAATCATGCACCCTTCTTCTTCAGGTGGATCCTGGAACTGGATACTGGCAATCTGGGTGGTGGGAAATCCGATGGCGATGGATGGACAACTTCTTTCAAGAAGTGGTTCCGGTTTATTCTCTTGTATCATGATGCCGTAGTACGGTAAAGTAAAGAAGACGACCTACCCCTGTAGCAGTCTTGACCCCCGCTGATTCCCCTCATCACACCTCCCCCTATCCAGCAGCTGAGCTGCCCCGGGGCGGGTCACCCTGTTAGTGCTAACTACGGCTTCATGTACCCAGTGCTACCAGGCCGTGCTCCACTGATGAGCTCCTGCGGGGGAGAGGGGAGGGAGGAAAGAGGGGCTCCCCCCTGCTCACGGTTCCCCTCGGCCGGATCCAGTAGGACGTCACCGTAGCCGTCATTCTGCCGAGCATGCGACAACTGATCGCTGCACGCTCAACAGTTGCTCTCGCACATGTCTCGAGGATCTGGAATTGGGAGAGAGGGACAGAGAGAGGGGCATCAGGCATTAGGCATTGAATAATAGTGCTATGATACAAGGAAGGGGATGGACCGGATCGGCAATTAAGTTTCCACGAACTCGCGGCAATGATCTAATAGTGACTGATTTGAAGCTGAAGAATCTTGAACCGGGTGCCTGCCGTTGAATTCTCGTGAGTTCCTTCCTGGGAAGTATACTGGTCTCTTTCTCCTTCTTTCTAATCTTCTGTTCTTTCTTCTCATCCTCTCTTATCTCTTTCCTCTTTTCAAATCTAACCTTCCTCCATATACCAATTATAGCTGCTTGCCCCCTCCCCCAAGCTGCCCTAAACTTACAACCACTCCACCTTCACAACTCCTACCAACCTCGTCATCTCTACAAGAGATTGTCTCGTGTCCCTCCTCACGTGCTGACAATCCTGCCATCATCTACTTGATTCTCTGCTTTTCAAATACTTGACCTGATCATCCTGAGATTCTTCCATTCATCAGGAAGTTTTTCCGGACCATTTTCTCTCAACCATATATATCCATCTCGTCGTGAAGACGGCTTGAAGATCTGACAGCCGAGACCATGTCTACCGCGGTACACTCGAATGGGGACGGCGCCGATGTGGAGGCCATCAACACCAACATTGTGACCCTTACTAGGTTCTTGACGGAAGAGCAAGTAAAGGTCAAGGAGGCAACAGGAGACTTCACGTAAGTAGTAGCTATTATTGTTGTTGTTGTCATCGTCGTCGTCGGGTTCTAGGGCCCAGAGCCAGACAGGAAAGAGAGAGAGAGAGAGACAAAAGACTGACCATCACCGCCACCAATTATTCCTCCTACTCTAGACTTCTCTGCCATGCCCTGCAGTTCTCCTTCAAGTCAATCGCCTACTACATTCGACGGGCAACACTTGTCAACCTCACCGGCCTGGCCGGGTCCTCCAACACGACGGGCGACGAGCAGAAGAAGCTCGATGTCATCTCCAACGACCTCTTCATCGCCGCGATGCGATCCTCGGGCAAATGTGCCCTGCTGGTCTCAGAAGAGGAGGAGAATATCATCTTCTTCAAGGAGAACAAGCAGGCCAGGTATGCGGTGGCGTGCGACCCAATTGACGGCTCGTCCAACTTAGACGCCGGCGTGTCGGTCGGCACCATCTTCGCTATCCACAAGCTGGCCGAAGGATCGACGGGTACTAAGGAGGACATCCTCAAGCCCGGCACCGAGCTGGTGGCGGCCGGGTTTACCATGTACGGTGCCTCGGCCCAGCTCGTCATCACGATGAAAGGCGGCAGCGTTAACGGCTTCACGCTGGATAACGGCGTAGGCGAGTTCATCCTGACCCATCCAGACATGAGGCTGCCCAAGTCGCGGGCCATCTACTCGGTCAACGAGGGCAACTCGCTGTACTGGGAGGACAACGTCAAAGACTACTTCAACTCGCTCAAGCTGCCGCAGGGCGATGACGGCAAGGGCAAGCCCTACAGCGCACGGTACATCGGGTCCATGGTGGCCGATGCATACCGCACACTGCTGTACGGTGGTATCTTCGCCTACCCTGCCGACAAGAAGAGCCCCAAGGGCAAGCTGCGAATCCTGTACGAGTGTGCGCCCATGGCTATGGTGTTTGAGAACGGTACGTATTCGTGGTGGTGACCCCGTGTGTGTGTGTGTGTGTGTGTGTGTGTGTGTGTGCGTGTGTGTGTCGGTGAAGGGGTGAGGGGTACCAATAATGGCTGACAGTGAGATATAGCTGGCGGACAGGCTCTCAACAGCAAGATGGAGAGGATGCTCGACGTTGTCCCAGAGTAAGTGTTCTGCCCTGCCCTTGGGCTGCTTTGTTTTCATACTTTCGGACTGTTACTGATGTGTCACTGCAGAGATATTCATGACAGGTCAGGAATCTTTATGGGCAGCTGGGATGAATGCGAGAAGGTCAAGAAATTCCACAAGTAACGGAAGGCATGTGCAGGTAGGGAGTGTGGACCAATACCACTAACAACAATCTTGAGAACGAAATGAATTCAGGGAGAATGCAGGACAAATGCCACCATGATGATGGTGGGATCGAATCGATGTGGACAGATTGGGACATGGTCAAGATTGCATTAGCCAAATTGGAAATATGAAAATACCATAATTTACCTGCCATGATTTGTTTTCTAAGTGTTGCTGGCTCTCGAGACATCCTCAATTGCCCTTTTAAGCTCGCCATCTTGCTTCCTACCTCGGCAAAATATAATCGGCCAATATGTGTGGCTGTAAATAAAAACAGACTAATTAATTCACCGTATATAATTTGTGGCTTGCCGCCGTATCCGCTTTTTCTCAATCCAGACGAACATGCATACTTGGTAGATGAATTAGATCCATCCTTCTTCCACATGGCGAGTTTTTACTTAGTTATCTTTTTTACCTCTTCTCCCGCTTATTTTCTCCACATATACATATATATATATATATCTTCAAACACACGCACACTCGATGCCAGCCACGTAAACAGTATAACTCTATTACTCCCCTCGCCCCTTCCCCTCCCCGCCCATCATGGAGCTCAGCGGCCTCTGGGCAAGGGCATGGGCGAGAGCATGGGCGTGGCTTCCCTCCAACATTGTCACAACCGTCTTCCTCTTGGCCGCCCTTAGCCTCTACCCGGTCCTCATCCACCTCGCCCGCCAGAAAGTCCACCCCAGGGAACCCCAGGTCGTCTCCTGTCCGCTGCCCATCCCTTTCATAGGCCACCTCGTCCTCATGGCCCTCCAGGGCGGCCACTATATCCGCACCCTCGGCCTCGCCCATCCACACCTCCCAGCCTTTACCCTCGTCGTGCCCTTTGCCCGTCTCTATATCATCACATCGCCACCTCTTGCAGTCGCCATCCAGCGGAGGCCCGTCGCGCAGCTGTCGTCGAATGCTCTGCTTCCCAGTATCGTGAAGAGGGCTATGGGTCTTGATGACCGCACCGCTGACATCGTGAGCCGTGGTCTTGACCCCATAAGCGGCGGCGGCGGCGGAGTAGGAGGAGCAGGGAAGAAGGGCGGCAGAGGCAATGGAGACGAGGTCGGCGTCTTGGCTGAGCTGCACGCCATGCTTACTTCCTACCTGGGACCGGGCACGCCACTGGACGAGTTGACCGTGGGCTCCGCTAAGGAACTCGCCGCCGAGTTAGACGAGTACGTCCGCACCACGAACCTGGGAGGAAACAATGGTCCAACGGCAGAGGTAGCGGCAGAGGAGGACCTACTCCCCTGGGCTCGCCGCCTCGTCGTGCGCGCCACCTCCCGCGTGCTTTACGGCAGCCGAAACCCCCTCGCCACGGCATCGTCCACCTCCTCTACCAAGGAGGATCTCGAGCGCGCCTTCTGGGATTTTGACCACGGCCTGGGTCGACTGGTCGCTGGTGTCCTGCCTCCCTCATTCGTCGCACGCAAGGCCTACCGCGGCCGGGAGATGCTTACTGCCGCGTTCAAGGAGTACATTGACGCAGGCCACTACGAGCCCACCACCTCTTCCTTGAAAGAGTCTGGCGGTAACGGTGATGGTGCTGCCCCCATCATCCTCAACCGTATCCGCATCGCCCGCGCACACGGCTTCTCCGCCGACGGCGTCGCGCGCTCCGAGGTAAGCTTCCTCTTTGCTGCCATCGTGAACACAGCCACGGTCGCGTTCTGGGTGCTGGCGCGCGTATGCTCCGACCCAAAGCTTCTGGCACTCATCCGCTCTGAACTCGACGGCATCGTGGTCAAGAACAACAAGGAGCCCTCCTCCTCCTCTCACGACAGGAAACCCACACGCCAGCTAAGCAGCAGCGCCCTCACCGCCCACGGCTGCCGAGACTGCCCCACGCTGTGGGCTGTGTACCGCGAGACCCTTCGCCTGGGCTCGAACAACTTCTCCACGCGCCTGGTGAAGGAGGACACGGTCGTCACAGCCGCAGGGCTGGTCGGGGAAGGAGGTGCAGAAGGGGGAGGAGGGTATTTCCTGCAGCGGGGTGGGATCGTGCAGATTGCGGGGGGAGTGATGCACATGAACCGGGCCATCTGGGGTGAGGATGCGGCCGAGTTTCAGCCCCTGCGGCACTTGGCCAAGCTTCGCAAGCCGCAGCAGCAACAGCTGAAGCGGCAGGGCGGTGACGATGCCACGGAGGAGGAGGGGAAGAAGAAGAAGAAGAAGAAGAAGGGGGAGGGCGGCTTAAATGATGAGGCAGAGGCGACATTGGGGTCGTCGGCGGTTCATCCCGCAGCGTTTCGTGGGTTTGGGGGTGGTAGAACATTGTGTCCTGGCCGCCATTTCGCTACGGGTGAGATTTTGGGCTTTGTGGCGTGTGTGCTGCTGAGGTTTGAAATCCAAGGCGTGGGTGGTGGCGGCGGCGGAGGGGGAATCAAGGTGCCGGAATTGGATGACTATATACTGCCTGTGCATATCCTGGAGCCGGTTGCTGGGCAGTCGGTGAAGGTGAGGATAAGGCAGAGAGACGGGGCTAATGGGGAGCGAGTTGAGGTTGTGCCGTGAGGAAAAGAAGGAGGAAGGAGGGCGGGGCTTGGGAAGAATATTGTGGCCAGGGCCCAGTGTCACATATATTGTGGGCGCTCTTTAATGCAACAAACCATCATTCACATCATTCACAAGTTGTATGCACCATAACGGTCTGAAGGGGCTGGGGCTGATGGTCCATGAGCTTGATCAGCGCTATCTAAGTCTACCTACTACAAGCACAAGATGCATCGTGCCAATGATGTTTTAACAAGACCTCGAGCCATCATTTATCTCTCAGTCTGCATCAATCTCCCTAATTCGTGCTGACCTTCCCAGGTTCCAGGTCAGTCCTTTCAGCTAGCTGACCAGGCCTTTTTTCATCATTCGGTCTTCTCTCTGCTTTTTTCCTATTTTTCCCTCCCAGTATCACAACAACCAACCAACACCGACAATTACAATGCTCCTCTCATGAAAGGGGGGAGGTTCGTTTGAGATATCGCCCAGCCTCTCACATGCTCAGATGTGTGGCCTTGATCATGTTCTCCCCCCGTCCCACCCATGCCAGTCTGCTATTCTTGCCTTGATGCTCAGTTCCCACCCCCAGCCATAACATCCTGATAATACTTGAACGCCAGCTCGTTCGAGTACTTGAGGTACGCATCCTCCGTCAGCGGTAGGCCGAGAACTTTCGAGAATTGGGCCTAAGCCGTAACACATTAGCCTCAAGTCCATTTCTTAAGAAACAAAAGAAGATGATAAAAACACAGGCGGAGTCCAACTGTATCAACACTCACCTGTTTCGTCTTTGAAAGCTCTACCACGACCTTGGCCAAGATGTTCGCCATATCCGCCACAGCCGCAACCTCGTACACATCCGCATCTGCCCGGACTTGCACACTCTCCTGCATGGCGGGGAGACCAGCCATGAGGCTCTTCACGGCGCCCTGCGGGACGTCTGACAGGTGGCCGCGCTGGACGTGCTGCATGACAGTCAAGAAATCCGTGTAGATCTTGCCGCCCAGGTTCCAGTCCGCGATCGAGCCCTCCGCGCTCGAGAACTGCGCCAGCATCTCCCATAGGCCTTCGTAGTCGCGCTCGATGATGGCGAGCGGAGCCACCTGCTTGACAAACGTCTTGTGCGCCTCGCTGTACGATGCTGCGCGGAGGAGGTAAATGACCTCGGACTTGGGGTCCTTCTTGACTGCGCGCTGGAAGAGCGCCTTGGCCTGCCAGATCCACGTGGTCGGTACCTTGAAGGTCTGCGCGAGCGTCACAAAGTCCTCGCTCGTCTCGCTGCCGATCAAATGCGCGTGACGAGACAGGTGCTCCTGGATGGCCTTGGCGCGAGCGGCTGACTTGGTCAGGTGAAGAAGGACGAAGACGGCCTCCAGCCAGTTGCCCTCGCTGGTGAGCTGCGAGGCAAAAGACAAGGTGGCAGCATCCGCCTTGTCGTTGGCGTCTCCGCCAAAGTCAACCCTGCCAGTGTTGACAAGGGCCTGGCCAAGTTGCCAGCACAGACGGAAGTCCAGGGGTGACAGCTGGGAGTTCTCGGGTCGGAGGACATCGGCGAGGTCGGTCTCCTCACTGGCGTACAGCTTCAAAAGTCCCCACAGCAGGTCCTCTCTCTTCTCCAGCTCAGGGTCCTCCCACAAAGCCTGGATGCCCTGCTCCGCATACCACGGCTTGGGCGACTTCTCCTTGTCTTGCTTGAGATCCTCCTCGAAGCCATGTATCGCCTCCACTACATCGTCGTTGGTCGTGATCGCATACCACAGACGGAGGCCGAAAGCTTGCTTCCAATCCATACCGAATTTATCAGAGATAACAAAGGAATCCATCCGGTTCTCCATGACCCCTTTCTTTCCATCCACAACACAGACGTTACCACCCAGAAGCTCGTAGATGGCGCGGAGCGGGTCCGCGAACTCGGAGAGCACGTTGGATTCGCGCCACTCCCGGACCTGATCCCGCATATCCTGCATTAACTGGTCGCTGGTGCCAATTAGCGAGACCAGTGTCGCGAGCCGGAAGTTCTTGCCGTCAAGAAGGTGCTTGCAAGCGTCGGGGATGCGGTGGCCCGACAGCGCCGCGACCGCCTTGTCTTCGGGCGTGTGTGCCATGCCGACATCGCGGTTGGCAGCTTCCTCCACGAGGTTCTGCCAGAATTTGGAGAGGTTTCGTCGGCGGACCTGTCCGATTTCTGAAGCTGCAGCAATCGGTCGTCCCTGTGCATCAAAGACTTGATCGAATAAGATGCTTGCAAGTTCCCAGACTACCTTCTCGTGAGCGTTCGCTAGGTTCTGCAGGTCTTGACCGTGGAAGAATGCCGTCAACGAGTGGACGGATCCCAGCCCGACGGTTGGCACATTATTGACGACGTTGACGCTGGTCAGCGAGATCTGGTTGGCAAGTGCCTTGGCCGAGGACTCGTTGGCGAACTTGGCAAATCGGACATCGCGGTTCTCGGAGACGATGTTGAGATGGCTCATCGACATGATGCCATCCTTGTCCAAAGCTCGCCTGGATGATCGTGATAGCACCTTGGGGCTTGTTGCGAGGACTAAGGTGCCATCGGGGCCCCAGCTTGGGCGGAATGTGTCATGGAATGCCTTATCGTTAGGGTCCATCTCTTCTTGATCCGTGTTGTCTTGCTTCTTGTACTGCCACTAAGGAAAAGGAAAAGGGAATCTTAGTACGAGCTCAATTTATTGGAGAAAATGCAACGTGTATAAATACAATGACATGAAAAACACACGACACTCGCCCATCCCCCTGCCGTGTGCGATTCAACAGACAGGTAGAGTACCAACCTTGAACCCAGAAGTCGGAATTGGGGCTGGCGCAGCAGACCGAGCCATAGTCTTCGGCTTCTCAAACAACGAATTCATGAGCTCAATGCTCGTCGCAAAACCACGACCATCCGACACGATCTTTGGCTTCGCAGGAGACGAGTCCTCCTTTCGTATGCTCTCCTTGAGGGCCTCGTAAGTTGCCTCCTCATTGATGGACTTCAGCGCAGCCCGATCCCGCTTCTGCGGGTTGATCGTCTTCTGCAGCATGTCGGCCCAGTCATCACCATCGGCAACCTGGATCTTCAAAGGGGTGTTCGCTCCCTTGATGGCCTGCAGCCGGGCTCTCATAATCCCGCCAGGTGTCTCTTGGTACTCAGCCATCGATCCACCATGGTAGGGCGAGTCGAATTCTGGCTCCGCGGCGTGATGATACCCGAGGTAAGCGCTCGCAGCTTGGTCCTCAGGCAGAGCATGTTCAGCGTTCATCTCCTCATCCTCGTCAAGGACTGGGGCTTGGAACGCAGAACCCGCGGAGCGGTCAGATAAAAAAGACTGCTGGTGGACATCAGCAGGATCCTCTTCGTCTTCGGATACAGCCCCCGTGTAATCAAAGGCGCCTGGTAGGGCGCGACGCTTACGCCTGAACTCGAAAGTGTCTTCTGGGTCATCGGAAGGAGAGGCGTCGTCCATCTCCTTGGAAGCCTTGGGTGGGGAGGGAAGAGCCATATCATCAACGGTGATGTCACCGAGAGTCTCACCATCAGTATCGTCCTCATCATAATCAAGACCATAGGTGGTGAAGTGCTCAACAGTGAAAGTCCAGTTGCCGTTCTCGGGATCGTACGAGACAAAGTTTGTGTCGTTGGTGCTCTGCAGCTTGCGGATGTGCTTGTCAAGATGACGACCGTTCTTGATGGGAAGACCTGTTCTCTTGTCCATGTTTCGTGGCCACGAGAACAAGAGGGAGATCTCGGACGGGACATTCAGACCCTTGCCCACAGCTGCCTTCTTGACATTGTCCGGGTACACCGTGCACGAACGAGTCTCCAGGACAACAATCTCACCAGCGATTTTATCGAGGTCAATGGTCGTCAGGTCGACAGGAACCAGGAATTTGACGTGGCCCACGTTGTCCCGACCAACTGTGAAGTCCGATACCTGAGAGAGCTGCACGCGGTTCATCTTCTGCAGTTCCTCCTTCGAGGGGCTCATCCAGTACTTTCCTGCTTCCTTGCCTGGAACACCGACAGTGGCAGCAGTCGAGCTGGAAGACGGCGACTGCTCCTCAGGAACAACAGCAAGCTCATTCCCTCTGACTTGCTCCATCTCGGGCGGGCCGTCCGGGCTTCGGGAAGTAGTACCGTTTGCATTGGGAGTGTTACCATTGGGAGCAGCGCGGATGTAGCCCAAGTCGGGCGTCGAGCCTGTAGACGACCCGTTGCTTCCAATGGTGCTGGGGGTGCCGTTGTCCACATTGCTGGTGTCGAAGCTGACCCGCTTAGGGAGCTTGCGTGGGCCGTTCGGCGACTCGGCGGCCTTTTCTTTGGAAATCGGGGAGAATAGATCAACCCGCAGAGACTTGTCCACTGTAAGCTTGTTCAAGCGTCCACTGCCGTAAGAGCGGGGACCCATGCTGGCAGAGAATGAACCAGGCGACAGGATGCTGTCATCAGCGTTGATACTCCTGCGTAGGTTGCTGGAGGAAAAGCTCTTGCTGAGAGACCGATTCAGCTGGCCAGTACCGAGTAGGCTCTGTCCAAAGGTGCCAGGAGTGCTGCCGGTGCTGGAAGGAGTAACCGGAGAGCCGTAGGTGCTGTACGAGAAGCCAAAGCCTCGCTTCACTGGAGTCACGAACTTGGATCCTGATCCGGGGTTGAGCTTCCACATTGGCAAGATGGCATTCTTGCGGGGACCCTTGTTCTTGGACGACAAGGGAGTGGCGAGCGGACCGGGGTTCTGCACCTCAGCAGTTCCCAGACCAGCAAAAAGTGATGGAGTTCCGAAGGCATTCAGGTCGCTGATGCTGGCAGTGAGTGACTGCGGAGTGGACTGCGCATTCTGAGAGTTGTTGAACAGAGTACTACCAAGGAGCGAGTTCTGCTGCGGCTGCTGGGCTGCTGAGCCTCCAAAGAGTGTGTTGCTCTGCTGTTGTTGTTGTGGCTGGCCGAAGAGACCGGTGCCGGTCGACTGGGCAGGCGGGCCAAAGAGGGAAGGTTTCTGTTGCGTCTGGCCGCCAAATAGCGAATTGGTGGCCGGCTGCTGCTGAGCCTGGTTATTGGTCCCCAGACCGCCGAAGAGACCCCCACCGGCCTGACCCGTCTGCTGTTGGGTGTTTCCGAAGAGACCTCCACCAGTCGCCGCCGGCTTCTGACCGAACAAGCCATTGCCCTGCTGTTGTGTTTGGTTGCTCGCCTGGCCGAATGGGCTAGAAGTATTGCTCTGCCCAAAAAGGCTGTTGGTGCCAGTGGTAGATTGCCCGGCGGTGTTGCCACCAAAAAGACTTCCAGCTGGCTTCGGCTGGTTACCGAACAGGCCGCCTGTCTGCGGCTGCTGCTGCTGTTGAGCCTGACCTCCAAAGGTGGAAGGAAACGCGCCGGTCTGGTTCTGCTGCTGAGTGGGGGCCGTACCAAAGAGACCAGTCCCCGTGCTGGTGCCCTGATTCTGATTTCCGAACAATCCACCACCAGTACTCGTGTTGTTGGGGGTAGCGCCAAAAGCATTCGTGCCAGTATTGCCGAATGTACCACTCGTGTTGTTGCCGAAGCTGCTTCCGAATCCAGTACCGGTGGTTTTGTTCTGGTTCTGATTGCCAAACAGACCACCGCCGGTGTTCGTAGACGGGGTGCTGCCAAATGCATTCGGAGTTGCAGTATTGCCAAAAGCCCCTCCTGTATTGTTGGAAAAAAGACCACCACTCTGGGCCGGCTGCGAGGTTGCAGTGTTGCCGAACAATCCTCCAGTCGCGGGCTTGTTCTGGTTCCCAAACAGCCCACCACCAAAGCCACCGCCGGTGTTCGTGGTGCCGGTGGTGCCGAAGGCTGTAGAGGTCTGTTGCGTGTTGTTGCTGTTGCCGAACAGGCCGCCTGTCGTATTGTTGGTCCCGAAACCCGTGTTCGAACTTGTGTTCCCGAAGCCAGTATTCCCGAAGCCAGATGTGGTGCCAAACGCGCCAGCAGCACCGCTTGGACCGTTGCCATACTGGCGACCCTGAGCGTAATCCACCAACCTCAGCTCCTCAACAGAGTACTTCTTGTACGGCTCTTGGAACAGAATGTTCTGAAACGAGTTTTGCGCGCTGCTGGTTCCCTCCTTCTCGAGGTAGGGTTGGAAGGGAGCCACCGCGGTTCCGGGAGGGTCTGGCACAGCGCCGCCGAGAGTTGAAGGGGCCGTTGAACCAAAGCCGGAGCCAGTGCTTCCAAAGGGAGTGGAGTTGTTTCCGAACAAAGTACCAGCGCCTGCGGTCGCAGTGTTCGTGGCCCCGAACGCGGGCTTGTTGGCACCAAACATCGTGTTGCCAGAGGTGCCGCCGAAGCCAGGTGTTGGAGTGTTGTTGGTGCCGAACCCACCCGTACCAAAAGCGCCTCCTCCAGTCGTAGCGGTCGTAGAGCCAAAAAGATTCCCTCCTGAAGAAGTCGTAGCGGGCGCGCCGAAAGCTGGCTTGGCACCGAAGGCGTTGTTGGACGTAGCTCCGAAGGCACCTAGATCGAGAGAAGGAATGTCAGCAAGACCGCGGCAATTGTTGGTGATATAAACATGACAGGACAGAGATGGGCTTTTCGGACTGAAAGAAGCAGGCAGCACAGTATCAACTCAAAAGGCAGGCCTTGTGCGGAGGAGTGTAGCTGCCGCATCCCAGGCATTTGTCTCGCGGCAGCCTGCGCGCCCAAGTCCCCCATTAAATCATCGCACTCGCTTTGTTCAAAGGAAAATGTATCATACCACCTGTGTTGTTGCCAAAGCCGCCGCCTGAAGAGCCACCAAAAAGGCCACCTCCAGGATTGGCATTCGTCGATCCAAACGCGGGTGTGGGAGATTGTCCGAAGGCTGGTAGTTGGTGGACGACATGTCAGCCAAGGCTGGGGTTGCCGGCGGATGTAGGCCCAGCGCGCAAGGGAGAAGACAGAGAAAAAACAGGGTGGACGACATCAAGAGGCAGCAAGCGAGATGAGTGGAGGGCGTGTGAAAAGAACATCGGGGGTGAGGGGTGATGGGACATACCGGGCGTAGTGTTGTTGGTTGCGGTGGAACCGAAGCCGCCGAAGCCGCCTGTATTCGAGGTGTTGTTTTGCTGGCCGAAGCCACCGAAGCCACCGAAAGACATGGTCGAAGATGGTCGCGCTCGCGATAGGATGTCAAGAGCTGTGGCCTAGAATGTATGCGACGGAGCGAACGGGGGGTGGTCTTCGCGATCGCAGTGGTCGCGCGCCCAACGCGTCGAGAGAGTGCGTTTCGCGCGGGGATGGCCTTGGCTATGCGATCGTTAATCGAATTGACGTTGTAGATAGAAAGCTTTGAATGGTGTCGCGTAGTTGTCACGCGCGATGTTCGAGCTTCGATTCGGCCAGGACGCAAGGCTGGTCGATGCGGTTGGATTTTTTTCTCGATTGGGGCGTTGAAGGTTACCGTGAGCCCCAACAGGCACAAAAGAATTGCCTGTTGGAAGCGGGAAAGGAACAAAAAGAAAATGCGAAACTCGCCCGGAATGAATTAAGAAAAAAAAGAATCAGCTCATGACAAAAAAGTCATTGCACAAGGATGAGGTGGAGATTAGCAGCGAGCGAAGTAAAACGGTAAGCTTCCCTCACTCTCTCACCTCTTGCTGGAAAGGTAAAGTAGGTGGTTAGGAGGCGAGCTCCTGGTAGCGGTAGGTATTTGGGGGTGGCCTTGGTGAAGGCTGGCCTGTTCCCGCTACTGGTCAGCAGGGGGCCCCACATCTGTAAGCTAAACCCTTTTTGGCCTCCTGACTAATTTACTTCACCAATCTGCCTTGCAGCCTACCGCGTGACCAATATCAAGGACATTTTGTACCCTACATTTGACTCAATCCCAAGTAATTCCAAGTTGGAAGTGACTCACTATGAACTTGCATTTCCAATCTTTTTGAACTGATTGTTCATTTGATTAACAAGACAGCTGAGTTATGGTGAAATTTAATGGAGGGGCTGGACTTCGAAGGTGGGAGTCTTGGATAAGGGCGCAGAGCAGGCAATACACATATAGAGGCTCCACACAGCGCCTACCCATTCTCAATAATGAAAAGAAGAAAAACCAAACCAAATAACGATTTAATGCTGCCTAGGGACCTCCAGTGGGATATACCGAGTCGTTTTCGTAGACAGGAATCAGGAAGATGGGACTTTCGGTCAACCAAGTCTGCGCCACCCAGAACATTTTGAGAATTGCACACCCACGTCCACGAAACCCTGTACCCAACCACACACCGTCCGCCGCGCAAAGAAACTGGAAAATGAGAATTACCAGGCCGTAGTCTAGCCTTTGCTACCTGATTCTGCTACCTGCTGCCGCAATCTTGCCCGCCTCTTGTCTAGAATTGGATCAGATCACCCTGGTTTCCTTGCTGTTGCTGAGGCCGCGTCCCGAATGGGTTGCTCGAGCTCTGCCCGAACCCACCGTTCATGCCAGACGGGCCAGAGGCTCCGTATGACACACTCGGCATGCCGGTGAACTGCTGTCGGAGGAATGGATTGTTGCCGGTTGCCTCCGCAGTAAGCCTGTTGAGACCAGCGCCCGCGCTGTTTACAAACGTTCCGGGCGCCGTGTGCTGTGCTGGGATACGAGTCTGGCCCACGTTTCCAAAGGTGTCTTGTCCTTCGCCACCTGCGAGTAGGGCATTAAGCTTGGCCTCGTGCTCGCTGAGTTCCCTCTGCGGCTGCATCGACTGCAGCTGAGGCTGAGGTTGCGACGGCGGGGGTGTGAATGAAGTTGGCTGCTGCTGCTGGAATGTCGACAAGGTCTTCTGTTCTGGCAGAGGATTAAGCACCGACAATGACGGGACCTTGTAGGGTTGTGGCCGGCTGTAGGTAGGCTGTTGCTGCTGAGCAAATGGGTTGTTCGAGCCTGTCTTCATCGGTGGCATCGCGGATAAGGCTTGGTTGTGATTGTTGTTCGTTGCCCACGGATTATTGCTTCCAGGCTGTACGGGCGATTCCGTCTGCTGAGGCTGGAGCTGCTGCTGCTGCGCATATGGGTTGTAGCCCGTGGGTTGAGGCTGGAAAGCCTGTTGCCCTTGCAGGTTCTGGCCATAAGGATCAAATCCAGTGGGCTGTTGCTGACCGAAGCCATTCGAGAAACCATTCTGCTGGAATCCCGTGGGCTGCGTACCGAAGCCAGTGTAGGCATTAGGCATATAGCCTGTGGGCTGAGGTTGCAGTTGGTTCTGATCGATAGGGTTGCCCAACCAATCCACTCCACTGCCTTGTTGGTAGCCTTGGTTCCAACCCGTCGGCTGAGGCTGCGTAGGGGTGTCATCAAACAGAGACTGGGCGTTCTGCTCTTCCAGTTGACGCCGGCGCGCTTCCTCCTCCTCCTTGCTCAGCTTGATAGCCTTGGCGATGTCGTCATCCTCGCCGCTATCCCGCCGGCCCTCGCGCTTCCTCCGGTCCTCCTCTTCTTGACGCTTGCTAGCCTCGATTGCCAACCGGTACTCGGCATCTTCATCGTCGGTGCGCTCGCGTCGGCGTCGCTGCGGGGCTTCTTGAGGGCTTGTCGGGCCGAATTCATCGAGACCTGTGACACGGGACTTCCATTTCCTCCGGTCGGTTCTTTCGCTTCGCAGGCGCTCCTCGTCCAGCAACAGGGAGGTCAACTCCTTAGCGGCCACCCGAACTGTAGAGAAATAAAAGTCAGCCCGTTGCTGCCTGCGAAACACGCGGGAAAATAGGAATGCTCACTATTCTGGCCCACATCTCTGCCCTCTTCATCGATGTACATGAACTCTCGAAGGGTCTTGATGATGTAGATGTTCTGCTTGCCCCAGGTGACGACAAGTTCGGATCCCTCGTGCAGACAGTAGTCCAGCACCTTCAGTGCCTTCAGAACATGACGCCAGTTCTTGCCCTTGTCGTTCAACCTCTTGTCCAGCATGTCCATGATCTCGTAGAACTCGGTGGACCTGTAGTGGCAACACATCGTCAGCATTCCTCGCCCTCCTTATGGACCAAGAGGTTCCGATAGATATGACATACGAGTTGTAGGTAAGTTGTGCGATCTCGGCCATCTGTGTCCCCGTTGGGCCCCATGGATCATTGCTCGTTGCTAATAACACAATTATCAGCACGCGAATTCAAGGCTCTGGGCCATTGTAGAACAAAGCATTCTTCCGGCTCCGGTTGTCGTTGACGTACCCTCGCGCACCTTCACCTGGACGCTTGAATACCCCTTGGTGACATTTTTGACGCTCCTCACTATTTTTGACATATCTGCAACTGCGATAGGGAATCGGTTCGGAGTGGACGTTGATTTTCTTTCGTTCAGGTAGCGATCGGATGGTCCAACAACCAGTCACTGCTGGAAGCAGTCAGGCGATAGGAGAGAGATAGCGGGCGTCGTCGCAGACGGAGGGGCCGGGAAAGTGAGCTGAGGTAGCGTTGCGTAATGGGCTGGGCGTTTCGCGTATCCAGTGACTTCTCTGATGCGTGCTCGGCCGCAGTAGTATGGATGCGCCGATGCTTCTCCGGTGCCTCAGGTCTCCTTTCGCCTTCGATGAGCGATGACGCAGTTGTCCTAATATCTTCACGAGGGCAGCTGGAACGAGCGATCGATGACTTGGATCGGTTTCATGCGTAGGGAAGTGAGGACGTCGAAGTTTGATGAGGAAAAAGAGGGAGGGGGGGTGGTAAAGAATGCGACGCTCGCGTTAGGGGGTTTAGCGGGAGGGTCTAAATAAATCAATCAATCAATCGATGGCTGTGGCGGAGGCGCTGGGCGGAGAGAAGTACTGCTTGGGCTGCTGGGCGGGAAATTGGAGATCTTTGGTTCGCTGCCCCAGAAAGACAAGGTCCTGGAATTACCGCAGCTTGAGAGGTCACTTTCGGTTGCTGATCGCTGATTGCTTTTGCTGGTATCCGCAAAACTCCTTACACACGAGTGCAGAAAAAAGGAGAGGTCAGCCCTACCTAAGATTGAGGTTTATCTGTTGTCTATGCTTTGTCTAGAGGACGAGAAGAGTTCAATGTACGCACAGTTCAAGGCAGCGGTGGGCGAGCGAGACGATGCGAGGATGCTCAAGAGGTCAAACAAACAGGGCATTGAATCACACGAGTAGTTGACGAGGCCCAGGCCCTGTGTCGCCCAGCCTTGGAAGGAAGTCAGGTTAGGTTGGTGGAGCAGAATTAGCGCGCGCCGGGCTGGAGGACCCGTAACTTTCTCCAAGATTGACATCATCCCAAGACTTTCTGCTCCCTGAAACGACGTTGCGCTGGCTGTCATTTTCAATGCTTAATGCCCTGAAAGTACAACCTTAAAAAGCCTGGTCGTCGTCTCTGCAACGTAGAACGGTTTGATCCCGCGAAGTCCAGCTGGGGCGACCAGTTGCCATACTGTACTCCCATGCCATCTCACATTGCCTGAGGCCAGTGGTTCCTGGGTCATGAAAAGCTCAAGTCACTCACGAAACACCCACATTGGAACATCTTGATTTCCTTGTCTCTTTCAAGACATGTGTGGTATTATAAGACATTCAAAAGATATGAAGCCTTGAGGCATCCCTTTTGAGCTCTAACCGCATGATTGACGGTGGGGTCTCCTTACGCGACTATCTGCTCTTCCTCGCATGCTGAGGTTGTACTGTTACTGCATGCTAACAAATGATGCCTGACGCCTTGCTTTCAAAATTTCTACACGAATAATGAGAAGAGAACCCGCCAATCCACCTGTGTGAGATAGATCGTTCGTCCGTGGCAGCCAAAGCCATGCTGCGCCGTCCTTCACGTCTCTACTGCTTCGGCATCCTGCATGACAGTGTCCCCGTCAGCATCATCCGCACTCCTGCTGCTCCTGGCAGATGACCTGCCTGTGCCGTTGACCTTGACATGGCTCGCCTCCTCGGACACAGCAGGCTCCTCTCCATCTTGCATGGTGTCAGTATCGCCGTTCTCCACCAGTCCGGAGCCCGCCCCCTTGGGTTCTACCGCCGTACGCTGTCGCTCCAGCCACGCTGGGGGAAGACCAGGACCACTATCCGCGTTTCCGTAATCACTCTTCTTGGTGCCCTTGGGCCATCGTCCGGGGCCACGACCGGTGCCTCCTGGTTTCCGACTGCGGGAACTGCTACTCCGAGCCTTCGGTTTCGGAGGCTGACGAGTGGCCGAGCGTCTGGCATTGAGTCGCGATGCACTGCTTATCCGAGATACTGCAGGTCGGGGAGTTGCAGGTGGGCGATTTCCAGGCCGCCTGCCACCGTGGAGGGGAGGATAGACCGTAAAGCGTGTTGGCGGGATGTCTTTGTATGGTGACATCCATGAGTTCTCTTTGTCTTCCTCCATGTCGGCTTTTGATGACTCCTGTGAAGGCTCACCCTCAACACAGCCTCTGTTCTCGGATGGCCGCTCAGTTTCCTTGGTTTCTGGGACATTTGCCGCGGACTTTACCTCAGCGCTGGCATCTGCGTCTTCAGCAGCTTCCATGGATGCGGGCGCATCCTCGACTGCAATGTCCTCGACGCCTGTCTCGTTCGGTTCAGTTGACTCAAGGACGGTGGTTTCTGCATCTGCCTCCGCATCCGCGTCCGCGACCTCATCTGCCCCTGCTTCCTCCTCAGATTTGAGGGCAACTCCATTCGCTTCAACCGGGACTTGCACAGTCTGGCCGTTTTCCCTCACAACTTCAGCGATCACCACGTCCGTAGCCTTCTGCTCTTCGTCCTCTTCCCTAGGAGCGATAGCGTGCATGGCTGGCGCGAGCTCGAAGTTGGTGGCGTTGCTGCGACCCATAACATACGGTGTCCAAGTGAGCGCGGCTGGGTCCAGCTGAACATAATTCTTGGCTTCCCATTTCGCGACGTACTGCCTGGAGAACTCAACGTCGACGCGGAATGCATAGAGTTGCGTATGCGGGTCTCGAACAAGACATCTAAGGCCTTCCAAGGCTGAGATGACATCGTCGGCGGTCATGCCCGTGTCGTCAGAGATTTGCTTGATGCTGAGGCCTCTCTTCTCGTGCCTGTCCTCGGGCACGCGGCTGAGTAGATAGCGGCACATGACCAAGCGCCAGTAGTTTCGATACGACACGAGACCCATGTCAGATAGTGGCTTCTCTGGTGATCCGCATTTCTTTTCAACCCTAGTAAGGAGATAGGAAAAGTCGATCAAGAGGTTGCCATAGCCTTTCCGCTGGTGTATGGGGAGTGTCAGAATACAGGAGACGTTGTTCTGGCTGCTGGCTCTTTTCTCCTTGGAGAAATAGCCGACAAAGTGGTATCCAAGGTCGTTGTACTCGCACAGTACGTAGAACAAGAAGGGCTCCACATCGTAGTAGAGGGTTTTGGAGCCCAGAAACAGCTTCGCCAGCAGACACAGGTTCTGACAATAGACAGGATTCTTGCGGCCGTCCACTTCGAAGACTGAGATAGATCCACTCCGGTATATCTCGTCCCCAGGAGGGTGCTTGGCCGGACACTTGAGCTTGTGCCGCCAAGCCACATAGTCCGAATTCATGTACTTCAGGCAGAACTCACAGATAAAGAGCACGCGATTCCGGCTATACTCTTCAGGATACGGGGCCGCGTACCAAGTATCGATCTCCCAGCCACCAAATTCGATACACTCGATCTGACTGGCTGGGCCTGCTGACTTTTTAGATTTGCGAACTGGAGCCTCGGCCTCGGCCTGCATTTGCAAGAGCCTTTCCTTCCAGTCCTCTTCAGCCTTCTGCTTAGCCTCATCGAATCGGCGGCGGTCCTCGGTGATGGGCAGCGTCTTGGATGTGTCAGCTTCAGCCTCGGTGAGGATACCACCATAAGGCTTGCCCTTATCGTCCATATCCTTGTCGAAGAAGGAGTAAAAAGGCTGTGACATGCTGGACGCAAATGGCGCGAGGGGAGGCGTCGCTGTGGGCCTGCCACCGCGTGAGCTGCCTGCTCTTGCTGGCCTGCCTGCTGGGCGTCGTCCACCGCGCTTTTGTGGCTTGGGCCCTTTCGACAAGATCTTCTTGAGCTCGTCTGGTTCAACGCGAAATTTGATAATGAGCTTCGAACGTGTCTTCTTAACGATGGCAACGGGCTTGTTTGTCTTGTTCGTTGGTATCTTCAGACGTAAAGATCGTGCTGACCGTGGTCGACCTTCCTCGTCAGCACCAGTCGTGGCTACCATTCCGTCAATGCTCTGACTGTCCCCTGAGCCTTTTCGTCGCTTTCGAAGATTAGTGATAAATTCTTCATCCGCGATAGATGATGTCTTGCGCTTTCTAAGCACACGAGACCCATCCATAGGGTCGTCATCTAGCACGAGTTGGTTGAAAACTGAGTGAGAATCTGGCTTGACCGCCCCTCTTTGGGATGGCAGCAAGTCCCGTGCAAGTTTAGGTGCCGTCGATCTCCTGGTCGCCGGTGGTGAGTCGACATTGGCAGCGGCATTCCGGTCACGACCATCTTCACGTTCACTTTCAACCCCTTCTTCGTCTTCATCTTCTGCCTCTGAGACCTCTGCGCATTCGGGGCACGTCCATGACTTATTGCCTAATGCAATGATTAGCATCTGACTTCTTTCTCCCGTATCAGAGTTCGTGGCTTACTGTGCTTCCCAATCAAAGCTTTCCTTTCGCGGGCGCATTGTTGGTGGGCTACATGCATGTCAGTAGGTCAACATTAAGAGTGAAATCATCCTAACAAACCACTCACCACTTTCACCACACCCCGAGCAAGTCAGGAAGGGCACGAACTCTTCGTGTGGATCATTCTCCTCATCTTGCTTGCAGAACGTGCAGAGCGCAGCAGGTTCGGCTTCCGAATCGTCCTCTTCGTCTTCATTTTCGGCGGCCTCGGCCCAGTCCTCTCCTCCGTCCGTGGATGCGTCACTCTCGGCATGAAATGACTCGCCTTCGCTGGCTTCGCTTTCTTCCTCATCATCAGTCTCGCCCGGCCTGAGTTTGACAGCGCCGACGCCCTCTTCTTCATCGTCTCCTTCTTCCTCATCACCCGCGCTCTCCTCGGGTACCTCTTTCCCTCCGCCAGCCACCTGCTGTACCTCATCGTCTGACTCGCCTTCGGCGTCCACGTAATTGTCTTCATCTTCTGCTTCGGCGTCCTCGTCACTACCGTCCGCATCGGAGATATCAACACTCTCAACCCCCTGCTCCTCGTCCTGCTCCTGCTCCTCCTGCTCCCCATCCTGCTCTTCGTCCTGCTCTTCGTCCTGCTGTTCCTCCTGCTCCTCCTCCTGATCCTCTGTCTCAACCTCTTCCCCCTCGGCATCTAGGTCTTCCTCACCCTCCGCATCTTCGTCGCCGTGCGCATCAATGTATTCTTCGCCCATTGCATCGACGTCTTCTTCTTCGCCCGGTGCGTCCTCGTCGGAGTCGTAGCTGGTAGTATCATGGCTCTCGCGGACGCTCTGCTGGAGCTCTTCCTCCATAAGCTGCTGCGCACTGGTCAGCGCACCCATCTTGGGCATGCCCGCCGGCTGATCCAGCGACAGCGCGCCGTTTGTGACAACCAGGCTTCGGTGGCTAGCGTCGTTGGCAGCTGCCCTCTTGCGCCGCTCTGTTTTCAGAGACAGAGAGACATGGGCACCGCGCCCTGCTTCATTTCTAGTGATTGGCTTGTTACGTACGCCTTCGGAGATCGGAATAGAGCTCGTTTATTGTGATATGGGATGGATTTGCGACGATTTGTCGCTCCTGCGCGCATGGGTGGGGGCTTCTCGGCTGCAGGGGAAACGCGCGGTAGCAGACGCGCTCCTGGAAGAAAGGCTGGTCCGGCGCAGGGCAGATGAAGCAAATGAGGTGGTCTTTGAGGATTTCGACGCGTAGAATCAATGCAACTGTGATGTATTCATCAAATTTGAGCAGTCATTGTGCTGGTTTCGCCATAGGGAGGAGGCGCGCTGTTCGGACTAGGAGATCATGCATTGGCCAGGGTTAGAGCTCCCCCGGATTGCTTATATAATCACACTGTCCACCGTTGCCGGCCCCAAGCGGACTGGTTCTGACTTCACCCAGGATCACAATCACAACCTCAAGGACAATCCAAGTGTGACAATTGAAGCCACCCACCCAACCAAGAAGGCAAGCCTATACCAAGAGACCTTTGACTTGATTGCCATGCTAATTGATATTGATCAGACGTCCAATCGACTACGAGACAACCATGCCTGTCCCCTTCGAAACCTTCCTTCCATATGCCATCGTCTTCACGGTGTGTGAAGCCCGAGCTCCTCTGCCCCCCTCCAACTTCTGCTAAGACGAGACACAGATGTTTGGCGTCACTGGCGCCGGACTATCGAATATCAAATACTATGCAAATGGAAAAAAGAGGGCCAGGCGATCGCTGGACCAGTGGGACAGAGTGCGTACACCATCTCCTGACATGCCGCTCCCCGCCCTGACGATTCGCTGACTTTCTTCGCAGCAAAGTACGATGACACAGGACCACTCGCCTCCTTGATCAGACATGATTGTCTCTCTCTAGCTGACTGACTATGTTGTACTGATGCTTTGAGCTGCAGTGATGGACCGCGACCGAAGACTCACTGGTGAAATACGAGGACAATCGGACACGCCGATAGCGCCGCCGGGCTACGAGTTGAACAACCCTTGGAGGGTACGTGATCAACCTTCTTTCTAATATCATCTGAAGCTGACACCTTTGTGTGCAGGTGGAGAAGCGAGTCTGCTAGACATCTTGCTGCATGAAATCTCAACGGAGACGAGGCTAGGGTGAAGGTGCGATTGATGTACGCACTTGAAAAGGTTCGAGGAGATTGGTCACGGTGTCACGGTGTCGCAGAAAGAAGGGCTATTTGGGGCCAGAGAGGCATCTCTTTTTTGTTTTATCCACTTCAGCAACTCAAATACCATCAACAGTAAACATATGACCGACTGCAGCATGGCTATAGTTGTATTTGTGGTCTGTTTTTATTCAACCCCTCTAACAGCATGCATGCCTGGCACATTGCCTGACTTGACATGTAGCCGCATTTCTCGCATTTCCCCTTCACCTGCTTAGTGATCGCCTTCTTTCCTCCCGGCTTTCCGTTGTGAGTTGACAGGCTCTGGCCATCCTTCGTTCGTGGCCTCAGAGGAACAGCAGTAGTGACATCGATCTCAAGATTCTTGGCAGTATCATTGCCTCTCAGCTGGGCCTCCATGACCGACATCTCATTGCCCGAAGTCCGGCCATTTGCAGATCCGCATCCGCCGATATCTTCCTCTTCCAGGACCGCGTCGACTGGAGCCGACTTGACCTTGCATGCGCAGTTGTCGGGCTGTTTTCCCGGCACCAACCTGGCCATATCCTCTCCGCTGCGTACGATATCCAGGATAGCGCTTGGGCGGACTCTTTCCAGGTTCTTGATAAGACTTCGTGCACTCCCACGGAATGCTTCCGGGCTGTAGATGCACTCAGTACTGAAATAATCCAGCTTCTTGTGATGTGCATACAACACAATCTCTTTTTCATACGAGTATTTCAAGGGCTTGCTCCGCTTGACGTCCGAATTCGAGTCGCCAGTGATGATACTGGTAGCCCGGGACAGCCGGGGCAGGTCTCCTCTCAACAAATTCATGAGGACCGTCTCTGCCACATCGTCCGCGTTGTGACCCGTGACAACATGCTTGATCCCCAGCATCTTCGAGCCTCGATCAAGAGCCTGTCGTCGGAAGACACCACAGTATGTACAGTTGCCCTTCTTTCCGATTGTGTCAACCACCTGGTCCATCGTCCAACCGTAGAGCTCGTCGTAGCCCACGATCTTTAGAGGCATGTCGTACTGTACTGCATTACGCTTAACTGTCTCCAGGGAGTCGTCCCGATAGCCCTTGATCCCCTCGTCTATACTCAATAACATCAAGTCTAGGCCATAGTTGTGTCGGTCGTTCAGAGTTTTCAGGACAGACGCCAAGACTGTCGAGTCCTTACCACCAGAGGCTCCGATGGCGACTTGTTCTCCAGGATAGAACAAGTTGGATGCGATGATGGTGTGGTGGACTTCTTCCTCAAATATTCGTATGAAGCACGTCTTACAGAGCTTCTGATGATTTTTTGGCCGTTTGATAACGGCCCGTTCTGTCTGGCACACAACGCAGGGCGTTGGAGGCATCCTGCAGATTCCTCAAACGCTGACAATAAAGGTGTTGGTCCGGGCCGGGGGGGGGGGGGATTTGTTGAAGCCTCCCGCTTTCGAGAGGACGCCCAAGTGCCGCTTCAATGTTGCCTTTGGCCCCACCAGCAAGCGCCCAGCTCACAGGAAGACCCTGGTATTTTGGCCTTTGTATCACCTCCCTACAACTTGCGCGATGTCGAAACAGACTTATGTCGGTTGTCAAGAGTAAGCGGCGGAGTTAAATTGTATCAAAGCGATCTTGTAGGCCAAGTGAAGAGCCTGACATACCTGCAGTCTTGAGGAGCGAGTTCTACCCTCTAGTCTTGGATTCGGGGTATCACGTGGATGAAGCTCGGGCCACTCGCGCTAGCTATCAAACGACTAGCGCGAAATTTGCTAGCCCACCGATTCTCAAAATCTCGACCGCGGGCCCGCGAGTTTTTCTGAAGATTTTCCTCCTTCGCCAGCCAACTGCTTCTCTCAAGGGTCAACGACAAGCAATCGCCCAACCAACAACCTGTCAAAATGGTAAGCATCTGATCGAACCGCCTACTATGATGGCATCTCGCATTGTGCGATGATGTTCATCGCCCATTGAGCAAACAGTGCTCTCGTCTTCAACGACCGAGATGCATTTTCCGCCCGTTTGTGACCTTGCGGCACACGGGTGATGATCTACCTGGCTTGAGCTTCAGCAGCGCTGGCAGAAATGTCGCCTGCTGGGCTCTCTAGAGTTCAAGAAAGACCACCAGTCAATGAACCACATTTGCTGATGTCTTTTCTTCCTCAATGACAGCCTCCCAAGTCCGGTAAGAAGGCGGCCCCCGCGCCCTTCCCCCAGTCCAAGGCTGGCAAGAAGGCCCCCAAGGTACGTTGAGAATTCCTCCCTTACTCCTCATCAACCAAAACCCTCGATCGAATGCTAAGACAAATACGTTGGCAGAACCCTCTCATCGAGAAGCGTCCCCGCAACTTCGGTATCGGCCAGGACATCCAGCCCAAGCGCAATGTCTCCCGCATGGTGAAGTGGCCCGAGTATGTCCGCCTCCAGCGCCAAAAGAAGATCCTCAACATGCGCCTCAAGGTGCCTCCTGCGATCGCCCAGTTCCAGCAGGTCCTCGACAAGAACACCGCTGCCCAGGCTTTCAAGCTCCTCAACAAGTACCGCCCTGAGACCAAGACGGAGAAGAAGGAGCGTCTGCTGAAGGAGGCCACCGCCATCAAGGAGGGCAAGAAGAAGGAGGATGTCTCCAAGAAGCCCTACGCCGCCAAGTACGGTCTCAACCACGTCGTTGGCCTGATCGAGAACAAGAAGGCTTCCCTGGTCCTCATCCCCAACGATGTTGACCCCATTGAGCTGGTCATCTTCCTGCCTGCTCTCTGCCGCAAGATGGGTGTCCCCTACGCCATCGTCAAGGGCAAGGCTCGTCTGGGCACTGTCGTCCACAAGAAGGTAAGCTGCAGATTTCCAAGTGAAAAGGGTCCCAACTTCTGAAACACCGCTGACATGATCTTCCCCTCTAGACCGCCGCTGTTCTGGCCATCACCGAGGTTCGCTCCGAGGACAAGAGCGAGCTGTCCAAGCTCGTCTCTGCCATCAAGGACGGCTACATGGCCAACACCGAGAACTCCCGCCGCCAGTGGGGTGGTGGTATCATGGGTGACAAGGCCAACAAGCGCACGGAGAAGAAGAGGAAGGCTCTCGAGTCTGCCATCAAGGTCTAAGCATCTTGCGCGAGGTCTGGTTTCATTCAATGGGATAGCATGGTTGGCCCAGGGTTCTCACCTTTTTTTTTTTTGTGTGATGGTCACGGCGTACGGGAAAATACCAAAACGGTTATGGATGACACAATGGAAACTGCTTGATCTGGACAACATTCTCGGTCGCATTTGTATTGTGTGACATTGCCGCCGAGTAGCCAGGCCCACTCATGAATACGACTCTCGAGATGAAAAGGATACCATCCGTCCGCCCGTACGTGAACGTCGTAAGCCATATTCAAGGTGGTGTTATGTCTCTGCATATTCATGCTCAAATGTTGTGCAACACTGTCTAGTGACATTGCGCCCAACTAGCTCTCCCCACCAGTGTGGTTCTCCTATGGGGACTTCTGCTCGCGCAGTCTCGCGCGCCGAGCAAAGATCTCGTAGTAAGTGTAAGCTACCAACCATTTAGTACTTAGTCTCCATGATATTGAGGGGACATGCAAAACAGACCCGGATTCAGGCAGGGGGATCTTCCGCTGGGTGCCAGGGCCTGGGCGATGGCGATCTCGCATTTGAAGGCATGGCAATTCCTGGGGTTCCAACAATAGCTAGTATCTCAAATCTTTGGGACCACGCTATATGTGCCACACCGTGTCCCCTGGTGACAACATCCTTATCGGGTTTGAAGGGGTTTCAGGCCAGATCCGTGTTGGATCTTGATCCTGGGGGACCTTCTTGATTCTGTAGGGGGGAGTTTCTTCTTCTTCTTCTTCTTCTTCTTCTTCTTCTTCTTCTTCTTTTCCCCAAATATAAATAAGTTTCATGACCATCCCAAGTATCTTTCAGGCTCTTGCGAACATGTTCCTGGTGGCTGCTTCTGATGAACGACCGCCAACCATCCATTCATCCGTCCTTCCCATGCACACTTCACTCCCCTAAGTGTTCTGTTCCAACGCACGGCGACAAACGAGGTGGTCCTCAACCCACTTACCCAACCCACCTGAACCCCATAATCTACAAGCAGCTCGCGTTTTGTCAGGGACCATTATCGCGCACCGAAAGCTCGGGTATTGTTTGTTTCTCAGGTTCGTATGGGCCAGTCTGTCCCTTTCCGCCTTCTCTCGGCACTGAGCAATACGGCGAAGGTTCTAACTTGACCAGACAGTTCGAATATATTCTTAATGCTTCAGGAATCCAACAGAAGAACATAACAATAACAACAACACATTCACCACCATCACTATCACCACCAAGATCAGTCATCATAATTGACACTTCCAGCCCTGCGCTCGCGTCCGCTTATCAATTATCACCCTCGACATATAGCCCAGGGGAACTCACCGAACATCGTCACCGCTTACTCGGCCTCGGCACCGGCTGCATATCGGCAGGAATCCGATACCTTGCACAACGGGGGGTCCACAACAGCTTGTTTGGTGCTGTTGTCTAGCACCGCGCTCGCCCTGAGCTACGAGGGTCAGGAGGGGCGCCTTGGTGCTCTATCCAGAACCGTTTTACGACCAGTACTGCTACCTCATATAGCTCTATCTCTCCCTCCCTCTCTGTCTTGCTCTCTCTCTCTCCCGCTCTCGGTCCTCTCATGCCCAGACCGCCGAGCCTTTTTGATGATTGAGAAAGCGCACGGGTGAATCGAAATTTCCCTTGGCCCGACTCTGATACAAGCCCGAGACTCGAGATGGCACACAATCGTAAGTACACAAGCTTATATGCATAACCACGGAAGCCCGCCCCAATGCCGAGTCCTCGGGTGATGTATCAGACCATTTTCATTTTGGTCTCATCCTCCCCTCTCTCTCTCTCTCAACCTCAAAGAGACAAACGAGAGAGGGGAAGAGAGAAGGAGGAGGAAAATAAGATCATACTGTTAAAGTGGTCAGCCAACCTCTTTGTCATTTAACTCTGTTGTCAAGCGCAGGAATTCCACCTGTTCTTGTGTTCCCAAGTTCATGTATAACACCGAGCCGCTGTCATGGCGCATACTTTACTGACCGAGTCCATCTCCACCACAGAGGACAGCTACCAATATGCGCTGAGCTCCAACGGCGCCTGGGCGGGCTATAAAGCCCACCAGAACCCAGAGTTCTTCTCGAAGCTTGCTAGCGGCCAATCACCGCAGATCCGTAAGTAGTCGCTTGTCTCAGCCCGCCCCGCCTCTCTTCCCGTGTGCCTTGGTGGGCTTTGCTGCCGTCAGAGGAAGCGAGCCTTGAGCCACAGCGGGTTCATGTGGTGCCCGCTTTTCCTTTAGTCCCGTCACAAAGACAAGAAAGCAACCCCCCCCCCCCCAGAGAAGTAAAAAGAAAGAAAGGAAAGAAGGTACCTGTTCTGATCTGACGTTTTCTCCCTCTACCTACATACATAACAGTCTGGCTCGGGTGTTCCGATTCCCGCTGCCCCGAGACGACAATCCTCGGGCTACAGCCGGGCGACGTGTTCGTGCACCGTAACATCGCCAACATCATCTCGGCCACCGACATCAACACGTCGGCAGTGATTGAGTACGCCGTGGCGCACCTCAAGGTCCGACACATTGTGCTCTGCGGTCACTCTGCGTGCGGCGGGGCGGCGGCGGCACTGTCGGACGCACGCGTGGGCGGCGTGCTCGACACATGGCTCACGCCCCTCAAGGCGGCTCGGTTCGCCCACGCGCAGGAACTGGCTGAGATCAAGGACGAAAAGGAGCGGCTGGTTCGCATCGCAGAGCTGAACGTCGAGGCCGGGGTCAAGGTGCTGCTGGCCAACTTCACGGTGCAGGAGGCGATCCGGGACCGCGGGCTCGAGGTGCACGGGTGTCTTTACGACCTCGCGTCGGGGCGGATCCGCGACCTGGGGTTTGGCAACGCCAAGGCCAAGGTGAACGGGCAGAGGATGCCGGGTCAGAACGATATCATCAGGGGCAAGCATGCCACACTGGTCTTTAGGAACAGTGGCGCCTCCATGACTGGCCAATGAGGGGCCTCCTGAGGCGTGGTTATTGGGTTGCTGAGTATCTTGCCTTTTGTTAGGTATGAAGAAAAAGAGGTGGGTGGAATGCAAGACAAGGTCGATTTTTTTTTCTCCTCTGAATAGCGGGAGGGTTTGATTTGTCTTAAAAGGAAGGGCTTACAGACGTGTTGTTGCCTTGGTTTCTGTTGAGGGTTTTTCTCTTGCCTTTGATGAGCAGCAGCGAGCTTTTTTGTTTTTGTGTTTTTGTTTTTCCTTGCTTTTGGAAATCAGAGCAACATAAGAGAAGATTTCTCCCAATGGCAAAGCAATTCATCATACCAACTCTGTTTTCATTCCCACAGGCAAACGACGTTCTTTGTGCTTTGTCATGTCGCTAGGCTGTGATGATGAGAACCCTGTCCTTGAACATTCTTCGAAGACCCCGCAACCGTCCAATGATATGGTATGCCTCTCCTCACTTACATCCACTGCGCTTGGGAATTTACCATGACCAAACCGTTCAACACCGAATTACCACACCTTCCTGAGCTCGACTTATTGACAAGACTATCGTGAGTGTACTTCCAAATTCGGGCGAAAGTAGGGCTGAGTAACGTATGCAAAGGAACTTAACTCACTGCATTAAGTATGTGTGGTTTTCTTGGGAAAGCTCCACTGTGTTAACTTGGCGTGCCCGCAGTAAATTCTTGGACTGTCGTCCCTTACCAACGGCGACTTCGGCGGAAACGCAACGGAGGCAAGAAATCACACTACTCCCCCCCCTCCTTCTCCCTCGTCGGCTGGTGATAAACTACTGACGCTCATTTGTTTCCTGACAGCGTTTGTCTTGTCCCATTCGCAGTCGTAAGCTGTACTGGTATCGATTTATTCAACCTGATGAGTCGAGGATATCATCATCATTGTCATTTCCAGTCCATCGATCGCACTCCTCCTAGGTGCGAGGAGAGAGTTGGTCTAGATCTGATCAAATCCGGCCATATCAGATTGAGCCAGATCAGACGACAGCTTTTTCATGTTTTGGATTACTGACTCAAAACAGTGAGCCTTCAGGATGTCGTCGCTTTCAGTCCTTACGGACGAGCAGATCAAGGAGCTGCTCGAGTCCATGACCGTAGATGAGCTCGAGGCCTTCTACATGGACCTGAGGGGGGCGCTCCACGACTACTCGGTCGGGTCACAGCCTGACGAGGAGGATGCAGACATCCACCAGCCTCACCGCACAACCATCAACTCCTCCAGAACAGGCGCGACGTCCCTATTCATGCCCTCCAGCAGCCCAGCCGGCCTCGGCGTCAAGGTCATCACCCTCTCACCACCCCCAAAGACGACAACAACAACAACAACAACAACAGAAAATGAAGCCTTGAGCAGCAAGCCAAAGATCAAACCTACCGGTGCCATCACCTTGTTCGCCTCCACAGGTCAGCCGGTGGGTATCCTGCACGCCAGCACGCTCACGGCCTTCCGCACTGCTCTCGCCTCGGCATGCCTCGTGATCAAGCGCAATAGGGTCCATACCATCACTGCCTTTGGCAGCGGCGAGCAGGCCTACTGGCACATCCGGCTCGCCCTGATGCTCCGCGGCGACACCATCCGGCACGTCAACATCATCAACCGGACCTTCTCCGAGGGCGCCAAGAATATTCTCAAGCGCTTCTACGTCGTCCCCACCGACGTCAAGAAGCGTGAGGGCTGGGCCGACGCCGAATTTGGCATGCTGACCCCAGGCTACGGCGAGTATGCCCGCCTCCTGCGTGATCAGGTCAGGGCAGCCGATGTCATCTTCTGCTGCACGCCGAGCCAGGAGCCCCTCTTTCAGCACTCGATCCTGACCAGCGGCGAGGGGCGGAGAAAGGGGCGGCTGATCGTGGCCATCGGGAGCTATACGCCTGATATGATCGAGCTGCCGCTGGAGGTGGTGCACCAGGCGGTCAAGACGCATGAGCATGGCCATCGACACTTTCATAAACATGCTGTGGAGGGAGGTGTGGTGGTCGTGGACACCCTTGATGGTGCCTTGAAGGAGGCGGGAGAAGTCATCCAAGGCGAGCTGAGCCCAAATCAGCTCATTGAGTGAGTGAAAACAAGACCTCCTATCAGGTCTCCCCCCCCCCCCCTTCTTTTCTTCTCATAACATTCTCTCTCTATTTTTGAGATCTCGAAGGACTGTCCGCTGAGTTGCTGACATGAAAACAATGATATAGGCTGGGCGAGCTCGTCATGCTGCACAGAATCAAGATGGACGAGGAGTCCTCTTCAGATACAGGGAGCTACATGTCCAGCGAGGGCAGCAGCGCGCCCACCTCGGAGTTCGACAAGCTCGATCTCAGCTCGGGCCCATCCATGTCAACCATCTTCAGCTCCTCCTCCACAGAAAACGGCGGCAGCAACAGTCAGCCCGGTAGTCGGCCGTCCTCGCCATCCCGCAGCAGCAGCCGCCAGCTCTTTCACCGGCGGAGGTCGAGCCACCGCTCGGCAGAGCAGCAGCAGAAGAAAAAGAAGGATCGGGAGGACCACATGTGCAGGTGGCTGCAGGGAGGAAATGTCATCTACAAGAGCGTAGGGCTTGGTCTTATGGATCTCACGGTGGGCCTCAGGGTGATTGAGTTTGCGAAGCAGAAAGGGGTTGGCACCCATGTAGACGGGTTCTAGGGGAACCCGCCGTCGTCGTCGCCACCGCCGTTGCTGCCCAGACTCATGTCTGACTTTCTAGTACCCATTGAAAGGTCAGAGGGAACTCTCCATGGCCCTCGAAAGTAGAATTATCTGCGACGCAACAATGAAGGTCTGCTCAGGCAGATCCCTACTCCCCATCCGAGTAGTACTGCCATCTTCTTTTTAGGGAGATTTTACCCCGTACGGGTGTATATCGTACATGACAGGACACCAAATCAGCTTCAGGACCCATCCCATTACCTGTATCCAAGATATCCGTTCACGGCACGTCAACCTCGTCCACTCTATTGTCCTCTCCCATCTTCTTGTCTTCTTCCTCCACCTCCCTCCTCCTCTTATCCCAAAACCCCTTCCCATAACTCACCAAGATCTCCTGCCCCTTCCCGATCCCCCCTCCCTTCCCTTTCATTTTTTTGCTCGCCGGCAACACAAAGACCCCCATCCCCCTCTCCCCCCTACGAGCATCCCACAGCTCACAAAACTCAGCATTCGGCCTCACCGCCCCAGGCACCCCGCGATAATCATTGGCAAATCGCGCTTCATTGCCCATCCTCGCCGCATCAACAGCGACACCCTCGTTGTCGTCGTCCTTCCCCTCCTCTCCACTGCGGCGATCGGTCAGCCAGAGATCGTAGTCCGACGCCGTGTGCGCCGGGTCATCGGACATGTGGATCTCGCCCAGATACGGCAGGATGAAGCAGCCTGGGCTCAAGGCGCGCGTGGCGAAGAGACCGGCCTGGTTGAAGGCTGGGTGGTGGGGGTCTGTGATGGGCGTGATTTTCACGTTGGGGGACGGGCCTGGCTTGTGGCTGAGGGGCACCTCGCGGAGGTCTGGGTTGTTAATGCTAGTGGGCCTGGAGCGCAGAGACCGGAGTTGGGTTTTGGTGAGGGCTGAGGCGTACGAGGGGGAGGTTAGGTAGGGTAGGTGGGCGGGCCAGTTCTTGGGGGCGGGCCGGTTTTTGGCGGCGGGCATCTTTTTTTTTTTTTTTGCCCTTCTTATTCCTTCCTTCTAATTTCCCTCTGTTTAGCTGCTGTGGTCTAACTATTGCGCAAGGGCTTGCGAGGCTCACTGCCTTTGTGATTCGTTGAAGCTGGGCGTGGCACAAGAAAAGCAGGCCTGGTGAGATTTTGTTGAGAGTGGAAGTTGCATGTACCAAGCCTTGGATGGGCGGGAAAGTGCACCTTTGCCTGTGCCCTGTGACTCCGCACAAGCGGGGAAAGAGGATACTTCAAGTGATTTCGAACGATTTTTAAAGAAGGAGCAGCCAGAAAGAAAAAATACAAATACTTAATGAAACCAAAATCAATCCCGAGTTGAAGAATTACTGCGAGGTTAGTGTTGTCAGGAGAAACTCGGGTCTGCACAGATCGATCCAGTGATAATATTGCATCAGGTCGATCGGGCGTGCAATACCTAATAATTCCTTCGGACGTCATCTTCTTCCTTCGAGACAGTACACCTGGCGCAGTGTTATACAACCTGTAGCACCGAAATAAAAGACCTGTTCCTTGGGCATCAACGGACAGGCATGACTCTCTGGTTGAGCCTCGAACTACGTGCTAACCATACGTGAGGATGCTCGTTTGTGGACTGCCAGCATGACTAACAGAACTCTTAGGTATGATCGAATTTCTTATTCTTCTCGGTATAAAACAAGCTCAGTCGGAGCCAGCCGGAAGAAGAACACTGACGATGAGTTGTGACAAGTACAAGAAACACAGCCCTGTGGATGTCGTTGATCCCAGACAACTTTGGCCACGCCTCAAAAAGCCTGCCCTATTGGAGTACCTGGTGGACTCCCCCTTCTCATGTGCCTGCGATAGTCGAAGTCATGCCAGCCATCCCTCAGCGGGTCCTGATATCCGGCTGTCCACTGTTGCCTGTACCCCATTGCCCACTGCTGGTGATAGCTTTGCGCCCACTCGTCGTCTTCACGCATATGCAGTCCTACATTACCACTTCTCTTTGAATGGCCGTAGTAGACCTGATCATGTCCCATGACCGGCAACTTGAAACTGTCCCTCGACTGGACAGTCTGCAATCGCCGCGGCTGTGTCGGGATCCGGGGTCCTAGGAACGAACGTGCCGCTGTGAAGTTGCGAGCCGGAACTTGCGGGAGGCGGCGTTCCTCATTTGATCCGGGATCCCTCTCTGAGCTGGTGTTGGCCCGCTTGAACTGCACGCTGGCTGTTGAAGACGACCTTGTAGTGGACCTGTCATGGACATGCAGACGGCCTTTTCGCACGCTGACAACCCAGGAAACAGATCTCTCCCATGCACCCGCGAAGAGATCAGATAATGCCGGCATGCAATTGTATATGACACTCATATCGGTCCAAAACAGCAATATTAGCGGTTTATGCTAGTTTTCGGTTTCGAATCGGAGGATTTTTTTTTTTGCTTTTGGCTCCGTTGCAAGCGCCTTCTGGAGCGCTCAGTACGGCGTTGACGGGATTCAGTCTTCACCTTTGAGGTTATCGTATGACGCTGTGAAGAGTCTCGACATTGCGTGCAGCCTCTTTGATCACGCCAGGAAGGCTGGAAAGCTATGGAATAAGCTGATGATGCTAGGGTGAGAAAAGATGGGGCTGCCAAAGCGGAAGAGCCGGGCCTCAAGAAAGTCAGGGAAAAAAATGAGAGGGAGAAGAGAGGCGGGACACGGGTTGCAGAATGCTACCATAATTAATACATCGTGTGTGAGTGTGCGTGTGTGGCTGGACTTCGCTTGTGGTGTGCCTGCTCTAGGAATAGCACGTTGGGGGCTGAACAGCAGTTGTGGAACGGTCACTCACACTGCATTCCCGAGGAAGACGCATCAGCCTGGGCCACCCTATCCCTTGATACAAAAAGTAGGTACATTTGCACCTGCAGATGGATCCTTCGACGAAAGGTCGTTTCTTACACTTTTGGGGGCGGACGCCGCACACCAGACATGGCATGTTACCACCCACCCCCAACGTTCCGCCTCAGCTGCTTAGGCCTGCAGGTGAGCGTGGACGCCGTTAAACGGCCTTTAAGCGGTGAGATCAAGTTCGCAAGCTTCCATTTGACTTTATGCATATACGAGAGGTTAGTAGTTTACTCTGTATAGAGCTTGATGATCATTGGCTGGGTGACGACTGGTTCTACCATGGTCATAGAGAGAGAGAGGCAATTTAATATACCAATTCATAATTCATGACTAATTAGTGACAAAACCCCTCATTTTCTAACTACAATACACGTTTCCCAAAAGTAGAGATCAACTGCACTGCCACTTCGATTTTGATGACTGCAATTATAAGCATCATCATGAACTTTATTGACTTAGTCTTTTGTATAAAGCTACTCTCCGTGCTTTGACAGTCTTGGCCCAACACAAAAGTTTGATTACTTGAATCCTATGATGTTCAGCTTGCAAGGCATTAGAACAAGCTTCTATGTAAAGCAAGATTTTCCACTGCCCAGTAGAGACGAATGAACAGCTCACAAAGCCATTCGACTTTACTAGACCAGAAAGATTATGATGAGATATTGGATTCTGAGGTTGACGGTGGTCACGTTTTTGCAAAGTAGGCTACCTAGGTCATTTCGAGAACAAGAAAATATGGATTAGTCGTAAGTTTCCATGGGCCATTCTGCACAATCCCAAACGGCCTCGACAAAGCTGTTCAGTAGCTAAGAGCTGAGCAGGCAATGACAAGTTGCTGATGAACTTTTAAAGGATGAAAACATCGGCTTATAAGTGATGAATATACAGAATCGGGGACTAGAATGTATCAGAGGATATGAAACAACCAGAATTGAAGATGGCTGTTAGGTGAATGTTCAGCTTGTCCCCGACATGGGGAAAAGGTAAATAGGAGCTCAAGTCCCAGATTTGTTTTCAGATGTATACACTCTTGAAGTAGCAGTCTGAAAATGTGTAAGTAGTGACGCATGGTGGGTCAAATCGATTCACAGTCACTCGGAGCTGTGAATCACCAGGTGGGAAAGTAGCCCTGCCGCCTCGCCAGTCAATCATCGATTTCTTCCTCTGCTATAAACCAACGGGACCGTCAACCTTCTCTTCACCGACACAAACATACTCCTTCTCTCGGTACCCCTTCCACGAACTAACAAGAGACATTCCTTCTACTACGAATACCAATCTGAGGAAGAAGTGATTCAAGATGTCGAGCACACGCATTATCAAACCCCTTGGCCAGTCTGAGAAGCTCAAGCTGCCTGGTATGTCACTATCCACATCAAGAGTGTTTTCCCTCGTCAAATTGGACATCTAATCGATCAGCCAACAAGGAAGCTAACTATCAAACTACAGACCACCAGCAAGCTACTGGTGACAGTGACCTGGCCAACACTTTTTTCAAAATGTGCCTAACTGTCTCTGATCCAGACATCATCATGGATTTGGTCGACTGCACTGTGACGGAGGGTGGCAATCGTCCCAAGCAATACAAGCTCCCCAGTATCGGCGGTGGCTTTGATGCTGTTAACAACACCGTTCGTTGTCACTTGGACACTTCTCCCACAGCTCTTTACGCTACGTTCCGCCAACACGTTCATGCCAGCGACGCTGCTGCCGCTGATGTCCAAGTCAAATCCATCGATGAATACGGCTCTCCTGCCATCATCACTGAGGATCCTGCCGACTGCCCCCTGACGTCCAAAGTCAGGGCCACTGAGTGCAACGCTGGCTTGTTCAATTGGATTCCTGCCGAGCTCCGCCTCCAAATCTATGGCTACCTCTTCGTGAACCCCCATGTCACACTCGAGGTTGAGGACTTCCACTACCGTGGACGCGACAAGACGAGCAAGCCCAGGATCCTCAACACGGTCCACCATGACGGCGTCTACAATTTGCTGGCCACGTGCCGCGCCATACACAACGACGCCCTGCCCTCGTACTGGCAGGGGGTCACCCTAACCTGCCAGGGCAAGAGCGGCGTCTGCTACCTGGACGAATTCGTGGATGCGATCCCTCCTATCATCTTGAACAATGTCAAACACCTGCGCAACGTCAACCTTCCTCACATCAAGTCCCGGCGGCTCAGGGGTCACCCCGAGCTCACCGCTCATGCCCTCCTGCAGCGCTTCAAGAAGGGCATCAAGACTTGTGAGATTGTCATATCTCACTCAGACGGAAGGGGCAAGCTCGGCAAACACACCCAGAAGACGATCCATGGCATGCGAGAGACCGGTGTCTTCTTCACGCGCGCCCTCCAGGAGCCCCGTAAATGGCTCAATGAGGCCTATGGCCTTCCCAAGGGCTGTCAGACTCACTTCCTCTCCCAGCGTGTGGACACCAGCAACAAGTATTTCCCTGTATGGCGAGCGGTACGAGCAAAATTTGCTTCCCTCCCCTGCATCCTTCCACCCCCTTGGGATGAACTTGCTAACTGTGACTTCACACCTCTAAATAACAGGTCACGTTTCTCAGCTACACCCGGGGCACTTTTGTGAAGCAGCTCTACAGAGGCCACCCACCCGAGCCAATCGACTTGGAGCAGGGCTTTCGGAGTGCCATGAACCTTCGACCGATCTAGTGGGAGGATGAGTGAGCGAAGCAGCTGATGGGGGCATCTGCTTAGTCCTGCGCAATGTCATACGCACAGTGTGGTGGTGAGTGGCTCTCGTCAGTACAGGGAGGACATTCGCCGCGGTGAACAATGGTTAGAGGATGATGCAAGGGATTTTTGGGAGGGCCAGATTCGTGATGGTAGCATAGGAAGACTCTTGTGACTTGCAGGCACATTGTGCTGCCTGGGACGAGCTGTTCAAGACGGTGCACCAGATTGGATGGGTTGAATGCTTTCAAACCTCTTCCTCTTTCCAAATTTTTTTTTTTTTTTTTTTTTTTTTTTTTTTTTTGAGGGATGAGTACGCAATACAGATTTGATTTTTTGTTATAGCTGGGGGTATCTGAGAAGTCCTTGCTGGTGGTGGGCAGAATGGTCTTCCCTGTTTGGACTTTGCATGTGCATGTGCTTGTGAAGGTGCCCTTTTGTATAAGTGCCATCCACTGCAACATATGGATCGGCCGTTGAGACGGTCTTGGAGAGAACAGCGGCTCTTGCGAAAAATGACATGAGGGGAGAGCTCGTAGCATTACTAATGCTCCGGGCCAGCGTACATATTTTACAACAACAGGGCCGGTGCCGTCTTGACAAAATCCGACAGGAGAACGGTGTCTCAGCAGGGGTTTTTATTTATTTAAAAAATGCGGGCATCTGTCCTTCTTGTGGTGGAGATAGATTCTTCTTAATGTGAACAGGCTTTTAGAAGAATCTATGGTGCCTGGGTTGATGATATCGTTGCCCACACAACTCCGTCACAAGCAGCGGAGGATACTAAACCCCGGATCTCTTCCGCTGGACTTTGGTAGAAACCTCCGCAGGCGAGGAGGGGCGTGGGTCAAGGTTTGAACCTCAGCAGGGTTCCAGGGCCCATTCGCGCTTTCGCTCGCGGTTGACATCCTCACTAATCCAACATGACAGCAGTACAGCATACACCGTCCTTTTAGCCAGGAACACTACACTGATGGCTGCCATAACACCCTCCTCTCCCCACTCTTTGGCACTTCTTTCCCCCGCAAAGCTTGCACAGTCACCACAAAAAAAAAACCCAAAAAAAAGACGTAAATGATCTATCTTAGCAGGGACAGAGTTGTCCTGCATTCTGCAGGTTGCTGACGAATTCAGATTTGATCCCCACCAATCCCGTGAGGACCCGCTCTTCCTCGCGGGCGCGGGTTGGGGCGACAGTAATCCCTGCTAGGAACCAGCAGGCCATACCTGCAAAAAAAGTGCCCCTCTTTCTTGGTAATAATTATTTCCGTGGGTCTCGTTGGTTCCGCCACCACGATGGCCCTGTTCCGGAACGGTTCTTTTTGAAAGGATCCGCAGGGCTCGGCCTTATCATCGAACAAAGCCGGAGGAGAAATTAAATGAAAAACCACCACCAAGAAGAAGAAAAACCCCCCACCCGATATATATCAAAAACTTTGTGGTGTCAATTCTCCTGAAAAGAAACAAAGTGTCGGCAGTTCTTGCCAGCCTTTGAGCAATTCGTTGTAATTGGTGCACTTTCACATTGCATGCAAGACGCATTCTTTCCCACTGGCACACTGATTTCATCGTCCTTTGACGACTTTTCTTCTTCTCCCAGTCCCACCAATATCACACCCGCAAATAGGAGGAGGTTGACTGCCACACTCATCTCACTTATCATCCCAGGTGGTTTGATTACTGAGTGGTCATAATTGCGCGGGTTTCAGCGGCAATTTGGGGTTTAAAGACTTGAATATCAACATACAATTCTGCTCACTGACTAGGAGACTCTACATTCTGTCCGATCTCACCGTCTTTCCCCCTTATAGTGGTCTTAGGTGAGACAGACTACGGAATGTCTGACGAGAAGGAGGACGCTCGGATGGCCGCTGAGCGTGTAAGCCCGGACCGACACAACACGTCCTCGACTGCCCGTGAGAAGGCAACCGATGACAGCAGCTCAACAGAAGGGATAGGGGTCACAATGGAGAGCGAGGGATTGAACCAGCAGAAGCAGCAGCAGGATGGGCAGGACGAGGAGGCCCAGTACGAATCCATTCGGGTTGCCACAGCAGCCTCCAACCCGACAGACTCAATCGCACGCATCCGTTCCAAAAGGTCTTCGAGGTCCATGCGGTCTCTGTCACAGATGCGTTCTCAGAACGGCTACGGGTGCGACGATGTCAACGATGCGGAAGACGAGGAGGATGACGAGGAGGGCGCATCCTCCTCCTCGGATCCAGAGGCTCAGCGGGAGAAGAGGAACAAGAAGGAGAGGGACGAGTTCGAGGTCACCTTCGAGGGCGGCACTGCCGACCCATGGAACCCGCGCAACAGAGGCACGCCGCGCAAGTGGATGATCGTGACGCTCGCGTCCGCAGGGAGCTTCTGCGTGACCTGCGCCTCGTCCATCTACACGCCGACATACACCCAGATGGATGCGGAGTTCGGCTGCAGCCACATCGTGGCCACGCTGGGCCTGTCGACGTTCGTGCTGGGCATCGCCCTGGGACCCATGTGGAGTCCCCTCTCTGAGTTCTACGGGCGGCGGCCTATCTACCTGGCCGCCTTTGCCGTCTTCACCATCTGGATCATCCCGTGCGCCGTGTCGAGGAATATCCAAACCGTCATCATCGCCCGCTTCTTCCAGGGCCTGTCGGGGAGCGCCTTTCTCAGCGTGAGCGGCGGCACCGTCAGCGATCTGTTCGCCCCGGACAAGATGCATCACCCCTTGACGTTATTCACCGCTGCGCCGTTCCTAGGCCCTTGTGTCGGGCCTTTGATGGGTGGTTTCATCAACTCGAATGTGAACTGGCGGTGGACGCACTATGTTATGATCATCTGGGCGTCTTGCATGTTCCTGGCCATCTTCTTCTTCGTGCCAGAGACGTACCGTAAGTTTTCTTCTTCTTTCTCTTTTTTCTTTCTTTTCAAATACCCTCTGAGCTCATGAGGAGGTGTCTGTGGACCGGCTTTGGCTAATTCAACCATCCCATCAACACACAGATCCGGTTATCCTGCGAAAGAAGGCCATGCACATCCGCAAAGAAACCGGCGATGACCGCTGGAAGGCTCCCATCGAGAAGTCCAACAAGTCCATGATTCGCACCGTGGGTTACTCCCTCCTCCGGCCCTTCCAGATCCTCATTTTCGAGCCCATGGCACTGATCCTCGACCTTTACTCGGCCATCCTCCTCGGGATCCTGTACCTGTTCTTCGGCGCTTTCCCCTTCGTCTTCGAGGGAGCCTTTGGCTTCAACCTCTGGCAGACGGGTCTGACCTTCCTGGGTATGCTGTTTGGCATGCTCATAGCTTCGCTGACGAGCGGCCTCTGGATGGACGTCCGTAGGAGGCTCGTCGAGAGGAACGGCGGCAAGATCGAGCCCGAGTTTAGGCTGCCGGCTGTCATTGTTGGCTCTGTGTTTGTGACAGTGGGACTATTTTGGTTTGCATGGACGACATTTTCTTGGCTACACTGGATCTTGCCGATTATTGGATCTGGTATATTTGGACTAGGGGTAAGTGCTGTGTTGCTTTCCTCCTCCTCTCTCCTTTTTCAGACCCTGTGACATTGGCAAGAAGGTGAGAGAGAGAAAGAGAGAAAGAGGCTGGGAGCGACAGAGCGACGAGGTTTTCAGCGACTGGCAATGCTTGCATCCAACTCCCGATCGCCTTGGCTCATGGACAGGATAGGACTGGACTGGACTGGCCCTTTCGTCCCTGTGCACACTCGAGAGCACTTCTCTCTTTCTCTCTCTAACATGATGCCTTCCCCTCCCCTTTCAGTGAATCACCGTCCGCCTCGGTCGCCTCATGTTCCTAGTGTCACAAAAAAAAAAAAAAAAGCAGTGCGACCTTGACACAAAGCAGACCCATCCTTCAGCAGACAGCAATAAGTTCGACCAGGGCGGACCCAGTATGGTCGCATTATTCTCCTCCACATGAGACTTGTCTCATCGCCTGCCTGCCTCCCCCCCCCCCCCCCCAACCCTTCCCTCTCTCTGTCTGTCTTTGAAGATCTCGCACGTTGCATATGATACTATCCGGGACACTGCAGTTGACTGGCCTTGTTTCTTGTCTTACAGGTGATCCTGAGTTTCTCCGGCACGTTCACATACCTGGTAAGTCCTTCTCCTTGTCCACTTACTTCCATCTTTTTCACCCCATCATCTATCTCAATCTACTACTGCTGCGGCCCACACGTCCCTGTGCAACCCCGATCCAGCCTCACCAGAGAAACCTCTCTGTGTATGTGTATGTGTATGTGTTTCTGCACACTGCTGTTGAGGCTCCACATAACAACATCGTGGAACAATGCCCAACTACCAAAAAGGCTTCATCCCGGGAGAGCGCAGCTGAAATCTATTGGCCCGAGTACGAGTTTTCTTTTTGCCTACTTCTTTGCTAACATACCATTCAGGTCGAGACGTACCCTGTGTATGCCGCTAGCAGTCTGGCCGCTAATGCATTCACGAGGTGTCTATTTGCAGGTCAGTTTTTACCAATACGCTTCATTTTCTCTCACATCCGATTTATTTTTATATTTTGATCTTCTCCCCTGCAGGCCCACGCTACGTGCTCTGCGGCACGGGGTTGCCTTGACTCGTGTCCCGTTCAGCTGGGCACGGGAAGGCGGCGGCCGTCCAGTCAACAGACGACATCTTCCTCATCTCTTTTCTGTTCCCCCTCCCTTTTCTCCCCCTCTCTCCCTGCAATGAAACACATCCAGCTGACGATCTTTGCCTTACTAGCTGCGTTCCCCTTGTTCGGCACGCAAATGTACGAAAAACTGGGCGACCAGGTGAGTGAATAAACCCCCAATCCGTCCATATCAGCAGGGAAACCGTGCGCAATGTTCTGCTGACACAATGATACGTTGGTAAAACTAGTGGGCGACTTCCCTGCTGGCCTTCCTGACGGCGGCCATGTTGCCGTTCCCTGTGCTCTTCTTCAAGTTTGGCAAGAGGATCCGCGCTCATTCGCGGATGGCGACGGCCGCGTAAATTAATCCAAGGGCTATCTCTTGAGACATGAGTGTATCGTGTGTGCTTTCGGGTGGGATATTCCATGCATGGTCAAGAGCTACATGAGCGATGTTTTAAGATAGATACCCTCTCACAAAACAGTTTTCAATACTACTGTTATTATCAAGAGTATTCAACTGCCTCGAGCAGTTGGGTTCCTCGACAATACTCTTCTCACCTCGGAGGGGGGGGGGGGGGCACAACACACATACACACACACACACCCACCCCCACACACACCCACACATCCATAGCATGGCTAATAAAGAGGATGTCGAGAAGTGGACACAATGCGTAGCAGTACTGCTCTACGTGACCGTCTTTCCGGCCGTCTGGGCTTGGCGCCCTCGAGTCAGCGATGACGAACATCATGAGAAGTCCTCTCCAAGTGGAAACCAGTTTTTGGTCACGACCTCCTAGCGTCCTTTGGCTACTCTTTTCTGGCACATTGTCCTGAGAAGAGAGACATGCATGCATTTGCCCTGTCGTGTAGCCGGGAAGAGAGGGATCACAAGCCCCCCATCTGTCTCTCTTTCTAGTCTGAGAGCGTTCCTGGGGAAAGGACAAGAAAGAAGGAAGAAGCAAATGACAAGTGAATCCGGTCACCCGCGACATGATCGATCTGCCGCCGACCCTGCCTTGGACATTCTCTCCGACAAGCACGGTCCCCCCATCCCCCTTAGAAAAGGACACCTGCGAATGGACGAGGGATGCCTCCCTCCTCTATCTTGGTTCGGATCTCCTTACCGTACGGGATGCAAGTGAGGCGTCATCTCCCTCCACCTCCGTCCACGTGCGTTGCCCAGATCTCCTGCCGTTTCAGGGAGACCGCCCACCCCACCACCCCTCTTCTTTTACTGGTGGCCGGTGGATACGAGGTCCCGCTCGCTGTGCTGCACTCTTTTGAGCTGTGAATGGCAGGCTGGATTGCAACATCTATTCGGGAATAGTGCGCAGAGGGCAATAGTATGCTTAGACGCAGTGGGCTGGTTGGTCGGTGGGTAGGGCAGGCAAGGGACGGGATGAGGGAATCATGGAGGGTGGTAGAGAGTAGTCAACCTGAATCATGGGTTGGGCAGCTTGTGTGTTGCAATCCTTGCTTTCTCGAGTGGCAACCTATGCCGGTCTCCGTGATCTATTGACATGTTGTGTGAGGCTCCTTGCATGATCCAGATGAGGCGGCACTGAGCGGCTACAGGGTGTAAGAGGAGGTGGGAGGGGGGGGGCGGGGATGGGTGGTGACGGAATTGGGTGCTGACACAGGCACATAGGCTGCTGAATTTCCGGGATGATGAGACTTTCTTTTCAGCCTTGGCCGTTAGTGGTCATGAAACCTCGTTCGAAGCGTGAGAGGGCGTTGCAGTCCAGGAGAGAAGGCATCATGGATCCTGTGCGGGTTCTCTTAGTGGACACAGCTGTAGACAACATGCTACCTAACCCACGTACTATATAGTAGTAGTAGTAGTAGTTGTAGTAGTAGTATCTGTCAGGATGCAAGAATTCTATAGATAGGACAAGGATGGGAGAGGTTGGTTGGTGCCCTTCGTCCAGCTTTGAAGCAGCCGTGGCTTGCGTGGGAAAAACACAACCCGCTGATAAACCTCAGGGTAAGAGCATAGAAGAGGGGTACACAGGTGAGCTCGGGACCGATACCCTACCATTGCATCCAGGGTACTGTGCAGCACCATGACCGTGCAGGTTGCAAAGTACACGACAAGTATTCAGATAATCAAGGACAAGTCAAAATTTGCATCAGCCCCAGGATCCCATAAACGAATAAGGATAGCACCTCAGTGTAGGACGGCGAGACGCCACCGAGCTCTCCTGCATAATATTGTCTGTCATTCCGGCCCTTCTGATGACGATGTTGTGGAGGAGGGAAAAGGGAGGGTGATCGATGAGAGACGTCCCAGTGACTTGGACCTCGTGTTTGGTTGCAGCGGCTGTGTATGCAAAGAGTGCAGGACGGGACGAGAAACATTGAAATGCTGCATTAGTTTAAAGGCTCTGGGGAAAGGGTACTTCAGAGCTAGCTCTCAAAGCAAGACCTCCCCACACCCCTGTCATGGCCCTTGCCTTGGGCTGGGGCTTTTGTTTTAGCGCAGAACAGAGCAACAACCCCCCCCCCCCCCACACCTCGGTGCCCCTCCTGCCCTCTCAGCCTGCTGAAGGTCTATTTCTCCACTCCTCAGTGCGGAATGGACAGCGGGGGGACCCGCCGCCCAAAATTCCCAGTATCCGGGCGAGCGACTTTTGTTACTCTCCTCCCTCCCCCCACACACCCCTGGCAGCTGAAGAAAATCGGTCGCAAACTGTACAGTGGTGTAGCAGTTCTCCAACAACTCCTCCTCCCATTCTGGCCGAGGCTACGACGCCGCACCACCACTACAACCCACAAACGACAACCCGAGGAGACAAGCAAAGATCTGGCGCAGATCACCCATCACCTCACAGATCATGGATTGAGAGACGGGCCAGAGAGAAAGAGAAGGGATCAATTGGAACCACGTGCGATATTGGAAAATGTCTTGGGCAAGCGAGGACCTGGACTAGCTCGTATTGCACCTGCCGCGAGCGACATCGCCCTCGACGTCGACATCGGCCCTCCGACTCCTTCTGAACTTGGGAACAAAGGTGCCGACCAATAGACTCTGATCTTCTTGGCACTTATGATGCCCTGAGCTTGCTGCCATATGCAACCCTGCCCAACTACAGTTCGACGGGTTACTGCAGGAGAGACCCTCCCCTCCCCTCCTATATCGACATCATCGTACGCCTCACACCACCAACCTCCTCCTCGTCGACCACGTCTCGTCCCAATCCTGTACTGCCAAGATCAGCAGAAGTAACAGCGGCATCCTGCACGGCTGCGCCTGTGTACCTGCCGTGTGCCCCACCCTGCGCAGCCTGTGCCTGCTTTCCTGTGGCTAGTCGCAAATCACCAACTCTCAGCACAGCTGCGACTGCGACTACGACTGTGAGGCGACTGCGACGACCGTTACGAGACCGCCGACCGCGATCACGGCTCCAAGGCAACCCCAGACACATCGAAACGGACGGTTCTCCTGTCTGGCTCCTTGTTCGTCTGCACCCCTACCGTGTCGACCGACCCCCCCGCCACCCCCCCCCCAACCCTCCAGTGCGCGAACACGGTGAGCGGTGACACAGGAACGCCTCTTTTTACCAACCGGTGAGCCCATTGGAGAGCCAGCCCTAGTCGCGATAGTGGCTCGCGGAGAATACGAGTGCCTGCGCTGTCCTTGTGCATCTGGCCCGCCTGGCGCTTCAGCTTTTCCACGCCGTGATAGGCAAGAGGCCCTCAGGTTCTTTCGAGAAGCCCCGGAAACGGCCCACTCCCCATATTGCGGATGCGCACAGAGGGAGTCGCGCTCTACATGTTCACATTCCACAGCAGGAGAACAAGGTTCCCTCGCAAGGGCAGAACAAAACTGGGACCCCCACCTCCTCCTGGGGTTGCGACATATCGCCGTCAACGTGCCGACGATCCCTCTGTACGTACCATATAATACTGGGTACATCTACAATACCTGCAAGTGAAAGCAGAAGACAAGGAGACAAAAGGAGGGAGCGAGAAGAGAGAAAGAGCGGGAGAGAAAAAAGAGGCTACTGCAAGGTCAGGTCCTGCGATAGCGCCCGCTCTCTCTGCGGCCGCAGCTGATCCCTGGCGTGGTACAACTACTAAGGCATTACTGCAGGAGTCGAGCACATCCTGCCCTATCCTAGAAGACGACCTGATACAACTTGGACAAGTAGACTGTGTCTGGTTTCGCAAAAGGGGGAGGTCGGTGGACTTGCATTGCCGTGCCGTCATTACGAGCACCCACCTCGGCCCATTCATACCCATCCACGTCTGCACACACGCGCACGCACATACGCACATACGCACACACACCAACACACACACACATACACATACACATACACACACACACACACACACATATATATATATATATACATATATATATATATATATATATATGTTGGCTGGTACACAATGCCAGACGAGGTCGATTCCAACGGGGGTGAGGTCTCAGATGCTATGTCTGAGAACGAGCCTGAGTACGACGATAACGACAACGACGCCTCAGTTCAGGACGACGACAAGATGCCCGACCATACTATCAAAAGAGAGCGTGGTGCTGACGGCGAGGGCAAGAAGAAGTATGACCCCAAGGACCCTATGCGCCCAAGGAGGAAGAAGGCCCGTAGGGCATGCTTCGCCTGCCAGAGGGCACACTTGACTTGCGGTATGCCATGACATTTGATCTTTTCTATGATACAGATTTAGCCCTGAGATTACCCCTCGTTCCAGACGCTTTATGGCTCGAAGAGGAAAACATGTCTTCAAGAGCCCCCCCCCCCCCCTTTCACACGTCCCGATATTGTACGAGACTAATACGCTCTGCAGGCGATGAGCGGCCATGTCAGAGGTGCATCAAGCGAGGTCTCGCAGAGCATTGCCAAGATGGAGTCCGCAAGAAGGCTAAATATCTTCACGATGCGCCGCCGGAAGCCTTGGGGCCCGTCTTGGGTCCCAACTACAACGCCAACACCAACACTTCACAGAATCGGTCGTCCAATAACAACAGCAACAATAACGGCGGCGGCAGCGTGCAACAGCAACGCCACCCGTCCAGTACAGGCTCTGAAGCGTCTTCCAATGTCGGCACCTTCTTCTCACCAACAAATGCCTCGAGTACATACCCGCTCTTTTCACCTCAGAGCGCCTTGGGTTCCATATCCGAGGGGATGACGTTTCCCGGCCAGCAGTCACCTGCCTCGCCCACCTTCCAGAATGCCCCTCCGATGAGTGGCCTCACCGTCCCTCAGGTGTCAGGAGAATTACCAGGCATGAGCCCTGCGTTCTTCGATCCTGGTAATCCTGCCTTGTACAACTTCAACCTCGAGGGACTGAACTTTGGCAGTCAGTACGGTGCCATGGAGTTCGGCATGCTGAACCACATGTCATCTGGCGCAGCCGACACGCCACCACGAGATGCCTCGTTCTCTCAACAAGGTGCTGGCGAGGCCAACTTCGCGGCCGGAGCATTCGGTAATGGTATGGGTCAGTTTGACGGCGGTTTGATTGGCGACATCCTCTCCATCGATCAATCCGGCAATCCCTTATACACCCAAGGCAACCTCCAACACGGTCTCCCTCATGCTTACGCCATCGCGACAGGCCCAAACAACCAGCAAAGTCCCAGTACCGATCACGAGAGCCCCGCAAACCAGAACATCGGATTCGACGGCTCACAGACGGCAACGCCCTTTGACAACTCCGAACCTCGAGTCCTCGGGCCTCCGAATCGTCCGAGACAGAAACCAAGTATTCCCAAAACATTTCCGCAGTCTCTTCTCGGCAAACGCCATCGGGATGCTTCTGGTATCTACGAGAACGTCAAGGAGCCTTTCCAATATGTACAGGGCTACCACCGTCTCATCGCCTTCCTGCAGAGACGGTTTCGCACGAGCGGCGACAAACTGATGCGCGTCGCCCGCGCCTTGGGGAGCGTGCGCCCGGCCCTGCTGTCGTGTACGCGCACATTGAGCCGGCCGGACCTGGTCTTCATGGAGAAGTGCTTCCAGCGTACAATGTTCGAGTACGAGGACTTCATGGACCACGGGTCCAGCCCCACTCTTGTCTGTCGGCGGACCGGCGAGATTGCTGCCGTGAATAAAGAATTCACAGCGCTGACCGGATGGCCGAAAGAGGTCCTCCTTGGGGAGGCGCCCAATAGGAATGACAATACCGGCGGTAGCACAACAGCCTCAGGTGCCGCCACCGAGGTCCTGACGACACCAAAACTCAACAGCCTCAACAGCCAGACCGAGAAGGGCACCAGCTCGGACACGGAGCGAAACCCGTTGTTCATTGCGGAGCTCATGGATGATGACGACGTGGTCCAATTCTACGAAGACTTTGCCCATCTCGCCTTCAGCGACAGCAGGAGTAGTGTCACAAGAAAGTGTCGTCTGCTCAAGTATCGAACACGCGAGACTTCAGCCGCTGCTGACGGGACAAGCACTTCGAGCGTCCACGAGTCGCTCCCCAAGGACCCACGCACCATGTTCCTGAGCAACAGGGTCGCCAGAATCGACGGCGAGCATGGCATCTCCAGAATTGCCAAGGGCGGCAAGCTGGAGTGTACCTACTGCTGGGTTGTGCGCCGGGACACCTTTGACATGCCGATGATGATCGTTATCAATGTGAGTTTCTCTTTTCTTTACCCCCTCTCTTCCCACGCCACCACCAAACCACCAACACGAACACCAAAACAACCATATTACCCCAGACAAGACAAAGCGACGATATTAACATGCAGATAGTTTCTACCTTGCTATTATCCTGATCAACAACCTCACGGTCTGGCGGTATGAGAGGTGAAAACAGTGCCGGTGCACGCGTTCTCGGTTTATATTCTTAAACAAACGGGGATCTGGCTGGGTTACAGATTGGCACAGGGCGGCGGGGCAGGGCATCGAGAGATCATTTTGGGCCTGTTTTTTTTGGACCAGGCGGCCCGGAGTAAGGGAGACGGGTATTGGATGCGAGGAGATTTCTTGGGTTCACGAGTCCATGCCGAGAACGGTTTTTGATTGTTCATATAGTATACATGGTTCTATACCCGTTTTGTTTTGTTTCTTTTTTTTCTTTCTTTTCTTCTCTTTTGCCTTGACATTCCCTATTAGTTTCTAGGCAACTAAGACAAATTGGAAAGAAGCACTGGCTTGCACCAATGGGTTGTGGAGAGAACCGCTTCTCACATGCGTGAAGGTTGCATTCCAGCTTTGAGGATATATGACGCAACCAAATATTGATAGTACCTTCCAACCTCAACCCTCAACCCTCAACCCTCAACCTTAATCAACATCTCTCATCACAATCATTCCCTTGTATCACAACAGAAAAAAGGGCCCTTGTCCGCCATTTAAATTGGAGCATGGACGCCCTGACTGTCCTCATCACAGGTGCCAGCGGCGGCATCGGCAGAGCCACCGCCCTCCGACTCGCCCAACCCCTCGTCCCGCCCTATAAAGTAAAGACACTCATCCTGCACTACAACTCGGACAGCAGTCGCACACGATCCCTCACCGAGCAGATCCACGCCCTGGACCCCACCATCCGCGTCGTCTGGCTCCAGGCCGACCTCGCCTCCACAGAAGCCGCCCACACTCTATACCACCAGGCCGCTGAGGCCGCCGCCGGCACAGACAGCAGCAGCAGCAGCAGCAGCAGTAGTAACAGCTCCAGCCCGATCAACGTGCTCTTCGCCAACGCAGGAACGCACCTGGGGCTCGCGGGGCCCGAGGCAGGCTCGCTGGAGGCGGTGGACGGCGCGGCGTTTGAGCAGACGTGGCGGGTCAACACGCTGGCGACGTACGAGCTGACGCGGCTGGCGGCGCCGGGGATGGCGGCGGGCGGGTTCGGGCGGGTCATCTATACGTCGAGCGTGGCGGCGCTGACGGGGGGCGTCGTGGGCCCGCACTATGCGAGCTCCAAGGCCGCGCTGCACGGGATGATGCACTCCCTGGCCGGGTCTTATGCCGGGCGCGGGGTGACGTTTAATGCGGTGGCGCCGGCGCTGGTGGCGGGGACGGCGATGCTGCCGGGCGGGGAGGAGGAGCTGCGGAAAAAAATCCCTGTGGGCCGGCTTGGGAAGGCCGAGGAGGTGGCTGAGGTGGTTGTGGTTATGATTACGAATGGGTATGTGAGTAATAAGGTTTGGGCTGTGGATGGGGGGATGGTGCCTCGGTGAGGGAGGGGAGGAGGAGGAGGGTTCATTGATGGATATGGAAGAATCTTTTCCCAAGATAAAATTGTTCTATATACTGTATGGGTGTTCTATGTCTGTTTGTGTCGTCTATGAGTCCTGTAAGAGAGGGAGATTGAATGAAAAGAGAGAGAAGATGTAGACAAAGAAGAAAGAAAGAAAGAAAAAAAGACCTGACTTGGCCATCGCTGAACTGCACACAAACGCTCACACATCTTACGAGCCACCATCTACCCATCCACCTCCTCTGCTACCGTCTCTACCTGGTGAGCCAAGAGCCATCGAACTTCCCACCTGCCGTGCCCTGCAGCCTCCAGCCCTCTCTGTCCAGGCTCCGCCTCGCCACCTCACAGTCCGTCTTGATATCCTCGATCAGCGCCTCGACACCATCATAGCTCTGCTCGTCCCGGATGTAGCCCAGGATTAGCAGGCGCATCTCGACGCCATAAAAGTCGGCGCCAAAGTTGTCCAGGACGTGCACCTCGGCGCTGCGCACTGTGTTGTTGTAGAAGGGGTTGTACCCGATGGACATGACCATGGGGAACACGGCGTACTTCTTCTCCTGCTGCTGCTGCTGCTGCTGCTGTGTGGGAGGGAGAGAAGCAGAAGTCGTAGTCGTCTTGTGGTGGTCTGGGTGGTCCGTGGGCAGCTCCAGCGAGGCCCAGCCGAAGTAGACGCCAGACTTGGCATCCTTGATCCAGGGCGTGGTGTCTACGGGGAGGTTGGCGGTGGGGATGCCTAGCTGTTTTGGTTTGGGTGGCTTGTGTGAGCAAGAGCTGGAAGGAAGAGCGGGTGGGTGTATGTGTGTGAGGTGAAGCAAGTGGGAGAGTAGAGCGAGGATTTGGGCGAGGTGTGGAGGTGAACTTGTGTTTCCCACCCTCTATCCCGCGCGTGCGTGTGTAGGGTTGTATAAGTTGCCGAACCTGCAGACTGCAAGTTGCACCAAGCAATGTAGAGAACCTTGATCCCTCCACCCTGCTTCGTGAAGAGGCATGAGATGCAGGGGAGATCTATCCTTCAGGGGGGGGGGGTTCATCCTGCCTTGCAGATGGCGCTGGCTAGCTGCTCTTCCTCTTCCTCCTCCTCCTCTTCCTTCCCCTCCCACCTTTCTTCCTCTTCCTCATCTCCCCCAAGCGCGATTGTCCTCTCCTTCTGCATCTGTGTTCCTCCAGCTTACATCCCAGCCGCACCGGATCACATCAATCCCATCCTCATGACCCAGCCAGAATGAGCCTCACTCGATCGGCAACTGGCGAGTGCAAGGCATGACGAAGGAGTCGCCACACTTTTTGACCTTCAAGAGCCAATGGGGTACAGTAACCGACCGGGCCCCCTTTCCTTTTTACCTCCTTGCTAGGAAGGACAGCTTCGTCCTACCTACCCATGGGGTGACACAAAGAGGAGAACAGGGAAGCAGGGGTGGAAAGAAGGCACAAAACGAGCCGTTGGGTAGCAATGATGGTAATGAAGATGAAGAGGAGGACGAGGAAGGGGTGGCAGGTACATGAGAGGAAAGTATCCTCAACTTACCTCCTTCGAACCCCGGCCAAACCCCTTGATGACCTTGCCCTCCATCTGCAGCGGGAAAGGCGTCTCCGGACCCGAGTCTGGACCGACGAGGAGAGGTCTTGCGTTCCCCATGATTTCTTGGATTCGTCTGGTCTTCTTGCGCCTCCGCGCTTGCCGAAGGGAACGAGAGGCGGCAGGATTCCGCCTTGGGGAGGGGGAAGGGGAGAGAGAAACAGTATGTGTGTGTATGTGGCTGATCGCAAATTTCTTCTGAGGTGGGACGAAGTTGGTGAAATTCAAGATATTTCGGAGACTCTGCAGATTACTAGTGCAGACCGGTGTAGTTGAGAGCAGACTAGAAAGTAGGGAAGTAGAGGAGCAACGAGAAGAATTCAGAAGAAGGAGAAGGGCGCGCGTTCGTGTGTGGCGGTCAGCTGTGTCTTGGTAGTAGTCACAGCAGAAGTGTTTGGTAGGTCTGGCAAGGGCTGGTCTTTTGGTCAGGCTCCAGCTTCTCTCTCTTGCTTCGCACATGAAGTTGTCCCGAGAACGGAATGCTGCTGTGAGCCGACGGCGGGGTTCTTTTAGTCATTTAAAGCCGATAAGATAAGAATTTTAATTCGCACTTAGATAGTAAACAAGTAAACAAGAGAGAAGGGCGAGGACAAGATGAAACGCAAGGTGAATGTTTTTGGAATTCCATCTTTTCTTGAAATTTGAATGTTTGGAAGTAATTGATGGTGTATTTGTGCAATATAGTTGGGATAATTCATCTTGTAGCATGGGTGGACTTGCATCGGAAGGTCGATCATTGGGAGTTCCCAACGGGCAGGGTTGGGCCAGTGTAGTAAGGATGGATGGTTGGGGCTCTCATCCAGTCCAGTGCGCCGGCGTCACATGGCAGAAGGGATCATTGATGTTCGTGTAAGAGAGAAGAGAGAGAGAGAAGTGCAGACAATATCCATGCCGTCCAGTGGACCGTCTATTACTCCATGCCATGCAGATGGCTGCACGTAACTGATTGTTTGCACTGACCCCTCCAGACAATACCCGACCTCCCAGAACGTTTCATACATCATTATTAATGAACTCGACGACATCCAATTTGGGATGCACAATGCTTTACACCGACATCTTCATGGCAATCGTCTTGTGCGGGTCATAGCCCTTCACCACAAAGTCCTCGACCTTCCACCCGTCAATACTACCGCCTCTCTCGCGCTTAATCTCCAACTCGGGAAAGTCGCGCGGCTCTCTCTCCAGCTGTGTCTTGAGCGCGTCAACATGATCCACGTAGACATGCGCGTCGCCCATGACATGCGTCAGGCTGCCCGGCACGAGATCACACACGTGCGCGATCATGTGCGTCAGCAGCGCGTAGCTGGCAATGTTGAAAGGCACGCCGAGGCCCATGTCGCAAGACCGCTGGTACAGCTGGCAGTGTAGGTGACCCTTGGGTTTCGCCTCCCCGTCCCCGTTGTTCTGCCCCGCCACCGTCGCCGACCGTGGATACGATACGTAGAACTGCGCAAACATGTGACAGGGCGGCAGCGCCATGATCTTCAAGTCCTTGGGGTTCCACGCGCTCATGATGATCCGCCGGTCGTACGGGTTCGTCTTGAGCTTGTGTATGACCTCCGCCAGCTGGTCGACGCCCTGACCCGTGTAGTCCGTCCTCGCGTCGACGTACTCGGCCCCGAAGTGGCGCCACTGGAAACCATACACGGGGCCAAGGTCGCCCACCTCACGGTGCGAGAGGCCCACACCGTCCAGGAACTCGCGCGACCCGTTGCCGTCCCAGATCTTGACGCCCTGCTCGCTGAGAGACAGGGATGACGTTGCGCCCGAGACGAACCAGAGGAGCTCGGCGAGGACTGCCTTGTGGAACACGCGCTTGGTGGTGAGGAGTGGGTAGATGGGTACGCCGTTGCGATTGAGGCTGAATTTGAGCGGCCGTGGCGCGAAGAGAGAGTATGTGCCTGTTCCGGTCCTGCAGGAGACAAGAGGTTGTTTTGTGCGTGAGTGGGTGGTCCAGCCGAATGCACATGGCATTCGTGGTGATTAAGTCAAAGGGGAAGCATACCTGTCTGGCCGGTGCTCACCGTCCTCAAGAATCTCTCGCACGAGGTCAAGGTATTGGTATTCTTCATGTCTCTTAGTTGCAGAGCCATTCTGCTTGATTGGGGCCTCGGCAGCGCCACCAGCTGCGCCCTCAGAGGACGATGCTGTCATTTTGGGGAATCTTCTTTTCTTTTTGTGAATGGTATAAAGGGTACAATAATGTCCTAGGTGCAAAAAGTGGGGGTATGTCTTGCAATTGGTGAAGAATGGCACTGCAATATGAGTTTGGAAGAGTGAAGATGAAAAGATAGACGCGTCAAGACGCGTTGTCTAGAGTACCAGGTAATTAATTACCTGGAGGTCGATCACTATAGGGTTAGGGTTCTCCCTCTGAGCACAACTCCCCCCCCCCCCCATATTTCTTTTCAAATATAAAAAAAAAGAAAGGAAAGGAAACAGAAGGAAGACCCAACACAGTGCCACATCCTTTCGTAGCCACTCTCTTACAATACAGATTACTGCATCACTCATCTTGTCCTTATTTCCAGACTCATACCTCAAAGGGAGGTATCAATATATAATGATCCAAAAGAACATCACACTAGTGGTTTGAAAGTAAACAACATACTTGATGGCTACCTCGCATCTCGGTCGGAAGGTGTACAGAGACAGGTCGTCACATCCATGAGCATCTAGCAAATCCCCTTTTCGTGTGTTCATCGCATGCATTGTATGGTAATGAATATCAGAAATGATACCATCGCACCTATCCCATGGAAAAGAACGGATCTTCCTCACTTCTCTCTTTCCCCTCTCTGTATGACATGACAGCTCACGATCGAACAATAAGCAGGTCATCCATCTCCGTTGGTGTTTCCATGGAATTTGCCTGTCAGAGGCGTCCTCCTCGTAAACTGCTGCGTGTGGTCTTTTGGTGGCCTTTTTTTTTGGGGGGGGGGGGCTTTCTTTTTGTGTACACCTGCATGTGCTGTGCCGTCGACTAGCTGCCCTCCAGCCTTCTTGGCCGCCATTTCCGACACTAAGGGTGGCACAAGCAATGCTCATCCATTGGCATGTAAACGATTCGCAACGTGACTTCAATCGTTCCCGTTTGCCTCAGAAAAAAAAACATACGAGCGAGCGTGGACTGGCCACCAGTCAATGCTCTGACAACTCACTGCTTCCACTCATCTCTGCCCATCTTGAGGATGTCGGAATTCTCCAGTACCCAATACTTGGAAGGGGCCTTGCCCTCCGCCGCCAGGTGGGCAGCGAGAACCGCGGTCCTACCGATATAGACCTGGTCCGAGCCTGGATACCAGTGTGAGCAAACTCCCCGAACAAGACTGGTATGGAAGGCATAGGGGGAGGGTGGGATAGAAGTCACCTAAACTGTCCTGCAGGCCTTGGCTGATCTTGTTCAGGTTCCCCATCAAACCCTCGAAGAAGGCATTCTTAGGCACCTCCCTCTCGCCGAGGATGGCCTTGGGCCGCAGGATGATGGCCTGCTCAAAGCCCAGCTCCTTGATCGCATCCTCGACGCCGACCTTCATGCGCGAGTACGGCACCATGTTGCTGAGGAAGCCCCGGGTGCCGGCGCTCGAGATGTACACGTATGTCTTGACGCCGGCCTCCTTGGCGGCCCTGGCGTTCTCGATGCACAGGTCATGGTCGATCTTCCACTGGTTGTCGATGCCCCCCGCGGCGGCGCGTGTGGTCCCCACGGCGTTGAAGACGACACTGGGAGTTGGATGCAGGGCCGCAAGCGCCGGGTTCCACTTGCTGGTGTCGGTCTCGATGAGGGCATCTAGCTTGGGGGACGAGGCCGTCTTGGGCGCGCGACGCGAGATGGTCTTGACCGAGGTGAAGAAGTCTGTCGCCAGCAGCGTGTCGAGGATCTTGGAACCTACGGCTCCAGTGCAGCCGAAAACAGCTACGGTGCTCATTTTTTTCTTTTGTATTCTCTTCAAAAGTTCAGGGGTAAGGGCAATCAATTCTTGTATCGAGTTTTCTTTTGAGTATCTTTCAAGTCACAAATGATGCAAAATATGGCTGTAGGGAATGTGAAAAGAGATCCATTGCCTTTGAAGATCTCTGAAACGTCATTTATAAATCAAGAGACATCAAAATGGTACGCAAACGAATGCCGCGGCTACGAATCCCGCATCGGCTCCACTGGACTCCGTAGGAGATGGAGAAGGGCATGGCTGACGCGATCATATCTCTTAGCCTTCAGCTCTTTTGATCAGTATTTAGTCAGTACTCATATGACTTGTGAGTAATGCAGGGACCGTTGCTGAATTTTTTTTTCTTCCTATTTTTCTACATGGCTTTTCTCGCTTGCTAGCTAGCTGTATGTGATTCTTGCACGTCAGATTTCGAATCTTCAGAGCAGAGGTTATATTATGAGACATGTCTTAGACTCTGTGTATCGTGTTTGCTGCAAGTCCTGCTTCTTTTCTTCTTTTGTCCTTCTTTACTTGGTCAGCTTACAGGGGGGGTGTTAGTTTGGGGACGTGGGAGCCGCACTGGTGACCCCTCAAGACAGAACCCTGACATACAGCACGAGCTAGCGTCAGCCATATCGTGCCTGGCAAGCTCCCAAGGCAACCCCACTGACGTGTGCTCATATACACTGCGGCGAGCAAAATGGTTCAGCGCGTCGCCTCACAACAAACGAACAGACATGAACCGGTAGATACGTTACCTCCTCTTCCACACCCTTCTAATCAATAGTCCATCATCATGGCAACGCAATACGAAGGTGTGTCAGTTTCCATAAGCATTTCTATCACAACGAGGTAACATTCCAAAATAATGCTGACTCCATAATCTCGTCTCCCACAAGTTGAACATGGCATTCAGTCCACGGCCCCCCGTCGCCGTCGCCAGATAGACATGTCCTCCTTCACCTCACAACTCCACCAGATCAGCGACGATCCCTCCGCCAATACCAATAATGCCACTTCGCAACAGCAACAGCACAACAACCCACATGCCGTGCCCACCCCTATCGACATCGTCGGACTCGTGCGGCTGGTGCAGGACCAGTTCAGTACGTTAGCCCGCGACGCTCCAGACGCAGACAACCTCAGTCTCCTGCGAACCCTGTTCGACGCGCTCGAGTCGGACGTGCTCAACCCGCCCAAGGGCGTCGAGGGCGTCTCCCAGGAGTTCCTCGACATCCTCGAGCGCGTGCCCAAAAAGTCGCTCCGGCCCGACGACGCCTGCCCCATCTGCGCCGAGAAGTTCCTCGACGACCAGTACCCGCTCGTCGTCGAGCTGCAGTGCCACCACTCCCACAAGTTTGACCTGGACTGCGTTGGGCCCTGGCTGCAGATCAAGGGGACGTGCCCCATGTGCCGGACGGACCTGAAGAAATACGATCCCAGGCGCAAGGGCGTCTCGGACCGGATCGAGAAGATGTGGGAAAAGGAAGGGAAACCGGTGCAGGAGGATGACGACGATGAAGACCCGGACATGCTCTACGGCTGAGCGATAACAATGCGCTCAAAGCATGGGGACACTTTTGGCGCAATGGCGTTTAGGGCATATGGACGGCATGATTTAAGGACAAGCTTTCCTCGCTCGTGATTCTGGACAGGTCTTTTAATTTCCGTATACCAACGATGCGTATCAAAATACGAGACAATGCTAAACCCATGCACATGCGGAAAAACCCTCGCCCCTCCCCCAACACCCCTTTTCTCCCTGCTCATCCCATACAAAACATACAAAACAAGGCGCAAACAAAGAATTGCCTACTCAAGCACCTCCAGGCCCCTTACCCTTCTTCTTCTGCTCGCCAGGCCCGCTCGCCTTCGACCTGTCGCTCTTGGTGGTCTGGTGCATCTCGCCGCCACCATCCTGGCCCAGCGGCACCGATTCGTCATGGCTCGCTCCGCTCGACTCCAGCGGGTTCCCGTCCTTGCCTCCTTCCTTACCGGCCGACTCCTTCTCCTTCTCGGGCCGCGTCTCGGAGGAATCAAACGCCGTGTCCGTGTGTGCCGCCGCGTCATCGTCCAGGTTGCTCTGCGTACCCTCATTCGAGCGGGGCTTGACGCTCTCACGGTCTTGGTCATCCTTGTAGGGGAGCCGGAGGGCGCACGAGGTTTGATACGCCCGGATGTTGGAGGCTCTGGAGGTTGGGACGGGGAGGAGGAAACGGCGGGCAGTGTACCGGGTGCGCGAGGTCGGTACCTGGCGGAGGACGGTACGAATTGACCCGAGGGAGGACATCTTTTCTCTTGAGATTTTGGCTTGGTTCTTGGGAGCTGGTTAGGTTGAGCTATGCTGATTGAGTGGGTGACGAAATAGACTTTGAAATTCTTTTGGTAAAAGGAGAGAAAAGGGAGCTCTGAAAGTGAATCTGCATGGGCTACCGAGGTGATGTAGCTCACCCCTTCGTTGGGCCACTGACGTCATGGTGGCTATTGACTGAGGCGACCTCCCACAGTCGAGACCCCTTCTTGTCACTTGAAGCAATTAATTGCTTGCACTTGGGCACTTGCCACTTGGGAATCTGTTGGACTAAGTATGTTATGAGAAGAATGGATAGTTCTGCAAGTCGACTTCAAAATATAGACTGAGAATCACAAAATGTACTTGAATGCCCAGGTGTAGTTGGCTGTAATTACAGCCGCCCTCGAGAACAACAGGGTTAGGGCTGGCTGGGCCATATAGTGAGAGTACTTCGGTATCCATGACATGATTTGATCATTTTCTGTTCTGAGTTGCTATCAGGTGTTTCAACAAACAGCTTGTCTACTTAGTATGTTCTCGATCCAGGATGGGCACTCGGTCATGGGTTGCTAGTTTTTCAATTGAACTTGCTTCAAAAGTGTGATGCAACACTGTTAATTCGTACTTGATTGTACAACTCAACTCACTTGTGGCAAGTATTCCAACATTGGAACCTTTCTTGTGTAACCTAGAAAGGGAATTTTCAATCACAAAGTAAGTACTCAAGTACTTAATCACAAAACTTGTTGAGCAAATGTCATTATACACGTGCTAGGAAGAGCACTATCATTCGCTCCTCATTTTCAGCAATATAACTCTCAGTGTTTGCAAATCAAATAAGCAATCTACATCCATTGCACACCTATCACACATTACTCTGAATACGTGAGAACCCCTCTCCTTTGATTGTTGAATGTGAAGCTCTACCTTGTTGCAAGGGAATGTAGACTTTCATTTTGAGCTAGAGGGCGCATACTTGCCAGCCAGTCTTCAAGTTCAAAAAGCTCGGCTTGGCTTATTATCATCGAGCAACTTGAAGAATTATAACACAGAACTGTGTCGAGTCCAGTCCCAACAGCAGGTTCCATACTATCATGTTTCTCTTGACAGTAGACCCCTACTCAAGGAGTGATGTTATGGTTTGCACTTGTATACAATCTCCACTATATCAAGGGTCTGCCGAGTGATACTTACTTACTTAACTTTTACTTTGATTCGCCTTAAATCAAGCAGGCTCATGCTGGCTGCGACTTAAGCAGCTAGTACTGAACATCCAAGGTTTTGACGAGATACAAATACATTCAAGACCAGCCAAGGAGATGATGAGAACTGCAAATTCTTGGGAAGCAGTTTCTGAAGGAGATCAGTATGAGATTCATCGATACCTTCTGAGCTCCGTAAAAGCAAAAAAAGATGAACTCCTACATATGTAGGCTGCACAGATAGACTGATCTCGGTCTCGTATGCAACTCTAGCGAGTCTATCAAGGACATCCAGAAGGCTTCATATTCCACGTTGCGAGGCAGAGGAGACCGCCGCACCAAGAATCCCGGGAAATTAACCCCCCTTTAGTCAATACACAAGAACAATCAAGAACAGTCTCAGTTCCTGTACTTGGACCATGCCTTTAGGTGTGCGAGGGCCAGTGAGTCACTGGCCCAGGGCCGTGCACGGCCCCTCCAGCCAGCCAACAGCCAGACCTGTTGATAGCCTCAGATAGCTGGCCTCGTGGCGTTTCTCTTCCTTTTCTCTTTTCTCTTCAGCGCTCAGCAATGCAATCTTTTTGCCCTCACACATTAGGTGCCCCGAGCGTCCGCTGAAGGAGTGCAAGGCGAAAGCCTTTGCTTTGTCACCGCCATGGCCGTAAGAGCCGTGAATTTACCCCTGGAAAACTTTAAGTCCACTGCCCAGGATGGTGATTCCGTCTCTCGAGGAGTCTGCCGGAGGAGAATCTCCTCCATTCCATCCTACAATTGCTGATCTGCGATCCAAACTCTAAATGGGATCCTCCGGTAGATCCGTGGATGGAGAACGCCGGAGGGACGGGGAAGAAACATGAAGAACTCTATGCGAGAAGAAAGCGGGGAATGTTAGTATCGTGGCTGTCGTAATCGGGTGCCCTTTTTCAGAATCCATGGTGAAGTCGATATGTCATATTATGGACCTTTCTTTCTCTCTCTCTCTCTCTCTCTCTCTCTCTCTCTCTCTCTCTCTCTCTCTCTCTCTCTCTCTCTCTCTCTCTCTCTCTCTCTTTGCGTTTGGAGGAGCGGCGGTCAAGGAAATGTGGCCAACATGCCAGGCATGGAAGCAAATGGGAAAGGCCGCGAGGGTCTGCTGCAAACTCAAATTACTGCCTGCGTGTCAGCAGCATAAGCTGCATATGCGTAGTTTCTGTCTAAATGCAGCACGTACAGTTTGATGCCACGTATCCGGACGCCTTAGCCAAAGGCAAACATCTGAAAAGATGGCAAGAACGAAAAATGAAAGGCATCCTTGACTTGCTTCCATTGCTGGAAAGGTTTAGAAAAGGAAGAAAGAGAAAAATGAGAACAAAATATTTGTAGTACACAGCTTCTTCATCCAAAACCTTGAACCTCCGGCCAACCACTCACTACAGCCCAATGTGCTCTCGTTTTGGCAACACAGTGAACACTCGCTCCTTGTACAAACGAGGCCCATCGGTCCCAAAGTAACGAGGACTCTGTGAAAATTGTCAGTCATACACTCCTGCAACAACAGAGACGGGTTTACATACCTCGAAACTCCACGAATCGTTTGCTCGAATCCATGCCCCCAAGGACCATGCGTATTCCCGAACCTCTCTATTGACCTCCTCACTCACCTCCGGAAAGTATGGCAAGTTGTTCAGATCTGTCTGGAAACGTTTCTCCAGATCGCGATGCATAGCGCCGATCCAATCAAACGCTTGCTGCAACTCGAACCTGTATTGGGTCATGAGGACGGTAACCAAATTGTGTCCATCATCGCCGCGGCTCTGTCTGTGGATCAAGAGTCAGTCTTCTCTGCACCAAGGACAGCTCATGTTACGGAAAGAAAGACAATAAAGAGACGCACTCGACATTGTACGAAAACATGTCGTTTGCTATGACGATCAGTTCTACCGTATAGTCTTCCAGGCGCCTAATGACAGGATTCTCGACCACGTGGTCGGGAATGTTGAATCGTGCCTGGCAGACAACGATGGAGGGCAGGGCGCCGATGGTATGACGGCGAATCTCGAAGTAGCTCTCCACGTCTCGGACCTGGTGGTGGGTCCGGTCAAAGGACTGCTCTATCACTGCGTCTGTGTAGCACCGCATCTTCTCTAAGAAGCGCTTCTGGGCAAGCGGTGTGAAGTAGTTTCTAGCGCTGAACCAGAACCTAGACAAGCCTCAATCAGACGAGATTATTACAACCATGGCAATGGGTCAATCGAATACGTACTGCCGGGTGATCTCTCCGCCGATCCATTCACCTTCAGGTCGGGGGGCAACGGGGTTTTGAAGAGCATCAATGAGTGCGTCGGCCTGTTTTCGCGTATCGATTTCATCGGACACATCGGAGTATTCGTCAAAAGCGAAGAACACCTGCATCAAGTCGCAAGCAACCCGGAGCCCCTCTTTAGATTGAGAACGACGTAGTGTTAGTTCACTTTCATATCAAGTCGAGGTGGAACAAAAATACAACATCCATACCTTTGTCAATAGTAGGGTAGGCCATTGCGGCCAGGAGGCTGAAGTCGCCCTCATAGAAGGCCTTCTGTGCTTTCGGGCTGAAGGCTTTGAAGCCCTCAAACCAAGCCCAGGACTCCCTCCTGCACTCCTCGTAAAACGGGCTGACCTTTCTGGTCCATGGCCAATCTACCAGGAGGTCCGATATGCGAACAGCCATGCCCGGAGTGATTTGTGGCATCATGCCATCCCTAGGAGGTGTCGTGCTGCCCATGTTGTGTCCACACTATCGAAATGTCTTTCTCGAAAGCACGATGTTGGTGAATATTGGGGTTCTGCATGTACAGGAAGGATATACGTCGGATAGTTGATGGGCCTTGTTGCTGTTGACCTTGTCGAAATGTGGGTAGTAGGATCTTAGGCTTGCAAGGGACTTTGCTTGTGAAACCTTCTTCCTTTTATCGATTTCAAGAAATATGACAGAAGCTGCCAGAGTGGACAACAGATCAAGATCCCAGCTGGCATATGCTTGGCAATGCAATGTCCATGGCCCTTCTGGTTCTCTAAACGGTATTCTCTTGTAGAAGCAGATCAATCCAAGGCAGCAACAGATATAATCTGCCCAGTGATCCTTCGTGCAAGGACTAACTAAGCCTTGCTACCTCAAGGGCCCGATGCTATATTCATCACACGATTGCCCTACATTGTAGATGCATATAGATCACTCACCTCGCGATCAGCACAAGTCAGCTGAGGATTATGAGTCCGCAACTGCTACTACTATGAGTGAACGGATCTGCTCAATATGTCTACCTTGTCTGGAATACTACGACGCCCACACTCCGTTCCCTGTCGATCGCCGAGCAGTTATTGTAAAGGGAAGGGGGGGAGGGGTCTCACGAGCCACTCTCGTAGTTAGTCAATAACAAACATGTCTTTTTCACTCAGCATCGCCTCGTCACCAGATAGGTACCTTGTCAAAATCTCTCGTGTCAATCTGGAACCCACCATAATATCACCCAATGGAGAAGGCGTGAAATAGAGTTCCATATGACATACTTGGCTGGCCCCATTGTAATGGCCGTTGCCAGATGCGTTGATAGGGGCCCCAGGACCTGGTTTCGTGTTGCATGTGAGCTCCTCCCCGTGTTGGGTACATGTGCCCGGTGCATTTTGGATCGTGTCGACGATTTTGGTGGGTCGCTTGAGGACCCTGAAAACAAAAGAGAGAACAAAGAGAACCTTGGGAAGAAAATTGAATTTACTGGGATCACACTTGATGCCACATGCAAATACCTCCTATATCATAGCAGCACAGTACATTCAAATAGAGTTCACGGGACGTCCACAAATACCGCAAGTTCGGCATGGAACATTTGCTGCGTTATCAGAAATCACTTTTTGTACTGACTACCACCCCCCAGGTCTCCTTATTCAAATACCCCTCCCTCTAGGTGAGCTAAAGAGACACGCAAATCATGAGGAGTTTCAAGAAAAACTTTGATGACAGAATGACCAGAACGCCTCGAGAGGATTAGCCTTCCAAGTGTTGATTCAACGTGGATACTGTAGAGCGCACCGCTCCATAGTGCCGGGACTGGCCCAATCCGTCCCCTGTCCCCAGAGACCGTTGACCGTTGTAGCTTCACCCGAGAGCTTGTGATGGAGAGTTCGGGACCAGTGTACTTATGGTACATGGCATCTTGCCACATAGGGCAAATGGATAGCAGCATGCCCCACTGGAAGGATGGCAATCCAGAGCAAAGCCATCAGACTGTGGGTTGCAAGACGGGAGAAGGATCCAAATCCTAGGTCTCTGGTCCGCAGGAATACGTAGGCTCCCGTTCTGTATGAAAGCCCTGTAATGCCGGTCTGGGATGACCTCTGCAAATGGCTCGGCGTGATGTCCATGTCGACTCTGTTTAACGAGCTGCGGGGATGTAACTCTCTGATAGTAAAATCTTTACAGTTCCTCTAGAATACGATAAACTCGGGCCCGCACGGCGAATCTAGTGCATGTGCGAGAGGACATGATTCAATGATGGAACTCTGCGCCATAATTAATATATCATGGTCCGGGCATATATGCGCTACTTAAAATTAATCCACCGGCGTCTAACCTGCGAATCATGTCTCCGATTATTTACTGACTACAGTATAGTAGAGCTGTCGTTCCAGAGCATGGGGTCCGCATTAACGCGCCAACGGTCTGCCGAAAGGACAACAAATGTTTCATTATGATATTCTTGAACTCACCCTCCACAAAAAGGTTCTCGTTACTTTTCTTCTTCTTTTCCTCTTCTTGGGAGAAGCATACTCTGGTCCTTTACTCTAACCCTTGCACATGGCATGAGAAGATCAACAGTCGATGTGAAGAAGGGGTCTTGCCGGTATAGAAGGTGCCTGCAAGGTCTCACAGTACATATGCCTGCATAATCAGGCCATTCACGCGTAGCGGGTGGTGTTGAATCAATGAATGATGCCTTGCTACCTATCAATTATTACCCCAGTAACGCCATTACAGCCATGTTGATCCTTCCAAGGTTTCGAGGACCACCGTTCAGCGACTTGGCGGTGGCTCGGCCCTTCATGAGAGAAAAGAAATTTCGCGTTTGATTGTCGTTCAATATGGATATAACTCCGGTATGCTCAGCGACTAGTCATATTCTACTACGTAGCGATTGACGCGGTAAGGAGGTGTGGTGTCAAAACTGTTCTCCGGGACTCTCTGTACAATCTCGGGAAGATCCCCACGTAGTGCACTACGCCTTTGACCGTATTTGTGTTCTTCAACCTTTACTGTGGATCCGCGTGGACGTCTTCGGGGTACAACATTACTTACGAGTAAGCATCCTATCACTCAGCACTGACGAGTCAGGCCTAGTTCTCCTGTGTTAGGTGTGTATCGATTCTGGAAATTTAATTAACTTTTGGCTACGCCTCGAGTTTTCAAGGGCACTCTCCGGGGCGGGGGGTGATAATTCGGGCTTTCCGAATGGATTTGAATCGTCTGCAGATATGACATGTGCTTTGTCGCGTAATATGTCCCGTTTGAGCTGTGTTGCGTGTGTGATATCAAGTTCTCCGAGGAGGATCGGCACCGTTTTAATATTATGCCTCCGGCTGGCGTCGATCACACGCCTTTGCCATGACTATCAGGTCTGCTTTCCATCTGCTCTCCGCTCCTGAGATAGTTATCAAGTGTCCATCACCACTGGCGCTTTCGTGCGACAAGCGTCGGATTTATGACTTCCGCTGTACCGGAGAGAGGAGCTATCATCGCCTGGAGGCTGGACTCGATCTTGATTCCTCTCAGAGCCGAGTGACGCTGTGTAACTAGGCTATGGCCGTTCTGTTTGCCCACAAGACCGTTCTTGATCGATCTAATCAAGTGATGGTTAGAAGGAAGGTCATTGTTGAAATTGGCGTGAAGACTGTTACCATATTTTTAAGTGCTGTATGGGCGTAATGAAAGTTAAGTGGCAAGCAGCGTATTAGCTGGGACAATTCTTCCATGCAGACAGTGTTACATAGCGGCGGAGGAAAGAAAACAAGGTGATGTGAAAGAAGCCCTGGCTTACTATATTATCCTAGCTTAGAGGGCACCACGCAATGATCAGGAGGGAGGGTGTTGGACATAAAAAAAACAAGATTCTGCGAAGTTGGCAAGTGTCAATGTGTAAGGTGAAAGAGTAGCCATTAGTCAATATCAACCATTGATATTACACGACCAATCTAAACGTCTTTTTTGGAGTTATACAACAATACATAACCTGTCAGGGCCAAAGGTCCCGGGTTACATAAGCTAAGTCGGGCTATATCTACAACTCAGCATACCCCCACGCCGCCTAGACTTCCCTTGTGTCCTCCTCAATTTTCACCTACGATATACTCTCCAAGTTGATTATTGACTCTTCATATGGTTGATAAGGTGAGGAGTATATTCATTTAATATATTGATGAAAAGCTAGTACTGCTTAACTGACTATTGTGATCATTATTATAGCATAAGAGATGAGTTTTGTGCCAAGCATTGCCCTTATTCTACACCTCACATCACAGTCAGAAACAGCAAGACTTCATAGTGTGTAGCACGTACTTGAATTAAACTTGAAAATGAGGAGTTTAAAGCTGTGAAGCCTGAAAATCCACCAATAATTCAGAGCGCTTCTGCTTTAAAGAGCATATTACCCTCATGTTTGACGTGAACGAACAAAACAATGGCATTCATAATGCCTACAAATATTTTGTAATCAAGAGCAGAGGCTTTGACTTAGGGTTGCAGTAATGCAAAAGGGTCTACTGCTAAAAAACACTCCTGAAAGAAATTAATGAGAAGAGCACAGAGACAGACTAAAGTAGTATTTCATAAATGATATTAATGTTGACAGGTTTCCCTTAACAGAACTGGAAGTAGATCTAAAACTTATTCCTTATGCAGGCTCGCCTGCTCCAAGATCATGATCTCAAGACTGATGTTTGTCTACTTCTATTGTTGGCAACACCCTTCCTCTCGTCCTATTGACTCCAACTTGAAACCTTGTGCCCAAGTCTAGTCAAACTGCACCAAACCATGCATTTTTATATAAAGATAGGTGTGTGTGTGTGTGTGTGTGTGCACTGACACTCACCAAGCTTCACCCTGCCATGCCAATCTTGTCCCACCCTCCAGGGCCTTGGGACAGCACAGCAGATCGACCATGCAGGACAGCAGCTTGCGGTACCTCCCGCAGAAGCTCTTGCTCTGACGTCCGCATCGCAGCCTCATCAAGGGACGCCAGTTCGACAGGCTCTTGTTCGGGCCCCGGAGCGGCATCCGACCTCCCGGCGGCGGAGGCATTGCTTGGCAGGGACTTGTCATTGACGCTCTGCCAAGCCGTGCTGTCTTTGCTGCGCACATCCGGGCTGTGCAGGCCGAATGTGGGGGAGGTGCTGATGCTGGGCTGGCGGAGGACCACGCGGGACACGAACACCTTGATCGAGGGGATGGAGCCGCAGATGATGGCGACATTGATCTCGATGAGGGACCAGAGGTTGATTGGGATGGCCATCACTGTCATGTTGTAAACAGCCCATATTTGTCAGCGTGGAAATTGAGTATACAAAGAAAAATAATATCAAATAATAAAAAGATCGGGAAGGCAGAGCTTCTTAAAAAGTCTTATCAGCAATCACATACCTGGCTGCTCGATGATCGGCGAGATGGCAACCACGCGCATAGCATTGAGCCTAACGCAGGACACAGCCGTGGTACTGGAGTCAACACATGTTAGCGAGTGCGCAGTTCAGGAACAAGAGGAAGGGAGCCATACAAGATACCGCAGAGGAACACGCAGATCAGAATGAGCTGCTGCTTCTGGGGAAGATTGGCCCTGAGGAGCGAGGGCAGCGGGCTGACGAGCAGCACGATGTCGTTGAAAATGTTGACGCCGCTCATGACGAAGAAGAGGGCGCCGCGGTCGACACACCAGCCTGGTTCGGTGTAGTCCCAGGCCTTGGAGACGGGGAAGCAGTAGAACAGGGACCCGCAGAGGGTCATGAGGCCGCAGGCGCCGATCCAGAGCATGGCGACCAGAATGGCCCTCTTGCCCAGCATCGAAGTCAGAAGCCTGCTTACCTGCATGGTCAGGGAGAGCTTGTAGAGCGTCTGGGTGGTGCAGTAGAACGGGACTGTTGCGTAGAGTGCCTGCACGCCATCAGCCATACAAATCTTTTTTTTTTTTTTTCTTTCTTCCGGTTTCTTTTTATTGCCCTTTTCTCTCCAGCCGCGATACTAATTTGCCGAGAGGCTTCTTTCTCGAAGGGTCTACTTACGGCGAAGAATTTAATCGGAGGAGGTGCTTGATCGAATACTTGGCCCAACCCGAATCTGATTTCTGCCGTGCCATCCCATTTGATTAACTATGCAAGATCATAAAATTGGGCATCGCTGTCGCAGAGCAACGATGGAGACAAGGTCTGGGTGCTCACCCAAAAAAGTAGAGACCGTATTGGCTATCGAGCAGACCTAGGAGCAAACCAAAAAAATGAGAATGCCTTCATGGATTCAAAGGAGCCGTTGCCAACACACAGGGAATTCATCTGTCTGCTTACCATGGCTGCTGCCATCAGGCAGTCGTCCCATCCTAGTGCTCTGACAAGTATTGCTCTCGTATACAATCTCAGAATGACTATCGTTAGTGCCAAGGTAGTCCATAAGAAAGCGTTCACCACCAGGCTATGGCAGTTGTCCACAATTGGCAGACCGGCTAAGTACCACATCTTGGCTCGTAGGGGAAAGGAGACGTCCTCGAGAAATTAATTGTGCTCAAATTAAGAGTAATAAGTATCATTAACATACGTCCCCTTGGTTGAATAGAGTTGATTGGAAGCATCCACGTCAGAATTCAAAAAGAGGGAATGAGAAGGAGAGGACAAAAAAGGGCGCTCGTGCCGTGAATATCTACTCTGGTCGAGGGAGGAAAGCTTCATCCTCTGATCCAGCACAGCGTGACATTGCATTTCCGTCAGCAGTAGTCAGCAGACATTGGGGGACCGTATTTTGATACATCATGCAGCCTTGAAGCACGGGCGGCTTCAGCCCCAGCGGGATTCTGACCATGGTTCTGCTTTCATGTTGTTTTCAGGGAGGGGGTTCTAAGCAGCCTCTTCCAGCCACTCCGATATGCTGCTCTTGCGTTTGTTTGTTGGGGGCGAGGGAGTAACAGGTTTTATGTCTCTCCTGCTAGTTGTGGACGACAGGACGCCTAAGTACTTACGCAGGAGGGTGATAGTCTCGGTTAGAAGCTGAGGTTCCGGGCCCGAGCCGTCTGTCAGCACGAACGGCCGGAGCCGGGCCCTATTTTTGGGTGGTGACAAGCCTCGAGATGGTCTGCCACCCCTTCAAGAAACATTTGGAATGACCAGAGTCTGGAAAGACTTTGATTTCAGCCATGTCAGCATCTCGAGAGAGAGAGAGAGAGGCCAGACCGCCGTCAGTTGCCCAGCACGGCATCAATTTTCCGCACTTCTCCTACGGCTGGTGAAGAGAGGGCCAGACCGCCGCGCGGTTTCGCAGCGATCACCCATCCTCCGCATATTCCTTCTACGAATTAGTCACCCAACATAGGCTAATAATGTTACTTCGGTTGAGGAAGCGCGCTGCTCTTTGCCTCGTTCAGATCATAGTAGGGCTGAGTGGGTCCGGTCCGGTCCGCTCTACCCCCGGTCTGGAGTCGATTGTAAAGGAGATGGTGACAATTATCGAGTCGGAGAGAAAACGGGAACAGCAGGCGTCTGGAAATAGCTGGTGCTTCTTGGCATGTCCGATTGGTATTGCCGATGTCTGGTCACCCTTTGATTAGTGGTTCGATGTTGAGGGCCCTCTGGACCGGCGTATAGGCATCGTTTGGTGGTCGTCACGGAGAAATGGAGTTTCAGTCCGGGGTCCAGATCCTCCCCGGATTCGCGAAGGTGAGTAGGTGATGACGAGATTTTACAATTGATCCGCGGAAAACAAGGGAAAACCAATTAAGAGATAAGAAGAAAGAGAAAAGGGCAGAGATGTTCACAAAGAATAATCAGGAGACGGAGTAGATCATGGTTCTGGGGTTGGTCTACGTACCGACATAAACAAGTGATGGTTGAGGTTGATTTTGTAAAAGGCTATATACATCGGCAGACCGTGGCTGAAACTGGTACTGAACGCCACAGATTTCAACGCGAGGAGAGTGGCTGCAGGAACGGCAACGACTGAGTTCGTCAGGTGGAGACAATTGGCGTTTGGACATGTGCGTGTGTGTCGTTTGCTCTGCTCGAGCCTCGTCATGCAGGGCGAAGTCAATAATGGAAACAACCCCTCGCATCGACTGACAGCAGTCGTGTCGTGATCCTACAGATCGCCGGTCCACGAACACAATGGGTGAGCCTCAAACTCACTCCGCATGATAAGTCTCTGGATACCGCGCCCCCTTGGTAGCAGCGAGACTCGCATCCTAGCAAAGCCCTCCACGCTGTGCTGGTCGGCACACGGCCCTCCTACACAAGATATGGCGCAGTGAGAAGCTCTTTGCCGGCAGGTCTCGGCGCTGCGTGGTCACAAGATTTGTATTACAGTCGTCGCAGGACACCTGTTTACGCGACGTCGTGTGTCGAGATAGGAATATGCATGCGCCTGTCTCATCATGCCTCGGATCGGGCTTCCTCCCTCTGCACGGCGAAGAAATAATTCCCCACTGCCTCGCTCCCAGGCACCTCCTTCCAACCTAAGCCGGGAACGTAGACCACACCCATGACCCTGGGAGCGCTCCAGCCCGGCCTCTGCGCAAAGTACCTCCTCAGCTCCTCGGAGTTGATGTACTTGGACCAGTCATGAGTTCCCTTGGGCACGATCTTGAGCACGTCCTCAGCCATGAAGTTAGTCGTGAACCAGCTCGTCCACGTCCGGGCGATGGTGCTCAGAACGAGCCAGCCGCCGGGTCTCACGAACTGGCCGCACCGCTCGAGAAAAGCAGACGGCGTGTCCACGTGCTCAATGACCTCGAACAGGCTGACAATGTCGTACCTGTCGCTTTCATCTCCTGGGGAGGGCAGGGTCTCGATTGTCCCGCTGACATACTGGAGCTTGCTGGCCAGGGAGGGATCCCTGGCGGCGTGGGCTCTCGCGATCTTGAGCACCTCCGGGGTGGGATCGACGGCGGTGACGGAAGCGGTGGTGGGCAGGCGGGCCGCGGACTCGGCGAAGATGCCGCCGCCACAGCCGACGTCAAGATAGCGAAGCTTGTGGGCTGGCGAGAGGGGTTCGGGCTGGACGGCATGGCAGGAACGGATGAAGTCGTGGCGGAGCGGGTTCATGAGATGGAGGATGCGTGAGGACCCATGGGGATCCCACCAGGAGGAGGCGAGGGCATTGAAATGCGCCACCTCGGCAGGGTTGACGGATGTGTATGCAGGTGAAGAAGATGAAGATGAAGATGAGGTCGAGGCTGACGAAGAGGCAAATCCCCTGCCGTGGTCTCCATGTAGCTGGCGCTGTATTGCTGGTGTGATAGTGATGAATGTTTTCTTCTTCTCGAGTGTTGTGAGTCGCGGAGCCGGTGGAGATCGAGCTGCCCTGGTGACTGGGCGCAGCAAAGCTTTTGAGGCTGCCGCTCTCGAAGGTGCCATGGTGTATATTTGTGCAAGTTTCCTTGATCTTCACTCTTCCCTTTCAGCCTCAATGGTGGCAACAGGAGTCTCTCTCACACACACAAAAATGAGACAAGCCTGCTGAGGACGCGAAGGGTTGTGAGAAGCGATGGTGATGATAATGGTGACGACGGTTGGTTGAGCTGAACTTTTTGGTGGCTCGGTGGGGCAAGGCGACCCAGATCCCGGTACTCAGGTACTCTGCTGTATGCCGTTGTACACTAATGGCGCCGTTTTGTAGCGGTTAGCTGCAGGGTCCTAAGGCGTCCATCTCAGGGGCGCGGACCGCCGCCTCGGCGAAAAGCCAAACAGGTCAGATGGCGCTGAAAATTGATTTACTAAGCATGTGCCAATCGCTCACTCAGCAGCACCCAAGTCGTCACTGCAAACCAGGGTGGGAGCGGGATCGGGACGTTCCCCATCGCGGGGCATGTTTGGCGACGATATTCTAAGACCAATCTTCCTTTGCCTACAAAGTACATGCATGCTCTCTCCCTCCATATTCTCGCAGTATATGCCTCCTGCTCCTTCCGTCTGCCCTTCCTGTCCTTGTCTCTACACTGCGAATAAGTTCTCTTCTGAACGCTGGATCGCCCTAAGTCTTGCTCACAGGACAGCGCCCTGCCAAATATTGTGCGTGTAACATACGAGCTCAGAACCCCCCGAGTGTTCCGGACCGACAACCTTCTCAGGACAGTGACGACAGGAGGGCTTCTCTGCGCTCGAAATAATATCTGCTGAAGGCAGCAAAACCTCTGCCTGGTACCAGAATGACCTCGGAAACCCTCGACCGGTCCGAGTTCGACTCGATACCAGACACCATCGCAGCCTTCCGTACGCCTCTTCCTTCTTCCTCCTCCTCCTCTCTTTTCCGCTCCCAATTGGACACACAGCGAGCTCGCACTGGTTCCAAGAAGGAAATGAAGATTCCCTTTGCTGATCTGTACTCATACGTGCGCAGGTGATGGCCAGTTCATAGTTGTCCTCGACGCCCCGACACGCGAGAATGAGGCCGACCTCATCATCGCCGCCGAGTCCATCACCGCCGAGCAGATGGCCTTCATGGTCCGTCACTCCTCGGGCTACATCTGCGCCCCCCTGGCCCCTCATCTCACCGAGACCCTCGCTCTGCCCCAGATGGTCGCCCGGTCTGAGGACCCTCGAACCACCGCCTACACCGTCACCGTCGATGCCGCCGACCCCTCCGTCACCACCGGCATCTCCGCCCAAGACCGCGCCCTGACCTGCCGCACGCTGGCTGACCCGAATGCCACCGCCGAGAGCTTCCGGCGGCCCGGTCACGTCCTCCCGCTTCGTGCCCGGCCCGGCGGCGTCAGGCAGCGCCCCGGCCACACCGAGGCCGCCACTGAGTTTTGCCGCCTCGCGGGGAAGAGGCCGGCCGCCGTCATCTGCGAGATTGTCGATGACGGCCAGGAGGTCGAGGGTCAGGCCATCTGCAGGGCCCCTGGCATGCTGCGCGGCGAGGCGTGTGTTCGGTTTGCGAGGAGATGGGGACTTAAGGTGTGTACGATTGAGGCTCTAGTCGACCATGTCGAGAAACTGGAAGGGAAGCTGGAGATGAACGGGTCATAAGGTGTGAAACAAAATTGAAGAGCCCAAAGGGCGCCTGAGGGTTTGGACTGGCTGGGTCTCAGCATGATCATCTCTTGGAAGCATCTTGACGTGGTGTGAGAGGAAAAAGAAACAATAGAAGAACGGCATTTATAGATATGGAAAGAAAGGAAGACAAAAAAAAGGACATTAGGATATTCCGCCGCGAGGCAAACTGTTGGGCCAGGGTATAGAGCCAAATATCATCTCTATTCATTCTAAACGAATTTCCTGAAGGTAGGGGAAAGCAAGTAGGAGGGGTGGATGAAATCTTTCTAATCCACCTCTCACCATGTCTTCAATTCGAATAAAGTCGTCATCGAACCTTTCACGTATCTCTTCCTCTGGTCCGTTTCGAAGACAAGTCATGAAGTGAAGTGCTCATCGAGATCCCACCCTAGCCAAATGTCTCTTAGATTTTGGGCTCAGATGTGGCACGCACTCTGATCATGGCATCCGAAGTCTCGTGCATATCATCCCGCCGTGAGCTAGCCTGCCTCTCTCTCATACACATTGATCGAGCTCAGCCCTGTTTCTGCCAGTCCAGACAATGCATCTTATGGCTGAGCAGACAGATAGACGGAAAACTGCCTTGGAAAAGAGTTTGGCAAGGCGTCCAGGCCACAAGACACACGGCATGGTGTGAGGTCAGCGTTGTGCACACAACGCCAGACTGTGATCTACAGCCAACCTGCAAGCTCTCGAATATATCACTGAGTGAGCTGACCGGACGACAACGAACTGCCCAACAATACCAGTATCCCGTCCAGACCTGACCTAGAATGCCTCTAGCTATTTTCCATGCTACCAGGTCTTCCGAACTGGAGTGTTGAAATGACGAGCCCAGCCAAGTTCTCTACTTGATATCGCAACCCGTCCTCCTCCTCCCCGCCCCTCGTTGGCGGATGAAGCACCATTTTTGTCTTCCCTCCAAAGGACCGGGTCAAAGAGACAGACCGTTGCGTGGCTCGGGCGTGCTTCAAAAAGGATTTCCTTCGATTCTTGCAGTTTTTACTTTTGAGTAGCATCATCGGAGATATGTCTCTACCAGGTGAAGCGCGGTGATCTCCCGCCCCCCCCATCGCTTCTCTGGTGGGGGAAGGGGAGCGGGTTTCCTTTTCCGGCAATCTTGTTCAAACATCCTAGACGTGGTTGAACGATCATTATCTATGATCACAGCAAGGCCTTATCAGACGAGGCTGGGCTACCTAGCCTGCTGGGCCCGATCTGGCCTTGCATCGTACACACACACACATGCACAAGGCACGCGCATGCGCACGCACCAGTACCGACTTGGAAGATCGGGCTCTTCCGCTGCGATCTGGCGGACTGAGCGTCGTGGCTTCTTCTTCCCCTGCCGGTCTCCCAGAAGACCCCAATGCATGGCGTCGTTTCGCATCCGTTGTTTGTGTGATATGTCTAACATGGTATATATGTCCATGCGTGAGCGTGCACGTAATGCCGCCTGTCGTCCCAGCTCACACAGACCTCCCCCAACCCCCCCCCCTCCTCCTCTCAAAGCCAGATCTATAGAGTCCGCCATGAGCCCAGACAATACATTACCGTGGGCTATTGTCCTTGTGTGGGGCGGCAAGGAAATCGGTACACGAGAGAGGGTTGGTAACAGTTGGGTAGGCCATGCGGGCAATACTGGACAAGTCTCCTTCGATCCTCATCCCAACCTTTTTTTTTATTCCTAGCACACCAGCACCGTCGCGCCACTATGTCTGTTTCAGAGCTTGACGGAACTCTGTGGACCTAGTTGGCCTAAGCAGGCCAAGACTGGACTGTTGGGACGTATGCATCAAGGCTTGTCGTGCTACGTGTTTCGTACAAAGCAATCCAGCCCAGCAGACAGACTTTTGCCCATACCAAAGTAAGTGAGGGTAGCGGTCGTTCCGCGCTGTAGTGGGTTTGCTGTTGCTCTTTGGTGCCCAGCACCCAGTGGCCCGCAGTGGCCCCCAGCGGGAGGGGTCTGTTCGAAGAAGAGAGTGCCTTCGTATTCCGCATAGAGTTGCTTGCGACCCTGTCTGGATCCAACGACTGAACGCATGCTCATGACATTGCAGGTCCAGTATCAGAAGGTTTTGCTCCTCTCCCCCACCCCCACCCCCCGTTTCCGCTGCCCTAAGATACTCCATCAATCTATAGTATCGTGACGGTTCCGCCGTCTGCAGACGACAGGTCTCCGGTGGCATTGATACGCCAACGGTCATCGCGGGGTCTGACCATAAAACGGTCTCGGTTTCCCCATCCGCCCGCGTCAGCAGGATTCCTTCTAGAAGGACAGAAAAGCTCTGACCGCCTGTACGGCGGCCTGCCTTACCGCCCAGCTGGGAACACGTGGAGAAAAAGAGGGGAGGGGGGGGTAATGCGCCTCCGGCAACACCTTGTCTTGATTCTCCTGGTTGAGTTGAGCTGGCCAGGACGCCCTTCTCAGGGGGAAGTCAAAAGATCAATTTCCCCCGGGTCCTTGCCGGAGGGGGCCTCTTCCTGAAAAGCCTTGTCATGAAGAGATTGGGCTGAGCTGGCGCTGTTAGGTACCATTTGAAATGTTTCCAATGTACCGACCAAGTATCTCTAGAGGACACAGCTGAGACCCACTCGGAAAGGCCACCCGAAGCCGGGGACTGGGAGCAGTCCCAGCACCTCTTCTGGGCAGCCAGGCCTGGCCCATTTAGTCGTAGGGATGATGACTCGACATGGGAGAGGAGATTCCGGTGCGACTGGAGGGTTCTGAAAAACACGCATTGTGGGAAATACCTCGCCGATGGTTCTAATCTCGGCGAGAAACTACGAGGCTTTTTTTTTTCATTCTTTTTTTTCAGAGCATGTTGAGCTGCATTGGCTGTACGACGGCGTGGCCTCCTGGTTGCAGTACTGAGTCCTTTTGCTGAACCTGGTATTTGGCAGAGCAGTGACGCAGGAACAGTTGTGATCGTCACGCAGTATCGTGCATACAACACTATGTATATGTAACTATTTGCTGGACTGCAAGCGCGTGGCTGTCAGGGTATTGCTACTTGTCTAGTAGGCACACCCTGTGTTCCATGTAATCGTCGGCTGTGAACGGAACGTGGTCGCCTGCTGTTATGGCTTCATGAAGCCCTGGGGCAAGCTGCGTTTCGACGCTGGGTGGGCATGAATCTCGGACGAGGCGGGAGCCTGTTCATAAAGTTATGAAGTACACAGACTAAGTTCTCACCTGACATGGGCCCTTTTGTGATGTCCTGACTGGTGCTCTTTTCTCTTCTGGTTATACGATTTGGTTTCTTCTCTTCTGTCTTTCCTTTGGGCTAAAGGGTCTGAACTAGATTCATCTTGGTGCAGACACACCATGTGCTTTGGCGGAGCTCATGCCAGCTGGTGGTACATTACGCCTTAGTGCACGTGAGAAATAGAGAGCCGGGCTATAGAACCACTTTAGGAGGCGATGCCCGACCCCGGATTCTCAACAGCAGACCCATCTAGCTCAGGGTGCAAGGTGAAAGTGGGAGAGGGGACGTGTCCAAGGTGCATCCAAGATAGCCATACTACTAGATCGTGTACGTGCTGGTGGAAGTCATTCTCCTATATGGGCTGGTGTGCTTCAAGTGATGATTCGCCGTGAGGGCAGAAGATTCGTTGCGCGGATCTCCTTGGAGGCGAGTATTGAGTTCAAGCGCACGTCCCCAGACATCTGTCGCAACGTTTTAGGCGCTGCTATTTGAATCACACCCCATCTGCGGCCTGCCGGTCAGCTTTGTGGACGTGCGTAGTAAAACATGTTGAGCTGAAGGGGCGCCAGGGTACCAGTGCGTCAGGGTAGGGCTCAGGAATCTGTTCGGAGAAACTTCGTGGCATGCGATGCGACGGACAGAACGTTATGCCTGCTGGACCAAGCGGGTCCTCGGGGTATGAAGGTTCCATGACTGATCGCTGGAGCCGAACAGCTATTTGCGGACAGTGAGTGGAACCAGGAATAGCGAGAATCGAATCTCTCGTTCCACTGTTCACCAAAACAACCAAGGCTGGTGTGTCACTCGACATGAAGACTAAATGTACCGAGCATAAGATGGAAAATAATGCGTCATGGAAGCAAGCACTCTCTTTTCTCTCCCCTCTTCCCCTGCCAGCCGTGTTCAGCAGCATTAAATGACTTAAGCTGTCCTGGCACCCGCCGTGAGCCTCGTAGCCAATAGTGCACAGTACCCGTAACTTAGTGCGGCAGCCTTTATGCACCGGTGCCGCCAGAGAAAATAGTCGGAGATCAGTATAAATTTCACCTTGTGACAATACGGGGTCTTCGGATTGGCCGCCCCCTTTCGACTTCTAAAAAGATCGGGTTGGGGCGCGGCTGACCCATCTTGATCCAATTTGCATGTGGAGGGACGGGACGGGAACGCTTGCATCGTGGGGGAGTTGCTTCGTTTAAGCCCCTTGGGAGTTGATCGTAACCTTTGGATGCAGCAAGATGTGCTGTGCTCTTGTCTTCCGGCGTCGTCCATAAACTTTAATCAGGGGCGTTTCGTTGAGGGGGGAAAGCCGCCACGGCAGGCGAGATGGACGACGCTGGGTGAGCACGGGGCGCCTGCAGATGACGCAAGGCTACTTTGCCTGTAGTCGGGCTGCCTTGTCGTTGCGCAGTAGCCAAATTGCATCCAGTAGTACTTGAAATAGTGCCACACGAACCAGCCCAGTTGGCCATTTGGCAGAGCCTGCACCAACATCATGGTTCTATCTCAGTTCGGACGATGGTCTCTGCGACACGCCCAACCTTTCTCGGACTCTTGGGCTTTCTTCACCTGTCTGCTCGCTTTATCAAAGAACCCTCGCCGCATCACTTCGCTTCGCCTTTGACCGCCTCGGGGAGTGGGCAAGGCCAGCGAAGAGCACCGTGCGCCAGTTTCGAAGTGGCCCCTGCCCCCGTGCCCATGAACTTTTGGCTTGCTGGCAGTGGATAGGTAAGTGGAGACAAGTGCAGCAGGGGTGCGTGTGGCCCGGCTCTCTCACCCGCCGCAGCGAGGGTGTCCACGTCTTCTCAAAGGTTTCTGGAAGGCTTCCTTTTCTGGCTCATTTATTTCAGCCCCCTGTTCATATGCAATGCATGGACCAACTAGCCTGTTGTGCTCCCCACCGTGCTGTTCCTGTCCATTTGATACCATGCCACCAATCCTGGAGGGACGAGAATGGGTCGTTGCCGAGACCTTTTCAGGGACTCCCCCTTTTTTTTTCCCCCTTCCTTTCTTCTTCTTCTTCTTCTCTCTCTATTTCCCAAAATTGATCTATGCAATAGGCGAATAGAGAGAGAGGGGCAACAAAGGGAGAAATTGGCGGTAAGATGCCGGAAATTGTCGCCTGCTCGAGTCGGCTTGCTGTGTATGAGGTATTGGGCCGGCACTTCGAGTTGCAATGGGGATCGCCAACTGCAACGATGCACTGGCCATTCGCCATGGACCCAAGGCTCGCTGGAATCCCAGACTGAGGGGTCCAAAGTGAGGCTGAACAGTCGAACCGTGCTCCCGTCGACATAGTCCTCCGCTGCTACCTTGTGACCCAAAGATAGTTTGCGTCTAGGTGGTTTGGGCAGTCCGAGCGTCCAAGCGGGAAAGCCTGACGCTGCTCTTTTCATGCACATGATAATGTAGTAGCTAGTTCGGACCATCGCGCTCGGGACACTGCAATGGCTCATGAACGAGCTACGACCAAAGCATCGACGTCGTGTCGTCTGTCCCACTGATCGTCCCGCAGAATATACGGTGAAGTGGTAGGGACTGCTGAAGCTCTAGGTCCAACGCATCCTGTGGATCTCTCTCTAGGTACCGCACTACATCCCACGGAGGGGCCGCCCTCACCCCCGTCCTGAGATCAGAGCAGCGGTTCCGCGATATGAGGTGGCACTCGGTGGTTATCGTCCATACAGCAGGTTGGGCATTCGAGGGTCTGCAAGACACTCAAAGCAGGGCCCAACAAGCCCACGAATTTCTTCACTGCTGTGCTCTGAGCGGGTGTGTCCGTATGTGTGTGTGTACTGTGGTATAAGGCACCCATGAACTGCCCGAGCGCCTGCATCGATCATGACGCCCAAGGCCGGGATTTGGGGACCGGCAAACGAGTAGCCTCTGAGCTGTTGCACACTGACTAGTCGGGACGGAAGTATCAGAGGCAGCCTGCGGCTTCTGCATGATTGGCTCCTAGACATGGGAGCCCTTCAACCTCGTTATCTCGCCAAATTTAGATTGCAGAAAGCAACGTGTTGAGAGTGATGATAAGTCAGTAGGGGCCCAGTGGCGGGTCGATGCCAGCGAGGTGGCTGGTGGTCCCACGACGACCTCATACGGGAAGGCCTCAGCCAGACGGCTACGTGCGTCGGGTGGGCTGCAGAGAAGCGCACTGCCGGTCATTGCCCTGTGCTCCTCCAATTACCGTGTGGCAAAGGAAGGATTGGCAGTTGTCGAGTGTCCTTGTGTCAGATATGATAGGTTGGCCAGAGCTGGTCGTTGACGCTGGTGCAGCAACCCACAGCAAGTAGGAATGATAGCTTGTCTGCTGTCTGATGGTCAGGAAAAGAAGGCGGCAAGGCTGTTTCGTAAGCTTTGGCTCAACCAGGAGGGGCAGAGGCAGACCTCAGGATCGAGCTTTGCTCTATGCCGCTTTGCCTCATCGCCTGGGTTCCTTCCCTGCTGGTGGTGGAAAACTCATCATCATCAGCCAATAGCTGATCATAACAGTAGAAAGGGACCAAGGTTGGTGGTCATCACATTGTTCCCCATCCAGGTATCTGTTAGAGAGTGGAAGAGAGAGAGAGAGAGACAGTGTGTGTGTGTGTGTGTGTGTGTGTGTGCGCGCGTATATGCTGTGCTTTGTCAAGACAATCAGGACTTCAGAAGTCATAGAGAGAGAGGTCTGCATGGATAATTCTCATCAGACAAAATGAGCAGCTTTGGCAGCCCAATTTCTGCTGTCTCAGATACATCTCATGGGCCTGTGCGTGGCAGGTGGGTTTAGTGGACCTGGGCCCCTGCTAACCCCCCTGAGCCAAGTACCGACTAGGTACAACAAACCCCCCTGTCAGTTCGTTTCAACAACACCTGTCGGTCTGCACTCTGCTGGCAAGGGTGGGTTGTTCCTAGGTGAGTCTTAGCGTATTTTCCCTCCAGAGATCTGATGTTTGACTGAACTGCAAATGGGGACCTGGCAATTCAGAGTTTGTTTCCCATTCTCTTCTAATTAATAAGACCCCTTGTCCTCGGATTTCTTCGTGAACCAGAAGCCCAGAGTCCTCCCGAGTCCTCCTATTACCTTCAATGTTACCTTTCCATCACGACCAGCACTGATCCCACTGATTGACCCTGCAGCAGTCATTGTGCACAGGAAAGCAGCGTTTTGCGACAAGGTGAGCAATTTCTTCTTCTGCCATACTCTGTCTTGCAAAGAAATCCTGCCCTTCCACCTTGTTCATTTAGGTGGTTTGGAGGGGCGAGTGAGCCGAGCACATGCAGTGCCGACTCGACAAGGTTGGGGTGAAGGCTGCAGCGCAAGGCCAAGGTGCCGGCCGAGTTAAACTTTTTTAAAGTCGGCCAGCAGCTGCCTTCTTTCTGCTCTGCACCCTTCAACCTAACAACCCGCCCTTTTGCGCCTCGACACACCTTGAACTTGTCAGGCTGGGCGCATCAACCAGGACATTATCTTTGCCCAGTGCTATCGAAATTGTCTTGTTCTTGCAGCCTCTAGCCTCTTCGATTCTTCTAGAGGCTGACAGCGTGTGTCCTGCACTTGGGTCTTGCTACCTTCTCTGTCATCCTTCTGTACAGAACTGACCCTTCTCTTCCCTTCAATCAGATCTCGAAGAACATACCTTGATTCGACAAGCGCAATAACAATCAAACAATCAACTACATCACTGTTAGCCCTGCCATCATCCTGCGGTGCTACTCTCCAGAAACCCGACAACAAACGAGCACTTGGCACGAGCACTTGGCAACGTGGACCTCGAACAAAACGAAACGAAACGAATCAATCTTGAGTGTCCCTCGGCCATCTTCGATCACCAGAACATTTCCCCCCTTCACGACGAGCCGACCTTTACCAGATCTGACGAGAAGGAACAAGACGGCTTCGAGTTGAACTACATGCAACAACCTGGTATCTCCTGGAAATATTGTCCTCAAGAGCTAGGAAGCTGCTGCTTTGTACTACCAAAGGCAAAGCCAGATAATACAAACCCATCACCATCGAGGCTCATTACATCCAAGGTGAGTCGAGTTCCTATTGGTGATCTATGCTACCTGTCGCAATCTGTCTGGCTTGGAGTGCAAAGGTGGAACTCAGTCCTGCCTCCTGAAAGAGCTTTCCTCTATCAGGCACAGTCTTCCACACCATCAACGCACTGGTTTTTTGCCATCTGAATTTGTGGTGGGATAGAGGCTATTTTGTCTTGGGAGTCAAAACTGACGTCTGATGAGGTCCAGTTGCATTGGCCATAGCGCGTCTATTGACATTCGAGACGCGGGTGCTTCTGCATCTTGATCCGTGCACGACAAGGCTCCACACCCCAATCCTCACCACAGACAACCACCCCTGGATGACGAGCTGCGCCACCACGGCCTATCACGAACACGCCTTTTCCACTGTACATTTCGCCTCAGTAAGCCTCAATATTTCTCTCACACCATTCCTTGATATTACATTTTCCCTCAAGTGGAGACAGGAGAGAGAGAATCGTGCAATGCAAGAGAATCCATTTGTCTTGATGCAGCTGGCCTCAACTCCTCGCTCCTGTCCTGTCCACTTGGGGTCTCATGGTGCACCACACCCCTTGACAATTTTGATCTGTCACTTTGATGGCTCTCGTCACCACTTACAAGTTGGCATTCCATCTCCTCCTCCCCGCCTTGGACCATAGCTCTGGCTTATTGCTAACAGAAATTCTAGGCAATCCGCTGGGCTTGATCTGGCACCCTCGCCTGCGCTGCCGTAACCTCTAACCGAAACATTTTGGTGTTGTAAGACACATCTTATTTCCTTACTGCGGGAGTGTAATTTCCTTGCGGTTGAGGCAGTGATCCGTGCACGGCATCACCTCTGTCCAACCTTTGAGAGCCCTCTTTATGTCTGGCCTCTGCTTAATTATGTCTTCTCCAGCACCACTTGAGATTATGGGCATCACCAGCATGCTGAACCAGAACGGAGCCACATCGGTTATTCAGCCTCCTCAGCCTGTTCTAGGCACCATGGCCGACCAGCATGCTGTCCAGCAGCCCCCTCCCGTCTCCATTGAGCGCGCCGACTCCCCCCACGGATCCGAACACTCGAGATACTCTCAGCCCCCGATGAGCGGCCATCTCCAGGCTGCCCGACCTTACGGCTCTCCCACCTCCATGCATGCTTCCCTCCACATGCCCGAGCCCAACATGGGCCCCAGCGGCATGGCATTTCCGTCTATGGCACCCGAACTGTATGCGCCGCCTCAGCCCTTGAGAGCTCCCGATGCTACCAGTCAGCCAGCCCCTAAAGCCTACGCATGCAGCACTTGTGGCAAGGGCTTTGCTAGACGGAGTGATCTCGCTCGTCATGGTTCGTATTTCCTTTCAATTTTTTTTTCTCAGATGGGGGGGGGGGGTGGGGTGGGCGGGCACGCTTTTCTTTTTGTCAAGGCTGGTCTAATTCTTGATATAGAACGAATCCACACGGGAGTACGACCTCATGTCTGCGAATACCCCAACTGCGGCAAGCAGTTCATTCAGCGGTCGGCCTTGACCGTTCACCAGCGTGTTCACACTGGAGAAAAGCCGCACATGTGCGAGCGTTGCGGAAAGGTGAGCTTGCTCTTGGAGCCCAGTCCCTTTTTCCTTACAAGCGGTGGCCAGCTACTGACAGGTTCATCTATATAGCCCTTCAGTGACTCTAGCTCTCTTGCGCGACACCGTCGGATTCACTCCGGCAAGCGGCCGTACAAATGCCCGTATGCCGATTGTCAGAAGACTTTCACTCGCCGAACGACTCTGACGCGTCACCAAAATCACCACACCGGCACGGTTGAAGATGCTGCTAGAGCCACTGCCGAAGTCTTGGCCAGGAACAGTGTCGCGCGATCCGCGTCTGCTCGCCCCACCCGATCTGAAGGTGACCAAATCTCCAACCACGGTTCCCCCCTCTCGACGCCGTCTCCTGCCCAGAGGACCATGTCAATGTCGCCCAGCGCCGAGTTGGCCGCCGCCAACGGTATGCAGCACCAGTACAATGGCAACAGTTCCTTGCCGGCCCATATGCGCACCGACTTGCACTCGAGCAGTCCCGCCGCTACGACGTCGTCTGGGTTCAGCAGCAACGTTCGGCCGACCTCTCATCCCAATGCTTACGGTGCGGCGCCTCCACCCACAACGCTCGAGCCGAGCATAGAGGGCAGCCAGGGCCCTGGAAGTGCTGTGGGCAGCCCCCACATGAGCAGCGTCGGCTGGGCCTCTCCCTCGCACGTGGCATCTCCTGCCCACAGCAACAGCGGCGGCAACAGCAGCTACGTCTATCCGGACCCTGATTCTTCCTATCCAACAAACGCTGCCGCACAGGGACAGATGTTCTACTCCGCTGCCATGGGTCTGCAGAGACCTGGCAGTGCTGAGCCAGGTGCGCAGTCAGCTTACAAGCCACGGCAGAATGAGCTCTGGGCGGCTTAGTAGGCCATTTCAGAATTCTCCTGACGATGCACGCAGCCCGATGCAGAGTGGAAGTTTAGGTTTCTGTGCTTAGGGGCTGCACGGATGTATCATCAATGCCATTACTTTCAGGGCCCGTGCCACACACGCAAGCCAACTTTGCAAAGATTCCGCCCCTGATCCTGATTCCGGAAAGCAATAGCTTTGCTCGCGGCAATTGCATGGATCATCCATCATCCAGTGTTGTTATAATATGGACCTCGCTACACAATAATGGAATTGAACTACGCGGTGCAAGTTCCACATAATGAATGAGGTTGGCCTCAAGGCTTTTTTTTTTCTTTCCTTTTTTCTTCTTTGGTTTTTGTCCCGCCAATCACTCTGGTTTTCCTCACTCTTTTGAACTGGGCTAGGTTGGGCAAGGGGCATCGGTTGGCGGGAGCACAGGATCATTGTGGAACTCATCACTTCATCTGAGTTCATTCCTTGGACGATGGCGCAAGCAGTCGCGTGGACAAGGTCACGGTGTTCAGGAGCAGGCCGGGCAGGGGTTCTCATTCCATTTTCTTGATCTGCTAGAAACGGCGAAAAGTTAACCGTCTTACATGTTGTTCTATATAATGGATAGGCACCCGGCGACTTTCGACGATTAGACCAAAAAATAAAATGGCAATTCGGAAGTACACAAGATAATACATGTTCCCTCATGGTACTTGTGATGTCGATGCTTCTTTTTTAAGCAAAAAGAAGAGTAGACCGATGGCTGATCAAGCCTAGGTGATGCGATGGTCCTCGTCTGGAAGGCAAGCTCTGAATCAATGGCATCTCATGGCCAGTGAAAGAGAAAAATATAGACCACAAAGCAGTGCTCAGTCCTTATTACTAACTTCGGACTCGGTGCTGGAGCAGGGCCACCGAGGGAAGAGGATAAGAAGAGGAAAGCGTATTCTCAGGGCTATTCTAGAGAAGGGCTTTGGGACGGAGAGAGCGTAATGGAGACGGGCTGTCACTGGGGTCACAAGAGGGGAGGGGGATTACTTGGCATGTGAAAAAGGGGAAGATTGAGTTGAGGTGGGCGGTCCTGGGAGCCCGGGGAAGAGGGGCTCTTAGGGGGGAAGTTAGGTGTCTCCCTTCATCTACCAGTTGGCAATGTTTTCCGTCTTGGAGAAGTAGATCCCGAGTGCTGCTGAATAGTGGGTAGAGAGAGGGTCACCAAATGAAATACCGCATGTAGAGATTGTTCAGTGTCATTTTATTCCTTTAAGCGCCTTGCGGCAGATATGAAGGTGCCTTCTTTGTCGTGCAATCTTGACTCTCTCTTGTAGAGACTATTGTCTCGCCGTCAACACCTTATAGATGGTGACATTTTTTTGGGTTTTTGGAGGGTTGTAGAATTCCTGAACGCCGTCTGTGATATCAAGGCCGAAGTGAGCACAATCTGATGGCCTGGACCGTCCTCTTTGGGAACCCCCCCCTCTTTCCCCGAAAGACCTTCTCTGTTCCATCCTACTCCCAGAACGCCATGAATGTATGCAGTAATGTTTTTTAGGCGCGTGATGTGTGACAGTAACCACCCGAACTCGTCGGTCGAGGGCCCCCGGTCTCCCATTACGCTGCTTCAGAGGTCCTTGAACATGGAGAGGTGCCCCTTCAAGTGAGTGTTGGTGACGTTCCTGGGGGCCTTCTTCTTGGCCTTCTTCTTGGGCTTCTCGACCTTGGCGTTGAGTACCTTGAGCCGCGGGTCCTCGCTTGCGGGCTTCTGCCCGGCGGCTAGGAGCAGGCGGTTGATGTCGTCGACGATAGGGACATTAACCTTGTGCCACATGACCTGGAACTCCGGGTCGACGTTATTCCACAGGCTGGCGTCGTCCTGCCACACGTATCGCGGGTGGTTGTCCTTTTTGGTGCGGACGACGAGGATGCGGTGCTCGCGCTCGAGCTCGGTGATGGCCGGGTACAGCCGCTCGCGGGGCCAGCCGTCCTCGAGGTCCTTGACGTGCACCAGCATGGCGTCCTTCTTGGCCTGCAGGTATGCCAGCAGCGTCTCCTTGCTTCGCACGCCCGGTATGACGGGGTTGTGACGGTAGGTGCCCGAGTGCACACTCTGCTCGGTGACGCCGGGGTCAGGCGTCCACCGTACGCGCGGGTGGCGGCGCATATTCTCGACGAGCTCGGCCCACTCAACAGGCGACTGCGGGCGCCGCGTCAGGTGGTCCACGATGTCGTTGATAGTCAGGTCTCGATCCCGCTCCTTGAGGTGGTTCACCGCGTACACCATCTGTGTGCCCAGCTCCGCGCCCGTGCCCGTCAGCGCAGGCTGCGAGTAGATCTCGATGCCGTCGCCGGGCCGCCTCTTCTTGGTCGGGGTGTTGTTAGCTGCGGTGCCTGTCATGGCGGACGAGGTGGACGCTACCGAGGGCGAGGGTGAGGGCGGCGCGAGGGTCGACTTGGAGTCCTTGGTCAGGTCGACCACCGTCTTCGAGGCTGCGCTCGCCACGCGCTGGCGCTCGAGGAACGACATTTCTCCTTTCCTTTTTTATTACGATTATTATTATTGTTGGCTTTTGGCTTGGTTTCGGGGAGCGGCTGATGGAAGGGGATGACTGGCCCTGTCGAGGTAGGTAGATGGACGATTTGGATGAAGGCTCCTGCAGCTGGCGAGGTCAACGTCGAGGATGGGAGGGAAGTGGTCGTGGGGTGGTTGCGGAGTTTGAAGGAGAGAAAGGTTGGCGGTGGTTGCAAGGCTGAGACAGAGAGTGACGCCCCAGGGCATCTAAAGTGGTTGCAGGCCGCCTGTGAATAGGTAGAGTGGTAGATCAGGGTGGGCACCAGCGCTAGCTAAGGTGCTAGCTGATTTAGTGGGTAGATTGCCGGGTGCTAAATCGAAGATCGAAGTGGCCTTTTGGTGTCTACTCACCTCGGACTTTTTGAGGCTTGAATGATTCGTCAAAGCCACCTAACAGAGAAAAAATGTTGAGAACAGTGGTCTTGATTTTATATGCTGTACTGTAGACCCTGTCTATCTGTGTAGTAGAAAAGAAGATAATTGTGTCAGATTCTAACAGGCAAAGCCTAAAAAGACCCCAGCGAAATGTAGACTCAGGATTGAACATTTCCCAGTCAATCAACAGCAGCCTCAGATACCACGTCACCCTTCGGAAATCTTTCCCTCATTTCCCTGACTGGACTGCATGAATTACTTGGGCAGTATGAAAGAGCCATTGAGCCATCCAACATAGAACTTAAATTGACCACAATGTAGCCAGACACCTATCTTCGCAAAGGCTCTATCACAAAGCCCAGAAATCTTAAGAAACTCTCCTCAAAAGCAATAAAGAATAAGGCAGAAGGGTCGGTGACAGTCCTCCAAGTAGACCATGGCTCCTGAGGGCTGGGACTAGTATTGTGTCTACGGGCAAGCACTAAGGCAGATGGCCCTCACAACAGAGAAGCACATGCCGGTTCCCTCCCATCGCACCAGCCAAGTCCAGGCCTCGTCTTGTAACACCACCTAAGACTGCTGCTGGGCCTGCTGGGCCTGCTGGGCCTGGAGGTACTGGTAGGCAAAGTACGCCGCCGCGCCGCCAATGAGGACGATCGCGTAAATACCAATACCGAGGCCGGTGGCATCGCCTGTCGATGCGGCGGGAGCGACGGCGCCAGGCGTGGGGGCCTTGGGGGTTGGGTCGCCGGGCTAGAGATAGGGGAAGAGAGGCAGCACTGGTCAGCTTTCAGGTTTTCATACGCGCGCGTTTGTGTAGCCAAGGCATTGGGCGGGTTGGGTGGGTACTTTTGCACCTTGTCAAGCCTGGATGATCGGTGTATTGATCTTCCAAGACCTGCAGCATGCATGTAGAGGAAATCGAGCGGGAGGGTGTAGGACGTACCTGTCTCTTCAGCTGCCCGACCTGAAGCTGGTCCAGTGTCTCACGCGCCTCATCGCTGTGACCGACGTCCTCGAACGCCTCGGTCGCGTCCTGTCCAGCGACATCCAGCAGGACCTCCTCGCCACCGCTGTGCAGAGTATCGCATGTCAGCCTTGTGTGCTTTCCCCCCCTATATTGTCTTCTTGCTCCCCTGGTATTGCCCTGCTATTTCCCCATGCCGAGGTTACAAAAGAAATTTGGGGTAGGTCCGGGACTCCGTAGACGAAGGAAGCTCACGTAGAGCCGTAGCCGCGGCACCAGCAGCAGCAACAGTAAGACAAGGCGGCTGAAGAACTCACGGATGCTCGTCGATGAACTTGGCGCAATCGTAGACCTTGTCGTGGATCACCATGAACAGGTCCTTCTTGGTGTTGTGCTCTGCAACATCTTGGTAGGTGTACTCCTTGGTCGCCATTTTTCGTTGCTTCTTCTTTGGTCTCGTTTGCCTTGGTTCGTTGGGGTCAACTGAGGGGGAGGGCCAAGGATGGGTTGGGGTCTTGCTTTCTCGGAGGGTTTCTCGATGTGCGGAGGCGTGATGCTCGGCGTAGAACAGCAAAGGAGTGCGAGCTGTAGTCGTCGACGTGGGGGGCGAGGACCTGTGATATTGGTATCCGGCTTGTTGCTTGTCTGGAGGGGGGGTGGAAGAGGAGGATGAGGGAGAAGAGACTGTTGGCTATGGCCGGGCGGGAGCTGATTTAGAAAGTCGAGCCTGGGCAGAGAACCAGCAGGACGGCGGATCAAGTCGAAAAGATAACGTGATGGAGCCAACGGTACGACGGCAGAGGGAGGGTCCCGAGCCCAGAGCTTACTACTTTGGAGCAATAGAATGTTCGATAGGCAGTAGAGGATTGCTGACGACCCCGGGAGCTCGAGGGATCGATCCCCTGAAGGCCACGCTGCACAAAATCGCTACGCTTCAAATCAAGCCGCTGCTATTGGCCAAGACGCACCAGTCATTCGATTCGGCTCGTGCACTTTCCAGCGCAGAACAGGGTAGCATGGGCCCCACGCTTGTCTTGCGGTCAGTGCTATACAGTGCCACTGTGTCCTAGTATGCTTGACAGCTAATGACCTCTCCAAAATGACCCCGTAATTCCGTATCGAGAGAGCTCCCAACAGAGCAGAATTTCCTCCACAGTCACAGTAATAATAAACGACAAATACGACGATGTGAGCGGTAGCATAAGCAGAATAAAAGTACTATGAATAAGCCGTCCTTTTTAGGGCCTTTTTAAATATCAGCACTGCAACAACGGCATCAGAATCATGGGGGCTTACGTTCTACCGAAGACGCCCTGGCTCTTCTCCATCACGGATCTTTATCGGTATATTCCCTCGGTCCGGTCGAGAAGACACACCCCGCACAGAAAACGTATCCGTCGGACTGACGGTCAATCTTTGTCCTCCGAGACAATGGTCTTGCACGGATCGGAAGTTGGTTGTTCATTTTTGTGTGGTTCAAGGCACTCTCTTCCTGCAGGCAATATGAATCAAGATCATGTCGGCTTCGCTATCTACTGACGTTCCGAATACGCAATGTCCACTGATGGCACCCCCTGCATAGGCTACGCAGGTTGACGTCTCATGCTCTCGCTTTCTCCTCAATGTCGAGCAGGGCCTCGTAATCGTATTGCCATGTGCTATGCAACCACCACACCTACGGATTTTACTCCGTAAACAGCCTTCTCTTCTCAGCAGGTCACCTCCGAGAGCTGCCGCCGCCGATGTCCTGGCCTAACCGGTAGCTGGCGACCTTGTCCCACTCGATCTTCTGCCTCGTCACCGGCAGCTGCCTGCGCAGGCCTTTGAACGCGCCCTCGCTGAGGCTCGCGAATCCCTTGTTCAGCTCCTCCTGGTACTTCTTCTCCGCGCCCGCGATCTCCTTGGCGATGGCGCTTCCCGTGCCCGACGGAATCGACGCCGTCACCGTTTTGTTGGTCACCAGCCGCACATTGCCGTCCTCGTAGTAGTGCACGTCCACCTTGATCGAGCCCTCGAGGGAGCTGTCGGACGGATTGAAGATGTAGAGGGAGCGCCAACGGCCGTTCCTGATTTTTCCGCCTCGGAAGTTAGTCACAGAGATCCCATCTAGATGACGCGTACGTGGCGGGTCGGAGTGTGTAGATGTATTTGGAAGAGGGGGGAGGGGGGGAATTGTCTTTCTCACCAGAAGTTGTTGGGGCTGTATTTGTTACCCACGACGATGATGGCCAACTTCGAGTCATTCTCAGTCGGGTAGACGCCGTATGCTGCGTTGGGGAAGTGCTCCTTGACGTACGTTCCAAGGCTCTTCTGGGTAGATTTCCTGCTCACACGGCCTGATCAGCACACACAGCCCAAGTCCTTGCAGCCACGACTTTTCATTATTTTGTGACAATGTGCCAGTCCGACGTACACTAGATCAAATTGTTGGCTTTCTAGCGCGTGGCTCTGCACACCGCTAGCCTTCTGTGTAGCATGATCGAACTCGAAGCTCGACGAGTTCTCGATGTCATAGTACCGCCCGCCGCCGAGGGAGTTATGCGAGCTGACGATGACCGCCTCGCTGCTTCCGGGCAGCTTCACCGTGGTGAACTGCTCCTCATTGTACTTCTGGAATGCGGGACCCAGCTCCTTGAGGATACTCGGCTCGGAGATGGTGAGGGCTTTGATGTCTGTTTTCAGGCGGTCAGCGTTGACAGTCGTCGGTCGGTAGCGGAGAACGGCGTGTGCTTGCCGGCAACAACATCTGAAAGCTTCAGAAGGGTCAGCCAGACTGCCAGGTACAAGTTTCCAGGGGGTAAAGATGGGATGGCTCACTTCTCCTGGGGGGGCATCTCCCACAAAGGAGGACACCCACTCTACGCTCTCAGACATTGGGTATTGGGAACGGGAGGAGAAACAGTGCGCAATGATCAACCTGGCTCAAAGAGCGTTGTAGGGTCAAGAAACAGAAAAGAACAAGATTCTCTTCGGTCAAGAAGGTTGTGGGTGTCATTCAATGTACACAATACGTGCTTCGAAACAGTCCGGATTGTTGTCAGAGCTGCCAGGCCGTCATCCCTGAGACTGCCATGGTGCGCCGCGGCGGGAGGACTGGTGGTGGACCCCTGTAGACCGCGGGGCTGTGGGGTAGCTTCTAAGATGTAGCAGCCGAACGCGGACTTGTAGATCTCCTCTCACTAATCTTCAACCTTCTAGTATCTGCAATGACATATCTCAGTTTTGTGTTGGAACAAATAAGGAGTTTTGAGGTTCAGCATGTATAAGTAAAAATTGAATGACCTCATACCAAAGACTCAAGCATTTCATGGAGTATTCTATATATATGTTTGCGCCTCTCTCTGTGCACCATCGCTGGATGATACTCTGTATTCTCTCTCTACCAAGTAAAATGGATCTGTCATGCAATGATTTTCTTTTTCATTTGCTCCCAATTGAGACTCATGGTGCCAGCTATACCATATTGGCCTTGTGCCTTCATGAGAATCTGGATCAAGTCTACAATTTGTGCGCCATATGCAGCCTCCCTGTTCTAGCAGCACCCTTTGGTAATGATATTTATATACGATGGTGAGTTTATCCTTGGATATAGATGGGATCAGTCTGGTCTGAATCCACACTGCATAATGAGAAGGAAGCGAAACAAAATGTCATAGTTCTAGTCATGAGTGCCTGAACCTGCCAAGCCATCTTCTTAATGTAGTGCGCTGGCGTTGGTTCTCTTGAAGATGCTAGTAATTCAAAATCTTCTTGATACCATCGTATATCCCTTTGAGCAAAACAAATTGGTCAGTTCTGAAGTTAGATGAGGGGGCTTCCTCGGATATAGTAACCACTTACTCGCGACATCGGGTATGTTAAACTTCTCAAACACCAGCGGCGTCGGTATACTCCAGCCCGCCAGCCTCAGCACGGGGGCCTCCAGGCGGACAAACGTCGATGCATCCTCCTGGATGGCCGCGGCGACCTCAGCGCCTACGCCAGCGTTGACCATGGACTCGTGCACGACTATACACCTGCCAGTCTTCTGCACGCTCCTGAGCACCGTCTTCCTGTCCCACGGGTAGATAGTCCGCAGGTCGATCAGCTCGGCGCTGATTCCCAAGTCCTGCTCGGCCTGCCTGATGGCGTTGAGGCATAGGTACAGCGGCTGGCCGTACGACACGATGGTCAGGTCCTTGCCCTCCTTCAGCACCTCCGCCTTGGAGAGAGGCAGTTCGTACGGCGCGACGGGAACCTGCTCCACCGCCGCGCGGTACAGGACCTTGGGCTCCATGAACACGACCGGATCGTTGCTCCGAATGGCCGCTAACAACAGACCCTTGGCCTGGAGCGGGCTGCGCGGCATCACTACCCTCCAGCCCGGCACGTGTGTGAACAGCGCTTCGGGGCTCTGCGAGTGATACAGAGCGCCGTGGCCGACGGCACCGCACGGCATACGCACCGTCAGCCCGCCGACGTGGCGCCCACAGGTCCCGTCCCGATATCTGAACTTGGCAGCCTCGTTGACCATCTGGTCGAAGGCGGGGAATACGTAGTCGGCGAACTGGATCTCGGCCACGGGCCGCATGCCTTCAGCGGCGGCACCGATGGCGAAACCCATGATGCCCTGCTCTGAGAGAGGCGTGTTGAAGACGCGGTCGCCGCCGTACATCTCGGCCAGCTTCATGGAACACCGAAAGACACCACCAAAAGCGACATCCTCGCCAAAAAGAAGAACCGACTCGTCCTCGGCGAGGGCCAGGGACAGGGCGTCGTTGATGGCCTGGAAGAGGTTCATACGCTTCGTGGCGCCGTCGCGAACGTCGAGGGGTAGTTCCGGGTTGTGCAGAGCGGCCTGGGAGCTGTGTGCCAAGAGGGGCGTGGTGCTGTAGTCGACGGGGAGGTTCAGCTTCGCATTGGGCGGGTGCGTGGAGTATCCTCGCCTTGGGAGGGTCATCTGTAAGGGTATGAGTGTAGTACGGCATGGCAGGGGAGCCGCAGCTACGGCCGCCGCAGTCCTCGCCAGTTGTCGATGAGGGATATGGCTCCTCATTGGAACTGAGTTCGAGGAAAGGAAGGGAAAGCGGAGGAGGAGATGTGACAAGATGGGTGTCTCGCTGGTCTACGAGGGTATCAAACAGTCACCTGGAGCCAGCAAAGGAACAACGAGCAGGATGGATCACATTGTGATTGTCGATTCACCCGAGGGGTCATGATCTCACCTCGGGGCTGGAGACGGTTCTTGTCTGGTCGTTGTTCAACGTTCAGACGCGGCTATTCACGGTCTGGGGAAATCTAGTACATCCTTACAGTTAGTAGCAGAGTACAAGATCAATCCTGGGGCAATGACGGCAGCGGGTTTGGCTTATTAGGGGCTTAAAGGGCTTGTCCATGTTCATTACGTAGTACCTATAGCCCCCTGGCAACCCTGACAACCCTGCGGGATGGACAGCCTTGGATACCCGGGACTCGGCACCTGCCAGACACCCCTGTTCACCAATGAACGACCCACCCCCAGCCTCCTCGCGCATGGGTGAATTGCCTGGGAGACCAGCCACCGGGTAAACATAGGGCTGAAATAGTAAATTCGAGATGATCCTCTCTGCGCGCAGGGCCAGCTGAGGAGGAGAAGAAAAAAGTTCACAGTCAATCGACTGCATATAAAAAAAAGTCTTGGCATTTTACACTTGCTTGCATGTGGCTGTTGATCCGTAGCCTTGTTGTGTTGTGCATGTGCAGATGCTAGTCTCAGCAGGGGAATAGGACCAGCCAGCACCAGCACTAAGAGCCACCATCTTTCCCGCATCTTCAACATTTCACACTTTCTTCCTCTTCCTCTTCCTCTTCTCCTGCAGGGGTGCTTCTCGCAGCACGTCACTCCGTATCTGTCACCCCAAAATGGCGGACCGGCGTGAGTCCAGACGGCCCCGTGAATCGGGCGAGAGGAGACACAAGAAGCGCCACTCCAGCAGATCACATCAACATGTTTCCTCATCAGACGGGACACGGTCTGGCCATAGCTCTCGTCAGGCTCTGTCCGCCGATGCCCTGGCCGCGCTCAACAACGCCAACATGAGGGGGCTCGACAATTCGAGGGACGAGCAGGAGGAGCTGGAGGAGCTGGAGAGGAGGCTGCGCCACGAGCGTAGAGAGCGGAGGCGGCGAGAGTCCCGGGCAAAGGTGGACCGCGACGAGTACCGACAGGTCGAGAGGGACAGTCCACGGCGTCATCGCCACAGGGAGTCAAGGTCATACTCGGCTGCCCCAGCACCGCCGGCCTATGACGATGTCGACGCCGGATCAGAGCACCACCACGAGAGGAGACAGCGCAGGAAAGAACGCTCTTCCAAGGGTTATGAGTCGACCCCCGAGGTCTTTCAGGATTTGGTGGCCGCCAGTGAAGACCGTGAGCGGCGGCAAAAGGAACGCAAGCGGAGGAAGGCTCCCATTGCCGAGCCGCCGCCAGTGGAGAAGGGCGATTCCAAAGGTTTCTGGCATCGTATGCGAGGTGGCGGTGTTAACGCCTCAACAAGTTATGATAGCTACTACGACAAGGACGACAAGGAGGACGCCTACTATGAGAGGCCGAGGAAGCGGTTTTGGACCAAGAGAAAGATATGTGAGTATTCTGGCAGATCGGCAACGCTCACGGCCCTGACTAACCTTTTTATCTCCAGGGATTGCTGCCGGTGCATCGTTAGCCATCGTGATCACCATCATCGTTGCGGCGGTTGTCGTGAGCAAGAAGAGCAGCAGCTCCGGCTGCACCAATGATCTGACGTGCAACTTGGACAGCATAAGTAGCAGCAGCATTCCCGCCGGCGCGCCGGACTATCTGAACCCCTTCACCTGGTACGACACCATCGACTTCAACCTGACGTACACGGACGCCATGGTCGGCGACCTGCCCATCATGGGTCTCAACTCGACCTGGGATGACTCCAACGCCCCAAACAGTATTGTCCCCGCCCTCAACGAGGACTGGGGCTCCTACGCGTCCCGGCCCGCCCGGGGCGTCAACCTCGGTGGTTGGCTGTCGATCGAGCCGTTCATCGCCCCCGACCTCTTCGACTACGACGACTCCCTCGGCATCATCGATGAGTACACGCTATGCACGTATCTCGGGGCTACGGCGTGCAGTTCGACTCTTGAAAAGCATTACTCCTCCTTTGTAACCGAGTCGACGTTCGCCGAGATAGCCGACGCGGGCCTTGACCACGTCCGCATCCCTTATTCCTACTGGGCGGTCCAGACCTACGATGACGACCCTTACCTCTTCCGCACCTCGTGGCGGTACTTACTTCGCGCGATTGAATGGGCGCGCAAGTACGGCCTCCGGGTCAACCTCGACCTGCACGCCCTCCCCGGCAGCCAGAACGGCTGGAACCATAGCGGCCGCCAGGGCCCCATCGGCTGGTTCAACGGGACCAACTCGACGCAGAATGTCCAGCGCTCCATCGACGTGCACGACCGCCTGTCCAAGTTCTTCGCCCAGCCCCGCTACGAGAACATCATCACCCACTACGGCCTTGTCAACGAGCCGCGCATGACCTTCATTGCCGCCTCTGAGGTCATCAACTGGACCACCACCGTCTACTCCATGCTCCGCGAGAACGGCCTACCAAACAAGACCATCGTCGTCTTCGGCGACGGCTTCCGCGGCCTGGACGCTTGGCAGGGCGAGCTGACGGGCTACGGCGACGGACTGGCCCTCGACGTCCACCAGTATGTCATCTTCAACAACGAGCAGATCGTCTACAACCACTCTGAAAAGGTCACATACGCCTGCGCGGGTTGGACTGAGCAGACCGAGCGGTCCATGAACACGTCCACCGGCTTCGGCCCCACCATGGTCGCCGAGTGGTCCCAGGCCGACACCGACTGCGCCACTTATCTCAACAACGTCGGCTGGGGCAACCGGTGGACAGGCACCTACAACACGGGCAATTCGTCCGACCCCCTCGAGGCCCTGACGCCCCGCTGCCCGACCACCGACAGCAGCTGCTCTTGCACGTCCGCCAACAACGACCCGAGCACCTACAGCGATGACTACAAGCAGTTCCTTCTGTACTTTGCCCAGGCACAGATGGACTCGTTCGAGACCGGCTGGGGCTGGTGGTACTGGACGTGGTGGACAACCGAGGGGAGCTACCAGTGGAGCTACAAGCGCGGCCTGGAGGCGGGAATCCTGCCCGCTAAGGCGTATGATCGAAATTTCCACTGCAACTCGACCACAATTCCGGAGTGGTACCCTGCGCTGCCAGAGACGTATTAGTCTCGTGTGGTGAGGGGGCTGGATTAGCTCCTCCGGCCGAGGTAGGATTATGATCACCTTTGGGATCTGCTTTTGAGGCGCTGGATACAAGATGGGTTTTGCGTGCTTCTTCTCGCACTGGCAGCGGCTGTGATTCGTCAACGGCGTTTGAGTGGGCACGCATCAAGCGCACAACAGCGAAAATAGAAAAATAGCATATATCTAAGCATTGAAAGTTCCATAATCAAAGTTTGAAAAGACTTGGATTCTGATTGAGTGCACTACTTGAGCCACCGCATCGTTCTACAGATTGGAATTTCACACAACACAAGCAAGAAGGTTGGTTGAAATTCATGAGCGTGATCATGACGATAGATATGTAAACTTCGTATTCTTATATGGTTCTACAAGTAAGGACTCGACCGGGAAGCTACAAGGACGGGGAAGCTGGTCTGCGAGCATGAACTTTACCGTGTTCCAGTGGAAAAACTACTAAGAACCTACCGCATAGACGATCGGCCCTCGGGACGGTAGACGTTACTTCCCTATTCTCCATTTTGTCAGCCACGGTTCACGATGATGGCAGTGCGTACAGGGCATAGATGTGGGAGGGCGATATCAGTTCGTGGAGCCCCTGTCAGGGGGCAGTTTCATCAAAGCGATTGCTATGAAGACCGTCGTGATAAATTTTCTGATCATCATATGAACGCCAATAGGAGTACATAACAGACAAAGATTGTACTCACACAAAAAAGGAAAATTCCCATAAAGCACCGAGGCGTTGTCAAACAGCACCAAAAACTAGACTTCTCATGTTGGTATTAGCGAAACTCTCCCTAAATACCGCAGTCAAGATTGAGAATGAGCCCGAATGTTCAGAAATGACTTGTATCATCTGTGCTCGAAAGCTCTGACATATGCTTGTCTTTGTTTTTTGTCAGATCATCATGTTGGGTGGGCGGGACGGGGGGGGTTGCGAAAAAATGCCAGACGGTAGGAAGTCACTCGCGATGAACTGACCAGGTGCCATCGACCAGTCTCAAAAGCTGCAATTTCACGCATAATCTGCTGCAGCAATGTCAGCAGGCTGCGTTTCCAATGTGAACCAGAAAGTTATCATATCATGTCTCTTTTCAGTTATGCATGAATGGTATAGGTAAAAGTGTTGTCTGCATCGGGAAACCCGAATAAGACTCGTCATCTAGGTGTCATCCGGGAGACGTAGGGCCAAGGAAGGGAAGAGAAGGCGTCAGACATACCATTCATGGTGAGAGAGACAACACGTCTATGTTCCCTATGAGGGAACGAGTATATGCTCCACTGTTGGCACTTGCCACTCGTATGCATGGAGTAAACTGTCGTCGAGACATGTATTAGCACGAGCTGTGCCAGCGATTGTCTTTGCAAGGTCGTGGATCGTGGTGTCGAATCAGTGGACGAGGTTTTCTAGGCCTGTCGCAGAATGGCATATCTGCTCATGAAATATGATCGGAGCCCAGTGCCGTTTCATCACGCAAGACATGAGAGAGGAGAGTGCGATGATATGATCGTACCGAGAGTGTGAACCGGTCGGGTCTGAAGATTGCAGTCAGTGTCTGGATTTCAAACATCGAGATGCAAATACAGAAGGAAGGAAAGATTGTAATCAGAAACAGCCAATTGTTGTCGACATGACGATTCAGTCGGTAATTCCAACTTTGCCGAAGCAAAAAAATTGTTCATCAGGTAGTGTGAGGTCTGGAGAAGGACGAACGAGCCAAAACGTACCGTCGCCAAAGGACGCCCGACGCAGCGGCGTCAAGATCGTCACGACACCATGAGTTAAAGGAATAGATCCGAGGACTACTGTTTGATTTTGTCAGTCAAGGTTCGCAGGTTGCAGAGATGTCATGTTCAACGCGCGCATCGTGTCTTGTCGATCAGACTGACGTTACAATATCGGTTTCATTCCGTTTAGGTCAAAGACTCTAGTTTGCGGTTTGGTGTTGTCATCAGGAAGAAGATTAAGGGTTCAAAGAAACTTCGCGAAACTGCTTACCTCGGGTTTTGGTGCGCACTGCATGGTTGACAGTCGATGCGCGGTGGTGTGGAAGAGGAAGAAAGGTTGAACGTTGTCAAGCTCAAGAAAATTTCGGTAATGGAGTTGGTTCGGAGCGGGACCATGAGAGCTCCCCCTGTAGTTTTTAGTGGGCCCACGGTCACCTGCTCACGCGTGCCTCTTGCCATGGACCCAATTTAACAGCGTCATCCAACACCGCGCCTACCCGCGTCTTGTCCATTCAGAACCAAGTATATTCTCAATCTGTACCTAAGAAACATGCCTGAAATTGCTGAAGGTACGACTCACTGGATCTTTTGATTTGTTCCCAGTCTGCTGACTTGAGATTTATAGTCTCGAGATTGGTGCATTTCCTGCGCCAACACCTGGTTGGCAAGAAGATCGCAAAAGTCCAGGCCCCGGATGATGCCAACATCTTCGGTAAGGTCGGGTGTAGTGGCCCAGCTTTCGAGCAGGCTTTGAAGGGACGCAAGGTATTTTATCTCAGATTCAGCACCTTGCTTATTCAGAGCCTGACATTCCCCTAGGTTGTCGAGGCTGGGAGTCAGGGGAAATACTTCTGGCTCAGGCTCAACGATCCGGGACCGCATGCGGTGATGCACCTTGGAATGACTGGTATGCACTCAGCATGGAGCCATCTTCGTGATATTTTGTGAAACTGAATATTTTCAGGTTGGATCCATATACAGAATGATCGAACTGCCTATACAAACTACTATAAGAAGATGAATCCCGAAGAAAAGGAGGCGTGGCCGCCAAAGTTCTGGAAATTTCAGTTAGAGACTGAAGGGAAGTCGCCGGTCCGGATCGCCTTTACAGATCAAAGACGGTCAGTAGGGGTTTCAAGGTGCTTTAGACTCCACCATGTGCTCATCACTGACGCTGTGTACAGTTTTGCCCGTATACGCCTGGTGGATTGCCCCGGAGCTGAGATTCGGCAGAACTCACCACTTGTGGAGAACGGGCCTGACCCAGTCGTGGATAAAGACACTTTCACGGAGCAATACCTTCGACATAAGATGCGGAGCAGACACAAGCCCATCAAGGCACTGATCCTCGACCAGGCCATCATCAGTGGCATTGGGAACTGGGTTGCCGACGAGTCCCTCTACCATGCGAAACTGCACCCGGAGCAGTATTGTGATGAGTTTTCTGACGATGAAGTCAAGAGGCTGCACGATTCCATCAAATATGTACGTTTTGCTGGTAGCTCCCATTTACTCAACCTCTCGATGCGTTGCGATTCAGGGAGATTGCAGTCTGAAGGCTTGTGTGCTCTGTGTTTTCGCACACTGCCATTCGTTGCTTTTTATCTCAAACTCAAGCGTTTTTCTTGACCCGACAGTCACTAATAACGTATCTTTTAAAGGTGTGTCAAACTGCGGTAGACTTGCTCGCCGACTCGGACAAGTTTCCGGATACCTGGCTGTTCGACCACAGATGGGGTAAGGGCTCAAAGTCAGGCTCACTCCCCAATGGCGAAAAGCTTGTCTGGATTACTGTCGGCGGGCGCACGAGCTGCTATGCGCCAGCTATACAGAAGAAGACTGGGCATGTGGTACCAGGTATCAAGGAGGAGCCGCTTGAGGAGGGAGACGCGAACGACAAGCCGAGCAAGGGCAGAACTAAAAAGGCCAAGACTGTAGTTGCCGACAAGGAGGATGTTAAGCCTAAGAAGGGGAAGACTTCGACCACCAACGTTCATGAAGACGAGGAGGACACCAGACCCAAGAAGAAGACAGCCAAGAGGTCGAAAGTTGAAGATGCTGGTGATGCGGAAGAGAAAAAGCAACCATCAAAGAGGGCAAGAGTCGAGCAGCAGGAGGACACCAAGAAACAGAAAACTCCTACGGCCAAGTCGACCAAAAATTCAGATGGCATTAACACAGTGGCAGACCTGTGGCGACGCCGCTCGTCACGATTGAGCCGCGGTGCATGAGGGCTAGGTAGATGTCATTATGATACCCACCAATTCCTGCTGAGAATGAGTATCATACATTTCTTTGGGCTTTTGGATACGTCTACTGTCGGCAACGCAAGACTCTTAGCATGGCGCCTCCACCAAGATGGCTGTGCCCCCTCGGCCTCGGCCAGTTGCTTTGTATCGCCAATTCAAGTCTCAACCATATCACGAAAGGGTGCTTCAGCCTTCTATATTTGCAAGCGGATTGACACCGAAAAGTCAACTGATGTTTTAGTCCAAATTATATTCAGCAACTCTCCGAAAACCACGGCCGTGATGCCAACATCCGGATGTCATGCGTCCATTTTGAAGCTGGTTGAGGCTTGTCACCAATAAAGCCTTGAATACTCTAATTCATCGACCGTCAGATCCTTACCTCTGCCGGTCTCTTGGAGCAAGCATGTGAAAGTCTGCGTCATCTTTTCACTCACATAAAGAAGCACTCATCAGGCCTTCAGGTCCAATGCAGTGGTGGAACCTCCGCGCAGGCGGCAGCATCAGAATTACAGCACTGATTGGGTCCGTCCTCAAGCCCGTCCTCGAGAAGGAAGCCTGTTCGCGTAGGCGAGAGGGGGCGGGGGTCTTGGTTCCCTTCTTGCGATGGAAGCTTCACGAGGACGAGGCCTCGGAGGGGAGGCATCTTCACGGCCGGTAGAATTTGTGTCTGTAGTCTCGTCGCGTCATCGTAGGGCGTTTTGTTCAAAATTACCCAAACCCATAGTCTTCTACGGATTAGATCAGACAATACCAGTTCAGACAACGTCACGGCACAAGTTGAGGTTCCATGTGTGGGGAAATATATAGGTACAGCCTGTTCTGAGAGACTGGCGATCGCTTTTCTCCCCAATACCACGTGCTTTTGAAGTGATGCTATTCATAATTCAGAAGCTACTCAAAGCCCATCACATACTAAACATTCTAAAGATAGATACTTTGTTGCCCGGATGCGCACCAGAAATTTAATCCAGGCCATTCATTTTGAGGATCCAGTATCGGGGCAATTCCTACTAGTGTACATCTAATGTGTGTGCTGTATCTTAGCAGGTGGCTGTGCTTATTCCTTCGCCCCGCTCCCAAATCAGGCTGCCACATCAACTGAGTGGTTGTCTCACAAACTAGGATCGAGATAGCATGATATGCATATTAAGGGACAGCTGATGAGAATGCTTGATGATCCTTCACGAGCCAGGTCAGCATCCAGGCTACACAAGAGTTGCCCTACATAAGGGCGACATAGGAAGCGTTTTTCGCACCCACCACAACAAAGTCAACCCTCCCAAACATGGCTGCCCTATCCTACGTCCTCAGCAGCGTCGCCCTCCTCGGCGGCGCTGCCCTCGCAGAGGGAAACTACGGTTTCACGGTCGGCGACAACTCGCTCAACTGGACCGAGGTGCGGTCTTTGCCCAACGCCACCGGCTCCATCACCTTCACGGCGCCCAACGTGTCGGCCCCCTTCCAAGCACCCGACGCCCCGTCCGTGCCCGGCTGGACCATGTCGATTGCAGTGCGGACCAACGGGACGTCCGACGCGTTGACGGCCACCTCGATCTCCCTGGACGCGCCGCCCAGCCTGCAGGCGGCCAACGGCTCGACGCTGGCGGACCCGAGCTGGTACGCGTGCGTGTACTCCCTGGGCCCCACCAGCAAGGGCGGGTTCAGCAACGGGAGCTTCACCCACGCGACGTGCGGCGACGTGCTGAGCACGACGTGTGTGGACGAATGGGTCAGCAACGCCGCGTCGTGGCAAGGAAGTGTCTACGAGAATACCACTTGTCCGCTGGTCGTAACTCCAGACAGTTGCAAGTCAGCCTTTGCGTCCACTAACGTCTATTCGGAAGGTACGTGCAGTGAGTGAGTGAATGAGTGAATGAATGAGTGCGTGCGTGAATGGCGGTCCTACCGTCTCGTCTCTACATTGAGAGTCTAGGACGCTAAACCCACCACACACATTCTCTCTCTCTTCCTCTCCTTCTTTTTTTCTTCCTTTTTTTTTTCCTTTGTCATTCTCTGTCTGCGCTTTTCTTCTTTTGGCTTGATCTATCTGGTCGTTACAACTTGTCTGCGTGGCGCCGCCACCTTTGCTGACTGGTCGGCTGATAAATTGAACGCCCCCACAGGTCGTCACGCAAACTTTAACGGTTCCGACGTGGTCAACTGGGCCACCTCCGATGTGACGTACAACGACGCCGTGGGTGGTGTCTGGCCCGTCCTGATCCGCTGGCAGGGCAACGAGTCGACCTTGGTCAACGGCGCCGACTCCAACGCCACGCTGCAGTGCGTCCAGGCATACGACGTCCAGGCCGGGAGTAAGCTGCCCAGTATGGCTGCGCGCAGTAGCAGCAGCCGCGTGGTCACTTGGGCAGCAGGGACCGCATTAGTGGTGGCGTTGTACGTCTTGTGAGAAGATAACTAATTGCCGTGGGTGTTGTTGTCGTGGAGGGGAGTGTAAATGACCTTCCTTTCTACCCAAATACGTCATTGCACACGACGATCTGGGCATAACCTGCAGCAGGAGGAGAAGCCAGACAAAGAAACGAAAAAGATGGAAGGCGGTACAACACGAGCTGCAGCAAGGAGGGGATGGGCAGGCCCAGATCACTTCTGCTGCAAGCTCTCGATGTCAAACCAACCGTGTCCTGTTTGGCAAGCAGGAATATGTGCACGCAATACAACCCAGGCGCCCTCCACAGGCTATTGCTGCCCTGCTGCCCAATCTAGCACCCCGTCTATGCATGAATAGTGCAATGCTGGGGGGAGGGGGGGGGGGCGTACTGGCGCGTAGGGTACTGATTGGACGAGCAAGATGCATCACACCTTGACAAGAAGGCAGGCTTGAGAAGTGGGCAGAAGCAGAAGAACAAAACAAAGTTTGGCCTCATGATTCTAGATGATGTGTCGACAAAAGGAGGAAGAGGCGCGGGCAGGCAAGGCGAGGCAAGGCAGGGTGTCAAGTGCTCCAGCACGGCCGATGCAACCAAGAAACTATTGGCCCGGTCTCACACTGTATGGGCTGACTGCACCAAAGTAGCCATGCTAGACATGCACAAGGTGCTTTATGGGAGCCGAGAACTGCCCATGGCGTGCCGTGAATGGGCGGTGGGATGGCCTCGATCGCGAGGGTGGGCGCTTATTCTTGTGAGGGGGGGCCTCGATCGGTGGCTAGGAGACATTGGAAGATCCGTTGGGCTCATGTGCTGGCATTCTGCATAAAGCATGTCGGACTGTAACTTTGGGTTGCCTGATAGATAACTTCCAAACTGGCATGGAAACTTAGTAATAAACGTGCTTCCAAAAAAGGTAGCTTTCAAAGGGAAGGAAAAGAAAAAACAAGTGATGACAGCAGCATCTCGGTCATGCGAAATTTACAGTGCAACTGCTTGGCTGTCTTTCCCATTCTTGTACCCATTTATGCAAACCGTATACACATATTCCCAACCAGTTGGACTCTGCCTTGCATTTTGTTACTGCTTTGTAGAAAGTCAAGAAAAATATCAATTATGCATTGTGGGGGTATCATATATGCCTAGCAGCATTACGCCTAGAAGCCAGATGCCTCTCAAGAAAATCAACCGAAATATTGACCGAAATAACAAATCATCCATGCGTTTATCGCGCCGCAGTAATACCCAAGACTCCTAAGGATGCTTTTCCCTGTTTCCCCCTCATGATATCAAGCCTGTGTTGGCTTGGAAGCTGAATGCGTAGTTTTTTTTTTAAGTGAACCGTCCCAGTCCCTCGCCACCGTGTATGCGTGTACCGATAAAACCTAAAAGCATATGGCTGAAATTCTGATGACCTTGCTGTGTGCGCATGTTCGTGTATGTGCAGTTCGGGAAAATCGCAGAACGGGAGGGTTCAAACAGCTCGAGCTCCCAGTGTTGCCTTGTCGCACTGGAAGCCGACAGAATATCGATACTCCGGACCATCCCAAGTGATCGGAATCAAGGTAAGGATGTTGACGAATGGCTTCCCAGCTTTGGTAAAGTTCGTAATCGTTGTGCGGTGCTCCTTGTTAGCCTTGATGGCCTCGCGCATTCCCCGGACGGTCTTCTTGTCGACATATTTCCGCGTCGAGTGCGCGGCGACTTTCCCGTCGGGCGCCTGCAGGAAGCGGGAGTTTCTGCCCTTGATCTCATCCATTCTCCAGCCCGTCATCTCCAGGAAAGAGTCCGAGGCGTAGACGATGGGGTAGTCTGGCAGTGCCAGGTCGCAGACGATGAGGGAGACGGAGCAGTCGATGGCGCCTAGATTAACCTGGGGGTTGGGTCGGGCGTAAATCCGGAACAGTACGCCCATGAGGTCTAGCCCGCTTGGACAGTAGATTCCAGGATAGATCAGAGGGTCTGCGGCATCGTTTTGTTTGGTTTGGTTGTATTGTGAGACCTGAACGTCTTTGGGTTTCTTGTCGGTGAATTGATACTGGTAGCAAAAGTCAGCACACTCCAGGTCAACCTTGCAGCCGCCATCAACACTTTGGAGTCAGAACATACATCAAGAGCACATTTCTCCCATGTATTCATGGTCGCTGGCTGAAACTTTGCACAAAGAAAAGGTAGAAGGTGGTGTGGTAAGACTGGAGGATGTCACGGCGTCATGAGGGCGTACAACAGGATACAAGTTACGCCTCAAGACGACGGTTTCAAAATGGGACAAGAGAAGGATGATGAATGTCTTCACACAGATGATAATTGACGGTTGTTCTGTCAGGATGGTGTTGAAGGACAATAATGCAAGTAAAAGGGAGAATGAACAAGGCCCTCCAATAATATACTAATATTTTATTAGAAAAAGGGCTTCACCTCTCAAGGCACGCAAATACCTGCTGTTGATGGGCTGAATCGAGATTCCTAACGAGCCAAGGGGCGCAATCTCAAGTTCGGCATTTGGACTATAAGACCACAAGGAAGGAAAGACAGAATAGAAGAGGTCATGGCGGAAAACCCGCTACGGCCCGTAGTTGCATTGCGAGGGATGAGAATTGCAGCCTGGCAGTCCCAGGTGAGAAGGACAAAGAGTGGGACAACGCATCAAGATGGGGACTGCAAGTCGATTGCTTATTGTCCAAGTCAAGATCGCGGGAACATTATCGAGGCGTAGGGATCGAGACCAGTGAAGAGGGACGCGCTAGTATGTTATGAGTAGCACTGTATCTGAGTACAGGCGGGATCGATGTGGACTTGCAGACCGCCTTAGCGAGACAGTGGCAAGGTTCTAGTGTATGGAATTGGTATCCTGTGCGAAGAAGGTGGTGCTATAAGACCATACCATAGTAATGTACATACTCTCCAAAAAACACAGTGCATAGACCGGGGTGGGCAAGATCTGTCCGCCCATCTGTCCAACCATACTCCTCATGTCCCACCGTGTGCATGTCTTGTGATGATCCTTTAGCCCCCTCGACGATAATCAATTCTGCATTGTTATGTCGAGAATGGGCTGCTTTCCGCATCATAGACAGAAGAGGAGCCACCCCAGCAGACACACAAACTGAAAACATACATGGATACCGCAAATTCGGGTTTTGGGTGTGGAGGAGGAAGCCTAGGAGCCTCTGGCGGGATCTGAGGCCGATTGGGAGCGATCGTGGGTGCTGCCGACGACTGGGGCGATCGCGGCTACTAGTGTTATGGATCCCACCTTCCAGGGGGGGTGCCATCTCTTGCATGGCCCCCGTCGTCGTGCTAGGAGTGGAGCGTGGGATGCTCCTGCGCAAACGGTCACAGGTTGAGATTCCATTCCAGCCACACAGCTTGAGCCTCATCACTTTTCTCACCGTCCAATCGCCGTGCTGCATCAGCTCCACAAGAATCTCGATGGTCAAAACATATAGCATACACGCTTGCTGTCATTCTCGCTCATTATTCTTGGGGTATCAACACCGACCAAATAGGAAGTTTCCTTTCTCCCTCTCACGCCCTCTGCCTCCAGTTGTTTGCTGGTGATTGTGCGTGCACCATGATGCTAAAACGTCAGCCTGCCCTGCCCTCTTGCTGCAGCATTGGAGAGTGCTGGATTCAGCTCTTGTTCGTTGTCGCCTTGAGCAGCTTGTACTCGGACAGAGGCGACCAGGCCCAGGAAATGAGACGCAGGTGGTACTGCGACGGCGCTCCGTCCTCCTTCCACAGCTCGTCATCATCTACCTCGTTGTTCTTGTCCGGCACCAGTTTGCTCAGCGCATCCACTCTCGTCTTATCCCAGTCGGACCCTTCGGGCTTGCTGTCATCGACGAGGACGTTGCCGAGTCGCTTCCTCCCCTCCAGCCTGACGTACATCTCTGCAAACGTTGTGTCGACGCCCTGGGCTTTCTTCAGCTCAGGGAGCAAGGACTCGACTGTCTTCTTGGACAGCGGCTTGAAGGTGCGCTGGTTCGCCTTGGCCTCGCGATATGTCTCCTTCAGCCACTTGTTGAAGATGCCAATCGCGGCTTCGATGTCCTTGGTCTTCTTTGGGTGATGCTTGGCACGGTTGTACATCGTACTGATCACTTGCCACTGGTACAGGAGGGACCTCTCGGAGACCAGCGAGACTGTGTCGCTCTTGGTTAGCCAAAAATACCGCTCCCGGATAAGCATCAATTCCATTGGATCTTGTCCGGCGGTCATCCACCTCCACCACCACCACCACCAACATTCTATATGAGAATTAGGTGCAAAGGAGGAGTATCGAAAGGAAACCCACTGGTCTTTTCAGCAGCTGCCGCATCTTTGAACCCGGTGCCATGGAGAGTCGTCTCGGGGTTGTCGTCCGTGTAGAGGTGGCTTGCCTTGGGGTCTTTGGTTCTCTTGGCCTCATCCTTGTCCACTTTACCCTTCTTAGAGATAGGATTGGCCCGATTGTCTTGTTTCTTGGTCTTCGCTTTGGCCATGGTTACTGTAGTGAGCCGTCCGATTCCCAAGAAGTGAGGGTGATTGCCCAGAAGATTGAGCTTGGGCAGTGTCCACAGGTTAAATGAGGTACAAAATTGCTGTGGAAAGCATGCTTGATGTGTGCCTGCAAGGCAGCGGGGGCTGCTGCTGGTCTTTGTTGTCATTCCTTTGAGCCAAAAGCCAGTAATGCCACAGAGAGACCCTGGCTGCGTCGGCCAGGGTTGTGTCACACAAGCCCGTTTCGTCATTCAAAAACGAAAGTGCCTTGCAGGTTCAAAATGAACAGTCGGTCAATCAGTCCATCAATCGTTGCAACCCTGTGCTAGACTCGCCCGCTGTGCGAGCTGATGTCGTCATAGGATACACCCAATATCGTTCAGGGCGGAACCTTACCCCATTCTTGAGGACCTTGCTTACTCAGCTATTTTAACCTCGTCCAGCGCGTCTTCCAAACCCTGACGCGTTTCCCAAAAGTATGAGACTGCTCACATGTCATAAGAAATCCATTTGAGATAACCACTTCTCAACTCCGATTTAATACGGGTTGAAGGCTTTTTATTCACGACCATTTGGAGAAACGGTATTGTTCGAATAGCAGCGGTGATTGGACGGGTCCCAAAAAGCCTCCTTCAAGACAGAAGAGGCGCCAGAGTCTTCTACTTGTCATACATCACGAACTACCCAGATTCCACCTCGCTCTCGATAGAGGACGGATACACGCACGCACACCCCACCATGCCATCATCACGAAGTCGTCTTGTGTTAGGCGCATCACGAGCAGGCAGCCGCCGGCCACAGGCCTCCACCGCGGCAGACGGCGACGAGCTGCCCCCCTACGAGTCCCCAGAGTTTCCTCTCGATGCTGCGGGGCAGAAGCAGCTCAGCGACCTCGCGAACGGCCAGCTCAATACCAAGCTCAACACGCACGCCAAGAGGTCGGCCGAGCTTCTCGCATCCACCGTGTGGGCGATCAACGACGGTGTGACGAGCCAGAGGAAACAGGTCGCTCAAGCGCGGGCGCGATACGCGCGGCGGCGCAGGCGGGCCAACGGCGAGAGTCACGATGACGAAGACGACGAAGACGATGGTGAGGAGAACCTCTCCGCGGCCGATATCGAGGCCATGCAAGCCCAGGTCGACGAGCTGGACAGGGTGGTCGCGCCACTGACGCTGGAAGTGGAGGAGGCGATGAGGGAGGTCCTGGACATACAGGCCGCGCTGCAGGACGAGAAGGAGGTCTTGGGTAATCTACCTGAGCTAGTGTTCTCGGCACAAGAAGCGAGGGCCCAAGAAGTACAGGAGGCCGAGGACGCTCAAGAGCCCGAGGTACGCGTCGCGTCTCTCGTTGAGCTCTACGAGCTCGAACGCCGCAGGAAGGCGGACGAATACGAAAAACTGGGCGCGTACGCCAAGTACGCGAGCAATAACGCGTACATCGACTTCAAGCGGCAATGGCATGAGGGCTTGTATGCTGATGACGATATTCCCGTGCCGAATCCACACACGTGGTTCGAGGGAGACGGACGGCCACATGTCGGTCTGGATCTAGGTGGGCAACAGGACGACTCTGATGCCGACATTAAGATTGCGAGGGAGAAGAGGAGCTTCAGGTGCCCCCTGTCACTGGTGACCATGTCGGAGCCTTACACATGTCGGAAATGCAACCACTCGTTCCAGAAGGAAGCAATCATGTCCTTCATCAAAGGTGGTAATCGCAGGGGTATCTCGAAACCCTGCCCAGAGACGGGATGCTCCGTTGTAGTAAGTTGCCTGTCTGGGGCCATGTGGCTTCCCAAATGTGCCGCCGGGCGGTTCTGTTGCTGACACTCGAAATTGTAGATTACGTTGGACGATCTTTACTACGACGAGCCACTGTTGCGGAAGATCAAGCGCGCTGCCGAAATGGAAAGAGAAGATGAGCAGGAGCAGGAGCAGGAGCACCTCAACCGAAGAAGTCCCAAGGCATTCAATGAGCCGTTGCACGTTCCGGCGAAATACGAGACGCCAGCGGGGGAAGACAGTGATGCGTGATCTTCTCTTCCGTCTCAACCTGCTTACTTAATTTCATCTTTCTCTGCGTATGCAGACTACGAAAGAACGCAATGATACCCCGCCTACTTTTGGCTCTTCCTCAAGGAAACCATGCACTAAAAATCAAACATGGGGTCCATCTGCGCTCTTGTGTAAATTGTGGTAAATTGAACGTGTCGTGGTGCGAAGATAACCTATTAGGAGGCATGATACCTGCTCGTACGGAGTTACGAGTGAACTCCCATGTAACCGGTGGTCCAGCCAAGGTACGAGAGGAAATTTCCAAGCATCAATGGGATGAAAAAAAATTGCTGATCCTAGCTACTTAGTGGTCAGCGTTGTAAACAGACGATGATACGGCTTACAAGCAGGCCAGGTCAGCTTCAGGGGAGTTAGGAAAGAGGGACCCGAAACTCTTATATGAAATTATCATGTACCCGGACTAGACACCGAATCAATCACATGCCTCTGGAGATGAAAAGTAGCAAGCAAGGCCCATCCTACTTCAGAACATGCGTTTGCGTGGAGCGACGACGACACTGCTCTCCATGACCAAAGACCCACCATGCAAAGATGTATTTAGATACAAATTGTATCGTCAAATTTTATTGGGACTGTCCCCCTGTCTCTCACCTACAACAAGCTTTCTTTGAATCTCCCCTTTTTGGTGAAGTGAGCAAGTCCTCTCCCTCTTCAGTCAGGTCGTCCCATGCTGATTTTCGCAGTGGCCTGGGTCCCATTTTACCATCTCCCGGAGACAATACTATCACTCGTGAATCCAAGTCACTGGGCCTGGGTGAGACACGTCAAGGAGAAGGGAAGGGAGCTGACTGTCAACTCTGATCACCATCACCAAAACAACAAAAACAAAGCTGGTAACAAGGTGGGACCTTCCAGACAGAGAAGAGTATTTGAAGATCAAACAGACTGACAAGAAGGCCAGGACGCAGGTTCTCTGCACAAGTTTTTGCCTCCCAGCAGCAACAGTAAAGAAGCTTGACTGCTTGTCAAACAAAATTGCATCTCATCAACAGGGCAGGAAGGAGCGAACAACAACAAGAGGGAGACAAGAGAGAAAATGTCGGGAACCAAATCCAGCTCAATCAACCCCTCGTCATATGCCCAACAGCGAGGCAGTCGTGCCCAGCAAGGTCCTGCGGCAAGGGGAGGCGATCACGTCCAGCAAGATGCTGCGTCGGACGGCCCTCGTCAGCAAGGCCACTTTCCTGACGTGCCACCACACCTTCGAGCGCCTGTCGTACCCACTGGCCTCATCTGGAGCAACGGCATCGTACCAGAGGAATTCAGGGAGGGCAGCCAGGTTCAGCCCATCGTCATCCCCTTTTGGCTTGCGCACGTGGCCGCCCACGGTCCCCCAGAGCAGCCAGGCGACGGTCCGCTCAACCTCTCACCCATCGCCACACACCCTGTGCTGGCCGTCGACAATTCCTTTCCTCTTGACATGCTGCCCATCGACCTGCCTCCCATCGACCCAAATCGCACGCACGCAGCAATCCCAGAGATGATCAGGCACACATATGGAATGAACGAAGGCCTGTCTGGGCCTCGCCCGCCTCTCAGCGTTGCGGAACCCCGTCTTGCCAGGGCAACTTGGATGGATGCCACTTGGGAAAGCGCTGATACATCATACTGGCTGAGACTCGGCCCAAACATGAGCGCGTTGAGGTGAATACTGGGATAGGGGAAGCATTTGGTTCGGGGCGATTCTGCTGGGCCTGAGAGGACTAGCAGATGGGCGAACCATAGAAATTGATGACGAGCTGGTGATGCAGAGGCTGAGAAAGAAAGGTGGGTGAGGGAGAAGCCCTGCATTGGGCCACTCAGATGGGAATCGAGAGTAGAGACCAAGTCCATATATCCTTGAATGCCACGCAGATATCACACCAGGAAGATGCTGCATTTGGAGCTCAGAAGATTCCCAAAAGGTCGCTAGAGGATACACAAGAGGAAAGGGCTGGGGGTAAAAATTGTTCAAGACCTTGAGCATCAGCCTGAGATGTATTCTTCTGTCTCCGGGACAGTTCTTCCAGCCCTAGTCTTCTCTCGAATGGATTTATCCACTTGTGTTTTCTACTAAGTAGTCTGTGTTATATTTGTCAACTGTGTGATATTGTTGGACCATCTGCACAAAAGGATTACAGAAGCATAGAATCACTTCTGCCTTGTCTTCAGCCCACATGTCTGTCCATGGTGGGTGTCGGATGTGGGTGTGCATGTCAAGGTGTGAACACTAGGAATATAGTTTCGGAGATATCGAGGTTAAGACACGGCAAGTGTTTATTACTCTGTGCACAATATCAGCACCCCAGGAGGGGTAGCTGGATCAATAATGTAGGAATGTACATCCTTAGATAATAGACACATGCACGCACACCTACCTCTACACCTGTGACGCTGCTCTTCCCTTCTAAAGACGCCACGCCACGCCACAGGGCAGACAAGCACAGTGCCTGTGCTGCAGTCCTTGAGAATTACCCCGGACTCCGGAACGGGGAAACTCGACACAAACAACAGGGAGGGGATAAAGATTAGCTTCTTACCTTTTTCAGCCCCAGAATTCAGAGCCTTTCTTCTTCCTCCTTTTCTTTCTTCCTCCATGCTGCTTTTTTTTTTTTTAAAAAAAAAAGCAGCAAACAAGCAAACAAACAAACAACCGATCATGGCCCTCCGGAGCCAGGCGCCGGCGGTGGCGATGGTGATGGCGGGTCATGGACCGGCATTGGGCCCACTTATTCGGCGATGTGGATTCATCAGCGTTGATGCTTGTCCTCGAAGAACTCGAGGTAACGTCATCCCAGATTCGCTCTCTCCTACTGCATTTCATTCGAGGTGGCGCGCGTGGGTGTGGTCAACGACCAGTCATTGAGGACCTCAAGCGAGGCCTTGCGCGACCTGTGTGCCCTGCCCTTCCTCGTCCTGCCTCTTTCCTCCCTATCTGCCGATGTCGGTCCCTGCTGTCTGCCGCTGAGGTGCTTGTCACCTAGGTGCTAAGGCTAGGGTGCTGACCGGCAGCGGACCGATCAGCCAGTCCCCAACAACCGCGCGTGAATCATACTTGCAAGGGCATGTTCCGCTTCCCCAGTGCTGGCATCGGGTCCACTCCTTTGATCGCCAATCGATAAACTTTCTGAGTTGTGATCCTACCCCTCCAAACGCACCTACCTCGGATCCTGAAGTTCTTTTCTTGGATTTATCTGCTCAGTCAGACATCATCAGCCTTGCTCATCCTGCCTGCTAAGAAAAGAAGAAGAAAAATAAGAAGAAAAAAAAAGAAAAAGAGAAAGAGAGAGAAAGCGGATGTGCTTGCCTTGATATCTTATTCTTTGATCTACGCATCATCCACTTGACTCATACTTGATTTCTTATTCTATTGCTATCAAGTCGCAGATCCTAGCTTCGATTTAACTGATCATCAAGCTGGAACAGCTTTGCCCCCGCGGACTGTTCTTGCATCCGCCTCGCCATTCACACGCCTTCTTCAGCGCCAACTCCCACCCCGCCGCAACATGTCTTCAACCAGCGCCCGCCGCCTCAACGCGAGCAATATTAACCCGCATGTGCGGGAGGCCAAGTACGCCGTGCGCGGCGAGCTGGCCGTCAAGAGCGAGGAGTACCGAGCCAAGATCGCAAAGGGAGATACTGCCGACCTGCCCTTCTCCCAGGTCGTCTCTGCCAACATTGGCAACCCCCAGCAGCTCGACCAGAAGCCCATCACCTTCTTCCGCCAGGTGCTGAGCCTGCTCGAGAATCCCCAGCTGCTCGACCACGAGGATGTCCTGCTCGGTTCCCTCGACTACAAGCCCGACGTCATCGAGAAGGCGAGATGGCTGCTGAGCAAGGCCGGCAGCGTGGGCGCGTACAGCGCCAGCAACGGCGTCCCTGCCATCCGCCAGAGCATCGCTGACTTCCTCGAGAGTATGTCCTCCGTTCCAACCTGTCCTTGGCTATCGACTTTGTGTAGGCGCAGAGTAGAGTGGGCGGTTTGGCTAACATACATGACTTCCCTTTTTTTCACAGGACGCGACGGTTTCCCTGCCAGCGAGTCAGACATCTACCTCTCCGCCGGCGCCTCCTCCGGCGTCAATACCCTCCTGCACATCATCTGCGCCAATGAGAAGACCGGTATCCTTGTGCCCATACCACAGTACCCCCTCTACACTGCCTCCTTGTCCGTCCTGAACGCCACCTGCGTCCCCTACTACCTCGACGAGCACAAGAACTGGGGCACCGACCTGTCCGCCATCAAGAAGGCCTGCGCCGAAGCCAAGGCCTCAGGCGTTGACGTCCGCGCCATCGTCATTATCAATCCGGGTAATCCCACAGGTGCCTCGCTCTCCGAGTCCGACATCCGCGACATCATCGAGTTTGCCCGCGAGGAGAGGCTCGTGCTGATGGCCGACGAGGTGTACCAGACCAATGTGTTCATCGGCGAGTTCGTCAGCTTCAAGAAGGTCCTGCGCACCCTGCAGAAGGAGTCACCCGGCAAGTACGACGGCATGGAGCTGGCCAGCCTGCACAGCGTGTCCAAGGGCATGGTGGGCGAGTGCGGTCACCGCGGCGGCTACTTCGAGCTGGTCGGTTTCGACCAGGCCGTCCAGGCCGAGATCTACAAGTTCGTCTCCATCACCCTCTGCGCCCCTGTCATCGGACAGTGCCTCGTCGAGCTGATGGTCAACCCACCGCGGGAGGGCGACCCCAGCTATGCCCTGTACAAGAAGGAGTACGACGGCATCTTCGAAGGGCTCAAGGAGCGCGCCTACGCCCTGTGGCGTGCCTTCGAGAAGATGGAGGGCGTCGAGTGCGGCGAGCCTCAGGGCAGCATGTATCTGTTCCCCACAATCAAGGTCCCCGCCAAGGCTGCCGAGGCCGCCCGCGCAGAGGGCCGCACTCCGGACGAGTTCTACTCCATGAGACTTCTTGAGGCGACCGGCGTGTGCGTCGTTCCCGGCAGCGGTTTCGGCCAGAAGGAGGGCTCCCTGCACTTCCGCACGACCTTCCTCGCCCCTGGAACTGAGTGGGTTGGCTCGATTGTGAAATTCCACGAGGAGTTCATGAACAAGTACAAGTGAGAAACGGGCTGCGACGAGAAAAGAGAGGGGGGGGGGGCCATGCAAATGCGTTCATAGACGAGCGTTAGATGCTAAAGATCTGGCCCAAAGGGATCTTGTCGAAATCGACATATGATGATGGCATAGCAATTTAGTTTTGGTTTTCTCCGATTTGTTTCTTTTTTGAGATATCCAAAGGATAGAGCAAGGAAGCATAGCGCAATATAAATGCAAGGGTCCCCCCCCCCCCAATTTTTGTTGCATGACAGAATGAAGGCGTCATCTTACGATGTATGGACTGACGAATCTTATCTTTCTTGATCGGCAGCTTACACCCCATATATGCTTTCCTTTTGTTTATTTGTGGGTTCCTGCAGAAGTATTTACGTAGATATCAGCTGCTGAGTGGAGTTACTACTAGACTGCCGGTACGGAAAGGCAAACAGGCAATGGCAATATGCACAACCCTTGCTTTTAGTGACAGCGTGTGTATGTAGTTGCAGAAGTCAGGACAACATTGGCTAAGCGATCATATAGTAGGCTGTCAACCCATGAGTGGAGGTCGGTGGCCATGCGATGGGTGGGTCGAATCATTAGAAAATGGCATGCAAAGACGGGGGTTATCATGTCAGCAAAAATCGGAAATAATGGCTTGGTCAAGAGTCCTAATCATTAGTCGTTCTTGACTACGTCTAGGTATCATACAAGTCCCGTCTGTCCGTTTATCATATAGAACCCATGGCACCTGGTCCGAGTTCGCTAAGTTGCTATCCTTTGTCTCTCTTCTTCCCTATGCCCTCTCGCTTCCGCGAAGCCTCACAGCCTGGCCGTACTTCTGCAGCTTGGTGATCAGCTGGTCACCCTGGCGCACAACGTCCTGGTACTGCTTGTTCTTGTCGTCTGGCCGGTTGGTCTCGATGACGCCCTTACCAGACACACGGTCAATAGTGCAGGGAATACGACCTCCAGCGATGAACTTTGCGAGATCTCTGTGGAGATGAAACCGAAGTCAGTGATGTGCGTCTCGATAGAGCAGACGCCAGTGATTTGGTTTGGGGGGGGGGGGGGGACAAACATACCTGTCCAAGAAGTCTACAGAGACGCCAAATTGGCTCGCCATGCTGTCCAGCCCTACCACTCTATAGCTCTGTAGCAGCTGCTGGTACGCCCGCAGCCTCATCTCGCGGATGAACCAGTTCTTGTGCTCGTGCAGGTACCGGTCCTGGGTGAGGAATTGCTCCTCGACCTGGGCCAAGGCGCCGAAAAACATCTTGTACCGCCCACTGTATAGACTGCTGACCAGCAACGCAAGTGGCGAGAAGTCAACCGCCATCTCCGCCTCGGGCTGGTCGCTGTTCGTGCCAAGCGTCGTAAGGTTGACCACCGTCTTCTTAGAGGCGTTGTCCGCCTGTGTTTCGCTATTGGCGTCAATAACATCAGCACCGGGCCCTGCGGACACGCGGCCGCTCAGGGCGGCCAACTTGTCCTCACCATCACCCAGGATAGCCTTGATCTCGGGGGCGTCGACAACCTTGCTCTTGAAATCCACACGCTTCAAGCTGACGGACCCTGCAAGAACAGAGTACACTACGAGGTTGGAGTAGGTACACAGCTCGTACGAGGTGAAGGTGGAGAGGGAGTCCAGGAGCAGGGGAGCGGCCAAGTTATACGATCGGACGGTGAGAAGGTACAGGCCCTCGTACGCCTTGAGGCGGTTCCGCCGGTCCCAGTCACCACCACCCTCAACAAGAGTCTTGGCGCGCTCCACGTGCTTCTTGACCAGGAGCTTGTCGCCATAAAAGAGGCCCACACGTATTATGGCGAGGACGAGATCGATCTTGGTACCGAGGATTCCCGTCTTCTCGAAGACGTCTTCGTAGGCGGCGATGGATTTCTCCTGTGGAATCCAACACACACATCAGACCATGTCTCCGCAAGTATGTCGAGTCGCGGGGGAGGAGGGGGGGGGGGGTGAGAGACACATACCTTGTCGCCAACGCGCGCCCAGAACTCAGCCCGCTTGCCCCTCGCGGCTTGGATCTCAGTATCGCCGGCCTTCTCGACGGCCTCCTCCTCTTCCTTCTGGATCTCCTCCAGCTCTCGGTCATTATCCTCCTTCAGCTTCTGGTACAGCCCCTCGTCCCAGGGAATCGTGACGGTCGCCGTGGGGCTTCTGGTGGCGATCATGCCAACGGCACTCGACTTCCTGCTCAGTGGTTTGCCTGGTGCACTAGCGCCTCCTTCACCGACCACATTCAGGATGCCCTCGAGCGGATGTGCCAGATATCTGTAAAGGGGGGCCATCTTGTGCTCCTCGATGGCGTCCTGCAGCTTCTTGGCCGCTGCATCTTGGGTGGGCCGGGCAGCATAAGGATTCGTAAGGGTGAATACGTGCTGCGACAGCGGCAGCAGTGGCCATTTGGCGTATTGAGGTTCTGAACCCATGGCGACGAAGCTGAATATGGAAAGGGGATTACGTGAAGAGGAGTGTAGGCGACAAAGGCGATCGATGAAGAGATGCAGGTGGGAAATATGAGTGGCTGTTTGGGAAAGAGATGGTTTGGAAGAATTGGAGCGGCTTGCAAAGCACAGCTCTTCGATGTCACTGCTTAGAGAGAGGCTGACCTAGCAGGCGGCAGGTAGCTGCCGTAATGCTTTTGCTCCTGCACCGGGGTTCCAGCGCTAGGGTCCACCCCTGCGGATCCCCGTAGTGGCATGTACAGTATATAGCATAGTAAAAGACCACACTATAGAACTGTAGTGGTACTGTGCTCTAGTACCGTAGTTAGCAGAGACTGGTTATCCACCTTGCCGCTTTGGGAGCTGTGGTAACTACACCTCCAGTGCGCATCGCTATGCCTTCCCTTCATCCTTTCTCACTGTTCCAATTGCCCAATCAATGACACCTTCTTACCGAAGGAGAAGGAGAAAAAATAAAGCACTTGGAGTCATTTCCAAACCGCCCGACCATCAAACAAGCGAAAAACTTCTCCTAACCCTAAAGCATCGTCTATGCTCCCTGCTTCGAGACTCATCGAGACATAGCCACTCCCACCCTCGGGCTCTTTTCAGCCCCCAACCACGAATCGCCCACGTACTTCACGAGTGCACTCATCACAATCAAAGCATCAGTCTCCTGTTTCCTCTTCTTTCGACATCTACGACCTCACCTTCAACCTTTCCTTCTGCGCCCCTACAGAAACAGAATCAAACGACCTCCCAATTCTCCGCTATGGCAGGCGGCGACGACCTCCCCCAACCGTACGACGCCAAAGCCCTCGCTCCTGCCAAGAAGCGTCAGCGCAGCGCCTCGCCCTCAACCCCTCGGTCGCCCTCGGGCAGCCAGTCCGGCGAGCCCGTCCGCAAGCTCAAGAGGCCCGGCCAGCGCTCGCGCATTAGTGAGGCGCAGCGCGAGGAGCTTCGGCAGCGGGCTCTGCAGCGTGAGCGCGAGCAGAAGGAGGCCGAGGCCGCCAAGCAGCAGCAGCAGGAGCGCGCCGCCATCAACGATGTCGTGCGCGCCCACTACAACGCCGTCCCCGAGAGGGGCCGCGACTGGCGCAAGACGGACAGCAAGATCAAGGGGCTGCGCGCCTTCAACAACTGGGTCAAGAGCTGCATCATTCAAAAGTTCTCGCCCGACGAGGACCATACCCCTGGCGCGATGGAGCGGGGCATCTCCAGCGGGAGGGATCTGCTAGTCCTTGACCTGGGCTGTGGCAAGGGAGGAGACCTGGGGAAGTGGCAGCAGGCGCCGCAGCCGGTGGAGCTGTACGTGGGATTAGACCCCGCTGAGATCTCGATTGACCAGGCCAGAGAGAGGTACCGGCAGATGGGGCAGCGGGATCGACATGGTGGCGGCGGTGGTGGGCGAGGTGGCCGTGGGGGATTCTACCGCAGACCGCAGCCGCGCCTGTTCGAGGCAAGGTTCCAGGTCAAGGACTGCTTCGGCCAGTCGCTTGAGGACATCGATATTGTGCGGCAGGTGGGCTTCACCCAATCCAACATCAGCAGCGAGCGCGGGTTCGATGTGGTCTCTATGATGTTCTGTCTGCACTACGCCTTCGAGAATGAGGCCAAAGCACGGCAGATGTTGAGAAACGTGGCAGGGTCGCTTAAGAAGGGCGGCCGTCTCATCGGGACTATACCCAACTCGGACGTCATCAGCCAAAAGGTGAGCGAATTCAATGCAAGACAACAGGCCAAGGCCGCCGACAAGGCCAAGGAAAATGGGGCAGACGGGGCCGCAGCAGAGGGGTCGGACGAGCAGCCACGGACGGAAGAGGCCTCGGAAAACGGCGAGATCAAAGAGAACGACGAGAAGGAGGAGGGGGAGGCAGAGGAGACAGCCGAGTGGGGTAACGAGACGTACCGGGTCAGGTTTCCAGGAAAGACGCCAGAGGATGGCATCTTCCGGCCTCCCTTCGGCTGGAAGTACAACTTCTTCCTGCACGAGGCCGTCGAGGAGGTCCCCGAGTACGTGGTGCCGTGGGAGGCATTCCGCGCGCTGGCTGAGGACTACAACCTCGAGCTGCAATATCACAAGTCGTTTGCCGACATCTGGGCTACGGAGAAGGATGACCGCACCCTTGGCCCTCTGAGCGAGCGCATGGGCGTGAGGGAGAGGGGCGGCGGCGAGCTTCTGGTCAGCCCAGACGAGATGGAAGCTGCTGCATTCTACGTGGGTTTCTGCTTCTACAAGGTGTAGCATCGGGACACTTCAGTCACGCACAAGACTTTTGCAGCGCCATTCAAAATATACATCACGCGATGATTGCAAATATTCTCATATTGTGACCTTGCCAAAACAAAGAGAGGAAGAAAGGAAAACCTATTCAATTTTGATACAACGTAGCCACCTGTCCGCCTCTCCTCTTCCTCTTCCTCATCATCTGCTTTTTTCTTCTTCGAAAGGAATCCGCTTTTGAAGACTGAACGAGTAGCTGTCCACCTCGTACAGCACCGTTGTGTGAGTCTATACAGTCCTGTGGATCCTGCTTTCTGTAGCAAGCCGTGCACATCTCCTCGACTTGACTCCTTCTTGACTCCGACCGCCATCGACTCCAGGAGGATGGAAAGAAAGGAAAAGAAACAATTTACGTATAAACGGATAGAGGGGTATCAATGAGCGTCGTAAGGAAATAAAGAAGTGATAAAACAAAAGCCGAAGAAAGGAAAGAAAAAAAGAAAAAGAAAAAAAAGAGGGGGAAAGAAAGAAACCACAGTCGAGAAGATGAAGGTGACGTTTTGCCAGTGTGCCTTGGCCAATACCTTTGCTCTCTCCCTCTCTCTCTCTCTCTCTCTCTCTCTCTCTCTCTCTCTCTCTCTCTCTCTCTCTCTCTGTGCTGTCCGCCTCATCACGCTTCGTTGTCATCACCGCCCCGCCCCCCCTTCAGCAAACTTTTTGTTGAGAATAGGAAACACAGTAGGCTGCCTCACCACCCAACCCTTCTTGTTGTTGCTGGTACTTTTAAACGTGATCTCGTTATAGGTACGATGAAACAAGAGATCATCTTGGCCCTCGTTTATCAAGCCTAATGAGAAGAAAGACTGGAAAGAAAAAAGAAGAAGAAGAACAGAAGAAAAGGGCAAAATAAGAAAATTGTCGGTTCACCGTCATACAGTATGCTTGAGTGTTTGTTGCATGGTGATAAGAAACCGTCTCTTGGTGTGTTCTCTCTCTCTCTCTCTCTTTCTCTTTCTCAACACTGTTGCTCTCAGACAGCGTGTCTCGTCGAGCAATCAACCCCTTTCCCCCCAAGGAACGAAGTGTTATCACTCTCCACAGTTCGATCCCAGATAGCAATCATAGGTTGGCAATTCTGACTCTCGGGCGTGCCGTACGGTTCCGGCCCCGGGGACGACATCTTCGGGAGGAAGCTCTCCAGCTCATTGGCATCAATGGGCCAGCCAAACGGTCTCGCAAGCCACGGCAGCAGGCTCGCGACGTTTGAGAAGTTGCCCCGCTGGCTGTCCACGCACGCCTGCACCCAGACGCTGATCCACGCGGGGTTCGACTGCAGCCCTCCAGGTGCAACATATCGTTGTTGTTGTTGCTGCTGCTGCTGCTGCTCCTGTAGCTGGTGATGGTGGTATCCCATAGGGTCGGTCTGTGAAGGAGGAACGGAGTGCGTTTGGATTGCGTGCACTGCCTGATTCGAGTCAGAAGGCAAGAGGTGCTGTGCGTTGGCGCCGTGCTTGACAAAGGCGGCCGAGACGCGGCAAAAGAACTTGACATTGAATGTGCCCTGGGCGGTGGCGGCGGTGTGCACGAAGAGCTCGAAGGCGGTCTGGTTGAAGGGGCGGCTATGATCGCGCAAGTCCAGCTCGCCACGGTTCGCCAGCGCCTGAATCTCGGCCTCGAGGAAGGGCAGGCGTTGGTCCAGTTCTGTGGACGAGGGAAGAAAGAGGCATTTCAGCAGTGTTCCGTCTAAGTCTTCGTATTGCTGGTGAGGAGACTGCAGGTTGGGATAGCGTGGGCCGTGGTAAGTCATTTGCCGCTGCTGGTGGTGACCAGCGATGTGATAGTCTCCAACGTTTTGTTGTCCGGATAATTGTCTGCTCATGGAGGCGAAAGACGGAGCTTGCGATGGGCTGTGCATCGGCGGAGAATACCGCTGAAGCTGCTCCTGCTGCTGGTCGCCAAAATAGTTGGAGGATGTGGAGCTTGCAGGGCTGCTAGAGTTCATGTACAGATCGTACTGTACGCTTTGGACAGAAGGCGTCAAGGGAGAGTTGTAGGCGGGACCAGTAGCACCTCTGGAGCGTCACTTCAGATTAGAGGAGGCCGTCCTGTAGGTGCAGAGGGGGCTGCCCTGGGGAGCGACTTACTTTGGGATGGTATTGGCTCGGGGCCTGGGTAAAGGTACTGCCTTGCGCAGACGACGCACACCTTGGGAGGTCGACCGTCGTGAGATCGGCGGGGGCGCGTGAGGATACGGGGTCGTGTTGGTTCGAAGAACACCACTACCACCGCCTTCACCTCGGTTCTGGGACTTGTTGTATTTCCAAGCGTCCCACTTCTTGAGGCGAGCTCTATACGCCCGGACTCTACACACACGCACACACACACACAAGGGCATCAGAACAGAAAGCCTCCTAAGGTGGAAGAAGGGGGGGGGAAGAGAGAGAGAGAGAGAGTTAGAAAGGAACAAAGATTGTTTGCTACTCACGACGCCTTGAAGCCATGAAGTTCCTCTAGTATGGCCCTGCTCTGGTCGAGAGTTTTGGCCTGGTCCTTGTATAGGGCCAGGATGATGGTCTTGTACCTGTCCCAGTCTTTCGTCATCTTGAAGATCTGGTATAAACTCGAGTATCTGGTGGTGTGGCAGCAGAGCTACAGTTGTTGTGAAGGTTCCAACCACGAAGGCCCACCTGAAGGGTCATAGGGAACATGGAAGGTATAACGGAAGGAGCATGGAGGAAGAATAAGGACAGCCGGCTCAAGGAAGAAGGTTTGGTTGGAGAAGATCATTTCTCAAAGAAGGAGAGAGTGTGTTGTTTAAGAAAAGAGGAGAGAGGGGGAGAGAGAAAGAGAGAGGCACCAGAGGAACATGCTATGAGGGAAACACGCCCTGCTGCGACTTTTAAGGCGACGAAAAGTGGAGAGGAGGTGTGTGTGGTGTGTGTGGAATAGGGTCTCAGAGAAAAACAAAGCGAGGCAGCCTCAGAGAACCCCTACCAGACCAACGAAGGAGGTCGATCGAAAGCCTCGTCCGAGATGGTAGGACGAGAACGAAAGTTATGCAAGTAGGCAAGAAGCACTTCGAGGTATAAAGGGGACCCGGATCCCGGGTGTTTCCCAGGCACTCAGATCGCGCTACTTTTGGATGTGTTGGCAATCATCGGTTGCATCTGCGGTACGAGGCATGCGTGTTATTCCCCTGGCGCGTCTCCTCTATTCCGGGGGGGGGGGGAGGGGTGGTTTGTTGCTGTGCCGGAGGGCGTTTCCCCCTCCTCCCCCTCCCCCGCCCCCTCTCTTCTTCTCTTGTCTTCCTCATCTTTCTTTTCCTCTTGAGCCGCAAGCATGAATAGAGTAGCAAAACTGTCGCTATGTGACAGGGTGCTTGCTGAGGCTGTGCCTGGGTAGGGGAAGCAGGTAGGTTGGTTCAGCTTGGGGAAGACAAGGTTGACTACCCACCCCTAAGACGTCCTCAGACGCGCGGAAGCGGCTTACCTCAATATCGCTTGCTTGTTGTTCTAGCAAGGCCCAGTTCGTTTCTCGGCTGAAGAAGGTGGGCATCTACGGTGAGAGAGACACCGATCAGGTGTATTCAAGACCCCCCCCCCCCCCAGTCGCGCTCCCTGCCAGCGTCAAAGCCCGCCGGAGCAGCGAGAGTGGTGTTGATTTTGTTGCCCCTCCCTACTCACGTACTCAGCGTATGACTCTCTGTTGGAGCAACGCTTGTCACTTGTCAAGCGCCCGCCCCGTGGATTGTGTGTGTGTGTGCGCGCGCGTGTATGTAGAGGGAGGCCTTCCACTATTGTCCATACTGGTCCCGCCGATGCCGTTCACACACGCCCGCCTCGACGCAGTTGGGCGCAACAGGTTGCCCTCGTTTAATTCCGCGGAGAACCGCCTCATTTTCTTGATCATTAAGCATAAGTTAGCCAGACCAAGACTAGACCCTGACGGAATAGATGCGCCTGATTATCCACTGGATCCCTGGGCCCGGACTACTGAATGCCGTATCTTGATCATGGAATTCTTTCCGATCGACGCTGCTGGTCACAGGCATTCGTCTGCTCCTTTTGCAAGGGCTCTTTCAGCCCGGCCAGGGTAGAAGATGACATAGCTGTAGGCGTACGAGTAGGCCGGCCTGGAGGGCGGCATAGACCCTTGGCCGCATAGGCAGGAAGGACTAACAAAGGAACCCTCCCATACTGCACTGGCAGCCACGACACGTGGAGATGGAGTTCGCACCATCAGTGCTGAGGGGGGAGGGGGGAGGGGGAATGGCAGGGCACAAGTTGTCAGTGCCGTCGAGTGGCCCTAGTAGTTGGATCATGATGATAATGATCCTGTAGCACACGATCCACCGCCGGCCCTTGCTTCTGACTCTTTGTCTCTCTTCTCCGCCATTACCTGGCTTGCCGTAATTGTAAGTTCAGCAGAGGCGTGCCATATGCGCGCACACCCGTCACAGGACGTCGTGGTGGTGGTGGTGGTGGTGGCTGAGGCTCCAGCTAGGCCTGACCAGACAGGTGAGGATCGACGATTGACCTGAAGCAGCAGTCCGCCATGGGCCGCAGTTTGTGGTCGCGGGTTTTGCAGACAAGGCGATCAGGCGTCCAGCCCCCAACCAGGAATTGCGTCGAGTTGGCGATGGTGATGGTGTTACCCCAGCCAAAAATTGTCTCGCCTGGACCAGGCCAGGGCATCCCATCCCTGTTGATGCCACCCTAGGGCGGTGTTCTGCAGGGATGTTGGGGGAAGGATGTATACTATAGTATATACACACATCCATATAAGAACACATGTGTACATAGTACATCTGTATGAACGTACCAGTTGGAGGAAGAGAGGGAAAAAAGGGTTGTCTTTTGATAGCGTGCACCCTGTGATGAATCAGTCAAGATGGAGAGCGTTCCGATGTCGTTGGAATACAGCCTCCATGCAACCAAGCCGAGGAGCATCAATCATTGGTGAGTTCTGCTGCTGATGCCGGGGGTACTGTACCAATGCACTGGAGCCGTTGTGCAGACACGGCAGCAGAGAGCCGCAAGCCATCTCTCCAATCTACTTGTACATGGCATATGCAGTGTGAACCAATGGACAATCGTGTGGTGGACCTACGAGAATCATTGGACAATTGAGTCCAAGGAACTCGAGAGCTGCTGCAGAAGCAGATCATCGGCTCGGCGGACTCCTTCCCTCCTCCTGCTGCGCTGTGTCCTGTGATGAGATGCCAATAGAAACGTAAAAATGGTCTGGCGTCTTTCCAAAAGAAGAAGACGGTGGTGATGTGATGTGCCTCCTGATGTGCATAGCCCCGCCCAGATAGGCTCAGTGTCTATCTCTCATCGTTCGGCTGAGCCGCAGGACTTGGAACAATTGAGGTCCTAGATCGGGTTGTCCTAGATTGACTTGTTGACCTCATAATTATTGGGTGTATCACTGCTCTTTCAAAGCCAAATTTTCGGTGACGGGCAGGGATACAGATGGACAGGGGGAAGGACTTTGTTCTCACGACACGAGGCGGCTGCTGGAGGACTCTCTGTTTTTGGGCCCACCTTTCTTGTTGTTAAAAGACAATCCCTGGGGGGCAAGGCACTGTGCTGTGGCTTCACTACCGAGCTTATGACCTGCAGCGAGGACTAAAAATCTGTGGACACAAACGAGCAGCATCTCGTCAGGACCGAGTGTGGCACCCTTCTGGGGGGAAGGGGGTTTCTCTGCAGCTGTCAGCGCAGCCAGGCGCTCTGCGACTTGCTGTGATGCAACCGCAAGCTACTTCTGATCTGTCAAATACTAGATCCCTCCCGCCTCAGTGAGAGACAAAAACAAAGAAATAAAAAAAGAAATAAATAAAAAGGACACAGACGCCGACGCCGACGCCGACGCAGCCCTAGTGGACAATCCGTTCCCTATAATTAGGTGAGACTCCCCATTCACACTGCCCCATCAGGTCTAAAGTGGAAGAGTGTAGTAATACTGCACCATACCGTATCAGAGTACCTATAGATACTATCGTAGTATGTAGGTGTGGGGCGTAGATCGTGAATGTCAGCAGTAAGAGCCAGGGCGGGCAGACCTGCGTCATGAGCCTCTCGCTCACCCTTTCTGCGGCCTGAAGCTCAAAACTTGGTACCGAGATCGTTTCTGCTCGCCGGGGGGAATCCATACCAGTACCGAAGGAGCTCTTGGGGAGGGATGAAAGATCTCGTCGTGCCCTCCTGCAACAATTGGGGACCCGATCCAACACGCCCGACCTTGGGTAGAGAGAGCGAAGCTGACATGGGCCCGTCCCTTCCCCCCCCCAGGATCCCTGTTAGGCGATCGAACCTTGAGCCGAGAGACGGCATGGCGCCAAGGAGTACAGTACAGCGGGCTCTGGGGCAGGGCGGTCGAAGGTGTCGCTTTTGCTGGAGGAGAAAGGACCAAAGAAGACGTACATCTATCCCCGTACGTCAATGTCTTGTACACACGTCTTTTGATTAGTCTGCGATTCAGAGGGGACCTCCTCCATCGTGCCCTAACTCCGGATCTCTTTTCTGCCCAAGGAAGCTTCTCTCCGCTCAGATGGGACAGCGACATGACAGACAGGCAGAGAGGGGCCGCTTCTCGGCCAGCGTACGTACGTACGTACCTAATGACACCCTTCTCCCTTCCTCCGTCGCTTGTTTGCCCTTTTGCCCTATATTCTCTTTTCCGGCCTAGTGCCTTGCAGGTTGAGGGAAATTTGAGTGATCCGGCGAGCCGTCGACCCTCCTTCACCTCCCACCCCTGCCCTGCCCTGCCCTCCCTTCTTCCTGCTCCCCTGCGAGTATACAGGGCGGGCGCTTGCAATGCAGCTGCGATGCGATGCGATGCGATGCACTGCACTGCACTGCACTGTACACTGCGCGCATGGGGGATGACCAGGGCTGCCCGGGCCGCTCCTTCTAAGGGGGAGGGGGCCCACAGTGTGAGACCCAGCGTGGGCAGCATGGCAGCTTGTATTCGAGGGCTGAGAGCCTCGTGGGCAGCGAATCGACGAACTGGCTGGCTGACCTTCTTTCCCCCAACGCATATCCATCAAGGTGAAGCGGATCAATCCAGACTCGTGTGGCCCTAATCAATTTAACCCACGAGTAAGGCAAATAAGTAAGGAGGTGGTATGATATCATTTGATTTGCAACAAAATAGCCCCACCATGACTGAGACGGGAGGCGCAAGCAAGCAAGCAAACAACAGGAACCGGAAAGAATCATGTAGTGTTAAGGCGCGGCAAGAACGATGCAGTTGAGATGTGAGCAGAGGAGAGAAACGAGGAGGAAAGAGCAACGAATGAGCGTGCATCCCAATTTTTACTGGCACTTCCTTCCCCTTGTACGCCCACCTCCTGCAACCTTCTCTTCCCTTCCCCTCCCATCGTCCCAACAGGTGAACATCAATACACCCTTCCCTCCCCGAAACAAGCGACGGCTTACCCTCCACCGGCGGACTTTTTGTTTCTCTCTGTCCCCCCCCTCTCTACTCTTTTTTCTTCTTCCTTCTTTTCCTTTTTTGTCACCTAGCATGGCTTGTCTCACCCCCCACCTACCCACCCACCCACACAACCACAGTGTATAACTACTGCAGACCAAGTATAAAAACAATCCGTTGGACCAAGCACCAATGGATGCAAGGTGTCATATGTCGTGTGCCCTCTAAGCGCCCGGAAACAGTTTATTTACAGTCCTGCTTTGCCGAGATGAATGAGATCAAGCGGCCCCTCCCCCCCCCCCCCCCAGGCTCCCTCCCAGAGAATGAAACAGTGAAACGCACAAGAGAAACCAACTGCAGCGGAAAATGGATAAACATAATCAACCCCCACCCCCGATGGCTGAATCGGATCCAATGCAACGTCAAACTTGGGTTTGGTGGGGTAGGTCAGGCCTAGGCCCAAGCCAAGGCTGAACAAGAAGTCACTTGGCATCACACACCACACACGACAAAGAGAACAAGACGAAGACCCTGATAAAGAGAGAATGAGTCAGTAACAAAAGAATGGATAGGTAATCCTGCTCGCTTTGCTTGCTTCCGATGTGTATTAAGAACAATAGGAATGAATCGATAGTTTCATGCATCATCGTAAGTAACGTCGTATACGTTTTGAGGGCAAGTTGTAGTAACCCAGTCTGCTCCGTCAACCGAGAGAACAGCAGGATGCGATCAAGGCAATAACCGGCTCGCATCAACATGATCTATAGCAACCATACACACACACACCTTCAAACGCTTACATAGACAACCCCTCATCAAGCCACCATTACCACTACCAAAAAAGAGCAGTTAAGCAGCCTCATTGATTTGCCTCGCCTCGCCCAAGAAGCACATGTGCATCAACTACTAAGGTTTCCAGCGCCTACTGCCACCAACCCCAGCACGGTCCTCCACCTCCCACACCGAGGCTCCGGCTCCCTAGGCCCCGTCGTCACTCGCTGAGCTGCGTGTCAACTGCTCCTTGAGGTCGTGAGGGGTGGGGTATCTCGAGCGCCATGGCTTGGTGAGGCTCAGCTTTTTGTCGTTGTAGAGACTCTTGCCCGCTCTGGTGCTGCTGTTGCTGTTGCTGTTGCTTCTTCCAGCCTCCTCCCCTCTCTTGTCGTCTAACGAAGACATCTTCATCAACTGTTTACGGTCCTCCGTGCTCTGCTGCTGCTGTTGCACCACTGTCCTCGCTGGCCCCTCGTCATCCCCACTACCGCTAGTCAAGCTTCCCCAGGCTTGCGCGCCACCGAGTAGCTCCTCTTCCGGGTTTACCCATCGCCGCTGCTTTCCTTTCTTGCGCCTCTCATCTGCCGTCCCCGTCGTGATCGTAGCTGTGTGCGCCTCGGAAAAGTCCTAGGTCGCCGATGCTGAAGCAAGATAGTGTTAGTGGTCAGCAGCAACAAGCCAACTGCCGACCTCATGGGGGGGGGGGGGACGAGAATATGAGTCCAAATAGCAATGAGGTTTATAGTCCAGCAGATAGTTTCATAAGAAAAGAGTCCTTACCTTTGGTTGTTCCCGCTGCTTCGCCGGTGATACCCGACTCCTGGTGCGTCTGCTCGACAAGTCCTTGGTTAGTACCCTCGATTCCAGTCGCTCCCTCCGTGCGATGTGCCTCCGCTGGCGCCGCCGCCTCCGCCTTCTTCTCGATTTCCGGGTCGTGGGCCTCGGTCATTACCGGAGAGTCGCCGCCGCTGCCGCTAGCAGCAACCGGGCTCGTGGGCACGCTGTCGGCTGACAGTGCCGGGCCTGTTGCGCCGCAGACCTTCCGGATGACCTCGTACCACCGCTCGGCATCCGCCGCCGTGTGCGCCTTGAAGTTGATCTCCGAGTTACCCGTGAGCTTGCTGCTCATCGTCTTGGAGCGGTCCTTGCCCTTGACGTTAAACTTGTCGCCGTTGGGCGCACCGATCGTCGCATCAGGCAGGTACAGAGACAGCTCGGGCGTAGGGTCTTTCTTGACATTGTCCGAGTCCTTGAACTCGTGTAGGTACTTGGACGCCGTCACCACGTAGTAGCCACTGGACCAGCCCCACGACAGCTTATTGCGCGACTTGCGCTCCAGGCTGCCCTCGATCAGCGGCCTGGTCGACGAGTGGTCCTGGTTGGGGAACGAGATGGCCTCCACCGTCCTGGGCGGGTCGTTGGGGTTGACGAGCAGCTCCGCGCTGCGCTGCTGGAAGGCCTTCCACTCAAAGTCTGGCGGGATGCGCTGGACGGCAGCCAGCATGTCCGTGTAGAGGGCCTGTGTCTTCAGTGCCTGGCCCCCGGCGAACTGGTTGAAGGTCTCCATAGCCTGCTGCAGGACCTGGATGACGTGCGCCTCGAAGGCCTCAAAATTCTGCTGGACCGCGACCAGGTCGTTCCGGTGGTTGTTCTCCTCGATGACCTGCTTGTGCAGGCGGTGGAGCACGCCCCTGTGGAGGACGTACGGGTCATCGCTGGGGTTCATCTTGCCACCGGTGGACTCGAAGCTAGCCGAGTGCTGTCCGAGCAGCTCAATGTGTTTCTGTGTGGTGTTGCGCGCCTTCTCGACATCCTTGGCACCCTTCTGTGCGCCCGAGGACAGCTCCTTGACCTTGTTCTTGATCTCCTTGTGCAGACGGTCCAGGATCGGCAGGACGGACCCCTTGATACTCTTCTCGGTCTCGGCGTTGCTGTTGATCAACGCCTGCGTGTTCTGTCGCAGGTTCTCGTAGAAGCCGGCGACGCCGCCAAGGTTTTGGTCGAAGTGGTAACCCTCGCGCAGGGGCTTGGAGATGGTCTTGAGGACCTTTTCGTATTCCTTGCTCTGCTCCTTGTGGATCTTTTCAATCGCGCCCATGTAGTCTTCGAGGTAGCCCACGGCATGCTTCCACGCTTGCAGGCGCTCGGCAAGGAGGCCGGCGGTCTGTGTCCCAAGGCAAGAAGGAAGAGTGTGTCAGCAGACGCTCGAGTCTTGTCGGAGAGACCTGGGAGCGGGAAGAGGAACAATGTGACGTACGGTAGTAGGGTCTGTGTCGGGAACAGCATCCCCGCTGAGGGTGCTCGACATGGTGGTGCCCGTTCTCAGGGTCAACGGCTGTCCTGCTTCGGCCATACTGAAAAGGTTCGACTCGTGGTGGCCACTCGACGATAAAATAGGGCGCGTTCAGGGGAAGTCTCGTACAAACGGCGTTCCTGGCGGCAGATTTGTCAGTTCCCTTTCTCTTGACGTACCTGGAGCAGAAGATTAAAATGTCCGAAGACCAGCTCGTGCAGTTGCGCGCGGGGATTTTGACAAAACAAGCAGACAGCGGAGAACTTTCTCGACACACGCTTTTGAGCGAGGGTGATCGTCTAACAATGTTACCAGGGAGAGGCGAGCCATAGCAGTCGACGGCCTCCCTGGCAGATGAGGTGATATCCACCTATTCCCATCGGACCACACAGCACGCAGGGGTCCAAGGTGAATTGCCGCCGCGGCGCTATCAAGCAAGCGAGAAGCATCTGACCCCTGCTGGCGATCTCGACGCGAGATTGACCGATGAGAACCTTGAGCTTGTGTGGGGGCCGGTCATGAAGCCATACCACAACACTTGTCTTTGATGGGGGAGAAATGTGTAAGGCAAGGGAAGGGCTTGCGCTCTCTTTTCCCGCCTCAAGCGCGCCACATAATACCAAAATAGGACTTACCTCTTATGTTTATAAAAAGAGATAATGATCCTACTGTAGTAAGCTAATTGCTGAGGAATCGTATCGAGGTTCCAAACTGGCGCGAAGGGTTGACAATCTATATCGCATCCAAGACAAGCATACATAACCCAACGCACTGCAGATGACGGCCCGACGATTGGGACTTATATATTGACCTAAACGAAGAGCTACTAGTGAATGTTACGGCTAGATATCTAAAGTGTGACGTCACAGCGTAAATAGATCGCCTAAAAGAAATGGTTTTAGTTCCTTGCCAGCAAGTCCTCTGATGCATCACATGTGTGCTTGTTTGCAGACCCCTCCCTTCCCAACTTCGGCATAGGACGGCTTGTTTTTTTGGTGAGCGCCATTCCACCATGCCCGCCGTGTGTGGCAGCCAAGATGACTCACAAGTCTGCTAAAAGCCCTCGCTGTAATGTGAAATAGACAATAACATGAACTGTGCTCCCTCGCCACGAGCACGTCATACCGAAGAAGTGAAGAGTCGCGGCAAATGCTGGTGGTTGTTTGGCATTTTTCATCCCAGAAATAAATGACTGTACAAGCATTACTCTAGTGGCTTCTTCAATTCAGGTCAAGATTCACTTTACATTCCAACATGATTGCATCCTGAAAAAAATACTAAAGTAAGAATTCAGTCATCAATTCTCGTTAAACAACATCAGTCCATGTCAAATTGAAAATCCCGTGTCCTTATCGAGGATGCTGATTTCTGATTCCCCCAATCGCGACACATGACATCTGGACCTGCCCAATACTCCACATAAGAGGCTTTCCTTTCAGGACCCATCATGTCACCCAGTCCAAAGCTTTGCGTAGTGTTTGTTTAGTTGTATAGAGATGAGCTTTGGAGAGCATTCTCTCCTTGGGAACTTTCAAGATAGCGCACTCTCATATCAGTCAAGGAGATGTCAGTGACCAATCCATTATGAAGTTCAGTAGCACGCGCATTCATTATTGCATCAAGGGTTAAGGCGCTCAGCCTTTTTTTTTCCAGATGCGTTATATGCATTTCTACCAGGTGAAGGCGAGTTTGGGGTATATCGATCAAGAAACACAATGTGCCATAAAATGTAGAACCGCCCCCCTGGAATGCAGTCTTTCTGACCCTTCTGTGCAAAGCAACGCCATTTCTCCCTTCTAAGATGCCTGTCCCTCAATACTCCCAAAAAAAAATACCAAAAAACGCCATGTTCTGCATGCGAGCCCGCTCTAGTGCCGTCCAGTAATATTGGGGGGGGGGGGGGGGGTTTAAAGAACAAAAAGCGAGTGCTGAGATAGTGAGTGTCGATAGAGGTATGTAGTCGTAGGCACATAGTCGGTGGTCGCTGTCAGATGTAATACATAGCTAAATGACAGTTGTGGCATGTCGCTTCTCTCCATGGCCCTCGGGTCTCCTCGTGACTGTCAATGGCCGGCCGAGACTGATGTGAGTCGTGCCCACCGATACTTCTAGTACGGTGTCTGGGCCCGAGCTTGCAGAAGATGCAACCTCCGTCTCACGTCGTCCTCAATGCCGTCGTTGTGGTGGTGACGCAGCAGGTTGCTGAAGCCTAGCGACGTCTGTCTTCGAGAGGGGCGTGGTCTGGGCGGCACAGGCGCCTGGTCAGCGTCGGACGTTCGTACTTCAGGGATCGAGTCGAGGGGGTTCGAAACGTGCGCAGTCGTGATGGTAGGCGAGTTCGGTGCGCTGACTGCCATATTGTAGTCGGGTAGGGCCGTTCCCTCCATTGTACTCAAAGGTCGTACTGGCGTCTTCACAGCGGTTGAGTAACTCGGCACCTTGTTGAGCTCTTCAAACTCAAGGTGCTCCGGGGTGTTGATGCCGGAGTAGTCCTCGCCACTGTGAGATCTCGAGAGCGGAGCCGAGTGTGGTGGCGAATTGTGGTTGCTGTCGGTCGGAGCGTGTGTAGAGTGTGGCGTCGTGGCACCGTCTCGCAAAGATGCACCGTTCAGGCTGTTGTACGATGAATTCCTGTCTCCTGCAGCCAGAGACACATCCTGCAGCCGCGAGCTAAGCGCCGCAGGAGGGACTGCCTGGTACCCACCCATGTGATGCAGGTTCTCAGCCGAACCAGCCCTAGAGAGAGCATAGAACGGAGTGTTGACTCCCGATTGGATTGCTGGCGTCTGGAGCCCACTGCTTAGGCCGTTCATGTCCACATCATCGTAGAGCTGGTCTAGGATGTGTTCTCCGTAACCAGGGGGCGCAATGCCAACCATGCGTTGCACCGTTGCCGTTTCGTGCGGCGCCTGACGAACTAGGTTGCCATCCTCGTCCAGGGGCATGTTGGGAGAGATAAATATCGTTACAGGTAGTGTCGCACGGAGCTGTAGCAATGGTTAATATTTGACAGGATGTGACTCGCTTGGATCTCGAGACGACTCACCTCTGAGACATGGCCGTCCGGGTTGTGCAGTGCGACCACCAGCTTGAGCTTATGGCGAATCTTGATGCCGTGCACATTGGTGTCTTGCATGCACTTGCCCAGCTTCTTGGGGAGATCGAGGTCCGTGTTCAGCACCCAACCTTCCTGCCCGGAATCGTCGATCATGTCGTTCCAATGCTCGTCGTGGTTGATTGAGAGAGCCCAGTGCTTCACCTCGCGCTCTCTCTTATGCTCACGAACGGTGTGCCCGGTTGGAGTCGTCAGGACGATCTCGTGGACCTCCATTAATTTGCAGTTGATCTCGCCGATCTTTAGGCCCTTGAGTAGTGGCGTAAACCTGGTCTCGAGCGGGATCGAGGAGCCGAAAACGACAGCCTTCTGGGGGATAACGATGCTGTATTCCACCTTGTTTGGCCATATATTTTCGACACTCATAGCGTGCAGAAATTCCAGCGCCGATGACTCCAGCGTCCGTATTATACGCAGCCTCTTCTTCGCATGCAGGTCGTATGCGAGCTTCCCTCGCGCAACCGTGGCCTTCAGGTGGTACGTAATACTGGCCTCCGGCATGCCCTCGATGCTCTCACAGAAGTCGCCGGGAAGCATGAGCTCAAAGGGCCATTCGTAGTTGCCCTTGTCCAACACGATTGTCTTGCCCTTGCCCCCGATGAAATTTGGCCACCTGTGGTCATAGAAAGTCTGGTTGCGATCGACTTTCTGATTCGAGATGCCTGTAGGCGTGATACGCGCATCGGTCCAGCTGCAGGGGCTGTTAGCCGACTAAGGCGCCCCTTAAAAATCTACATCACGAGGAACAGGCTGACTCACTTCAGCCGCTCTGTCCCCAGCAGCCTCAGGTGCACATCTTCGATCCGGAGAGGTGCTGGTAGGCATAGCACAAGAGTACCCTTGAGCAACTGCCCAGAGGATTCGTGGTCGTTGCCGCGAAAAACAATAAAGTCATTGTCGAGTCTTGGGAGTCGGTGCCATGTCAGCCTATGAGACCACACAAAGAGAGACGTATATGGGCCCAAGAGAGGAGACCCTGTACCTGGTGGAACAAACTTACCGAATGTCGAAGAGCGTATAGGCGTTGCGCCCCGTGACGTTAGCCAGAGGGTTAAAGTGAGGCATGGCTGCCGATTTTTGTGTCTGCTCAGCAACAGAGATGTTGTCGCGCGTTGCGAGGACAGGATGAAGTAGAGAAATTCGAAGATCAGGAGGGCTTGCTTATTGGAGGGGCGGGCCAATTGATTTTATTCAGGTGGCCATGCGAATCATGGAATCAAAGTGGGTACCATCGGGGCGAAAAATGTAACTTGACGAGAAGATACCGGTTGCGGTGGAATGAGTCGAGGCGCTGGCGTGGTTGCACTATGTAAGTGCACACTCCCGAATCAGATCTGTGACGGGACGGGTGGGGGTGCCTTGGGTCCAGGCGCGGGCGGGCGCGGGTATCTATCACTGCTACGACGTATTGAGGCGGCGAGGCGAGGCCAGAAACGAGAGGAGGAGGGAAAAGAGTAGAACCTGGACGAGCCTGGTGCGATGAGGGTGGTGCGGCGAGATGCGATGGGCTGTGTCCAAAACGATGCAGGGAAACAGTCCACCTTTTTCCTCCAGGGGAGAGAGAGATAAGAGGGTCGAGAGAAAAATAATGGACCCCTGAAAAAGGAAGAGGATGAACAAAGAACGGTGACGGTGAAGCATGTACTATGTATCGACAACAGCCTAGGCTTGTGACGTTAAAACTTGACAAGAGATATACTGTAGTACGCCGGTACCGGTTTCCACTTCCTGCCTTTCTTGAGTTTCCAAGTACAGGGAGGCAGGAGGGAAGGCAATTGCCCGGGGGGAAAGCTTTCACTATAGTAACAAGAGAAAAAAACTACTGTAGATCAATGGTGAGTGCCTTGCGCTTATCAGGGCGTTTTGCCTAGTAGGTACTTGAATGCGGTGCAGACTTGCCATACATTGCCATGTATATCCATATCGTATACGTACCGAAGTAGTGCGGAACCCCTCACGTCCCCCACTACCATTGTGCTAGTATTATGGGAAGGTACGTACCTGAAGGGCTCTACATGGTACAGGGAACTCCATTGAGCAAGGTAACATCGGCACGATCCCAGGCACGTCAGTGTCCCTCTGGATCTTGGAACCACCTAGCCACTGTCATTCCGTATTTTCCCTTCCACACAAGGGTCCAGGCTACGGCACAGCACCCGCATAGCACAGCACCCTCCGGGAATCCACCCATCCAATCGTGGTAAACGGTCGTCATCAGGACACCCTGATCATCAGATTAAATCATGTCACTGTTCATAAGAGCATGCACTTCGACTGCCAGATGAGGCTGTCAGCATTTTTGATGGAAGACACCGCACGCAATAAAGCTCTGATTTGGACTCACCTGTCGTCATCACAAGATCTGGCATCAGCTCTTGCCAAGTTCAGCCTGCTTTCGTATATTGGTCACGGTCAGCGCAAACGGGACAAACGACGCTGGCGAGCTGGCTGAGTGCGTGTTGGGTTTGGTCCTGCTGGGAACGGCGCAGCGAGACCGGGCTTGCAACACCAGGGCCGTCGCATGCCACCGTTTCCACAGCCCCCCTGCAACCGTACTGGCGCTTGGGGCCGCCATTTGCTGCACTCTCACCCACCCAAGCCGCTTTTCCAATCCTTCTATCGGCCTTCTATCGATAGCCGTCCGTCTTGCATACCACACCAAAAGCTAAACGGATGACCATAGCGCAGGGCCCCCACGGAGTCCTCCATCCCTCCTTTCCCTCCTTCAAACATCTGCAGAAGCCGAGCCATCAGCGACCATGCAAGATAGCCCCCTTCGTGGCTTGCTAGAGCTGAGATAAATATGCATTCCTTCTGCTCGCGAGCCGAATTAACGGTTCTGGGCCGCACTGACCGGTGCAAGAATAGCACTGACGGGCAGCCTTCTTTTAATCAGGGAGGGCAGGACGAACACCGTCTCAGCCCCGATGTCAGCCAGACTATTGCTCGCAGCCACTTCGCCCGAACTGGATGTCGTATATCGCCAAAGGAAGGCAGCCATCTTCCTGCCTGCCACATCGGTACAGTCCTCTTAGTGCTCTGTGAATGCGTACGACTCGGCGATCCACATTTGTCGCATTTCGAGACCGAGACTTGAATCACGCAACCTCTCTCAATGCTATTTCGGCCGCGAGCATGGTCTCCTCCGATATGTCGTGGCATGTCTTGGTGTGCCGCAAACAATAACATGTGCACAATGCAGTCTCTGGTAACAAATCAACTGTGTCAACCTGGTTGGGACAGAGTGGAGAACTTGCGAGTGCAGGTTGACAGTGGTCCTCTGTTCTCGACCCAGAACCCACCACGCCAGCGGGCTGGGCTCAGGCATGGTCTGATTGTGTGGCATGATTCTGCCTTTGCAACCAGAGACGGTCACGGCCTATGCATATTAATCGTTCTATACATATGCAGAACTTTGGTATCAGTGTCGATCCGCGAGCGCATATAAAATGCAGTGTTCACAATCCTGGCGGTCTTGGGATGATCGTTTACCCTCATTGCCCACAGATACACACATGAAAGACGGTCGCGACGCTGCCCGCCACCTACGTATGGCCTGATACGATACTGCAACCACCCAGTCTCACCTGATCGAGCCGCGCACGAGACGAAGCAAAGCGAGACAGCATGTGCTACCGAGCCAGGACATGCAGCAGACGAAGACCTCATTGACTCGCTCGCTTCACACAAGTGTACACGTCTGTTGTGCTTGATCTTCGTTGCAGCCAGCAGCCAGTCCAGGAGCCTAGGAACGCCCGATGTTTCTGATGGACTCCGCCCCGCGAGGCTCGCCCGGGGATACGCCGAACTACCCGCGATTATTTCCCCGTCCTAAATCCCAGTTCCGATATCTTCCAGGCTAAATTTTCTTTAACGACCGTGGAACCAGGAAACCACATCCTGACAGGAGTGCGCATTTTCGTTACTCATTCGTCTACATATGCCACAGCCGCAGGAGGTGGTTCCACGCAATTTACATGTCCTGCCAACCCTGATCGAATGTGAGGTCCAGATTGACTACCTTGTCGTGTGCCTCAAGAGAAGCCCGTCTGTCTCCAAATACGCAACCAGTTGAATTGGAGTCCCCTCAGCGACAGTGAGCTAAGCTGAAGCGTACACACGAAACCTCAAGACAGCCAGCCCTCCGTGTATCGGAGGCAATGTTTGGGATTCTGTCGCATTCACCATCTATGCATCATCACTCCTATCTGGTTATCGAGACTGTTAATCAAGAGGCGAGGTGCGGCCAGCCAACTTTGCAAACGAAGTGGGTATGGTCTTTAGCGGGCCCGCTGTGCTCGCCAGCCTCTTTGCAAGTTGGGCTTCTCTTTGGTTCCCTATTGCCTTGAACTACAAACAAGCAGTCTTATTATTATCGACAAACTCGATGTGGTCTTTTTTATGCTGACAAAATATTATTTTTCATTATGACCTCACAATACTATTACGTGCAGAGATCATCTTGTTGACAAGGCTGAAGGGGGCCATATTCACATGTCCCAGCCTCGGACAGGGATTCCTGGCTCTCGAAATTCTGAGATTTCATGTCAGAAACCGTATATACTATGTACTACGGTACGCGCTCAGGCAGCTCAGTTTCCTCCCCAACCCACTCGGTACAGATCCAGGGATCGGATCCTGATAAAATCAAGTTTCGCCGAACCAATAAGTAGAGCTCAAGATACATAAGGGCTGCTGCATGGGGTTTTCAGCCTCCTTTTAGCCACTTACATATCGAGCTAATGACTGGTATCAGGTATTATCCTGGTCCCGAGCGATAAGACCATCAAGCCCACCTCGCCACCTGAGGCTCTGCACTATTGCATAATGAACCCTGATAAATGACGTTTTCCAACCTCTCTTCTTCTCTCCCTCGTGAAAAAGAAAAGAAAGAAAAACCGGATGTAGACGTGGCAACGAGGGATCCCCTTGTACAGCTCATATGAGGGCGTAGCCGATCTAAACTACGCCAAGGCACCGTTCAGCACAAAAATAGAAGAGAAATGAGAAGAGAGAGAAAAAAAAAAGAAAGGCTTGAGCACGTAAGACAATCATAGTTTTGATAAGGTACACCACACAACTTCCAAGTTTCCCCCCTCCCCCCTCCCTTTCACCTTTTTTGTTGGTGAAGATACCAACACCCCTCATAACGTTTTTGTTTCTACAAAAACTTTAGAACCCTGTGACGATCATGAACAGCATCCAATGCAACTCCACTTTTTGCGGCGTCATGGCATACAAAACACACGTCTCACTCAACCCAGCAGGAGTGGAGTCATGAGCAACAGGGCCGCGCGCGACAAGACACCAAAGGGACAAGAGAGACAAAGCGAGAGAAGGTTTTGAAGGGAGACCCACTTGATATAAAGGGTCATCCCGAAGCTTCCCGGGATCCACTGTCAATCAGTTGCCTCTGAAGGAAGAAAGAAGAATTTTTTTCTTAATATGGACCCTGAAAAAAGAGCATGACAGATGAGAGAAAGGAAAAACGAGAAGAGGGAGAGAGGAAAACCAGTGCCCCCCACGCTTATCTTTCTTCCTGTGATAAGTGGCGGTGCGTCAACGAAGAGGAAGGGCTCGTCTAGCAGCCGCATCACACACGGCCGAGAGGGCACAGGAACACAACTGCGCTCGCTTCCCTCGCCTCGAGCTTTGTTGGGACTATTCATCCCCTTACTATCCACCCCCCCCCCCCCACCTTCTTCCTTTTGGCAGTTTGGGGGCGGATACGTGGAAAGACCCAGTCACCTATCACCGCGAGGACACGTACTGTAAGCCATCACCACCATGCAGCTCAATCGCCCAAAGCACGTCCCCATTGGCACCCAAGAACTTTTCGGGCACCCACTCTATGTTGTCTCGGACACCCTCCGGTGGGTGTTACGGGATTTCTCGCGGTCTTTTGGGTCTGTCCCACATTGGATTCTCGACCACAAGGGCCGCCTGTGGGTACAGAGGAGCATGCAAACTTGCAGGTGCAGGACGGGTCGATCCGCTGCGAAAGGTCCAAAACGAGATCCATCAATCTCCCTTGGCACTGATTGATCGAAAGTCCCTCAATTACCAACCACAATCACAGAACAGAGCACGATGACCGTTTAGATTGCATTCGATGTGGATCCCCGACCAGATACTTTGAAGCGCCGGTCTTTTTGCAGCCTTATCGGACGTGATCCGAAGGCCACACTTAAAAGGACAAAGTTTGGAAGAGCCGCAGGTGAAACAGACAGTAGTGGGTTGGCATGTGAAAACCTTGGACTCACATTTCGCTGCGCCTAGAAATACTGGTTGCGATATCTCGTAATACGTTTCAATTCGCTGTACCACACATCAAACGAACCCATATACCCCAATAAACATGCCCCGTTTGAGCCGTTCATCACTACCGGCCTCTTTGTAACACAATCAAGTGGCCGAGGTGTCACCGACATGCGCTGTCGAGTCCGACGGTCGGCTCCAAGTCCGGATATGGCCTGTGAGAGAATACGGCGATGGTTAGCCACGGGGGTCTGAGACAACACGAGGATGTCACAAAAATAGAACAAAAGATCCAGGAATTGTTGGGTAAGACAAGACGGGCCGCAATACTGGTGGGTCAAACATGGCCCCCAGAAGAGGAATGGCAAACATACCGCTTCGGCAACTTGTCATGATGGCCTCCTCGGTGAACTCTAACCACGCAAGCGGATCTGCGTCGACCACCTTGGTCAGCACCGGGGGCAACATGGCTGTATTGGCCCGCGGCTCCACCGGATGCGGCCCTGTGGACGCCTTGCCAGAGCCGGTGTCTTCCGTATTTTCGGACCTGCTCGTCCCCGTCGTTTCGGCGCGGGCAAGGGCCGTGCCCGCCGTGAATCGGGATGCAATCGAACCCCTCGCAGCATTGGCGCCTCCGCCTCCGCGCGGACGGTGTAGCATGCCCACTGAGAAATCCCACAGACACAAGCGCCGGTCCTCGCCTACACTGCCGAAGCGGTAGTTCTTGTCGTCGCAACGCCAAGGGTCGAAGGCGACGGATGTAACCCATGAGCGGTGACCCTGACAGCGGGCAATGAGGACGGACTCGGGCACGTGCCAGATGGAAATGAGATCGTCTTGGCCGCCTGTCAGCACATATTTCCCATCGGGAGACCAGCAGACGCAGATCAGCCCGCCGTAATACGAGTGGAAATGATCGAGGAGCCTGCGAGGGGGGTGTGCCACCTTCCATTAGCTTATGGTCCGTCCCTCACAGTTTCACTGCGCTTCCGGCGGGACAACACATACTCTTCTTTGAGGTAGTCGATGATTCTCAACGATCCGTCTTCTGACACAACAGCCAAGTGCCGGTTGTCAGGAGAAAAGGCGAAGGCATTGATGCGCTGATTTGACAATTTCCATGCCGCCACCGGGTTGGACTTCTGGTTCTTGGAATGGACAGACTTCTGTACCTGAATGCCGTGCTTGGTCGGCGCAGATGCCGTAGCTCCATTTGTAGCCTCACCTTCCCCATTCTCCTGCTCTGCAGAAAAGATGGCGTCTTCTTTCTCCTTGTCGTAAACCACCAGGGATCCATCCATGTGTGATGCGAGAAAGAGGGTTTCCGAGCCAGGTATCCACTTGATTTGGGAGACCGGAGTTCCGTTTATCACCCCCTGCTGCCGTCAGCTGCGTTTCTCCAGAAGATGAAGACCGGCAACCTCACGTTCTTGTTCAGTCGGGCATATCGCTGCGACGTTGCTTCCCACCATATGATCTCGCCCGTCGAGAAGCCCATGATTACGTCGATATGAGCGGCGCCTTTGGTGACCTGGTTTACGTCGTGACACAGACAATGTGCCTTTGTAAATAAAATCTTGGTAAGATAGTCATCCTGTATTTTGGGTCAGCTAGATTTCGTAGATGCACGCAGTTCGGGTGATGCCCATCATTTATTCAACCGACCTTCTTAGAAGCAGACATGTCCAACCATTGGAATGCCCGGTTGATGTTCGCAAAGGCAAACAGACCATCCGCCGGCCGCTCCTGTATCCTCTTGACAAGTGCCTCATGGACAATGACCCTGCTGATGAACGACGAGTTACTCTTAGTCATGTTATTCTTGGGCTTCTTCCTCTTGCCAGCATCCTTGGCATTCTGCGGCGCCAGCAGCGAGGTCCCTTCTCCAAAGGCCGGAGCAGACCCCAGAGACTGAGGGGCCTCGCTCGAATTGGCGCGGCCCTCACTGCCGCTCAGGGTCGGGTCTCTGGAATCATCCTCGCTGGGGCGCTCCTGGATGCTCGCATGGCCCAGGCCCGACGCCAACAAGCCCTTGTAGGAGAAGGGCGGTGGGCGAGCATAGAGGCTCAGCAGCGAGACCTTGGTTCCTGCTGTTGCCGGTTGCGGGCTGGTTGCAAGGGGATTTGGATTTATGACTGGTGATTCTGATGGGTGGGGAGGAGGCGTGGCAAGGTGTAAGTCCTCCTTGAGCACGTAGGTACCTGGTACACGTGACACAGTTCATCAGCCTGGGCACCGGCGAGAAGACGGACAGGCCCACCCGCAGGCTGGAGCTCGAGGGAGGGAGTCAGCTCACCCTCGCCGACCAAGAAGTGATCCTCTGGGTTTGAGAGAATATTGTTGGTCTCGATCATAGGCGGTATACCGCCAGCACCAAGGGCGGCACTGTAGGCGGCCTGGGTGGGATACCGCGGGGGAGGCGGGAGGACGCTGAGAGCTGTGATCAGCGAGAGGCTCGTCATGTTGAAGCCGGTCCCTTTTGGGACGAGAGTAGCTATATGATGTATCTCAAAGATCCGTGAAAAGAGGCCGGGGGGAGGGGGGAGGATATGTCTTACAACATGGCTGCAGGACTATAGAGGAAGGTGGTCGTGCTGAAGAGCGAGAATTAAGTCGAAGGAGGTATCAACTGGTGGGTGCGACCCATAAAACAAATCCCTGTGGATGCACAGCCCTTGACTGTAACTGTAACCCTACTGCTGTGAGAGGCGCTCAGAACGCTGAAGATGGGAAGTCAATCGTTCTTCATGCAGGTTCAACACCCATTCGGCTACGTTTGTCGGGTCACAGAGCCGCAGCGTCAGCATGAGTAGACAACCCAGCTGCGAGCTGCCGTGTGATGAGGTTTAGCCCGGGACGGAAGAGGCCAAGTCGCCGTATCTGCCGAGGTGGGGAAAAAGCGACTCCAAGGGTTAGAGTGAGCAATACTTGAGCTGAACTCTCTCATGAGCAGAATATGAAGATGATGATGGAGAGATGAAAAGAAGAGGAAGTATTGACGCTGGCAGACATTTCTGACCATGGGCCGAAGGAAGGAACGCACGCACGATCAATGGAGAGAAGGACCATGGGACCCCTGACCCTTCAACCCCAAATCTGTATAGCCTGTGCAATCTGGGGTAATGGAGCTTACTGTATATTTACATCAGTCCTTACTCCTGTAGGGGCCAATGAGGGGAACCTGGTCGCCCTGATGGAAGAGGGCCTGTATTCTGGTTGGACAACATCAACATTCTCTTTTTGATGAGATCTCTCATTGGGTCTCCTGCTTCAATAGATTTTACTTCATGATCTCCAACGTATCATCTATTGAGAACATGCACTCCAGTCTCTCGTTTGTATTAATTGGTTACACTGAACCGATACGGGCTGAGTGATGCTGGTGATTGTGTTGGAAGACAACTCTATCAAAACAATCAATCTAGGATGTTCAAGATCCAGTAGTAGCTTTGCATCATGAGCACAAGATTGAGTGAGCTTGCAGCTGTAGTGCCTGTAGATGTGGGGGGTTACATCAATAGACAGTAACTGTACTTGGAGCGCCCCTCACGCAGTAGCCGCTGCGGTTGAAAATGAGGTGTCACGGGTCGGATGCTAAGCTTATGAATGGTCATGGCTACGGCAACTAACAGCCAACGGAAATTGCCATCCCACCTTCCTCTCCGACTGGGAACCTGCACCACCTCATCTTCACGCCACCACAGCTGTCTCTTTGTGACTATTCGTTTCTCTTCGTTCTGACACCTCAAGGACGGACCACACCTCGCAGCTCCGTATTCCGCCGGGGGATAAAGACCCCAGTCTCCTACAGACAACGTCATCCTTGAGCGGTTCCCTTGAGCTTCTCTCCCGTGCATGTTGTCTCGCCTACAACGCTTCGATTTGGTATGGCATAAAGACAACCAGCTGCTACAATGGCTACAGGTATATCCACGTCTGCCCTGTTGCCGGGTCGTCCAACTGTGCTGTCAAGGATGCGCTGCTGACAGCCATGCTTTGTGTTCATTACCAGTGCGGGTATGTGTCTGCGGTGACGAGGGCACGGGAAAGTCCAGCCTGATCGCCTCTCTCGTCAAGGACGTCTTCGTCGCGAACAAGATCCAGTCCGTCCTGCCACAGATCACCATCCCACCGACCATCGGTACCCCAGAAAACGTCACCACGACCATCGTCGACACGTCCGCCCGACCACAGGACCGCAACACGCTGCGCAAGGAGATTCGAAAGTCCAACGTCATATTACTTGTCTACTCGGACCACTACAGCTACGAGAGGGTCGCCCTCTTCTGGATGCCGTATTTTAGGTCTCTCGGGGTCAATGTGCCTGTGGTCCTGTGCGCCAACAAGTCAGACCTGACAGGGGATGACAATACAGCACAGATCGTGGATGACGAGATACTGCCGGTCATGCACGAGTTTCGAGAGATTGACTCCTGCATCAGGACAAGCGCTCGAGAACACAGGAACGTGAACGAGGTCTTCTTTCTCTGTCAGAAGGCAGTGACACATCCGATCGCGCCCCTCTTCGACTACAAGGAAGGGAATCTGAAGCCGGCGTGTGTCTCGGCTCTGAAGAGGATTTTCTACCTAAGCGACAAGGACCAGGACGGCTATCTCAGCGATGAGGAGATGCACGATTTCCAGGCCAAGGCATTCGAGAGGCCACTGTCACCAGAGGACCTCGAGAACATCAAGCTGACCGTCAGCAAGATGTCGCCAAGGTCGAATACCGGAAAAGGCATTGACCTTGCAGGATTCCTCCGCCTGAACAAAATGTATGCCGAGAAGGGCCGCCACGAGACGATATGGATTATACTGCGAAAGCACCACTACACCGACAGTCTCAGCCTGGAGGACAGCTTCCTGCACCCTAAACTCGACGTTCCGGAGTATGCCTCAGCAGAACTGAGCCCCGCGGGATATCGGTTCTTTGTAGACATGTTTCTACTCTTCGACAAGGACAACGACGGAGGGCTGAACGATGAGGAGTTAGCAGCGCTCTTCACGCCCACGCCTGGCCTACCGCAGTCATGGATGGATTCAGCTTTCCCATCGTCCACCGTACGGAACGAGGCCGGACACGTTACGCTCCAGGGATGGCTCGCGCAGTGGAGCATGACCACCTTTCTCGAGCCGAAGACAACACTTGAATACCTAGCATATCTCGGTTTCGAGGCATCCAACCCCAAGGAGTCGACATCGAGTGCTCTGAAGGTGACGAAACCACGAAAGAGAAGACGGCGCCCCGGCCGCGTCGAGCGCAATGTTGTCCTCTGCTATGTACTCGGCGGCGCTGGGGCAGGCAAATCCTCCCTCCTGGATGCCTTCCTCAACCGGCCGTTTGCTCCCCTTTACCACCCAACCATCAAGCCGCGGCGTGCGGTGAACAGCGTCGAGCTTCAGGGCGGCAAGCAATACTATCTAATCCTGGAGGAGCTGGGGGAGCTGGAACCCGCCATCCTGGAGAACCGCGCTCGCCTCGACGCGTGTGACCTCATCTGCTACACGTATGACTCGTCGGACCCAGACTCGTTTTCGCACATTGTCGATCTGCGGAGCAAGCTCCCGCACCTGGACGAAATGCCTTCGATCTACGTGGCCCTCAAAGCCGACAAGGACAAGACGACGCAGCGCTGCGAGTCACAGCCAGACGTTTACACGTCCAGCCTGATGATGCCGACGCCGCTGCATGTCAGTGTCACATGGAACAGCATCAGTGAGCTGTTTGTCGCGCTGGCGGAGGCGGCGACGAACCCGTCCACGGCATTCCCCAAGAGTGAGGAGCCTCCTCCGGATATGACCAGTCTGTACGTGGCACTGGGAGCGACGGCGTGTGCTGGTCTGGCGGCGCTGATCATCTGGCGGCGGTCGACGAGCTCGGCATAGCGGTGGTTGTTTGTGTGTTACTCTTTGTTTGTGGGTTTTGTCTCCAATCTTCATCTCTCAAGGCATTCATAGAATCTTTTAAAAGTGTTTCTTCTTTTTGATGAGCATTTTCGGGTGTTTGAGGCGCCCTATGTCTTTTTCTCTCTCTTCAGTTGAACTCGCGTATTTAGCACATAGAGAGATCAATGATACCCACCTCACTGTTCCGGAATCAAGGACGCATGGTCTTGCGAGGCACGTGCCCAACTACACTTGAGTATGTCAAAGAGCTGATGAGGTGTCGTCCGACTACTCTCACAATCGGCACAAAACTGTAACAACACATATCCTACTTTCATGAAGTATTTACAGTCCAACTGTGCCGGGAGTCTTTTTTTAATGCAACAAATGCCCTCTTTGTTTTCTTTTCCCCCACCTCCTATGATCAATTCAAAAGGACACCCAAAAGAAGAAGAAAAAGCATTCTTGTTCTATCACATGGACGCCTCAAACAAACCCCGCAGCTGCTCCCTCTCGGCCTCCAGCTCGCGCGCCAAGTTCGGCGCCAGCATCAGCACCCGCTGCTGCGGAATCGTCCCCTCCACCAGCTCATCCAGGTGCTCCGTCCCGAACCCCAGGGCCCGCAGGCCGGTGGGCTGGTCGCCGAGGTCATCCAGGAAGCGGCGCAGTGCGTCGGCCAGGACCTCGCCGGCGGAGGCGCGCTTGACGTTGCTGATGTCGACGCCGAAGCAGGCGGCGGCCTCGAGGTGGCGGTCTGGATTGGAGGCGGCGGTGAACCGGAAGACGGCCGGGGATGTCACGGCTACGGAGACGCCGTGGGGGATGATGGGGGTGGTGACCTCGTAGCCGGCGTGTTTGTAGCCTGGGTTTTGACCTGAGATTGGGTAGGACATGCCTGTGTGTGTGTGTGTGTGTGTATACATTGTTAAGGAGGAGCGTTGTAAAAGAGTAGTCATAAAATGTGAATACGAAAGAAGAAGAAAAAGTGTACTTGGGGACTCACCATGACACAGGTGCACACCTGCATTACCGAAACCAACGCCAGCCAGCGTGGCGGCCAGCAGCATCTGGCTCTGGGCCTCCATGTCCTCCGGGTCCTTGACGGCGCGAGGGAGGTACTTGACGCAGTCCCTGAGGGCCTTGAGCGAGAAGATGTCGCTGATGGGGTTCGCGCCCTGGTAGGCAGGCCTCTGGATGGGATTAACAGGGCGCGGGACCCTCTCGGTGTAGGGGATGGCCGTCCAGCTCTCGAGGGAGTGGCACAGGACGTCGAGCCCGGAGCTGGCCTTGACGGCGGCAGGCATGGTGCTCGTGTTCAAGGGGTCGCAGATGCCGAGGGTGGGCTTCAGGTTGCGGTGGGCGATGCCTGTCTTGGCGCGGCGGGAGACGAGGTCGAAGATGGCGGTTCCTGTGGTCTCGGAGCCGGTGCCTGCGGTGGTGGGCACGGCGACGAGGGGCTTGAGGGGTTTGTCGATGGGCTTTCCGGCGCCCAGAGGCGCGTTGACAAAGTCGAGGAAGTCGGCGTCGGGATAGGACGTGTACAGGTTCATCAGCTTGGCGGTGTCGATGACGGAGCCGCCGCCCACGGCCAGGAAGGCGTCTGGGTCGAAGGGCTTGGCCCAGTCTATGGCATCGCGGATACTACCGAGAGAGAAAGGAGAAACGGGAGGTCACTTGTTAATCCGGGTGCGCATCATTTACTGTGAAGGGGGAAGAGGGGGGGGGGGGGGGGAATGGGTCAGGCCTGTCATACGAGCTGTCCTTGGGTTCTATCCTCGTCTTGTTATACACCCTGAAATTGACCCCTTCCTTAGTCAGGCCCTCGCGCACTTGGTCCATGGCCGTCAGCTTGTCGACCGTCTCGTCCGTCACGACGCAGACCCGCTTGGCGCCCATGTTCCTAAAGTCCATGCCGACCTCGCGGGTGACGCCAGGCCCAAATCGGATGGACGAGGCTGCCATCTCGAAGGCGTACTCCTTGAGCTGCGAGTCGTCCTGTGGTGTGGCATAGCGTCGCACAGCTTCATGCGGGCCCCGTTGGTGCTGGTGGTGATGGTGGCCTGGGTTGGAATGGCATGGACACGAGGGAGGGTGAGTGAACTGCACCGCCCTCAGCAGATTGACTGCCCTCGTGGAAGCCTTGAAGTAGGATTGGTGGGGATCATCGTGTCAGTCTCACAAGATCTTTTCTTCTTCTTTGGCGGTGGGGATGAGTGAACAGTGCAGGATCTGAATTGAGAGTACTCACACGTGGGATTATACGAATAGCCGGTGTCATGATGACGGCTGTACGTATATACAAAAGAAATATATGTATGTAAATATTACCTCATTGGTATATCTGCAGCTTAAGAAGAGATGAGAAAATAATGATGGAGATCAAGGCAAAGCAGAAGTGAAGTTCCAAGCGGTCTGGTTGTTTGATACTGCGAGCTCGGAAGACAGATGCAGCCCCTCACGGAACTCCAAAAAAGACAATATTGGAGAAGTCATGATGTGGTGGTGTCTGTGGGGGGGCGGGGTGGGTGGTCCTCTCTCAGTGTGGAGATTCCCCGCGTTTGTTACTGTGTTAATCATAGTCTTTTCCCCAGTAATCTTCGTAGTCTCTCGACCAGCTGCCGGATTAGTTGGTACCGGCACTGTAATGAGTCCTTGTCATGATGAATTATTTTGCTGCTCATTATTAAATGTTAGAATGAAAAGGGGAAGGAGCGTTGTGCTTTCCACTACTTCCTTGCCATGTAAAGTAAGTAAGTATTCAATTCATCAAGTACTTACTCTCAAAAGGCAACAACCTTGTGGTCGTGACATTAAGAAACTTACTTGGTGATTATACCACAGTATCTGCGTTCAGGTACATCAATTTAACAGTCTCGTTCTACAGCATGATCCTGCTACCACCATCTCAAATCTCCTCAATGGAGATCTTTGCGCTTATAGTGCACTGCACACCATGTTGCACGCCGTGGAATGAGTCACGCCGTTGAGACGTCTTCATTCTCATAATAGTCTCATCGTGTACAAAAAGGCATTGATTCCTGTTCCTGATCATGTCCTCTATTGTCTCTCTGTCTTCACAGCATCACTATCTTGTCCAATGAACATGACATCCTCGTCAACTTCCTCGGGCGCAAGCAAAGACCACAACAGCCGGCAGGACCCGCTACCAAGACAGCGCCTCCGCACTCTCCTCCCCAACCTCGAGATAGGTCACTGGCCCACCGGCCCTCTCAATGGCATCACCGACGTCGCCGGCGTCCTGACACACACCACCACCCTCCAGCCTGCCTCCAACCCATCCGTCAACACAGGCGTGACCGTCATTCTTCCCCACAAGGACTGGTTCCACCATGCCGTCTACGCCAACGTCTTCCGCTTCAACGGCTCCGGCGAGATGACCGGCTCGCACTGGCTGCAGGAGACGGGCCTCCTGCACTCGCCCATCGTGCTGACCAACTCCTTCTCCGTGGGCGAGGCCTACCGCGGCGTCTACGACCACGCCATCCGCTACCACAGCGACCCAGCCGACCACAGCGTCGACTGGTTCCTGCTGCCCGTCGTCGCCGAGACCTTTGACGGCATGCTGAACGACCTGACCGCCTTCGCCGTCAAGCCGGAACACGTCGTCGAGGGCATCGCCAAAGCCTCTGCAGACCTCACCCTGGAGGGCTGCACGGGTGGAGGCACCGGCATGCTCTGCCAGGGCTTCAAGGGCGGCACCGGCACCAGCAGCCGCGTCGTCCCGGGCCTGGGTTCGAGCACTGCTGGTGCTGACTCTGCTGGTGCTGCTCCTCCTGAGACGACCTACACCGTCGGCGCCCTCGTCCAGGCCAACTACGGCCGCCTCAGGGACTTCCGCGTCACGGGCGTCCCCGTCGGGAAGCTCATCATGGAGCAGCGCGAGAGGGACAACGACACCGCCGCGCTGCGCCAGCAGGCCGTGGTCGACAGGGAGAAGGACAAGAAGGACGGCAGCATCATCGTCATCCTGGCGACCGACGCGCCCCTGCACCCGACGCAGCTCGAGCGCCTGGCCAAGAGGGCCACCGTCGGGCTGGCCAGGGTAGGAGGGTATGGTCACAACCCCTCTGGCGACCTCTTCCTGGCCTTCTCCACGGCGAATAAGATCCCTGTGCAGACTGTGACGGCGGGCGGCAGGTCTGTAGACCCGTTCAGGGCGCGGGCGCTGGGGATCGAGGTGGTGGATGACCAGAGTATTAATGCCTTGTTCGAGGCGGCTGCTGATGCTACCGAGGAGGCCATCTACAATGCCATCTGCATGGCGCAGACGACGACAGGCTTCAAGGGGAACAAGGTGGAGGCCATTGACCTGCAGCAGCTGAAGGGTATCATGGAGGACTGAGAAAGTACTTGGAAGGGAAAACAGAAGCTGGACATTTTCTGGGTCTTGTCGACCGAGTGCTAGCTTTAGTGGGAATGTATTCTCAAATATGCAATTCTATTTCCATGTGACAATTGCATAACAGTTTGAATTATCATTCTACTGTACAATTACATGATTACAGTCCATTTTATAAGGCCAAAGTTGCCATTCGCTCTTCGCGACGGACCATTGCTCACTCTCCCCTTGAGGATCAACATTGTCCCCACGGTGCGATATGACGATGACACAAACCCGTTGACAGCAGGAGACACTGTTGGAAATCTCATCTGGCTTACGTACCGTGACCTGGATCTTAGATGGCACTCAGTGCCAGCTAGACGCGATGATGACCATGACCGGTCTTGCAAGAGGAGGAGCTGGAGATGGACCTAAAGTGGTGACCGAGAAGTAAAGAGGTTGGTCGGGGCATATTCTTGGCATCATCGACATGGAGAAGGAAGAGCAGACTCCTGACATACTGTGACGGATGACGAGGTGAGCCGTTTCAAGAGAGGAGGAGGAGGAAGAAGAAGAAGAAGAAAGAAAAAAACCAACCGAGAAGTAGATAATCCACGCTGAGCATATAGATTTATGTGCTGAAAAGTATTTACAGACCTTTATGCCCTGCTCTCGGAGTATCCAGCTCGAGAGCAACTAAAGAAATGAGATCCTGACAGACGTATTGACCCAGGGGTATATATATATATATACACACGCTTCTAACCATCCAACAAAAGAAACTAAACAAAGAAAGGAAAAATCGTCTTACTCGAGGGAAGTCCGTTCTTTCAGTCTTCCCCTTCCCAATTCAAAAAACCCCGTTACTGGTAGACTTGCCCCATTTCCGATCTGCATGCCCCCATTTACCGCATCTGTGGTCTTCACAGTCGGTACATTGCCCTAAAGGAGGTTGATGTCAGCACATATTAATCTTTGTGAGGGTCTAGAATATTTGAGTCCTGGTAGAAAAAAAGAGAGAGAGAGAAAGAAAAAAAAAAGGACATACCATTCCTTGGTTCTGAGCGTCATCACTAGCCATCCCCAGCGCGCTCTTCTGCATCACAAACATAGCCGCCTGCGCTGCATTCTGGCTGTACGTAAGATGGTCCAAGGTGACCACATCCCCATGCTGAGCACAGATGTCATCCTGGGCATTACAAAGCGACAGCACCCGCCCGCTCTGCACGCCCGAGACCGCGGTCCCGTTCAGCGGATCGCCGAAGAGCACGACCGAGGCGACGCGAGAGTCGACTGCTGTTGCCGTCGTGGTGGTCGTCGTAGTCGTGGTGTTAGTGTAGCCGGCGAGCGTGCCGTTGCTGAGGAGCGTCATGGCGTTGTGGACGACCTGGGCGCCCTGGCTGTAGCCGGACATGACGAGTTTGGTGTTGGGACAGGCTGCCGCCGTTTTGTTGGCGAGCGTGGCCATCACTGCCGAGCCGAATGGTGAACCGCCTGCCAGGAAGCCGGGGATGGAGGCCGGGTAAGGGATGCCTTGGAACGCGACCGATGTACTCCCGTTCACGTAGTTCCGGAGCGCGGTGAAGAAGGACGGGCCGGTGTAGAGGCCCACGTTTCCTGTGGAGGACGAGAAAAGATCGATAGTCAGTCTCTCTAAACCTTTTTGTGGTTCCTGGGGACTCTTCTCCTTCCCCTTGTTCTTCTTCTTTCTTCATTATGATAGTCCACCAGCTTGGAAGAAGCAAACATACCTGGCTCGCCAGTCCCTCTCGCAAATAACACCGCCATCCCAGGACATGTCGCATTCGCACTCACAGCACCCACCGTCTCGTTCGTCACTGCACTGCTGGCGTCATTATCCTCGGCGTCGTCATCCTCGGCATCGTCATCCTCGGCGTCTTGTACGTCCAGGCCCAGCAAGTCGACCAGGTCATTCTCGTTCGTGGCGTTGTGCAGGTCCTCCAGCACCGTTATAAAGCTCTGTAGCAACGAAGCCGCGTCGGTGAGGAGGTCCGAGATGTCGCCGCTGATGTTGGCAGCAGCTCCACCAAAGAGATCGTCCAAGCTTCTCTCGTCATGCTGGCTGGGTGGTATGATGACTTGTGGTGTGGCGAGGGTCACTTGTGATATTGAGACCAGGATCGACGTGGTCAGAAGTGCTGATGTGAAGGGCCGCATTGCGGCGCCTGAGCAGTGGAAGCAGCCGAGCTATCACTAGGTCGAGACTTGTAGTTCTTTTTGGTCAGTTCTCTCTGTTCTGAGTTCTCGTGAGAGTCTGCGCAATTATGTTGAAGCGTTCCAGCGAGGCACTGTGCAAGGACGGCCACAGTTCGTGACGGCGACCTCGGAAAGTATATTCAAAATCACTGCGGCGGTGCACTCACTCTCAAACAATGCATCTAGTGTGAGCAGCTCGACCCTCGTTGCTCGCCTTCCCATCCTATACACCCAACAATTAAGCCTTTGTGGCACCAAACAACAAGCGCACATGTCGCAAGCTTATCTGAAAAGGTCGAAGTGGAATTTCGCTGCTGTAGGTGTTAGAAGCTATGTGCTGCAGCTGCTTCAGCCTCGCTGGGGCGGCTACTCTGCACGTAGAGTGTTTCATCTTGGCACCCCCCCTAGCTCACCCACCATTGGGGTTGCAGATTCGCCGGACCGTCCCATGTCGATGTGATCATCCGATCGTCGCGAGACAAGTTGAAAGCCTGGCTTTCATAGCGCTACATGACCACGGTTTAGAATGACCAAGGGCGCAAAATCAGGAACCCTCCCAGTGCCCTTATGCGTACACCAGCGGAACGAGCGAGCATGGCCGAAATAGCCCAGAAATGTAGACTCACATCTTTCATCGAGAATGTCCCAAGCGTTTTCAAGAGTTATTATGCATGAAGGCAGTGAAGCAGGTGAAGAAGGCCAAAGTGAGGAACCAGTAGGGGACATGATCCAATTCCCTGATGCAGATAAGATATAGTAACGGTATGGTATCTCGCTAGTTGGGGGGTTGGGGGTCGTCGTGTAAACAAATGCAAGGTTGAACCCATCAAAAACTCGTCTCGCCTTTTCTGAAAGCATTCTTGACCTCCATGCGCGGCCACTCCACCAGGGTCTCGCCGCCGTACACCTCGGTGACGATCTTCCCGATTCTCTGGTCCACCTCCCCATAGTATCCCTCGCACGTCATCGTAATTATGCCCGCCAGACGAGGGCTCTCGTCAAAGTGCTTCTCAACGCGCTTGCGCAGGGCCTCGATGCCTTTGCGCACCTCGCGTGCGTCATAGTGTAGCAGCACCTTGTCGAACGTCGCTTTGTTGTTGGACGCCTGCATAGCGATCATAGCTGGTGGCCTGCCGTTCTTGAGCTGGTCTTCAATGTTCTCAATCTGGTCCAGCAGCTTGCCGAGCGGCCGGCGCATTACCGCGTCCAGGTAGCGCGAGATGTGCTCATCCTGCTCGGCCTGGGCCGCCAGCTTCCATCTCTCCAGGGTCTCGAGGCCATGGGTGTCGACTTCTTCAATGTAATGGTGCATATTCTCGATCAGCAAGATGTGGTAGTTCAAGGCCTCCTTATCCTCGGGATCTGCCCCAGCCCCGCTGGCTGTGTTGCCTATGGCTGGATTCTCTCGTGCGATCACCTTCAGTGAGTCGAACATGGACTTGAGAATGCGGTCGTATTCGCGGTCGATGGTGCGACGGACGTTTAGGTTGGGATCGATACCGACAAGCATGTTCTCTACAGCCATGCTGAAGGGCGGGAAAACACGCATGAAGGCGATGACGCCTTTGCGCTTGCTGATCTTGACCTTGGTCTCTTCGATAGCACGGATTTGGTCTTCGACAAATCGCTTAAACTTGCCGGTGAGGTTTCCGTGGACCTTCTGCAGAACCGTGTTCAGAAACTCCTGATTGGACTGCGCAATGTCTGCGAGCTTTCGCTCAATGCTGGCCATGACGCCAACACCTTGCCTATGAGACATGTCAGCCTTGCTCGTCGGCTCTGCGGGCCCTGACCACCATAGGGGGAGGAGGCAACTTACAGTGGGCTTTGCACCAATACCCAATCAACTAGATTACCTAGATCTTTCTCCAAGAATGGGAAGATCACCTCCATCGACCGCGTAACTCTGCGCGCCAGATCTCGATCGGGCTCCATGAGTCTATGCCTCCTAAGGTCATTGCCCCTACGATCCCGAGGACTGACGGCCATAACAGCATCGGGAAAGTCGATCTGCTCCAGCGTCGTGGCGTGAAAGAAGTCGACGATGAAATTCTGCTCCATCTCGACCAGTGGCAGCAGGTCTTCGAGCACGCCCGCGAAGACCTCGTAGGGCGAGCTTCGTGACAAGTCGATCGTGCTCTTGCTGGCATCACCTTTGCTTTCGCCCAGCGGGGACCGGATCCTGGCAAGTGTCTGGCTTCGCTTGACGGTGAGTTTCCTGGCAGCCGTGGCGATACCTTCTTCCTTCTTCTCTGACTCCGTAGTAAAGAGGAGGGCCTCTTCTCCCGTGGCCTTCCGTGCATTCCTCTTCCACGAATCCAGTGCATCCCGGAACTCCATCTTATAGGTCGGGTGACTGGCATCCTGATACTCCTGGATCAATCGGTTCCAGTTATCCAGGTCAACGTCCCGGGCGTACAGCATCAGCGCCTCGTACTTCCATAGCAGGTCCCGGCCAGCATCGTGATTGTGCGAGTCGATCTTTTTGTGCAATGCGCCCTTGAGTGCTCGTCTCACCTCCTCATAAGCCAATGCGAACTCCCTTGCCATGAACTCGACGAGTCTCTGCATGAATATTGCGCTTTCCTGCAGGTACATCTGCTTCTTTTCCTGAACGATTCGCATCTTCGCATAGTCGCCGTTGAAGTCGATCGCTTGGTCACTGCTTGCGTCGCCTGTCTTGATCGCATCGCTGCCACCCATGCTTGGGTCGATCTTATGCATAGCCTTATACAGTGTAACAAGAGCGGTCTCAACGTCTTCGACACCGTCCGCAGTGTCCAGAGGCGCCGTTGACAGAGCCTGCAGGTCGTTGGCAGTGATAGCACACGTCTCCAGTAAAGACTCAAGTTCTTTCTTGAGCAGCTTCTGGTTGGCGGCCTGGACCTGAAGACCTTGACCTTGGGCCTCGATATAAGCAATATCGTCTTGAAGCGTCTGTAAGGGGTATTAGTTTCAGTACCGAGAACCCAGAAACGTTGGGGAATGCACTTACGGAAAGCTCGACACCATACAGTGTCAAGAGATTATCCAGCTCTTCGCATTCCTCGATTGCGGTATCAATACCCTTTTTGATGCCGTCTACTCGCTCGTCTTCCTCTTGGAACCGAGCGAGCCATCCGCCTGCCTGTGCCTTGTTGAGCTCGCGGTCGAGATCGATCTTCATGTCATCAAAATTGAGGGACCGCATTTTATCACCAGGAACCCAAGAGAAAAAATCCAACCACTCCGTGAACTGTGCAGTCTTCTTGTCCAGGATCGACGGGTCAACGCCTAAGGTGGTAAGGTATCTCATGTCGTTGCCGACCACGATGGATCGTTTGCGTTCGTCCTGTAGCTCCTGCTCTGGTGTCTTCTTCGGCTCAGGCTGTGGTTCGGTCTTGAGGTCCTGTACACTCGACGAGAGACTTGTGTCTGGCCTGGAAACTTTTACCTCGGGCACTTCAGGCGTCATTGGCCTCGATTCTGGTTTCTTCTCGGGTTCGGGCCGAGGAGGCGCAGGCACGACTGCGGTGATGCCGTCAGGTCCATTGCTCTGCGTCTTAGCAGCCTTGAGCAACTTTTCACCCGCTCCCCCAGCGCGCGGCTTGAATACACTGGCAGCTGTCGCGGCTTTCCATAATGCCCCTGCCAGCTCATTCTTCGGCTTCCTCGCTCTGATCATTGGACCTAGGCCAGGGCGATGTTCCTCCTCGGGCGACAGTGGCGACTCAGTCGGGGTCTCAGACGTTGTTGAGGCAGAGGGAGGCACTGTCGGGCTGGGGACCGCTGGGCTGTCAACCTTGGCACCATTTGGATCGGGTTTGAGCGGGGCAGTGTCGAGTCTGGGTGGTGGCTCGACCGGCTTGGAAGTAATCTCGTCTATCGGGGGTGTGGCTTCGGAGAGCTGAGAACGCATCGACGGCTTTCTCGGCGACATACGCTCAATACTTCTCGGCGGCGGCGCGACGGGCGAGCTCGGTTCGACAGGATCTCGGGAGAGTTCTCGGGAGGGTTCTCGCGACTGTTCCCGCGACGGTCCCCGCGAGGCTTCCCGGCGTGAGGTTGTGCTGCTCAAGGGAGCAGGAACAAGGTTGTCGTCTGGTGGTAGCCCTGTAGGTCTCAAAGGATCCATAGGAGGGCGCTTTCGCTCTGGAGGCTTCCCTGTGCTCGGGCTGGGCGTGGGAACGAAAGCGGGTGCCAGGGCTGGCGGAACAGGCTCGGACGCATTGGTGTATGGTGAGGTGCCATTGGGCCTCCCTCGAGACCTCGGTCGAAAGCCCTCATCTCCGCTCTTGTTCGCTATAGATACCGAATCCTGACTACCATTGTTAACCGCCAACCGCTGTCGCAAGGCAGGATCCTGACTTCGGAAGTTCCGGGCTGAGTCGATGCTAGGGGCAAGACTCGCTGGCGAGGACCTGTTGTTTGGAACCAGAGGGCCCCGCGACGGCGTCCGAGCATACTCTGGAACGGCATAGCCATTGCCATCGAAGCTGGGTACGGCGTTGGGTGCCTGGTTGGAGGCTGGGTTGGGGACAGGTGGCCGCCCGGGAGATGGGGGTACAGGAGGTCTTGCCGGAGAGGCCGGAGGTCGGTTGGGTATGGGTGAGGGCAAGTTTGGTGTTTGCTGGGCAGATGGCGTCCGCCTCGCAGCTCCGCCAAGCACCTGGTCAAGCTCGCGCTGGTCGAAGTTGGTGAGAACTGGGACGCGGCCACCAGTATATTTTCCGTAAATCTTGATCAGGCTAGCGATAAAGAACTTCTTCTCTCTGTCCGTCTGGGCCTCCCAGTAGTATGCCTTGCCGAGAGTAACGACAAAGCCATTGTCTCCTGCCCACTGGCGGGCGTCAGGAGCGACATTGGGCCCGGTATAAGACTCGATGGCGGACAGATCGTCGAGATTCCAGGTTTTGCCTATCGAGAAGGTACCGTTTGTATTCTCCTTTGTCTTGTGCACCCGAACCCTGCCTGACTTCCTCACGGCAACGATGATGACACGGGGCTTCTCTGACTGGGGGTTCCTCGACTGCGGTGGCGGGGGGCTCGTGGGGTTGGTCGAGAACTCGAGAATTCTGAGGTGTGTAATATACGTTTCCTGGACTGTTTATCCAGGTCATCAGCACATGAGAGTCGATAACAGCAGTCGACAAGGAGACGCAGAGATAGGGAGCATACCGGAGCCATCTTCCTCTCTCTTGCTGAAACAGCTGTCGATGATACGTCGCTTCTCATCCTCGAACCGCTCGGCGCGGCTCATGCCCCCAGACATCGTTATCACATCTGCTGGTCATGCATTGAAATTGAAGCTCGATGAAAGATATTGCAAGCCAAAGAGAACCGGGTGACGGAGGGAAGGCGGGAGCCGTGGTCGAGGTAGGTCGAGGGTTCGTCGTCGAGACTTGGTGATGTCGCAGCTGAGTTGGGTTTGGGGGGTTACTTTCGTCTCGTTACAGATGCTCGAGCCGCGCACTGGCATGCTCCCAGCAGGTGGGAGCCCCAGTAAGGTTTAGCGTTGATGCCCTGTGAAGGCCGTTGTCGCACCCACTAACTGCATTAGCTTGTACTTCTTCGTTTCGCCTGAGAGATGAGATGCCGTTATCTTCACCAACAACTCGAAGCATGTGAAGACCAGCCTCGAATCCCCCATCATCTATTGACTCTCTTTTATTCTTATTACTATTTGATTTTGTATTACACAAAAAAGGAAAGAGGCGCCCCTCCTTTTTCAAGGGGGGACGGAGGAGGACGGGGACATACGCTCAGCACTCGAGTCTTTTGCTATACCTATGCAGCATTTCTTGTGACTCGAGCTTAATCTTGATTCATAGGGCTTGTAACTTGATGCCAGGACAAGGTGTCAAACAGAGACCCATTGTCTACCTGCGCCCCCAGGGTTTCACAACGTCATTTTTATTTACAGAAATCATAGACCTCTTTCCATATGCCGTATGGCAAAGATCACACATGAGATGCCAAGCTGGGAAGCTGGCATTGGGAGTTCATTCCGCAGTGATTAGCACCATTGCTCAGCAATTTGTTTTCAATAAGAATAGCGAGGTTGTCCCTTCAACACTGCATTTCATTCTTATGCTATGGCTCTCGACAATAATTCTTCTCAGGCTTTAGCTGAAATGATGATAAAGCTGCTCATGCAGGTCGAATACCCTATAAAACCAGCAGCTAATGCAGGCACCCTTGGAAACTAACCAGGACTGAAACTCCTCCAGGCATGTGTGAGAGTGCCCGCCAACAAAGTGTTAAAACATTAAAACCCCCAATTTCATCATATCCGAATTGGCGGGGCACTTAGTGAGATCAATTCTCATCGCTGTCTGCTGAGTATACCAGCCAGTTCAGTACAATCTATCTCAAGTCAGCGTCAAAACCACGTATGTCAAGTGCCAACCTCTCACCAATCATACCTTCCAACTGAGAACAGCTTGTGTGAGCTTCGGGCGCAAGGATGTATCGTAGTATCCATGTAAAGTCTGCCGGATCACTTCTTGCTCCCATACTCAATGGGCAGATCCATGCCCACCCTTCTCGCGGTCAACCGCACTCGCTCCTCCTCGTCCATGCCCATGCCAGGATTGTACCTCTCGAGAAGAGTCACGTAAGTCCTCTGCGCTCGGACGTATGCGAGGTACTGCTCTGCCTGCGCAACCGCGAGCTCGCCGAGGGCCGGCGACTTGTCTGGGTGGAAGTGCTCGCGCAGGCGCTGGTAGACTGGAGATTGTGCCCTGGAAAGGGTGGACCGCGGTGGTAGCTCACGCAGAAATGAGCGATAAAGTGATCGTAGTTTTGGAGGTGAGGACGACATGGTTGTGGAAATTGTCTAATATGTGGTTGGTTGAGGAAAGATGAGGAGCTGTGGACATCGACACTTCTTTCAAAGTGCCTTTGTAGGCAGACAAAAGCAGACAAAGTTTCGCCCCATATTTACATGCTATCGATTATCGCATTGACAGGGGGGGATGGTGGCCAGCAACAAGACGCCTGCCGCAAGCTACCAAACTGCCGGCCGGGAACGTCATGTTTGCCGCGACAGTGAAATTTCCCATCGGCAAACACTCACACAAGCCACACGCACCCCATCACATCACCACCACCCCATGATGACTACAACCACACCTCTTCAACACCTCCCCATCTCCTGACCCGACCACCTGGGACCGACAGAGCCGCACTGCGCATGCCAACATGTCCCCACGTGGCGTCGCCAACCTGCTGGCCATGCCGCCAGCCCTACGGCCGATACTGCTGCAGGCGGCCCTGACCCAACCCTCCTTGCTTCTTGCGCCGACGCTTTGCCTGTCGCAAACCAGATCATATGCGAAGAGGACGGTGCCCTCAAAAAAGAAGATCGCACCCAAATCCACCTCCAGATCAGCTAGTAAGGCTCCTTCGAGTTCAAAGAAGGCTGCCACTACCACACCACGCCCGAAGAAGAAACACCTCCCCTCGTCCCCTCCCCCCACCGAGGAAGTCGATCCAGAGGAAGGCCCCCCACCCGCACTCTCCTATCTTCCTACGCCCTCCCCCGTCTCGCCGCCCAGCGTGCTCCTCGCCGACGTACCTCCTCCAGCCGACATAACCCGCTCGGCGGCCCTCTTCCGCAACCCCAAATTCCTCTACTCCGCCCCGCGCTTCCTCCACCTTCCGATCAACACGCGTATACCAGAGGTCTGCATTCTCGGGCGATCTAACGTGGGAAAGTCTACCCTGATCAATGCGCTCTCTGGGTACGGCGGCAAAAAGGCCGGGGCGGCGCACGGAAACGCTGCCAACAGGAAGGGATTAGCCATCACCAGTGCCAAGGCAGGATGCACCAAGACGATGAACGCCTATGGGTTTGGCCCGCCCGCGAGCGTCAAGCCGCTCACGAGGGAAGAGCAGGAGCAGAAAAAGGAAGGGGGTAGGGCGAGGGCGGATCGGAGGAAAAAGGGCAGTGGGTCCATCAAGCCCGAGGGTATGCCTAAGCATAGTCTTGTGCTCATGGACATGCCCGGGTACGGGATGAACTCGAGAGCGGACTGGGGAGACGAGATCCTGAAATACCTTAACCGCAGGGAGATCCTGTCCGGTGCTGTGCTGCTGATCGATGCGGTCGCCGGTGTGAAAGAGGGAGACAGGATGGTGCTCGAGGTGTTGAGGGATGCGGGGCTCAAGACGACTGTCGTGCTAACCAAGGCCGATAAGCTGGTGACCGAGCCAGATCCAGAGCTGTGGCGGGAGAGTATGCAGCTGAGGCAGGCGTGTCTGCACATCTATGAAGAGATGAGACAGGTGGAGAAGAAGGGCGAGATGCACTGGTTTGAGAGTGATGGCTGGACCCCTGAGATCTTTGTCACCGGCGCTGGCGACCCAAAGATGGGCGGCATGGGCATCGACGGTGCGAGATTAGCGATATGTCGCCTTGCTGGGCTCGTTGCGGAGCCGGTGAGGAAGGTCGAGGTACAGCAGCCCGAGATTGTGCCGTTTGACCAGCTTGTGTTTGCCGCCCCGTCTCTGACGCCCAAGTATGAGATACAATCACAACCGGCTGAGGGGGAGAAGGTACACGTCGGCAGGGGGAGGGTAAAGTCTCGAAGGGTGGAGAAGACGGTTGACCCCATGAGGGCAATGGAGCTGGCTATATTGCGGCCGAGGAGAGGGAAGCAGCTTGGCCAGGCCTCTTTCTGATCTCCGATTCCGTGCATGACAGGACACAGAGAGAGAAGCAAGGGCCATACAGAGAAGGATATAGTGACTAGAGGTTGCACGCTCAGACCAGATATGCTGGTTTTGGCCATTCATCTCGACGAGACGGAATCATACATACCCCCGATGGTCTTGAGGATGCTGTTCCTTCACGACTATACCAGTGAAGTTCAGGCCACTGGAATGACTCTATGCTCCGTGTCAGTCTTGGCGGCGTTCCCGCTGTCGACCTCTGTCGACCCTCTCCCCCACGGGTATACCACCACCCTTTGCAAACCGATACCGAGGCCAGAACACATCTCTGAGGTTATCCCAGAAGCCCAAGTCATACAAGTTGTCCACCTCTGCCAGCGCCACTACCCTAGTCCACTCTCCCCGGCCGGGGATGTTGGTGCTGTCCGCCCTCGGCGGCCCGTTGTCCGTGTGGATCATGATCTGCTGCGACTCGACAGGCCATTTCGTCCACGCAGGCTCGAAGCGCAGGTCCTTCTCACGCGTGGGTGACATACACCGCCTGTAGGCATAGCCGTCGGCGATGTCGAGCTTCCAGTCGGACCACTTGAGAGACTCGTTGGTCGTTGTTCCCGCCCAGATCACTGATCATGGTTTGTTAGCAAGTGAAACTTCAAAAAAGAGAGGGAGGGAGAAGAGGGGGGAAATGAAGAAAAGAAAGGAAAAAGAGGGGCAGATTTATTGACTCACTGTAAATATTGTATGCCCACAATCCCCATACGAGCGGGGCCGTCAGCAGCATCAGCAACGTGACGGCGCCCATGCCCACATTACTCTGCAGGGCGTGTGACCATAGCAAGAAGTACGTGTCCCAGTTGTAGTTTGTCGCAGCGGGCGGCCACATGGAGAAATCCGGGTACCGCACCTTGATGGCGAGGTTCAGCAGGCTCAGCCCCAGGCACGTCCCGTAGGTGAGGAGCACGGCCGTGCTAAGCAGCAACAGGATGAACCAGTGCAGGTTGCCGGCGCCGACGCAGTTGTTGATAAAGATGCAGTGGTGGTCCGACTTGGCGATACAATGTTTGCAGATGCTGCAGTGCTTGGACCGTGCGGGCTTCAGCAGCTGACAGGTTCGGCAGTGTGCACCGGGGTGAAACATGGCGAAGTCGAAGGGATACTGGGCCATCTGGAAGGTGTGATTCTCAGGCGTGATGTATCCGGGGTCAGACGTGGCGGAGAGCCAGAGGAAGATGTAGGGACAGGCGATGAAGATCGTGACCGTGAGCCGTTGTGTGGCGCTGAGGAGCGGCCAGACAGTTGGGATGAACAAGGCCTCACCGCCAAAGAGGAGGACGATGTAGAAGATGAGAACAGTTGGGTGCCTATCATAGAGCATGTGGTTGCCAAACCGTCGCATGCATGAGCTCAGCCGGCCTCCTGTGACCTTTTGGTCCAGGGCTAGCACGGCACTGGGGAGGGTATCCCACATGAAGCGGTGGAGCCATGCTATGGGAGTGTTTCTGAGTGAAAAATATCAGTCATGTGTCCACTAAGTATGCTTTGCTGTTCTCCGAGGAAAGGAAAACAATCACAAGCCTCAAGGGAGGAGACAACTTTACCTGAGAGCTGGTAGTCTGCCGAAGAAGGCAACAAATGTCATGAAGGAGATGAATAGAATGAAAAGAACGATGGTAGTGAGGGTATCCATGCTTGCAACAGGATGAATGTCTCTCTTCTCACTAGTCTCATTGTCCGAAGCAAATGTACAAGGACATATGTGTGACCAGGCCGACAGAAGCAGTACTAGGAGGACAAGAGTGAGTACGAGAGTAGAAAACACCTGGTAGCACCAAGCACATTCGGGCTTGAAGAAGGGAGAGGAAGAAGGAATCCAAAGCCCAGCTCAGGTGCTGAAAGCTAAGACACAAGGCTGACGTGTTTCCTCCTCATCCCTGGCCAGTTTCATGAGAAGCTAAGTGAACAGAAAAAGAAATCATGACAACCTCAGCTCGGAGCCTGGTCAGCAAGTGAGCTCTTCTAGGATTCTTCCCATCCAGTGTGAGCCAACATAGATCATGCCCAACATAACCATGTGTTCTGTAATGGATCTCGTATCTTGTGAAACTTGGAGTCAGTCACTGCATTTTAGCCACCGAAGCTGCTGTACCACCTCCCCCCCTGGAGCAGGGCCTGCAGGGGCACAGAAGATTTGCAGGGATGTCCTGACAACCCCCGATAATTACATGACCACGGCTAAGTGTGGGGGCCCTTTTGGAAATTCGCATGAGAGCGCGACCACAACCTGAGATGGGTCTAAACACCATCACGCGTCGCCATCACGCAGGTACAGTTTTGCCTGTGACTCTGCTCTGTCCGCCCCAAGGTCTCGATGCATTTCTCACAGTATTTATTAATTCAGAGCATGGAAGCCATGCGATGTTCTGATTTCTATTCTCTGATCGAGGGTATCGGAGTCATGAATTGATCTTTTTATCGATATATTCACTCAACACTCACAAAGAGCAGGCGCCGCCTCCCACCAGAATTCCCCACCTGCCGTCTTCACACTTATGTGTACGTACAAGTCAAGGCCGAACACCACCAACCACCCACTTCTCATCCTGTATCCAGTCTTCATCGATTCATCTCGGCTCTACTTCATCTCAGTCTCTATCTTCCTGCCACTCAAACAGGGTTAGGGTTGGCGAGCTTCACACAACAGTCAAGATGCCCGTTGTATACGACGGGACGAACGGCGTTGGCCAAGGCGATCTGTTCAAGGACCTCAAGTTGTGGTTATCGCACCGTATCCCCATGCGAGAAAAATGGGTGAACCTAGTCCAGGTCAGACATATGATTTCTTCCTCCGTAACCCTGATACTCCATACTCACGACTTTGATAGAACAATGGCGGCCACGTCGTGCCTTTGGAGAAGAATGCCGGCATGTTGATTGCTGATCACGTCAGGAGGGCCGGTGTAGGACCTCCTCCTGGGTCATACTCCTACAGGTGGATCGAGTTCTCGGTCAAGAATGGGGCCCTGGAGAACAAGGATGACTATCTCATCGGGCGACCAGAGGGGAGCTCAAGAAACGTCGGCGCTGCAGAGCAAACCAAATCAGGTCGTACGCCGTTTACTCGCGAGGATGATCTGATCTTGACAAAATGGGTACTGGTGAAGGAAAGTCTTGGTATCAATCATACCAGTGGTAACTCCATTTACAAGGACCTCGAAAAGAAAGTAAGTGTCCCTACCTGCTCAGATCGGCACGCGGCCTCCCATCAAGTTCTCTGACATCAGTCTAGTATCCGCATCATACATGGCAGTCCTGGCGAGAGCGTTGGCTCAGAATCTTGCGCTACAGGCCTCGTCTCCATATTCCCGATGAAGAGCTCCGCGAACTCCAAGCCGCCGAAGCCCGTGCCGCCGGGACTGCTGCTGTTGCTCAGGCTACTTCTTCCCCCCTAAGGCAACAGCAACAAGTCGCGAGGGACATGGGCGGAACATCTGAAGAGCGTCCAAGGATCGGCAGAAAGTTCTTTACTCAAGAGGAAGACCAGATGCTGATCGACCACATTCGAGAGCACAAAGCTGCAAAGCTCGGCGGTAACAAGATCTATCAAGAATTTGCAGAAAAGGTATGTTATGGCGCCGCGTCCTTGTTTACAAAATACTGATTGACGCGTAGCATCCCTCTCATTCGTGGCATTCCTGGCGTGATCGATGGGTCAGACATTTGAGTCTGCGGCAGACCCTGGATGACGAGCGTCCAGGAGCTCGAAATACTGTGGCACCACCAGGCGCCAGTGGTCATGGGGACCAACAACTGCGGTCAATGGCAAGTGATTCATTGAAACTCGCCGCCCTAGCCTTGGCCACCAATAACGAAGCCCAGCTCCACGGTACAGCAGATGCAACAAGTCTAGTTGCGAGGCCTTCGGTGCCCCCGCACCCGCCGAATCCCAAATCCGATGACGAGCGACTCAAAAGGCAGAGGCAGGCCAGAGAAGCGGCCAACGCCGCCACACGGCTGCAAGGCCTCGGGGAAAGAGATCAAGCCCAACTTGAGGCAGCCTTTGTGCCTCTGCAGTCCCTCATGCGGGGCTACTTGTTGCGAATGAAGCAGGCCGATAGATTAGCGGAGGTCATGGCAGCGGCAAATGAAGACGGCCTGGCCGACATCACTAAAGAAGGCCGTCAGGATGCGGGCCTTGCTTCAGGGGGCATGACGCATCCAAAGGACCCAGCAAGGTTACAATTCCACAGTGATCTCAGGGACTACCTCGAAATCAACGGATCTACGGTCAACATGGAACCACTCATCATGGGATGGAGGATTGATCTCTGGGATCTTTTCAGGGTCGCAACTCAACAAGAATGCCAGCCTGAGGACCGGGATTGGCAGCAAGTTGCCGATGACCTGGGGTTTGATGCTGAGACCAATCCCTCCATAGCATCAAAGATACGGGACTGCTGGGAAGACAACTTGGCGGACTTTGAGGAGGCCATTCGAGCCTTTGAGTACCAAGATGATGGAATCGAGGAGGGGGAGGAAGAGGGCGAGGAGGAGGAGCCGCCTGAGGAGGAAAGCCTACCTGACGAAGCAGCAGAAGTCCTGTTGACGCCGAATGCCATGACAGCACCTTATCAGCCTCTTGCTGAGCTGTCGTCTCCAGCCTATCGGTCATCCCCACCTTTAGTGGGATTGAAACGGTCTCGACAGCCCTCTGAACTCCTGACGTCTGATCTCGCCTATCCATCAAGCCCCTCCCAGAAGCGCCGTCGTCTAGACAAGAATACTGTTATACCACCAACGCCTGAAGAGAAACTCATGACCTCGCGGGGACAGCTTCGTCGCAGGACGCCACAGGACGGATCATCCCCATTCAAATCTCAAGCCTTTACTGAGGATGAGATCGTCGAGGTAAGCTCGGCCGAGGACTCAGACGGTCTGCTCGATGAAGAAATACAAGCCGGCGAAGAGGCGGACCAATTGCCAACCAACAATATATCGAGGAGGGGAGTTGACAACCCGGTGACTCGAGGCTCTCCCGTTGGCACTGGCCACGAGCAAAGCGATCATGACCCAATCCAGGAGGATGAAGCCAGCCCTGCACGGTTCGCTCCCCGGAGGTGGATCGGTAGCACCGGGAAGCAGAATGGAAACATTGTTTCGCCGACGGGTCAGAACCGGGTTATGAGAGCAGACAACAACACGCCTAACTTGAATTCCAAGTACACGGCTAATCTGGTGGTCCCTGACACTGTTACTTCTCGAGCTCCTGTCAATGGTCACGCAAAGAAGAGGACACTACCGCCACAGTATCAACGACATACCATATCAGATCAGAACAATACTGTTCAGCCGGTGCCACAAACCAATTTCTCCGCATTAGGGCGACCTTCAGGCTTCCCTCCCACACGCACTGCAGATAAGACGATGCCACCGAGCGGGCTCTCTGGTGGCTATACACCAGGAATTGCAAGGCAGGCGCAGCCAACATTCTCAGCGTCGGCACCATCTCAAATATCCAGCGGGCATAAAGCCACCGGCATTCCAGAAAAGTCCAATTTTGAATTACACGCCTTGAACGCCCAGTTCTACCACTTCCAGGCCCTGGGGTATTCAGAGGACCATATTGTACGGGCTCAAAATGCCTCTACATGCCAGCGAGGTCCCATGATCGTCGCTCTGGACAGCCTAGCTCACGGCCGCGGGATCCCAGAGAACGAGCCTGGCGTATGGAGCCAACGCGACATTGACGACCTGGATATGATCAGAGCATACGAGCGACGGCAGGAGAAGGGCCAAGAACGTGCAGGAAGGGGCGACAACGGCAGGGAGAAGGTCAGCGTCTGGCAAGCACAACACAGGTTGGAGTCGAAACACGGCAAGAAGATGATCGAGTACCGAAATCAGTTCCTTGATATTATGAACAGAACAGGTTAGCAGCGAATGGACTGAACATGACGGTCGATGTCTACGACGATGGTGCGGGATTAATGCATGCATGTTCAGGATGATGGCATTCTCGCTCCGACCTCAGCCTGAGCTGATTCTCGCATATGCTCAAGTACTCTACTCAAATAATTATACAACTTCTCGGCTTCGTTCATGGAATCACAGAAAATAGACTTGGAATCCGAGAGAGAGAGAGAGAGAGAGAGAGAGAAAACAAATAAAAAACAATAAGAATAAGAATATCGTAGCTATTAATAGCTATATGTGACGAGTAAAGTTATTCTCTTTTCGCCCATTCTTTCACACGTCAACATTCCACTGCTTTATTTCGACGTCTCCTGGCCCCCATCCCTCGCCAACTCATAACCATAATGCCAGCCGCGTCCCCTTATATCCTCTCTCACCTTGTAGTTCTCCTCGGCGATCCTCAACACATCCAGATCCACCTCGACATAACTCACCCCGTCCTCATCCAGCCCCAGCTCCCTGCTCTCACCCTCGCCCAGGACCGACTTCAGCCTCCCCTGGATGGGCATGGCGACCTGGCTGCACCCGCCCTTGTTGCAAAAGACGACAGCACAGGTATTCTCAAACGCCCTGCTCACAACGCAGCTGTCGAGAAAGACCTTCTCCGAGTCCGGGTTGAGCGCAAGCCCGACCTCGTCCAGGTCCGTGACGAGCCAGAACGACGGGATGAGCACCAGCTCGGCGCCGTCTGCGATCAGGGCGCGGAACGCCTCGGGGAATGCCAGGTCCCAGCACACCAGCATGCCCGCGCGCACGGGCGTCCCGTCCGCATGGGTCAGCGGCGTGTCGAAGGCGCTGTGCGGCTCGTGTCGGCCGGGTGAGAGGTGCGGCCGCTCCGGGTGCCAGAGGTTCTTCTTCTGGTACGAGGCCGAGACCGCGCCCGTGCCCGCCGCGATGAAGTGCGCCATGTTGCGCAGCTCGCGGTCGCCGCCCAGCAGCTCGCGCGCCCGCTCGCTGGCCGGGTCCGGCGTGTGCTCTGTCGCCGGGTGGGCCTCGCAGATGGTGCCCGGCACGAGCGAGATGTTGAGCTCGCGCGCGAGGGCTTGGTACCGCGCCAGGTAGGCCTCTGAGTCGGCGCAGGCGGTGATGAAGTCGGGGTGCTCTGGAACCCACGAGGTGAGGTGGTACTCGGGCAGGATGGCGAGGTGGCAGCCTGCTGCGGCTGCTTTTCGGATCTCTGCCTCGGCTTTTGCAAAGTTGGCTGCTGGGTCGACAGGCTGGGAAAGGGAGGGCGGGGGTTGGTTAGCCGTGTGTATGGAAAGTGAAACCTTACTGTGAGTACTGCAAGTGAATTGGAACAAGCTGGATGGATGAGGAAAATCCAAAGGGTAAAACGTGTTGTTTGGTCGCACATTCTCTGTGCATAGACATTGTGTCAAGTCACACTACCTTATATCCTTCCTGCTCGAGCAATACGCTTCCCTCAGAATGACAAGATGTCCAACCCGCTCTCATGAGCCACGAAGGTCTTCTTTTACGAAGATAAAAACAAAAAGGCGCTCAACTCACTTTAGGCTGCATTTGAATCAATGCAAACTTGTATATGGGCGCCATCTTTTAGAAAGGAAGGAAGGAAAACAAGGTATGAATAAATTCCTCTTATTTTCCCAAGTCTTGCATGAGTTCATTCAAAAATAAAAGGGGAATGTTTTGAAGTCAAGCGGCAGATGAATGTACTATGATACGAAGCACGTGTGAAGGTCGACGGTGGAAGAGACCGATAAGCGGAGCCGGACGGTGGAATGGTGTGGACCGGGTCACTTTCTGTAGGTAAGGCTGTTGGTGAGGGCACTAGTGGTGTCTATCTCTATCTTGTCTATCACGCTCCGGGACGTAGCACCAAAAAGGATGTCATCAACATTGGAGGCAATATAGCAGTTTTCACGAGGAACAATGCCGTCATGATAAATGGCACGTAGATTGGTGGACGTGAGTCAAATTCACAAGAGTCAATTGAGGTCAGTCAGAACCGCATCTGTACAGCTGTGAATAGCAAACGCTTCTTTTTGACTTCTTTTTTCTTTCTTTTCTATCTCTTTGTATCGCTAATGATAGTGTGATCTAAGTCATCCAACATGTCTGTATTGATCATGGCGGAGAGAGCGAGAGAGTGTTCAAAGAACCGTGCCGAAACTAAGACGAGGTTAGCAAGCTTTAGTGAACCGCCAAGATGTGATGTTGTCTGTGACTTACCCAAAAGTCCGCTTGATGCTGTGCACGTAGTAGTTCTGCCAGTTCTCCTTGGTAACCTCCTCCTGACCTACGGGTACGCCCGTCCAGTTGACCCGCATGACGGTCACGCTGTCGACATCGTTCTGGTCAAACTCGATCTCCAACGTGCTGTGGTGTCCGGCTGGCCATTGTTGCAGTCTCCAGCTCTGCACAATCTTCTTGTTCTCTGCCAGCTCTAGGTACTCGCCCGTCACGTTTCCACCAAAGATCTCAAACTTGCCCCCCTCCTGAGCGCCTTCAAACACCTTTGGCGGGGCCCGTGTGAAGGCCGCGATCCGCTGCGGGTCGGTGAAAGTCTTGTACAGCTCCTCTGCAGTTGTCCGGAACTCTTCCGAGTCCGTGACTGTTGTAGTGTTGACGACGGCGCCGCTGTCAGACTTCTTGCTAGTAGTTGTGGAGGATGTAGGGACAGATGACTTCTGTGGGTGAATCTTGGGCGTCGAGAAGCCACTGGAGGGGTTGGAGCCAGGCGCGTGCTGGATGTCCTTGCCGTGCTCTGCTATCAGGGCTGGGGCCAGCTTCAGGAATTCCTTCCGCAGCTGGGGGACGAGCTTGGCGCGAACGAGGTCCTTGACCGGCTGCTTCTCTTTCGACTCGGAGTAGATGTCGATTTCAAACTGTCAAGGGCCAATCCCTTAGCATACAAGCCTTTCACAGAAATCTCAGGCACCATGTTCGTAATGGGTAAAAGGGGTGCATACCACGAACTCGTCCTCTTCTGTATCGTGTGCCACTTCTGGTACAGTAATCGTTCCCGAGACATCCTCGGCATCGGCGGTAGAGCCCGAATACTCTAGCACCAGCTTGACGTCAAAGATGGTGATCACCTTGCCTTTGCGCTGCGAGACGTCGACATCACCATCTGAGCTAACGATCTTGCTAATCCTTGCCTTGGTCTCGCCGTCCTCAGCTGCAATCTTGGTCAAGTTGTCCTCGAACCATTCTCTCGCCCAAGCAGAGACGTCCTTGTTCACCCAGTGCCAGTTGTTGGGGTTGTGGAGGACCATCTTGTCAGGGCGAATTGGGCGTTTAGCAGATCTGGCGAGGTAGGTTGGCCGCGAGATTGAATTGGAACGTGGGGCTGCTCGAGTTCGGGTTCTATCCTCGCCACAAAAGGTCAGTCAACGCTGCTGCACCGAGAGAGACATGCATTGTGAGAACTCAAGAGCAAGAAAAAAGAAGTATCAATTCGATCAGAGACTGTGTAACAAGAAGCTTGGTCATCAAAGGAGAGAGTACAAAAAACCCTATGACTGGTGCCAGCTGTATATTTCATCACATCGAGGACACTTCAAGTGGCTGCGAGGAACAACAAAGAAGAATTGAGACGTACCGTTGTTCGTATTTGGTTGACTGAATTAGAGAGAGTGGTGTTCAATTGTCTCGTGGTGGTTGTGGTTGTGGTCGAGGTGGGAGGAGCCAACTTTCTGCTTTGAGGGTGCAGCAGAGCTGAGGGAATCCAAGCGATTCCATACCGTTCTGCGAGGCTGCAAAAATATAGCAGAAGAAGCTGGCCCCTTGCCCCACCTCCCTCGGGTCACTTCAGTCAGTAAGCCTAAGCAGTCCCTCCATTGCGGCTTATGCCTTGACGGCTTCAGCCTCATTCAGTGCAAAACCACATGTCTGATCAAGTGTTCTTGCTGGACTGGAAACCCAACAATCACGCCAAGCTGTCCTGCCCGGTGTTTGATTTTTGTTTTGTGGTCGGGTTGGATGTTGAGAAAGAGCAGAAATTTGCTCGCACAGAAATTTAAGCGACGCTGCTTAGTGGACCCGCCTACCCCTGCCCGGTTGTGGAGAGCCGCTATACAGTTGTATCTAGTTGCTTCCTCATACAGCGAGCAGAAGACATATCCAGAACCTCAGCCACTGGAAATACATCTCGTCTGTCAGCATCCGCTCAGGCTTCTTTTCCCTCCTTTGAGCATAGCAGTTCTTATCGCAGAAGTAGTTGACTGGTTGAGAAACCAAGATAGAAGAAAAGTATATCAACCTATTCGTAGACAGACAAGTTGCTCTCCTAAACTGCTTTTCCTTATGGCCATCCGTTAAATCACATCCCAGCCCTATAAATTATGAAAAATGGAATGAACGCCGTCGCTGATGAGAATAGTAACGTAATTTTTGGGAGAAAAAAAGCAATTAGGCCCCGTTCATGAACATGCCATACATGCATACATGTGTTGGACCAATCACATAAGCTACCGCCAACGGTGCGGTTATGATTTTATATCAGCGCGCCTGGTCAACTGGGGCTGCTGCAGACTGCTGCGTCTCCGCCTGTGGTGTCTCTCCATCATGTGCGGTGGAGTGGCTCGTGCCTGGGCGACTTAGCGCGCTACCTGGCCGGCTGGCACTGAACGATTTGCGCAGCTTCCGGGCCCCTTTGGACGACAACATGCTCTTGACCCGCCGGAGTCTGGCCCACCTCTCCTTGTCCTTTTCCGCCTCGACCTTCTCGTCTTCTTGGTCCTCTGGCCCGTCGCCTACAATTGCCGATCCTTCCAGTCCAGGCGTCGAGGCGTAAGGGGAACCCTGCCCCCCACTCTCGCCCATCACGGACCTCCTATGCGTCTGTGGAGGTTTCTCTCTTCCCGCCCCGGAAGCCCGCTTGCTCGGTGTTTCCCGATCTCTGAGGTAAGCCTCGTTCTTGAGCACCTGTAATAGCACCTGCCAGCCGGCCTTGTCCCCTTCATCGGCTGCCAATCTCATCCGCCTCTGGGAGCCTGCATCTGGCGAGATGCGCTGCGCCTCGGCGCTCTTCCACGGGCAAAAAAACCTGTGCTCCCTGGTGGGGTCTAGATGATCCATTGGCGCGGGCACCAACACCTCGTTGGTCTCTGGGTCGATCTCCTTGCTCTTGAACATCCACAGCCCCAGCCGGCGGAGACACGTATGACACGACGCGGTGTTGGGCACCGGACCGATGCGTGGGTTGTCCAGACCCTGCCAGCCGAGCACAGCGAGCGCAAGGGCGACACGGTTTGGGGACGATGGCGAGGGACTTGTAGGCGGAGGCGGTGGGGCGCTGAAGAAATCAGGCGGGAGCTGTGACAGGATAGCATTGATGCTGAGCCCCTCGGGAAGCCGTAGGTTGAACTCGTAGGGAAGGAAGGCATTTCGGGCACAGAGCTCGTCGTAGCGTTTCCGCAGGTCTTGTATGGCGTTCTGTCGGTTCGACAGGGGCAGGCGTAGGAGGGAGTCGTCGCAGCCGCGCTTCCGCCAGAGACAGTCCTCCTGGTGGGAGGTGACAATGAGCTCCACGTACTTTTGCACCAGCGCGTCCTCGATCTCCGAGGGCACGAGAACCATGACCTCTTTCCCGTCGGCCGACTTTTTGTTGAGCCGCACCACGAGCTCCTTGTTGCAGAGTGTGCACCGAACGCGCTCCTTGCCATTACATATCCACCCGCGCTTGGCCCACTGCACCTCGTTGACGAGATCTGGCTTGGGTGTCCAGTCCGTCAGCTCCTGGAAGCTGACCAGACGCTTGAGAAGTTCGTCGCGGTCGCCTGGGCAGTACCTGGGCTTGAAAAACTCCTTCTTCTTCTCATCCTTGCCGCTCCACTTCCTCAGCACGATGTTGGATATGGTCGTCTGGCTGCCATCTGTCCTGGTGGTGGTGGTGGTGGTGGTGGGCGAACCGGGATTGGATGCGCCGAAGCTGTTCGTGGAGGGCGTCGAGTCTGGCAGGCCGAGTCGTCGACGCTTTATGAGGAGGTCGGCGTCGGTCGAGGTGGTCGATCGTGGCACTGACGAGACCGTGTGCCGTAGCGCCATCGGGTCTGCACCGGGTGTTCGGCTGGGTGAGGAGGTTGAGCTGAAGGTTCCCGTCGAATATCGGTTGGGAAGAGGCGTCGATGGTACTGCTGCAAAGTCAACGTCGCGCGCGGTGGAATCAGAGGTTGCCGAAGATGATGTTGCTGGCCTGCTGCCAAAGCCGTTCAGCAGAGCGTTGAGTTTGCGCTTCTTCATGAAATCCATGTTTGCCGGCTCTGTTGGGCGGTCCCCTGGGCAACTAACACTGCAATGCGCTGCGTTGTATCGAGGGGGGCGGGTTTGTGGTTGGGAATCGAAATGCTGGGGTGGGCCTGGATTGTGGTGGGTGCCACTCAGCGGCTGCTGCTACTGTAGTGTGTTCCCTTGTGTTGCTGCTGTCATATTTAGGCGCTGCGCTAGCCTTTGATGAATGCAACGACAAAGCAGCATACAAATAAAACTGCCGAATGTCGAGATCTGTTCTGGATGACAAGGTATCTAGACGGCCACCCAATCGTTTGGGTAAAGACGCAAGTCTGAAGTTCTCAGCTTAAGTTAGGCCTTTCGCAGTGTTAGGACGACTAATTGGCTATTAGTTTGGTGGAGGGATCATAGCTCCTGCTGCCAATGTTACTAGCTCCAGCCACAGCACATCTTTAGTGTGACATTCCCAAGCCTCATACAGTACTGAAGACAATTATCGTATGAAGCGCCACTGCGTCTTCGACCCTCCTCGTGCGATGTACCTAAAGGGGCCAAGTCAGCTTGACCCGTTTTTGTGAGCATAGAATGGAGTCGAACGTAATTCATTTAATTCCAGACAATCGCAATCTTGTCCAAATACTGTAGTAAATACTCTCTAGGCGTTTAACGCAATCTGGGTTGATAGTGCAGTGGGATGTTTATTGTATGTTAGGGAGGTGGTCTCCTTATACCCAGAATGATCTTTCCGTCTGACATGCATACTACCACAATATAAGGGCAATAAAGGTTTCTGGTCAGGTAACCGTCACCTTCAGGCTCTTCTGCAACCCAAACTTTAGTGGAATTGAAGATTCTGATAGTATATACCATTGAGGCTGAGCTTATAGCAACATGATCATTTGTATGAGAATACATTGCGAACCTGCTTCTTGCTATGTCCAGAGCTTACAGATAAAAGGTCCACTAGCTACAGAGCATGCTATAGCAGCACTAGGTTACGGTGTGTCAGTTCCTTACAGGGCCATACTACCAAAAGTACGGCAGGATTCTTACAGCAGGAAGTGGGCCGGGCGCAGATCAAGAGTATCTGACCAGGGTACCTGTTTCTGTATGCTACTATAGTATATAGTACATCCTCTCCTCCTACTCAATTGTTATCTTGGACACTGGAAGATGATACGCCACGGTACTCTTCCCTGTACGCTCATGAGAAGATACAAGAGCCATACGCCTCATTTATAAACAGTGTCTATGAAAAGGCTGCTTTATCGTGCCGTCTCTATTTCTCTTATCCTAAAGATCGTCAAAATACCCCGTCTCCCAATGCAGGCCGTTATCGTCTTGTTCGGCGCACTGGCACGTAGCGCTAACGCTCTGTCGCAGCGCCCGTTCGGTGTACTTGGACAGTACGCTATAGGAACATCTAAGGCAACAGACCCATGGATACCCTCGTGGACGGACTACATTGAGGATGTAATGGAAAGATGGTACGCGCCGGGAATGGCGGTTGGAGTGATCAACGGAAGCGAGACATGGCTCAAAGTGAGTTTCCGAAATTGATATCTGCCAACTGGCAATTTCCACAAACTAAGAGGATGAACGAATAAACATATGAGAGAAGAGAAAGAATAAGAAAAAGAAAAAGAGGAAAGACAGATCGTTTACAACCTAATCGGACAAGACGCTAAAACAAGAACGCAGGGTTTCGGCAAGGCTTCTCTTGAGACCTCGGAGCCTGTGACGGCTCACACTCTTTTTTGCACGGGAAGCACAACAAAGTCTTTTACCGCGGCTAGCCTGTCACTCCTCATCGATAACTCTTCTGACTACTCCGACATCTCATGGGAGACGCCCATCTCGCATGTGTTGCGTGAAGATTTTGTGCTCAGTGATGAGTGGGCAACTGAGGTGAGTAGATTTCATGTCCCAGGGACGAACGATCACTCCCAGAGAACACGTTGGACAGGATGTGATTTTTCTGGCTCCTATGATCTTGCAGCAAAGGCAATGCCTTTCTTAGCAGGATGTCCTCTCTGTTCTCATCATACTGTCACTCCCGCAGAGAAGCAATGCCGTCATGCCTCAGCGACTGACTATCCTCCCTCTTTTCCCTTACAGCACATAACTTTCGAAGACGCCCTATGCCACCGTACAGGCTACCCACGTCATGATCTCTCCATCCTCAACTCTACGCGCCAGCTCATCCGCAGCCTGCGGTACCTCCCGCTTTCCGCAGAGCCGCGCACAAAGCTCCAATACAATAACATGATGTACGCGACGGCAGGCTACGCCATCGAGAAGCTCACGGGACTCAACCTCGCTTCCTTCTTCCACGAGCACCTCTGGGCGCCCATGGGCATGAACGAGACCTTTCTGGACATCTATGACCCACGCCTCGTGCACAGTGGGCTGACTGCGGCGCAGAGCTACTGGGCTGTGGGGAATGGCGCATACGTGCGGAACCCAAACCTCGACGGACGACTGGGCGCCGATGCGGGCGCCGGGGCGGTCTACAGCAATGTGGCCGATTACACCAAGTACCTGCGCGTTATGATGGCCGAGACCGGTCCCATCTCGGCGGCGGGCCACCGGGAGCTCAAGAGACCGCGCACGCTGATGGGATTCAACAGCGAGATGTTCCTCGGCCCCACGACCGAGACGTATGGCCTGGGCTGGATGGGCGCTGTGTTCGAGGGCGAGCAGATCTACTGGCACACGGGTACCGTGAGCACCTTCGTTACATTTATGCTGATGGTGCCGGCGAGGGAGTACGGCATCGTTGTGATGGCCAACTCGAACTCCAAGGTGCGGGAGCTGGTCACGTACCGGGTGCTGTACGATCTGTTTGGTGTCGAGCAGGAGAGACGGCCAGACCATGAGGCACTGTGAGTTTCTCGCGATCATTATTATCCCTGTAGCGCCAGAGCGAGAGGGGGCAGGCTGACGACGGTCTTTCAGATACTTGAAGGAGGCCGAGCTTGTCCAGAGAGCCCTCGATACATGCCCTGACCGGCTTTATCCAAACGTCCCCAACCCGCCACTACCGCCGTCACTCCCGCTGGCGGACCATGCAGGAACCTACAGCCACCCAGCCTATGGTGACCTGTTCGTTGCCACCGACTGCGAGGACGCAAGCAGCAACACAGTGGATGAAGGCTGTTCGCTGCGTCTGCGGAGGGATCGCGATGCCCAACAGCTCGTCGTGGGCAAATTGCAGCACAAGTCGGGCGATTTTTGGCTTACCTATGCCGCTCTGGAGGAGCTGCCCGATTTGTTCGCGCTGTGTGTTCGGACTGAGTTCCGCGTTAGCGCAGGTGGTCAGGTAACGCACATCGGAGTGGACCTGCGATTGGAAGGAGAAGATATCCCGCTGGTCTGGTTCGAGAGAAAGGAGGCTCGAATCTTTTGATGATCATGCAAATGAAGACATGTTTCAACCCAAAATCGCAGACACTTGGCAAGTACCCAAGACACTGCGCGCTATACACCTTCAATTCATAAAAGGACCACAAAGGTTACTCGAGTTTTTTTTCTTTGTTGAGGGGAGGGGGGGTTGCGGTGCCAGCGGCCGGGGACGGGTATTGAGTGCGAACCTTTGTTGCGAGGTTACCTGGAATGGATCCAAGTACTGCTGCAGAGTTATAAATTGAACCCACATCCTGATTACGAGTGCGCCTCTGTATAACAAATTTTTTTTTTCAGGCAGATATCGAGCGTCCTCGTAGGCAGGCTGTGATCTGCAAGTCCGAGATCCTGCCTCGTGCAGCCGTGAATGTCATTGTGTTCTATCAGAATGATCGCGCGTGAATCGTAAGTGTTTGTTTCCTGGGAGACTGGCGGCGATCTGATCGCGATGTCTGTATTGGCTGGTCTGCATGCCGCCTCATTAGCAACTTTGTCAAACTGAGCACTTCCAGTTACATAGAGACTAGTAATTTTCTAGATATCGATTTTCGAGGTCCAGTGCAGCCGGCAAGGTGCGTGCTTGGATGCGAAGCTGGAGGGACTGCATTTTCAAGTTGCGGCCAATGTCATTCGGCTTCACCCGAACAGCGCCTAGCGGACGACGCATGCCCGCCGCAGTCACCCTTGGCCCCACCAGCCCATCCAACGAAAATTTCCTTATCCAACAGGGGCCCAGCCCCTACAACTTTAGTTTATAGTCCATTATTGAAACTCCTTCCACAACCAAATCGGAACATATTCGATCTTACAAGTTCGGGTATGGTGTAGCGGTAACATCCATGACTCTCATCGCCGTCCAAGACGAGTGATCGATCTCATGAGCCCGGGGTTCGACTCCCCGTATCCGAGGATGATTTTTTCTTTTTTTGATTCTTGAACTTCTCGTTTCCTTTTCCTTCTTCGTCCACGGTGTTTTTCTTTGTTCCTGTTTTTTCTTTCTCCTTTTTCTTTTTCTTCTTCTTCTTCCCCATTTGCAATGCGCGAGCTAACTGTCAACAACCAAAGTCTTCTCCTCTGCTCGTGCGCCTGGTGTTGGACGCTCCATAATCTAGATAGACTATACCTTGGAGCCATTTGGCAGATTATGCGTTACGTGCACAGCAATGAATAAACAAACCTCCAACCAATGATAGTAGTAATGAAAAGTAGAGCAGAAATCATCAAGATCTGAACTTTTGATTTAATTTTAATTTCTGTTCTACTTTTTCTTCTCCCAAATGCTCCTGCGTCAGAATAAGGAAAAAGAATTCAGGCCATCTCGACTACAGTTTGCCTCTATTTAGGACCCAGAACCTCCTGCACGGCCTTGAGCACCTGGTCATGGTACGGCGCCGGGGCTGCCACCACGCCCTTGTTCGCCGACAAGGTCCGCCCAAGGCTGAAGTCGAGCCTCTTGCCAGTGACATCAGTCACCTGGCCACCAGCCTCCCGCACGATCAGGTCGCCCGCAGCATGGTCCCAGATCTTCTCCACGTAGGTCTTGCTCGTCGGCAGGCGCAGGTAGATATCGCCAGCGCCGCGGGCGATGGAGGCGTACTTGGCCTGGGAGTCCATACGCACGCTCGGGCTGGTGATGCCGAGCTTCTGGGCGATGAGGGCTGCCTCATCCTGGGAGCTGTGGCCGGCCTCGACGCTCTCGCAGAACTTGGCCTCGGCCATGGCCTGGATGGGCTTCATGGCGATCTTCTGGCCCGCCTGGAGGGCGCCGGTGCTGAAGGGGCGGCTCGTCGCGCCGTGGCCCTGCACGGCGGAGAAGATGACGCCGTGGCCCTCGTCGGTGGCGTTGGAGCCGATGTCGACGGTGAGCGGCGCCGCGTCGTCGATGGGCAGGTTGGGGCAGCCGAGTACGCCGACCTTGACGTCGCCGTCGACCATCAGGCCCAGGCACACGGCGTACTGCCCGCCGCGCAGGAAACCCTTGGTGCCATCAATGGGGTCGATGGCCCATATGCGGCCCTTGGCGCCACCCTTGCTGTTGCCATTGTCAAGCAGGTCCAGCATGGCCTCGACGTCCTTGACCGCCCCGCCGAGCGTCTCCTCCGCCGCCGCGTCGTCCAGCTTGGTCGTGCTGACCAGGTCCCAGACGATCTGCTTGAGGTTGTCGTCGCCACGCAGCCGCTCCGCCTCCTCCTCGGCGACAATCTCGTCATCCGGGAAGTTGGCCTTGAGGGCGCTGATGATGAGAATCTGGGCGCCAAAGTCGCCGATCGTCACTGGGGACTTGTCATCCTTGGAGACGGTGCCCTTGGCGCGCTCGTGGAAGACGCGCTTGGTCAGGATGGTGGCGCGCTGTACGGCCAGCTGGGCGACCTCGAGCTCCTTGGCGTAGGTATTGGCCATCTTTTGAGCTCTCGTAAGTTGAGTGAATTTTGATGTAACAAAAGACGTCAGGTTGCAAAGAGGAGGAAGGGGGGAGGTGGGGGGAGGGAGGAAAGAGGAGGGGAATTGGTGACAACTGCTAGAGAGCAGATGAAAAAGAAGGGATGCCGACGTCAAAGCCTTAATGTATCACCGTGTTGCTGCTCACCTTGTCAAGAGTAGTCGTGGTATGATGATATCTGTCAAGATGATTCTGGCCGACAGATGTTGTCTGGGTATGGAGGGGTAAAATGCCCCTCAGCGCCCCTGAATCAGCTGCAAGATTTATACGTGGGCCTGATGACGACGTTCGGGTCCCGAAGTGGTGGAACAGCGCATACAGCCGCGGCGCCGCTCTATACAACAGAATAGCCACTATGACCGTGAAAAGCAGATACAGTAGGAAGTTGAAGCGTCCGTGAGCCCGTCGTGGCTGTTTCGTAACCATTTGTGAGTCTGCGAGGCGTTTTCAATGGGGATCTTGGGAGTGTGTTTGGGTAGCTCCCACAGGTTGAGAGTGCGTCTGTCTTGGGAAAAGTGGTTCTTTGGGGTATTTCTTAGTTACAGTACCCGCATTTTCAGTTGGACCAACACTGCCCTCCGTTTGTCCTGCTTGCATGCCGCTGCAGTCTTGGGTTGTAAATTGCTACTATGTAGAGAAGATAGAGGTATCATTGTCGAAGTATTTAGAAGGTTAGTAATTACGAGATACTTGGGCTTGAAGGGAAATTCTGCCGTTATAGTCTGCATTCTCACCATAAGGTCTGCACATAGAAAGCCTTTAGGATACATGCATGTATCAAAGATACATCGGGGTTTCCTGCAGGCAAAGAAAAAAGCCCTGCATCAAGACCATGCACACGGGTGGACGGGGTCGTTGAATATCCGGCCTACATATCACTGTAACACCGTTAGGCCGTTCTACGGACAACCGCAGCCAATTGGTGCCGTCCCTTGGGCAAAACTCGAAGCTGTACAGGAAGGATTGTAATTTGACGCTTCCTTTTTATCGGGTGAACAAGGTTGAGTCTATCTTGTGAACAGAATACTTGTACACGTCGTAACGAATTGCCCAACCCCAGTGGTGCAAGCTCCAGCGTGCTGTTGCCATGCGCTGATACTCCAAATCTCCATATGTCCAGTGATGCTCCTCTCCTCGTCCCCCAAGACCACCACATTGCTCGGCGCAGTGCGCTTATTTGATCTTCTTCTGCTTCAGCTTGATCGTCTCATCGTTCACAAAGATACCCTTGCCCTTATACGGCTCCGGCACACGCCACCTCCGTATCTCGGCCGCAAACTGCATCACCTGCTCCCGGTTGATACCCTCCAACAAGATTCTGGTGGGTTGTGGCGTCGATGCCTTAATACCTATCGGCACGCCCAAGTCGACCGGGTGCGAGAAGCCGAGGCGCAGGCAGACGAAGTCCTGGCCTGGGTATTCCTCGAGCTCGGGCCGCTTGTCGATGGAGGCACGGTATCCGATACCCACGAGACGAAGTACGGCGGTGTGGCCTTCTGACACGCCAATTATGTAGCGTTGAATATAAGCCCATGTTGTGCCTGTAGAGGTTTCAAGACCAGGGAATGTCAGTAATCATGTGCACTTCGGCTCTGTCAACAGTGTTCTTTGTAGAAAGAACAAGAAAGAAAATAAAAGCCACGCACCCCACATCGCCTTCTGTTGCTTCTCCGTCCTGTCTTCGATGCCAATGACTAGCTTCCTCGCCTCCGGGTCATGATCGAGTTTCAAGAACATAGGAACATTGAGATCGAGTTTGCCTGTTAAGTTCGCAATTCTCGTCAGCTATAGACCATCCAACACCAAACCTGTATGCGCTGCGCGCAGGGCAGAAGACTTACCCAAAGGCCCCGCCACCGACACCGTCCTCTTCGGCGTCTGCTTATACGTCGTGTAGTCCCTTATGATGTACGGCTCGCCGATCGTCAGCTCGACGCCGGGCGGTATCGAGATGGGCGTGCGGCCGAGCTTGGACTGCCGCGAGGTCGACACGGAGAATTGCCTTTGCGAGGCCGGTGCGCTGGCAAGCGCAGGAACGAGGAAGGCCGGAAGCGTTGCGATCGGGGAGGCGCGTATCGCAGCCCTCGATGCGCTTGGGCCGAGCATGGTGGAAGAGCTGTGGGCTGGGTGAGGGCAGTCGTCTTGGACCGGCTTCCTCGCGCGTAGGTGCTCGTTGATGCTATCCGTAGGAAGCTCGAAAAATAACCCAGTCTGTATTACATAAGCCATGGGTCGGTGGCCCGGCATGACTGCGCACCGACGACACCTTGGTTGTATTACATAATATCACAGTCCCGATGTCAGCGCCTCTACGTCGTTTACTAAAACAGTGTCCTCGCCATCACGAGGCCACAATTGTTGTTGTCGTAAGTCATACAGCAAATATGAACAGGATAATTCACTGGAAACTCAGATGGTCTCATCCTTTGGCCTTCACAAACAGAAATCAGTGTCCCGCTCACTGAGCCGCTCGGACACACTGTGCCATCATTCGCCCCAAGGCGAAGACTGCTAGATTTCCTCGACCACTTATTTTACTCGGGCTACAATAATTTCCTACCAAAGATGAGTCACATCTGAAGAATCTATGAGGTATTCTGACATGTCGTTATATGACCGCTTGGCAGAATCTTCCGATGATTAGGCGGAGGGTGAAGGTTGAAGAGGGGGGAAGGGGACAAAATGACACCATGCTACCAGCCCGCGAAACAGAAATATCGCTCCTTCTCTCGTACGGCTCGGAACCCGCCCTGATAACACTGGTGCAGACTTCAAATGTCGCATTGGAATCTTCCGCCCAAGATATACGTCCTATCGTCGAAAGCATCCAGTCCAGTCTTAGCTAAACTGACCACTGAGTAACTCGACCTTGCCGTATCCGCGGATGAACGCACGATGCCGGATATGAAATATAGAGGACGCCGAGATCACCGATCAAACCGAGGGAGTGCATGTATTATACCCTACGAACATTATCCCTAGCCGGAGCTCAGACACGCTGAAAGGTGCCGTTTCTTTCCATCTCTTTCAGTGTACAAGTCAACCTGCCTTGAACGCTCCAACGGCGTTCCCCCTTTGCTTCTTCATGTTTTGGGCCCCCAATAAACGAGGGCAAAACTTATATGCACCATTCGAGTTGCTTGCCACACTGCGTCATATGTGCGGCAGTCCTGCACTTATTAGTGCTGAGGTGCTTCTGTACCAGTTCGCCGCTGTGACTGCACATCAGATAGAACTCATTATTCTCCGTGTAATCTCTCTTCCTTTGCATATTGCAAAAGGCCACCAAGAATTCGGGTCGAGTAATGACGCCGAAAATAGTGCTGCGTGGGACAATCCTTCATGGTCACGGCTCACGGATTGGATTTCCGAGCCGTCTTCCCATATGATACAATGACTGCAGCCGCAGGTATCATAACTCTTCACGGGACCCCAAACGTTTCTCGCATGCCAATCCCCTTAGCATCCGCTCCTTCATACCCTTTAGCATGGTCATTTGTAGTGATACAGATGGACTTGACATGGTTCTCTGAAGGGCTAGTTTGGGGAGCTAATCACCAGTTTTTGATCAGTTGGGGAAGATGTTGGCCATATCTGCGGGTATTGACCCTCAGGAGTCACACCTTTGTTAAGAAAGCAGGCCATCAACCATCTTGAAGATTGATAGCTTTGCTCCTGAGGTTCTTCTTTATATCTGCAATACAGTCAATACAGTCACAACATCCTCCAAGTGGTGCTTGTTCTGTATAATGTGAGTCACTGCTTGGCTCTATGGTTGGTCGTGACAGGTGCTTGGGAGTGGCAGTCAGCCAGCCTCCTAAGCGTCTATTCGATAATCTTTGAGTCGCGATGCTTCTATTGTATTTTCTCGTGTTCCTGCTCTTTTCCTTTTCGATAGATTTGTTGACGAAATTGTTGAGCTTTCTGTTCTGTGGAGGTTTCTTTTGATCGAATACCTAGAGAGGGCAGGAACGATGGCTATCAAGTCTGCGCACCTTCCACTTGCAAGATTTCTGCCAAACCTCTTCTGCGATCTCTCTCTTCCTCTTTCTTTTGCTCAAATACATTGAACCAGCCTCAGACACTCACACGGTCTTGATATTGCCAATCCAATCGTAAAATCTCTCGTCCAAGGCTTGACCTTGCCCGCCTCATTAGCCCTCGGACCCACAGCCCTATCCTACGTTCTTGGTAGCTTGACGGCCCCTTGACGCCATCATGAAGATCAATGGACTGTTCGTCTTCGTTGTCGTGGTCAGGCTCGTCGCCGCCTTCTCTTTCCGCTTTACAGGCGAGAAAGAGACCGTTGCGACTGGCCTCCGCGATGACCCCGACGTCAGCCCGTACAAGATGTTGCAGTCAGCCTCGCAGCCCTCTGACATCTACGTCGCAGCTTTGAGCGAGCTGCAGAGTCTCGAGTCCCAGCCACTGTGCCACCGAGTCGCCGCACGTCTTCTCGTCGGAAACTGCCAGCTGCTGGACGGAAAGGACGAAGCCACTATCCTCACCGACAGCGGACGCCAGATCAGAGACTTCGTCGACGCCTACGCGGCTAGCATGGCAATCTGCGATCTGGAGCGAGGCCGATTCAACATCCCTGATACATGCGTCAAATTCCGCGAGCCCACGTTGCTGCACCTGCCTCTCGGTGAAAAAGCCAGCCTTCATGTCACAAGTGCCGATATAGACTCCTGTCTCGAGGGCTTGGGTCTGGAGAACTCGGCATGGTCTACTTGGGTCAGCTACCGACACAAGGCGTTGATGTTTTGCGAGGCCGCGCGAGCAGATCAAGAGAAGAGTAAGTAGACAAGTATTGACTGGTTTACCAAATATTACAGACTGACATTTTCTTGTCTTCACACCTTTAGCTCAGAATATCGTGCTTTTCCAAAAGCTCACCAGAATCATAGCCAAGTTTTCCTACGGCGTGGAGGTCGAACTTCAGAAGCATATGGACGACCTCGAACTTCGAATTCGGAAAGCTAATGAGGGCGTCCAGGGCCTAAATCCCGAGCTCGATCGTCTACGAGACAAGCTGGCCAAGATGGAGGACTACGTCACGCACGACTTGGACCCCTCAGTGAGGAAGTCAGGTGAACTTGTCAATAACGGACTTCAGGACTCTGCGAATCTCCAGCAGTTGATCACTGTTATGATTCGGACGCTCCTTGACGGCAACTCGCATGTAGCTGCTGCGCAAGAGAAATCTATCGAACTTGCTGAGAAAAACAACAACAACACCAATGCTTGGATAGCGATTATGGCAACTGCCGCCGTCACTGCTGCGAACTTGAACGCTCAAATAGTAAGTGTCCTTTGCCCTCCCTCTCAAGGTGATCGGTGGAATTGAAATATCATGTGAGGGATACGATGCTAACGTCGAGCCTCTCAGGAGCTGTCTCGCTTCGAAGTAGGCGCACTTCACTCGCAACAGCAAGCACTTTCATCGAACCTGGATACATTGATCACAATCACTGAAAGGCTCTCTGTGAAATACAACGATCATCTCGACACCATAGACGAAGCAAAGAACATGACAAACGAGATTCTCGAGACCCTTGAGGGGGTGGCTGGAACTGCAGCAACAATTGAGAAAGCAAGCAAATTTCAGTGGTGGGGTGGTTTGGATTTCAGCATCTGGGTCCCTTGCACCGTCAGCCCTGTGGCAACATTGTTGTTTGGCTCCTATGGACTCGAACCTTCAGTGATGCGTAACCTAGCTCTCGCCTCATTGGGAGAGATCATCGGCATCTCCATATCGTCACTCTACCACTTTACAGTGTCATGGGTGGCGCTGCCTTTCGGCGACTTAGTTACCAATGCCACGGTTGACACCCTCTGATTGTGAATAGAGAATCGTCAACATACTCGTCGCTCGAGCTATAGAAGGCGACGGGCCGAGGCTGGACAAAGAGGGAGAAGTGCGTTATCATTATTTTTTTTTTGGGAGCGAATCTACAGGGTATCAGAAGTCAAGGCATCATTTCTGGGTCTGTTGGCTTTGCAAAGATTGCTTACATATCTGGTGACTTGCTGGTCATAGCTAGGCCAAATACATACGAGATATCATGGCTATAATGGTACGAAATCTTGACCATGAAAAAGTCGATCGGGAGGACAGTCCTGTCCAGTCACTTGATCCTTGTCGGTAAAATCCCTGGTCAGGCATGTGATTCCCATCAGATATCTTGCCTCAGATGATTCTTTGCATTCTAAGATGTGTCACCGTCCCCGTACTAAATCTGCGTCCGTACTATGCTCTTCTATGTCCAGCACGTTCTGAAGCCAATAACAGAAGGGACCACAAACATGCAACCTCCCTAGCGTATATTCAGGACCAGTCGAGAATCGTTGATCTGCGCTTAGACTCCTTTGTTGGGTTGGCACTAGGTATGTTGGTTGCTATGATATCCATCCTCCTTCTAGTCCGTGTGACCTCAACAGTCCTGCTCGATGTGGTCATTACTCTTGAACAAGCAAGTTTCGCGCCATCACGGGCCTTGTCGGATATTTCCATCGTTTCGCCCTTTACCTAGAGGGTTGCGAATGTAGAGAAATAATCACTACATTGCTCCCAGAAAATCCAGCCCCACATGTATCAATCGTACATCACTCTTCTCATGTATATACCCATCAAATGGTATACTGTACAAGTACCCCCTTGTCCCATTCCGTCGTCTCCTTCGAGCAATTGGGCATGCATGTCTCGATGGTATCCACGACCACAAGATTTACAGGATAGGGGAGCCTGCTGGTGAGACTAGGTCTCCTAGTTGGCAGTCTAGACGAGCCTCGTCCATGGGATAATCTTGCGGCATGGAAGCTATACAGACCTAGTGGCTTGCGGCTGTTGGATCTGAGGAATAGGTTAGGTGAGTATCCTGGATCTGTCAAAGCGCCATAAGACTCAGAGCCTCATACGGAATCACTCTAGACTAGGTGATTAAAGACAACTTTTTTCTTTGACCTAGCGAGCTGTCATGCCCAGCATGTCCCTGGAATCTAAACAAGCCCTACAGAACAGACATTATATAGAGTCGTATGCATGTCTCTTCGCCCAGGGCTTTTCTCTCTTCCAATCTTCAGCCTTCCCCCACACACCCAGAGCTTTCTTCTCCAAAACTGGGAAACTCTGAACTTTTCTCTTTCTCCTCCTTGTCTCTGTCTCGGAAGATCCGAGCCACCCAACCCGTGACAGTTTCGAACTGTAAGTGTATATATATTACCTAATCTTTCAGGGCACATACATGCTCGGACCAACCATGCATACTTGGCTATCCAAGAAACGCGTGATACCTAACCAGCCACTTACTGTCCATCTAGTCCGCTTTCTGTCAAAGATGCTGAACGCAGCAGCACCTGTGTGGGTTCCCGAGGGCCCCCGGCTGATGTACCTGCCGAACGTCTCGGATGGTTCCTTTGTGCCGGCGTCGCCCATCGAGCGTGTTGGTAAGCTTCAACGGCTCTTCTTTCTGTTTTCCAACCCCTCAGACACAGAGTGTGTCCTCTAACATCCTTTCGCCCCCCAACTAAAGAGGCCATCCCGGAGCCCGGGTTGATCAACCCGCGATGGGCCTACCTCCGGTTCATCTGGCGGCTCGTGCTCGTGGGCAGGCCCGACGTCCTGTACGTGTCGCTCCCCGGCGTACAGGCCGTGCAAAAGGACAGGGACGGGTGGCACGTCTGCCTGTGGGGCGGCCAACGGTCGACGGCACACCGGTACTTCTACCTCGAGCCCTACGCCAACATCGAGCAGAAGCCCTCCCGCATCGACCAGAGCCGGGACGCAGCGCCGTTCTGCGTGAAGCCGGCCGTGACCTGGCCGGACTACCTAGCGCGGGCGCATGGGTACACACCGTGGAAGCTGGCTACCCCGGTGAATGCTGGGCCCTGGCCGGAGCCCGCGATGCCTGTCTTTCCGCCTCGGGTCACACCCCCTGTCTTTGCGCCTTGGCCGGTGCCTGTTTATGCTCCTTGCCCACCGCCTATCATTCCTGGTTGGCAGATGACTAGACAGTCGAGTTGGGAAGGCATATGGCAGTAAGGGTCGCTGACCACGCCTTGCTCTTGCTTGCCCTTTGCTATTAAGCTAATGGAACCAAGATGTTGAATGCATGGTTGAATATATGGCTTCAAAAACCAAGAAAACAGAAAGTCCAAGCTTGCAGTCGTTGGTGTTCTGAGATGTGGTAGCGCCGAACGTGGGAACGGCGGCTCAGCCTTATTCAAGATGGCGCCATCGCCTTATCTTTCTACAAGCCTACGTATGTTTGAGAAGTAGTGCGCAGGAGGACCCTCCAAGCATACCCACCCCACCTACACCTTATCGGATCGTGCAAATCTCTGAACCGGCGTCGATGGACCCTGATTTCTAGTGTATTGTATTCGAAACACTTCTGCCAAGGGAGAAAAGACTATAGGGGGGCCCAGAGAGGGAAAAGGGCTGAGGCAACAACATGCAACGCCGAGAGGCAGGAGATGACGTTGAAAATATGTCCAGTATCCCTTTCGGGAACGTTGCCCCGCGATGATTCGCTCAAGGGTCCCGCACCAGACATGGATGGCATCTCCGCTCAGGATGCAACCCCGAACCCTGGTGAGGCGAGGGGGGCCACACTCAACCGCAGGGCTGTGGCACAGCAAAATAAGAGGTGCTTGGAATGAGGTGGGGTGTGGCTGGAGTGACATCATTGTGTCAGGGATACCCTGACCAACACTCTCGAGACCCCATACAAGTTTACACCCATCAAACACAACAGCACCCCTCCTCAACCCTTGCGTGACGTTACCTCCCTCGAATACCCAGAGAGGTTGACATAGATTACAGGCAACATAAGATATATAAAGCAACAGTTTCTCTGACTCTCTCTTCTGTATCCTCTTTTCTCTTTCCCTCTCTCCAACCAAAACAAGCAAAAATCCCAAACGCAACTTTAACCTTTGGAATAAAAAAGAACCCCTCCTCAACACACTCCCGCAACCTTTTCCCGTCACCATGAACAACGACCAGAATAAGGGCGTCACCGGCGTGGCCAAGACGGCCACCGGTGTTCTAGGCAACACAACCTCCGGCCTGTCCAACACCGTCGGCGGCATCCTCGGTAAGTTCTCATCCCTTTTTCTCCTGCCCCCTCTCCCCTCCCTCTTCTCACCTAGTTTGCCTAGCCTGAATCACCTCGACTAACCCAACTTTCTTCTTTCCCTCACACACAGGCGGAGCAACTCGCGGACTCGGCGAGACCCTCAACGGCGTGACCGGCGGCGCTGCCCGCCCCGTAGGTGATGGCGTCGCCAACCTCGGCACCGGGATCGAGAACGGTCTGTCGGACGTCGCCAAGGGTGCGAGGGATGCTGGTGATTGGAAGAAATAAACACCCAAGAACGCACGCTGGACGGCCAAGGGTGGAAGGCTGATGGCCTTCTCTCTTTTTTTGTCTCTATACCATGAGAATCTGTGTTATTAGGAAACGATAGAGTTGTGTGGTTTTAATCAAGAACTTAAAGCGTTGGGTGACGATCAAGTTTCCATCTGCGTGGCACTAATTCACAGCCGTTCTCGATTAGGCTGCTCAATGTTGATACTCAGGGTAGCCTACTAAGATGTTGGCTGTTGTAGGTCACACCGAGCATGTCGAAGCTCGAACCTTGTTGACATAGATCACTGCGCAATGTGCGAGGAGAGGTGTGTGAAGGGTCGAACGTCTTCAAGAAGATAATGGGTATCTGTCTCCAACCACCTCAATCGTACCTTTCCTTACACTTAACTCTCTAAACTGGAGCCGGTCATCCTCGATGAACCAGCTTACAGCATGTCGAGCAACCACACGTAGAGTTCATCGACCTTCTTGCCGCCCTGCATCAATCCACTTGTCTCCACTCTCTCTCGCACACAAGTAAGGTGTATCTTCTGCTGTGGCCCCTAGCTATAGACTCAATCCAAATCAAACAAAGAACACATAATGAAGAAGGGTATAGTGCGAAGGCGCAGAAGATCGAATTCAGCCACAAAGGAAAGAGCCGCGGTCTAGATGGTCCAAGTACAAGTTTGGACGAGGACCAGAGTGTGCGTGTTTCGTCCCGAGTCGGGGCTCTGGTTGCTGGACAGTCCGTATCCCGTGGGAGGGGGAACCCCTCTCCTACATCGCCTCTCCAACCTTTGCTGCAGCGCTCTGGGGAAAGCCAGGAGTGTTCGGTGTCGGAATCTTGGCAACGGTGGCCTCCTCCATGGCTCGTAGTATTTGTATATTCTGCTCCCTCATATCATTGTCGAGGGTCTCAAGCGAGTTGACGGTAGTCCGCATCCTAGCCAGCTTTATCGCCACAATCGTTAGCAACCATCACTCGCGTAGCTTCTCTGATCTTCGACTGGAATTAAGAGTACTGTCGGTGGGGGGATTCTTTTGGTTGGTTTCTTTTATTCTATGGTATTACGGAGACGGACGGACGTGTGCAGGATGTGGAGGGGTAGGAGGTATGAGGCTGCAAGCAGCAAGGGGCTTTCGCACCAGAGCTAGTGCCACTGAGGGATGGTCCGGCTCACCTTCCGCCGCAGGCCCTGTCTCTCCAGCGGCGGCGGCATCGTCATCCGCATATCTACTGGCTGCCAACCCCGACTTGGGCGCCGTTGTTGAGGAGCCTGCGCTGGCCTGATCAAATTTCATTAATATTATTGTTCCTATCATGGTTGAGCTGAGTTGGACAGGAAGGTGTTGCGGCTTCATACCTTGGCCTCGGCCAGCTCTGCATCCTTGATCTTGAGCTGATCCGTCAGCTCATGGATCTTCGCCTCTGCCTTCTCTGCCCGCGCAGATGTTTCGTTGACTATGTCCGTCATCGAGTCGTGCATGTCCCGGTAGTCCGCCTCTGCTGTCTTCGATTTGGCATCAGCCTCAAACATGTGAGCCTCTAGCTCCTTGCGAGCCAGGTTCAGTTCCTCTCTCGCCGCTTCAAGTTCTTCGGCGACCTTGCCGGACTGAGCTCCTGCGCTCGCGACCGCATCGCTATACGCCTGCTTGACTTGAGCGAGCTCCTCGCGGAGGGCTGCCAGCTCAGCCGAGTTGTCGACTCTCGGTGAGGACTTGTTGGCATCAAGATCGGCCTCAGCTTGAATCCTGGCAAACTTTTCGTTGGCGAGCTGCCCACTCAGCTCGTTGATCTCCTCCTCGGCCTTGGCCATCTGCGCCTTGGAAGCCGCAATGGCCTTCTCGAGTTCTGTCTGAGACTGGACGAGCTGGGTCTCCAGCGCAGAGGCGTGCTCAGACTTAACTTCGGAGATGGCCTTCTCGTGCTGCTCCTTCAGGCTCTCCAGCTCAAACTTGGCGTCGGCGGCCCCGCCAGCGTGTTCGCTCTGCAGTTGCTCAAGGCTCTGACGGTGCGCATCGGCCAATTTCTTTATCTCAGCGGCATGGTCTTCGTCCAGCTCTTTCCTGAACCGCTGAATAGCATTGGCGTGCTGCTGGTCCTTCTCATCCAGCTGAGCTCGCAATGCAGCAAGTTCCTCAGCCACGGCCTGGCTGCTAGTGAGTTCGCTCTTGAGCTGCTCAATCTCTGCGGCGTGCTTCGCATCTATCTCCTCCTGCAACTGTTGAAACTGAGCGGAACGGTTCTCGAGCTCGGTGGCGTGGTTGTGGTTGAGCTCACTCTCGAGGTCCTTCATCTGCTTCGTCAGGCTCTCCACGTCTGCGGCGTGCTTGGTGTTGAGTTCCTTCTCAAGCTCACCCAGTTGAGCGTCTTGGGCATTCTCACCGGCGGACTTGGCGGTCGAGAGCTCCTCAGCATGTGCAGCAAGGAGCTGCTCCTTCTCCGATGCGCTCTTTGTGTTGAGCGCATCAATGATCTCCGCGTGCGATGCCTTAAGGGATTCCAGCTCCTTTGCCATGCTGGCCTCGGCGTCACTCTTCAAGATTTCGATTTGTTTGGCGTGGCTAGCTTTCAAAGCCTCGAGGTCGTTTACGTGAGTCTCATGCGCGGCCGAAGCGCCATGCTTGGCCCCCTCCAATTCCATGGCGTGGTTGGCCTGCAGCGCGTCGAGAGCTTTCTGATGCTCGGCCTCCTTAGCGGCGAGAGCTGCAACAGCATTGGCATGTTCCGCCTTCGCTGCTTCAAGGGCGGCCAAGGTCTCCTCATGCTGGCTCTTGACATCACCAATGGCTTTGCCGTGGTTCTCAAGGGCAGAAGTATGACTCTCCGTGAGCTCGTTATGCTTGGCTTCCAGCTCTTCATACTTGCGCTTGTACATGGCTTCGCCCTGCAGAGAGTTGATCTCATTCTCGTAATCGGTCGTGATCTGCTTTAAATGCTGGTCATGCTTCTCAGCAGTAGCAGCATGTTCTGATTTCAATGTCTCAATCTCGCTGTCCTTCGTCTTCATGTCTTCCTCGAGTTTGGCGATCGTCTCCTTGGCTGCTGCCAACTCGACTTCGACGCTCTGCATTCGCTCCTCGAAGGAAGTCAATTGACTTGTCTTGGCGTCCAGCTCGGATTTAGCGCTGTCTGCGCTCTGTTCTGCCGTCTCAAGCTTGGCCTTCAGATCGGCGATGTCGCCCTCGAGAGCAGAGATCTTGGCAGCGTTGGCAGAGCTCTCATCCGACAGCTTGGCCTCGTGAGCGCTCTCCAGAGCTGCTTGAGACTCGGTCAGCTCATCAATTTTCTTTTGCAGATCGGCAATGGCGGCCTCGTGGCTGGCTTTCTGGTCTGCAAGAGCCTTTTCGTGATCGCCTGATGCTGCCTTGCCCTGCTGCAGCTCCTCGGCATGTTTGGCCTCGAGAGCAGAAAGTGCCTCTTTGTGCTGCTCAGTCAGAGCTTTCTGAAGATCATCTAGCTTGGATGCATTCTCCTCAGACGCCTTAGACAGGTTTGCCTCGCTCTCGTTCAACCTCGTCTCATGCTCAGCCTTTGCCGATTCGAGAGCAGCCTTCAGCGAAGCGATTTCGGAGTCAGTGGTCTCCTTTGCAGCAATGAGCTCAGAGACCTCAGCCTTTTGCTTCTCGAGTTGCTCCTCAGCTTCCTTGAGCTTTGTCTGGGCCTCTGCAATCTGACTCTCAAGCGCCTCCACCTCGGATTGATGGGTGGCTTTGACAGTTGCGAGCTCGTCAGTCAGCTCTTTGAGAGCAGTATCATCAGTGTCCTCCTTGCCTTGAGAAGATTCGATCTTCGTTGTAAGCTCAGCAATCTTCTCCTCTGAGGATGTGATCTGCTCCTTGAGAGAAGCGATCTCGGTCTCACTCTCGGATAGCTTGGTCTTGAGCTCTTCAACCTCCTTGGCAGCTTCGGCCGAGGCTACACTGGCAGCGGCACCTGAAACGGAAGCCCGGGAGCCAACAGGCTTCGTAGCGACACTCGACGAGGCCCCGCCAACCATGGAAAGTCGCTTCTTGGCCTCTGCGACAGCACCTGTAGCAGCAGGTCTGCTTGCAGGACGTGTTGTGCTCGTCGAGCTGACACTCGAGTCCTTGGTGTGACCTCGGCTAGCAGCTTGTCGCGTAGCAGATGTGGGCGACGTGACGCTCGAGGCCGTGGGCTTCCGAGCTGCGGTCGTGGTGGTCGCAGTAGTTCTCGGCTTCGGCGACGCAGCAGAGGTGGTACTGGACAGTGTCGAAGTCCGCCGGGCTGCGGAACCGAGGGCCGCAGATCGACGCTTTTCATCTTCCGACACAGAGGGCTGCGAGCGATGAGTGGATGTAGCCGACGAGGAAGGTCGCTTGGCAGTAGCGGTAGTGGTGGTAGTAGGACGCGTTGGAGGCTTGCTCAATCCACCACCCGCAGCACTCGTGCGGGTAGCCGAGGTTGCGGTGGGCTTCGTGGCAGTCGGGGTGGTGACAGGACGACGCGCGGTGGTAGTCGTCGTCGCAGGCTTCTTGGCGGTAGTGGTGGTGCCCGCGGTCTTCGTACCGGTGCCGGACGCCGATTTCTTCGCAGGGGCGGCGCTGTTGGAGGCAGGCTGAGGCTTCTCAGGAGATACCTCAGCAGGTGCCTCAGCAGGTGCCTCAGCTGGTGCCTCAGCAGCAGGGTCTGCTGCCGTGGCCGCACGAGGAGGCGAGGCAGGTGCTTCATCGTGGGAGACCATATCGTAACCCTCAGCATCAGACATTGTAGCTAGGTATGCTTGAAATGATGGGATAAGGCCTGGAGTAGGAGGAGCTTTCTGTCGGCTGGTACATCCATTAGCGACATGACACAAGGCTAAGCTGTTGTACTTCAGCTGTCGGAGCTTGTTGTGCTACAGCTCTCTGGGGCAGCTGATAAGCTCCTAGGCTCCAGGAAAGCTTCCAGATAGCTGCGCATCCCAACAAAGATAGTGTAACATGTTTGCATGAGACCTCTTGGAACTCACCTTGTGTGGTTGACGGAAGCTCGGTATCCTCAAAATGCGATCCGTAAAGGGGCAGCGCGTCGGTGTGTGATCGAACAGTCGGCACGGGATATACCTGAAATGCAAAATAGAAATGCAACTTGCTGACAGAGTAACGAAAGAAAATCCACGGAAATGCGCGACGAAACAGCAGACAAGTGCAATCAAGACCTGAGTGTGCCTCAATGGACTTCCTCTCCTGAGTTGGGGAACGATGCGATGCGATGCGATGCGATGCGATGCGATGCGAAAGAGAGAGAGAGGGAGGGGAGCAAGCAGGAGCAAGCAGGAAGAGTAAGGTGGTGTCGAGTGGGCTGGAAATTAAATTGGGCACCTGCTTGCTAGTCTGGACTGGGCTGGATGGACCCTGGAAGGGGAATAGCGAGAGCCTGCGGGCAACATTTCTTCACGTCTCTGTCTCTCTCGCGCGCCGAGCAGCTGGGAGGGGAAAGCCAGAGGTCCCAATGCCACGCGTGCACGGGGCGCGCGTGCAGGCTTACTAGGCCAACCCACAGTGCCACCCACTGCTCATTGGGGGCTACCCAGGGCATTGGGCGCTAAGGAAGACAGGGGCGCCACCAGTAAACGGTGTGCTCAGGGTCTTTTGACATGTACTATGTACTGTCGTCACATTAAGCCAAGGACAGAGCTAACAATATCGCTCACAACGTGCCCCTTTTCTGGATACATACAGACAATATCAGGTTGCTGATTTCCCTCTCTTTCTCCCTGAGTCACCCAGAGTTGAGGAGGGGAATCCTCTGTTTTCAGCTAGAACTGAACAATCTAGATGAAATGTCTCTATCCCTTCCTTACCCAGGTATATAGATTGGCTCCACCGCAGACTACTTTTGCCAATCTATCCGGTGTCAGATCTCGAAACCAAAACCTTGCAGACCTGGGTCAACCTCTTTTCTGATCAGCCAGTAGTCGTGCTAGCACTCATCATAGCAGGAATTCTTTAAGCATGCACCGGCAGGGAACATGCTCGGCAGATGTGCCCGAAGGAACAGGATGGCTCTGGCCACCGTATGATCCTCACTTCGGAAGAGCGTATTTTTAATGCTGGTTCCCTTTTTCCTTGTTGTGACTGAGATGCACCTGTGCATCTGGGCGGGGTACAGTGACCGTGACGACCCATTGAGTGGTCCACGAGGCCATTCATCAATCATAGGCCAAAGATAAGGTTGTTTTCTGACCGAATTCAGCTGAGTTTAATGAGATGAGCCCTTCATTTGCTCAAAAAGCATCTTCGTCAGCAGTGTTAGCCAGAATACATAAAAAAAAAAAACCAACCACCACTGAGTCTGATCTATCATTTCAATGCATAAACCCCCCAACGCCCCGGCTGAAGCACATATGACCTAGAGCAGGGCCAGGCGAAGTGATCAGTCGAGAAGCACTTGGTATGTTATCAGAGCCGAGGAAACGATATGATAGCCCAAAAGTAAGGCATGAATGGCCAGCGTTGATGTGGCAGCTCCTGGTTGGCGCCTAGCCATGTCGTCCAATCTTCCATCGACACACCTTCAGGAAGCTCAAAGGGGGGTTTCACTCATTGGTAGTCTGACAACTGCATCTTGCAGGCTTGGGCCTAACTTGGAGCCTCGGGTGAACGGGCCCCATGAATGCAATCCCACTCCGCAAACTTGATACCACGTTGTGCTGGGAAGTGCACATGCCCCTTTGGCTAGTGGAGAAGAGACGCATGTTCTATTGATACTGACTGAGCGCTGAGCATGTGCAGCCAGACGAACGATGAGGGTAGTGTTGAATTCATGAGTTGTTGACGCGGTTGTCAATACGCACAAGAGTAACACCAGCAGTGTCATCTCACGTTGATAGTAATCATGTTTCGTACACTGTCGTAAACATATCACACGCCTGCAGAATTAATTCGGTGGGATATGATCTTGACTGTTAACATCCCAAGTGAGGGCAGGGGTTTGCTCGTTTTGCCATATCGGACATCTAAGCGCAAGTATTTCTCGGGCCACAAACATCCAATTGGACAAGATTTTGGCTCGCAAAATTTACTTGACATATTAGTAACGTACTAGAGACTAACACTCTTCTCTAGCCAGCTGATAAGCACGTTGTCTCTCGAGCTGGCGCCATCTCATGTGTTCTTGTCTGATCACAAGTGTTGTTGCTCTTTGAAGAGGGAAAGTAAGCCGCACCTACTGAGCCACAGAAGATGAAGGATACCGGCGAATGTCATCCGAGTCTTTTACCAGGGCGACGATGCAGAAAGCCTACGCCATCGATATACCTTCGAGGGCGATATATGTGAGGATTAACTCCAATTTCGCGAGCTACCACCACCAGTTGGGTATCTGCTCGCCCTTGTCTCTGTAGTTGTCTCGGAACAGCTTCTTGAACCACGAGGCTTTCCTCCACACGTCGTAAGGAGTACGGTTTAGTCGCTCTGCCATCGACACCAATTCGTATTTGTTCCGGTAAATAGCCCGAGAAAGGATTTCTTCCTCCTTTCCGTCCCAATCCAGACCGTCCCACTCGCCATGTTCAGGATGAGTAAAGCCATCCTGGGAATTCTCACGCTCCGGTTCGTTTGTGTTGCGCACAGGCCTGTCCACGAAAAGGCCGCCCTCATCTTGGTCACTGGCGAAAGGGTCCTCGTTATGGACAAGATCAATCATGGTACGGTTGCCATGAGGCTCAGCCCTGACATCGTTCTGAGAAGGCTGCATCCTGCCTTGCACAGGAGAGCTGACAAGAGCTACTTGCGACGATGTATACTCTTGACGCACTTCCTCAGCGCGATCCCAGATTGCTTTCAGGGGGTCTGTTTTGTTCTTCAAGTCCTGCGTATGCTTGCAGAGAGCTTCCCATCTCGCCGCATTCCGTCGTTTCTCCTCTGTCTCTTGTCGCTCCCTCGCTGCCCTAAGCTCCTGCTGTGAGGCCAAAAGCTGTTGACGCATCGATTCGTTCCGTCTCTTCTGCGCAGCCTGTCTTTTGAGAGTCTGGAGATCCTCTTTGGCTTTCTCGGCGATGGACTGAAGTTTGGAGAGCTGCTGCTTGAGAATTGCCCTCACTTTGCTCTTCCTTGCTTTGAGTTCAGCCTCGTCCTTGCTGAGCTCCTGATCGCTTTTTTTGAACTCCTTGTCGACAGGCCAAGCCTCCAGACCTAGACTCAGGCTCTGTTCAAGAAGATTGGCCCATCGTACCGCACGCAGAAAGAACTGAAGGGTGAAGGAGTTGAATCGCAGACGCAACCGTGAACCAGATGACGCTGATGGAACCAGATCGCATGCATTACCCATGACGAGCACAAGTATAGGAATGAGTCTTTTTGAGATGTCGCGCAGGACATCAGCTCTTGCCTTGATGGCACGAAGGGTTAGGTTTTCGCCAGGTGCTAGGTCCTGGGTGCAAATCTTTTCGATAATCTGTCCAATGCTCGTGAAACACCTTATGATGCTCTCCGTGTTATTCCTGAGGTGCTCGGTGGTCCTGGTGTTGATATCCTCTTCGTGGCTATCGTCCGGCGCCGCTGTTGCCTGAACCAACAAGTCTTTCAAGGCTTGGGCGTGCTTCACCAAGGCCCGTCCAGAGGCAGATCGGCATCGGGACAAGGAGCTTTCATCCCATATCTTGCCTGACCAGGCCACATGTTGCAGGATCTTCATCATGCCTCCAAGACTAGGAACTGAGACCTCAACTTCGACCACCTCCTCATCTGCTTGAGGAGCCTCGGTGAAAGCCTCCTGCTCAGCTGCGCGTCTTGCAAGATAGTTGTCATCCTCTTCGTCAGAGCTGGACGCGGCGTCCTCATCTTGTCTATTCTGTTGCGGTGCGACGACCATAGACTGCCCCTGGCTTTGCTCCTGAGGTTGATCCTGCTCAGGCTCCGTATTTGCCCCCTCACCGTGCGTTGCTGCCCTTCGTTGGGCTCGAACATCGCGCTCTGAAAGTCCAGTACTTGCACCCAACTCGTTGTCAGTACCCCCTCTCTCGCCGTGAGACTGAAAGACTGGCTTCGCTTTACGTTTCTGCTTTCCATGCCATTTTGCATCGGTTTGCTGGCTACTTCGTGTCCCCGGAGGATTGGGAGCAGTGGCCTTGTCCACTTGTTGGTCAACAAATCGCACCCCGTTGACAGTCTGTCTTTCCCGTGAGCGTGCCTCATTGATGGCTAAGATAGCCTGGTTGAAGTTGACATGGATCGAGCCATCATCATCATCCTCATCGTTGCCTCTTTGCCTCGTCCTTTGACGTGTGGTAACACCAGTGAGCTGAGGCTCCTCGCCTTGCGTCTGCACAGGTCCCGCACTTCTGGTCATCCTCGGAGCTGAGCTTGCTGGCTCATTGTTGCCGTGATTCTGCCGCTTCGAGCTGGGCGGCCCAAGGTAGTCAGTCGCGTTAGAACCGTCAACACTGGGCTGCTGCCGACGTGTCGCGTCGCGCGTCCGCTTAGAAGGCATGTTGCTGCAGATGGCGCGCCTGTACGAGGACAAGTACTGACGGGCGCAGGTTCTCTGTAAGGCAGAAGAAGTATCGCGAATGTTATCGTGCTCATGCCCGTATATATTACATCGAGGTTGTTGTCCCGGTTACCTTTGTAGGGGAAATTTACATGGTGTTCACGCAGCACAGACGTGACTTGCTTCAACGTAGTTCTGCACGCATGGCCTGGGCGGCAGGGAGGGGGTCGTACGACAAGGATATGGATACGGTCGCAACGGCGACTGATAAATAACCCTAACCCGGAATCATGAGAATGACCTCACATTGGAGGAAGCAGCACCCTTGTGCCTCCCTGCCTAAAGTGTGAAGCGGGTGCATGGAAGTAAGGGGATAGCATGTCAACACAACAAACGAGACTGCCGGCTCGATCTCTGCATCTTCAAGAAACGCTCATATTCTCATCCTGTCCATGTTCCTGCAGTCAAGTTGTTCAAGTTCAAGACCTTTTGTAGTCCAACTCAAGGCTTAGCCGACAGAGTGTAAGACGAGCTGCAGAACCTCAAACACTTCTTTCGTCAGCACATCTGATTTCTAAAGCAGCTCTGCTCCTCACCTGTCAGCCAAACTCACAACAACAAAACCATGGCTCAGTCAACCAATACGTCCTCCTCCTCCTTCCCGCAGCTCGAGATTCTCGATCCTGCCGACCCACACATCTTTCTCGACCCCAGCAAGTGCATCCACGATGGACCAGACGTGGCGCGCTTTCTCATCTCCAAGGCGTACCGAGACATTGGCATCTTCGTGATGCAGCTCAACCGCGCCCTCTGCCCTCGGAGAGACCCCTGGGGGTCCGGCACCCCCAAGACGTTCCCCCTAGTCGGCAGTGATCGCAAAGACCCAGAGTCTATCCGCAGTTTGCAGGGCCTCCTGGAGAAGACAGCGTCTATCATCGACGAGGCGCCTCCAGACCCAGGCCCGAGGCGCTTCGGGAATATCAGTTTCCGCAAGTGGTACAAGCTGCTGGAGGACAGGGTCGACGGACTGTTGAAGGAGTATGTGGGTGCGGACGTGCTGGGATTCGCGGCTACGAGTGCGAAGGACGGGCAGGGCGAGACCTTTGGCGCGCTTGACGAGCTGAGGGCCTACTTTCTCGGCGGGTTCGGCAGCCCGCAGAGACTGGACTACGGCACAGGCCATGAGCTGAGCTTTCTTGCCTTTCTAGGGTCTTTGTGGAAACTCGGTGCTTTCCGAGACGGCACACAGGGTGGCGATGTCGAGCGCAGTATCGTGCTCGGTGTCTTTGAGCCGTACGTTAACCCTGTTTGGGGCAAAGAGACTGTGGCTGACAATCCAAACAGGTATCTCAAGGTGGTGAGAAAGCTGATTCTCACATACACACTCGAGCCCGCAGGGTCTCACGGCGTCTGGGGTCTTGATGACCACTCGTTTATGCCATACATATTCGGCTCCGCACAACTCACGCGGCCCATCACGGAAGAGGAGGCGATGCCACTTGAGGGGTCTGTGCAGAGGGCACCCAAACCCGTGGACGTGACCAAGTCCGATGCGGTGGAGATGCTACGAGAGGTAAATATGTACTTCTCTGCCATTGGTTTCATCAACGACGTCAAAAAGGGCCCCTTCTGGGAGCATAGCCCGATCCTGTACGATATCTCTGGGATTAAGGATGGTTGGGGGAAAATCAACAAGGTGAGAACTCCCTTCCTGAGAAAATGAGTAGAGCACCGCTAAACCATCTGACCTTGCCTGCAGGGCATGATCAAGATGTTCAACGCCGAGGTCCTGTCCAAATTTCCCGTGGTGCAGCACTTCCCCTTTGGCTCGCTCTTCTCGTGGGACATAGACCCAGACGCATCTGCACCCCAGCAATCCATCCACATGGTAAACCAACCTGTGGCCGCAGCAGCCGGACCAACGTCCTCTCTGCCTCCCGGCACGGGCGCGCCATGGGCACAAGCCACACAGATGCCTAGCCTCGGAGGCCCGGGTATACCGTATTCGAGGCCGGCGGAGCGGCGCCCTGGTCCAACCGGGCGCCTCGCTCAGCCGGGCAGTGAACAACCGGATGATCTGGTCCCGCTTGGTTCGGTGCGACCTTCCGGGCCGAGAGGCACTGCAGGGGCGCAGATCAGTGTGACCAAGGCGCCGTGGGCTAAGTGACCTTGCGCGTGGACGATTCTGGACCATGCGGCGTTATTTTCTAAAAGGCGGAAATGGTTGCACACCCGGATGAGACCGACGAGGGAGTATAGGTCTAACGCCATGTTTGTGCTGCCGCAGCTTCGTTTGCCTTCCCATCTCGAGGGAATGATGAAGACTACTCGTTTCAACGACAATTTCACAACCGCGCCTGAAGTTTTCCCATCTGTCACATGAATACGCATTGCTTCTTTGTACGGCCGGGCAGACAAAACAATCAAGCCGCACACCACCGTCACAGCCTCCCTAAACTGTCCGGTTGGAATTGTATAATGTCATGCCATGACGACGTGGGCTTGATCAGGGTTTGATCCACGAGTGCATGTCAGAAACGCCACGTTGTGCTAGCTTCGTGCGGTAAAGGTCTCTTGCCTTGAAAGTGCTCCCTTCCCCCCCCCCCCCTCCTCGAAAGCTAGATGTCAAGAGTCCCCGCGTCGCAGCCTTTTGCACCAGGTTGCAAACAAAGAGCTTTTGGCAGCTGTCTTGCTCGGAACTATTATTACGGCCCAGGAAGACTCCAAGGCAGACTATGTTCTCTTTCCCCATCCAAGTTTCTCTGAGCCCGTGAGGAGCTCAGGCGAGTCAGGAAAGGGGAAATTGCTATGTCTATCACGGACTGAAAGCTCCGGCAACTGTTCGGCACAAAGTCAACGCGTATCAGAGTACATTTTTTGGGTCTACTAGGGGTTTTTTTTTGGGGGGGGGGGGGTTTCCTATTTTCATTGTGTGTGTAAGTGTGAGAGTCGTTCAGTCGAGTGTCTCCGTACTTTAAACTATGCAAGGAGTGGGAAATTTGGTAGTAGGGGGACGCGGCGTGTGTAGTGGCTCCTAATCCAAAGAATCGTCAAACTATATCGAAGACCTGCGGCTAAGGACCTTTTCTTTGGGGGGGGGGGGGGTTCTGCCTGTACTACGTTCTGCGAAGTACAACGATACATAGTATGTATTGGCTACAGTGCTACAGTACTAAATGGTGACATGGTGTGCAAACCGGAACAATCCCTGTGGTCCCGCCGAATCCTGGAAATCTGCTTGAATCGTGGAACGATGATGCTCAGACAGAGGCGAGGGTCCAACAAGGGCCAGAGGGAAAATAGAAGCGTACCACACCACCGTAGTACTCTGCGACTGAAAAGCTGTTCCTACTATAGCACTGCTCCTAACATATCCCCGCGCACCCGGAGACTCGGGACAGGCGTTCAGGGCGTTGTAGAAGAAAAGCTAGGAGTGCCTAACCTTTGTTAGGTTCTTCTTGGAACTCTTGTTAGGGACATCTGGGGCCTACGTTGATGATACTGTATTAGTTGGTGCATTGCTGTGGTACTTTGCCTCCCGTCTATCTATTGCCCTCTTGAGACGCTGATCCCATGCAGGGTCGACAGTCGATCGGGTGATTTCTCGTGTCTGACTTACTATAGTACAAAATGTTGAAGGCCGAGTGGCTATTCCAAGACCCCTAGAGGATGAGACAAAACGCCGAAGACAAAAACCATTGGAGCCCAAGAGACGGCAAAAAAAGGGTTCAACGAGCTGATTACGTTTCTTAGTAAGAAGTCTGTTGTATTTCGTTTCGCATTTTGCGATACCCGGATGTGCTTCCCTCCCCCTTTTTTTCTTGGAACAGGTAGCATTGGCTGGCTTGGCTGACTGTGGCTAGAACCGTGGTCATAATGGCCGTGGATGAAGCGGCTAGTCCTGCATAGCGTCTTTCACACTTGCTGGACCGATGACGTCTAAAGTCACGACCCATTGTCCGTGATCAGTTGTCTTGTGGGGTCGCTCATCCCTACCGAAAATCCCCCCCAAAAAATAAGAGTATTGATGTATTCTCCGAAGCAAATGTAATTTATTCGATTATGCGGTTTAGTGCTATTGCTAAGCTTGGGGAGAAATCAACCCCTCAAAAAAAGGCGAGGAGAGGCATGAGCGTGCTTTTGAAGGAAGAGGTGAGGACACTGAATGGGAGAGCACGAGAGGAGAAGATGCAAATTTCGACTTTCCCATTGCGCTGATTTGGCTTTCACGACGCGCTTGCCCGGCCCCACTGTCAAATTAAGGAAAGATTGGCGGCCGATGCAGGGAATTCCTAAGCCAGCGATTATGTTGGGCTCACTATGGCGGCGCCTGCCCTGGAGAGGGGTTTTGAAAGTACCCAGTGGCAGGAGTGTGAAGCTGTTAGCACTGCCACTCTGAACGGTAGACCCTACACCACTGCATACCCTAAGCCGCTAGCAGATCTTTAACAGGTTGTAGCGCTACTCCCCAGGGTGTGTGCCTGTGAGGAGAAAGAAGAAAGAGAAAAGGAGAGGGGGGAGGGCCAAGAGCGCCTTTTGTGGTCACCACTGTCGCGCCTCTGACCTTCTCGCCTCAACCCTGCTAAACCCACTCGGGCCGCCACTGCAACTCACTATGACAGCAGGGAGAGGAGCCAGGACCCAGCGTGGACCCAGCGAGAACCTAGCGAGGACCCAGGACCCCAGGGACAGGGCCTGCTTCCCACTCTTTTTGCCTCCCAGCTCCAGGTGCCGCGAGGTGCGGGCCTCTCTGCATGCGTGCCGCTTCTTTTTTTTTCGAACATTGCCTTGCTTGCGCTACGGCTCACCCTACCACCACCACTACCGACACCACCACTCGTAACTAGGCCTGCCTGAAGTCGTACACACACGTCCTGTGTGCTGTGCCGTGGCAACTTCACCTCCTCAAGGTCGACAACAACAGAAAGCGGGCTCAAACAGTGCACTGCACTCTGGGCGATACCCTCGACGTCTTTGCAGCGACCCGTGCATCTTGTCTGTTCCGCTTTTTCAGCCCTGTGTGCGGTGTCTCTGCGTTGCGTCATATCACAGATCCCCGTCTTCACTGGTGGACCCTCCTTCTTACTTCGTCTCTCTCTGCCTTCGCTTCAGACTTTCCACTCTCTCCCCGGTGACTTTGACCTACCTATCTGCAGAGCCTTTCCCACAGGGTCTCGCCTGTTGCACCGACACGCGACGACTGCACCTCTAGTCACCCTGTCACTCCATCTAAGCCTGTGCGACACGGCACCCGCAGGCAGCATACGTTGAGCAGCCGTTCCCTCCTCCAGTTTCGCACAGTATAAGGATTGTCGATGTGGTGGGACACACATACCGATGCCTAACAGAATTGAGGATCCAACCTAAATCTCTACTTTGTCTCCCGGAGCGTGCGTCTTTGACAGGGCCCAGCGATTCACGACGCTCCTCGGACATACAAGCCCCAGCCGAACACTGAATTCTCTTGAGAAACCGGGCTCTGCACCCAATTTTCGGACGACCTTTTGCCCAGCACCGTGCTTGCGAGGCTTCTAGGTCTCGGGAGGGCAGGGGAGAGGAAAATTAAGCAGTGGAGAAGCAGCCATGGATCCGACGGAAAATGATGAGGCTGCGGGCCAAAAGAAGGCTGATATCCCGTCGTCATCAGAGGCGCCCGCTGTGGACGAGCATGATTTCGCAAAGGACCGCGAGCAGCAGCCCTCGCGGTTCACTTCTCAACCCGGCAGCCCAGCTCCTGTGCACCCTCGCATCGATACGTACTTCCCATTCGACATGGGCGCCCCAAATCGAGTACAAACCCCGAGCGTGCAGTCGTCATGGAGTGCTGCCTCCGACCGCCAGCTGGGATACGGCAGCCAGACTGGTCAGTCTGACCGCGTGTTTCCCATCCGCTCCGTCATCAGTGTCGAACCTCCCACCAGATCCTCTACAGACCAAGAATACTTCCCACGCATGTCGGCGGATAGCAGCGATCTATCGGGGTTCAGCAGACCATCTCAGTCACGGCGTGATCACGAGGCCCAGGCAGGCCGTCACGGGGGCCCCAAGAGCGACTCTGTGCTCTCTCCGTTGGCAGTCACGTCTCCACCAGTCACGGCCCCGTCAGGGACGAGGCGGAGGAAGAGCACTACGACAGGAGCCAGGTCAAGCGTTCAGGCTGATGCTGAGCGCCAGGGCTCCCAGCCTTTATCTATTTTCGCCAACGACGCCACGTCGGATGACGAGGACAAGGAATCGGACGGTACTGGAGAACCTCGCTCCGAACACTTCAGTTCATCGGGACGGGAATCAGCCGGTATCTCAGAAAGTGTACTGGATGGGCTCACCACGACACGTTTTAAGCACGTCATGACCGACGACGGCCACCTGGTTATTACTGGAACGGATGGTACCCTACAGCGATGCGAAGACGAGCCGATCCATACGCCGGGCGCTGTGCAGAGTTTTGGCCTGTTGCTGGCTATCCGCGAGGAACCGGACGGCCGCTTCACAGTGCGGTATGCAAGTGAAAACTCGAAGCGTATAATAGGATACTCACCCATGGAATTGTTCCGATTGAGCAATTTCACGGATGTCCTGACCGAAGAACAAGCGGATAATCTTCTGGACCACATCGACTTCATACGAGACGAGGACGCTGATCCTGCGATTAATGGGCCCGAAGTGTTCAGCATGTCTATACGGCCACCGAAGAAGAGGTAAGACAATCTCCCTCCCTCCAGACCCTTCGAGTCCCCCGGGGGCCTCCTGTCCATCATGTAATTCAGACGTAGACACCTGACCATTCACCCAGAACTGTCAAGCTTTGGTGTGCCATTCACGTGCACCCAGCACACCCAGATCTGGTTATTTGCGAATTTGAGCTCGATGATGATCATGAGTTTCCCTTACGACCTGATGACGAACGTACGCCAGATGTCCCAGAGGACACCCTCCGTGGCAATCCGACGATGGAAGAGCTGGCCGACAGCACGGAGATCTCGAGTAAACCGCTTAGGGTACTCAGAAGTGCTCGCAAGCGCCGGGGGGAGGCTGGTGCCATGCAGGTCTTCGACATCATGTCCCAGGTCCAGGATCAACTGGCTTCTGCGCCGAACCTCGATCGTTTCCTGAAGATCCTCGTTGGAATTGTGAAAGAGCTGACAGGGTTTCACCGTGTCATGATATATCAGTTCGACGCATCTTTCAATGGCAAGGTCGTAACGGAGCTCGTAGACCCGACGCATACGCGGGATCTCTACAAAGGTCTTCATTTCCCTGCCTCGGACATACCTAAACAGGCCAGAGATCTCTACAAGCTCAACAAAGTGCGGTTGCTATACGACAGAGACCAGGAGACGGCGCGGCTGGTATGCCGGTCCAAGGAGGACCTTGAGGTGCCCCTGGACATGACCCATTCTTATCTTCGAGCCATGTCCCCAATTCACCTGAAGTATCTCGGCAACATGGCTGTCCGCTCCTCCATGTCGATCTCGATCAACGCCTTCAACGAGCTCTGGGGTTTGATAGCGTGCCACTCGTACGGATCGAAGGGCATGCGTGTGTCGTTCCCGATCAGAAAGATGTGTCGACTCGTTGGCGATACCGTCTCGAGGAATATTGAGCGTCTTTCATACGCCTCCAGGCTGCAGGCGCGAAAGCTCATCAATACCGTCCCTACAGACAAGAACCCTTCGGGCTACATCATCGCCTCCTCGGACGACTTGTTAAAGCTCTTCGATGCCGACTTTGGCATGCTATCTATCAAAGGAGAGACCAAGATTATGGGCAAGGTCGAGCACTCGCAAGAGGCCCTGGCCATGCTTGAATATCTCAGGCTCAGGAAGTTCACGTCGGTGTTGACGACACAGGACGTTAAGTCTGACTTCCCAGATCTCCGCTACCCGCCAGGCTTTCACTACGTTGCTGGACTCCTCTACGTCCCCCTGAGTGTCGGCGGCCACGATTTCATTGTGTTTTTCCGGAAGGGCCAGGTTCGAGAGGTGAAGTGGGCCGGCAACCCTTACGAAAAGGTTGTTCAGGAGGGCACGCAGAACTACCTTGAGCCTAGAAAGAGTTTTCAAGTATGGCACGAGACCGTGCTAGGCAAATGTCGAGAATGGTCTGAAGAACAGATCGAGACGGCAGCGGTACTCTGTCTGGTGTACGGCAAATTCATCGAAGTTTGGAGACAAAAGGAGGCTGCCCTGCAGAACAGCCGACTGACGAGGCTCCTCTTGGCCAATTCCGCGCATGAAGTTCGGACACCCCTCAACGCCATCATCAATTACCTTGAAATAGCGCTCGAGGGCAGTCTGGACCAGGAAACGAGAGATAACTTGTCTAGGTCACACTCGGCTTCCAAATCGCTCATCTACGTGATTAACGATCTCCTCGATTTGACGATGACTGAAGAGGGCAACGATTTGGTCAAGGACGAGATCTTCGACCTCCAGGCATGTATCAATGAGGCCACGGATCCCTTCAAGAAGGACGCCTCGAGGAAGGGCATTGGCTACGAGGTGTTCGAGCATCCTGGATTACCGCAATTCGTGTATGGTGATCAGAGGAAAGTCCGTCAGGCTATTGCGAATGTGACTGCCAATGCTGTAGAGCATACGTCAACGGGGAGTGTCAGGGTCGAATACTATTGTGCCTCTGTTGAGGGTCAAAAGATTCGCGTCGAGATCGTTGTGGAAGACACGGGTCGTGGAATGAGTAAGACATGCACCCTCCCCATATTCTACTCAGCCCCTCTGGAAGAGAAAACAAACCTTTCAAAAAGAGGAAACGAAAGCTTGGACGCGTGCCTCGTTGCTGACTTGGTCTAGGCGATGCCAAACTGGACGCTCTGTTCCGCGATTTAGAACAAGTCTCCACCGATGCGGATGAGGGGAATACTGACGAAGCCCTGGAGAGGTCTCAAGAGGATGTGAAGACCCTAGGCCTTGGTCTTGCCGTTGTCTCCAGAATCATCCGGTAAGATGATATTTTGTTTTCGTTTCCTCTCCGATAGGAATTTCCCCGAACTGTGCTGCTGTGTTCCCTCCACGCTTCTCCGGTGCAAGGCCTCCAGCTCCGACGACAGAGTCCCTGCTGGACATTAGGTCTGTGCGGCTGCATGTAGTTATATGGCGAAAAGTTATTTTGCGACTATTTTCCTTTTGATATGGACTAGCAAAAGCTGACACTCTTCACAGAAACATGGACGGTCAGCTGCGGCTCAAGTCAGAGGATGGAAAGGGATCGCGATTCGTCATACAGCTGCCTTTCGAGATGCCACCCCAAGACTCACCAGCCGTCGCTAGTAACGTCGAGCAGGGGGAGCCTTCAGTGACGACACCTTCAATTGCTTCTGTGCCCAAAACCATGCCGGCTGTACGCGAAGGCGAGTTGATGCTTATCGACCGTGGTCCTGGCGCTTTGCCTAGCGCCACCAAACAGACCCTCAGTCACAGCCGTAGCTTTGACGAGAGCATCAGCGCCAGCAGTCTCCACAGCGTGACAAGCCTGGGTAGTGGGGTCAGCAACAAGAGCGATGCCGACAGGCTCATCGATGCGATCCAAACCACTCTGAGTCTTGGAGAGCCCGAATCCGAGGCGGTGAGAAACCAAAGACGCAACTCCAAGGGAGCTTACTACCGCTCGGCACCTAAATTCTCCACGTCACGGTCCCTTAGTCCATCGGACCGCTCCTTTGAGAGGCCTACTACCCTGTTGAGGTCTGTGTCGTCTCCGGGCAAAGGCAAAGATGTACAGGTCGAGCCCTCAAGACCCGTGGGTATGGAATTTGTGACCGATGTGAAAATGCCCATCAGGCCGGTGAAGGTCCCAGACGATTACAAGGATCAACCAGAAGGACCTGCACAATCTAGCCAGACCTCTGGTGTCGTATTTGAGGTCGGAGACAGCCCACTACCGCCTGCATCAGAAGCTACGACAGTGGACGGCAGAGTTCAGCTGTCCGGCAAACCAGGCTCAGCCAAGCTACAAGTTCTCGTGGCCGAAGACGATCCCGTTAATATGAAGATTCTAAGGAAACGGTTAGAGAAGGCCGGGCATACGGTCTATCACACGGTGAACGGCGAGGACTGTGCGGCAGCATACAAAGAGAGTGACGGGAAATTCGATGTTGTCTTAATGGACATGCAGGTAAGTTATATTCCAAGGTTTTCATGGTTCTATTTGATTTAATTTTTTCCCCACCCAAAGAAGAGAAACCAAAAAAAAAAAGAAAAAAAAGGGGGGGGTGTGGTTAAGAAGGCGCTGAGCGATCCTGACCGCCTACTTCTAGATGCCCATCGTGGACGGACGTCGCAGTACCGAAATGATCCGAGCAATCGAGACCGCTGGCGAGCATCACAAGCTATCTGCTCTTGCATCGAATCACGGCAGGATACCGGTCTTCGCCGTGTCTGCCTCGCTCGTCGAACGTGAGAAGGACACATATATGACTGCTGGGTTCGATGGCTGGATCCTTAAGCCTATCGATTTCAAGAGACTGGAGTATATTCTCTTTGGCATTATCGATGACGATGCGCGAAACGATGCTGTCTATGTGGCAGGCCAATGGGAACGCGGTGGCTGGTTCAGAAAGAGGCTGGAGCTGCCCCCCACGGAGAAAGCCAAGAACGCACCGTCGCTCCGCGACGTTGATCTAAAAGGCAACGAGATTAATGCTGCGCGGGAGAGCATGATTTAGACTGCTTTTCCTTGTGAGCAGTCTCGAGACAGCTGGCGAACCTCTTATGGCCCATTGAGACCTCTCACTCACGATTCTGTCATTGATTTGGCTACGGTCTTGGGTTTATAATTTTTTTTCTCTCCTAAGTTCTCGGTGCTGGCTTTGTTTTCTTCGGTTTTCTTTTCAAGTTCTTTTGTGGCATGGGGTGTGCGGCGGCTGGAAAATACACGATACCCGGCATTTTGATTCATCATGGTATTGCGATCACAGCACACGATTTGGATGCATGCATGTTATATATACATATATTGGAAGGGAAGACAAGGGCGGCTGGTTGGACTTGGCGTTTTCAAGAGTGCTTTTACGGATTCATGGCGATTACTAGCCAGCCTGGCTCCTTTTCCTGGTCGGTTGGGCGCTGGTCAAGAGATACAAAGCGTATCGGGAATACGATGAAGGGTACACGCACGGTGGCAGGACGTTGGACATGGGTCGGCGTTTTGATGTGACTTCTGTGGGAGTTCTGTGGACCGCTCATCATGTGTTCCGAACATATGTTCCGAACAGGCTCTTGTGTATTTCGCGAGAAAGATAAAGAGAGACTACCCATCTCACTGGGGGTCGGGGCCTTTGTATTATGGGAAGAGGTGGTGGAGGGCAGGGCTATGCTTCCAGGAGATGGACGGCAGGAATTTTCATTGGTGCGGAGAAGGATGAGGAGATTTATTGGCCGCGACAAGTTGTTCGAACCGGGAAACTGGTATCTGTGTGTATGTGTGAACACTTAGAGAGGAGGCGGGGTGGCAGCGGCAGAGGAAGAGAGGGGCGATGAGCGAGAAAAAGGAGGCCAGGGACATTCTTCTGCTACCAGGTACTAAGAGCAGCGAATATATGTCACTCCTCCGAGAGGTTGCAACAGATATGTATTATCCAGCCGAGTGAACGGTGGAGTGACACGAGGAACTGAGGACGTGCCGCCACCATTCCAACGACATGATGATTACCATCTTGCAGCAAGGGAGAGACGTGCAAAAGGCGCGCGAGGGGGTCCTGGAGTGAGACACACAAGGTGGTCAAATCAGGGAGAGAAAGTCTGCGGCATAACCGCTCAGGCTTCTGGACCACCCAGACACATGCAAGCCCTTCTAGCTCAAGGCATCTAGCACAAGTGGCCAAGCAAAAAGATGTCTCCTGATTCCATAGTGCATGGTACTAACCAAAAATCAGGGACACACACACATACGCCCCTCCTTTCCCACCGTCTGGATCAGAAAAGAAAAGAAGAGGCCCCAGCCAAGGAGATGATCCACCCCGTGCCTGGGGTTTTTAAGGGCAGGGAGCGAGTTCATTACGCGGTCTTAATACTAATACCGCCTCGCTGATGCAGGTGACACACTTTTTTCACTAAACTTTCACTTTTGATTAGTAGAAAGTGCGGCATGCTGGGTACTTTTGTGTGGTTTTTGAGAGAGAGTAAGAGAGAAGAAGTGTCTATTTGCGCGGCAAGAGGCTGTCACTAACCAATTGCCTACCTTTTCCCTCCCTTCAAACTCCATTCTATTCTTCCTTTCTTTTTTTCTTGTTCTTTTCTGTGGTTTCCTTTCTTGAATAAGAACTTGAAGGAACATTGCCTGCTCAAAACCTTGGAGGGCGGAGGGTCCAGGTCGGCTTGAACTTGTTGAGAATTCTTCGATACAATACCAAACACACACGCACACACACACACACACAAACAACACGAGGAGGGAGAGACGAACGCATCTCCGTGAGGGCGGTCAACACTTGGTTGTGAAGTCTTGATGGGCTTCCATGAACTGGTGTTCAGGTAAAGAAGAAGACGAAGAAGACGAAGAAGACGACGACGACAACACCACAAGGCATTGCGTTCCAAGATGCTGCTCTCATACCCCAACCGACCACGGCTGTTCATCTTGGCTGCCATAACATGCCTCTTCACGGGGTATATTCTCCTCTGCTATCCCGGCGGCTCCGACACGCTGGCGCGACCCAACATCTGGCCTGTGAGCAGCCTCAGCTCGTCCTTCTCGTCACTGGGTGCAGCAGAAAAAGAAGGGCCACAACGACCGTTGGCACAGCTCCCCCAGGACAACCACCCGATCTCACGACTGATCCGAGATGCACACAACACCTACATGGACCTCGTGCAAAACAGATCCCACACGGTCGAGGAGGCAGCAGCGCGGTACCGCCTGCGACGGGGGCGCCACCCGCCGCCCGGGTTTGATGTGTGGTTCCAGGCAACAAAGCAACACGACGCCGTGGTGGTGGAGGAGTTCTTTGACCGGATCTACCGCGACATTGGGCCCTTTTGGGCGCTGAACCCGGTCGAGCTGCGGCGCATGGCCCACGCGACACCACAGGTGATCCGCGTGCGCGGCGGCAACGCGACCTTTGAGACGGACGACCCGCACCGGCCGCCCTTTATCCAGCTGTGGACGGACCTGGTGCGCGAGATGGCGCACGCGCTGCCCGACCTGGACATGCCCGTCAACGTCATGGACGAGAGCCGCGTGCTGGTGCCGTGGGAGAAGATGGCGGGCTATGTCGGGCGCGAGGTGCGCAGCAGGGAGGTGTTCCCGGCCGAGCAGGCCATCAACGCGTACACGAGCCACAGCGCCCTCGACTCGGGCAGTGTGCGCTTCCAGCCGCAGTGGGTGACGGACGACGCACACCGATACTGGGACCACATGCGCGCGGCGTGTCCGCCCCACAGCCCGGCCAGGGCCGTCGGGGCGCTGCCGAGCTCGGCCAGGCCCATCGACGAGCTGTACCCGATCGGCCCCCTGCCGTACACGCGCGAAGGGTTCGTGGCCAACTTCTCGGCGAGCATGGACGCGTGCTGGCAGCCGCACATGCGCGGCATGCACGGCACCTTTGTCGAGAGCGTCAGCATGTCGACGGTGCACGAGCTCGTGCCCATGTTTGGCGGGTGCAAGCTGCCGCAGAACAACGAAATCCTGCTGCCCGGCGCCATGTACCTGACAGATGACCCCTTCTACGCAGGAGGCCGCGACAAAAACCTTGCCTGGGCCGACAAGAAGGATGGCGCTGTGTGGCGCGGCGTGGCCAGCGGTGGGCGCAACCGGCCGGACAACTGGTGGCATCTTCATCGCCACAGGTGGCTGCAGGTCATGAACGGATCGACGGTGCGGCGCGTCCAGGCCGGTGAAGAGGCGGCGGGTCCTACATTTCGGCTGCCGCCGCAGGGGTCAGTGTACAGAGAGGTGACGGCGGCCAAGGAGGTGAAGGGAGGAAGGGGAGGGAAAAAAGAAGGAGGAAAAGACACAAAGACCACAGAACGGGCCATCGGCGACTGGCTCGAGGGCGTGGCAGACGTGGGCTTCAACAACCTCGAGTGCTACCCGATCACGCGCGACGAGGAAGGCCGGCAGGAAGACCTGGGCTGCGAACACACGGGTAGCTACTTTGCCGTGTCGGCCATGGTGCCCATGACGGAGCAGTATAGCTACAAATACCTCCCCGACGTGGACGGGCACAGCTACAGCGCGCGGTGGCGGGGCATCCTGCGTAGCTCGAGCTGCCCCCTCAAGGCGACGCTGTACGCCGAGTGGCACGACGACCGCCTCGTGCCGTGGGTGCACTTTGCACCCTTTGACAGCAGCTATCAGGACATCTGGGCGGTGCTGTCGTATTTCTTGGATGGGCACGACGCCGAGGGAGAGAGGATCGCCAGGGCGAGCAAGGAGTGGGCCGCCAAGGTGCTGCGGAGGGAGGATATGATGTTGTATGTGTGGAGGCTGTTGTTGGAGTATGCCAGGGTCATGGACCCCAAGAGGGACAGGCTTGGCTTTGTGAACGATCTGGAGGTGGCGACCAAGAAGAATGGAAAGAACAAGATGAAGAAGCCGTCCTGGAAGATCGACTGGTAATCTGGTGGGAAGGGAGAAGAGAAGAGACTAGATGGTGATGTTGTTATGGATTTTTTTTTTTTTGCTTCTCTTCTTTTGCCTTGTTCATTCTTGTTGCAATTGCTGTTGATTCCTTGCCTCGTTGTTGTGCAAGTGTTATACTTGTCCTGTTATTCTGCTTAGGCGTTACAAGAATGTTCAACTGCACACATTGCTCGAGAGAAGGGAGAGAGTGATTAGTAAACCACACACGAAGACTAATAAGAGATGGTAGTCTGACAAAATATGACCAAAGTTTCAATATCATCAAATATAGATGAGATGGTGTGGTGATGGCAGTACTGTCAAGTAGAGGTTGTAAAGAATGTCCCATGATGTTGTCGTCGTCATTGTGTTGTATAGAGTGGATTAAGGGTCATGGTTCAGTTGAGGTAAAAATAAGGTTCCAGTGTGCTGCCACCCACCGCATCCCAGCCTAGAGCACTTCAGGGGTCCTACAGGGGATGCTACAGGGGATGCTACAGGGGATGCTACAGGGGATGTGTGCCCAGCCACTGTTTAATCACATAATGTCGGCTGCAGCACAGACCGTGGAGCTTTCTACAGTCACTAATGATGGCAGTAGTTGGGGGAGGACCTGCTGGACCTGCACAAAGCTAACAGGTATACAGCACAGCATAGCATAGCACAGCACAGCACTGCTGTGTACATAGTACAGTACATGCAATTAGATTGGTTGCTTTGCACTGTACTGTTAAGCCACAAACAGCCAGCCAGCCAGCTGTTTTATCATCTCCAACTCAACCTACTGTAATTACTTACCTACCTTAGCTTGGTATCATCAGATCATGCTGCGGTGAGGAGTGCATCTGCCAAGACTCAACTTTCCTCCTTTCTCCTCTTCCCGAGACGCTGCTGCTGCCGCTGCTGCTGCTTGTCACATGCCCTTGGCACAGTGGTTGGGCATGAGTGAGTGACTGAGAGTGACTGACTGACTCTCTGTGTCTGTGTAAGTTATCGAACGAGGTGGCGCTGACTGGCACTGCTGTCATAGGGGAGCAAGGTCCTTTTTCGGTGCCACCGATGCAACGACAACAACAAACTACATGAGAAATGAACGAGGCTGCTCTCTTTACTCAATCACCTACCCGGGAACCTTCTCATCATAATAATAAAAAACTTGGCAAATTATCCGAACAGACGTGTGTTTCCGTGTCACCCCAGGGACGTGTCTCAAATTTCCCCCTCTCCTCCCTCCTCTTTTTTCTAATTATTACTTCATCTTCTTCAGCTCAGCTTTTCCTATCCCTTCTTTTTCTGCCCCCCCCCCCCTCCAGCCTTGAATTGACTACTTAGTTGTATTCTATCCCAAGGTCCTATTAACCACCACCATTAACAACAATAATACTACACCTACCATCATCTTCTCTCTTGACTTCACCACCACCACAGCAACATCACCTGTCTGCCTCACAGCAACAATCATTCAATATGCCTGGAGTTCGTAAGTCATGACACGCTTGCATTCCTGAACGGCCTTTCGCGAGACTATCCTCCCCTTTGGTGTATATTTTGCGCTGACAACCTGACCTACTCCTTCTCTTCCATATCCTCAGCCCCGGATGCGCTCAAGAACTTGAAGGCCAAGTTCCAGGCCATCTTCAAGAAGAAGGGCGAAAAGAAAGCCGCCAAGCCCACCGAGACCACCCCGGCTGCCACTGAGCCTGCAAAGACCGAGACGGCTCCTGCACCAGCTGGTCAGTTTTTTTCTTTCTTTCTTTTTTCTCTCTCTCAGCTTTACCTTTTGTGGCCCTGGCCTGCTCTCCTTTATCCAATCCAACTCACAAATGATACCTCCTGCACCCGCGCGTACGATTTGTGTGTAAGTGTATTCGTGTGTATACTGACGACTCTTGTTCTGTTTCTTACAGCTGCTGCCGCCCCCGCCGCTGCCCCGACTGCCGACGAGCCCGCGAAGGCCGCCGAGGAGGAAGCCAAGAAGGAAGAGGAGCCCGTCCCGGCTACAACGACCACCGAGGCCGCAGCACCGGTCCTTGTTGAGGAGGAGGCCAAGAAGGAGGAGGCTGCGGCTGCTCCGGCTGCTGCTGCTACTCCTGCTGCGGCTCCCGAGGCGGCTCCCGCTGCTCCTACGACTACCTAAGAAGGTCTGACAATCGCCTGATGTTTGTCATGTGCCGCCCAGCCATCCACTCCATGGCTCATGTATAGCAACAACACCTATAATAAAGCTACACGCAAAGGGAGGCCAGGCACAGATAACATTGTCATGTTAGATGTGATCCTATTTGGTTCGCTGTGAGGGAGAGGAGGAAGGAAAGAAGAAAGAAAAAGAGGGGGGAAAACGAGGAGTGAGGGAGCGAAATCATGGTCATCTCTTTGATTATTTAGAAAGAGGGGTGGAGGGTGTCATTTGTTTTGTTTTTCCTGATGGGAGTTTTGATGCGTATGGGGATCGGTGACTGGACCCCGTTCGCCCCATGGTGATGGCAGAGAGTTGTCTTGTCCGCTTGTCCTTCTCCTGTTCTTCTTCTTTTCTGCGCCTCTCTCTATATTTCTTGCGTTTTTTTGCTCTTGGTCGTTCTGCACTAATCCCACCGACTTGTCGTGTGTGCTGCAGCAAGTCCTTTGTTCGTCATAGTTGAATAGATACCCGAGTTGTACCAGATTGCGTGTTCACCTTTCTAGGGTGAGCACATATATTCACAAACATACACACCGTGTATGCTTAGGCTGAGAATAAATTGCACCTCAATGCCAGCACGCGTACCGGGTTCCTCTGATTACCGTTGGAACTCTCCTGTGCAATCTAACCCGGGCCTCTTGAGGAGACCTCAGCGGTGGAACGGCGAGTTCTACGTTTCGTAGCGTATATGATGGAAATGTGAAGCCATAGCCAGCCAGCCACCCTGGCAAAACAACTGCGGAGTAAAGTAGAGCGACTATCTCCAGAATCCTTGTCCGTCCTTGGAACACGAATCCATGTACCTTATCAAGCCTGATACGCTCACAACACGATGAGCACCCCCCTCCCCTCCTGTCTCTTCCGTCCCTGTCGGACGTGCCAAACCCTCTAGCGCAGACCCGGATATTCAAAGGGACCTACTGCACACCTGGCATGTCTTGAATCCACAGTACTTCTCTCATACGCAGGGAGGTGTGTGGAGTGTACATTAGTATGGCCATCGGGTTCGCCAAGACCGCCAATCTTGGACCGGCAGGGCGGGCAGGTTATCAATACAATCTCGACGTCATGCGCAAGTGTGGGTGATTGATTGCTTCGACAGGAAGACATGGGAGAAAACGGGTTTCACCTCCTCTCAGCAGCGAACAGCGTAGATATGGGAGTTGGTGATCTAGTTGAGACAGGTAAACGGTGTGTCTAAAATAGAGCTAAGTATGCTACACAACGAAGATCTAACAAGATGCCGTACGTCCGAGAAAGTAGGGCAGGAGTGGGTGTGAAAAAGAAGAAAAAGAAGTGCATAATGTAACCACAGCTGATTCCTAAACCTTCAAAGAGCAATCAAGACGACCTCTCAAAGCCAGGCGCCCAGCAACGGGTCAATATTCTTAATCTCTGCCAGTGCGAAAACGTCCACGCCAATGGCGGAATGGAACAGCGGACGTCGATACACGTGTAGAACACGTGATATCTGGCAAGTAAAACAACCTACCGAGATTTTGATTCGGGCCCCCATTTCATGTCTACTATTTCTGACATGGCCTGAACTGGTCGACCGTCCTCCTTCTCCTCCCACTGCTCGAGACAAATATGAGGTGGAGGGGGGGGGGGATGGTTGTCACAGCCCCAGAGAAAAAGAAGGGGCTAAGGGAGAGGGTAGCGAAGGAATTGGCAGACAAAATGGAAAAACGGTCCAGGTCAAATCGTGATGACCAGCCGATGTTCCTGATACTTCTCGACTGGCCACAAGGGCAGATGTCGCCATCCACCTAGAAGCCACTGAACCGTGACCCCTCCAACACAGGGCCTGCTGTCATTGGAGCCAGCTTAGCCCCGATAACCTTGGAATCGACAGTGGGAACCCGCTGCACACGGGACCCAGCAGCAGGCAGCTCCTACGTCACTCGAGCAGGAGAGTCTTTATCGTCGTCGTCGACCGACCTGTCCCACACGAGCCCCTTCTTTCCCTAGCTGCATTGGGAGGGCAGGAGAAGGAGAGGGGGGAGGAAGAGACGAGAGTTGCCGCGAGCTGCGCGCGCGCATGTGTGGTAGGGTGGTGGCCAGGCGAGAAAACCTTGTTTCTGAGATATCAGGCTAAAATCGTCCAATGCATGCGCAAACACACATACAGGCTGCCAAAAAGAAAGAGCAAAAAGCTTTGACAAACACAAACAAGCTTTATCTCTTTCTGACACACACACGTGGGATCGACGTGAGGGAGGGAGGAGGGGGACGCCTGATGGTGGTGGTGTTGGTGGTGATCGAGGGAGAGAAAAATGGGTTTTTGGGATGTGAGAAAATTTGGGAGGGAATGATTTGGTGCACATTGTATTTTTCCTTTTCCACCTTTCTTGGGTGGTGGTTGCTTGGCCCAAGCTTCTTTCCTTCCCCCCTTGCTTCAAGAGAGGGGACCCACCCATACACCACACCACCAGCATGTCATGGGTTCAGTACGAGCATCCACATATCATAGTAGTAGTACCTTCACTTTTGCAAGTGTCATTTCACTATGGTACTGTACGATATTCTCTTAGTCAGCACTTCCCCGTGATGGACCAAGAGGAATAATAATTCACCCATCCATCCATCCATTCTCAGCTGAGGCAGCAGGAGGAGCACTTTTCCTTATCCTTTTCTCCAACGAGGATACTGTCAACATCCTCCCGGGTGGCACATGGTCAATTGGTTGGCATCATTGTCAAATAGACAACGTCCGCCTAGAAATTCCATCTCGGGAAAAGATCGATTCTTCATCAGATCAGCAAGCAGAATCCAAGTCTCTGGTGATTGACGCTTGCCAGCTCACCACACACACACC